GAAGAAGAAGAAGAAGAAGAAGAAGAAGAAGAAGAAGAAGAAGAAGAAGAAGAAGAAGAAGAAGAAGAAGAAGAAGAAGAAGAAGAAGAAGAAGACAGATCTTAGGCAAGGAAAAAAAAAGGTGCAAAAATTAACGCAATGCACTAGCTTACATTCATCGAGCAATACACCCACCCGTCGAGGTCCCTCTAATTTCACTCCGACTCTGCTGGCACCCATTTCAGCGCATCCTCTCCCAGCTCGTAGCGGCGAAACTCATCAACCAGCTTTCGGGAATGGATGATCATCCGGCAACTGGACCTCATCGAGAAAACCCGCTACTTGGATCTGGCGCAGCTCCCGATCTTTCAAGCCGCTGGTCCTGCACGTAACCTTGAAACTCCTGAGCGCTCCGATGCCTATGGCGATCATAGCATGCCTAGCACGCCGAACCAAGAAATGAACCGTCCAGTGACATTCGCCACTGCCACTATAGGTACGCAGAACGGGACACTGAACAACTCCGTTGCGCATTTCAATCATGGTGCTGAGTTCAACCCTGCCTTCGGAGCCAACCACCGCATAACAAACTCACAAAACGTCAAGAGCGTACAAATTGGAGCAGTGAGCGGTGGATCATTGAATCAGTCACAGGCTCGGTACTCAAACGAGTCTTATAGCAAGGCATCTGTATATGCATACACCCGCAGCCCCCAAGCAGCTTCTCAGGCTTACCCGATCGACCAATTCCAAAGTCCACGTCGCACGCCAACTGTCGCCCAAATGGAGGCCGACATGAACTTTGCACAGTACCAGCAGCAGCCTCCCCGGTACACACCTCCGCCCGGCAACGACCTTGATGGGTACGGTAGCTATAGGCCTGATGCTCCAGTCTCTTAGCACAAGCGTCCAACTTCGAAATAATCCCCCAACGGAGCACCGCCTCGAACACCCAAGAAACCCCGTACAGAGGAGGCTACCAAGCGCTACTGCTCCCGCAAAGAAAAAAGCCGCTACTCGATACCTCCCGGAGCCAATTCCAATTTGCATGCCACAGCTCCAGGCACCAGCGACATATAAAGACTCCATGGCCAAGTTGCTTACTCGCTTACAACAGCTCAACCCGTTGGAGATCAACGCATTGCGAGCTCGAGCCGACTTGACACCCGACTGCATCTGCATGCACAGCGAGCCGGCAGCGCTGGCAGAGGCAGCGACCTCTGACGATGGCTACTCAGTGAATCGAGAGGACTACCACAATTACTACAATTACCTTGATCCGACCGAGGAGGACCAGGACTCGATCGTTCGGGACTCTAACAACGACGAGCACCGCGCCACAGACGACGGACTTACATTTTCAGGCTCCTACGAGGAGCAGTCCACTACTGCATCCTCCGAGTATTGCGGTTGAGCTGCGAAGATAATATACCACTCTGGTGCAGTGATACACGTTAAGAGCTGTAGAAGTCTCTCCCGTTTTTCTCTTCATCAATTGACGGACGAATGTCTTCTCAAGACACAAACCACCTTGTCTTAACTCACACTGATCTTGTACCTATTCCTAGACATCGACGCTCCCCCTCTTCATCCCCCGTGCACCGACTCGTCCTCTACGAACCTCTCCTCACCGCCCTCACCACCCTCCTTCACATCCTCCTCATCCAAATCCTTCTTCCTAATCACCACCTCCTTGGGGTGCCGGTTGATCCACAGCTCGTTCGGTAGCCACTTGTAGAAGCTGCACATAGCTTCGCGCACATCATCCAAGATCGTGATGCCATCTTCAAGCGTCAGAACCCTCGCATCAACCTTCATGCCCACAAAACACTCCTCCAGCGCGTGATCCTCGACCCAGAACTCATACTGATTGCCATCTTCTGTCTCGGGCAGGCGTCCGGTGGGGTACTTGTCTTTGGGCAGATCATACTCGTTGAAGTCGTCGACGTGAAAAGAGCGGCAGATGAGCGTTCCGAGAGACTCTAGGTAAAGTTTTGGGGCCATGAAGCCGTTCTGGCGGGCGTACATCTTGCGGGTGAGTTGGTCTGAGTAATTGATTGCCACAATTTCGAGGCCAAATAACTCGTCCTTCGAAACATTGACAGCGCGTGTGTCAAGCAAGGCCTGGTGCTCGTCTGTACCCATGATGGCGACCGCCGTCCTGAACGTGATCCTGGCCTCCTCGTCCATGACGCCAACCTCCCCAAGATCCACGCCGTCTTCTCTGACCTTAGTGGCCCACTCCATGTTACCGGTGTAGGTGCCAGATTTGGAACCGCCAAAAATTGTGCTAGCGGCGGTATTGAAGGCACCGGGCAGGGAAAGCCCGGCGTTGTACACTTTGGAAAGCTCCTTCTCGGCGGTGTCGCATAATTTGCGGGCGCCGTCGAGATCTTCACGGTACTCGGGGCAGACTGAGTGGTAGATGAGGTAGTTATAGAAGGAGCGCAAAACCTGGCAGGCGGTCTTGATTTGTTGGGGATTGAAGCCGTAGTGGGCTGGGAAGAAGGAGGATCTGTGTTACGATCAGTATCATCGCTGCTCGTGGGGCTCGGTCTGTTCCAACGTACAAGAAAGCTTCTCCGACGCCGGTAAAGTCGACGACCCACTGCTTCGGATCCTCCCGATCCCATGGCACCTGATGTACAGCTCGAGCCCTCGCAATCTCTTCGGCGTCCATGCCAGCCATATCCTTCTGGGACAATCCGCCGAACATGCGAGGGGCGCTCTCGACACCACCAAAGCGCATCCACTTATTGAAGATATTGGAGTACACCTCGTGCATCTTTCTCTTCTCCTTGAAGCGCTGGATCGCGATCTCAATGCGCTCTACAAAGTGCTTGTCTGGGTCATACATAGCCTCCTCGGCCTTGGCCTCGGCAGGTGTGATAGGCGGCTCGACCTAATAAGTCACAGACGATCAGGATACCTATCACGCATGTAATGAGACTATGAATTTACTCACATAAGTCTCCTCGAAGCCGGTCGGCTTCATCATGCCCTTCGTCATGCCTGGTGGCAGCTCAGCCTTCTTCTGCTGGAGCAACGGGACAGGCTGCACGGCCAGTACCCTCGCGCGCGGATCATACGCGATCTCATCGTCCTTGTAGTAGTCCGGATCGAGCGCACAAGGACCGCGTAGAGGCACCTTACGGCTGACCTGCTTGCCGTCGTCAGAGACGACTAGGAAGGCAGACTTGCGGAGGGCGGCAGGTACGATGGACTTTGGCTTGAAGCCGCGCATTTTTTTGAAGCCGCAGATGCGCCCGATGGATACGGGGAGGTTATCGCGGCCGCCGCAGCATTGCAACATGTGGAGATCGGTCGGCAAATTCTCGTCGGAGAAGTAGTATTCCACCTGAGGTACTTTTAGTGAGATATATTCCCGAGCAAGAAGATGTGACCTCGAAACGCACCTGCCGGCGTATCTGGGGTGCATTAGGATGCTCTGCCTCGGCAGCGAGTGGTTCAGCCGGTGCTGTCATAGCTGTTGAATGTTGTGTACGGGCCTGCCTCTTGAGTGGAGACAAATAAAAAGGATTTGTGAGTTGGAGTATGATCAATTTATGTGTGATTCGAGGGCAAATGGAGCGAGCATCGGCTATGTTTGCGAGGCCGTTCAGTAAGAGATACTGATGCGGAAGGAGCGGTCACCTGCAATCTGGTAACAGCGCGTGATTGCAACAGGCACAAAAGTGAGATATCATGGTGAAAATGTTGATATTGGTGGAACATGGAGCATATGGAGGTGATTTACGAGACTGGGTTTCCGTGCAACGATGAGGATGTATACCCATAAAACCATGACATGCAACTCACAGTGGAATCATGACGTAGCATTGATTGGACAGCCGGAATGCTATGCTCCTGATATTCACTCCCATCCTTTTGGTATGTAAACGCCGTCGCTATGCAAAAAATATCCAAACGACCCGTCATGATCCATGCGTCAGACTTGCTGCAGTCATGCGTTCGGTTAATCCCTCACTTCAAGGTCCTCGAGTCTCCTTTTTGATCCCTCACTCGCGACCTTCGTCTTTGTCTCTATGTTCTCGAGCAGCACCTCCCTCAGTACGCTGACACTACCCATTGCGGCATGCGTGGCACTCTCGATAAGCTCGTCAGGTTCCGCGCCGACTTCACCCTTGAGCCATAGTTCCGTAATCTCATCTCTTGACGCCAGGAAACCCACTGCGCAGGCAGCGACAATGTCTTGGTGCTCCGCTGGACATGGGTCTAGTATTTTTTGCCCGTCTCTTGTCATTGCCGCCACTCCTCCTGCTACCATATCAACGCAGTCAATGCCCGCATCCATAATCGCAGCGCTTGCAACTGTAATGCAACCGGCCAGCACATTGAGTAGACCCCAACCGCTGCCAGATCCTCCCTCGGCCTTGCTATCACCCCACCACGTATCTTCATCTCCTTCCAGAATGGTAATGACGACTTCAAGCCCGCTCTTGGGCCACCGTTCGCCGATTATGACACCCCTCAGTGCAGTCTCCAAATGGACGCCAAGATCGCGTTCCGCGGAATCGCGAATATATCCTCTCCGATGTCTAGTAGCGAATGGCGCGAACTTCACGGTGGTCGTGAGCACCAGTGTCGGGGAGAAGGGCGCACTGCGGGGGAGAGGCTTTGGACCTTGGATGGACGCAGCGATCTTTAGGCTCGAGGTCGGAGGGATCAGAGAAGAATGTGAAGTTGTCGTTGTGGTTGGTACTTCGAGGTATGCAGAACCTGACGCAGAGGGCACAACGCCTGTTTGAAGGACTTTTCCATCGCCGTTAGTTTGTGCCTGATCAATGGGGGGATGGCAATGGAGATCCAGAAGCTCAGATGCGTTTGGAGGTGCGCATAAAATCAAGATCTGAGCAGCATGGCTTTCACTCCACCCAAACCTTGAGCACTTACAGGTCTTTCGCAGTTCATTGGGCCCTCTGTTTCTGTTCGGCCGCAGCAATTGAAGGTACCCAGGTTCTTTGACCGGCTTCGCAAAGACCGGCGCAGAGGTGCCGCCACTTGGCGCATTGATCCTTCTCCTATCAGTATTCGCCGCCATCTTGCGTGTTGCTCTATCGCGTTCGTGAAGAGAGCTAGGTCGGGAATGACGATGGTGTTGAGAAGTTCGCTGACTAACGCGCCAAGCTTTCGCGACTACTATTTTTCTTCGCTTGCTCGCAGTTCCAACTTCCTAACACCACCTCGCTTTCGAGGTGCTCTGCGCCCTACGTAAGTCTCTACTGCCCTTTTCACATCTCATACCCTTTCATGATTGATATCTTCCTATTACGTTCTGGTGACTACGATGAGCCTGAACTATCATGCACCACCATCTGATCCTCTTATCTTCAGCTCAGGCTGCAGGTCCACGGACAAAGTCACCGGCTAACGGGCAACAGTATATGTCTGAACATCGGTACAACGTTGCGGCGCGAGAGAACATCGGGCATGGTGCATGCGACCGGAAATTCTCGACCTGTGGTTTCCAGCAGAAGCCTTCAGGTGTTGAAGGCGCAATCAACTAGAGCAACACAATAGCGCGTCGATGCACGCTTGCTGCATGATATGAGGAACTAATCTGCGAGCCTTATACGCTGTTACTGACACAAAGTAAGTTTCTTCCCTACCGTTCCAGTAGTGACCCAAACCCGCGTTTTATGATGTGTGTATCAATTTCAGTTCTGCTACTGAACCACTTGAAGACATTCTATACCATAGCTTACCTTGTCTGATTAACGCAAATCTCTATCATTGCTTTTTCATCCATAACGCGAGCGTTGCTGATTTGTTTTTGCAGAATATCCTAGCTTTCACGACACAGCGACAGATCGCAGCCTGGCTCCCGTACGTTCTTCCTCTACACCCTCCCTCGCCATGATGAAAACTTAGTCTTATCCATTCAACGACATCCAAAGCTGGGTCGCCCTCCCGCACTTTACCGGCTTCGGCTTGGGATGATGAGTTGTGGAGTTGCTTGTGCAAACGAGCGTAATTGCGGTTGTTGTGCCGACAGTCGCGGCGGTCCGTCTTGGGCTGCTGGGACTGGAGGCCAGCGGCGGAGCATGACTATAACGGCTTTCTGAGCAATGAGTCTTCATCGCCTGGTTCATGCGACATCTCTGCGAATGCTTGCTAATTGACGCTGAACAGCAAAGTGACGTCAGAGCATACCCTCGGTAGGAGTTTTAGCCCGGCAAAACGAGCCGGTCCCTTGCGAAGCCAGGAGTAGTGTATTTGGTCGTAGATAGCAATCATGATATTCTCTCAACACATGTGCTTCCGGTAATCCCTCGAATGCCCCCCTGTGCCGCGCGTCGTGGGATGTCAGTGGGGGAGCCCATCAGAATGAATGAATTTGTGGAGGTTTTGAAATCCAGTGACGGTCCTACGGGCCCGCAATCGAAGGGATCTGCGACAGACGCAATGGCCTGCAACGGTGATTTCGCGAGGTTCCAACAAGGTGTCCTGAAACATCGGTCTAGCCGCTTGGCACAGCCCCGACGCCGCGCTGCCCATCAACCTACGCCGGCAGCGCAATCACGCAGTCCTGAAAGAGTAGTCATCTGCACCAGCTGAAGACGCCTGTCAGCCGCTCGCACGCTCTCCCTTCCTTGTCCGCCCACGCCGCGCTGCACGTCGCTATTTCGGTAATCAGCGCCAGGGATATCGGGGCATGTCTATGACAACGGTGGCCTCCAGCTTCAGCTTAGCGAAATAAACCAGGAGCCAAGGCTTCCCGGATACCTGTACGACGACATCGACTGCCAAGGGCTACCGCGGCTCCTCACGCATCCATCCACACTCGTTCGCGCCCCCGTGGCATCAATTCGCATCGCACACCCGCCTAGACGTCGTGTGCTCGGCCCTGCTGCGCTCTGCCCTGCACTGCGCTCGGCGAAACTCGCGGGTCGACGTGACCGGGGGTGCCCAAAGGGAGAACCCAGCGCGATCTGAATTCGCAGACTCTCTCCTGGATGCTGCCCTTACATGCAAAATCGAAGATGCATCGCCATGCCTTTTCCAATGGGCAGGCCGCATACCCATCTACCGGCGGGAGCGGCACCTTTTCTATTCAACCGCACAAGTACGTCTGCCACTGCCATGCTGGCTCCATTGCGACTGCATCTTTCTGCCTCCCTGAAAGATGATTCCTCGTGGACACATGATGCTAATTGCCATTGTCATTGCAGGTTCCAGCCTCGATCACAGCCAGCCCTGAGGCGGCGGCGGCAGCTGATACAGCGGCTACTGCTCTTTGGCTCCATCCTCCTCACGGGCTTCTTCTTTTTCTTCCCCGATCTCCGACCAGATCTGGGTTCGAGCCCGCTTAGCTACCTTGCCTCCAGCGACGAGTCGAAACTCGAGACGGTGCGATATTACGATCTGAGCAATGTACAAGGAACGGCAAGGGGGTGGGAACGGGAAGAGCGCATCCTTCTCTGCGCTCCTCTCCGAGACGCCGCGCCGCATCTGCCCATGTTCTTCGGTCACCTGAAGAACCTCACGTACCCACACAACCTGATCGATCTCGCCTTTTTAGTCGGAGATTCCAAGGACAACACACTCGAGTTGCTCAACTCGAAGCTGGAGGAGCTTCAGGCAGACCCGGAGGCGAAAAATCAGTTCGGAGAAATCTCGATCTTGGAGAAGGACTTCGGACAGAAGGTCAACCAGGATGTAGAGAGCCGACACGGCTTCGCCGCTCAGGCTGGACGACGTAAATCCATGGCGCAGGCCCGTAACTGGCTCTTGAGCGCTGCGCTCCGGCCGACACACAGCTGGGTCTACTGGAGAGATGTCGATGTCGAGACGGCCCCGTTCACTATTTTAGAGGATCTCATGCGCCACAACAAAGACGTTATCGTGCCGAGTAAGCCAACCACAGTCACCGACATCATTTGCCTACTGACCATGTCTGACAGATGTCTGGCGACCGCTACCGGATTGGCTTGGGGGAGAGCAGCCTTACGATCTCAACTCGTGGCAGGAATCAGAGACAGCTTTGGCTCTGGCAGATACTCTTGACGAGGATGCTGTCATCGTCGAAGGTTACGCAGAATATGCCACGTGGCGCCCGCATTTGGCATACTTGCGCGACCCTTACGGCGATCCCGATATGGAGATGGAGATTGACGGTGTTGGTGGTGTCAGTATTCTCGCCAAGGCAAAGGTCTTCCGGCAGGGTGTTCACTTCCCAGCGTTCAGCTTCGAAAAGCACGCCGAGACGGAGGGTTTTGGCAAGGTCAGTCGTTCCAGTAAACCCTTTTTTGCCTCCAGACTAACATAGAATAGATGGCCAAGCGCATGAAGTTTTCGGTTGTCGGGCTACCCCACTACACTATCTGGCATTTGTACGAGCCCTCCGTCGACGACATCCGCCATATGGAAGAGATGGAAAAAGAGCGCAAGGCTAAGGAAGCCGAAGAGGCCGCCAAAAAGCAAAAGGAAGACAAAATCAAAGAGCAATTTGATAACAAGGGCAGTGATTGGGAGAAGGAGAAGGCAGCTGTGCAAGATTTGGTTCAGAAAGCGAAGAACGAGGAGAAGGAGGAAGCGAAAAAGAAGGAAGAGAAAAAGAAGGCGAAGGAAGCTGCAAAGGAAGCTGCGAAAGAAGAGCTCAAGGAAGAAGCAAAAGCAGAGAAAGCGAAGGAGGCCGCAAAGAAGGACGTTGAGAAGCGCGAGGAGATACACGAGGCCTGGGGTGCCGATGAGAGGGGCAAGGCGGCGCCGAAGCAGTAAGTCTATGAGCTGCCTGTCACATATGATGGCTTGACCTAACGTGTCTCGCAGACCCCGAGTGCCAGACTCAGCTTAAAGAGTCAACCGGACTCATACACGACGACGATTTGACGAACACGATGCAAGGGCTATGATTGTGTCCTCATCAGCATACCTTTTAATAGCCGCTCCGGGTGCCGGACATGGTAAAACACTTCAACCAGCATCGTCGAGCCTCGGCTTGTAGAGACTGCACGAGCCGGTCTCCTTGCCCATGTCTCGATGTCTTTTGAATTTTTGTTTTTGGATCTCGTTTGCGGGCGCGTGGAGAGGCTTGCGGTCTTTGGCTGGGATGGGACGACGGGTGTATATACTAGAATTTGCATGAGGAGGCGTTACGCGTCGAGACTTGGACGGGCGCTGCGTGCGTTTGTAAGAATATCAACACATTGAGCGCGTATGCAATGTCGGCGTCGGCCTCAGTTCTCGTGAATATGCGTATTGGGGCTACAGATCAGCGCGTTGATTGCACACGACAGTAGAAAACCACATAATGGTATACTCAAACAACACATCTCTAGAGCCGGTATACAGGCAACGTGTATTTTCCATTTACACAAGAGCTGTACAAATGATGTTGCTCAGGGACATTCTGGCGCTCGCTCGCGGAGGTCCGGCCGCGATTTGACACCCTGGCCTACCGCGGTGCTTGGCACTTCACCTCCCAATGTTCAGTGTAGCTTCGACAATTGTAGCTGCCTTGCGAATGTCGGGAGCCTGCCGATGAGAACACGATCACTGCATATCTGCTTTATTATTAAACTCTGCTCTTCCAGGCAACTTCCTCTTGAGAGCATGAAGTTCATTTCCTAAGCTTGCTGACTGGCCGCATAGTTGCTGTCCTCTCCAAGTATCCCCCAGCGGAACTACCAACGGTTCGGACCGCACCTCCTCTTACCCAAAGGTCCTCTCCGACATGTCCAACGACGAAATCGAAAGTCCGCCGTCGGACACGCTCCACGATGCTGTTACGCTCACGGAGCCCCGGCGCATACCTGTTGCGGTCAACCCAGTCGCGCTCGTGGTCACCGAATGTATAACGGTCACATCTGCCATGCGCAAGCATGCACGCTGGGCCCATTCTTCAGTTGCAGCCATCCTGGGCGGCTCCTCCAACAAGACACCCGCCATCCAAAAGAGAGACAGGGCTGGCCAGGGCATCATTGGCGGGACCGGCGAGCAGGAGGAAGCCGTCCCCAGCAGATGGGGCCTGCGCGGGAAGAAGGGCAAGAGCATGCAGGACAACCCGCTCATGTCTGCCTTTGCGCGCCTGCGGAATGAGCTGAAGGGCCGCAAGGGTGTGTCTGTCCGCCGAATTGCTTTTGGGCCTCTGCTAACGCGCCGCCAGACATCCGGACCTTTGACACCCCCTCGATGCTCCACCCGTTCCTTCAAGTGATCCGGTCATCCTCGACGTCTGCGCCCATCACCTCGCTCGCGTTGATTGCCATCACCAAGTTCCTGTCCTACAACATCATCAGTCGCGACTCGCCGCGCCTCCCAGAAGCCATGCAGCAGCTCTCGTCCGCCATCACACATTGTCGCTTCGAAGCGAGCGACTCCCCAGCCGATGAGATTGTTCTACTGCGGATATTGAAGCTTATGGAGAGCATGGTCTCGGGCCAAGCGGGCGAAGTGCTGGGAGACGAGAGCATATGCGAGATGATGGAGACTGGCCTCAGCATGTGCTGTCAGTCTAGACTGTCGGAGCTGCTTCGACGGTCGGCCGAGATTTCCATGGTTTCCATGTGCCACGTCATATTCAAGAGGCTGAAGACGCTGGAGATGGAATCTCCCGAAGAGCTTCAGAAGCTTGATGAGGAGCTGGATAGCGCCGATAAGACAGACGGCCTCAAGATGGATCCTACAACGAATGGTGAGAGCGAAGGAGCGCCCACCAAGGTCGAAGAACCCCAACAACCTAGCAATTCGGAGAAAGGCGAGGGGGATACCGACAGTAACGCCCCAAATCCGGACCGAAGCACGCTGGACCTCCCAGGGACCATCGTGGCAGAGCAAGCGCCCGTGGACATAAAGCCGTACTCGTTGCCTTCGATCAGAGAACTCTTCAGAGTCCTGGTAGACTTGCTCGATCCACATGACCGGCTACACACTGATACCATGCGTGTCATGGCTCTGCGCATTGTCGATGTTGCACTTGAAGTGGCTGGTCCATCAATTGCTAATCATCCCAGCCTGGCCAACCTGGCCAAAGACACGCTCTGCCGACATCTTTTCCAGCTAGTCAGAGCAGAGAATATGGCCATCTTGAACGAATCCTTGCGTGTAGCCGGGACGCTGTTAGCTACATGTAGAAATGTTCTCAAGCTGCAGCAGGAGCTGTATTTGTCCTACCTTGTCGCCTGTCTGTTTCCACGAATGGACATACCTATAGAGCCAGGGATAGAACCGTCTCTGTACGAAGGTGTACCACAAGCGCCGAGCCTCGTCAAACCCGCTCCACAGCAGAACCCAGGGAGTGGTCGGGCTACGCCTGTACCAGTAAAAGACCGACAAAAGCTTGGCCTAGAGGGAGGGGCTAGGAAACCCGATGCTCGAGAAGCCATGATCGAGAACCTCGGCGCCCTAGTTCGCATACCATCCTTTATGGCAGAGCTGTATGTTAACTATGACTGTGAGACAGACCGGAACGATGTTTGTATGGACATCATTGGGCTCCTGTCTCGGAACGCGTTCCCCGACTCAGCGACGTGGAGCACAGTCAACGTACCGCCACTCTGCTTGGACGCCTTGCTGGGGTTTGTTCAGTCCATCGCAGACCGGCTGGACGATGAGCCAGTGACAGAAGGCTTTCCTAGCGCAGAGACACTACGCGAACAGCGTTCACGAAAGAACATCATCATTCGCGGTGCTACCAAGTTCAATGAAAGGCCCAAAGGTGGAATAGCATTCCTAGCTTCTCAAGGCATCATTGAGAATCCCGACGATCCCAACAGCATAGTTCAAATCTTACAAGGCACAAGTCGCGTTGACAAAAAGGTTCTTGGAGAATTCATCTCGAAGCGAGGCAATGAGGCGATTCTACAAGCTTTTATTGCTCAGATCGATTTCACTTCCCTCCGCGTCGATGAAGCTCTGCGACGTCTCCTAAACACTTTCCGTCTTCCTGGCGAATCAGCTCTCATCGAGAGAATCGTGACCGAATTCTCGGCGCAATATCACCAACAGGTTGGTGCCGGAGACATTGCGAATACGGATGCCATCTACATTTTGTGCTACGCCATCATCATGCTCAACGTCGACCAGCACAGCCCTAACCTGAAAGGCAACAAACGCATGGCTTTCGAAGACTTTGCGAGGAACTTGCGAGGTGTTAATGACGGCAAGGATTTCGACCCGGAATATCTCAAGTCAATCTTCGAATCCATCAAGACTCGTGAGATCATCCTTCCCGAGGAGCACGAGACCCGTCATGCCTATGACCACGCATGGAAGGAGCTTTTGCTCAAGACACAGTCGACCTCAGACCTTGTCATCTGCGATACAAACATTTTCGACGCAGACATGTTTGCTGCCACATGGAAACCCATCGTAGCCACTTTGTCATATGTGTTCATGTCAGCAACTGACGACGCTGTCTTCTCACGGGTTGTCACAGGCTTTGACCAGTGCGCTCAGATCGCCGCGAAATACCAGTTGACCGATGCGCTAGATCGCATCATCTCATGTCTCGCGTACATTAGCACGCTTGCTCCAGATGTTCCACCCAGTACGTCGTTGAACACCGAAGTGCAAGTAGAGAAGAAGAGTGTCATGGTCAGCGAGACAGCCGTTCGCTTTGGTCGAGACGGAAGGGCGCAGCTGGCCACCGTTGTGTTGTTCCAAGTTATCAAAGGCAGTGAAGCCTCGATACGAGATGGTTGGAACCATGTAAGTTCTGAGGTCTCGCTTCACTATACGATGCTAACCTACATGCAGCTCATCCACATTATGGTCAATTTATTTGTCAATTCTTTGATACCCCCTTACTTCTTGTCTTTCCAGAAAACGTTGGCGTTGCCGCCAATACCACTCCAAAGCCCGGCTCAGATCATCGATCGCGTCGAACGTCCTGCAGATACCGGCATCTTCTCTGCGTTGTCATCTTACGTCTCTAGCTTTGCTAATGACGAGCCTCCGGAGCCATCCGACCAAGAGATCGAATACACGCTCTGCACGGTGGACACGGTCAAAGAATGCCATTTCGAAGATATTCTTGCAAACATCAGCCAACTACCACTGGAATCACTTCGGTCGTTGTTGATGTCGCTGCTCGAGCAAATACCCGAAGATGGCTCACCCAGGGTCATCGTGGTGAAACCTGAGCTTCCTTCGGCAGTAAGCCCGCGTACCAACGGAAACAAAGCCAAGCTCAACAGGCCGGTCTATGACCCCAGCTTGGTCTTTGTCTTGGAACTAGCTACCGTGCTCGCCCTTAGAGATGACGAGACCGTGCAAGAGCTAGCGAAGGATGTTGCGGATGCGCTGTCGACGGTGATCAAGGATGCAGCTAAATTGCACCCCGTGCTCATAGCCCGATGTGTATACTACCTCCTGAGCATCTTGAAGGCTAGCAATGTACGCGTATCCTTCTTTCACTCCAGCTGTCGCTAACTTCTGCAGGACCACGACTTTATTAGAGCTCCTGTTCTCTTACACACATTCTCCAAGTTCGACGAGGAGCTTCTGAAGCAGTGCGCGAGCCCACTGTTAAAGGGCTTGGCGGATTGCTTGAAGGGTCCGAATGGGCTGCGCGTTGAACTAGCCAGCTCTCCAGACTTTTGGGCCATCCTGAACAAGTTACAACGTGTGCCTGAGGCGGCAGGCGATGTCTTCCAGCTAGTGGAGGACCTCACCACTTCTTCGCTACCTGGTGTCACAGCGGACAACTACGAAGCCGCTATCGCGTTGCTAAATGAGTTTGCAACTACGGCTCAGGTCGGCGCAAGGCAGGAACAGTTGTATGACCAGGCGGTAAAGCGAGGCAAAGCTCCCAAGCCTAAGAAGCCAGAGTATGTATTCCGCATGGGGCAATCGCAACCGCGCTGACGTTGAGTAGGAGCGACGAAATTGTCGTACGCGGGAGCACGGCCATGACCATCGTATTCCAAATGACCAACCGAGTGCCCAATTTCATTGAACAATCACACCTTGAGACGACCGAAGGTACGCAAAATCTCCTGTACAGCATGTGCATCAGTACTCACGTGTTGCAGCCTGGACAGCCTACTGGTCACCAATCCTGAAGACGCTCACGCATCAGTGCCTCAATCCGTGCCGCGAAATCCGGCAACAAGCGTTCGGAGCGTTGCAGCGAACCTTGCTCTCCAACGAACTCGCGTCCCCAGACCACCAGGAATGGACCGCCATCTTCAGCGAAGTCTTGTTCCCTCTCATCACACAGCTCCTGAAGCCCGAAGTGTACCAGTCCGACCCCCTCGGCATGAGCGAAACGCGTGTCCGCGCGGCGACACTGCTCTCCAAGGTCTTCCTGCACTACCTCACGCTGCTCTCGGAGACGGACGATCTGCTGGACCTTTGGCTGAAGATCATCACCATCATGGACCGCTTGATTAACAGCGGCCAGGGCGACAACCTTGAGGAAGCGGTCAGCGAGAATCTGAAGAACATGCTGCTTGTCATGTCGAGTGGCGGGTATCTTGTTCCGCCGGATGAGAAGCCGGAGAAAGAGGAGCTGTGGAACGAGACGTGGAAGAGGATCAATCGTTTCCTGCCTAACTTTTTCGCCGAGCTTTTCCCTGAAGAGGCGAAGAAGCCAAAGGGCGAAAGGAAAGCTAAAGATGCCGTAGCAAAGGGCAAGGAGATTGAGAAGGCGCCTGCGGAAGGCACAGAAGACGAGGAGAAGGCAGGCAAGGAGGAGGCTGGGGCGTGAAGTCACGGGGTTGGAGTTTTCCTTCTGTGCAGAGTCAGAAGTGGCGTTCGTGGATATGGCAGAGGATATGTAGCATAGATGTACAATGCGCATCGGCATGAGGTTATTTGAAGGCATGTAGAGGAATGAGGAGAGTATCGCATTTACAGCACGCTGGCTCGACCACGGTGCTTTTGTCGTGCGAGAGGCACAAACCGACTATGAGGCTGCGGCAAAATGACCACGAGAGAGTCATCTCAAGCGAAGATGCCGGATAGCCAGAGAGCCCTGTACAAGACATAGGACGCTGCATAGTCAGAGAATGCACCACCACAAGAGCGACACAGTTCAGGGTCCATGGCTGCCGCCCAGCAACTGTGCCTGTTCCCCTAATAGCAACCCTTGGCGCCTAACTGTGCACCTCTTGTCGGACCTCCGTCACGCTAGGTGAAACGGGCCCGAAGACGGCTGCTGGGAAGTCGCGCGCTGATTGGCGGAAGCGCGCAGCCGTCTGATGTCGCGCTGCGGCACGAGCCACTGCCAATGTTTCGGAAATGGAAGCCCATCTCACGATGCATCGGGCGTAGAGGGCCATTTGCCTTATCAGGCCCGTCCCGCGCGCGGGCGGGCGGTGCGCTCTTTCCCTCGCTCACGACACTTTCGGTTTTCGCTTGCGAGAGAGACAGTTGCTGTTGCGCGTTTGCTGTGCCCGAGGCACGTTCGCTCTTTACTTATACCTGCCTATACCGGCGCCACTCCTTAATCGGTTGAACTTCGCGTATAGTCGTGCTTTCTGGAATTGGCATTGGAAAGAGCTGGTTGCGCGTTGTTTGGATACTTGAGCCGAAGAGCTAGACACCTTCCGACCTGCACGATTGCCCATCTTTCTGGACCATTGACGAAACTTGCGACGCGCCTTCACGCTCGCTGAAGATTCTTGACACTCGCTTTTTGGCTATTCATCTCACACACACCCTCCAAGATGCGCTCGGTAAGTGACCGTCTCAAGCTCTTCTCCCAGAGGGCATCAGAAGTGCGACCCGCAGCTAACGAACCCGTCAGCTTCTCAACTCTCTTGCGGTGCTCACCGGGCTCTTGACGAGCGTCGCCGTGGCCGTCCACCCCGTGGAGGTGCAGGGTCAGGATCTCATCGACACAGTCACGAAGAAGCGCTTCATGATTGTCGGCGTCGACTACCAGCCCGGCGGCCAGGCAGGCTACAAGCCTCAGGAGGGTAGTGACCCCCTGACCAACAAGTCTGTCTGTCTGCGCGACGCCATCATGCTGCAGAAGCTTGGAGCCAACACGATCCGCGTGTACAACGTTGACCCCACACTCAACCACGACGACTGCGCGTCCATCTTCAACTCGGCGGGCATCTACATGATCATTGATGTCAACGGCCCGCAGTCCGGCGAGAGCATCAACCGCGCGGAGCCGTGGACCAGCTACCACAAGGACTACCTCAAGAGGATCTTTGGCGTCGTGGAGAACTTCAAGAACTACCCCAACACACTGGCCTTCTTCTCTGCCAACGAGGTCATGAACGACATGAACACCGGCAAGGTGAACCCGCAGTATATTCGCGTAAGTCCACGCATCTGGTGGGATCGAGCAGCCGCTAACATGCAACAGGCCGTCCAGCGTGACTTGAAGGCATACATCAAAGCGCATGCCGACCGCACCATTCCTGTCGGTTACTCTGCCGCCGATGTCCGCGACATCCTCCAGGACACCTGGGCTTATATGCAGTGCGACAATAACGGCGATGGCTCCGAGTCCGACATCTTCGGTCTCAACTCGTACTCCTGGTGCGGCGGTGATGCCACCTTCGCGAGCGCAGGCTACGACACTCTTGTGGATATGTTCCAGAACAGTTCCGTCCCCGTCTTCTTCTCCGAGTACGGTTGCAACGAGGTCATGCCGCGTGTGTTCGACGAAGTCGCCTCTCTCTACAGCGACAAGATGGCTGCTCTGAGCGGCGGTCTCGTCTACGAATACAGCCAGGAAGAGTCCAACTTCGGCATCGCCGTCATCAACGACAACGGCACCGTCAGCCTCCGCAGCGACTACGACGCTCTCCAGAAGCAGTTCAACAAACTCGACGTGACCAAGTTCACGGCGACCGGCTCCAAGATCACGCCTCCCAAGTGCGACAAGAAGCTCATTACGAATGACGCCTTCGACTCCAACTTCACGATCCCGGCAGTGTGCCCGGGCTGCCAGACGCTGATTAAGAACGGCATTGACAAGCCCACCAACGGCAAGCTCGTCAAGGTCACCGACACCAAGGGCCCGAACAAGGTCTACGGCTCGGCCGGCGGCGAGGTGTCTGGACTGACGCTTAAGCTGCTCAGCAACGACGGCGTGAACGGTCCCAGCGGCGAGACGTCGAGTCCCGCGGGCCAGTCCAGCGCGAGCTCGTCGGCGGAGGGGTCTGGTGACAAGACGGGTGCTGCGAGTAAGCTTGCGGGCGGCTGGACGCTGCTTGCTGCTGGTGCCGTGGCTGCGCTGACTGTCCTGTGATTGTGCAGATAAACCCGGGCCTGAACCTACCTCGAAGCCTGCGAGTCCGACGCCAACGAAGAAGGGCGGCGCGTATCGGCATCGGGGCGCGGGCTTAGGTGTATGGGGCGTTTGGGTGATGGTGTTCGTCTTACTGTGATCTGAGGGCATCATTGGGGTGAAATAATTCTATCTTCGAAGTGCATATTTGAGGGGAGGTAATGCGCAGAATGATTTTAGCGGCATTATGGTGGTTTTGCTTGTGTGTGTGTGGATTTCAGGTGGATTTGAGTTTCATGCTATACCCTTTTTGCGGACCTGCTAGGATAGGATGGTGAATTTAGCAGAGTAGGATTTGATGGTCAGTGTGAGGAATAGACTTGTTGACGTTCATGTGAGCTTTGAATAAGTATTGAGTGGAGAGTGATGAGATTAGGGAGGAAGTGCAGTGTGCTATTGAGTGCGCTTTGAGTAGTAAGGAGAGGCCGGTGGGCGTGGATGGAATGAGTGCCGCATCATGCTTGATGTTTTGACTTGGTGTTGGGCTACGAAGTGGAGGGGAGAGATTGTACGTTAGGATGGAAAGGAGAAGTGGGGCTGAGGTGCTCTGGTGTGAGAGGGTTGCGATGGGGAGGTATGGAGCTGGTGAGGCTTGCGACTCTCTTTGTACCCTTGATTGACATCGTCTATTGTTGTGTGTGATTCCATATCGTCAGTGACGTGTCAGGGGCATGCTGAAAGGTCCCCATTTCTCAGAAGCAACGGTACCGTATCAAAGTACTAGAAATCGTCACCAGTATATACTTATTCTTCTTGAAATTGATTGGAAGGGTCCCGCGCTGTAGATGCTTAGGCCACTGGGAGGAAATACGCCTCCGGTGGCCAGTAGGAGCCTTAATCAGCCTAGTATGTAAGTAACATCAAAGAAGTATTTGCATGTTATAGCGGGACCTCTCACCAGCTTGCCTTGCGCCTGAGACTCCACGGCGTAGTTCTTGTAAACAATTGCATACCCGTCATCCATACAGGTCGCTCGATTAACCTCGCGTCACAGCGCAGCGTAACTTTGTTACCTGCAGCGTGCATACTCACCCTTCCACCATCGTCATCTCCACAAGATCTGCGCAAAGCAGCCAACTCGAAAGCAAACCCACAGACGTCCGCTCAAAGCTCTTGTTACGACGCCAACAGCTGAAGGATGGAACCCTGGAACATATTCCGTCGACCTTTCTCCCGCCTCCGCCGCTCTCAATCTACGAGACCGCAGACATCCCAGAAGGTGCGATAGGCCGAGTTACTGAAAATATATCATCGCAGATATTCTACGTCCCTTCCAGGGGACTGGTGCTAAAGGTGGGGCTCACTGCATGCGTCTACGAACTGGGGGCGTTGAGAGGAGCGTTCTACGGCAAGACGTCGTCTCACACCACTTCTGCGTTGCCCACGGGACTGAGCATGACTGCCACCCTTATGGGATGTTCATTTCGCGCGCCGAGTTCAACGAGGGTCTTGTCCAGGCGCTGCCGAGTGCGCGGCCGCCAGGGGAGGTTTCCGCCCAGGACGAGGTACTGGCTGCGCGCGTGCAGGTGCTGGCGGACGAGGGAAAGCTATTTTCCCACGGACATCTGCACCTCGGCAATATCTGTGTTGAGGGGGATGCGAATGTGACGGGGCTGATCGACTGGGGTGGCGCTGGCTTGAGCATACATCAGTGCGACTACTTGGAGGAGGCTGCGCTCGTGCAAGCCATCTTGGGACGATGCGTCGAAGAAGGTGTTCTCCCCGGACGCGAGAGAAGACTTTGGTTTGTTGCACGAGTTTGACGCCGCGCTGACTAGGTACAGCAGATCCTGAACAGGAGCTACTGGAGAGCCTTCACACATGCCACACAAAACCGGGGGACACTGCGAAATGATCACTGCCACGCTAGAAGAAGAGCCTCAGTGGCGTCAAGATTTGTATTTTGATTGCCCCTTTCTTGTGTGTATGCTCATCCTGGCCACGACTAATCATTTGACGAGCCTATCCCCCTCATCTGACCCCTCCTCACTCTCAGTCTCATACTCACTACTCTCCTCCTCCTCATCCGTCTCTTCTTCCTCGCTATCCGTCTCCTCCTCCCCACTCTCCTCCAACCACTGATCCAAACTCTTCTCTTCCTTCTTCGGCGCCGACGCACCATGGACACCATTGTCCTTTCCACCCGCCCACGCACTACCACTAGTCCCCATCCCATCCCACCCCGCCGCACTCGGAGCCGCACCCGCCGCGGCATCCAATTTCTCCGCCGCACTCAGCGTTTTCACACCTCCAGCGTCGTAGCTCGGCGTAGACGTAGATCTCACTTCGTCTCTTAACGCGGGATCCGGCTCTTGTCCTTCCTTCACCCAAGCGGGAACATCCTCGTACCCGCGCAACCCACCAACGCCGCCTTCGTCACCAATGACGAGACTCGCGCTTCCCAGGACATACCCTTTCCGGGTCTCGCTGGGGCTCGGCGTCTGCGGGACGGGCTTAGGCGCGAGGAGCAGGAGGTTGGCGAGTTGGGTGGACGTCGGGGTCGCGAGGAGCGCTTTGTACACGCGTGCGCGGTCGCGGATGTCGTAGGAGGTGTCGTAGCGCGTGAGGAGGAGGATGTAGTCCCAGAGCGCCACTATTGGGTGCGGCTTTTCTCGTTCCTGGGGCGCGGGCTGCGGTGCTGCTTCGGATTTAGGCTCGTCGCGGAACCCGCCCTCCTCATGAAAGTCGTCGAGAAGTGAAGACCTGGGTTGAGGCTGCTCCACCGGTTTCGCGGGTTCGGGTGGCGGGTTGGCGTTGAGGTGGTGGACATAGACTTTGGCGGCAAGGAGAACGATTTGCAGCTTTGCGGGCTCGGCTTCGTCGGCGAAGCCTTTGACTAGGATGCGCAGGACGTCGGCGGCGATGTTGTTGTCTGGGTCGAGGCCTGCGAATTCACCGACGAGCCAAATAATGCTGGCGCGGGCTTGGGGGCTGGTGGCTGCGTCGAGGTGCTTTGCTAATCGGACTACGGTGGTGCGGTGGTTGTCGGGGTCGCGTTGGATGAGATGCCGTATTACTTCAAGAGACTCTGCTACCAGATGCGCGTCCGCCGATCCGATGTGGGTTAGCAGTAATCTTAAACATCTTGCCGAAGTTTTAGGGTCTGTCGTCTGCGAACAACGGCCAATTGCCCTGACAGCCTCTTTAACGAGCCCCGGATCCAGGCTTCCAGAGTGCGAGAAATGACTGAGCTCGGCGAGCACTAGGCTTTGGAGCCGCGGAGCCGCATGTGGGAATATCAGAGTGAGGAGTTCTAATTTGAGGCGCCATATATGCGGAGGGTCAGTCGATCGAACGAGGAAATGCGTATAGTGGTTTACGAAGGATTGTGGGTACAGCAAGCACACTTGAACGATGTTGTAGAGCGCAACGTGCTGTATATCTCCTGCGGTCCGCAAAAGGGAGATTAGCGGCCCTATCGCAAGAGACATATAGGTCGGTGTTCCAAGATATAGGTACGTTCTCGCGACCGCGATAACTACAGCCGAGTTCCGCGACTGGAGGAGTAGCTTGCATGCATTTAACAACAGCTCCAGATCCGGGTCCAGAACCGCGATTTCCTCGTACTCTGGCTCTTCAGATTCCTCCGAGTCACTTTCCTCCTCGTAGAATCCCTTCGTCCCCTTGTGTTTCGCGCCTGAATTCATATCCAAGGGCTTTTTGATCTTCCTCGTTCGCCTCGGGAAGCACTTCCTCCCATATTTGACCATCAGTCGCAACGTCGCCAACTGACCCCACTCGTCCATGTCAGCCAGCTTGCGCACCAGCGATCGGTAATGCGGATGAATCAAATCCAGACGGTTCGGACACATTTCCAGAAACGCAGCAACAGCAGCGCCTGCCACGAAGAATTGCTTATCGCCTAATAGCGTCGAAAGATAGTCGAGAAGCTGCGGCTCAGTATTCGGGTCCAGCTGATAGCACTTAGGTATAGCGAGCGCCGCGGCTTTCCTCACATATGGCGACATATCTCCCACGCCGCGTTTTATGCCCAAGCTCACGATCTGGCTTATCACGGGCACCCGTATCCCAGACATGACTCGCAGCGCCAGGGCGCGTAGTTGGGGGTTCTGGTCTGTGAGAGACCTCTGGATTGTGTTTATAGAGAGCAGGGCGGTGTCCGGTTCGTGCTCGGCGTGCTGGAGGAGGTATATGTATACAAGCTTCTTGACCTGAAGGGACGGAGAGGCGATGTTTTTGATCACATGGGTGAAGAAGGGTAGGGTCTGCGAGGGAGGCTGTCGGTAGGACATCTACACAAGACAAATCAGCTACTGTCCACTTCCACCTACTACCCCGATGCGTGCGATTAACGCCATTGGAGCTCTCCAAATTCGGGGGAGCAGCCTACCGTAACAACTCGCCGTAGTCCCTCCAGGACATCCCGCTCGGAGCGGCTGTCCAGCAGCTTCTTGAGCTGGCCCGAGGGCAGCATCTTGGTCGACGTCTTGCCGCGCGCATTGGCAGCATCGCGGGCCGCTTCAAGCGTCAAGTCGCGGGCTGTAGAAAGAGACCAGTGAGCAAAGTTGGACGGGTGCATCGCCGTGCCTCAGCAAACGCCCGGGGTCGCCTGCGTCTTCGCAGACTGGGAGAGTAGACGGACGCACCGATGCGGGAGATGGACTCCATGGCTGCGACGTCGACGGCAGCGGCTGCCGAGGCGCAGGGGATTAGAGTTTGCGCTGCGGGCCGTCTAGAGCGCGGGCGATTATGCAGACGGGCAACGGAGTGGTGGTGAATGTGCGTGGGCGTGCATATGCCACGGGCGTGCGGCCGTGTTGCGTCGACGATGGTGGGGCAGCTAACTGCCAGGACGGGGAAGCGGCGGCCGCGCCCGCAAACGACTCCAACGACGAAGCTCGGCACCCGTCCGATGCTGGGACCCCTGCGACTGTCTTGTTACTCAGACATCCGCTTCGAGAGAGGGGAGCAAGGCATGACGACGAGGCAGCGGAGAGAGGAGATATGGGCGCGCCGCCGACCGTCATATACCCGCTAACCCTGCCCCGACTTCTCCAGCACATGCTCGCCACGCAATCAGACACTCTATCTACGACCCTAATCATCTGCTCGAGCAGAGACGCCTTCCTCCAGTCTCTCGTGAGCGCAGTCCGGCAGCAGGAAAGCCAGGACCAAACACGGAACAGCCTCCTCCGCCTAGCCACGCCCACGCTGCACAACCTCTTCATTGCACGACACGTCAAAGTCGTCTTCTGCGCATCCGTGCAGACACTGCTAGCCTATCTGACGTCTCTCAAGCGTTCAGCCGCGCCAAGTGTAGAAAGGGCTGCCCGTAGCGAGCGGGAAGCGAACCCGGCAAGAATTGTGCTGGTCAACCCACTTAGTCTGCAGGCTGCCACTCCTTCTTTCTCCGCCCAGGGCTTGTCGAGGACATTCGCGGCCGCGGTCGAGACGAGCTTGAGGGTGGATGCGGTGCTTGTGGTTGCCGAGTGCCAGGGCGCCTGGACGCAGCCGAATCCCTTGCTCGAGAATGGTAATGATGAAAACGACAAGGATGAAAGTAGCGAGGCTGGGGAGAGGGAAAGCACTGTACTGGATCCATGGGAGCAGGATGTGTCCATACTAAATGTGTCGGCGAAAAAGTTTGGCTCGGGGGCCAATGATCGTGCTTGGGCGGGGAGGACGGTGAAGATCAAGAGAATCGCAGCGAGATGGTTCCGCTTCCACAGGCTCGACGACCTGGAACCATGAGCGGGGCATGATTCAGCGCCTAGACGATTCCCAGAGAAGAGCAGTGCTCCAGTCTGGTCGCGTGACCGCACGTTCACCAAGGCAAGCACGCACCAGCACATTTTCAGACCCCTGCAGTTCCAAAGTGGTAAAATTTTGTCATGTGTATCGTCAGCCACAAGGCTTATTGTGTCGAGGTAAGCCGACTTCGCTCCGTCCATGCAAAGAGATGGTCTTCTCATCATATCACGCAGAAATGCCCAGCTGTGCCATATCTCCTCCCTCGCGCCAAGCCACCGCTCACCAGTCCTTCTTGATGTCAAAAGACCACTCGAACTGCAGATGGGTCTGGTTGTCGTCGTCGACGAACTTGGAGACAGCCTTGTAGTGGCCGCGACCGAGTATGCCGGAGGGCGCAGTCTCGGACTCAACTGTGCCGCATTAGCATCAATCTCCAACTAGAATGAATCAATGGCGCCTTACACTTCTTCTCATACAAAGGCTTGTCCTCCGTGTTGGGTCCATAGCTTCCCTAGATTCTCATCAGCATGGTAGTTCCCAGCATCGGCCCGTTTCCTGCCCACAACTCACCATCATCTCCTGCATCTTGTTGCTCAACGGCCCCTTGCTGACCTTCTGGAGGTACTTCAAGCCTGCGAGGATCTCGTGCTGCACCTTGAACTGCGCCTTCATGCGAAACTGGGCGCCCTCCTTGATTCTGAACGGCTGATCCTTGAGCTTCTCGAGCGCGCCGGGCGTCTTGAGGTCGATGATTATGTCGGGGCGGCCCTCGACCTCGAGGCCGAGAGAGAGGATGATGCACTTGCGCGGGTCGTTGGGGTCGCTGAGGGTCTTGCCGCCGCCGAGGCCGAGCGACTCTTTCCACTTGCGGAGGGACTCATCATTCTGGTCTGTGAGAGGCGTGGGGTGGTCAGCTAGAGTTCTTGTGACGATGCTGGAGAGAGAAGCTGCGAAAAGCGCGGTTGATGGAGAGAAAGAAGGCGCGAGGGAATAGCACACACCCAGCTGCTGGTACTCATCAATGGTCTTCTTCTCGCCGACCTTGAAGCCTTCGGTGGGCTCGGCGTGCAGGTCGTCGTGATCAGTCATGGTGGCGCAGAGTCTCGGGGGTGTCGGTGTGGCTGCTTTGGCAGACGGCAGGTGGCGGGCAGGAGACGTGCAATTGAGCTGTGTTTGTGCGCAGAAAGAGGGGCTGGAGTGAGATTCTGGCCGTCTGGACGTTTTGGTGGGGGCTTCATTCACACCGCCTGAAACAGCCCCGTGCCCCGCTGCTGCCCGCATCGAACCAGTCCCTGGCCACGCCACGCAGGCATGCTGCATTGCATTAGCGCGCAGGGCGCGCTATCTAGACTTCGGCACGGCTCGAGCATCGAGCGCGATTGTAGTCTTGCACGGCGAAGGAGGACGAGCGGACCAGTTGTGTGGAGAAGAGTCTCAGCGCCATTGGCTCAGACACTGGACAGATCTCTCATGGTGGTTACACGGCCATGGATAGTCCACGGGCGTTTGCGGCGTTGTCCTCTGACGATGGCAAACAGAGCGGCAGACAGGTATGACATCAGAAGATATAGACGAAGTGCCGATGAAACTACGGGTTGCCCACTCAGTGACGCTGGAAGAACAACGTTGGCGCTCAGAGAACGATGCTAAGACGTGTGCATGAGGCGCAGACCCACCGGTGCATGTCTTTGTTGTCGTGTATGTATTTCTCGCACCGAGTCCCCGCGAGCAGACCTCCCCTGAGCAATATCTCAAACGCTCAATTGCAACTCGTGTCTGCAACGAAGCATAGCTGCATGTGTTTCCAGGACCACCCCTCTCCGGCGAAGACAGCATGGACGACGTCATGGTGCGACGCTGCAAACCTCGCGAAGCTTTCAATTCAGAGAAGCCAGCTGCGGTGGCATGCAAAGCACGCGGTACACAGCAATTCGATCCTTGTCTCAGCCAGTCGCCCTTCTAGAAGGCAAGCTCAAGAGTCGAGCTCACCAGGGCGACGCACGGTAGCGTTTGCCGCGTTGCTACCACGCTACGCTGTTTTACGCCATGCCAGAATCAACCGCGTCCCTGCCAGCTCAGCACGCTGCGTAGGGAGTCGTCGTCCACCAATCAATACCCTGGGAATATAGAGGCGTCTCGAAGAGGAAATCAGAAATTTTGCCATCGCGTTTTGGTCGGCGGGCTTGGTCAGTCCGGGGAAGAAGGCTTGGCCATTTGCCGGGTCAACGCGCGACCAGTGGTAGTCCACCAGCCCCCCAGAAGACAGGGGACCGCCGCGCGCGAACTCCTCTCTCTGCTCCTGCCCTCTCAACCTCAGCACTCCGACACGAGTCGCACAGCGCATCGCCAGCCAGCTTATTGCGCACTCGCAGCGATCACTTTGTTGTGCTCAGCTGTTTTCATCCTCTTACGCGACCGAGCGCCTTCGTCTGCACCACCAACGTGCCTCATCGCCGCTGTCTACATCTACCATCGCGCTGCGCGCATCGGCTCGACTTTTATCTGTTGTAATCTCGGTTTAATACGTTGAAAATGGTCTCGCGACGCGTGCTCCCCGCGGAGAGGAACCCTCTCGTCGCGCCGGAAAATTCGCCCTCCCGTACGTACACGTTGCGTAATCGCACATTTCGCGCAGCATCACTAACCGCGTCGCAGTCGAGATCCTCGTCGAGCGGCGACGACTGGGCCAGACGCAGCTCAACATTAAGATTCCCAATGTGAGCAACGTCAAGGGCGCGGACAAAGGCACGTTCGACTACGCGCATCTGCGGGTACCCTTACCCAAGGACCTGAGTGGATCCGAGATCTTTGCGCTCAAGAACACGGCCTCGTATCCGGAATCGTACTTTTTGATGGTATGGCGATGAAGAATCCAGTGCGCGGGTATGCACGACTGACGCGACGCGCAGCGACGGAGTAGCGACGGCTACATCAGCGCAACGGGCATGTTCAAGGCTGCCTTCCCTTGGGCGTTGCTCAAGGAAGAAGAGGCCGAGCGCGCCCACCACAAGAAGTTTGAATCCGCGGGCCAGGAGGAGGTCGCGGGCAGTGTGTGGCTTGCGCCCGAAGAAGGTAATTCAACCTCACCAATGACCCGCCAAAGCGTATCACTGACCACCTGCACCCCAGCACTGGCTCTTTCAGAGGAATACGGCATGCGCCGCTGGATAGACGCGCTCCTCGACCCCACTCCCATCGAGAAGGGCAACAAGGATAAGCACACCACGCACATCCAGATGCCGCCCCGCTTCGATCCGAGCGCAGCCTCCGCGTCGTTAGACGCCCCCAAGCTCCGCGCCTCTACACGCGCACGGTCAACGCGCTCAGCGTCTCCCAGCAAAATGGCAACCCCGAGCCGCAAGATCGCCACCCCGCGCAAGCCGCGCGCCAAGAAGGCAACGGAAATGGTACAGACCGAGGAAATGGAGATTGTCGAGACGGTCACAGGCGCGCCAGCCAGCGCCCTGCAAAACGCCATCGAAGACGGAACGGCCGAGTCGGCGCCTGCCGATGGCGAGGCTCAGCACCAGGAGACGGTGCGCATCGAAGTGCAGGAGACGATCGAGCACGACGGCGATGTGGAAACGAAGACCACCAACGTCAAGGTCGATGTACCAGCTGACCACCCCGAGCTCCAGGAACCTGAGGACCCCGCCGAACTCATCAAGCAAGCGCGGGCCATGGTCGAGGAGGCAAACAAGCTCGATGGCGACGCGACCAAAGGTGCCGCATCCAAGCGCAAGGCAGAGGACCTGGCCGAGGACGATGCGGCTGCGCGACCGCAGCGCCCGGCAAAGCTCGCAAGGATGCACTCCACGATAGAGCAAAAGCACGCGAAGGAGAAGGTTACTCGTCGGGCACTCGTCGGTGTCGCCGTCATGGGGGCCATTACGTACGCATTTTTTCCATTTCTATGTATCTTGAGACCCCCATCACTAACTCGTCCCAGGACCGCCGTCAGCTACTTCGCTGGTTTCGCCGCATAGAAGCCCCTGCACGAGGAAATACCTTCTACAGCATCCACTTTTTCACATCTCTGATACCACCCTTTCTCGATCTTGGTTCATGTACGGGCGGAGCTTGGGGATTTTTTTTTTGTTCGACGAGGCGTTTGGGAAGAACTGAGTCGATGGCATTGTCTTATTTGCATGCACCCTCACATTCGCTCGCGAAACGGCTGCTGAGTAGATATTTATAATTCATGTTCCCCGCCTGCATTTTGCGCTCGTTTCAAACCCTCCCAATGTAACACTTACGGATGTATTATGATCATGGGATGATACAGCGGGACGGTGGAGGGTGTGCTTGTGTTAGGTAGCGTAATGAGGCGACTAGGTCGCTTGAGCTCTACAATCTTGAGAACTGGAATCTCGTGCGGCCTTTATTACAATTAAAATGAACTCTGTTGAACCAAATTTAGATTTGATCTTTATCCATTTATTTACGTTGTACGAGCACATGCGAACGACTCTGCAAGGCGCTACCTCGGGTCGGTACCTCCGCCATGGTGATGATGATGCAACCCCTCCCGCTTCCCCAGAGTCGTCGGCTACATGCCTTATAGCCGAACGACCTCACAACTCCGACGTCGTACAAAACCACAGCGAGAGCCTAGCCTGCAAAACGAATTGACACCGCCTCGCCCGTCTGATTCACCATCTGAAGTGACTATAAAGACCAATTGAAGAGCTATTTGACGGGAAGTCAATCATCGCAAGGATTGAATCGGATCGTGTGAGGAGGGACAGGTTCGAGTGGTGGCGTCATGCATCGCACGCGCTGCCTACGCCCGCGTGGGTTCGCATACCCCGCAATTGGCAGAAGAGCTTTTTCAAGGAGTCTGAGGAGAGAGGGGTACGATGATACGATCCAGAATCTCAAGATTGGAAAGCATACGCGGGTCATCTTCCAAGGCTTCACTGGCAAACAAGCCACCGCCAACGCGCAAGAGTCCATAGCATGGGGCACCAACGTCGTCGGCGGGACAAACCCGAAAAAGGCAGGTACAGAACACCTCGGCCTGCCCGTTTTTGCAAGCGTACGGGACGCGATGAGGGAAGTCAAGCCTGACGCGACGGGGATTTACGTTGCGGCGCCGCAGGCAGCGGCCGCGATCGAAGAGGCGATTGAGGCAGAGGTGGGACTTATTGTGGCGGTTGCGGAACATATCCCGCTGCATGATATCATGAGAGTCAGTTTTGCCCTACCTATGCTTTGGCTTCAACGAAAATTTGGGAATAGTGGCTAAGTGATGCTCGCAGATCCACTCCATGCTGCAAACGCAGTCCAAGTCGCGCCTCGTCGGCGCAAACGCCCCAGGCATCATCTCTGCCATTGGCAAATGCCGTATCGGCTTCCAGCCCCTTCCTACCTTCTCCCCCGGCCACGTCGGCATCGTCGCAAAGTCTGGAACGCTGTCGTATGAGACCGTGGCGAGCTTGACGCGAGAGGGTCTCGGGCAGAGTCTGTGCATCGGCATGGGCGGCGATGTGATTGCGGGGACGAACCACGTGGATGCGCTGAAAGTTTTTGAACACGATCAAGATACCGAGGCTATCATTCTTGTGGGCGAGCTGGGTGGGACGAGTGAGGAGGAGGCTGCGGAGTGGATCAGAGATTATAGGAAGAGAGTAAAGAACCCGAAGCCGATTGCTGCACTTGTTGGAGGGTTCCAGGCGGCGCCGGGCCGAATCATGGGACACGCAGGTGCGTGGACGGGAATTGGGGAGGGTACGGCGGAGAGCAAGTACAAGGCGTTGGAGAGAGCAGGCGTGACGATGGTAGATCATCCGGCGAAGTTTGGGGGGGTTGTGAAGGGGCTTTTGGCAGAGCATGGAAAGAGACCCGGAGGGGCATCCATCTCGCCATCAAAACAGAAGAGCAAAGGCCGAGGTATTCACACTGACGCCCGAAAACCCGCCAATGTCTTGCAGTCCCTCAACACCAGAGGCTCTCATCCCGCATCGACACCGCAGAAGCGCGGCCTCCACATCAACGCCCAGCAGTCCGCCGACCTCCTCCGCTCCTACAACATCGACCTCTCTCCTTCCCCGTCCTCGAGCCCAGAGTCAAACCACTTCGTCGGCATAACGGTTGCCCGCTCCGCCCGCTCCCCCGCCATAATCGCCGCCCCGACGGCCCTCCAAGCCCAACTCCCCTCCCGCGTGCGCCGCTTCCCCTTCGACTACCGCATCGGCCCATCCGCAGCCACCATCAACGACGCCATTGCGTACCTCCAGCTTGATGCCGCGCCGCCAAAAGCGAAAGCCCAGGCGACAGAGGTGATTTCTAATCTCTGGAAGCTGTATAGAGAGAAGGAGGCTATCACGACTACGGTATCGCTGTCCATTCCTGAAGATAGAGACGTAATAGAGGTGTACGACCCGTACCTCTTCTTCGACGACGCGGCATTCAAGTCGAATGGCAGGCAGGCGGACTTGCACGCGCTGCGGTCCTCCTCTACTCTGAGCGAAACAGACAAAGAAGCCGAAGAAGCCGGCATCGTATACATCCCCTTGGCCTCCCCAACAGTCCCGGACGCGGAATCCTCACCAGAACCCAGAAATCTGGTGGGCACGCTCGTCAACGGCGCCGGCCTCGCCATGAACACAAACGACGTTCTCTCCCTGCGCCTCAGCGCCGGCCACCCCACCCCCATCCCCATCTCCTCCCCTTATGCCCCCACATCCTCCGCCAATTTCCTCGATACAGGTGGCAAAGCGACCTCCCACACCATCTCTACGTCGTTCAAACTGATCCTGTCCGACCCACGCGTCGGCGTCGTGTTCGTGAATATCTTCGGCGGGCTGACGCTGTGCGATATGATTGCGGAGGGCATCATTATGGCGTTTAAGGATGTTGGGATTCGGAAGCCGGTGGTGGTTAGGCTGAGGGGCACGAATGAGGAGAAGGGGCAGCAGGTGCTTGCGCAGGCAGGGTTGCCTATTAGCGCGTTTGATGATTTCGAAGAGGCGGTTGGGGAGGTGGGGAGGCTGGCGGGGGAGATTAACGAGCGTAGTTGAGAGGGTGCGCTCGGGAGGGTGCGGGGAGATGGAAGTGGAAGTGGAAGTGGAAGTGGTTGTATTCGCGTGGTGTGCGGTATGGCTGCGGCCTGATTGGCTTCTGAAAGTGTGTATGGGGGAGGTATTTGGATGGCTTCGTTTGGGCACGAGCCTGATGGTAAGAAGAAGCAGGAGACCCCTTTGGGGGAAGGTATCACTGACTGATTTACTGCAATGTTTGAGCATAGAAGATGCTGAATACCTCTCGCCTGTCACCTCGATGCCCAGTCCTCGTCTAATTTCATCAATTCCCACACCGTCATCTAAGCGCACGTATCCTGGCCTGGTCCTGTCAAGACGACTTTTTGGGATTGAGATTGATCAGAAAATCTCATTGTTCACACCGCCTGCCTCCAAAATTTCGTCCCTTTGCAATTTCCAACAACGGACCCAAACTCCTTAGCATGCACTCGCTCCAACTCGCTCCAAATATCGTCTTCAGAGCACTAAGATCAGCCTTGCACAAAAGAATTCTATCGCACACTGTGCCGAGCATTTTTCACCTTCTCAAATCTTGGTATCCAATACGTGACCATACTCACCAGACTAGTCTTGGCTGTTCCACACTTTGCTATCACTAGGCCCTTGTCAAACTCTTGTCTTTTAGCCATGATGTCCAAGGTAAGCTTGTATGTCCGCAATCTTCTTCTCGGCAGCATCCGCTCTCGCTGTTTGCTCGTGCAGTTGCTTCTCAAGCTCCTTCTCTTTCACGTGTTGCTTGTTCGTAGCCTCGAATGCTGCCCTTGCTCTCTGGTCCGCCTGGTCTGTGTTTTTTTGCGCTCTTTGAAAACGCCGTTTAAAGACATCGTGCATTTTGGCAATCTTGCATGTTGTCGTTGTCCGGCTTGTCGTGCGTCGCGGTGATTTTCTCTCGCTCGAGTTCCCTATTCCTCGTTTCTAACTTTGCGTTCTCCGTCCGAAGAGCAGCGATCAACATCGTGTCCTTTGCGCGAGTCTCAGTCAGGCTGAATTTGAGCCTCTTGTTGCCATTTTCGAGTGAACTACATGCAACGTTGATGTTTGGCAACATATCATCGACGCTCGATTGATCGCAGAGTAAGTGCCGCTTAGCTGCTTGTGGTCGGGCTCGGGCGCTGGGGCGTATTGGGGAGCTGGCGATGGCTGGTGTATGATGAGAAAGTGAGTTTTGATAGGAGGGTATAATCTAAGGTACCCACAAGATGAGGTGCCCATGCACATGGTATCGTCAGACCTAAAACCGCCTAGATCTTCAAGCTTGGCGAAGACAGATCCAGCTTCGGGAAGATTGTCATCGCTCGCAACCTCAGCCGATTGGTTTTGGAGATCTGAAGGCAGTCGATCGGACTCTGGGTGCGGATCCTCTATGACGGGCCATCCATGCTCGATATACAAACACGCTTCCTCAAACTTTTCCACGAAGGATTCCTCGGCACTGAATTGGGAAACATGTCCAGCGGCGACGAAGTAGTAAGATACCAGAGTTCCGAGCCTAGTCAGTGTGGCCCGCTCCGATCCGTGTGCGATAAAGCAGAGTGGTTCCTCGACGTCAACTTTTTTCATATCGGCCGGAAAGACCCTCCTGTAGCGCCTCGGGGTGAGGTGAGATTCCTCTCGGATGTAACCCACTTGGCTGTAATGCGAACCGTGGAGGAAAGCGTAGACACGGTCCGGGGGGTCGCATGGGATGCCGTCCCAAAGTCCGATGCACATCAGCTTCTTCAATGCGTTTGTGGGTAGCCGGAAGGGAGAGATTTCCATCATCTCCTCGTCCAATTTCACAAACACGATTTCATCGACACTAGGCAATCCTGCGAACGCGTTTGGGAACGTTGCGCCCGCCCAGTCTCGGATCGCAGTCAGACTCCACTGCTTAAACGGAGACCATTCGTCGTCCATAGCGGCTGAAGATTATACCTCAAATGACATTAGCGCACGTCATGAGGTGAGCATTTCCAAGAGCTCAGAGCTCAGTTTACCTTGACAACACTGAGACGCAACGTGGCAAAAGCTGTATCTTGAAAATGGCAATTGGCGCGATATTGTTGTTGACAGCGTAAGGTCAGAAGCCGACGCGAAAATCGTCTATGTTGTGCAACCGGAGCGCTTCCTGATAGCGAAGGAGCTGCACGTGAAGAGGTGAAGATTGGAGCAAGGCAATGGAATTGTGCTTGGCTGAGTGGGTCTGAAAGATATTATATTATTCATTATTTATTGGGAACATAAACAATGATCCCTAAGTGTTCTTAGGCCGTTGGAAAGCCGGGTAGCCGCATTTCTCACTCGCTCGCTGGCTGAGAATTGCAGGTTTTTCTCAATTGGTCTTTTTGTTTTTGCTCATTAGAGCAACCCAAAGGTCCGGGTTTTCCAATGCACGTACGTGTGGACGGCGTCTCAATAGCCGTGAGCGTTCTTCAGTTTCCAAAGCTCCAGCTTCACGGTGCTAAGCTCGAGCTCCAAACGTTCTCTCGCAGCCAACTGCTGGTTCGCGATATCCGTCTCCTTCCTCAGCAGAGACTTTTCTTCCTTGGCTTCAATTGCTGCAATCATTTCCCTCTTCTCCGCATCAGCACGCGCGCCTTTCTTGATGGCCAACTCTTCCCTAAGCCTCGTCTTCTCTTCTTGCAGCTCGCTTTGGAGCCGGGTGCTCTCTCCTTCAAGTTTCTTCTCAGTCGCCAGTCGTTAATTCTCGACCTGAGGCTCTCCGATCTCGATCTTCAGGCGCTTGTTGATCTGGTACAGTGCGTCTTATGCATCATCTATCTTACGATGAAGGCGCTTGAGCTTGGATACTGGTGGATACGACATGCTATTGTCTTGCGTATCTGGGGCATTGATGGCGACTGCTCATTAGCATTGGGTATCTGACGCTGTAGAAAGTGCCAAGCACGTATTTGAGGAGCACCGATCTTCCCGTGTCCCTTGGCTTTGATCTCAACGGCCTTAGGAGACATAGCCGATTCATGACCACCTTGATGCAAACCAGTACTAGGAGGTAGAGGTTGGGTCTTCTCCGACTTTGAATTGTGCTGCGGTTCTTCTTCCTCATCGTTGCGTAAGCCGCCTGGAAGTCGGATTCGAAGTTCTCGTAGTGGTTGATCTTGTACACGCCCCCTGCGCGAGGAAGTACCAGCATACCAAAGCTTTGATCAAGCGACAGCTTGAGTGACTAGACGTCATCTTGCGAAATGGTACTTTTCATTCAATGTTGTCGCGGTCAGTAGAAGCATATTATCCGAGACCACCTATATATACGTGTGGGACAGAGAGAAACTATTCGCCCTACAACGTCGGATTCCCATCGCCTATGCAGGCAAACGCATCCAGGGTACGGTCATAGCTCGAGAGTTGTTTGAGTTTGCTGACACGAAATAGGTACGGAGAAGGTCGTTGGAGCTTGTTAAGAGCATTGCAATTGCCTCTCCTGCCGTTGTCCAGGTGATCGTAAGGTAAGCGTCATGACACCTGGAAGAGCTGCGAAGTCTTCGGGAAACTTATTTCTTGCCCATTTTGTTATTTCTAGACGGCTTCGCACTGGCAAGGATGGCTATCAAGCCAGCATTAGTACTGAGGTCGCCGGCTGTTCACGATTGAAGTAGGGCTATACTCACCCGAGCCACTTCCATAGTGGAGACCATACCGAGATTAATGCCTTGTTGGGCTGTCGAGGAAGATGAGTCCACCTCCATAGCGGAGCCCATACCAAGATCCATGCACGGTCGAGCTGTTGGCGAGACAATCTGAGGGAGAAAGTTTGTGTACTGGAGATCGATTGGGTGCGGACTTTGATATAGCAAAACCCTCGTAGGCTTGACTCTCGCAGTGAAGAAAGACAGTAAGATTGAGTGATGAAAGCTCCTGGTGAGAGATTGAGCTTGAAGATTGCACCCAAAGAGCGAGTCAGCTCAACAAGGTAAGAGAGGATAACGACTTTTATAGAAAGGTTCGTGAGATTATTCGAGCCAGTCATCGTGATACTCTAAATAGACCGCATACCTCTCACCACACCCTAGTTCAACCCCTCCGCCTTAAGCACTGCCTGAGCAGACGGCCTCTCCTCCACCGCCTTAGCGATCCTAGCATAATTCGGGTATTCCTTCTCCATATCCAATTGCACCGGCCCCGCACCCCACCGATAGAAAACATACAGATACGCATCCACCGCCGTGAAATTCTGACCAACCGCCCACTCCTTCCCCTCTAACTTCTGATCGATGAATTTGTAGATGTCCTGAATCGTCATTTTCGCCTTGGCCAGCACATGTTTGTCAAGGCTCCCATCCTCGACATCTACGAACCTCTGCGGGCGGTAGAACATGCCATAAGCCGCGCTGTGCAGCGTGCCGGACAGGTAGTTGAGCCATTCGTACACGCGAACGGTCTCTAGGGGCGTGTTTCCGAAGAATTTCTTCGACGGCGCGAGCTGCGAGATGTAGGTGAAGATGGCGGGGTTCTCAGTGACGACCTCATTGTCGAAGGTGGCAACGGGGACCTTGGCTTTGGGGTTGAGCTTCTTTAGTTCGTCGGGGTAGCCGCCATTCTTGATGAGCTCCTCTTTCTTATAGATTGTTGTGGTAAAGTCGAGGCCGGACTCGTGGAGGAGGATGTGTGGGGCGACAGAGCAGGCGCCGGTGAGGGCATAGAGGTGGATCTTGGGGGTAGACATGGTGAATTGTGAAGCTGGGTAGATTCCAGGGTTGATAGCTGAGGAGATGGAATGCAATGGGTTCTGTAGCATTCGGGTGATGTGTGCATTCCTATTTGTATGAGAGTCCTGTGTATGCAATACGACTAGCGTCCCACTGTACGTAGGTAGCGTGCTGCAATACTTGTGGGGTGTTTACAAATGCAACGGCGTACAGAACACATTGCGAAAAGTCACTCGTCCGTGGCCGTAAGAATTTACGACTATGCGAAGACTAAAGTTCCAAGTGTCAGCAAAGGATTGGGCTAGCGGTGTGCAAGGTCTCATTACGTCGTTGTTTACATGGAGGCCAAAGCCCCGCCCCAAGCCGACAATACCGCATGCGATGCAGGAACCAAATGTTCCTGGTAGTTTTCGAAAGCATTGAATATCTGCTAGACACCGCGGAGATTTTTGATGCATACATACCATCTCGGGTTCAAGGGGAGGTAATTTGTATATCCGTTTGCCGGGGCCGCGGACTTCCCGCCCCGGATCGCGGGATTGGTTCCGCGGGTTACAAATAGCTCACCGGATACCATGCTGGCTCCTCCCATTGCTTAATTCATTTCAACACAGTCACACAAGCTGAGGCAGGATATCCCTATATTCGAAGGCGGTGTGTGCACCTATCAGCTTAGAAATCAATGGCGGCTGTCTAAGCCTCATTGTGATGGTGGTGCGGCAGTCGACTCTAACGTTGCGATTAGAATTGCTTGTGGCAGGGTCTTGCATTCTAGCGCCCATGCAGTAGGAGGACGCGCCTGGGATATTTCAAAAATGAAATATCGATCTGATTCACTTATTGAGATTTATACAATCTGCACATAAGAGACATAACTGAGCAGTGAGATACAAGAACCCTTCGAAGTACCCGGTAACAATCCATCCATCCAGTTCCAAGGACAATCTAGTGGAAAGTCCGGAGGAACTCTTCGACAGCCACGGTTGCAGCTCCAACTCCAACAACAGTCCAAAGCCACCTGTTCGTGAGCTCCTTTGTCTGCGGCCAAAACGCATTCTTCTCCTCGCGGAACTTCTGCAGCTCAGCAAACTTGGCAGGGTGCGATTCGGAGTAGCGGCGCGTTTGATATGTCTCCTTTTGCGCGTCGCCGCCAAAGTATCGCAGGAAAACGTAGTTCGCGAGCGGGCCCAGCAGCTCGACGGGAGCAAGCATGTCAGAACCGTAAAGCAGAACGATGAAGGAAAGGTGGACGAAAGCATCGCCGAGATAGCTGCGAAAGAAGTTAATTTCTGTCGTGACGGGTTGGTAGATGACTCACTTCGGGTGGCGCACGATGCTCCATACGCCTTCTTTCAAGATACCAGTACCACCTTCGGCCTTGTACTGATCCAGCTGGTAATCAGCCAACGTCTCCATGGCGAAGCCAGTGGAGAAGAGGCCCACGGCAGCCATCTGCACGATGGGATGGTAGCCCATCAGAACTGCTCCTTCGTGTCGGAAAGGTGCAGTGAATGGCAGAGAAATAAGCATTTGGAAGAAAGCCTCGGGGAGGAACGTGGTAAAAAGTGACTTGATCCAGAAGTCTTGGTCACGCTTGACTTGAGCGTATCTAGGGTCATCTTCTCCTCGTTGGATCGATCGACGTGCGATGCGGTAGAATAGCCTGCCGCCCCATAGTGTGACGCCAGTCAACACGAGTCGCTCATGCCACGAGAGGCGATGCAAAGCTTGCGACAACGTGAGTCCCTGGTACAGGCGACGTCCGACGGCAGACCACCAAGCATTGACAACCTGTCCGCTGGGCCACAGCCAGTCCTTTGCTTCAACGCGTCCTGTGTAGTTTGCAGCACCCCATGCAATTATAGCTAATCCTGAATGCAGTCCCAGACTCGGTGCCAGCGTATCTCTCAAGATGCCAACATCGAAAAGCGAGGCATTCTGCACATGATTGAGCGAATGTGTGTGGTCCACGGTTGCCGCTGGCGGCGCGTGTGGTAGCGTGCTCTTGTTAGAGCTAGGTAAATAGAAGTTGTTTGGCTCGCGATCCGCGATCCGAATCTGTACGTCCGGCGAGCGTGCAGGCTCGCTGCCTTTGCTAAACCATCCGGAAGACATTGTGGAGGTCGGAAGGAGAAAGTAACTTGTGTCGCGCCAGCATTCGACATGTGAGAGGCTTTAAGGAACTGTAGCTGGGCTTCCCCGCACTTGACGCATGATGCAACTTGGTGGATCGACGCGGCCCCACTTACCCCGGATATTCATCTACTCGCTTAATCCTGCCATACAAGTATGGTACGTAAATAGAGGCCATTCACATGCTGCGTATTACCCAACTTCCAGAAGATGGTCGAACGTCGGTTTGTGATAGACTAATGGCTCAAGTATTGTTCTACTTGACAGATATCACGTTAACGTTCTGCTGTATCCAGAAACGTGCTTGCTCGGAGGTCGCGTGTGCTATTGCCCTGCAAGCAATCCGGGAAAGAACTCCTTGCTTAGACGGTATGTGGTTTTATCATGTGTGGGCTTCCATGCAATGGCAGAGTAACCCTTGGGAGAAGGACGCCACCTTCTCAAACTACCAGTACCTTGGTAATGTCTCTTGTCCTATGATACGAAGCGGGCCGTGATACTGTATCTTACGGGGGTTAGAGGTCGCGCATTAGAATTTTTTTATTCAGATATATGTAAAATCTATGTAAAGTTGAGATGCTGAAGACCTACTTAGGTAGCCGGCACAAATCACGTGATTGTACTTGACCCCTGGTGCTCTGACGACTTCGAAACCTCGCAAAGTGTTTGATATTGGCAAATCCAGCTACATGAGCTCGATAGAGACACCGCGATCTACAACACATTGCCAGTGTGGCCTCTTCATGTGGTCGATATATGCGTCAACGATCCTAAGAATGACGTGCTGCGGGCCAATGTATCACGGGCAGCCAGGGCGCCAATCAACGACGTCAGGCACCTGCACAGGTCTTACTGTTATCACCATCCTACAACCGCGACATACGTATTCCGGATGATGCGACGGCTTGCTGACAACTCTCCCAAATACGCTCGACATGTGCGTAGAGCAAGGAGACACCACAGTGGCTGTGGTGGTAAGCCATTCTTCCGAAACTCTCTGGATTCTGCTTTGACTTACCCAACGGAACTTGTTGATTTTTTAATTTGCTTCGTCTTCTCTGAAACATAATTAAAAGGGAACATGGCCACCGACGTACTGGAAGACCGCCCTTTGCTTGAACGCTCTCCTTCATTTACTGGAAGCTCAAAGACGCTGAACGACAGCGATGAAGAATCTTATGGATCGATCGCGCATGGTACAACGCGTACTATCGAAGACGATGTCCTCCCGGAAACCTCGACATTAGGGCGAACCATCAGTTGGCCAAGTGCCTATATCATAGTCATCTCTCGAGTTATCGGAAGCGGGATATTTGCGACACCGGGAGTTATCGTCAAGTCGGTCGGAAGTGTAGGGCTCAGTTTGTCTCTATGGGTTCTGGGTGCCATTATTGCGGCTTGTTCCTTGGCTGTGACGCTGGAGTATGGATGCATGCTGCCTCGCTCAGGTGGTGAAAAAGGTCAGTCTCAAAACTGAAACCAAACCCGCATTTCTTCCTGTCGTGTCAACCATATCCCACTGTAACGCTTGACGGCTTGGCATGACTGACACTCTTTCAGTCTATCTCGAGTTTACATACCGTAAACCCAGATTTCTTGCATCCACCCTAGTCGCTGTGCAAGCGGTACTGCTGGGCTTCACGGCAAGCAACTGCATAATATTCGCGCAGTATTCCCTCTTCGCATTCGATATTGAGGCGACAGATTTTCGACGCAAGTCCCTTGCCGTGGGTCTGCTTACTGCGATTACAATCGTTCACGGATGCTTCCTTCGCACTGGAATATGGATACAAAACGTTCTAGGTTGGATCAAAGTAGGGCTGGTTATATTCATGGTTTTGGCTGGACTGTTCGTTGTCGCTTTCCGGGAGCGCAACACTGACGGCACCAAAAGTCATTTCCCGACTGGAGATCAACTGTGGGAAGACACAAATTGGGACTGGGGAATCATCGCTACCTCGCTTTTCAAGGTGTTCTACTCGTACGCTGGGCTTGGAAACATCAACAACGTCCTCAATGAAGTCAAGAACCCGATTCGAACACTTAAATCGGTCTCTATCACTTCGCTAGCCACCGCCTGCATCCTGTATCTGCTCGTCAACATCGCGTACTTCACGGTTGTCCCTCTAGAAGAGATCAGACAGAGCAAAGAGCTCATCGCAGCATTGTTTTTTGAGAAGAGTTTCGGGCCAAGTTGGGGCAAGACAGTGCTCCCGCTCGCTGTAGCACTGTCGGGGGCCGGCAATGTCATGGTGGTGACATTTGCTTTGGTGCGTAAACGGCACCCTGAACATCGTGCTGAGCTAACATTTCCCAGGCTCGACTGAACCAGGAAATCGCACGACAAGGCTTCCTCCCTTTTTCAAATATTCTCGCATCCACCGAACCCTTCAATGCGCCCATGGGTGCTCTCATAGTGCACTACATTCCTTCGCTCTTGGTGATTGCACTGCCTCCTTCCAATGAAGTCTATTCGTTCATACTAGAAGTGGAGGGCTACCCAGGAACCATATTCGCACTGGCGCTCTCTATCGGGCTATTGTACTTACGACAGAAACGTCCAGACCTCAAGCGACCATTCAGAGCCTGGAAAATCGCTCCTGTATTCAGGATTATACTCTCTTTAGCATTGCTGGCCGCACCTTTCTTTCCCCCAAAAGAGAAGCCCACTGGTGGAATTTGGTATGCTACATACGCAGTTGTTGGTGTTAGCATGTGAGTTCTTCCCTATTCTTCCCAACACACCACTAATAAGTCAATAGCATTCTGTCTGGAGTTGTCTACTGGTACGTGTGGACTGTGCTTATCCCTAAATGGAAAGGGTACAGGCTGGAGGAAGAAACGAGCGTTCTGGCGGACGGAACGAGCGTCACCACACTCATACACGTGCCGAAATAGATCAGCAATGTTGCAAGCATCGTAGCGCGATTCCATAGTATCTTTCGTTGCAGCATCACATCTTAGCGAGCATCACACCGCTGGAATTGCGCTTGATTGACATAGACCCTTGATTAGCAATCATTAGGATCATAAACGTCTCATTCTGTTAGTGTACACTCTAGCTACCGAGGATTGCGTGTTCTCACGAAACCGCTCGTCTCCTATCACGATACTACCTGCACCGCAACAATTTATCAGCAACCGCACCATCTGATGCGCATTATCGATAAATATCCACACAACATGTAGTATGAGCCTATCGTTTTCACCGACGGCTGCGGTGGAGCTTTGAAATACAATCACCTATTCGTCCAACAGATTGCGTGCTTGCGGGGAGCGTCAGAATACCTCGGAAGCTTACATATTGTGCAGTGTTCCACGTCAGAACCGCGACATCGCCCGAAGATATAAACACTCATGGAACAATACGAGCAGCATCTACACTTTTCTTTTTTCAGTACATCAATATACCGCATCCATACCACGTGCATCTTGAGATACTGAATTCATCACACACACCATGGCCACCGCCGCCGTCCAACACGCCCAGTCCACGCCCTCTTTTGCACACCAGATCATCAACAAACCCACAGCAAGCTCGGCGAGCAGGCCGCAGGATGTAGACACCGTGCTGCACTACTTTAGGCCTAACGCCGACGGCTCGCCACCACATCCGACTTACGTCGATAAACCAGAGACATACCACCGGGAGCCTGAATCGCACAACGTCACCGTTCGAGATGTTCGCGGGAAGGAAGACCAGTTCTCGCTGGACAAGAACGGATTCCAGTTCTACAAGCACGTGAGCAAGGAGAAGGACTTCTTAGACGATGAGAAGATCAAGGCGGAGTATTATCCGGAGACAGAGCAGTTGTTAAAGGACGCGTGAGTACTCTTCTCACTCATCCCCTCGGACACTGCAACTCGTACTACCATCCGAAATCGGGCAGCTAATAACGCGACACTAGCACCGGCGCCTCCCGCATACATATCTTCGACCACACCATCCGCCGGCAGCCCCCCAACCGTGAAACCATAACCCCGGATCGCAAACTCCGCGGCCCTGTCCAACGCGTGCACATCGACCAGTCCTACGCCGCCGCCAAGTCCCGCGTCCCCTTCCACCTCCCTGCTGACGCAGAGCACCTTCTGAAACACCGCGTCCAGATCATCAACGTGTGGCGCCCCATCAAACCCGTGCAGCGGGACCCGCTCGCCGTCGCGGAGGCGAATAGCGTCAGCGACGAGGGACTGGTGGTAACGAAGCTGATTTATCCGAACCGGGAGGGGGAGACGTATGCGGTGAAGTACGATGCTGGGCATCGGTGAGTTTGCTCCTTGTACCTGCGACTTTGTGGCTAGTGGAATAGGATGCTGATGAGTGAATGCAGGTGGTACTACAAGTCTGGGCTTGGACCCGAGGAGGTTATACTGATCAAGTGCTTCGACTCCAAGCTTGATGGAAGGGCGCGTAGAGTGCCGCATACGGCGTTTGAGATCCCGGGGACGGAGGACAAGGAGGGGAGGGAGAGTATTGAGGTGCGGTGTTTGGTGTTCCATGAGGATGATACGTTGGAGTAGGCCTGCGTCGGTACACAGCACAAATTGCATGCTTTGAATGTTTTGGTAGTATCTCCAGAAGTAGTCGTAATTTAATCTGTGGAGTGTAGACCCATATGTGATGCTGGACTAAGCTAGGCCTGTAATTTTGTGAGCGAGTCAGCTGTGGCGAGTAGTAGCAGCTGCGTGTTGTGCGGTACAAGCCGCAGTCAGGAATTTCGTACTAAACATGTAAGAGATCCACTGTGCTTGTAAGCTACTGGATGGTGTGCATGCAGGTGCCCCACCTAGTCGTGGGTGAGAAGAAAAGCCAAGAACTTCCACGAGTGAATCAACCCTGGTCACGAAGGCGAGAACTTGTACACGCGAACAACCGAAGATGCAAAGCAAAACGATTTTGAGTTAGTCCGGCTCTTTAAGCCATTTTTCGTCTTCTCTGTCGCGAGCCTTTTGAACACATAATAGTACAGAGGTATCTGAAAACGAACTGATGTGTATCGAAAGAAGAGAAACAGGTGGTAGTACAATAGATAAAGTAGAGACCCTTTTTATCAATGAAAACAACCGACTGTGGGTATAAACTGAGAACGCCATAGAACCCTGTGAGAACATTGTAACCGTTAATCCTGGCTTGCAGTATTGAGCAGGTCATCCCGCTACCGTCATAGTTCGAAAAGTCCTGTTTGAAAAATTCACGATCTGGCCAGGAATCTTCCTGTCCAAGTCTTCGAGACTCAGATTTCAACAGATGTGGACACGTCGCTACTCTTGCACGGAGGCAGATTCCTGATCATCAATCCCTTCCTCGTGAGCCAAGAGACCATTGCACCAAAGGCAAACTTGTCGCCCAAATCCGGTTTGATTCCGTCCGTCAAGGATCTTGCCACAGGTGCAGCGGAGGTGGGAGCTGCTTCCGACCCCCAGTCCGGCCGCTAGTTCCGGATATTTGAAATAAAATTGAGCTCTGGTGATGCCAGATATATGCAAGCACTCTTTCTGGAAACACTCCACGCATGTCCATTGCCCGAGGACGTGTTCTCGAAGTGTGCACGCACACTTGTGCTGCTGGGGGTGAAAGTCGCCCACTTGCTGCACTTCTCGACAGTCGTCACACATTTTCAGCTTTCGTTCCTCTGTATAATGCCAGAAAGCCTTAATAATAGACGATGGGTGACGAGCGTTGGAGTCATTCGCTAGCCGTAGAGGACCTCGTGCAAGATCAAAATCGAGAATTTCATCGACTGATTCGGGGTTAACGAATTCAGTGGTTATCCATGGAGAATCGAGGAAGCCTTTATCATGGTATGGGACCAGAGTTTTTGGGTTTTCGCCGGGCAACATGAGGTGCGCGGGTGTCAGAATGCCCATGTCGTGGGGAGAAAGAAGGACGAAACCGCTATACGTGGGCAGCTCGTCTGGCTCTTCCTCGGGCTCAACGGTGCTATTGAATACGCAGTGTATGCGACATTCGTCACAGGTATTCAACTGGCACTTGACGCAAGGATGTGTTTCAACGGTTCCCCTCATGGCTCCGCAAATGTCAAAGCCAAGGCACCGAGGGCGTAAGGTGACAGGCGATCTGACATGGTTGATACGTCGGATATGAAGGCCTCTGCCAGCGCAAGGCATCTTGCTGAGTATATTGGGCATACTCGCTTTACCGGAGAATATTGCTTTGTATATAGATTTGGATGCCGCTGCTAAGGAGAACAAGTCTTCAGGTGTAAGATTCGAGACGATGGATACCAAAAGGCCGTACTGTTCAACAACGCGCAGGAGTGGACACGGCTCAGATTCAGACCTTTCGCTGCCTTGTGGCTGGCGACTCTTGCCATGTTTCGCGATTTTGGGGGAGGGGCACGCAGCTGCCAGACTTTGAGACCTCTTTCTTTTCATGGTGGCGAGCCTGCCGCAGAGGGTGACCAGACCAGCAGGTGCCTTTGGTGTAAAAGCAAGCGTCGCTTCTTCGCATCAGACGCTAAAGTAAAGCTCTATGAGCATGCCTATAGCGCACAAGTCGAGAGCTTAGTAAATATTCAGTCTTTGAGAGAACCAAAGTGAGGGACGCGGATGAATAGGCATGTTGGCCAAAGAGTCCGGGATGGGGCAGATGTTGCATTAGGAAAGAAGGCCGCAGTATATCTTAGCGAGGATGTTCTTTTGGTTGCGGTCTGATCACACTCTCGAATAAAAGACCGATTCGTCGGCCATGACCTTCGAAAGTTGATAATGATAGAAGCTCTGTGTCACCGCACGGAGGTACGGAGAAAGCTCGGCAAGCGAGAAAAGCGGAACGGACAGGAACGTCACAACTGCTCAGACTTGAACAGAAACATCTTACTTACGTTGGGAAGTATTCTTGTGTTCAGCTTAAACACTCATAACAAACTCCTCAAAGCGCTTTCTGCGCTGCTGACGCCGGAATCCATGTTGATGTGATCGCGTGTGAGTTGGAAAATTTGAATGTTTCGGGTGATCACGGCAGCCACACTTCGTCACGACGCGGGAGCGATCGGCCGCACGGAAGGATAAGTCGGGTATTTTAACGAGTGTTGACCGAAACAATGACGCCTGCGACTCCTTGCAAGATGAACTTCGAGTTTTTGAAGAGGTTTAGAAATGTTGAAGATGATGAAGAGCAACAACGGCAGGGCGGATGCTCTCCGTAACTTCCCGTTGGACGATGATTCTGGCGCTAAAGTCAAAAGCGGAAGGCCACGTGAAGCGGAAAGCGAACCTCCCTCATGACTTACCGTAGCCTCATTCAGCATCATCGACAAGATCGTCTCCTGTCGCCCGACCGGTGAACTATGCAGCCCCACCGCTTCGAAAGTCGTAGCCCACCTGAGTGGCACGCACCAGCTGCTGTTGGGAAATCTTAAAGAGCTGCTGACCAAGGTCTACGACAGGCCTGAACGATACGCAAACGACACGCATCTCGTCGCGTGGACATACATGCATTCTTTCTCGGACTCAGTATGAAGGCAGGAACCACGATACATTACGCTGATCCGACGACGCCGATGCTTCGCCATCATTTTCTTCATGTGCTTTGGTGGTGAAATTCGCCGTCTCAGTGTCCGTCGACGGGTAGAGATATTCTTTCTGGAGCTCGTAGTACGCTCTTGCAAGCTGGAAGCTGGAGTTGTGGTCCCAGTATTCCTTAAATGGCATGATTTCGATGGACGTGTTAGCTGAGTTGGAAGAGGCATATAGGATCCTGAAAAGCTGCTCTCGCACTTGCTCATCGTGGGGCCTACGTGAGCACTGGGTCAGCTCGAGGACTCGAATGGAGATACAGAAAGACTTACCTTGATCTCCCGCGTACACCCACACACTGTCGACGGAGTCTGGAATAATGAGCGAATTCGTTCATGTTTTCAATGAAACTCTCATAATTGTCACCGCGCGTGCTGGATTCTGAATAAGGCGTGTTACCCCAGACCAGGCAATCAAATTTCCAGAATCCTGGAGTAACACTAGTCAGAAAACTTCAAGCCTCGACTGTGACAGCTACCAAATCTGCGATGATGTGTGATGGGAGACATCCAGACAGCCCGTGCAGACATGCATTCAAGCAAACCGCAATGCCAATTCTTCAGCCAAGCCTCTGGCAGATGTTCCGTCGAGTACGGTCATGATGCGGATAGTAGAACTCCTCAAACGTCACAGCGCCCGTCTGCAATCTTCTTTGCTTTAGCTTCACGCTATGCGCTTCTTGATCTCAGCCTTCGAATTATAGCACTCGCGCCGATGAGCCTCCAAGCGCGACCGCGCATTCTGGATTCGCGAGCCACGCCGTGGCCAGTCACATTTTCACCTACATCGCCGGTCATCGTGCATGCTCTACTTTCCATGAGGTGTGTCGTACCCGGATGAGCAATGTTAGTACCTGACCTGTGCTGTATGGCTATTCGGGTCATGCCACGCTTATACCTAAAACCACTGCACGAATTCCATATTACTGTCCACACTCATACTCAGATATCTCATGCATACGCTCACCTCTAAATGCTATGTGTTGTCCCGCTATCGGCAATAGCCTACCAGAATTCCTGCCGTATCGCTATACGTAATTACCACGCTCACACCGGAAGTATGCCTTGACGGTTCACCTCTCAAACTTATACCCGTATACCTCATTATGCCCACCACATGCCCCCCTATTCTCCATCCAGCTGCTCAAACACTTTCTCCAACTCCTCCATCTTCTCATCCACCGTCTTGCGATGTTTCTCAACCTCCCCCTCCATCTTCGCATACGTCTTCTCCATCTTCTCCAGCTTCTCAATCTGCTCGTCTTTGTTCTTGATCAGCGCGTTCTTCGTCTGCATCTGCACGTCTTTCTCCTTGGTGGTGGCGTCCCTTGCTTTGATAATGTCGTCCTTCACCTTCAGCTCGGCGCGCAGCGTTTGGTTCTCGGATCGGACGCGCTGGTATTCGGCGCCAAATGACTCATTCGCCGTGCGGAGCTGCGCGAGCTCGTTGGGGACGTCTGAAAGGGGGCGAGGTGATTAGTGGATTTGTCGCGAAGCGTGAGAAAGCAGATGCGGGCTTACTGGAATTGGAAGACATGGTGGTGTCCTGCAGGTGTTTGCAAATGTTTCGATTCGGGTGAGTGAAGTGGTTCTCTATGAGCGTTATATAGAGTGAGTGGAGATCGTGACGGTGCAACCGAGAGTTCCTAAAGGCAGAGTCCACCGTGCTGTGCAAAAACGGTGAGGTCACAGCGCGACAGACGCTTCTTTTTGTTAACTACATACAGCCGCCAGAATCAACTCCATCCGTCTTCACTTTTCAAGCAACCTGTGGACCTTGCCTGGCATGTTCCCTGTGCTTCTCCGTCATGTGACCAGGATCGCCCTTGACCTCCATGCCCACTGACACACGGCGATGCACCTCCGGATCCGCAGCCTCGCCATCAAAGACGACAGCAATCTCTTCGAGCGTGCGACCCTTCGTTTCGGGAAACAGCTGCATTGCAATTAGCACGACAACTCTTCAGAGACCTCCAAAACTTACGAAGTATATAATAATAATCATCCCCGTCAACGTGCCAATATAGACAAAGTAAAACCTCCACTGTATCGCACCCAGCGCCACGGGATTGACATACTGATTGAAGAACCCTGCGCCAAAAACCACCGTCAGATTGATCGACAAACCCTTCGAGCGCAGCCGGAACGGCAGGATCTCCACAATGTATGCGACTGAAAGCGGGGTGAAGGCGATGTCGTAGAATCCGAAGAAGATGAAGAGGAAGGCTACCACTGCCGAGCCTGCTGCTTTGATGCCCCGCTCTGCGAACACCGCCGACAGAGCGGTTACGAAGATGAAGGAGACAAGCATGCCACACGCAGAGATCATCCACAACGGGCGTCGTCCGTATCTTTCAGCGGCGACGGCGCCGGCGGCTGCGAGGAGCGCGTTCCAGACCTGCAGGCCGACGTTGATGGCGGCTTGGGAGACGGCGGATGTGACGCCTACGGATTCTAGGATTGGGGCCAGGTAGTAGGAAACTATGCCATTTCCTGCCCACTGGATCATGAAGCCCACAAGAAGGCAGATGAGGAGGCGGTGGCGGTTTCCACGCGTCTCGAAAAAAGAAAGAAAACCGGTGGTTTTGGCCACTGAGCGCTCATGGGAGATGGCTTCGCGGATTTCGCTGAATTCAAAGAGGACCTGCGTCGTATCAGCAATTGTCTCTTAGGGTGCTGATGGCATGCCTGGGGGGGAGATCTTACCAACTCATCGTTGACATCACCATTGGCATGATATCTTGCAAGCATGTTCAAAGCTTCATCGTCCCTGCCCTTCGACACCAGCCATCTGGGCGACTCTGGGATAACTAATAAACCAAGCAACTGTAGTCCAGGGAAGAACCCTTGCAAAAGACAAGGCGCCCTCCAGCTCCAGCTACTCGGCACAAACAGGGTGCCAAGAGTAATGCATGCAGAGAGAATAGCACCCCAGTACCAGGCAGCCTGAAAGAGCGCGGTAATCTGGCCGCGATGCTTTGGGTGCGCAATTTCCGTGGTCAGAGGAGGTGCTGCAGTCTGCGAGAACCCGAGACCTATCCCGAGCATGATTCGGGTGCCAAGTATAGCCCAGGGGCCCTTCGTTGCAGCCTGGATGATGGACGCTACGAGCATGATGGTAGACCCGATAGCGACGGTGTACCGGCGGCCGATCATGTCGGAGACATACGAGGCTGGGATGAAAGAGGGGAGACCACCAAGGCTGATACCGGCAATGATGAGGCCGAGAATACTTGTTGATATGGATCCTAGATCCTCATTGACTGCGCAATGTTACTGGATGAAACAATCATTCAACGCTGTACTGACATTGCGGGATAGCTAACAGTCCGTTCATCAGGCTTCCATCAAACCCGTTGGCCGCGGCAGAGGAAAACATCAACCCAATGCCGATGTTCAGTCGTCGAAGACCAGGGTCTCTAATCCAGCTCGAAGCGACATTATTCCTCAAGGTTTTGTACGCGGCGCCTCCGCTCTCGGAAACAATGCCTGTTGGTCCACCCATATTGCAAGTCAAGGCAAGAGACGCAAACAGAAAGGCAATGCTGGAGATAAGCCGCGATCTGGGCACTGGGTGTTGCTACCCAGACCGATATTTATGCTGTTCAGGCGAGAGGAGAGAGAATGTGAACGGGCTTCAGCTTCTCTGATAGTCTACCCCGCAGACGTCCGAGCGTGAGACCCTTAGTCTTTCTCTTGCATGCCATCTTGGCTCAACGCGAGGCCATATTTTGATGGCTCGGTGAAGGCGTTCTCACTGATGCTGTAGCTTCTGGTGGGGATGCTGGGCATGCGGGTGGAGTCCTGCAGACCCCAGACGCTGCCCGTGGGGATTGATCGTTAGTGCGGTTCGACGGAAAGAATCCCGGCTAGATTTCCGGTCGATATATCGGAATATTTTTGATGGAGGAAGACGATGACACGTGACTGTGGAAGAAGTCAAGCCCAGATGGTTCCGTAGGGGCGAGCTAAGCCTTTCCAGTGCTCTAGTTCGCACCTAGATCTCGGGGGGAATCTCGGGAGTATTCCATGGCAAGCCAGCAATAACAGGTTCACCAATAAGGCGAAATGGTCATGTAGGTAGCAGGACAAAATGGTCCAAGTGTAAGTTCTAAGACTTGCAAGCAATCAGAAGATGCAGCTGCCATCTAAACGCCGTGGCAATACTCACAAGCTCTCTCTCAGAAATCGCCAATTGCTCAGTGCCTCCTCTCTTTCTTCAACCTCCCCGTGATCTTCTTCTCGAAGATATTCGGCTCCAAGTTTCTACCGGTCTTATCCTTGAACCTCCACGACACTCTCTCCCACACCATCGAACAATCCTGCTGCAAGATCCTGGCGATGAGCTTCAGCTCGTCTTGCGAGAACGTGCTGTCCGGCGCGACCTTGTACTCTGTGGGATGGCTGCTGCTCAGGTGACGGTGTGATCTATGCTTGCTCTCCAGGGAGCTGGAGCGACGATGAGATGAGCGGTACTTTTCGTGATCCTTGGAAGAGGCCTGAGCACCGCCCGTATCGGCCTTGTTGTCACCCCAGCCCCCACCAGTATAGCCGTCAGTGTTTTCGGTCCAGCCCTGCCTACCACCACCGCCGCCATCGGCCGCGTCCCAAACAGTACCGGCGCCTCCATTGTCTCGGTCTGCCCCCCAAGCATTTTTCGAACTTGCCTTAGATGAGCGAGAGCTGCTCTTCTTGCTCTTCTTGCTCTCACTCTTCTTGTCTTCGTTGTTATCGAAATCCCATCCACCAGAGTCGCCAAACCCTGTTGTCGCTCCGCCGCCTCCGTTACCAAAGCTGTCGTTGGCGGTCTCCCAGGGCTGGACAGCAGCATCAGGCTTGCTTTCTTTCTTGTTCGACCTTTCGTTGCTCTTGCCCCTCTTCTCCTGTTTCTTCTCGTGCTTACTCTTCTTTCCCTCACCCCTCTTGTTGTTGTCTTTTCCTCCGCTGGCATGTTGATTCCAGTCACCACCACCGTTGTTATCCGAAGGAGCTGCTCCAGAAGCAGTGTTGTCTCCACCAAGGTTCCCCCAAGGAGCTGTTACAGCAGCATTATTGTGATCTCCACCATTGGTCCACCCCGCGTTCCCACCTGTGTTATTCTCGTTCCCGTCTGCAGCCAAAGCAGCCCAGTCATTACCGGTGCCAGCCCACGTTGTATCACCAGGCTTTTCGGATTGTTTGGAACCTTTGTCAGAAGCGTTGGATTTGCGATCATCCCCGAACACGCCACCAAGGACAGCCATGGGATCCCATCCACCATGGCCAGTGCCCCATTCGGTCTTCTCCTCCTTTTTGTCTTGCCCCTTATTGTTCTGCTGCTGGTCATTCTGGTTACCTTGTTTGCCGCTCCTGCCGTTGCCTTTTGCTGCGTTTCTTTTTTCGTAAAAGTCGTCCGGTCGAATCTCATTGAAGCGTTGAGTGCACTGCTTCTTAGACTTCCCGTTCATATGTTTCATTATGTCGCCCCATTGTTTGTCATCGATCTTCATACGCATGATTGTCCTGTCCTCCTCTTCCGAGAAGTCTTTGCTGGGGACGCCCTTCTTGTACTCGACCTCCCCCGAGCTGGCTGCTTGGCTGCTGGGCTGATCGCTTGCCTCGTTGCCACCGCTTCCAGATTGGGCAGGGTTGTTCGGCACGCCTTGGCTCGCGTTCATGTTCGCGCTCGCATTCACCTGGTTCTGTGGCGCCGCCGCGTCTAACGTGCTCAACAGCCGCGATTTTCCCTTACCCATCAGCCTACCCCTCCGGCCATCGCTAGCTGCCCATTCGATGGCTGCGCCGGGAGTTCTCAGCTGCACAATGCGTTAGCAGGTATGAAACATCAATGTGAGCGCATTTGCTTACCATTCCGCGATAGCTGTTCAGCGGCGGGGGCTTTGGCGGGTCTTTGAAGGGCTTGTTGCTAAGACCGAGAAGGTATGACGTCCTAATCCGCGGGAGCTGGTTATCGGCCATCGTGTGAGAAGCAACGTTGGAAGGCCTGAGTTGGGATGTGCTGGGAAAGTGGACAAACTCTCGGATCTGGAAACAGATTGTGATAAATAGACCGAAGGCGCACAGTCTGGCTGGAGTGACGGAAGACTAGCTATAGCGGCAGTCGCGTGAGTGCGATTCAATGGGTGGGCAAAGGTTTCTCTGGCTTGGCAACGCAACTGGCCAATATTGCGGGGACAACAGTAGCCATTGCGAAAGAGAGAGACGGGGTGAATGTGAGAAAGGTTGACGATACATACAAGACTCGCTACTTGTTTGCACGAAGAAATACAGTGGGTAAGGTGCAGATTAATTAGCGCCTCTATCAACGCAATGAAGCTGCATGACAGAGCTTCTGCACTGCAAAGTACGCTCTTGCCTTGTATGACACCAGCGAGGAAGGTGCAATCAGGTCGTCGAGGCATCACAAGGTTGATGATATTGTTCGAACTCACTGTAGAACACTTGATTACTGAAGAGGCATCGGGCATTTTGATTAGCTGGGTTCAGCTAGTGGCATGGTCTGCAACATGATCCTACCTGTGACGCGGAGGGTAGGCCATTGCGGGAACGGATGATCGGTGCCAGGATCCCAATTGCAGCCGTCTTTGTAGTGCAACCGCAGGCACGCGATCGGTTCGTCTCAATTCGATGACGGAGCAAGTTATGAGTGATAGTAGCCGTTAAAGTCAAGGTTGAGGTCAGGTCGCGTCGCATCGCATCGCGCCCCCACCCGCCCGTCCACCCCCACACGCATGCCGGCCCGACATTCTCCCGCCCGAACCCTGGAATCGTGGCATCTCCAATGCGCCCAAACACCACGCCGACATCGAAACCACCGACGCGCATATCCTTCCCACACCCGGCCGCTCTCGAACTCCAGCGCCGACAATGCTGCTCAACGTCCTCGCCGCGGCGACGTCGCTCCTCGCGCTCGCCTCGGCGCACAACATTCAAATGAAGGCCTACATGCGCGAGTGCTTCCACGAGCAGCTGCACAAGGACGACAAGATGACGGTCACGTTCCAGGTTGGAGACCGCGAGTTTGGAGGCAGCGGGAACCTGGATATAGATTTCTGGGTATGCTTGCCTTCCCGCATCTACCAATTCCTTTGCAACCGCGGACCATCCTCCCGTCCGCATGCCCATGCTCTTCTCCGAAATCTTATGGATGGATGAAAAGGACACTACTAATGCGGGAGATAGATTGAGACACCCTCCCGCGCCTACCAAGTCCACGAGCGCGGCGTCTCTTCGGGAGATCACTCCTTCACCGCCACGGAAGACGGCAAATACACCTACTGCTTCAACAACGAGCACTGGGGCGCGAATACAAAGGAGGTCTCCTTCAACGTCCACGGAATCGTGTATGTGCCTGAGCACGAGGCGCCGCAGGACCCGCTCGAGAAAGAAAGTGCGTATCCCTAGAATTCCTACCCTATCCTATCGCACCACGCAAGACCTACGCAAAGCCCCTCGCTAACGCTCAGCAGTCAAATCCCTATCCGAGCTCGTCTCCCAAGTCAAAGATGAGCAATCTTACATTGTCGTCCGTGAGCGCACGCACCGCAACACCGCCGAGTCGACAAACTCCCGCGTAAAGTGGTGGTCCATCTTTCAGATGGCGCTCCTCGCCGGCGAGGGTGTTTTTCAGGTGTGGTGGATCAAGCGCTTCTTTGAGGTCAAGCGGCTGGTGTAGTGCAGGCGGACGCAGACCTGGCGCAGGAAGGGGCATGGGATTGATGGGGGTTCTTCAGAAAAGTATGAGGAGTGGTTCGTGGACCTGCTTCATAGGGTGTACGAGAGGTTTGAGAGACGGTTTGGTGGAAGGCATTTCTAGCTTGGCGTTTTGTGGGTTTGCGGTTTGCACTCCGCAACGCAGGGCGGTGCTGCAAAACGACATGGAGTTCTGGCAGGGTCCTGTATGATTGAGCGAAGGCCAAGTATGTTATGAAAGTCTGCATTGCAATATCATCGAGGATGCTCTCATCCAGTTGCTTTTACCATAGGCCTTTAGGCCTGTTAGTAGTGCGCACTGCACTACATATATCATGCAGCAGGACCCCTCAAAAACTCTCCCGAAGTCGCTTCATGCTCCGCTATGCAAGCGCTCAAAACCCCCCTTAAGTCATCCCATGCACACCCAAAATTGAGTAGGCATATCCTCAACTCACTCATCCTCAACTCACTCACTCAACTTTCTCAATCGCTCAAACCGCAGCAACTGCTCATACAGCGGCTCCTCCGGATCCCCACACACGATGTGGTCCTGATTCATCGCGCCAATCCCCTCAGCATCCCCCATAACCACCGTCCACGCATCCTTCCTATCCTCCTCGCCCACATGTCCACACTCCCCATCAAGATCCTCGACCGTCATCATCGGCCACGCTTCCTCCCCCTCCACAGCATCCGGGTTCGCGGTAGTATCAGGTGGTGCGCGACGCAGCAGTCCTCCAAGCGCCCGCCGGTTCGCCCCAACCCAGTACGCCTTGTGGAACCGCTTCTCACGCGCTGGCATGTCCGGCGCCCACTCGCGAATCTTGCGGATGTAGCCCTTGCCCTCGATATCGGCGAGCCAGGTCGAGAGGTCGGGCGCGAAGGTGGCGAAGTGGATCCAGTCGTCCGCGGACCAGTGGTATCCGTAGGTTCCTATCGTTGTTGTCGAACGGGAGGTGGTGGGTCCAGTGGCGATGAATGGGTTTGTGGCGTTGTGCAAGACGAGGAGGGAGCGCGGGGTGCCGGCGGGGATGAAACCTTCGGTCGCGTGGTGGAAGCGGGCTGTGATGTTCGGTTTCGTGACGTCTCCCGGGATGAGCGCTGGAGAGAGCTGAGGGTCCGACATCACATTCCGAAGCCAGGCTTGTCTGTGAGGTGTCAGTTGCTGAAGAGGAAGTGTTGTAGTACGTAAGCTGGGAGGCGATCGACTCACGCGTGCTGGCAGCCCGTAGTCTCAGGCATAATCTCAAAGAGCGTCACGGAGGCGTGGTACTCCATGTAGTCTGTCACGATGCGCTGCTCGGGGCGCGGCGTGCTCGAGCCAGGCTCACCACGCTGCTGTACGTATCCGCCGCATTGGCTCTGCGAGGTAGAGCCTGGATGGCTTCGCTCGTCGTAGATCTGGAAGAGTAAGTTGCTGACGGGAGGTTCTGGGAGCGGATGACTAGCATTCTGGTGATCTTGGGAGCAACCGTAGGGATTTACACTAGAGGAGCCTTGGTGTGTAGAGTAAGGACTGGGTATATCGGGAACAAAGGGCGCAAACGTCACTCGACGGCGCGTGTTGTCACGCGAAGGCGGAACAATGGCACTTTCTTCCTGGATGCTAGGTAAGCGACCAGCCATGTAAGGATTGTAGTTGAAAGATGACACTCCTGGATTGGGGGTCGCGTATGGGCTGAAGGTGCTGGAGGGCTGCAAGGTGTAGCCGGTGCTACCACTTCGGGCTTTTTCAGCAGAGCGCAAAGAAGGATGTCTACCTCGAACGTGGGTGTTGATGGAGGAGCGCTTCGGGCTCGAACTGCTGGCGGAGGAAGGCGTCATGGGTGGTGCATATTGCTGCCCAGCGGAGAGGTACTCTGCTTCGTACCCAGAGTCCTGGTCCGATGCACTGCCAGAAGATGACGGCCTTCCTGTTGAAGATAAGCTCGTAGATGAATGTCTCCCTCGCCTGGCTGGCTGTTGGCTGGACTGCTGAGGCAGAATCAGAGCATCAGCTGCCTCGTTTCTTCTCATCGTTGAAGCGGGCACAAGAGGTGGCGGCATACGACCTGCCCTGGCTCGCGCCTCTTGAGCACCTGCCCAGTCTTGTAGGAATGCAGCGGTGTCTTCTGGGAAGTTGGGCAAACCGTGGGTAGCATACTGAGATGTACCAGGAGTCATCATATGTTGCGCCGGATTTCCAGTATGCTTGAACGACGAGTGCGGCGCGGCCCTAGCATAGTGCCCGGCAGCACCAGGTATACCGCCATGGGGAGCTATACTAGGCTGTAGTATGTTGCTGGTGGGTTCGAACTGTGGAGCACCACGTCTTATACCGTGGGGCACTGGAGGTGGGGGCATCTGAACCCTGCTGGGTGGTCTCGCGAGGTCTTGGGCCTCTCGAGGAACGAAAGACCCATGCCTCGCATGATCACTGTGTCTGACTGTTAGCACCCTGCCTACCTCATAGTGAGATTCTTCAAGAATACGCATACCTCCTTACCTCTCCGCGCACTTCATCCTGCGAGCGACCTTGAGTGCTGTCCGGCTGGAGCGTATACGACGCGCTTCTTACAGTGAGTTTGGGTGCACTCGTGCCGGAGTGCGGCTGTTGAAACGAGTATGGAGACACATACTCTTGGGGTGCGAGTGTACTCAGACTGAGCTGTGCCTGTCCTGAACTGGAGCTATTGCCGGTCCCGACAGGCTCTACGGTAAGCCAATCCACAAGATCGGAAAAGTACTCGTCTGGGTTGTCGTCCATTGTGCTTGAGGTGTCTCTTCTTCACTATTCGGCCTATTCACAATCTCGTCAGTACGCCTTCTTCGATCAACGAACGCGAAGGAGGGTGATCTTTTGGTAGAGTGGACGGTGTGAGTTTTATAGCTGACGAAGACGGTTGTGAAATCGAGGTGACCGACTCTAAGGCCGCATTCGTTGTGACTTGATTCTGGGTGAATGACGCGGTGTCGAGAAGCGGCGTGCAGTGAATTTGAAGCTTTGACAACACGCAAGTGACACAAACTCGTACCTACACAGCCGTATCTATGCTGGCGGAGGGTCAAGGTTTCTGTCATTTCGCAACGCGAGGGCTGTATCCGTAGCTGTGTAGCAAAGACACCTGACCTCGACCATACAAGCCTCGTGGCATTGAAGCCAGACACTCACCTTAACGTAACCACAACGTAGAACTACACGTGCACAACTTCCACGCAACGTCAACTATCAAAATCGATTGCACGTTTTGCACTGGTCGAACCGCACTTTTGATTAAATGGATGTAAGGTGAGGTGCCAACGCAGGCAAATTGGCCAAGGCCAGCAGTATCCAGAAACCAAACACAAGACTCATTCCAATGCTATTCCACCTCTTCTTCCTGCACGCTCATGGCGTCGACGCTACCTTCCAAGCCTGTGCTCTCTTGATTGGGCATGTTGGGTTTCTTGCTCTTGGGCCTGGGTCTGCGCTTCTTCCCAGTACCCTCTGTGATCGGAGGAGCGTCACGCACCCAGCGGGAAATCGCCTCTGCGCGCTCCGTAGAAATGGGATACTCGCGCCCATCGTCCTGTGCCCATCGCTTAGGCGCAGGTGCGGGACTAGCAGGACTGCCGTTTGCCGATGAATCGGTAGGACTGCCAGTGCCGTTCTTGGCACGTTGTTCCGCCTCCTCGTCTTCTCGAAAGCGACGTTCGCGGGCGCGGACGGCGCGTTGAAACGACTCCTCATCGACGACACGCTCGTCAGCTAACGCTTCAAGAATGGCTTCATGTTTCTGGCGTTCACGTTTCTGCGTTTCGGTTTCTTGGCGCTCGCTCTTGCTTGGATCGTACGAGCCGTTCTTGCCATGTCCAGGAAGCGGAGCAGGGCGACAAAGCTTCTCCCAGGAAGTAGACAGACCGACCCAGTTGCCTGCGCGGCGCAGCACTTCAATCCAGTCTGCGCGGGCAGGTGAGCGTGCTGCCAGGAAGATCGGGTAGCCGTCACAAACACGAGCGAGACGAGCCGCATTGTGTGCGTGTCGCTGCAGCTCCTTCGGTGGCGTCTGGATGAGCGCATGACAGAGGAGAAGTGAGTGCAGCGCATCGGTGAGGAGCGGATGGTAAGTGATGCTCTCGTGCGAATCAGCAAAGGCAGTGGCTGCAGCCGACGCTGTGGAGTCGGTGGCATCCCTGGGCCCTGCTGGTGGAAAAGGAGGGAGCGATGCGGGTGGTGCCGCATCGAAGAGTTGTGAGATCCTTAAGATCTCAGGGGCTGGCAGTTTGGGCCAAGCAGCACGGTCGTGGCCTCGGGCACCACGATGAGGCACCAGAGCCTCAGAGATGGGCGAGGCAGTGGTGGAAGGCGAATCGAGCAAACGATTCAACGGCTTGTTAAGCGTTTCCTTGGAGCCATTCGCTGACCCTTCAAGCCGCCTCAAAAATTCCTCTGCGACATCTGCTGAGATGCCAGGCGTGTAATCAAAATGTGACAGAAATGCTGTGTAGTCACGCAGAGCACGCTTAGCGTTCGTTCGCACCTGTTTGCGTGCCTCTGCGCGTCGGCGATTCTCCTGGGCTTCCTCGGGTGTCTCCTCGTCTGGAATTTGTCCTGCGGCGACCTGAGCATCTCTTGCTGCTTTGGCCTCCTCGGCCTCTCTCAGTCCCTCCAAAGCGCCATGCACATGCTGGCAGGCAATTGTGAAGTAAACACCCGCGCGGTGGAAAAGCAGCTGCGTTTCCAGCGAATTAGGCTGGTCTTCGTCGGGGATCTTGATCTCCTGTCTCCAATCCCGTCCATGTTGGTCCTGCATCGATTTCGCCAGGACTAATTGGTCTTTGCCTGCGCGATGCTGGGCGTTCATATACCGTGCCACAGCCAATGCTTCTGAGAGGTCTCTTGCCGAGTTCACATAGTCTTCTTTGAAGATGCGCGTTAATGCCCTTGTCCGCAGCGGTGACCCGTCACTTGGCCGTTCTGCTATTATCTCATTCAGGGTGTCCAGCGGCGTACATTGGGCCATCATGCGCGACGGAATCTTCTCGTGGAAAAAGTGCACGTATTTGGCATCGACATCGTTGGCATTCCTCTGCAGCACAAATTGCGCGACGTCCTCGAGCGTCGAGGCCGACTGCATCGTCGCGACACTGGCCGCAATCTCGTCTAAATGGTATGCCTGGCTCAACTTGGCCGTCGCCAACTCGCGCATTCGATGCTTCCGCTCCCTGCTCAGCTTAGCGTTCCCCCCATGCCCGCCATACCCTATCCCCAGCGCTGCGGCGTTCCCCAGCATGCCATTGCCCGCATTCAGTGAATTGCTGAGCGCCGCCGAGGTGAGACCGCTGGTGGCGCGCACGGCGAGATTCGTGGCTTCGTCAACGGCCTTGCGGATCTTGACGAGGTCGTAGAAGACGGCGGGGTCAATCGGGTGCGGGCGCGGCGAGAGATAGTTGCTGTGCGCCAGCGACTCGAGCACCTCGGGGGGGAGCTGCAGCCATGGGCCGTGAAAGGAAGAGATGTAGCGCCAATGCCTGGAGCACCACAGTCAGAGCCCGCTCTACGCGCATACAGCCTGAAGAAGTCCAGCGACGTGCCTCGACGAGACCTACTTATTGCGACATATAATCAGTGCCGAAGTCGACGGTTCGGGCGGCGGCGGCGCCTTCTTGGAGCTGCCGTTGGACGTTTGGGGCGTGCTGGTGCCGCTGTTGTCAGAGGGAGAGTCGGCCTGCGCGCTCTTCTTTTTCTTGGCCATACCGGCGAAACGAGCGACTGGGGAGCCGTTTGCGATACAGCGTGGCCGTGTGGTGCGGTATGCGCGTCGTTACTTCCCAATAATTTGTGCTCCGCTTTCTTGGCGACGCGGGCAGCCAGCTCGTGCATCTCCCCGACAGGGCTGAGCCGGCCGCTGACCTCACCGCCCACGCACGCGCTTTCACTTTTTCTTTGTTAGCCGCTGCCCGCCTGTTCGTATCTGAATGCATTCTCCTACCCTGTCACCTTCACCACTGTCTTGCCCACACATGTCTTGCGTGCGGTGACGTATCTAGAGCACGCCCGTGAGGGGTGTCGCGACCTCTTGGGCATCTACACCACCGCATCTGGTACATGCAGCAGGCTCACCGTCCCCAGATGCCGCACAGTGGATGCATGCACCAACCTGCACTTGTCTGGAATCAACACCTCTACACGTGCATTCACATGCACATCACGTGATAGTCACAAATCCATCAGTGACACTACAAAGTCGATTGAAGGTTTCAATTGCACTGCATGGTTCTAGAAACAATCGTGACTGTTCTCTGCAACCAGTTGAACAGCTGACCCGAGCAGTCACCAAACGCTATCCTGCATAGCCGCCTTCGCCGCCCGCGGGAGTGCTGCAGCGAGGCCGAGGGCACCCACGTCTTGACGCATCTCGGGACGGCACGCTGATGCGATTTGATTAAACAACTGCTGATTGTGCAGCCTGGTCGACTGGAAAATGATACCAACCTGTGTCGCAGCTAGCTCGATGCTCAGTCAGACGTCACATGCTGATATCAGCTTGTCGTTTCCTCGACATGGTCTCTGATCTAGGTGAACACAACCTACGATCGGCTTCGCTTCAGTAACCGCGACACGCAGAGGGGTCCACGTAAGCCAATACCACTTCTGGTGGGACCACCACGCCAGAGTCTTTATCAACTCAAAATCTGTCCGTCTCTGATAATGCGCTTACCTGCGGCTCTTAATTTCAGTTCGAGCATTGCGGCTCAATTAGAGTATTCGTTGCGTAGATCTTGCATTCAAATTCGATTGAGGCTCATGGGGACACCGACAATGGACACGGTCTGAGCCAGCTATCCATGCACGCACCGCACGCAGCATCTCTGCATACGGCACACCTTGCCTTATCAGACCCGAAGCCCAATCGGGAGAGTGCTTCGGTATAGATTTGAACGCCTCTGATATGGTACATATGGAACAGCAATCACCTTCCTGTACGCGGTGAGTGTCCGGGTGGTCATGTCTCGGTACCCTACCGCTGGGCCAAAGCCGCGTTTGCAATCTACCATAGTTCATCCCCAATATTCGACAACGATGGAGAATTCCCCTCGGCTTTACTGATTTCCACGTTTTAGACGATGTTTGTTTGAAATTTGGGCAGCACAAGTTCCGATCCGGGTATGTTTCTATCCGACCCACAACGGCAACGGCCCGATCACCAGCGCAAACGAAACGGCTTTTCGTGTCATTTAAAGAGATATGACTTCAAAGTGGTCTGGTACGACACCAAAAACAGCACCGCGGCGGTTGTTTCCAGACTTACAGCGTTGCGCGTCAAGAGCGACATGGGTCTAGATGCGCCAATCACTTGTGGAAGCTTGGCCCCGAGCTTATGTGCACTCCCCTACCTTCCCGCTAGAATGCAGCGGGGAAGCCTGCTAGCGACCACCACCCGTGAGAGCCCGTCCCGTTAGCAGGAGCTGATGCGGGGTAATGGTTCTAGTCCACCAGACCATTTGTGTTCTTGGACGAGATGCGGCGCAGCAACTGATTCTGGGTCGATGTGGCATCCACGAGGCTTGCTTTTTGAGACGTCCCCGGACAGTGAATGTATAAGTTGGCCATGCTCCACAGTCATCTAACAAGCTTCCTCAAGCGCTCAGCGATCTGCACTCGTGCAGCCCCTGCTGTCGCCTTTACGGTGCCCGACGAAAACGGCTAGGTTCAATATCCCACACACAGCGTTCAGCTCAGTGCCACGTCTAGGATTGCCCAGCCGCGTTCACTTCGCAGGAAGCTGTTCGGATCCAAATCTGGCTCCGCTTTCCTAAACGCCTTGTTCCTGCTAACTACTGGGCGTCCTCGTACTGACGACAACGCTCGTCAAGTCCAGTCTCCACTTTGAACCGGGGCGCTTATTCGGTGGGTCAGCTTGCGAAGGACAAAGTACTGCGAAGCCTTGTCGACCTCATCGCATTGTGAAACTTTGCATGCTAGTTGGGTGTGCGGCTCCTCTCGTTCATTCGACGTGGGTTGGATTGTCTACAGTACTCCGCCGATGACCACTAATGCAACACCCAGTGTTGCGACCTTGGTGTGGATACCAAGATCGACGGAGTATAAACTTGTGACCTCGCTTGTACAAGCCAAGTCTACGAGTAAGCCTTCTCCACTCGTCCCCTCTTCAGTATACTTATCAGGATTCTGCCCTGGTGTACTCATTCACTACCCCTCTTTCGTCTTGCAACGCCTTCTCTCTGACCTCTGAAAAACCATGGGGCTTGTTGGCAGGACCAAGCGGCTCGTTGCAGAAGACCACAACATCCAGAGAGCACGACGAGATGGTGCGAGAGCTGCTCGTGCCTTGCCTCGGGCGGCGGGCAAGTATCTTGTCGACAAAGTTCCAGTAGTTCACTGGGCTCCACAATACAATCCGCGATGGCTTGCCAACGACGCTCTCGCCGGCATCACCATCGGGGTGATGCTCATTCCTCAAGCGCTGGCATACGCGAAGATTGCAACGATTTCTGGAGAGTTTGGGTTGATGAGCAGCTGGCTGCCCAACTTCTTGTACTTCTTCATGGGCACCTCAAAGGGTATGTATGCACTCAAGCATTCGTATGCAGTCTTCACATCGAGCTTTTCACATACACACATTGGAAATAGAGCCTTGTGTTCGGCGTTCGGGTCTGAGAGCATATGCACGAATAACGCTAACAAATAGAGTAGACATGTCAACAGGGCCAACTTCTCTCCTCGGTCTTTTAACGGCAGAGATTGTCCGTGACTACACTAGCGAGGGGTTCTCCGCGCAGGCTATCGCTTCTATGGTAGCCATGTGCGTCGGCATCTACTGCTTGATCATCGGCGGGCTCAAACTTGGCTTCCTGCTTGAGTTTGTCTCCATACCAGTACTTCACGGCTTCATTTCGGCCGCGGGTATCGTCATCATGCTCGGTCAAATCCCCTCACTTTTTGGCGTCAAGGTTGGAACGGGTACTGGCACGATCATTCACGATCTCTTCGCACAGATTCCGGTGAGTAGATTCAGTACAGTGGCAAGCAAGATACAAACTTAGCAGCGTATAGGACTTCAAGGGGCCTACTGTCGGTGTCGGGCTGGGTGGCATCGTACTTCTGGTTGCTCTCCAGAAGATGGGACAGAAATGGGGCAGCAAGAACAAGGCCATCTGGTTTATCGCTCTGGCTCGTGCAGCCATTGTTCTGGTCCTCTTCACCGGTATATCATATGGCGTAAACAAGGACATCGATCTTAAGAACAATGATCCGGTCTGGGAGCTGAGCAAGGTCAAGGTACGTTCTCGCCATGATGCACTGACAGCTTCCATGGAAGTCTTGCTTACACCCGATGCCTTGGTCACTCAGAGATAATAGAAGACTCACACTGACTTGACAACAGTCCAAGGGAATCAATGCCCCAAAGATGCCCCCAAGTGCACTCTTTTCGAAAGTATTTCCTCGCGCCGTCGCACCCTTCCTCGCTGGCGTCATCGAACATCTGGCCATCGCCAAAGCCTTCGCCCGCAAGAATGGCTATGTGATCGATCCCGCCCAAGAACTCGTCTATCTCGGCGTGACAAACTTCTTCAACAGCTTCTTCTCTTCCATGGCCGTCGGTGGCGCGATGTCCCGTACAGCCGTCAACTCCTCCACGGGCGTCAAGTCACCCGCCTATGCTATCGTTGCAGGCGGCGTTGTCGTCCTCTCCATCTTCGAGCTCAGCCCGGCCCTCTTCTGGATTCCCAAAGCTACACTCGCGGCAATCATTGTCACAGCCGTCTGGTCGATTCTGTCGCCCCCAAAGATATTCTGGCACTTCTGGAAAACCTCCTTCGTCGACTTCGTCGCCGCCATGCTCGCCTTCTGGCTCACTCTCTTCGAGTCTAGCGAGATCGGCATCGGCACTGCCGTTGGCTTCCAGCTCGTCTACCATATCCTGGCCTTCGCCTTCTCCCGCGTGCGCCGCGTCACCGCCCTCCCCCAGCACGACATCATGCCTGAGTTTGATCAAATGCCCACCGATGTGCAGGTCTTCAAGCCGCACACCTCCCTCATCTTCTATAATGCGTTCAGCATGACTTCCCAGTGCTTCGACGCCATCCAAACCTATTCATCCGGCGCAAACATCTCCTTTGAAGTCCTCCGCGCCCAGCGCAACTGGAGCACCGCGGGCGAGCGCCGCGCCAAAGCCCTCCGCAAGCGCGCGGGCGTCACAATGGAACCTGCGCGTCTCCATCTCGTCGTGCTGGACATGAGCATGGTGACGACCATCGACACTACTGGGCTTACCGCGCTGCAGGATCTCAAGGCAGATCTGGAGCGGTACGCTGGTAAATCTGCAGAACTCCAGTTTGCAAACATGCATGACGGCGTTAGGGCGCGCTTTGAGCGCTACGGCTGGGACTTATACGATGGGGTTGTGTTCCGTGATGAGAAGGCGTCCGACGCGAAGAAGGGTAATGCTGTCGTGAACTCAGTTGGCGAAGCCGTTCGGAACCGCCGCATGATCGAGGGCGAGCCGGATGAAGTTATGATCGTGGGTTCCGAGAAGGTGTAGGCGTGGGCGGAGGTGAATTTGTTGGTGGACACATAAGCCGTAGTCTGTCACTTCTGCTGGGCGGTCTCTGTTCTTTCATCATGTCTTTCCTAGAGGAACGTTGCAGGGCAATGGCGGAGGATCTCCTTGTATGCGTTTAACTCTCTTGTCTCTCTCTCTCTTCCTTCCTTCCCTCTTTCCTTCTTTCTTTGTTCCTTTGCCCGCCGTATATAAATTGTAGTATCCCCACATGATCTGCACCGCGTCTGTGTCTGTCAGGATGTGAGGTGGAGAGATGAATGAACGTGCAAGATGATGTGATTTCTTGGGAGTCTTTACATCACGTAAGGTGAAGAAACTGAATATTGCAATCCCTATCCTAGGAAGGTTTGGCATCGCGCTGGTCCTCAGCCATGTCGGTGCACTCGTACCGTTTCGCAGCGTATTGGCCTTGGAAGCGGGTCACTAGTCACCAATATCGGCCTCGTCGTTGTTTCGATGCTTCTTTTGTCTTTTAGTTTGTTTTCCTCACTTCCTGCAGCCTTTGTTTCGTTCAGCTTGTGCGGGATTGCCAAATTGTAAGATTTCTGACCGCAGCAGAAGATGCGGCCAGCAGAGTGCCATTGTCTTCCGGGTCGGGAATGTGTCATCGCACTGTAGCAATGGGCCCGCAGCCACACCAAGGTGGATGCAGTCTTTGCGCTGGCAGACACGAGCATGAGCACCAAAGTATCAAAGCTTGCTCGAGATCGCGCCTGGAAGCAATTGCGAGCGTGGAGGTATGTCTCCATGCTCGAATATCCAACACGAGGTAACAACAAGATACAATTCGTAAAGCAATACATACAGAACAGTAGTCCCTTCATATACATCGACCAAGCTTCGCAGGAGCCACAAACCGTTACTTTACATCGACATGATATTCGGAAAAGTCGGCGATACCGGCGTAACCGGCGACGTCCAACCCCCATTATCACTCCACGTCAGCGACCGCGGCGTGCCCTCCCTCCAGTCCTCGGGCTCGTCCTCCGAGGACGAAAGATCCGTCAGCCGCTTCTGCGGCGATGAGATAGAGAGGCCCAGCGTTGTTAGCTTATCCTGCAGAATACTGGTGACTGCGGGGTTGCCGCCCCGGAAGGAGCCGAGCAACGAGGACAGAGAGTGGATGAGGTCGCGCGGGCCCATGCCGAAGCCGGTGTCTTGGTTTAGGGAGGGAACACAAATCATGACGTCGGCAAGGGAGTTTGCGATGTCGAATAGTTTGGATTCCTGTGGAATGTTATTGGAGAGGTGAGGCGTGGAGATGGCGCGACTTACCATGCCGGGGCCATGCGCTTCCAGACTTTCTTTAGGCAGCGTGCACAAGAACGATAGCGCGTTCTGCGCAACTTTTGCAGGGAAGGAGAAGGAAAAGCCGTCCTCTTGATCCGAGGATCGCAGATTCGTCACACTCAGGGCGTGTTGCCAAAGGAAGATGCGCATCCACTGTTGTGTCATTGATATGTCGGCACGCTGTAACACATTCTCTAGACTCCTCGTCGCCTGATCGTCGTCAAGTTGCTGCTGTGCGAGTGCCAGGGCGCTACGGGCGCCTGCAGGGTCGGCGGTGAGAGTGGCATCTAAAATGTTGAAGAGCCGGCATAGATGAATGAACGCTGCAGTCACGGAGCCATCGTTGAGATCTTCGAGTTGCGGTATATCGGGAGAACGCTTCAGCATTGTCGGCACATCGTTTTGAATGGAATGAGCTCTGTAGGCAGAATGTCAGTGACCGTAAAAATGTGTGCGGTGGGTAAGCAATACCTCTCGGTTATGAACAGCAGCCAGTATATCCTCACGTTGTATTGAACACGCTCTACCTCCATGTTCTGATAATATAAAGGTTTGTGCAGCCCGATCATGTGCGCCTTAGTGATGGCTTCACCGAGATATACCGTCGAAGTAGACATACGACCAATATTTGCAGCATAGACGTGAAGAAAGAACGCGGTTAGGAGAGACGAGACTGTGATATGTTCCGAATGGTCAGATTCTTCTCGGGCTCGCTTCGCCTCGCTGTCGAACACGGCACTTGACACTCGGAAATACCCTTCCACTGGGCTGCCGGGCTCTGCATCGATCTGGAATTGGGTTATAGTCGCGGCACAAACTGCGGTAGCAAGCGCATATGCTTCCATGTCGTCTGGATTGGTCAGAAGACAGGCGAGTAACGATTCCGTGTCCACGACTGGCCATATTGCGTAGCCACGTGCCTGGTACGTGTCGAGGTATGGCGATATGGTACTGGTCGAGATCTTTTGGGGTCCTCTGTACCCTTGCGGCGGAGGATAGGCAGCATCCGGCCACCCTAAGCCTGGCTCGCCGATGGGAGGCAGTTGGTCGCTAAGTGGGAAATCAATCGTGGTCGGGCTCCCATCGTCTAAACTCGTGTCACTGTCGCTATTCGCCCTCTGCGATAGGTCGCTGCGACTACGCTCCTGGAACCTCTTGATCGCAGCCTCAGTCGTGCGGCGAGGGCCCTTCGGACCTGATTTGCCATGCGTCTTCAGGTACGTGCAGTCCCAATTCGCAGTTTGACATCGCGCGCAAGGCTGATTGCCATCGCATCGCACCTTTCGCACAGAGCAGGGATCGCAGGCTCTCCGCGTCCCTTTTCGCGGCGCCATGTTCATCCGCCTGGGCGCAATGAGGCTCTGCGATAGCGCGCCTTTACGCGATGCACCAACCTCGCTAGTCCTTCATCGCCAGAACTCTCCGAAAACCGGGCACGTGGTAAGTTGGATTGCGAGGAACGTGGGCCCTACCGGTGGGACACTCGGAAAGATAGATCGTGGGGAAGAGGGGACCGCTCAGGGTCTATGCGGTGCGAACTGGTGTTGTGCAAAATGGAGATGACGTGCGTAGCTGGGGAAGCAAAAGGTGGGGATACGGGCGGCCCCTCTTCGGACGGCCCTTTCCCTGTTCGAGCACGTCTACGCCACTCAATCACGAGACCATCGGGTAGGCATCGTCGGAAACGGCTCCATTGGTTCTTGGAGCTGACCAGATCAGAAGAAGAGTAGTACGTTATATGGTCAGGTGGACTTTTGTGTGGAGATGCAAAACACGTCCCAAGGTTGTCGTCCCTCAATCCTGGACCCACCAGTCTCCCGATGCCAAGGGAACGCCGTGCAGGCGCGATCGTACTGCTGACGCGTCAAAGGCAGAACCAATGCGACAAGGAGGCCATGATTAAAACAAAACCATTGAGAAGGAGCCTCACCAAGCAGACGCAGGGTGTGCGCGATCTGCCCGGTGGTTGAGCTCTCAATAAGAGTGAGAAACGCCTGGAAATGGAAAACGCCAAGGTTACAATTTAGCAGACCTTAAAACCCAAGAATCCAACTCCCTACCAGACCAAATTTGCGACTATGACGAGGATTGCCTTGTCGTGACCGCTGTCCCATTACGCACAGTAGCTCTGGCACAAGAACCCTGCAACTCATGGTATCTTTACCTTGACGATTACTCGTCTCGGCGAGTCAGGAGTAGTGCAGTTACCCTCCCCCACCTTATTACACGTCGCATAGGCCGGCAGTAGAAAGTGAAATCTAACATACTAATGGATGCGAGTACTTGGGATCTGTTTTTAGATCAGAGTCTTGAAGATGTGTGGTACAGCAAGTTACGACAGGATTAGGTACGTACTCGAGGTTCAAATTCCTTGTGTCAGCCACTATGCATATTGGCTCGATCCGTGTCCCAGGGGTCATGTGTGATCTGCTCCATGTACGTCTTTTTCTTCGTCTGACTTCTTGGAGCACCAAATCCATCAACGAGAAACTAGATTTGAGACAACCGCTATCTACTCGATTAACTCTATCCCGCCCCATTAATACCTGGTCTGCTTAATCCGCTGCGGTCCCACACTCTCCAAAGTCGGCACAACCGGGACCATAATCCCTTCCTCGTCAAAGAACACTTTGTCAATCGTCGTCTCCCGATGCGTCCCATCCCCATCCGGAATCTTGAAACGATGATACGCAATATACCAATCGTCCGTCCCAGGAACCTGCACAATGCTATCATGTCCCGTCGCCAGGATTCCCTTCTCTACATCCTTCTGGAGGATGATTCCGCGGTACGTCCACGGACCGGTCACGTTGAGGGATGTGGCATAGCCCACGCGGTAGTTCTCGCTGCCGGTGTCGTCAATCGAGTATGTCATGTGGAATAGTCCTCGGCGGTAGTTTACGAAGACGCCCTCGCGGAAGTTGGTCAAGCCGCTGGTCGTAGCCAGTGTCTTCTCTTTTAGGGACACCATGTCGTCCGCGAGCTCGGCGTACAGCGGTTGCCCTGTGCCTGTGTTTCCCCAAAACAGGTAGTACTTCCCCGTCGTGGGATCTTGGAAGGCGGCGGCGTCGATGGCCTGGCCGCTCGTAATCGCCTCGTTGTTGAGAATCATCGCGGTAGGTTGCGCGGTGAAGGGACCCTCGGGGGAGTCCGCAACGGCCGCACCGATGGTCTTGCGATTGTAGGTTGGGTTTTGTCCGCTGAAGTAGAAGTAGTACTTTCCGTTGCGCTCGATGATGGTGGGAGCCCAGGCGTTGCCGGTCGCCCAGGGGACGTTGCCGGATGTGCCATTGAGGGTGAGGATAGGAGAGGTAGAGCGCGTCCATGTTACGAGGTCGGGTGACTTCCAGACGTAGAAGACGTTGCCGCCCCAGCCTGCGAAGCCGTCGGTCGTGGCGTAGATATAGTAGGTGTTGCCGAATATGGCGATGTTGGGATCGGCGTAAAGGCCTGGGAGGACGGGGCTGGTTCGCTTTGCGAGCTTGGTTTTCTGGAGCTGTCTTTTGGAAGCTGTTGTGCTAGCAGTTATTGTAGCGAGCTCTTTTGCCGTAATTGGAATGACAGTGCCTATGCAGAAACATTAGCAAATGCGTTCAAATGAGGCATCCACGTTAGGAATAGCTGCGAATACGTAGCTTTCCAGTGGGAGGGTTCGACTCACCATGACGAGGACTCGCCGGCAACTTATACTCAGCCGACACCTTCCACGCCGGATTCGCCAGATCCTCTGTCTCAAGAGGAATATAACCGCGATCAACATACTCATCCACAAACAAATAGAATTTCTCCCCATTCACATCATTCGGGTTGGATTTGAACACGGTCGGCCCCTCTACCGACTTAGTCCCTGCATTCTTCCCAATGCAAGCAGTGACCTGCGTCCACAATCCCAGCGTGGCGCGCAAAGAATCGGAGCGTTCTTCAATGATATCTGCGCACCCAGTTCCAGAAGCTCCTTCGTCCTTGGTGAAACGATAGTATGTGCTCCCATCCTTGATCACAGTCGAGTCGATGCGTGACATGCCTGCATCTTGCCAGATTTGCGGCTCGCTAAAGGTAACAAAGTCGCTCGTGGTGGCGTACAGCATCCGGTGATATGTAGATCCAGTATGGTTGGTATCTGCTTCGTCGTAAAGCGAAGAAGCCCAGTACACCACATACTGCCCGAGGTCCGAGTCGTAGAATGCCTCAGGTGCCCAGGTATTTCCCGCTGTCGGTGGTGATACTTCGACATGACGTTGCGCCGACCAATTGATGAGATCTCTAGACTCCCAGATCTCCAGAAACCGGCTTCCTGTACGTACCGCGTCGCCCCACGAAGTTCCAGAGCCAATTGAGAGGTCTGTGGCGAGGAGGAAGAACCTGTCGCCTTCCGCTGAGCGGATGACAAAGGGATCCCGCAATCCCTTTGTGCCGTACGAGGATTTGAGGATGGGCTGGCCGCCGTTAAGCTCTGTCCAGTTCAGCGCGTCGTTGCCGGTGGATGCAGCGAGGAAGATATTCTCGCCGGCAATAGAGTTGCCGGTGAAGTACAGAAACGCATATCCCTCAAGGGGATCCGATTGTGCTGCGGAGAAAGCCAGCCCGCAGGCACCGAGGAGCACTGAAGCTAGACGCATCGTCAGTGAAGTCGTGGGCAGCTCTAGGGACAGCAGAAGTCCGCCTATATACCCACATAATCACACGCATGCTGCTCGACATTCTTTTCGCCGGCAAAATTGCCCTTGCTAGCAAACAATAGTTACGTCCGCTTAGTGGGTTACATTTCAGCGGACATCAGGTAGCAGCCCTAGGCCGGTGCCTCACGTGCTCGTCAAGCAACGGGCCCATTGTATTTGTCCACGAATGCTCTGTGTATTCTCCCAGGTGGGTGACGTAAGGTACGCTTGGAAGACCCGCTAGACGGCGGATATGTACCGCATAATGGCATGGCCGCCGCCGAGTTGGGGTACCCCGCGAAATATTAGCTGCGGAGTAGATCGACATGAAGCGGACGTTGAATCTTGCATCGGGGTTATTGCGTCCGAGCCGAGGTCGCGCATGTTTGACTGACAAGCTAGCCCGACGTGAGCACCCATGTATGTCATTTGACTTTTCTTCGATAGAGCGCATGAATCGCAAGACTACCTAAGAAATAGTGTACTAGAACCTTGTGAAGCTCGAAACACTATCATTGTGGACAGAGCGAGCCTAACCAAATAGGAAGCTTTTGTACGGAAAGAAACGCTCCAGCTCAAGCGCATAGCGCGAGCTCCATGTAACCCCAAACGCCTACGTTTCTTCGTATGTATCTTTTGCTTTGGACCGAGTGCAGCAGTTCCGTAGCCCACTCGAAGGCATCTTCCATAACATACGGAGCATCCAATTAAAGATACGAAGATCACAAAACGCCCTTTTCGGCACCACTTGTAACTCGAATCGTCTCAACAGGGGACTTGCCCCTTCCCACATGGCTCTCCCCATGACTTGAGCCATCCTCCGGCACCTTCCCCTTGCGCTTGCGCGACAAGCGATCCGTAAGCGTGGCAAGCGGCCGGTAGATCGCCACGAACGGCATGCCGACAACCTTAGCAATAGCCCCGAACCATGGGTCAGGAAACAACCTCACGCAGACACCCCAGGGAACACACAGGAGCGCGACGACCACGCTGATCGCCCACTGGTTGCCGTCGAGCTGCACAATACTGAATGCTCTGCCTCCCACGTAGATGATGACTACTTGGCACCCGACCATGATGACGTTCATTACGATGAAATAGTAGTTCTTGTGGATGCCGACGAAGATGTTGAGTTTGTTGTCGAGACGGCGGTTATTGTACTGGTTGAAGATTTGCAGCCAGACGAAGACGTTGAAAATGATGGTGCGCATCTCGTTTTCAGGGTAAGGCAGGAACTTGGGCCCGGCGAAGTGGATTACAAAAGTCGCAATTATCTGGTAGATGGCTTGGCCGATGATCATTTTCCACATGGTCAGGCTGAGGATGGATGCGCTGCGGGGTGTGGGTGGACGGTCAAGGATCTCTTCTGTGGGAGGGTCGGTTGAAAGCGAGAGCGCTGCGAGTGAATCCATGAAGAGGTTGATCCAGAGGAGCTGGACTGCGGTCAGAACAGAGCGCATCTCGGAATCCTGGATGGCAGTTACGAAAGCTACGACCATGGCGGTGATGTTGACTGTGATCTGAAACTGGAGGAACTTCTGCACAGCATCATTGACTGCGCGACCCCACATGAGAGCCGTCAGGATGGAAGCAAAGTTGTCGTCCATCAAGATGATCGCTGATGCTTCTTTAGCCACCTCTGTGCCGGAAATGCCCATTGAGAAGCCGATGTCAGCAGCCTTGAGTGCTGGTCCATCATTGGTCCCATCGCCGGTCACCGCAACAATACCCCCGAGCTCGCGGAGCTTGGTAACCAAGATGCGCTTGTCTTCAGGAGAGGATCTTGCGAGCACTTGTAGACGCGGGAGGGTTTCGTTCATTTCCTCGTCGCTTAGCTTCCTAAACTCTGGACCTTCCATTACAACTCCGTCAGTGTAGATGCCGCAATCAGTAGCAATGGCTTTTGCCGTGATGACGTTGTCGCCGGTAACCATGCGAACGATGACGCCTGCGTGCTTGCATTTTGCGACCGCCTCGGGCACGCCGGGACGAAGAGGATCCTGAATGCCCACCACACCGATATATACCATCCCGTTGAGCAGTGAGCCCAAGTCCGAAGCAACCGAAGGATCATCTGGGTTTTCAGCCCCTTGCGGAGGCCACTGCTCAAAATCTTTGTAAATCAGGCCAATCGTGCGGAGAGATTGTTTCGCGTACGAATCGATGACGTCGGATATCGCTTTCCTCCGAGTTGAGTCCAAGGGTACATCGCCTGTTGGGAGAGCAAGCGATGTAGAGAATCGGAGTAGGATTTCGGAAGCACCCTTGATGAGGAGGCGATAGGTCCCGTTAGGTAACCTTTGCACGGCCCCCATGCACTTGCGACCAGAATCGAACGGTAACATCTGAACCATCTGCGCACTGGTGCGTTCCTGAGACAGCGAAGTCATGCCCAAGACGGTCTTCGCGAAGCCTAAAAGCGCCGTCTCGGTCTTGGAACCGACGAAGCCAAACTCGCCACCGTCACCCTCAAACGCGGTAGAGTTGATTGCGATAGACTCAATCAAAAGGCGCGTCTGGTGAGCCGTTAGGCGTTGCGCAAACTGGGATGACCGGTTGTTTGATTCTCCGAGGTTCTTGTCATCGAATGAGTCTTCGCCAAAGGTACCCGTAACAACTGTCATCTTGTTTTGCGTCAAGGTGCCCGTCTTGTCAGAACACACCGTAGTGGCGTTTCCCATGGTCTCGCAAGATTTCAAGATACGAACAAGATTGTTCATCTTTACCATCTGCGATGTGGCGAACGCGAGCGACAAGGTGATGGCCAACGGCAGACCTTCCGGGACAGCGACGACAATGATGGTCACAGACACGATGAGAATGTCCATAAATTTAGAAGCCTTCTCGGCAGGGCTCAGGGGGCTCCCGGGGAAAGTTGCGACGAGACGGAAGAGCAAGATCAATAAGAGGAGGAAGGAAGCAGCAGTTGCCAGTTTCGCAATAGCCTTAGCGAGTTTGTCGAGCTTGATCTGGAGAGGCGTCTGTTCAGGTTCCTGTCGCATTGCCATGAGAATTTTGCCGTAGCTAGAGTTGACACCGACAGAGGTTACGAGATCTTACGCTGTTAGCACTAGTTTTGCTGATCTTGGGAGCGGAAATGAACTTACAGGTACCAACGCCCTCCAATACCTTGCTTCCAGAGATTATGAATGGATCAAGATCTTTGCCATCACTATGACCGCGTTCAAGCAGCCGCAAAACCTGTTCAGCATTCGTCTTCTTCATTTGGTCAGACTCCCCAGTTGCCGAACTTTCGTCACACTTGACGTTGTGACCAGAAATGAAGATACCATCGGCTGGGATGAGATCACCGGGTTCCATGTGAAGCACGTCGCCTACAAGAATGTCGTAGACCGATATTGTGAAAGACTTTCCCGAACGAATGACTTTGACCGCGCGGGCTTCTTTCTTCGCGTTGAGCCTGACGAATGCACGCTCTTTTTGAAAGTCATTGATAGCCCCCACCAGGACGACAACAACAATCGAGACGCAGATAGCGCAACCCTCGATCCAATCAACGGATGGTGGAGCTCCAGGGCCGTGATCAACACCGAATGTCTCATAAAGGCCAAGTGCGAGTGATATGACAGCTGCCACTGTGAGCAGGATAAGCACGCTTTCCTTATAGTACCTGGTTGCAGCCAGGTCAGTATACCAAGGTCAACACCGGGCAATGCTACTTACGCTTCCCAGACAAGCTTCAAGAAAGACTTTGCTTTCTTTGCAGGGAGCACATTGGCGCTGAAGACCCGTTTGCGATCATAGAAAGCATCGTTCGCATGTGGCCCTGTCGCAGCTGCTCCAGCATCTGTAACATCGACATGGCGTACCTCAACAGGGCGAGGAAGCGTTGATGCGATACCGCGTGCTTTTCGGTACTGCTTAGTGACCTCTTCGAACGACACAGATCCTGCTAGCTCTGTCTCGTCGACGCTCAGCCCAGCGTCGACATCGCTTCTCAAGCCAGTCTCAAGTCCTGGCAGCCCGCCAAGAGAGATAAAGGCGGCCAGTGACTTTGGGTTTAACATCTTGTTCAACTGGCCTGGAGAGAAAGCAAACTTGTTGTTGAGAACTGCAAAGTCTTTCTCGGAACCCGGGTCGGCCTTCAGCGCTCCATCGTCAAGGTACGAGTCCAGTGTGTGAGTCGATGCGCCAGCAGAGGTAGCAGGTGGTGCAAGTGTCGCCTCACTCGCTGCTCGACTTCGTCCCGCGAATGGATTTGAACTGGATGCTGTGCTTTGAGCACTTGTGGATGGATTTCGAGAATGCATATGTCTGAAAGATCGTTCTGGGGCCAAGGTCGCTGGTGAGGCGTCGTCAACAGCGGTAATTGCAGTCAACGTATCCTCCGTATTGGTCCGATTTGGTGTCTTGGGGATCTCGACTGTGATCTCTGGGAGGGATGGTAGAGTGGAATTCCCTGCGCGAGCGGGTGCATCATTGGGAGTAGCCATGCTCAGCAGGCAATAAATGATAAGACTAAGAATTAGGAGAGAACAGGCAAATCGATCGTGACTAGGTGATGGACGTTTGAAGCACGATGCAGTCTCCATTCTGAGGTTGCATCTTGAACATGCTGATATAGTGATCTACGAACTGCTGCATGGTTGCTTGCGGTGGGTCGAATACGCCCAGAGCGAGGCAGAAGCGGCCACCAGCGGGCACCAAGCCCGCTGCCGAGAAGCATTGAGACCAGAAGCACACATGATGCCCAGGTGATGGTAACAATTGACTACAAGAGACATTGAGGCAGTGCAAAATGAGACAGATACTCGCTCTTCTAACATAGTATGACAGGCATGGTGGGAACATTGTGGGCAGAGCCGTGGCGAACTGGAGTGCTTTGAAACATCTGCAGGAACAGCACACAGAGAAATTAGGGAAGTGCAAAGGAGAAAAGGCTTGGGATAAAGCTTGGGTGAGCTGCTCTTAAGCTGTAAATGAAAGGATAGGCAGCGGCCAATGTGACTGATGTGATGGAGGCAGGTGGCTCGTGCAGATCCTGAGGTCGCGACCAGGCTCAGTTTCCTGGCGAGGCTTCGGCAGTTGTAGCGTGCTCGCGTTCGCGACTGATGGGTCTGTACCAAGACTCTTGGGGGAGTTTGAAGTCCCCGTTCGTCGAGGAGGCCGCCGCGTTATCAAGCGACAACGTGTCGGGAAAGAGTTTACCAAGACCGACGAGTCGCCGCTAAGCAATTGCTCAATTTTAGAGGCCCGCTGTTGCCCGTCTCCTCCACTCTCCTCTGCTTTCTCGGCTCTTCGTAAGATGATCTTTGCGCGTCTGGGGTAACCATCGTGGCTGAGGCTCATGGACCTACACAGTACAGGACCCGTATACGCTAGACGCGATCCCCAGCGCCGTAAGGCTGCCGAAAGCGGGCGCATGGCAAAGGCAAAAGGCATCGCAGAGGCAGAGGCGACGGAGGGCGGGCAGATCTCCGCCTCGAGGCGCCGCACAGATGAGTGAATGGGTTCCGCAGGGGGCCAAGCACGCGTTAGCGCGCGGAGGAGAGCGGAGTGGTCCCGCGCCTGCATGACGGTTCTAGAAAAAAAGTCGATTAGCGAGGGCAGGTGCACGCGCATGTTAAGACAGGGCGAGAATTAATACACAAGACGTATGATTGCTGGGCAAAACGCGCGCGCATAAGCAAAGCAGCGCACTCCAGACGGTCCGGAACGTCTGAGCAAGTCGCAATCGTTGTGGTGCGGACGTTGCTGCGGCAGATCTGCTTCAACCCTCCCCCCGCGGTCGCCAGAGGGAAGGCGCTACCGATTAGTCACCCAAACCGCGTCCCTGGCAGCTGCTCTGGCTCCATTCGTAAAACACCCCCGATTCTCATCTTCCGCCTTCTTGCTCCTCTATAGCCCACTTCATCTCGATTTTCGGATCGCTCGATATCCGGTGCGGGATCCCCGACGTTTTTGCTCCTGCTCTCGTGGTTGTCCATCCCTGAGGCATCTTGCACAGCCCACGGTTACGACGACATCCGAGAACATGTGTCCATTCAGTGAGTATGCCCAGAACAATTACCCAAATATATACATACATGCTAAGAACCACAGCGTCGTTGCCAGCAGGCGAAGGCCCCGCTCGCTTTTCACCTGCAGCCGTCCAAGATTGGGCTCCAAGGCGCAAGTCAGTGTCCAACGCCTGCGAAAGGTGTCGAAGACGCAAGGTAGCGCCTGCCTCTCTGCAGCGAAAGTGCCATGTCTGAAAATCCTTAGATTCGATGCGATGGGGACACTCCCTGTGCAACGTGTAAAAGATTCTCATTAACATGTGCGTGTCCTTGATCGAATGCGCTCTTCTCCCACACGGCAGCTAACAGTCTCTAGGTTTAAGAACGCAAAAACCAAGAGAAGTCGTTGCATCGTCAGTACCTGGCCCCCTTACGCGGCGGTGATGCGCGGCATCACGTGACTGTACCAACATTTTACAGAGAACATCAAGCCGCACTAGAAAGTCGAATACACCATCTTGAGGCGCAATTGGCTGCGCACGTAAATGCACCCATGCATGGAATGGAGTCAATAGACGAAAATCTCATGGCCTCGACACCAACCAGCTTCGATTGGGGACAAAGTTCAACTTCACTGTCACTTGATACCAGCTTTGCCTCCGCTTTCACCTCGGAACCCTCGCAGATGAATCTGGGAAGCTTCTCGGCTGGCGGGGTAGGTCCAAGAGTGCCCGCAATAGCCATCACTGAATGTGAGCTTGTCCCCAAAGCGGCAGTTGTATCTTCACCAGTACCATCATTCTGGTCAGGCACCACACGCGCGTCGTCCCCCGATGCCCAGCCTACGAGTGCGCCATCGTATCCGCCGATGGGGTTTCCCGTGAGCACGAAATCTTACACACCGTCACCAGGCCCACCGCACGCTACAGAGTGGGATTTCATGGCCCAAAGAAACAAGCTAAAGCCTGAGGCACCTCAGAGTGGTAGCATTTCCCGTGCTACCTCCACATCTTCTCACTCGATGGAAAGCGAGGAGGCCGGCACTGAAGACGAAACCGATGTTCTACCTCTTGCGCCTGCGCCTCGCCTACCCCGTCCCGGACTTTTCGCTGCCCACACCGAAAGCCCCCCACCGGGCTCCTCGCGCTCGAGCTTCACTGATAGGAGCAGAGCCCTCACCACCACACCGTTCCCGAGCCGCTTCGAAGCCGAAACTCTGACGTCCGAATTCATTCAGCACTTGGAATCTGCGGAACAAAGAGGATACTCTGTAACGCCTGGCCTCTTCAGCCGCTTCTGCGAGTCTGTCTACCCAGATCCCAAAAAGCGGGGCATTGCCCTCGAGATCCCTGTATCGACGCAAATGGCTCGTTTCCATGTCTTTATGGCCATGGCCATCGGCATGAAGATGCGCATCAAGGACAGCCCGGAAAACACCAACTCGCTGCTCGACACCTGCTACGACCTCGCCATGCAGCAAGCGTCATCCCCGCCTTTCTGGCAAGAAAATGGAGGTGTCGAAGCCACGCAGCTTCTCAACATCTTCGCGTCTATCCGTAAGGAGCCGACGTTTGCACCCAAGCCACTGCAGCCCTCGATGTCTTGGTGACACGTGCTTGCGAGGGGGAGGTTGGGTTTTGTTTCTGGGCAAAGTGGCAGTTTGATCGAGGCATTTTGCATTGCAGAGCCGCTCCTGTACACTACCCATGCATTGTTTTCACTGTACATGTCTTCCAGATATACCAAAGCAATAGATTCCATGTCCATGACCTGCATGCCGCCTGTATGCTCCTACCAGTGAGGAAGAGGACTAGTGAGATGATGGAGCTGAATCGACTGTTTCATAGTTACGGAAGAAGGGCGAGTAAAGAAGCTTGTGTAATTGCTGATTCGCGTGGTCAGGAGTGGTCGTTACACTAAGTGGCGAATACTTTTGAGGGTCTCCAATAGCAAATTCCAATTGGAATTATGCTTGGTGGTGATCATCTAAGAATACTGATGGTCTTTGCCGTGTCTAATTTGGATTGTGGGGAATGGTATTGGCTGCTTGTCAAATTGAACCCTATAGCGCATACAGCACAGTCGAGACTCCTTGTTGGATATCATAATTATTCCTATTTTCCTGCCATGATCTGCGTGTGATTAATAAACCACTTTTCAAATGTCGTTCTATCTGGCACGAGCGCTACGGGACAGGAAGCTGCTTGTCAGAGCTTATCTTTTGCCTGAACCTTAGCCTCGGAAGGCTAAGTAACACATAGGGTGACAGAAAATAATTGTAAAATCACTCGACTAATTAAGTTGTTCGGACGCCAATTCTACACTCTCAGCTTTCATAAATGCCTGCGTAGAGCCTGATATTCTCTGCCATAGAGGTTTCGGGGGTCGTGTTGGTAACGGCAACATTACATCCGCAATGCTAGTGTGCCTGTGTCGTGGGCACGCCTAACACTGAACATTAAATTTGCAGACTGTTGTATCTCGTCATCCTGGGACTGCTGATCACGCACATCTCTGCGGGCTCGCCGACGCAATGCTGCAGCCACACATTATTTTCACGGTCCATGTCTTCCAGATATACTGACGCAATAGATTCTACGACCACGACTAGACTGTACTACCTGTTAAGGCGAGGTGGAAGAAGTGCAAAAATGAATCTTCACATCGATTAACAAACGCTTCTAGCTACGAAATCTAGGAACAGAAACTATGGACCCAAATCTCGAGAATCGCTGTAGACCCAGACCAGCATATACTTTCCGCTTGTACAATTTCTCGAAAGCAGCCTTTGTCTCTGCTTTAACGGCATTTATGACCTCGGTGATCCTCCACGCCTTTTGTAAATCTTCCGCAACCATACCATTATAGTACGACAGGCTCATAGATTCTTCATCGAAAGAGATGACTAGCGCGGTCAGCGCGGGCATCATTAATGCAAAGTGCGTCGCAAAGTCGACCAGTAGGTTTCGAGGAAGAGACATTCGACTGATAATGTAGGATAGGAAGGCATCGACATCTGCCGTTATGACCTGGAGCGGGTGTAGGCAGATGTCAAGAAATTCCAACTTCGTGAAGCGCGCCAGCCGACTGGAAAAATCTGTGGTGAACTGCGAGGGGACAGGCGGTCGTATGATTTTGTTTGGGCACGAATTCCCCTGCTGCGGTGATCCACGGCACTGGATCACGTCGATCTTGCAGACTTAAGGAAGTACTTTGAGTTCCTGCATGCGGAGAAGAAAGTCGAGGAATGGAACATAGGCAGGCTGATGGCTGATAATGGGCAGCACCTTCCAGCACTTGTTCTGCGGGAATCCTCATATCCATACCTGTTCGAAGTGCTCGTCCTCGCAGAGCTTAAGCCACTTTTCGACATCTAAAACACGAAATTTGAATTGGTTGTTGGCACAAAAGAATGACGTTACCTCGGTATTTAAGGTTTGACTCGTCAAGGTAAAAGCATAGAATAGGTGGCAGGGTTTGGAACGAGAATCGATCGTAGTTTCTTAAGTATCTTCCGCGGCTGGGAAACATTCGCCCTCGCTTACTTAATGGTATGGACGATCAGCTTGGACTTGCTGTGGCAAGTGGACCTTCTTGCGGTCGGCTGTGAAGCACAGCGTGATTGGTTACTCGTGACAAGACACGGTATAAGAATAGTTAAGGTCGCGAACCTCAGAAGGAATCGTCGCGAAGTAGTCATGCTTGTACCCGGGGTTGGGATTCACCGTGCCGTGTCCGCTGCAAAGTGGAAATTGACGATAGCATGAATGAATTCCCACGAAGTTGATCCCGCGACCAGCTCCAGAACGACAAATCGAAATGTAAACTTACCACATGAAAGTGGAAGTGTCGATTTCTTCTTGGTGGGCTACTCCAGGAAGCTGCTCCAGTGAAGTTTGGAGAGATTGGAATCTTGATAGCGCTGGAAGAAGAGCGCAGGTATGACCGGCTCCTTTTGAAAGAATGACTGTTTTGAGCACCCTTGCTCCCTGCCTCGACGCATTATGGTCTGGTAATCGAGATCGTGATTCTGCTCTTGTCGAATTCGAGTGGAGCTGTCCTACCCTCGGTGGGAGTATGGCGAGGAGAGCAGAGTGGAGCTGCTGCGCAAGTATTTATATAGTAGAGTATCCATGGCCTACATGAGTCCAAGGGTTGTGCCGTGCTTCTGTGCGTATTTACTCTATCGAGCTGTCCAAGGAGACGACATTGCGATCTATGCGTTTGACGTTCTAAGAATACTGTTGAGTCACGTGAGCCTCGGGTAGCTGGAGCCATGGCAAGTCTTTTAACCAGTTTGCACGTTGGCCCTCGCATGGTCCCGTTAGCGGAGAAGGCTTCCCTGACATGAAGTCTTGGTGATCCGTACCAATGAACATGCTCTCGTCATTTTGCTCACAAGGATCGCACTCGAAGTACCTCGAAAGTAGTTTATGTACCCAATGAGTAAGCGGTATTGATTTGATTCGCTTTTTGCTTGACTACAAATGACAAATCGGCAAGCAACCAACTGATGACTTAGTCCTTCTGAAAGGCCAATCTGTCCTTCGGGAAGCATGCTGTCATCAGCAGAGGTACATGTATGGAAAGGAATAATAGTATATTGGGAAATGTCTACTTCAGTTTAGTCAACTATTTCCCATCAATTATTTTACTCATAGAATCGATTCACCGGTGTACATACCAATTTGATTGGCATTGAAGCTGGATCCGACGTTTGCCCAGACATTGGTTCGACCGATAGCTGGTTTCCAATGTTTAACAAGATGTTACCCGGAAAATCTTGAAAAGAACAAAACTTTAGCGGCAAATGACTTACTAGTAGGTTTAAACATTAGTTTCTGTGGGGTTCTAACGGTGCTGCGTTTGCTATTACCTTCCCAGGTGCGCTGAGCCAACATCGTGCGACTCAATCCCTGCAGATGCTTAGACACTTAGTGTCCTGCTCTCTCAATGAGTCGTTTGGCACGTTTGACAAGGTAACGAGAGACGGCGTGGCAGTTGTTTGCCACACAAACGATACTACGGAGGAAGGCGTGCATAATGTATCACGTCAACGGTGTTCTCTCCGACCTCGGCTGAAGGACACGGCTTCGCCACTTCCAGCCTAGTTTCACTTCGCCCCTCAAATACCCCGATGCCGGTTGGTCGGCTATCTCCTATCATTCCCATGATCTTTCACTCTTGTTTTCGATACATTGGGTAAGATGGCAGCAGTAGATGGCGCAGAGGTAGCGCAGCATGACAATAGGAAGTCGTGTTGGATTGTATGTTGCCTGTATGCTCAAATGCATCGTCAATCGCTCACTTGCAACCCCACTCTTCAGGTTCTCGACTCCAAAGTGTACGATGTCACGAAGTTTCTTTCGAAGCATCCAGGCGGAGCAGCTATCATATTGAAGAACGCTGGCACGGTATGTTCCTTGTGCGGCGAAAATGGCACTGCTGACAAGAGTGAGGATGCTACCGAGGAATTTAAGAAGTACCATCCCTTGGTAAGTAGTGCGAATGAATCGAATGCATACCTAGGTAGGGCTGATTTGTATCTTGCGCTCAGGACTATGTAAAGGATCTATCGGAGGGAAGCATAGTTGGACCTATCAATCCAGATACATTAGGAAGGCTGCGAGAGAAAAAAGAAGTCAATGCCGCACCTGCAGACTCCGCAAATACCGACAGAGAGATACCCCACCTTACCATGTGTGTATCATGTCCAGATTTTGAGAGAGCAGCGAGAGCTGTGCTCCCGCACAAGAGCTTCGTGTATGCTAGCACATCGGCGAACACCGGACTATCATTGAAGACGAATCTTGACGACTGGGGTCGTATCAACTTCCGCCCGCGCGTGATGCGCAACGTAGGTGACGTTGATTCTCGACGATCCATATTTGGGCACACCTCGCAATACCCATTCTACATATCTCCTATGGGCACGCTAGGTGCCATCCATCCAGAAGCGGAGCCAGAGATGGTCCGCGGAGCAGTGCGGAAAGGCGCGCATATGGTGGTCAGTACAGCATCGACAAAAACTTCACAGCAGATCATGCAAGCCTACATAGACGAACAGACAAGGCTAAACAACAAGAGCCCAACGCAGTTATTCTACCAATATTACATGCCAGTGGATCGCAAGAAGGCCATCGAGCTGATGCACATTGTCAAAAAATCGGGATATAAGGGCATCTGGATAACGGTCGACACACCTGTTCTCGGCAAGCGAACTGCCGATCGCGTCCTGCAGGCGGAAGAAGCGCTCGCTGTAGGCCTGGATGAGGAGGGTACGGCGGAGTGGGAAGCTGGGGGTGAGAACGCGTTTGCGCCTGCAATGGGCGGACGAGTCGTCAGTGGCCAGCTGAGTCCGCACACAACATGGGAAGATCTAGCCTGGATACGAAAGGAATGGGAAGGCCCCATTGTGTTGAAGGGCATACAGACCGCCGACGATGCAAAGCTGGCTTACGAGTACGGTTGCGATGGCATTTTGCTGAGCAACCACGGTGGTCGTCAATTGCACACTGCGCCCAGCGCGCTCATGACGTTGTTAGAGATACGGACATACTGCCCCGAAATCATCGGAAAACTGGAGATCTTCCTCGATGGCGGATTGCGCGACGGAAGTGACGTTCTCAAGGCACTTTGCCTGGGTGCGACAGCCGTCGGAGTAGGTCGGCCCTTCATGTACGCGCTTGCGGCATACGGAAGTCAAGGTGTGGAGAGGTGTATTGATGGTAAGTCCAGTCCGTTCAAGCGAGCCAGTGACACTAACTGACCCACCGCAGTGCTTGCCGAGGAGCTTACTTTGGGCATGCGCCTACTGGGCGTCACCGCATTGGACCAGTTGAAGCCCGAAATGGTGAATGCATCGCGACTACTGAACGAGATGTGGAGACCAGAAAGCAACAGCATCAGCATCAAGAGTCGTTTATAGTGATGTTCCCATCTGGTCTTGGGCATCGTAGTACATGTAACGCAGCGGTTGAAACCGCATAGTAAATGCAACATCGAACGTAATCCACTTTTCTTTGCTTTCGCAATCAAGGACTATGGAGTCTTCACTTAAGCTCTGTGTGATTTTTATTCGCAGAGTACAACGGCCAACATGTAGCAGACTCTCCATTGTGGACATCAGCTTTCAATTGTATGCTTACCACTTCAGGAACGTATTATAGACTGGGTCGCTGCAAGATTCGGAGGTCGCCAAGATACACATTTCTTCGTTGTGGTTCGCTGCCACAAATTTTTTCGGACCCTGACTAGTTCGCGTAACATGCGCCAATCGGCCCGTCTGCGTCTCAAACCACAATACATCCTGCTTTAGCGGAGGCATGGTCTACATGGACGGTGGCCAGTCTTTGCGGTACTACTATATATTTATATTTTATGCCTATGCCTTCATCGAATCACGGTGAGATGGCCGAGTTGGTTATGGCGCCAGGTTAAGGAGCATCTTAACATCATTTCCTGGTCACGAAAGTGGCGTGGGTTCGAGTCCCACTCTCATCATTATCGTCCGCTCGTCGAGCGGGTTACGGGAATTAATTTTTTTGATTTCTTCTTCCATAGCGTCCTAGACAGGATGTTGGTATTTTTTGTTCCCAAACAGTCTACATCAGAACGAGCGTTTGAAAATCTCAAGATTATATGCTTGGTGCTTGAGGGCTACTACCCCGGTATCTTTACGCATCTGCAGCAAAATCCCAGGTTGGACCCCACGGAATATTTGCTCGCAGGATGACTACACAAAGTATCAGTGACTGTTGGGAATTGTTCTATCGAAGATGAAAGATCCCCCCATGTCGATATCCACAATGAAAGAAGTTGGAAACACCTTTTCTTTATGAATGTAAGGGTATGCTGTGTGTAATGGTGTAATGAACTGTATACGGCATTGGAGACTACGGTGGAAAATTAAAAAGGGTCACATCATGGTGGACCACCGTCTTCGCATGCATTACAAACCAGGTGCAATCTATTAATTGATCTATATTAGGTCCAAAATCGTACAAGAGCACAGCATTGCCATACACGTAGAATCTCCAGACATTTTTCAGCGGCCATGACGTCATACCTGAGGTATGCTCCGACAATATAGCGAGAGGATATCTACACTTGCCTTGTCGCCGTCAAGAGGTCAAGATCCTCCTGGCCTCAGGACCATCCATCCTCAACCCTTCCGCATATTTGAATGCCAACGGTGCCTTTGTGATCTTCATGATCTCCGTTATCGTGAGGTTACACGCTTCTTCCACCTCTTTTAGCAGTTCGTCGTCGTCTGATTGTCGACCTCTTGGTGTACCGTACAGGACTAGAAGGTTTCTGCGTCCGATAAAGAATGTTGAGAGCCACGAGTGAAGGACTCTGATTCGAATACTTGTGTGGTGGATATGCGCAGGTGCAATAAAAGTAGTGCAATCGACTACGTTCGGCGTGTTCAAATGTTACTTTCCATCCACTGAACAGCGCACAATTACATATTTCTGAGTCGTGGGGGCACCCACACCCACACCCACATATGGGCACGTGTCGTCGGGAACCGTGCCTTTTCTCTACTGGAGATGCATGCTGCCTGTGGAATGGTGCGAGGTAGAGCGACGTAGTGAGCACTAGGGTAGACGGCTTATAAATGATTGATACGATCAAGAAGAACACTGATGTTAACAATTCTAGCTAAGAGATGATATGAGCGCAGCACGGTTCCTTAGAATTCGATGTGACACTCAAATAGCGTAACGAGCGTGGCGCGACGGACGTCGCATCACCCCCAAACCGTTATTTGCGTTATAACTGTCACTGCCCGGTCTCACTCGTAACACGTGGGCTCTATGCCGAAACATAGCCCCAGATGGGCAAATGAGGCGAAGCAAAGCCACCGCGCGTTCGAAAGACAGTTGGCTTGTACTAATATCGCAAGAGTGAACTTGTTATCAAAGACCTACGTTAGCCTGAGGAGCCCCGTGAAGCACTTTCTTCAAGCTCGATCCACCCAGAGGTATTGGCAGGGTAATGCTTGCGTCAACCGCTACAGAGTTCGCTTGAGGGTGGCTGCTAACGAGCTATTCATCAAATTACCACCGGGAGATTTGCTAGAGCTTGTGGTGGCCACAGCGATTGGGTAGAACAGTAGATATGCGGTTTTCAATTGGCAGTAACGTAGGTTAACATGTCTCATAAGATGAAGAAGCAGATATTGAATTTTTTAGTGACACATGACAGAAGTATATCAAGTTCTTCCGAGTATCATGTACCTTCCCAAAGAATACTCCCGTTGTTTCCCACAGATCAGACAAGATACATGCAGCTGCTTTTGCTCCACGGGAATCTTGTCATCGCCCTATCAGATGCGTTTTGGTGCTGACACAATCAATGTATCCATGATGGCCTCATTTTCTTGATGCCGCAAAACTTACAGTAAACGATCTTTAGGCAGAATCAAGAGCCATGTCTCCATGAGGACATGATGAGCTCTCTTCTCGCGTCTTCATGGTCATTGCACAATCAAGTCATGCCGCAATACAGTTTGTCGACAAGCAGCACCCACTTCCTGTGTAAAAATAGTATCTTTCTATTGACCACCGGCTGTTCAGTGATTCGCTGATCTCTGATTATCCTTCTAGAAGGATTCTGTATCGGTCTTGCTGCCCATCAAAAAGGTACGTGTGTCGGCGTTCGCGGTCTCTGATTCGTGGAAGAACATCGCGCGTGCATTGTATTGCTGCAAGCCACGAAACGGCAATGCAAGAACGCACTCAGAGTCACGGTCTTTTAAAATGTATATGTTCTCCATTGCGACCGCGGAGTATAATCTGCGATTACTTTTCGACGACGCTTGGAAGAAGTGGCGGTGGTTGGTGGGAAGCCCGAATGGACAGGAGGAAAATCCGCAGAAACCTCGAGCGGCATTCAATGCATTGAAATTCGTACCTTCTCAAGATAACCGGCCAGGACTTGACGATGACAGACATTTTGTATCATGGCCTTGATATGACTTCCTCCGGATGTTGTCCTAGTGTGATACAACTCGGCTAGACAATCTTCCTTGGCTTCCCTGGCAGTTGTACTGGCCCAGCGATCAAACAAGGACAAGTACTGCGATATCTCCTGATACCTCGGCACGCGTTCCTGAACCATCAGCCATACTATGCGAATATCGCATACCGCTGCGCACACCAGCTATAGCTGCGCTGGTTTTTCCACATCGCAGTTGCTGGAATAGCGCCGTGTTGCGCAAATCAAGAGTTGGTGCCTCTGGTATCATGCATCTCGAGAGTGGTTTGATCCGGGAGGGAAGCGGTGTTGTGGCACAAGGAAACGCGGAAAGAACACGCTAATTCGACGACGTCGCACTTCCTCGTTGCAAATCTTCCCCGAACAACGCAACCGCACACTGATACGGACATTCGAGGACCAAGAAGAACGAATCAGGGCTCGCTAGTTCTTTGCTCTTTCGATCGGTTTCCGAGGCCTCGTTCACGCACCGTCGCCACCCAGCGCAGATTCGACCACAAGCCGCTTTTGTACGCGCCGCTGTTCGATAACGATTTACGACTCATTCGCAATGCCAATGACTCTCCAAGCACCGTGACGTGCGCATATAAGCCCTTGTTCAAGGCAGCCTAGACTGGCGTGGGTTCGTTAGCCCAGGTGCAGTGTTTAGAGCGGCGCCTTGTGCGTTCGAGTCTTGCCGGTGTTCCAAGGCTCCAAGGCAATGCCGCTCGAAAACGAATCTCTCACAATTACACCTCACTTTCGTAAGTCTTGCCTAATCCAATTGCAAGATCAAGTCGAACAGTAAGGAAGTTTGCGGACGAAGGCCGGCTGCGATGAACTTTGGACCGTTTCAGTGGTGCATCGTGGCATCAGAGGGGAGTCGTTGAAGAGCAAGTACCGCAATACTGAAATGGTTTTGCTTGGACAAGACCAAAAACTTCTTGGTCTATTCATGCAGTACGTGCGCCAGAATTCATAGCGGCGAGTGGGACATCCAGGAATGCGCAAATTGAGTCGTGGTCGTCCTTGCTACATCTGACTGCAGAAAGTTGCTCACCTTACTACCTATGATTAATACGAAGGAGGAACACATTGTTAGAGTCCAACAGCACGCAAGGGTAGCTGCTTGGTGCAAATGAGAGCAACTCTTCGCCATATGCTGACGATCGTAGGTTCAGGCGTTCTGGAGGAACTTTCCGTTCGAGGACCAGTTCTTTGCTCACAAGTCGTCTCGATCCCTTGACGTCGCGATTCAGAGGCATATACTAGGACTCGGACACGAATTCAGAATTCGACCCTCGAGATTCCTCCGACTTGAATTATTGAGAGTCTTTTGAGCGACGCAGGGCTGATGGTGGGGATGTGAACTCCCAGGACGACGACCGGGCCGAACGAAGTAACGTGCGACACAGCACAGCGATAGCGAACGATACGACAGACAACGCTCAGGCTAGAGTGGGAGCGAACTAACTATATGATTTGGAACGCCAACAACAGATAAACTCCCTTCCCCCTTTGATAAGGATAAACGGTTGGGTACAGTTTGATGGAAGCTCATCTATCTTACTGAATGTCGAACACTTATCGATCGATTCCATTCGCGCCCTGCACGCTCCCAACCAGGAAACCAGCGCAAGTCCCAGTACATGTCGACTTGAACCATATTTCAGTCATATTGAATCCATGGTACTGAGTGCTACTTCGCCTCTGCCAACACGAAATTTCGGATCCGTCACCGTCTGCCGACTGCGCCCTGCCGGTGAGCGTTCGCGAGCCGAAGGATCGATGCTACTTAGACCAATTTGGCCCCATCAACACTTCCGTGCATCTAGATCAACTGATAGCATATTGAGATCGCCGGACACGGGTCTGTGGATTCCCGTACGACAATATCTCTTCGACCATACCAATCGAATGCTCAATGATCACGTTAGCGAAAACCTTTGATTACAGGCCCACACCTCCCAATAAATTGTGCACGATCCTTTTGGGTTTCCGAGAAAACCGAATGATCACAATCGATCTTTCGGCCTCTCCGTCTTCTGCAAGCGAGCGAACGAAGGAACCAATGGTCACACATCAGCGTCCCAACGCTTCTGGCCCGATAAACTTGCTGACGCGAACAAAATGACAAAATTGAATACCTATTTCCGTGTGTCAAAAGCGGTACCAGCGCAGCTCTCAAGCCAACAAGGTCCGTGCCACGCAGCTCATTGCATGTGACAGTCGTGGATGCTGCATGTCGCAGATACTCCAAGACGCAGCAGAGCAGCTGACCTCTTTGCCACTTGCCACTTAACAGTTGTGTTAAGTGGCTGGAAACTTGGCGGGCACAGAATCCAGAACCGCCTAAATCTGTAGCTGCAGTGTCAGGATGCGGAGACATATAGCAAGGGGCGACCTTCTATTACCACGATCGAGGATCCAGCCAAGGCAATAATACGTCGACACGAGAATCTCACAGTCTACCCCAGACAGCTCGCGCACCTAAACACGGTGTGGCATGTTGTATGCTTTGCATGCAGCTCTCTGCTCAGCCATCGGCAAACCTTGCGCGGCTCTCGCTTCTCCGCTGCTGCCGCATTACGTGGTGCCCCTCAATCGATCTCGAAACACTGGGTCACAGTCTGGAGATTCTGTCCACTGTATTGTTTGTACCTCCAAGTAGTGGTACCAATGGCGGACCCTAGACAACACGTCTGAATGCTCAACTGTTCACCTGTTGATGCAATAGTCCATAGTGCCACTATATCGGACAATTGCAAACCAGGTCCACACCTTTCCCGAGGCCACCAAGTCTTCTTAATGTGTGATTTGTCTTTCCACGAGGACTTGCCTCTACTAAGGATACATGCGCGTACTCCATCGTTCCGACTTGCCACATATCCGACACTGCCAATCTCGGAGTTAGAGGTTGGAAATTCGCTCGCCCCGAAATTCGCAATGACCCGCTACATCCATGTGGAGAGCATGATGTGGGGAGCCTCACAGTTCTTTGAAGGGCCGATTCTCCACGATCCTGCACCTTATCAGATCATGTAAGGTCTACCCCAGGTATTCGCTGATCGTCTTCAACCGTTGTACTTGCGTCATGCAGTATACCTGGACATACATATGTGCGAACCTGCTGGCTTACGGTCCGAGCGTCCATGTTCATTCTTCACGCAATCGCTATGTGTTTCACTAAGCTCTGCAGCCTGCCCATGTCATAAGATCCTGATAGTAATACTATCTGAGCAGTATTGAGGCACGGATGATCATTGCAACGTGGCCGCTCTACGTGCAGCGAAGCTTGGAAACTCAACCCGAAAATGCCTGAGCAAAAGTGTTCAACGCATGGATACCACATGCTTTGGGTACCTGGCTGTACCATTTTGCAACGTTCCAACAGCTGTATTAGATCGATTCGCTACTCACGTCACCTGGTGTCCATTCATAGAACGTATCAACTTACCGGCGCGAAATCAAGACAATCTCACTTGGACTACCGTCCGATCTGGTACAACCACGCGGCACGTAGAGAGCGGTTATACCAACCGGCACTTTCTGATGCGCATGCATATCTCAGAAACGATTACCACTTGCATCTCTTTTCTGTACCTGGAATGCCAGGCGGGTTCGAATCGATTGGTCCGAACGCACGACTTTGACGAGAAGATTTTTACTACGCAGTTTTGCTGCATTAGCACCATGCAGGCCGCCAACTACGACTCGCAAGGGCAGAATGCCACGAGTAGGCTTGAAGTTTTAGATTGCGGTGTCCTGGCCATTTACAGTCGAAGAAAGTGGCTGAATATAGCACAACTCTCCGATACAGATCTAGTCGCGTGCTCAGCCCTTCGCCGCTTCTGTCACTACCTTCATGAAATGCGTTTGTCGACCGATTTAGGACTAAATACCAGGACCAAGCTTTCAAATATGAAAAGAAAGACCCTGTGCCAAGCAAATCCTACTTTGAAGAAAGCTTTGATGAGATGTTCTACATGCACCTGGACACAGGAAGACTGACAGGGCGGAGATTCAACGCAGACACGGAGAAGAGCCTGTTAGACATGCTCAATCGAAGCATCAAGCATTGGAAGAGAAAATAATGAGCTCGAGTAACTTAAAAGTCGAGTCGGCTAAGCTTTTGTCACTCTGTGCCACCAATCGCGCAGTCATACCACCTGGCAGGATGCAACCTTTTGACGGGTCGTTGTACGGCTTGTTACATACACAACCTCAACACTTTCTCCTGCTGCATACGATTTGGAGGGGATTTCTAGATCTGGAGAACTGTACATGTTCATGTATAACAGCTTAACAGGAGTCTATTAAGGTTACGACTCACAGCTCGAAATCTCCAAGACCGGGCTTTAGGCTAAACAACAGAACGCTTTCCCAAACGGGTCGCAAGCCAGGCCAAAGGAGCAAGATGCATCCGTTCCTAACAACGTGACCCTTCCTTGGTAGGGGAAATCTTCGATCATAGCGAATCAAGCCTGGGAACTGTCTGCCAAACGGTACAAAGAGGTACACGAAAATATGAACGAGGTACCCTGGGCCCGTTAGCGTCCCTGCCCTGCCGCAGGTCTGTTCTCCCCACATCTGCAAACGGAGATCCTGTAGCTCGCTTCCATTTTCGCTGCCGCGGGCACTACTGAACGCTGCCCTCGCATGCATGCCACGACCATTGCGTGCGTCGCCTGACGAACACTCGCCGCCCGGAGTCGGACTACGGCCTCCCGTACCTGAATGGTATGTAACAAGAATAGGATCCTGGCAGGAAGTTGTCGGAGTATTGGTGTTTTCAACACACGGCGCTCGACTAGAGTCTATGAACGGAGACCCCCAGCAGAACGTTTCGCGGCTAGTCAAAACGCTTCATCTATTACCGTTCTAGAAGACCTTCTAGCGCGCGTTGGTTGCAGCGATCATTTCCAGGAGGCCAGCCACAGCTCAATCAAAAACTCGTGCTTTCGGACTGCAATTCCACGGTCGCGTGGATGGCGTCCAGTAACAACGCTACAACAGATGTCCCTGCTGACGACTAAATGGCAGGCTTCAGTCGTGTGGTCGTTTGCGCAGAGCCCTGACAGCATCTAGCGTATATGCTTGCCGCGTTATTCTCCGCGCGCCCCTTCACAGCGTGTGCGTCCGTGCCGCGCACTGCAGCAACTGCATGGTGGGGTCGGTACCCAGGTTTCTTTGTCGACCTCATTTGCACAAATGAAGTCTCCACGACTTTGCAATCTCAACACTACCGGAAAGTGTGGAGGAATGTGGAGGGCCACAACAGCGCAATGTGGCAGCTCAATACCTCAGTAGGGGTGGCTTTGACATCCGCAGCGTATTCGTCTACCGTGTACTGCGGTGTTACCATTGGAATTGTACTTACCTGGATTGTCCTTGCGAAGTACCGCACCAACCCCGGCTGAGCGGAGCGTAAGGGGCGGGTACTCGAGCACTGTTGGGACCTGTACATCATTAGCAAGTGCCGACGCAAAGACAACTCGCAAGCTACCACAGACCGTGCGTTCCGCCTCACCTTGCTGTGGAAAAACGGCGCGACGCTCAAGGTGCATCTGAACGTGTCTCCGTTAAGATGAAACTGAGCTGTGGGCAATGAACCACCCCACAATGTTTGCGGGCAGCGGACAGCCACGCAGGTCGACCCCACCACCCCAGATCAGCAAGTCATGAGACTTCGGCTGTATCTAGCTCAGGACTGTACCAAAGAACAGCCGGCCAACAAAAAGGCGCCCCCCAAGTAGCACAGAGACGATCGTGACCATGGGACCAATGCAGATCTGGGGTGCATTGCAGTGAGCGACGACCTGCATCCCTCATATCCAAGATCTTTGACGCCTTCCATACATACACGGGGCCACCAGCATACGAGCAATGCCAAGTCCGAAGTATCCTGCTGGTCTAGGAAATGGACAGCCACGATCGTCTTTGGGTGGGGAAGCTGTGTTGCGTGACCCAGCTCTGGCTGAGTGGCTACTCAACGAGAAGCTGCATGCTCAATAATTCTGCGTCGTCCGTGATTCTGCGTAAGACGTCGGGCCGTAGAGGGGCACTTGTTCAGTTGGGCAGCTTCGGCAGCCACACCGTGCCGGAGACAATACCGCAGCAGAGAAATGACAACTGACATGGCGTACAGGTGTGGCACAAATCTGGTAGCGAAACAGTGACAAGTTCCAGGTGCTACCACGTACCAAGGTACGTCTCCACTATGTCACTGGCCAACTGCACCTCAATAATTCATATCACATGGCTACCCAACCACTACCGACTGCAGTCGGCCAGCTCTACTCCGACCCTAATCTGCGTCATTATTCTCGCCACTTGCCGCAGCCTCCACTACGAATACCATCAAATCTCCGAAGACGATTTTGGCGTCAATAACGAGACGTTCGCGATATGGGCCTTTGCCAATACGGCCCAGCGGAGCCACGAAGCAAATCGGCTCAGCGGCAGTCGCCCACGGCACCAGCCCTCCATAAGCATGTCAGCCTCCAACAGCAGGACATGACGACTGACAGCATGGCGCGCTCACCGATGCCCTCTCGCGCGCGCCTATTCAGTCTAGGAGGCACATCCTGCCCATGACTCCAATATGTCCGCACTCAGTGCTTCGGCGTGGCCCGTGGGCCGTGATATCAGTAGGGATCACGGTGCGCGCTCCGACACCAGATGCGACGGTTGCACTGCCCGATCCCTGGCGGAGCGCGCTCAATGGAGCACAGACTGGCGAGCACACTGTGAGCTGGCAGCCGGGCTACTCACCTGTACTGCTTCATGCAGAGGGGTGGCTTGCAGTCAACTTGCGCCATCCTAATCCCGTCCTGAAACCGCAAACCCAGCTATAGTACCAAAAAAACGGAGGAGCGCCTCTTTCTGCGCGAGCACCACCGCATGCGCGCCGCTGGCTAGCCCGTTGCAAGACGGCCGCTCTCGACGACCTTACTTCATGAGGCGCGTGCAGCGTGCAGCGACCTGAGAATTGAGTTGTTCGCTCCGTCGGTCGCGCACGTCGGTTGGACTGGCGCGCACGCAAGGCAGCATTAACGTTTGTTATGGACCGGCTTGCTGAGCTATAGGACTACGCCGCTTTGGGCCGCTGCGTTGATCGACCGGCGGCGCCTATCCGCTCGCCCTGCCATGTACTATCCGTCTGCCTTATGCTATCTCGTGATGCCGACGCGACTCAGCGGTGCTGGCCCTGGCCCGGCTTGTGGATCCTTCCCGTGCCAACAAATTGTTCGAGAAGGTGTTCGCAACGGCGAGCTAGCACGGAGGCTTGATATCTGCTCTCCACTATAGACGGCCCATGACTCGATTTTTGTGGATGTTGATGTATAATGATTGCAAGTAAGAAGGGATTTTGATTGCTGATGGATGCGCGGGACGAACAACATCGCTAAAGTGATAGGGGACGAATGTGAACGCGCCGCCGTTTCGAAGGAAGGATATCGTTTACGGAGTGCCAACGCAGAAAGTGGGAAGTGGTATAATGAGAAAATTGCAAGCCCAGCCACCGCAGACAAACACAACTCCAACGCCCTTACCAACACCAATACCAGACATCCCCATCTATCATAAAATCATATCACAATCCGTGAAGCCATAAGTTTTCCCGCTAGAAGTTCCCAGGAATAATAGAAGTAACAGAGCAATATGTGTGCCGCAATCTAAAGGGGTGCTTCGAGCTCCGAACTCGAGAGCATGAGGCGGTGTGTCTTCTGGAAGACCTAGAGCGCGAGACCAGTTCCATCGCCGCTCCAGCGGTACAGGCTGAGCATCTCGCGTCTCCTTAGCTGCGCGAACTCGGCATTTTCGTCCATGCCGCGCCCACGCACCTGTTGTAAAGCCGAGCGCATCACCTTGCGGAAATTTCTCTGCAATGTTTGGTCAGCATGATCGCCTCTTATTTTCCGAGATTATGGGGAGCGACGCATGTGTGGCGATTGAAACGGTGAGGGATGAGGCTGAATGCAGGAAGTTCGCGTCCCAGACGGGTAATAGGGTGGAAGCACGAAGCTGCAACTGCCAAACCCAGGTACAGGTGCTTCAAGGGGCATTAGAATGTAAGAGATCTGGGGATTCTTACCTGGTATTCGGTATTGAGGGTTACGATACACGCTTCATGCGCTCGGACGATCGTCTCACAAGCCTTGACGACGTTCGGATTGGCTTCGCCTTGCAGCTTGTCGGCTATGAGCAGCAGCAGGAAGCTACCCTGCAGGAGGTAGATTCCGAAGAAGAAAGGCATGAAGCTGAGATCAGGATCGAGTTCCAGAATTTCGTTGAGTGCTTCAGCAGCTGCGACCGCATGTCCGGTAGCGTCGATGAAGCTCTGGGATGATATCCAGAGATCATTGTCGTCGAGCAATGAGATAGGATCCCATTTGCCGTTGAGTAGTATGTGGAGGGTATGCATGATGTGCGTGCCGTAGGCTACTACGATTCTCGCGCGCATGAGCGACTCTTGGGCTCTAGAGGTTGTAGAATTCACTGATCGAGCGGACGGAGTACCTGGGTGGATCGGCTCCTGGACTTCGGCGTTTGCCTCTGCGATAGCTCTTGTCTTCAACTCTCGAAGCGAATGGCCATACACCTCTAGCTGCCGGGTGATCTCCGCCGCGTGATCGTCCCAATTTGTCTTTGAGCCGAATCGGGGATGGTTTCTTGCATGATGGACTTCAACGATTTCGCCCAAAATACTCATTAGAGGGAGAAAGAATCCAAATGTGGATGTCCCAGTGCACTCATATATGGGTCCTGTGCTTCTTCGAACGGTAGGATCTGAGAATGATTGAGCGGGGTTTCCAAAGAGAGCCGGTGATTGCCATACATCATCAGACACAGGTGTCTGCAGTTCGCTGCACTCGATATCGAGCAGCGATAATGGCCTGTTGTAGCATAGTGCCAGGTGCCGATCAACCGTGTAAAGCATCCACCAAACGCGACGTCGCTCTTCTCGTTGCTCCTCGGTGAGATTGATCGAAGCGTTCTGACCAGGCGTAGGGCCACCAACACGCTCTGAGTCAAGGTCGGATCGGCCTTGTGGGTTTTCCTCGGGCGGTGGGGTCAACGGCACCTCCTTGCTGAGTTTCAACTCCCTGGCCAAACTCCAGGCCGCATTCCACCATCGCAGCGATGCGGCCTTGTACTCACTGGCGCTTATGACGACTGCGAGATTAGCGTACGTACAGACATCATCAATGCCACCTGGAGCGCCCGCGGAGCTAGCTGCATAGCTTCTCTGCCACATGCCTTCGCCAGGTAATGCTATTTCCGGGTCCTGTGTTGAAATGCCAAAATTGTTCATTGTTGCACCGGAGCTGAATGTGGGGCTCGCATCTTCGCCTTGTGATTGGTGCACCAGGGGCTTCAAGAGGGATATGGTCAAGTTGATGAGCCTCTCTGACAATTGGCTTCGTGCGGATGGTGACGAAGCCAGGTACGGAGACTCGCTTGTCAGACATCCGATCCAGAGCATGCTAGCTAGTAGCGCTGGGCTACACACGCGTGGAGTATTGTGCCGCAAGAACGACTCTTTCCGGAACACGTAACAAAGCACGTAGGGGCTTGTGGGCTGCATGAAGGCAGTGCTAGAGCTCTGAAAGTAGAGCTCCAGCAAATCACAAGCCAGAGATACGGGCATAATATTCGTCAAATGGGGCACCAGGGGCGCAAGGACCGGGTATCGTAGTTGCTGGGAACTCGATGGATGTGCGTTCGGGTAGATTGTTGCAGACGGGGACGGCAGTGATAGCCACCCTGGCGAGCCGGATGTAGGGGAGGTTGTGATGTAGCCTGGCAACGGTGATTCTGCGTGAGGCATTCTGAACGAGTTCGAAGGCCCTTGGGCGCTTTGTGGACTCATCATCTCGTAAGGGCTCTGTGCATATTCGGGCATGTTGGAGGGAATGATGGGATGCATCATCTGGTGAGGTTGCTGGTAGGCACGATTGAAGTCGTCCATGGTGGTGTACTCGGGGATTGAATGACTGTGCATTGGCAAGCCCTGGGTCTGGATCCGTGGTGGCTGCATGGGGTGGTGCATGCTCTCGCCCATCTGGTTCTCTGGGATGGAGTCGATGGCGCTCATGCTCATGGTCCGTGATACCGGGTTGACGCCGGGGAACATTTGGGCGCTTTCCATGTCACGAGTGGTGGCGATGCTGGCAGACCTGCCGGGTTGTGGCAGGTTTGGCGGAGGCAGGTCAGGCAGAGGTCGCTGGCCGTCGGGTAGCTCCGCAGCTGGGGAGGACTCCTTCTGGTCGTCAGGATGACCGGCACCGCGCGACTGAGGGCTCCCCGATGTAGACTCGCCAGAGGGCGGCGCCGTGCCATTTGCGGCGGCGGCGGCGGCAGCTGCAGCGAGGTCCTTTCGAGATGCCTTGCCGCGCTTTTTGCGCTCGCGCATGTACTCGCATGTCAGACCGAACTCTGCAATGCGGTTAGTGTCAGGCTTGTTCGACAGCGGCGACGGCTGTCAAAGTCGCTTGGTGGACCCTGTGGAACATACCTATACAATGGGCACACTACGCGGCGTTAGCAACTAGTCAAGGCCATCACGGCAACGTCAGCGACTCACAGGTGCCTTGCCATCGCACTTCGTCCGCAACTGATTACACTGATCACACGCTCGGCTGATTCTGCGTCGCACTGGCCCTGCAGCGGCAGCACCTCGTCCTGCGCGCTCGTGCAGCATCGCATCACGCTGGCTGCGCGGCGCTGCAGCAAGAGGCCCGTTGGCGTAGGGTAGGCGGTGCGGCTTGACGAGGCCCTTGCCTGGAGGCAGGACATGACGGTTTTGATGGAAGTGCAGCGCGTACTGCGAGGTATGAGCCAATGTATCAAGCGGCGACGGCCCCATGTGCTGCGCAGCGTAGTGGTGTTGATGCTGCATTGGTGGAGGAAATTGCTCGTATTGGTGGAGACTTGTCGACATCATCCTTCTAGCGCCGGCCTCGGCCACAACTGCACCGCGCGACAACGACGGGTAGGGCTCAATGGCGGTGGCGGGGATATTAAACCAAGTGAGAAAGAATCAACAGAGGAAGGTGCGTAGATGAGGTGCGATACGTGGTCGAAGTACGCTCAGCGCCGGGCTGGGAGAGATGTCGTCAGGGCGGATGCAGGTCAGAGGAAGGTCCACGCTGCTCTTTTGACTTGGTCGCCCGTGTCCCTGAGTACAATATAGGTAGCTGCCGGCCGCAGGCTTCTCCGCCTCGAGCCAGGTCATGTCTTAGTGGTGCCCGCGGGGTATAGCACAGGCTGCCAGTGCGTGAGGTGCAGGGTGGCCAATACCGGATAGCATGGGCAGCGACCTCCCATCTCCGGGTCTACTAGCTGCGTCGCGCGTCAGAAAACTGCTGGGCCACATGGGCTGCTCTGCAAACGAGATGGGCAATGGCTTCTGCACGCCGGGTTCGAGCCAAGGCCTCCTGTCCCCAGTCATCACGCCTCAGCAGTCACCCCGGCACCGCCTAGGGTCCCTGGCACCGCGCAACGCTTCCACGTTGAGCACAGGGCACAAAGCCGCTTGATCGTCGGTGCCGCGAGCTTGAGCGGATGCACCCCAAGCTGGTCGCCGCGTCAAGGCCCGTAATCAAAAAAGATATTGCTTGATCGGTGCCATCCCAGCCCTATATGTGCTCGTCTTAGGAGCGCCATACTGTACCGATGCCGGCTAGAGGTACCGTTATGTACCCCCGTACCGCCAATGCCACCATCAGATCCGTCGCTCGACTGACTGGCGATCTAGAAACGACCTGCGCTATGATTGGGGCCCACAGCCCACTCTTGTGCATTTGCCAGCAACATCTCCCCATCGTGGCACGGGACCATCAACTCGGCGCACTCGACCGCCTGCTGAACCCTTTCATCAGTATGCGCTGCCCGGCTGTAGACTCCTCGAACAACGAGAACCAAGTTGCTGCCCCCCAGCTGCGACCGGTTACGGTTCAAGGCTAGCCTTCCGCCACACCCTGCCAGTCATCGCATCCTGGTGAAGAATCCGTCTCGCCAGCCTTCCGCAGCCTGTGCGGATCAGCCTTTCATCCAGAATTCTCCCAGAAGAAGCCGGCGGGCATGAATCAATGCTAGCGGTGCTCCGATGGAATCGGACTGAGGGGCTTCCAAAACACTTCGATCCTCCGCGATCCGACCTGGAAACGAACCGCCTCTCAAAGGCATTCTCGGAGGCTACCGCATGAACTTGCCCTCCGTGATCAAGCTCGGTAATGCATCTCGTAAATATCTTTAGGAAATTGAGCTCTTGAAAGGTCACCTGCATATGGTTCACACATAATGGGCCGTGTGGAGAGACTGCGCAAGCTCTCCTCTATAATACCTCAGTTATGATAATAAGAGGTCCAGAATGGTAGGCCGTGCCACGGCCAAGTCCGCATGCCTTGTCCAGGTGCGGCCAACAAGCAAAGTGGCGTGCGAATGTTGCAGACGGCGCTCGCTTAGACACACTGCCCGTCCTTCTCCACTCATCCACATATTTTCAAAAGTATACCTGAATCCGCTAAAACAGTGGCTTCAACGGTGGAGAAAACGTGGTCTTGCCGTTGCATAGGCCGTCGAGAGCCTATCAACACCACATCGGCCGCCGCCATTGATCGGTAGATTCTGGTGATTGGCTGTCACTCTAAAGCCAGCGGATCGCTCCGCATTTCAGCGCCTGGCATTTTGCTTTACCCCATTCACTGTCTCGTGCCTTTGGTTCCTTGGCAGCATTCAGCTGCAGGAACGTATGTCGAGTGGTGCAAACATTTGGCTACGTCCACAGGGTCTGGCGATCAATAGCGCAGTTCCGCAAAGACCAACGAGTGACCGGCAATTCGCAGTCAGGGTCATCGTTGCAATTATCCAAGGAAGCAAAGCTTCCGAGACCATCTCCATCCAAGGCCTAGGGGACCGTCCCATAGCATAAATTTGTGAAAGATGTGAACGACGAAGAGCTTTGTTGACGAAAAGGCTGAGTACAATGTCCAGGCGCCGAGTCCACGAAGGTGATCGACTGGGCCTAAAACTCGCCTCGCGAGAGTTGGGGCGGGAAGAATGTGGTCGTCACTACACCGTTTCGGGAACGGGTGGTTTTCTCCGTTCGTACCCACCCCACCGGCTTCGGGCGAACCGTTCGTGGCTCTTACTTTGTGGTCTGGCTTCTTGTTGAGGCGTTCTATAAGGTTCACGTCAACATCGCTTAGCGGTAGACGGACCAGATCAAATATTTTTCTCCAGAGGTGGTCCACTTGAGGTGAAGTCGCGCCCACCACAGGGAACGGAGAGGTCTTGACTGGGATCGCTCCCGAATCCTTCTGCCACTCGGTCTAAGCCGAGAACTGTTAGCGTTCACACTTTGATCCCGATCAGTAACGGTCCAACTAATCTGAACATGGATTAGTCGAAGCCGCAACACAGTCGAATGTGCAATTAATTGTAGCCAATGAGCGCCGGCAATTTTTGGAATATATGAGAGGCTGCAGCATCATAATAGCAGTCGTACAGCTGTCAGTCCATTATCAGCGAGCTGAATCGGCCCAGGAGAAGCAACGTCATTGAGCCTTTCTGATGAACGGAATCAATAAACCATATCTTTACCGGTAGAATCGTCTCGCGAGCACTTCCACCGCACGCTGCGCGCTTCTATGATAGGCGACTCTTTGTGTTTTGGGGGTACATCCAGGGCTTCGAATAAAGTAGCAGTCGACGCGTAACTTCACTGCTAAGCTAACGTCATCGTGACCGAAACGGCCAAGGATAATCCCACTGGTGGCTGTATGGAAAGCAGCTGTTGATACTGTGGTCCATCTCGTACGCACCAAAGACCATGACGAGTAGATCGCGAAAAGGTCCATGTTCCTTCTACTGAGGATCGGCAGTGGCTGAAGGATCAGAGTTGGTGAGATGACTTGGGATGTACTTCTCAGCGCCGGAGTCGGTTCGGCTGCCCTAGATCCCGCCTTTGGAAGACAAAGCTCCGTAACCAGGCGCAAGACGTCAGCAAGACTATCAAGAAAACCTACAATAGAGAGGACATGCTCAGGCGACAGGATAACTGCCGACTGGCAAGGCGATTGCTGACAGCCTCTACTTATTCCCAGTGAAGAGGCTCCCAGAATAAAACATGGTTTGGACCCCAAAAATTTCTGCCCACAGCATGGCTCACGAAGCGTACCACCAACAATGAGACCTGCATGGCGGCCTTCCTCTTGTGGTCTTACGGTGAGATAATCTGCCTCGTCCACCCTTGATTTGCTATGCACAACGAGGATCGCGCAGCTTTATGCGACTTATCCTAAAGAATGCGCAGAAGCTGCTCTCCTGGCCTGTGAATATTGAGCGCTCTGGAAACGCGAGCGCGTTCGGGTTCGCGTATCCAACGCGTCCTTGGTGAGACGAGTATCCAAGGCTGTCCTCAAGTCACAGGGATCCCCGTGAAGTGGCGGCGCTTCATCCGAACAGCCACAGCTGAGCAACACCAGCCCTTTTGAGGTACGTCGGGACTGTGAAGAGAGAGTGAAAGGGGCGCAGGTAGTCCACATGCAGTGTGTGAGGCTCGAAGATAGAAGACGAAAAGCGCCGCTAGCCGGAGGCACTAACTTTGGTGGGGTCGTAGCTGCCAAAGCTGTTCGACAGATACGTCACCCCGCTATGCGACCTCGACACCAAATTTGACCGCACCCCATAGCGATCTCGCATTGATCCATACAACCAATCATCCGCCCGACCCCATAAACGCTACGACATCATGTCTGTCGAGACTATCACGACCATATCACCGGTCACCAACAAGCCAATTCTCACCCGCAATGGGTTGTCGGATGCCGATATCACCTCTATACCAGAAACAGCTGCTCGGGCATTCGAGGCCTACCGCCGCACAACTCTCTCGGATCGGCAAGCAATCGTCAAGAAGGCTTTGAAGCTATTGGATGAGCGCCAGGATGCTTTGGGCAAGGAGCTCACTGAACAAATGGGCCGTCCTATCAGCTACACACCCAAGGAAATCACAACTGCAGTAGCACGTGGCGAGTACATGCTGAAGATTAGCGAAGAGGCTCTGAAGGCGACTGAAGGCGAAGCGGAGAAAGGCTTCAAGCGCTACATCAAGAAGGTTCCTGTGGGGCCGGTGTTGATCCTTTTCCCATGGAATGTGCGTTCAATACACCTCCATTGCCAACATCCTCCACTGACGCACCAGTAGTACCCGTACCTGACACTTGTCAACTCACTGATCCCAGCTTTGCTCGCTGGAAATTCTGTGATCTTGAAGCCTTCTCCTCAAACACCTACAAGCGCGGAGCAAATCAAACAGATCTTCGCGGACGCTGGCTTGCCCGAAGGGGTCCTGCAAATTTTCCACAGCGGATCTATTACCCAGATTGAAGCCATTGCACGGTCACCTCAGATCCAGCTAGTATGCTTCACTGGATCTGTTGCCAATGGACTCGCCATACAGACCGCCGCTAGCGACCGTGTACCGATTCGCGTCGGGCTCGAGCTTGGAGGAAAGGATCCTGCATATGTCCGATCTGACGTCGACATCAAGTGGGCTGCTGAGGAGATTGTCGACGGTGCAGTCTTCAACTCGGGCCAGAGCTGCTGCAGTGTGGAACGCGTCTACGTCGATGAAAAGATTCACGACGAATTTGTAAGTGCGCTTCAGGACGTCCTGAAGGGCTACAAGCTCGGCGATCCCATGGAAAAGGACACGCATGTTGGCCCAGTGGTGTCATCGCGATCCGCAGACTCCATTCGTGCACACATCAAAGAAGCACTCAAGAAAGGTGCCAAAGACGCAACTCCAGACAACGAGTCCTTCAAGTCCCCTCCAGCAGACGGAAACTATGTTGCTCCCACGCTCTTGATCAACGTCGATCACAGCATGGCGGTGATGACCGAAGAAACCTTTGGTCCAGTGATTCCAGTCATGAAGGTCAAGAACGATGCCGAAGCTATCAAGCTGATGAACGATAGCCAGTTTGGTTTGACAGCCAGTATCTGGACCAAAGACACCAACAAGGGTCACGAGCTCGTTGAAGACGTCGAGGCTGGCACTGTCTTTGTCAACCGATGCGATTACCCTGCACCAGTAAGTAATTTGGTTGCTCTCGTGGGAGCACGTGATGACTTGAACTCTTAGGACCTCGCCTGGGTAGGATGGAAAGACTCTGGAAAGGGCCAGACGCTATCCAGATTTGGGTTTGACCAATTTGTCAAGCTCAAGAGCTACCATGTGAAAGATTACCCGAAATAGATGGCTGTACACGGTACGACGAACCATCCCGTGGTTTGAAACGCTGTGTCTCGCGCTCCTAACAACCACAGTACATATATGGGAAATTGCCACAGCGGGGTCGACCCGAGCACGACGTTACTTTGTGGACCAAACCGGTGAGAGGGTAGTATTATGCTTAAGATAGCCAACCGAGCGACGCTTCACCATACACTTCTTCGTTTGTCTACGACACTCGATCGCAGAGTGTATCGGAGCTTCGCCTAGATGCAGCCATAATATTACCATTTCCAGAATCAGCAAGGCGGATCATCGTCTCCTCGCATCTCAAACGCGCGTTTTGGTACCTGAATGAGAAATGAGCGCCTTATGCAAGGTCGGTGGTACAACGGTGTGGGACTTACCTAAAGATATCGCGACTACCAACGTCACGCGTCATTTCAGTGACACGAATTTGCGGCCCAACTCTGAAGGTCTTACCTATTCTCGACGTAGCTCTCGCACCGTCCACAGACATATCAACAGATACAGACGGCCCTTGATGGCTTGTTGGAGAGGCCAGTGATAATGTCCCTGCGCATTCCGGTCACAGGCAGAGATTTCTGCCTATTCCATCCAACGATTGCGCATCGAGGAATGTGGCACCTTGAGATTGACTCGTCAGCGCAAGGAATCTGTCGCCCTCGCTCCGTCAGACCCGTCGCGTGGCAGAACGCAAGTTTCTCATTGCTTGGGAAACTGTTTCATGCCACTTCCTTTATAAGCGCCCACCCTTGGGGATCACGAGTCCTCCTCCGCCGACCTGTCCTCACCCCCGTCGATGATCTGATCTTTCATACATTGACGCTTCGCCATACTTTTGCCCTTCACCTCAACTTTAATAGTTACAAAGCCCGCGTCCTTTTATAATTCCTTCAGCCATTAGACCCATCTCTTCAGAATTTTAGTCGACAGTTTCCTCGCGACCATGGGATTCAAGACCGCCGTCAACAAGATTAAACGAACCCTCCTCTGCTGCAGGAAAGAAAAGAAAAAGCCGCTGCTGAAAATTGTACACATCGTCTGGCTACACACGTCGCTATAACCTCCCACTCTGCTGACCCCATCATAGGGCCCTACCACCGACGTCCGGCGGATGAACATCACCGAAGGCATGCCCGATCTGACAGAAGCAGAGTGAGTTTTTATCCCATGTACCTTCTTCTTCTCCGTCCTCCTCCTCCCTATCCCATCCTTTCCGATACGGTACACTGACGTTCCCCAAGTGCAAAGCTCATCCAAGAAAAAGCAACTCACGACGCCTACCGCCTCCTCTCCCTGCAATCTCACCCCCCAACCCAACCCACCACACCCCTCCCCACGAGCCCCACAGACCCCTTCGCTTCTTCCTCGGCCCTGAGCCCTACACCCACAGATCCCTTCGCCTCCGCAGCCCCCTCCGCCGCAGCATCGACGACGCACCTCCCCTCGCCATCGTCTGCGCACAGCCGGAGCCGGCTGAATCCCGCCGCTCCTGGCCCAGAAGAATGTGGCAGAGAGAGCGGCAAGGAAGGAGAAGACGTGGGCGTGGGCAAGAAAATCTGGGATCGCACGCGCCGTCTGTCCGGCCTGAGTCGGCGGAGTAGCACGCGCTCTACCGCCTTGTACACGCCCTCCCGCCGGCGAGACGAACCTGCTGCCGGGGTGGTCATCGAGCTCGAGGACTCCCAGCGCTATGAGGAGGAGAAGGACAACAGGGATACGAAGGCGGGTGCGAGTGTCACTGTCAGTGGGATTGGGAGGGGGTTCGAGGTCGTGGGGACGGTGGGGGGGACGCCTACGAAGGAAGCCAAAGGGAAGGCGGCGCCGGGGAGGGGCAGGGTGGTGAGTAGTCCTCTTATCGAGAGGGCGGGAAACGCGGGGGATTCGGGTGGGGAGAGTAGTGAGGACGAGGTGGAGAGGAAGCCCTTGGTGAGGGTGTAGAGGATATGGTGTGGTTGTAATTGCATGTGTACTATTAGTTGAACGTTCGATGGCGGGCGGCTGGGTGGATGCATAGGCTAGACTTGAAGACAAGATTGTTATGTTGGCTGGCCGGATAGATGCATTAGAGCTAGTGCGTACGCATTGCGCTGCACTTTGAAAATGCATCGCCCTACTCTTCTTCTCTGCGGTAGCGCAGCGTAGTGTACCTTGACACGTCATCTTGCGCTTCACCCGCACCGCAGTCCCCGCCCTTTGGCTGGCCATGTCGAATCATGACGCCAAATGATGCTGCCTGCTCGAACCCGCAACCCCATATCCCAACTCATACCCTGAACACGCTCGACTTACTCCTTACCCCGTCGAAAACACACGTATTATCCACCGGCACATACTGCTCCGTGATGACCTTGATAACCTCCTGGCTCACCATGCCGCCCGTCAACGCAGCGATATTATGCAGCTCGCCGCCCCCAGCGCGCACAAATTCCTGCGCCAGCTCTGCGATTTGCGCCCGAACGCCATCATACTCCTCTTCGTCGATGGTATAGCTCGCTTCCTTGACGAGGCTGTCTACGAGCTTCAGCGCAGTACTGGTCACTTTCTCGGTGTCGGAGTCGACGTCTGCGTCGGAGAAACCGGGCGGCTTGGGGGTGTTGGTGAGGTTAGAGGCGGTGTGGGTGGCGATGAATTTGTCCCAGGCGAGGAAGGCGATGTAGATGGGGAGGAGCGAGTCGGGGAAGGTGAGTTTTTGTGCTGTGTACCCATGTTAGTCTTGCGGAGGCAACCAGACAGGTAGGAATGACTTACCTAGCGATTTAGCGTTTGCCCCAAACTTCAGGTCGCCCTCCGCCGGGACGATGTGGAACGGCCGTCCGCGGACAAGCTTGATATGCGCTGCATTCTTGCAGAAGGCTTCTACGTCCTTTTCCTCGATGTGGGTGCTCATGTTTGCGTTGCGCTCCAAGAACCGCACGCTCTCCAGCACCTCTGCGAGGTCTTTCCGCGCCTTGGACTTGTATACGTTCTGCAGCTGGATGTAGTCTGCGGAGCGCGCCTTCATGTCCGGTACAGCGCCGGGTACGGGCAGCACGCCGTACTTTGTGTAGAAGAGACCGATTGCGTGCGCGATGACCCAGAAGGGCGGCGAGTTCTCGCGTATTATGACGCATTCTGGGACCTTGAAGATTTCCTTGACGGCGCTGCTTGGCTCCGGGGGGTTGAGAGACTTGAGGACCGCCGAGACGGCTTCCTCGAAGTTCTCCTCGCCGCCTTCGGGGGTGTCTGTCCGTGTGGCAGCTGCGACGAGATCGCGGAAGGCGGTCTTGTCTTTGTAGTTCTGGGGTACCTCGCCGTTGTGTTCCTTCTTCCAGACTTCAAGGTAATGCAGCAGAATGGCAACGTAGGGTATGTGGCCGTGGTCATCGGCTGCCATGGTCTCTATGCCCTTTGTCTTGTCCTCTGCGTATGCGAGCAGCTCGGGCCATGGTTTCAGCAACCGCAGGTCTGTTGTGGTTTCGGGGCTTGGATGTGTGTCGACAATAGGGAACGCTGGCGGAAGGTGTATGGAGAAATGCGAGTAGAAGCCGACTGAGTGTATGTAGAAAAGCGGGACGAGTGCTTGGTCTGCGTGTGCGGCGAGCTTGGTGAGGAGCCCTGGGTGGATGGGCGCGGTCACGATGATGAGCGTGTAGGGTTTGAGTGCGTCTGGCTGGGCGAGCCACGACTCTACGGGCTTTGGACGAGTCAGCAATGTATGCATGACGAGGGCGGGTACGTAGGCACCTCGGAGATGAAGTGGCCTTGCACGTCCGGGTTGAGCTCTTTCAGCAGATTGCACGTGTGCTCTGCGCGGAAGCCACCCAGATGCTCCTCTTCCAGGAAGAAGTTGACGCCCAAGTCTGCCTCGTCGACTATGGCCGAGTCCTGTATCGTGAAGTTGCCGGCGCCGGGAAGCACCAGGTTCTTCAGTGTCTCCAGGCCGACCACACCCGGGCCCGAGTTTATGAGGACGATGTGCGAGTTCTCGAGCGCAATCTGGCCGGCGGCGCCCCACAGACGCAACTGGCGGTCGTACCTGCGCTGTTTAGAAGGCGTCGGACGAGACAGCACGGCTGGCCTTACTTCTTCTCCTTGGCCGTGGGACCTTGCACGGGGGGCGGGAGGTCTGCCATGGCGACGCGTGCGAGAGGAAACACAGAGGGTCGGTGGGAGCCGACGCGCAGAGAGCGAGCGGGAATGCGTTCGAGTCGCGCTCCAGGTTGCCGCAGCTCCAGGCACCGGGCCATTCTGCCGCCGCGCACCGCCCACGCCGCTCGGGGCTGCGCGCCAAGCGGATGGCGGGGCACCGGGCTCGCGTCACTCTTCGGCGGCGCGTGCCCCTCGGTGCGCCATGGGCCCCGCAGCCCAAGCCAGAATATTTCTCGACGTTGGATGCCCATCTGCGACTTCGGCCTTGTTGCCAGGAGCCTCGAGATAGCACTTTCGGACTCGGTTCATGAGCTCCTCTCCCCCGCCCCTCCGCCTTTTGTCCCGCATCACTCAGCAAGCTCCACGCATCCGTCATCAGAAACACCAATTGCGGGCCCATACCACCCCATTGACTGCTTGTACATTGTCAGCACCTTCCACCGGTACAAGAGCACCTTGCAGCAGTTTCTCCGCGCCCTTCCCCAGCAGTCATCGCTCTCCACACCCCGCACGACTCTTCTCCAGTTCGCCCACCATGTCCGACGCAGCTGTCGAGTCCGCCAAACGCGCCGCCGCGCAGCAGGCCGTAAAGGACCACTTCGACCCTACCGCGACCAACGTTGGCATTGGCTCTGGCACCACCATCGTCTACGTCGTCGAGGCCATAAAACAAGTTTCCACGAACCCTGCCATCCGCTTCATCCCCACGGGATACCAATCACGCCAGGTCATCGTGCAAGCGGGCCTGACGCCCGTAGCCTTCGACTCTCTTCCCGAAGACACAATGTTCGACGTGGCCTTTGACGGCGCAGACGAAGTCGATGCGGAGCTGAACTGCATAAAGGGTGGCGGCGCGTGCTTGTTCCAGGAGAAGCTGGTTGCAGAGCGCGCAAAGAAGTTTGTCTGTGTTGCGGGTGGGTCCTTGTCCTCTTCTACACCCAAGACCGCTGGAAGGGGCTGCTAATCTGAATGCGAACAGACTACCGCAAAAAGCAGGACCGCCTCCTCACGGTCTGGCCCACGATACCCATCGAAGTCGCTCCCATCGCCGTCCCCACCGTCCTCAAGGGCCTGCGCACCCTCGGCTCCAACAACCCCAAGCTACGCACCACCTTGCTCGAGAAGTCCGGGCCCTTGAAAACAGACCAAGACTTCTTCATCGTAGACGCGCCATTCAAGACGCTGCTCTGCGAGTCGGACGTGAAAGCAGGCAAGGGCAAGGGCGACGGCAGCGACGGCACGTGGGAGGTCAACAAGCTGAGCGAGGCCGTCAAGGCGCTCACGGGTGTGCTGGAGGTCGGCATATTCTCCGGGCTGAACGGCCCAGATGCCGAGAAGATACGGTCGACAGACGGCGTCAGGACCGTCACCAGCGGGCAGAAGCCTGTGGCGGTATACTTTGGGATGCAGGACGGTACCGTGGAGGTTCGGACGGCGAAGTAGAGCTACCGCCTCCGGTTGCGGGGTGCATGGGTTCACTAATCTAGATGTCGCGCTTAGGTACCGACCCGACTTGTTCGGGCGTGTTATTAGACGCATGTGAGATCTTATGCCAATTTATATCTTCGGCGAGCTCTTATCGTTTGTTTGAAGCTCGTATCCAGAATCCCGAGAGAATTATGGGCAGGCGGAGTGATTGAAAAAGTAGGAGCTCATGGGAATGCGGAAGCAGTACACTGGCAGCGTTCAGGCAGCGACTCTTGCTGTACGCTTTTACATCAATAGTCGAACTGTCTGGAACGCTCGCATGTACTGCGGCAAGATGTGAAGTCCTCTGTATCGTCTTTGATCCTACGTGTATTCAAGGTGACGACTTGTGTATTGAGCATTAGCCTGACAGCCTTGATGTTATTCGCACTCGAGCGCACGGCTACGCATGGGTACACTGTACGTGCCTGCTATGAACGTCGATTGCAAAATAAAAATAACACGGATATCGAGCATTTGGTAGCCTGATCTGTTGAGATGGTAAACTTTCTTGTATAATTAGTCACATTAAGCTCTGTCCAGTATAATTGGATGGCAGCAGCCGGACGTTCTCTACGGGTCCGAGGTGAGGTCTTGACAAGGTCGTACAAACCCGTATAACCCAGCCACATCCATGCATGGTCGCCTACGTGCAGAAGCAGGCTGAAACTGTCAAGGCTTTGACATCGCGGCCACGCAACAGAAGAGTCCTCAGCAATACCTCGCCCAGCAACACCTCATCCAGCAGCTTCCCACCCAGCGATTTGGCCAGCATCAATTGCAACACCGGCAATACATGGGCAAGTGGGCACGGCGGCGTCTGAGCGACCTCCAAGAGGATGGCGACTTGTAAATCTCACATGGCAAAAACCTCGTCGCATTGGCTGCGATTGTCGGGTTCGCAGCTACCATATGCTACGGTTCCCGAGGCGACATCGCTGGCTCAAAATGCCTGTGTTTTCAATCAAGGGACGGCGGAAAAGGACTGTTGCGAGTTTTCAAGAACATACAAGGTAGGAATGCCTGCTGTGATGCGATGAATGTGCTGCTGAACATCAAACATCTGCAGAATGACACAGAGTGCGACCCAGGACCCCCTCCAGTGGTACGCGAGATGATCTATCTTCCTCTGTTCTCTTCATATCACCTGTCATCATATTTCCTGTTGCGGTCCTTCAACACTTGTGACCGCGAACAGGCTATCCTCAGGAGGAACTTCGGCTACCTGAATGCCCTTCCTATGTACGGAGTAGCATGTATGGCAAATGCCTGTTCAGACGCTCGTATGGGACGACGTGGCTAACAACTATTCGAGTAGCCTATCAACCCTACAAAAGCTGCCTACAAGGTACGTGGAAGGAAGGTTTCTATTTATTCAAGGAGACAAACTGACCCCGGTTCAGGAGCCCGACGATAATGGTCCCTTGCAACAACGAACTCCGCCAAAGGGCTCAACCTCAGTGTCAAGTAGCATACGAACAAGGGGATGACAGACCATGGCAAGAGTAGCATGACATGAAGTCGTGGACACGAAGGGCACTTCTCAAGCCGCGACTGATGCCATGGCCACGTAAATAGATCATCACGCATCCTGTCGAGGAGAGATGGCTCGCTCTGACACGCCCACGGCGCGCCAGCGTGCTAGAATTCAAGCTAATAATATCATCGTCAAGAAGCGAAGCCAAGGTCATCCAACCATCCGTCCATGCATCCAATGCAAAATCCGTCCATGCCAAAAAAGGAGCTTCAAGCTCACGACGACCCCGTCGTAGAATCGAAACATGGCTAAAACAGAAGGAAAGAAAGAAAGAGACGTGTGGGCTGCGGGACGCGCATCTAGTACCTGCGGTGCCTCTTGTGCCTGTATCCTCCCGCGGTGAGAGTCACATACTGCGTCTCCGTCACGACCACGACGTTGGTCTTCGTCACAACGACCATGCCGTTCTCGTCCACAGCCTCAGCAGCAGCAGTTGGCTTGGGCGCAGCAGCGTACTCCGAGGCCGGCACCTTGGTGGTGGGTTTGGCGACCTTCTTGGTCGAGGTGGATGGGGAGGCATCGCCGTAGCCGCCTCCAACGAACGAGAGCAGCGGTACGGTGGATGAGAACGATGGAGTCTCGATGAAGGATGCTTGGGTGCTGGAGAGAGCGGGCGTCGAGATGGCATCGGACTTGGGCTCGTATGCGGAGGGTGCTAGGGCGGGAGCGGATGTAAAGGCTGGTGGTGCGCTGGACGGGGCATCGCCGTATGCACCGCCTTCGAAGGTGAGTAGCGAGACGGTGGACGAGAACGAGGGGGTCTCGATGAAGGACGCGTGAGTGCTGGAGGGATTGGGCGTCTCGGTCATGTCGGACTTGGGCTCGTACGCAGAGGGCGCCAGCGCGGGCGCGGATGTAAAAGCTGGTGGTGCGCTGGACTTGGGCGCCGCAGCGGAGGACTTGGGCGCGGCGGAGCCAGACTCGATGTTACCGCCACCCACAGGCTTGATAATCAGCCCGATGTCGATCGTCTCACGCTTCGGCGTGAGGACCTTCCCCTTGTTCGGCGGTCCGTTGAAGTTCTTCGCTTTGCACTGGTCGTTGATCGCCGTGCACTTGTCGCTCCAGAGCTGGCAGACACTGCCACCCGTCGCGGGGGCCTCCGCCCAGCACTTCTTGCCCTGCGTCCAGCAGTCCTCACCTGAGGCCCAGCAGCCGGTTTCGTCGCTGTATGAGGCGACTTCCTTGCCGCACCAGTTCGCGCTCTGGGCGATGCAAGACGAGGGCACGAGACCCTCGGTCTGCTGCAGCTGTGCGTCGGAAGCGAGATTCACGTTCTGCGTGAAGTTTGCGACGGCGGGCCCGGGGACCTGGTACTCTGCGTTCTTGCCGACGTAGATGTTGAACTTGACAGAGGACTGGCCGGCGCTTACGTAGTCGGGGCCTGGTATTGCGACGGTGCTCTCGGGGACTAAGCTACCGGTGCTCTCGAGAAAGATCTGCGCGCATCCGGTGTAGAACTGGGCTTGGCCATTGGTAGCATTGTGCAGGGCTACGACTTCCGGACGAGCGAGGTAGTAGCCGCCTTCGAGGCCCTTGGGGAGCTCTACGGAGAGGCGGCCTTTGTTGTCGATCAGGCGGTCGGTGCACCACTTGTCAGTGTCGGCGTGGTAGCCGTCGTCCATGAGCTTGAACCAGCCGTCACCGGCACCCTTGTCGTCGATGGCAGACGTGACCTTCTTCAGATAAACGGCACAGGGACCGTAGTGGCCTCTGTCAAGGGACTCCTTGGACGGGTTATCGGGCCACGAGCGCATTTCGAAGGTCAGGGTGGAGCCATCCTTGACGGGGCTGACGAAGTTGACGCCTTTGGTTCCGTCGACGTTGCAAGCCATGTCGTCGCTGCTGTAGTCTACAAGGGGGAACGAGGCTTTGGCAGGGTCCTTTCTCATGCGGATACCAGCACCGTCTCCCTGTGTGAGGTTAGCAAGATGTCAAACATCTCGGCCGTGTGTCTTACTTGGCTCTCTCCATCGACATAGAGAACAGACCAGACGGTGTGCGCCATAACAGTAGGCGCGGCAGCAAGAGCCGCAAAGAGGATCGACGGAGTCTTCATGCTGAACTTTTCGAATAACTTTCGGTGAAGATGGGCGTTGTTTCGAAGGTAAGGCGTAGTATAGACACACGAACAAAGCAAGTCACTAGGACCTTCACCACAAACCTCTCAAAGGAACGAAATGTCGACTGGCGACGTGAACAAAGAGCGACAAAGGGGCTGAGCGCACCCGAAGGAAAGACAGTAAGTTGGATGTGAAGTCCGACGCGGGTAAGGAAGAGGACGATCATTTACGCGGGGAGCCTGGGGGTTTTGATCTCCGCCCCAGCACGCTCCCTCCTGCATGCATGCAATCATCACAACGGACCCCATCCCTGCGGCGAGCGCCCAAGCGCAGAACGTTGCTTCCCCTCGGGAGCCAGCTCATCTTCCTTGCAACATATCCGAATGGCGCCTGCGTGCCTGTCGATCTTGGCCCTTGTTCATGTCAGAAGCCGAGCGCGCGGCTGCCATGAGGTGGAGCTGGCGAATCAGCGCGCGATACCGTGTGTTTAGGGAAACGTGAAACATAAACGGAGGCTCGCAGGCGGACGCTAGTAACCCAGTACGGGGCGACAGACGCTTGTGGCGTTCGACGAAACGAGCTAGTGGGCGCATCGCACCTTAATCTCAGCCTCTGCCCCTCAAAACACCAGCTGCGCCTTCTCCCCGGGATGTTCTAGGGACTGCAGCCAGAGAAACATCCTGGGTTGGATCGCAGCTGGCAACTGGCTTGAGGACAAGCACCGCTCTAAGGTTTGAAGGACAGAATGCTCGCAATTTGCGGCGAACGCATGTTTATACAGACATGCTCGAGCGTCCACGCCGAGCCGAGTCCATTTCTTAGGCTTCCAGTCCAGGGTTTCTGGATGGCCGTCCAGGCTTCAATTTGACTCGCCGCCAAGGCACCGACTCTTGGTACCGGCAAGTCTTCCGCAGCCGGCCCCTGGGAATAAGTAACACCATGAGGACGACGGCATGCTAAGTCGTCCGAAGACGTAGTCGGAATCGTGCCGCTATACGGCTTTACAAACCAAAAAATTAAAGACTTCGGACGCCGCAATAGAAGTAGGGAGTCGTGTCATGTTGCAGCTGCGCGGGCTGTTGTTCTGTCTCGTGACGCACGGTGCGCAGAGCAGGAACGGAAAAGGGGCCACGAACAGTGCCACTGACACTGGGCAGTATTTTCAGCGAAAGCGGAAGCAAACGCCCAGTAAGAGGAGGATGCACGACCAGCCCTCGTTCCCGGGTTGCATGAATCAAATCGTCATGCGGGATGCAAGGTCGGGTCGCTTAGCATGCTGTGCGTCGCTGTTGCATGAGCATCTAGAGAAAAGGTTTCGAAACAACCGATCCTGCGGTCGACACTCTGAAACACTGTCGTGATCGACAGCGGATGCGGATCGAGGCGCTGTTGTAGTACACCTACTGAAAAATTCCTCTCTTTAATCATAAACCAAGTCGGCACTTTCCTCGATCTGAGCCCATGTAGTCGCTGGGACACTGTGTTTGTGCAAAGCCACGAGAACCGCCTCGAGGCTGTAAGCATTTTGTCTGAGTCGAAAGTACATATCAAGATTGCTTTGGTAGGTAGGAAGTCCGCATTCCATCTTCGTGCGGACTGTCATCCCAGAAGCATGTGTTTCGTATCTGCGAGGAGGTGAACCGTCACTTGCTTCGCTAGCTTTTCGTTTAGAACTGGAAGCATCCCTTTGAGTCTTTGGTCTAATTAATCTCCAAATGGACGTTCCTACTGCGTGAACTTGCTAGAGCGAGAACGAACGTTCAGAGTACATCTGGACATTTAAACCGGGCTGCGTTGTGGAACCGGAGCATCCGTTCCGCATAGCCGACACACATCAAGCTATCACTCAAGTGGAAGCTCGTCATGTCAAGTAGTTTCGAGCAATCATCGAACAAGAACGGCTACACGGACGGATTCTCCTTGCTGCAAGACTTCGTTTCGTTGGGAATGACAGCGGGGAGATGCATGCACCTGCACGTTCATCGTCTCCCGGGATATTCGCCGCAGGGCTTCAGCGTGCCGCGGGAGACATCGCTGCAGGACCGCGGGTAGAAGCTACACAGAGTTCTGTTCACTGTTGGAATCATCGGTGCACTGACGCAGGTGCGGTCCCAGCACATTTCCGTGGGACTCGCATCGCGATGAAAGCCATTTAGAGTTCGAAAGACAGATCATTGGCGGCAAGAGGATGATGTGGTTTTTTTAAAGGCAGAGAGGCCGGAAGTGGAGTGGGTAGGACGTGGTGATGTCGACACTTGTAAAGTGGAGACACGCTTTCCCGGCGAGGGTTCGCACGAACTCGTTTGTAGAGCTAGCGTGCCCGCTGTCTATCAGCCAGATGCTATTGAGAGAGAAATCGGTGTTCCTCAAAATTAACTGGTGTAATTCTCCCAGTGGAGTAAATATATATTGGTTTCGAAGAACTATGCAACAATTCTCGCAGATGAGTCTTACTTGCATTCTGTCAATGCTGCAGCCTTGTAAAGACATATTTATCGTTTGTCTTCGACGTCAAGCCCCTCAAAATCACTGAGGCTCCTCCCTATGGCACGAGCAATTCTCGGCGGATCGAAGATACTCAAACACCTCGTCTATTTCTTCCACGCTTCTGCCATTAGTTTCCCTGCAGAGAAAGTACATCGTGAGTACAGTCCCCGCGAATCAAAGGCCGCATAGACGATCCAGTAGCGGTACTTGATATTGGCGAAGCCCATGAGAGTGACCAGTAATATCATAAAGTTGGCCCAAGTGGTCGCGGTTGCCACGCCAGCAATTGCAGGGCGATACTCCGACGGTGCCACCACGGTTGCGGCCATGCTTTGGACGACTGTTAGCAGCGAACTTCATTTCTATTGAAGAATCTGACCCGACTTAACTTGAAGATTCTGGCAGGGTGAACACCAACGCCACGACCACTACGAGAAAGACGATCTGCAGCGCGAACGGAAACCGCCAGCTGACTGAATACCCATTCACGAAAAACAGCCCCAGCTCTATCAGCAAGGCGATCACAATCTCAACACCAATGAAGATACCTTCAGCATTGATAAATGACCCGCGATGCTGCACACCCGACATCTCGGCTCATCACACAGGAATCGTGGCTGTGTACCCTCCACTTCCAACACCGAGTATTAGGCGAGCTACAATGAGCTGAGCTAGTTGGAACCAAGATGCCATGAGTATGGTACCCATGATAGTAATGATGGCGGAGACGAAGATCGTCATGCGGCGGCCAAGTAGATCTCCAAATTTCATGCAAAGAAGGGCACCTACGGAGGAGCCGAGATTGAAGAGTGCTACTGAGACGCCTATTGGCGAGTACTTGTTCTGAAACACTTCTCTGGTCACTATACGGTTTACCTTGTATGGTAGAGTTATGTTCCTCTGTTGCGCCTGTGGTATTGACTGTGTCGGTCAAAGGGAAAGCGCCCACGAAAGACTGCATCACAAGGACATTGTCCGTGACTGCTTGATGGTAGCCATAGCATGAGTGGGCAGAAAACACGATCGGCACCAGTGCTTCCCAGATTACGCGTGAGGCACAGAGACCCCAATAACTATCTTTGACATGTTTTCTCACAGATGCGAAGAGAAAAAAGTAGAATAGTCGAAATCTCAATTTTCAGATGAGACAATCAGAGTTGTTGCGTCGGGGCAATGTTATCGAGGGCTTACTGCAGCGACCACTACCGGTATCCAGTAGTTAGACCGATTCGTAATGGCGACGCTCCTTTCTCCGATGCCCTCACAACTGCAGTCTGTCATCTAAGCAACAGCGGTCACTGTTTAATAGCCGCGGCAATCTGTGGGCGACAACTACTGGCATTATCGCAGATCGTCGACGGGCCCCACGTTGTAGTTCGACACATTCCCCGCACCTACTCAGACGCGCTGAGTTACATCTCGGCCGAACCAAGCGTTCGGCGACAGCTCAAGCTTCCTTGTGGCTTTCGTGCTGCCACTAGTAGTATGCACTCGCGAATCTGAACAGATCTGCTGCAGAAGTATGTTCTGAAAGACAAGAAAATTTTCGATTTGTTAATCGTCTTCCTCGGACCAAGTCCACCCAGCCTTCACAAACTGCTCCGGAATATCTACATGCTTCGCTCGTATGTAATCTGTGAAGCCTTTGCCTCTGTTATCTAAAAGCGTCGAGCTGCTCACTCCACGACCGAGGATACCATAGATGACAAAGTGCACAGCCCAGATTTTGGGAAACTCAACCCGCTCCAAACGATACTCATCTTTCCAGTCCCCACCGATCAGCGTCTTCATCCTGTGAAGTGTCATGAAGCTGCGGAACCAATCCCATAGCTCGGCTCGCTGTACGAACATCCCGCAGTTGATGTTGGATCCTTTGTCGCCGGAGCGACCGAGGGCAATGTTACCAAGCGGCATGCGGACACACGAGCCAAAAGACGTAAGTGGGACGGGATGAGTGGGGTCGTACGAGTCGCGATTTCCCATAGCCTCGTACTTTGGTGGCCGTGTGCATTCGATTGTCTTGGTGATCTTACCTCCAGGTTCAAGTATGTGTGCGGCTTCCTTGATGGCATCTTGCTCGACGAGGCTGGGATAGTAGACGTAGAAGGATTTTGGATCTGCGGTTCGAAGGTCTTGTGACCAATGAAGGCCGGAGAAGTGTTGCATGGTTTCGTCGGCTAGCAAGAGCTTCAATGCAGCGAGGGGCTCGGGTGTGGGTGCCTGCGCGTAGATTCGCATGTACGTTGTGCTCTCCAACATCCGGTGTGGATTTGGTAGAGGGGATCCAACACTTCTCAAATTAGTGAAAGCCCAAAGGGGTGCACAGCTGGTAAACTCACACTTGGAAAACGATAAAGTCGAACGTCGTCTCTGGATCCATGCCTTGTTCTGTGAGGCGAGCTCGTATCTGAGTTTCATACAGCTGGTACTTCTTCTTCGTCGCGTAGCCGGCAGCATTGCTAAGGTTCTGGGATTCAAACCCGCCCTTGTAGAAGATGGCAAGCTTGGTAGTCGGGGGAGGAGGACGGCCTTTGATACCGGAGAACCTGACGCGATCCTTTCCCACTGCTTCAACAGTCACGCCGTCAAGTATGGCGGTGACATCGCTGTTCAGGTAAATGTTGCCTTGGATCTCATAGAGGAACTGGCACTTGACTGTATCGATCGTCACCATACCATTGGTGTTGTCGTGTTTGGTGATAATGCATGTTCTGTGATTTCTTCAGCAATTGTTTTGCGTGTGCGTTGAAGTTCCTGGTCTCACCCGTCCGCTTCGATCTCTGCAACAGGAAAGCCGACATCGACGAAATTCTCCAGCGGGAAGCGATGGAACCCTGAAAAGTTGGAGCCCGTAATGTAGCCGGAGCACTCGATCAAGTGGCCAACTAGGAATGCACTTGCTAATTTGTCGTACTCTGTGTCCTTCCACCCATACCACCACCAACATGCTCCAATTACAGGCGATGCATCTGCGACACGTCCGCACATGACCAGATCAGCGCCTGATTCCAAAGCCTTGACAATACCACGAGCGCCAATGTACGCAGTGCAGGCAAGCACCTCGTCTGCTCCGAATTTTGTATCTTTGTGTGCGTTTTGGTTGATGTCTTGGAAGCTCTGCGGAAGTGTTCCCTTCTCTTTCAAGCTACTCCTCACCATACCTAGGAGGTTGTCTCCCGACACAAAAGCAACCTTCATATCATAGCCATTTTTGTCCACCAACTCCTGACATCTCCTAGCCAAATTCTCCGGACTCAACCCCCCACCATCAATGACTACTTTGATCTTCTTCTTCGCGATAACGTCCATGCTCAGTTGCAACGCTTGCCAAGCATTCTTCTTGAAGCCCTCTCCGGTTCCCGCTTCCATGGCTGCGGCTTCTTGTGCGATATTGTTCTCCGCGAGCCAGTCTCCGGTGATGAAATCGACGTCGCCCCAACTAGCTTGCTTGCGCATCTGCCAGCCTGGTTCCATTTGGCCACCAGAACAATTGGCAATGCGTACTGGGCGCTTGCCACGGTCGCGCTCGTGGTCGTTGACATTGGCAGTACCATGACCGTTTTGAAGACCATTCACTCGTGATTGAGCCATCTTTGTGTTGGTTGGCGCCAAAATGCGTAACTGTTGGGTGCATTACACGAGCGCGAAGGCTGGCCAGATGATTATATTTGCTTTTGAGATCATTTCGGTTATCGCAAGTTGTACGCAGTGGTCTTTCCGCATTGGACCATATGCAAGATGATGGTAGTGAGTTGCTCGGCTATGGAGTGCTGGTGCTGTTCCCTCGGGTATCCGGCCAAGGTTATCTAATTAGACGATTGCAACCGCTAGGAAGCTGCAGTAACCACTGATCTGTTGCGGAGACGAATTAGGTCTTTGGCCGCACCTTCTCTATCTGGGTGTGGTACTCGGGTGCGTCATGCGGAACACGAACCAGCCAGGAGGTTCGCGCAAGGAGGAAGGCCATGTTTATTTGCAGTCGCTTCGCAGCTCTCATCAATAGCGAAAACTTAACCACAGAGCTTCCATCGTACAACCAAGCGAATACTTTCGCAACATGGCGCAATACAAATCCTTTTCCGATCTACCCAAATTTGATGAGCTTAAGGATAAAAGACGCTTCTGGGTCGCAGAAGCAGGAACAAAAGACGAAGGCTTGGGCATGCTGCGATATCTGACCCCCGAGCATGTAGCTGAAGTAGTCCAGTCTGAAGTACGCACTGGGGAGCGCGTATGCGTCAATTGGGACATGACAAGACTGGAAACACCCGGTAAACCACTGAGATTGGTTTTTAATTGATTTGTCCTTATTTTTGATGTGAATCTAGGCTTCAATCGCTTCCCATGCGACCACCAAATTGTACCCATACCAAACTACGAAGGCATCGCTTGGGACGATATATGGCGCTTCAACCCTCAAGCAGGCTCGCAATGGGATGGCTTCCGCCATTACGGCGCGGAGCAACCTAATGGGAAACGCGCTTGGTATGGCGGTACGACCGGAGATGAAATTTCTAAGATGGAGAGCGACCGCATTGGAATCGGGCATTGGGCTCAGGATGGCATCGCCGCAAGAGGCTTCCTCATCGACTATGTATCATATGCCGAGAAGAAGGGCCAGAAAGTTAATGGTATGACTGGTCACGCGATCACTCTCGACGAGGTGAAGGAGATCGCTAAGGAGTGTCGCATTGAGTTCAGGCCTGGAGACATTTTCTTTCTGCGTTGCGGTTTCACAAAAACATGGGAATCGCTTTCTCTGGACGAGAAGAAGCAGTACCGCGCAGATACGCAAGTTCAGAAGCACAAGCATAGTGGTCTGATTCAGAGCGAGGAAGTCACTCGGTTCCTGTGGGACAACCACATTGTTGCCGTTGCAGGCGATGGCGTCAGCTTCGAGGTCAGGCCCAACAAAGATCACGATTGGAGCTTGCACCATATATGTCTTGCCGGCTGGGGCGTTCCAATTGGTGAGGTAAGGACTAAATGTTTGCTTGTTTTTGTTCATGCTTGCTGATCAGACGAACCAACAGATGTTTGATTTGGAGAGGCTCGCGGAGCTGTGCAAGAAGCTGAACAGATGGACTTTCTTCGTCACTTCCAGTCCGCTAAACCACCCGAGAGCGGTGTCATCGCCACCGAATTGTATGGTACTCTTCTAGGATAGTAATCAGCTTTGTTCCGACTCTGCCCAGGAAGATCACTTCCAAGCGAATATGCCCATCGACGATTCATTCGGGGTTTACTCGTGGCGAAATACATCAGATAGGCCTGAAAACTCGGGTACTTGACCCGGAACGATGTTTTGGTGTTGACATTCCACAATAACCGAGGGAATGGGGAATACAAGCACACCTTGAACCACTGTAAGCACTAAAACTGACAATAGCGGCTTCCCGCAATCTCTACCGTAAGCTAGAAGGTCATCGTTGTGACTTTCTCGGCGGGAAGGTAGCATACAATAGCCGAGCGAATTTGTACCACAAACTACTCGTCTAAATCTCTGTGCAGATTTCTTGTCTAATATACTTCCAGCTTTTCAGCTTGAGAGACTATGGCGCCATTTTGGGAACTGAGTGGTAGGAAGCTACACTGGGCAGTCTGGACGGAGTCTCTGGTTTGCATTTCAATCTTTGGATATGCAACAGCATCGGCCGGTGGTGTACTCAATGGCGAGTCCTTCAGGAAGCAGTTTCCTACTATCGATGTTACGGATGCTCCTCCTGATCAAAAACATGACAAATCAGTCATACAAGGTAATTGCTATCCTTTTCGCAACGGTAAAGTATCTGATGAATTGAGATAGGAACTGTTGTGGCAATGTATACCCTCCTGGGTGCTTTTGGCGCGATTGCCTGCACCTTTCTTGGTGATCGACTGGGCCGCCGCATGACCATCTTCGTCGCAGCCATGGCAGTGTTCATCGGGGGCCTTCTGATGTCAACATCATATTCTCTTGGTCAATTTATCGTTGCGCGGTGCGTTCTGGGGCTTGGGGTAGGCGGTATCACTGCGACGGTGCCAGTGTGGCAATCCGAACTCTCCAAAACTAAAAGTAGAGGCTCGCATGTTTCTTCCTTTGGCATCTACTGTGGTACTGGATTATCCTTGGCCTTGTGGGTTTCCTTCGGCATGTCCTTTACGAAGGGATCGGTGGCTTGGAGATTCCCATTATCGATTGTAAGTGTGTTGGCTGTCATCGTTATGTGTTTCATCTTCACACTGCCGGTAGGTCTCAGCGTAAGTCTTTTGTTACAAACGTGCTAATGCGCCCACAGGAATCCCCACGCTGGCTCAAACTCAAAGATAGACACGAAGAAGCCAAACGTGTACTGGATTTACTTCACCCTGGCGACCCCGAGGCTGTCGAGAAGGAGATCGAAGATATCGAGCTAGCCTTGCGAATTTCTGTTCGACATACGAGTCTCTTGTCTATGTTCAGCATGGGACCACAGAGGATATTCCACCGGGTCGTTCTAGCTTCTATCTTGCAAATCATGCTTCAGGTGAGCGGCCCGAGAACAGTTATTTTGATGTTGCATGGAGTGCTAATCTCCGTGCAGATGACAGGAGTAAACGCGATAGCCTTCTACGCCCCCACGATCTACGAGCAGCAACTGCATTTCCCAGCAGTCGAAGCCGGTGTTCTCGCCGCTGCATCACAAGCCTGTCTCATTTTAGGGGGAATCCTATGCGCATTCACGGTGGATCGTTTTGGGCGACGACCTCTGATGATGTTCAGCGCTTCCGCCATGTGTGTTTGCTTCGTGTGCGTCACTGCACTTACCTCCCAGCCGGACAACAGAGCAGCTTCGAAGGCGGCTGTGTTCTTCTTATACCTGTACTATGTTGTGTACACCGTCGGGTACATTGGTATACCTTTCTTGTACGCCAGTGAGATTGCTCCAGTCCAACTCAGGGCAGCTATATGTGGTTTGAGCACAGCTATTAGTTGGCTCTTCAATTTCATGGTAAGAGCTTCACATTAGTATTCTATTGGCAGCGGGAACTTACATAACGTAGGTGGTTGAGGTCACACCGGTCGGATTTGAGGATATTGGTTACCAGTACTTGTGAGTTCTATCAGCTCTATACTTTCTATAATCACCTAATCTTGGTATAGCATCATCTACACCGTTTTGAATGCAACGTTTGTCCCCATGGTCTACTTCTTCTATCCCGAAACTGCGGGCCGATCTCTTGAAGAGCTGGACGCAATTTTTGCCCAGTCAAAATCTATCTTCGACACTGTGAGAGTTGCGAAACAGATGCCTAAAATCCACTTGAAGGAACTTGGATATGAGAAAAAGGCTGCAGATCTTGAGCACATGGAGAAATATGAAGCTGTGTAGATGTAGCTAGATCATCAATGTCATTCTTTGACTGTTCTAAGAGAGTCCCAATAAGACCGCATTTGTGCAAAGCCTTCTTTGATGTCACATCTTGAAGTTCGTGGGCTCTATTCCCCATCTACTATAGATTGCTTGCGGCAATGCAACCTCGCGCACGCGAGCCTCGAGCAAGTCCGCTCAAATTCTGATTACTGATATCTTCATGAGCCTACGATTACCACCGCGGTCATGGAGCTCCGCATACGTGTATCAATCATAGTACAATTACCATGGCTATTTACTTCGCCGAGGCGCCATCGCGTATTCACTAAAAGATGTGGCCGGCTGATTGGTCAACTCGGCTATCATCACCACAGCTTCTGCTCAGTTCCTGGAGCTGGACTACTTTATTTATCTTGACTTATGATGTTCATAAGCATCGTGGTATCATTGATAATACGAAGCAATTTCGCTAAGTAACAACATATGCTGCCAGCTTGTCTCCGCAACACGCTCCTCCGCCTCAGCTCCCAGCCTCTGCAAAGGCGATCCTTTCATTACACTAGTAATTTTAACATGCCCGGTCTCATAGGCGCATCATCTCGCGGCACGGTCCGCTACAACGTCCTCGATTTATCTGTACGCCCTGAAGATCGCGGACTCTTCTCTGGTCCGGCGCACAAGTACTCCGAAGACATCGAAGTCGATCTATTCGAACCTGTCTCTTCTCCAGAAATAGTGCAAGGCCCAGAGGGACTTGATGTGCAAGGATTCGCGTATGTGAAACACCGATCTGCGCTGGACGTGGACGAATGGATGAATGGTGAGAACCCAGAAGAGACATACGTGAAAGAGGTCGAGGATCTTGTTGGGAAAGTGACAGGTGCTAAGAAGGTGGTTGTGAATCACTTGGGGATCAGGAAGAGGCTCGCGGAGAAGAATGCGGACCCGTCGTTCTATCGGAAAGCCGGAGATAAGCACGATGAGACAGTGAAGGAAAGGGCAAAAAAGGAGACGGCTTGGGGTAAGTGTATATACCGAGCTCAGTTCGGAGAGCGGCACTGACAGGCTGAAGTGACTGGGAAGACAGATGCTGGTCTCGAACCTGCTCGGTTCGCGCATGTGGACTACACGCTGGAAGGGCTCAAGCGTACTGCACGATACTGCCGCAAGGACATCAAAGCTGCAGCGCAGGAAGCTCTCGATGCCGAAGATGCAAACAAAGATGCGAAGCGATACGCTGCGTACTCTGTTTGGGTAAGCATTGTGCCTTTCTGAGACTCGGTGTTACGTTGACAGCCTTCCACAGAGACCACTCAAGCCCGTGAAGCGGGACCCTCTCGCAGTTGCTGACTGGCGCACAACCGAGAAAGATACTCTACAGCCCATCGAGTATAGAGCGACCAGCAATGTGGTGGACAAGGGTGAATATATGCTTGAGCAGTACACACAAACACCGGAGGCGAAGAATACTGGACAAAAGTGGTACTGCATGACCAAGCAAACGCCCGAAGATGTCCTCATCCTCAAGTTCGCAGACACTGCGTCCGAGAAGGATCCGAAAATCTCCCAATATTGCGCGCATTGCTCACCGATGCTGCCGAATGTGGACAATGAGGAGCCGAGAATGAGCGTGGAGGCGAGAGTTATCGCCTTCTGGTGAAGTTATAAAATTTAGCTAGCCGTGTTAAAGATCATATTTTAAAGATGTCGACCTCCTGATATGAGTCTTTGACCGTGACATCCAGAGCGGGTTGATGATATGTACGGACCTCCGTTAAGGTACAAATAGCATGCTCTACCTGTCCACAACGCCTGTACCTAAACAACTCAAAGATCCAGCAAGATCCGGGATACTGGCCATCATGTCCGGTCTGGTGTCACCAAGACGCAGGCCTTCTATCATCGAATGTTTCACAGCCGCAATCACAAGCAGTGTCCCTATCTTTGTTGCAAATGTCGTTTCCAGTAATCGACCAAAGGCCGCCAGGCATTGTTGTGTCCGTCGAGGTAAGAGTAAGCTGCCCCAATGCAAGCACCGCTAAGATGTGCCTAAAAGCCATGAGTTAATTTGTATGGAACAGCAGCATACAGTGAAGTGGGCTTACCGCATGGCCAAATTGCACAAAAGAGTACCCGCGAATCATTCCAACAAGATCGAACGCCATGACGATGGGCAAGAAATACTGTGCTTCCATATAATATGGGATCAAGATGATGCCAACGCCCTGTGTCGGATACTCCATGCAGAAGGCGCCAAAAACAGCAAAGAGCGCACCGCTAGCTCCACCAGAGGAGATGAAAGGTGCGTAGGCACGACCTTGTCTGAAGATCATACTAGCGAAGTGCTGCGCAAGTCCAGACAAAACACCCGTTGAGAGGAAGAAGGACAGCATGTGGTTCGTATCTCCACGGAAGAGAGATGAATACCCGGTTGCCGGCAGGAAATTGTACAGAGCATATAGATTGACTCCAAGGTGCATAAGACCTGAATGAACGAAAGTCGACGTAAAGAGCGTGTAATGTCGGTTTGTTGCTGGAATATGCCACAGGTGCTGCCAGACACGTGGTGCGACCAAGCTAGAGAGGTGCACTGCGCCGTTAACACCAATCAGACCCCAGCTTAGCTTTGACATTGGGTCTGCGTTGCGCCAAGCTCTAGTGACGACTTCTGTGGGGGTAGGAGGGCCGTTGGGAGTGGAGATTGAATATGAGGATCCCCTAGAGTTGCCTCGGAACAGACTATACGGGCTCTTGGATTCCAATTCACTTTTGGCTGTGAAGTACGCGAGGGACACATAAATGCCCGTGGAAACCGTGATTGCCCATATGGTAGGAGCGAGAAACCGAATCTTCACTTTGGGAATCTCTCCACCTCCAGGGAAATGGCCTTCTTCATTGAGATTTGGGGGGTAATGTGGTTCCGTTGCAGGCTGACTTTGGGGTGATTGGCTCGTTGGATGAGGCAGGGTCTTGGATGGATGGCCTGGCGCATTCTGTGAGCGACGTGTTTGGAGCTGCCGGATCTGATTCCATCGCGCAGCGCGACCAACTGGGGAGCGCACTGCCGATAGAGGTGGCAGCGCCGCTCGGCAACGTAAGCAAGACATTTGATTGATGCGCGAGAGATGCTAAGACGTACTGTCGCGAAGTTTGGTCACTTGACAAGCGCGCCCCGAGCTCGTGCACAGACTCAAACTCAATTGCGGTCTAGCGCAGAAGCTGCCTCTACTCGTAACTTTGTTGCGGTGTCACGAGAAATAGGTATTTCTAGAGCTCCCATGTACCCGCCTTCGATTATCATTGCATCTGGAATGGCTATTAAAAAAAAAAAAAAAAAGGCACCAAATTTTCGATGATGAGATGGAAGACTTTCAAATAAAATACGCTGGCTCATCCACACACGACAACTCTCATCACATCAGCTCATCCTCCACAGCGCTTCTTCGCGCGTGCACAACAAGCCCGAGGCAATTCTCCGTGCATGTTTTAATGCTTTACTCGCTCAAATCTTGTGATCCATCGCCCACGAAATAATGCTGCTCCACTTCTTACAAGTATGGACTGTCCTCGCGGAAGGTAGCGGTATCCCCAGTTTTGCATTCATCTCCCACTGTATGGGACTGATATCTGCGTTGCACATCAGCGCCTGTCGAATGAGATCAACACAGTGGTTGTCATGAATTCGTGTCTCCGATTCCGATAGGTTCGCTGCCAGCTGCCACGGATACCGTTCCGGATGGAGCAGCTTGCGAATCCGATTCAAGCAATGGAGTTGATGGAAGACGGAGAGGCCTGTCATATATTTCCCGGGTTGTTCTGAGGAAGGGACGGTCTCAAAAGGGAGATGAGATGCTTGAGAGAAAGGGATGCCGGAGGTGGCGTATCCTCTCGGGATGTTAGCGATGACTAGGAGCTATATGCTGGGAAGACGTACCTTCGGTCAGTATCTCCCACGCTTCATCTCCTTCGTCTGTCAAAGCAAGGTAAATGTTTGGCTTTCCAGATTCGCTTGGGTCAATTTAGTGATCTTCGCGGAGTAATTGTTTGGCTTCGTATTGCTTACATGTCCGCCCGAAGATTGGTGTCGAAGACCACTGTCTCATACTCTACTGCGCTTTCGGCTGGTGCTACAGCACGTATCAGACAGGCCACTTTGTCATCATTGGGTCTACTCACAATAGATTGTTGCTGGCCATGGAGGTAATGGCGACCACAGCTGCGTATTCCTGATGTAAAGCAAAATTGTGCTCGTCAGAAGAGCAACATTAAGGATCATGGAAGAGCGGTATGCCCATGATTCCCGAGATTTACGCCGGCGGGGTAAATCGTATCCGGCATTCCTTCGAAACGAGCCTGAATTTGTTTCCTCAGCGCTACTGGCATATCGCTCTTCACTGGTGAGCAGTCTTATGCTGGCTTCGGAAAGCTCTTTGGGGGACATGTTTTTGACTGTGTGGCGGGTGTTGGACAGGTGTTGTAGATGGAGGAGATCATCGACTGGTCCGGGAGGGGGGAAAGGACAATGTGCGTGCTGATGATGCTTATATTATGGATGCTGACGTGCGCAGTCGAGCATTCCACAAGTCATGATTCGCCCAGCCAATAAAAGCTTCATATGTTGTCGTAAGTAATTATTTAGTGGTGTTTTACGGAACATGTAGTATTGAATACTAAATGTGCGACTTCAAAGGTACAGTCATAGGTGAGAAGACGCAACACTGTTTACATTGATTGTGCGGCGCTTTCTATAGAGCCGGAGCTCATTTAGATAAATCGATCACTTGCACAACTAAAACTCTCTTAAATCGCCATATCTTGGTTGTATCTAAGTACACCTATGCAACGAGTGACTGAGGTGAGCTGTTGCACATGATGTTCTGGTAGCCACACAACTACTCAGCTAACCATTCTTGAACAAGCCATTCCTGAATGGCATTGCCCAAAGGTTCAGAGCGTCCAATGAAACCGCTAACTGCATAATGAAAGTCCATCCGCATGGTTCCCTTGACCAAATTGCTGGAGTAACGAAGAATTTCCACATCCTCGACACTGACCTCGTGTGATCTTCGGCGTGGACCGCAGAGATCGGTGACAACTCACTGCGCAGCATCGTCCTCGGCTGTGGCGGCGACAGTCCAGATGGCTTCACTACGCTTAGCATCGTTCTCTCCAGCCTTTGTCCAAATCGATTCACTGCGCTTGGCAGTGGCATCTCCTGCTTTGGTCCAAATTGACTGGCTACGCTTGGCCGTGTCATCAATGGAGGTCGTCCAAATCGATTCCCCACGCTTTGCAGTGCTGTCTCCAACCTTGGTCCAGATCGATTCAGCACGCTTGGTATCAGCACCCCCAGCCACGGTCCAGATCGTTGTACCGCGCTTGGCAGTATCATCATCAGCAGCAGCAGCAATGTTCCAAATAGCCTCGCTGCGCTTCTCGTCGTCAGCAGTCGCTGCCTTAGTCCAGATGTTCGTGCTGCGCTTCCGTCCAGGGCCCTGGTCGCCCTGGATGGTGTCATCTGCCTGGGCAGCAGCAGTCCAAATATTTGTGCTACGCTCAAGCTTCCCAGCTGTACCTTTGAAGACAAAATCATTTTAATGAATGTTGCTAACGTTTTCTGAGGTTGCACTCACCCATAGGAGCGGCCATAGCCGAATAGACGGCGGTGCTGCCGGCAATGAATTGGTAGAGGCCCTTCATGGTGCTAGACTTTGGACTGCGGTCTGGTGGCAGATTTGGGAGAGAATTTGATAACGAAGCGAAAGACACTGTATGGTGCTGGTGAAACTTGAGGTGGGTGATACGCCTTCTTTATAGCCGTGATATTGTAGCCCTGATCCTATCGTCGAAACCTAGGATTACCTGAATGTACTCATTATACCACAAATCTACGCGTCATGAATGAAGCCTGCTTATCCAAAGAGTCTCCAAATAAACCTGACATTGCTAATGACAAGTCAGGAGGATCACGGCACGAAATTGTTCGAATGTGGAATGTGGGCTGCTGCACAACGTTACTCTATCGTCCACATGCAATGAGTCGTTGATATGGCATCATGCCGCTGTCATTCTGGACAGGGTTCTGGGTGTCATAGAGTTGCCGAAGCTGGAATACTGCTTCAATTCGCTAAATGGTTGGAACAGCTGCAGTGTATTCCTACGGAGTAGCTCGTAGCTGACGCCAAGGTCATCGATATCTGTCTCACCGCTCAATTCTGTGTCATGGAGACGATGAATTACTTTCTGAAAAGATTATTCGTTGCGAAAACCGTCTCTGTGGTGTTCCCAATCGTCACATTGAGCTAAAGCTCGGCCTTTGCTGACGACAGCGACAGTAATTGTAACAAGGATCCGTATGCATGTGCACGACGGGCCAGCGAATAAGATAGAGATCTCAACCAAACATTATACCTTGGCTAAAAACATGCTAAAAGTTCCGATGAGGATAGAGCCCGTACTGTCCGCGAGAGCTCACCGGTTGGATTAACAATCAATCCGAGACATGGTAGCTGCAGTCAGAATTCGTTGACAAGATTATTGACATGGTCTATCTTGAGTTGAAACAAGAATATGCGTTTGAGTTGCAACATGCACTGTCATGGCTGCGAGATACTGTGATGATCATTTGTCTGACCTTTTCACAGTGCCATAACAGTGACAAGAAAGATAATTGCTCGGCCATAGGCACCTTGCGGCGCATTTGCTTCAGACATAAAAAGACATATGCAGCTCGATCATAACATGGTAATGGCTTTATTCTGCTGTGCTTAGAGCGCAAGCTGTGGCTTTCCCAGGAGAGCCGGTAGCGGCCCATTCCACAATCCTCTCAAGTTGATCGCGATAGAATATGGGTGCAAACATGGTGTTAGAGGCCGGAGCCCGGTACGAGACAGGATTTAGGTGACTGCGATGGAATTGTATTTGCGACGGAGTGGATCCAACCCAATCACTATTCATCATATCCAAATCTGCTATCAGCACCGGGTAGGGACGAGTCGGTTCTTCATCATAATTCGGCCACATGGCATTGCTTGCTCTATGTATAGACGAAGAGGGTTACCGTCCAATAATGTACCATTAGTACTCGTAGCAACCAACACTCTGTAATGAATGGTTTAAATATTGCCTTAAGACCATCCTGACCGAAAGAAACTCGAGAATCAGCTTCAGCAGTTTCGAATCTTGGAAATGATTGCAAGTTCTTGTAGAGCTCACTGCAGCTTTATCTATTTCGGGAGGTGAACAACCAGCATGCTGACCCCGAACCGCAGACGGCAAGCATTGTGCTGTCAAAAATGGAGTTACTAAATGGGCTGAAAACCTTCGTAGCTTGTCATCTCAGATGTAGTGCAACACCTAACGAGTTATGAGTTCTTTCACCATGCCTACCAAAGTTATGGTAGTTTGGCTAAAAGTACTGCTAGACCAGCTAAGATCTTCCACCTAAATATGCCAACGTAATTGCACGCTTTTCCGATGTTTCGTTGGACCAAAACAAACCTCACGCCAAAAGCCTTCGCATTCGTCGCATTCAAGGCACCAACGCCATTCACGTGACAGCGCGCGCCGGCGTTCTCTGAACCACGCGTAGCCCCTCACACCCATGCGCTTTGGCGTCACACCACAGCTTGGCGACACCCCATCAGCCATTGTACAAAGACCCTCTTAATTGCTGTCCCTGAAGCAAACGCATGATCCTCCTGTTCCTAAGTCCAAGAAACACGCCCATCTCATCCACCATGTCCTTTTCCACAATCATCCCCAACATCTGGTTCGAGTCGAACGCAGAACGCAAGTCTCCCAGCTTTTAGGTGCTCTTTTTGTTCCACCCAACACCATCTCTACAAATCACAACATCTGATAAACCACTAAGCCTAGGCAGAAGCCGTCCAATTCTACACCACCGTCTTCCCCTCCAGCAGCATAACCCACACCTACCGCTACACCTCCGCCGGTCAAGCTCATCACAACAAGCCCGTTGGATCTGTCATGATGCTCACCTTCAGCCTCGCCGGGCACCCTTTCGCTGCGATCAACGGCGGTCCGGAACACTTCCAGGTACCCAATGCATCACCCACTTTCACTATAGAGTGCGAGGATCAAGCGGAGATTGACTACTATTGGGAAAAACTTGGGCAAGGGGGCGATGAGGGCGCGAGGGCGTGTGGCTGGTTGAAGGATAGATGGGGTGTGAGTTGGCAGGTAGTGCCGCGGGCGTTGGAGGAGTGGGGAAGGGATGGGGATAAGGAGAAGGTACGAAGGGTCATGGAGGCGATGATGGGGATGGTGAAGTTGAATATTAGCGAGCTGGAGAGGGCTTTTGAGGGGGCGGCTTAGACCGGCTCCAATAATTTGAACATTCTTCAATCATGGAAATGGATAGTATTGCTTTTAGTGTGGGCAAGGGCTCAAGAGGTCGAGTTTCTACTCGGCCACGCATCAACCAAACCCTCATAGATCTTCACCTCGCTGAACTCGACTTCGCCGCCCTCAACGAAGAATCCTACATCTGTGCTGTCTTCGTACCAGCTCCACACCCACGTACTCACCACAAAGCGGTTGTTGGCGTGGACTTCCACCACGCCACCATCAACGACGATGGTGAGGTCCAAGGTCTCGATGTTAGTCCCGTTCGCGGTTGGAACATCGAACAAGCGGAACTTTCCAGACTCATTGTCCGTATTGATACCGGGAGTGGTGGCTGCAACAGCTGAGCTGTTCGAGCGGTCGATGACTAGGCTTTCGTTGGAGAACTGGTAGTAGATGTTGGTATTCTCATTGGTTCCAGAAAGGATAGAGAAGCCGGCTTTCAGATCGTCGTTTGTGCGAGAGGGGAAGGAGATGGATGCGGTCATCATATAGTGCTTTGATCGTGGGCTTTCGTCAAATTTATGGCTGGAGGAGATGCTACCTCCCGATTGCGTGGTCGTGTTTGTAGCGTTCTGCTGAAAAGCTGCAAGGGGCTCTCTCGCGATTTGCTGACGAAGGGTTGCAAGCGTGAGTGTGCCGTTGTCGTTTTGCGACTCGACCCTCCAAGAACCCTTCTCCCATGCCAGTGCGTTGTCAACAACATTCATGTACCCCACGCTGAGCTCCCTCGGCAGCAGAAGAGAACCAGACCAGTTTTGCTGCGTAGTGGGGAAGTCAAGCGTGCCGTAGAAATTGCCTGTCAACCAGAGGTAGGATATAAAGCGATCCGGGGCGCCGCTGTTTTGGCCTGCTTGAGAAGAAGCTGGCAAATGCTTCCCAGCAGCTGCGTAGGCGGAACGTCCTGCATCCAATCTGCCAGCCATAGAGGGCACAAACTTCAGCGTGCCGTCGACGAACTTGTGCGATCCTGCAGCCCAAAGCATCTCTCTGTTGTCGGAAACTTGCGGTACTATGGGCGTGTATGACCACTCAGCACCAAGCGTGACGAAGATCTCACCTTCGGCGTTGTAGCCACTTGAATCCAGTGCGAAGAGGTTCCCGACCTCAAAGTTAAAGCCCCACCGTCCGGCCCATCCAGCTTCAGTCCAGGTCGAGTTTGCCTCCTCGCTCCACCACTGACCGAGAAACTCCCAGTTCTCAAAGTACGGATCCTGTTCATATTGTCTGTACAGAAACAGGCTCGGGCCTTCTCCATGGATTCCTCCAGAAATGATAGTGTACCAGGTGCCGTTGCTGCTATCGAGCAACTGATCGAAGTTGGGATTCTGGAACACGAATGGATCTCGGAATCCTGTCACATTATACGCAAACGGTGGGCTTGGGATGACTGGTCCGTGCTTCAGCTTTGTGAAGTTGCGTCCACCATCGGTTGCAATAGCAAGTGACTGTGTTTCACTTCCTTTGGTATACCGTATGGTCCATTGAATCGGAAGGTAGTTCACGCTCGTATACAGGAGGGTTGGGGTCCCATTGATACCCTTTTCGATGACACTTCCGTCGAACACAGCAACGTGATCATTGATTCCGCCAGCGCGGATAAAGGGTCCCGAATTCGGATTGAGGTCGGTGTATGTGACAAGGTCGGAAGTTGTTGCTCCGGAGGCGCCTTGGTGCAGATAGCCAACATGGAACAATCCAGTTGCAGGGTCTGTATAGTGCATACAAGGGTCGCCAATTGACCCATATGCCGGCAGGAAGTGAGCTCGAGGCCTCCACGTATCAAACAAGGAAGCGTTCGCCAACGAGGTCAGATTGGGTGGTGCAGAATTGTAGTCCGTCACATTGCTCTGGCGCGGAAGGAGCGGGTTGGCTAGGACTGCCGCCGCAGGTAACACGATGGGTCCGGCGATTTTCATGATGGATGGCAAAGAACACACTCTATGTCGACATCGACGCAAAGCAAGTATTTATGTCCCCACGAACCCCGCGTCCCTGCTTTCATGATCTGCGATCCCGAGGTCGGAAGAATTTTCGGGACCTCCCATATGGGATGACTGATGTCATGATGCCAAAGAACGGCAGATGGCTAGATTGTGCAATTGCGACCCGGGGTGCTAAGATGGAAATGTGTTCGCGGGGCGGAGTTGCACCGGCAGCTTGACTCCTACAGACTTGGAGTGAGAGGCAGAGCCCATGTATGTTGCTTAGGTAAGCGGAATCTTGGCATCTGGATGGTGCCTGCCAGCCGAAAATCGTCAACGCGCTTGGAGATCAAGCTCGCCGCTGTCGCGAATCCAAGCACACTCGCCCGCCATACGTATCCCCGATAATCCACCTGCGCGTACTCTGCGCTGTAGCAACAATTGAACGCGCCTCCAAGAACGCCCACCCGCCGCCATCATGAGGCTTACTACGGATCTGATCAACAGCTCCCTCTCCTTCATCAATTGTCTCACGGAGCGTGAACTCGATCTACGAGGTGCGTATGGAAAGAACAGATGCTACGCTTGAAGAGCTGAATTGATATCAATTTGTGTAAACCACAGGCCACAAAATCTCCGCCATCGAGAACATGGGTGCGGCACGAGACAACGACGCCATCGACCTGACCGACAACGATATTGCTCAGCTTGGCAACTTCCCCCTCCAGCCGCGACTGCGTACGCTCTTCCTCGGTCAAAACCGCATAGCCAACATCCAGGCCAACCTGAGCTCGAGCATCCCGAATCTCACGACTCTGGTTCTTACCAAGAACAGGATTTCTGAGCTGGCTGAGTTGGACCCTTTGGGTGGCTTCAAGAAGCTGGTGTATCTTGCATTGAAGGACAACCCGGTGACAAGCAAAGAGGTACGTACAAATAATTTGCGGCTCACAGCGTGCGCCTAATATTCCCAAGGGTGTTTGAAAGCGCAGGCGTAGTGCGCGTGCAACACGCAAATACGCACACAGTTACATGAAATCCGCAGTTATTGACGAACGTTTAGAACTACCGTTTGTGGGTAATATGGCTCTGCCCGTCCGTCCGCTATCTTGACTTTGTCAAGGTGCGCGACGTGGAGCGCCGTAAAGCCACAGAGCTATTCGGCACGGCCGAGGAACCCTCCGAACTAGCGACGAAGATCAAGGGGCAGAAGTCGAAGGGCTTCGTCGTGCCGAATTACACCAATGGCGCGGACACGCCGACGAAAGAGCGCATTTGGACCGAGGAAGAGAAGAACAGGATGCGGGCGGCAATCAGAAACGCAAGTTCGTTGGCAGAGATGGCGAGGCTGGAGAAAGATCTTGCGGAAGGGCGGATACCGGCATATGTGTTGGAGGGTGGCGATCCCATGGAGACGTAGGGAACCCATGTCCTGAGGCACATGGCCTCTCTTCCAAAGGAGCCTTTTGGCAGTGACAGCGAGAGAAACAAGCTTAGCGATCGACGGTGATGAAGAATTGGAAAATACCCTTGGGAAGACGGTAGTTGGGTCTGGGTAGGGACAGTTGGAAACGAGGAATTGACCTGAAGTCATCGATTTGCAATTTGTGTCGCATCTGGCAACCACGGCACGATTGCATCTAGCAATGCAGTAGGGAACGGCGCTCGAAAATCAAGCGTTAGGTGCTAGTCATTTACAAAAGAAAACTATTGGCATTTTGGGCCTGCACTTTCGCTGAACATGCGGTCGCCCGCGGGAGTATTCAACTACGTAGGAAGGAAATGGTGAACCACGATTTGAGACTAGCGCATTGCATGTAAACTTAAGCAAACTGCGACTACCAACTCACTGTTCTGTACATTGGAGCGTTTTCGTGCACTCAGAATCACGATCGACACCGACTCTGCTCCATTCGACCTTGTTTTGCTAGGCTCGTCATACAAACACTGACGAATGAAAGCAGTGCCTTTTCCGAGAGGATCACGACCCCCCTCCCATCGATATGCGCTCAGGGACCTGGAGTACCATCGTAGTGGTTTCCTGTTTGGGGCCGCGCACTTGTGCTTGTGCAACCCTGACGATTCGGCACGGTGGGTGGCATTCATAGAGCTTATACATGGTTATTCCCGCCTTCAGTATGAATTTCCAAATCAAGGCATTGCCTTCAACTCCTACGAGGCCCAAAATTGGTGGAATACTAGACAAATTCGCCGCATTTGCGGGTATCGCTCAGCACATGACTCCTGAGCTTGACGGCGAGTATATTGCCGGGATATGGCCCAGACAATTGCATTCAATTAGCGCATACCGTTGTCCATCCTCGATTTGGGTCAAAATCGAGCGAAAAGAGAGATCCACCGAAGAAAGACTGACGCTTTCCTACGGTAACTTATGCTACTTGTCTGAGTAATACCACGTTGCTATCCATTCAGCAAAGGCTATACCCGCCGACCCAGCTGATCCGTTTAGTCGCATAAGAGTGCATGCATCATTTTGGAGTGTAAATTACTGTGGAGGGCAGCGCTATCCATGTATTCTCAAGAGGATATTCCGGAAGATTTGATGGAGAAGAAGAGAAGCGCATCGATCAGAGCGACACTTTGTCCTGCCTGTTATCACGCGAACTTATCCGAAGGGTTCTTCACGGAATTCTCGCGTAGTGAAGTTTATGATTTTGCGTAATTCCAGCACAGGTTGCGAAGATTCCTATGTCAGAAATGGGTTCGCAAGTTGTTCCATGCACGACCTGCTATACGTCGATCCACATCAGGAAAAGTGGTACGAACGTTACCAAAGAATGAGGAAGCATTGCGCGAATACTGGTAAAGGTTGCGGTAAGACATTTGATTTTGCTGTAACACCAATAGAGTATTCCTTGCAACTGGTTCAAGCTAATCTGTATTTTATGGGCGCAGAATTCTAGAGAAACAAAGCAGACAGTAACAAATAGTGGCGTTGTTTCTCGAGCACCATCCAAATCTGCAATGTAGAATCGTTCGTCATGCAAAAATATGAGGCATGTATACCCGCCGTCCTTAGTCTGCGATAACCTTGTTGTGCCTCCCCGTCAATACTCACTTGTCTATTTCATCTGAACTGTTCAAGACACTCGAACCATGAACGCATGCATCGTACACCACACCAACATAAACCATTGTACTTGCGTCCCTCTTTTCTCACCCTTTTTCAAACTGTCCCTTCGCCTAACAAACGGCCCCAACCATACAGAACTCTCTCGAGAACCAAGACCACACTCCAGCCTTACATCCATACGTCATTCAAACACATCAAGCTTCCCACATCATCCAGCCCAGGAACAATGAAGCCAATACGCCACAGTCGCACATCCTCGCTGCAAGTGAGCTAGCTCTTCTCCACAACCCACGATTCCCCCCGCAAGGTTTGGACGAAAGTTTCGGGTCGAATGCGGAGGGTACGTCGCTGACGTTATCTCTACTCCGCCACATATGCACACGAACCTAACTTCAACTATAAAAAGGACCTCACTATAACAACGACATTCCAGATCAAGATTGAAGGCACGATATTGCAGAGCACCTAGAACCCGCAGACCACGCCACACAAACACATGCGCTTGCAGAGCGCGCCAGAAGCACATGGCCCTACGAATCGGCTTGGCTTCCACGTCCGATGCACTACGCCCCATGCTGGCGGCCTGGGATGCGGCTTACTCATGGATACGGTTCGCAGGTGCCTTGGTGCCCTTCGGCCCGCTTTGCGAACGGGATCGGGCCGTGGGCTGGGTGCCTGAGGATATTATTATTATTATCATCATCATTACCATTTTGATTATAGACGAGGGAGCGGTTTACGTCTGGCGCGGGGGATGCGAGTTTGGCAGAGCGGGATGAGGAACATCACGACGAGATTTGAACAGATCGACTCAGTCCCGGAATACTACCTACAACAGAGTGTATGTTCAGACCGGAGAACCCAGGTCGAGCTAAGAAGCCAGATCGGTCACGCATCCTATGTACTCGCGTTTCGTCTCATCTCAGACGCCTTCCACCCAACTCGACTTCCCCATCCGTGCCCCGTGCCCCATTCCACACAGCCTTTCCAGAGACTCAGCAGCACTTTACCCTCTCTGTGCTCCCTTCCCAATTCACCCACCTCTCCACCAGCCGCAGGCAGAAATCCCTCCCCGCTCCCTTCCCTGATTGGCTCCGCGGGTGAATCCCAAAGTTGTCTTCGCGCCAATCAAAGTCGCGCTTCGTACCCAGGCGTACGGTAACGCACTGCGGCCGTTTCTGCGGCCCCAATCCTATCTTGGGAGGAAGGAGTGGAAGAGATAATATACACGGAGTCCGATGGAAGCTGGTGGGGATGACTGCATACGTAGAGTAGGATCAGGCTTACGTGCGTTCTGCGTTGCTGGGAATAGGTCTGTGTAGATGGGAGGATTGGGAAGGAAGGGAGTGGGACCCACCAGCATGGTAGCGGTGCGGTGCGGAGTCTGTATCTGGGTATGGAATTGCATCTTGGTCTGGTCCGCATGTGAATTCGATTCGACAAGCGGAGTAGAGTAGCACATCATCTCATCCATCCTACCAGACACGCAGGCCCCATACCTGGGAAACTTTGAAGAAGGGCAGCGGAACTTCCTCCGTCTCCTCGGCATGTGAAACTCACACCTCACCTCACCCCTCTCGCCTCCCTTGGATTATACTCCCACGCAACACCAGAGAACCACATCTCAGCGCTGATCCTTAGACCTCGGACCCCGGAATGCCGGTGCGCCAAACGGCCTCAAGCTCATGCACCGCGCACGTGCGTGTGTGCGGGATGGGCCGGCGAGCTGGTGCTCTTCGGCGTCTTGCTGGCACCAGCTAAGGATGGGTTGGGTCGGTGAGGCTCGGCCGCACCTGGAGTGGGAGTGTAAGGAAGGTGCGCCTAGATAGGCAAGTGGCGGGCTGCATCGTATCGCGATTTGGCTACGTTGAAACAACTGTGCCTCGGGTTTGCATGATGAGGGGGTGGGGCGGCGATCACTGTGGACGCATAGTAAACCACGCAAGTGAAAAGTTTGGAGAGGATGGTGTGGTCGTGGATTTGGGTTCAAGCTTACGTAGCGCTGGTGCACTGAGAGTGGAAGTGGTGTGGGAGAGGAGTAGCGCTGGCGTGATGGGTCGTGGTGGCCCACAGAGAACGCTTGCAACTTTGGGAAAGGCATGTGAGAGCGTTGGAAACCACGCGCGTGGTCGGAACCAGCGCTGGTAAACCACGCATGCGCGGGCTGCGACTACAAACCTTAATGTGACGTGACGTGCGCAGTCACGACAACCTCCATGAAATCAATTCATGGATGGATGTATAGGTGGAGGATGAGAGACCCAGGCCAATCGTAAAAGCGGAGATAATTATTGTCATAGAAATTAAAGATGCCGATCTAGAGGTGAAGTAGACTCAATAGAAAGATAACGTTCAAAGAAAGGGAAAGAAGTAAAGTAAAAAAGATGTAAGTAAACTGGAAGGAAGTTTTCCATCCATAAAAAAAGGAAAATCAGCACGCCTATGCCGCTGCATCCCAGCCAGCTTCCCTTCCTCGTGTGCAGCATCCCGTGAAGGCGTTAATGAAACAAGTGAACAATGAAACAATTTGCCACGATGCCAGTATAGGAAAAATCGAGTCTAGATTCGGGTCGGTCCAAGCGACGAGGAAATGTTGGATCGAATTGGGTCGATCGAGCAATGATGGTCGTACGCGTTCCCGCAACAGAGAGAGAGAGAGAGAGAGAGAGATCCGTGGCAACACCGAAGAGCCCTCCCAGCAGAAAGTAGGTTGGTTTTGGTTTTCGAGAGAAGGGTAAGATCGGATGCCAGACCACGGGACGTAGAGTTAAAGCGGCAGTACGTGCTAAAGGTATCAATGATTTTTCGTCTCGGGCGTCGGCTTCCCTAGCGTCGGCCTTCTCGACGCGGCAGACGGCGCCGGAGGCGACAGGTATCTTTCTTCCTCAATCAAGCATCTCTTTCCGCGCGCCTCGCGCCAGCTCGACAGCAAACAAAAGGAATGTGCTCTACATGACTACGCACCCGCAGCAGCCCTTCTTCTCGTCGCTGCCGTCTTCCACGCCCATTTTGGATACGCCATTCTGCTGACCGCCTGACTGCGCGCCCGTGTACGAGGACATCTCCTTGTTATATCTGCGGATCTCGCGCACAATGTCGTAGAAGGCGTTGTCCACATTGATGCGGCTCTTCGCGGAGGTCTCGATGAATTTGCAGCCGAATTGCCGTGCGAGGTTCTGGCCCTCTGCGGGAGATTAGCACGACGTTGGGGATGTGACGTGACGGTGAGACATGACTCGGGTGGGTACACACCTTGTGTTGACACCTGCCGCTCGCCGTCAAGATCGCACTTGTTGCCGACCACAATCATGGGGAAGTAATCCTTGTCCTTGACCCGGAGGATTTGCTGCTGGAACGTCATGATTTCCTCGAACGACTGGCGGTCGGTTATCGAGTAGACGAGCAGGAAGCCCTCGCCGGTCCGCATGTACTGCTCGCGCATTGCCGAGTATTCCTCCTGGCCGGCTGTGTCAAGCACGTCGAGCAGGGCGACCTCGTCGTCAATGACGCACTGCTTGCGGTACGAGTCTGGGAGCGTTAGCATCGGGACAGGCGCACAGACGGATGCGGCAGGCGCGACTCACCCTCGATGGTTGGGTCATATTCGTCGACGAAGTGGGACTGGATGAGCTGGATGGTCAGGCACGACTTTCCCACGCCTCCGCCGCCGACTACGACCAGCTTGTACTCTCGGAGGAACTGCGCGGTGTTAGGGAGCAAGAGCGGGCAGGCAGGTCAGTGGACGCACCTTGGATGCCATTGTGTGGTTGTATCGGGGGTGTCACTGGGCGGCGCGACGAGGGCGCTGTCTCGCAGGAGGTCCTGAAGGAGGCGGGCACGGAGCGGTGCGGCGATCCAAGGGAGGCAGGGACGACGTCGGGGTTGCGAGGGCCGATGTGAGGTCAACAGGCAGGCAGGCAGGTGTGCAATTGGGGGGCCTCGTGTGGTCGCGGGCGGGGGCGGATCTTTGACGGGTCGTCGTAGCTGTCACAGCGACGGGTTCTGGCAATGGGGAGACGGGAGGTCGACTGTAGTGCTCCGCGCCGGCAGCAAAAACGACCGTCTGCTAGCTCGACCTTGTCCTGCACCCTGCGCCCCTGCTAGCCGCTGATTCGGCGCTGGCAATAGCGCGGATGGCAGGCTGGCTCCAGCTCCCACGAAAAGCCCGTGAACAGAGGCGCTCCCCACGAATAAGAGCCCTGCGCAGCGGCGCACCCAGCCCAGCGCGTCCAGAGCAGCGAACGCGTGCAGCGCGTCCCGGCCAGCGGTTAAAGCGGCGCCTGCACCCTGCACCCTGCACCCTGCCCACAGCCCTCTCTGGGGCCTCAGGGAGCAGCCTCGCACGCCGGCGGCAGCAGCAGCGGCAGCCTTGGGCACGGCAGCGACCAGCAAGCGTGCGAACCGTCACAGCGCACTGGGCCAGGCAGCCGAGGCGAGCGCGAACGCTTGCTCGACACACAGTCGCCCGTGTGCGCGTAGACGCCAGCCCGCGCCCCGGGTGACATGTCGTTGCATCCCAGGCCCCATTTTCCAGGGCACGTCACCTGACACGCCGGCCGATGCGGGCGCGAAAACGCATCGTCGCACACGCGCCGCGGCTTCGTACATGCAGCACCGCCCTGATGCATCACGGTTTCCACGCGGGCGGCTCAAGCGAGCGCTGCTGCTGTCGCGCACGCCACCGAGATGGGCAACCCTCGCGAAACAAGCACCTCTGGAGAACCACCCTGCAGATCGCCACCGCGCCGCTGTCTTGCGTTGGGGAACGGGCTCGGTGCTGCTGCACGGGGGCCACAAGGCCCTTCCACGGGCCTTCGAGAAGCCCAGCACCCCGTCCGCCGTGCCGACAAGTTCTGCCCGTCATCTGCTGCGGCCCCAAAAAATCATCTAATATCTATATACGTTTCACTTGCCTGCCCCTCTTTCTATTTACATGCAGCTCACTCAGCCTTACGCGACCTCCGTCTTCTTGGGATCCGTATGCTCTGGGTCGTCCTCCCCTTCGACCGCAACACGGTGCCCTTGAACCGCCTTCTCTACCTCCGGAACAATTGACTCCATGAACTCGACATCACGGCCCACCAGCGTCACCGTGTTGTGCTCCTTGCCCCACCTCGGGTAGCTGCCCACTTTGACTCCCTTGGGCTCTGCCCGCGCCGCAAGCTGCGTAAGATACTCGGCCACGGCGCTCTCCGGAAGAGGGGTCGAGATCAATATCCGCAGCACGCCCTTGCCCTCCGGATCCGCGAGCCGGGGCAGCAGCTTAGACTTGAGTCCATCTAACATCTTCTCGAACAGTCTCGGCACGCCAGGCAGTATGTGTACATTGCCGTTGATGCACGCTACGGGCACCCAAAGAGAATCATCAATGAAGATGACTTGCTCTTCATCTGGTATCGAATCGTTGTACGGCAGGATAATCATGCGCTTCTTTGCAGTGAGTGCAGCGGAGGGGGTGTTCCAGTCGAAGTTGGGTTGCGAAGGGTGCGGCTTGGAGAGACGCTTCATGCGCTCAAAGGCTGCATCGTGCTGCTTTAACGGTAGGTCGAACGCCTTCGCTATCGATTGGTACGTGATGTCGTCGTGTCTGAAATTCCGAGTCAGCCCATGATATACGCCTGAGGTAACGCAATGCGTACGTAGGGCCAATGCCTCCAGAAGTGACTACAAAGTCATAATTCTTGGACATGCGTCGAACCGCCTCCACGATCTCGCTCTCATCGTCGGCGATGACTTCTATCCGTTTCAAGTTGATTCCGGCCGAGAAGCAAAACTTGGCGAGGTACGCCTGGAAGCAATTAGCAAGTACATATCGTCTCCCGTTGACGCCCGTACCGAGTTCGTGTCTACCGTCTTCAACGCGTCAGCACATGTCCAATGTAGCATATGCGAGCGGTGGACCTGCGTACCTTGCCTCCCAAGACCTCGTCTCCAATGATGAGACACGCAGCCGTGTGAATCAGCCCCTTCTTCTGCGCAGAGGTGGCGGCCATGATTGATGACGTATAAGCGGCGCGGTGAGTGTGGTTGGGAACTGGTCGCGAGAGGTGTCTGGCTATCTGGCCCAATCTGCTAAACATAGATATCTAGCTCGAAGAGATGCGTGATGGTGATGGTGGAGGCTTGATGTTGAGTAGCTAGTCGCATGGAAGGTGCAACCACGGCTCATGTCCAGCAGGCGCGCCCCGCGTAGCGCATCTCGCAACTGCCCCGCACCACCAATCCCACTTCGCGGAGCTTACTGCCTCCCGCTCAGCCCTACTACTCCACGATTGACACTTGAAACCCTCACGCAAACTCTATCGCAGATATCCCCCGGAGCACGCGATCATGGCACGTTTCGAAGCCTCTGTCGAATGTTCCACGCCGAGCTAACACTGGCTAGTCGTCCGAGTCGCGGCTCTACACCTTCTCTGACGAGACGAAGCAGAAGCTGCGCAAATTCCGCTTGGGCACTTCGCGGGCCAAAGACCCCCAGGCCATTATATGTACGCTGGTCTGATCACTCCTGTGCTGTTGCTATTCTGGCTATGCTCGCCCATGGTCGGCACGTTGTTCATACACGAGATGAGGCTGACGCCTGTGTGCGCCAGACGAGATCGATAAGAAGACGCTCGAGATACGGCCGATAGATGGAGAGGTCTACACGAACGTACAGGAGCTTGCCGATGAGCTGCCAGACCATGCTCCGCGTTTCGTACTCCTCAGCTATCCGCTGACCCTCGTATGCCTTTCATCCCAACCTTCACAGTACATCTCCTTAAATGTAACAGGACTCGGGAAGACTATCAGTCCCCTACGTCATGTTGTACTACCTCCCGATCACCTGCAATAGTGAGGTCAAGATGCTTTACGCTGGCGCAAAAGAGCTGATGCGCAACACGGCCGAGGTGAACAAGATAATTGAGATCGACAGCGCCGACGACTTGGAAGAAATCGAAGAGAAATTGAAAGGCGATTCATAGTGCGCTACCAAAGTCAAACGCGCGGACATATTTCACATACGATGATAAGAGGGAAAGGGGCATCCGCACGTGCCGCGGCCGCCAGCCTTCTGTTTGGCTGAACGTCAACCAAATCACCGCCAGCGCGCGCGGGAAGTAGCTGCCAAGTGCTCTAGCGTCGGTGTGGGATTGAACATACGAGTACCCACCACAACGAAATTTACCAATCCCAAGCAGATATCAATATCAGCGAAGCCTTCAACGTGCCGTCTTTTCGATACGCTAAGCCCGGCCCTAATTGTTCGTTTTACGTTTCAGCATTTCTGTTTCAGCTCGTCTTACTGCCCCCACGCATTGCAACCACGCTGCTTTTCCTTTGCGATATCTTAGTGCTTGCTCGACGATGATCGACGGCAAGCATTGTGCACGATACTGTTAGCCGACACCCGGGCGATTTCCGACCTAAACAATCGAGCCAATCGAAAACCCCATCAAATCAGCGTGCCTACGTTGCCTCACTCACCTTCCGCGTTCAGTCCACATACCGGCTCGCCGCTATACGCGTCAACGCGTGATATGGTCGCCAAAGCGGTGAGGTAATGAAGGAGCCTTTGCCTGCTTTGCTACTAACGCAATTATACGTAATTTCGGACGCAGGACTCGACATCTACACCAGGTGGCTCAAGCACGAATTCTGATTCAGCCCGTTCGGAATCCTGAAGTCCCCGCGAAGGCGCCTGGAACGGAGACATATCGATTAGGAATGATAGACATGATCGACCAGTCTTCGCCCTCAGCAAAGACGTGGCGAGACCATGCACTACGGTGTCGAGTGAGAGTGAGCGACAATAGTACACAACAAACAAGGACAACACTCAGCATGAGACTAACAATCACAATGTCTGATCGAGCGGCACACAATGCTCAAACTGAGAATTGGCGTACTTTAACTTCAAGAACTACAGTTATGCTCATGGTTTGAACTTCCAAAAGCCGATACAGGCGAAAACGAGTATGCCCGCCGACGATTAAGCTTTCGACTATTGACACTGTATATGAACATAATTCTGACACTTTTTCAGTGAGCACTCTATCTAGACCAGCACGGCCAACCTTCTTGTTCGACAAATTCTGTGTCACTGAAGCATTCTGTGAAGGTGGACGATATGTATTGTCCTTGAACGCTGCTCAACGAACCATAACCCATGGGTATCTTATTTGGAAAGTCACATGGCGTAATCATAGTATCAGACTCGCCCGCGACAGCGCCATCTCACAATGTAGCGCTGTGAAAGTTGCGCCTCACCATGTTCTCTTCTCTATATGAGGACATCTATATACTTCCCTATTACTATCATCGTTTTCGACAATAGAGAATACAACCCAACTCAGTGGACCACTTGGGACGTCCCTCAGGAGTCAACTCAGGCGTCACAAACTTTAAGCCCTCCTACAGTTGACCTGAACAGCAATGGGTTTCTCTATTGGATGCGATGACCTTTCTAGTATTGGAGAATTTGTGCAAGACGTGATTTATCACGCACAAAGGTATTCGGGCGTCAATAAAGTCGAGCGTAGGAAGCAGACGTTTCAACATCGTCTACGAAAGCTGCGAGTTCGAGAACGCCGAGAGCGCAAATTGCAAGGGAATCATGTAAGTGCTCCACAAAAGCCCCGCGACACTGAACTCAGCCGGTACATTTCGGAGCTGCAGCCCCCGCTCCGGCCACAACGTACAATCTCAGATTATCGGTGGGGGTCCATTGCCATCACTTGGAAGTTTGAGGCATTCAAAGAGGACGTAGGTATGCGAGCCCTTTTTGCTGAGGAGCGAAACAATGATGAAGTGCCTCCCCAGGTGACCGGACTATTCGTGCAAGAGTTTCGGAACTCGCCGGACGCGTTGGGCACGCACATACACCGTGTGTTCCGACCCTCGAATTGGCAGAACCCAATGCTGCAGCCTAGACTCACGGAAGGACGTAGGCACCAGGCTTGGGTGAACATGCGCCCGGCACTGACTTTAGCAACGAAGTTCTTGCTCGATCCCAGGTTCGGCGCCTTTTGGTACCATCTCATGTATGGGACCCCCGTCACGGATGCCGCCACTAGGAAGACCTACCTCGAGCACTCCAACCGGGAAGACGACCTTCAGACTGCATGTGCAGATTTTGAGGCCCTGCTTGAGAGCCTTGCTGACCGGACCACCTTCTACTGGCGGCCGGAGAAATCAGAAGGTCCTACTTTTGCCGGTGTAACCCAGTTTTCTTTCTGGGAGATCTTGAAGGATTTCATCGACTCCTCACGGTTCGATCGCCTCCGTAAGCCCGTGGATAGCTACAATAGCTACATCGGCCTCAGTAGCAAATTCCTGTACAACCTGATGAGCGAGAATGCGGTTACGTACTCGGACGTAAACGCAGACATACGCCTCCAATTTGTTCTTGCGGTGACCATCACACACGAGCTCGCGCACGCTATTTACGGATGGCGTGGTCTGCCCCATGTGGACTGGACTAACGGGCTTGTGGAGGTCTTCGCCTTCGACACTGACATTTCCAATGAGATCGGCTGGAGCTGGGAGAACCACACGTGGGATGGTGTAATCCTCGCCTGCACGCTTGACCACGACGCGATCGGCGAGGTCCGGGCTAGAACCTGGGAGTCTGAGATTTTGAACGAGACTTACATCTTTACCCCGGTCCCGGAAGATTGGCTGAAAAGTCTCTTCATGAAAGACACATGGAAGAACATCAATCAAGCAATCAAGAAGATCCCTAAGCCGGTAGGTTCTCCTCACCTCTTTGTTGCGCAACGATGGATTAACAGCCAACGAGGCTTCGAGTCCGTGGAGTACGTCCACGGCCTTGCAGTCAATCCAGAGCATCAGATTCTAAATGATCGCGAAGGTTCCGTCAAGGGCGACGTCGATCCTTGGTTTAAGCGGGTGCGGAAGGTCGATCAGCAGAAGGCGTCTCAGACCGGCCGCTTCGTGAAGCGACCGCAACTTGGGCCGAGGTCTGAGGTCCTTGGGCAGGCGATCGCATGTGTGCCTATAGACGGGGAGTATCTGGAGGAGGAGGACAACGACGACGACGATACCGTCATATACGAAAGCTCGAACGATGACTTTCTACATGGCGAAGATCCGCCTGAGGAGTACGAAAAGGATTTCGACATTTTTCCGCCTCCGACTTTTCGACTTCCAGGTGTTATCCCTGTAGCACAGCACCGTCCTCCATCGCTAAGCCCTTCTCCCAATGATCTTGATTTCCCGCGTGGTGCAATTCCATCGGATCGCGTTCGCCGCTAGTGCAGCAGCTTTCGTTTCTTGAATCTCCATAACATACGTATTGTCAAGTCTTCAACCAAATATCTTATTCATAACATTCTCAATGCTACTTTGGTGAATGTTTCGCTTTAATGCCTTGCTAGTGTTCACTCCCGCTGTGGAATACAAGATCGACAGTCGAATATGATACTTTATGCACTATTTCAAGCCGCAGCCAACGTAGGACATCAACTCAGCAGGGTGCACAAACATAAGTGGTGATTGATAGTGCTTCCGATCTGCCGCTAAGTGCGAAGATTACGATCCCGTGTAACTTGTTAAGTTCAGATTTCACGTGTCGATGGAATCCACATCGGTACTTTCCATGCGCACCTCTCTCCCACGGGGTCAATTGGCTTTCATAAGTCCTGGCAAATTTCAATCCTACGATGTCAATCTCACCGAAGATTTCTTCGCGAGTGAGTGGCAGAATGGGCACCAGAGTATATAAAATTCAATCTCTTCTCTTGGAGCGCATTCATTACGGATCAACCACAGCGCTTTGATATAGCAGCACATCAACTCTTCTTACACCCTACGTATCAAATTTCCCTAGTATGCTTGCCCAAATACAAAATATCGACGTCTTTTCGTCCGGTAAAATTGGTTTATGGTGGCAACCTACCAAGGTAGACTCCCACTGGATACACCGGAATGCGATACTTGGGAGGAAAGCTTTTCGCGTGGAAGTCGACTTTTCGAGCTAGAAGAAGAGGCTCGAATTTACGAGGAATAAATGGCACAGCTACGGCAAGGCATCTTGGAGACAGCTATCCCGCGACCTCTCGAAACCGAGGGAAGGACGGTTGTTCCTCGTTTGGTCCATGGCGAACTGTGGGTTGGCAACACTTCCGTCCATGCAGCGACAAATCACCCCATCATCTTTGATGCCTGCTCTCCATAAGCCCATTACGAGTGTAAGTTGCACGCCCCTGACTCATAGCGCTTGTTCATGCTTACAAGCATGGCAGACCGACAGACGAGCTGGCTCCGAGGCGTCCTGTTCGCCACAATATCGGAAAGCCTTTTGTGACTGAGCCCTTGGAACACTTTCCGATGTCGAAATCGGCGGAAGGTTTTGATGATAGTAATTAGGATCTTGTGCAGGCAAGAGTATGAGCAAGCTACCAAGTCTAGAGGTGCTGGAGTCGAAAAAAAAAAAAGGATAGGTCCTGCTAGGGGACATGCCTTGGTTGAAAGGCTCCCAGCACGTGACAACGCACCTGAAAGATTGATTATATGCCATAAGACTTCTTTCATACGCTATTGTCTTACCAAAAACTTCCCGGGGGCTAAACTCTAGCTTGCGGAGTAACAGCTGTACATCCCATGAAGAGAAAGCCTCATATGGATGTATAATCGCCCTTTCCCTGTGGGTTCCGCTTGGAAGGTTCAGACTGGCGATAAAGCCGCTCTTGGGCAGCTCCTTCCAGACATTCCATCGCCGTGTTACTTCCTTTCGTGTCTCACTGCAACTTCCTTTCTGGCTAGCGTAACTCAACAAACCCAAACAACACAGACCGTCTGGTCTTCCACACCAACATACCGCACGCATCAATAGCAAGGATCTCAGTCGCGCGTTACATCTTCGCTCTAACAGCTCGACCATCGCACGCCCAATGCCACCTCGCTCAGAAAAGTCAATTTAGTTCCTTCCAAGCAAGCACCTCGTCTCTCACTTCCAGCCCGCCATGTCTCTCCTCAAGCTGGGCCTCAGAATATGGTTGTCTGACTTCTTCTACATGCCAGGTAAGTTTGCGCAGTCTTATATCACAAATACACGTCCCTTGAAAGGACCCTTGACAACCTCAAAATCTAGCCGCTGCCCTCATTTCGCATAGGGTGTTCGAGAACATTCCAGATGGGGCCGTATCAGATTACTGTGCGTGCATCTGGGGAACTGCCCTTGGCACTTTGATAGCAAGGGCTGCGACGGTGTGGTTCGAATATGTGACGGACACAGATACGGACTCGGACTCAGACTCAGACTCGAAGGACACTCCCGCATCTCTACGTTCACCACAACAGGACAGAGCCGCTGGCTTACCAGAGCAGGCCAGAGCGGCCTGAGACATTTCTTCGGTCATAAGCATGCTTTTCGAGGGGGAGTCATAACAGGACTCATAATTGTATTGGTAGGAGCACCATAGTGTTTGGATGGTCATATTATTTCCATGCCAGGATCTCGCATTCCACTATGCCACGCGTACGCATACATCATGGGATCATGGAACATTGTACTCATTCTTGATTTGTGCTTACAGCTGTTTATATCGTCGAACAATCAATCCCACACACTCTTCAAGACGCCCTCAGAACTTAGCCTCTTCCGCTACAGCGGCGGTAGTCCCATTAACCTTACACAGCTTCCCATTCTCATTTGGCAGACCATCCACACTCTCCACGACCCATCCCTCACTTCCGACTGCATTCGCAGCCCAAAACACATCCTTCGGATCCCAGTCTTTCTTAATCTGCAGGAGCTTTGCGTAGTTGTTCCCCCAGAAGCTCTGCTGCCAATTCGGTTCCAGCCGATCTGCTTCGTTAAGGTAACTCCCACTGCTCGGCGTAACATCGCGCCACCGCTTCATCGTCCCATTCGTGAAGGACGTACGTGCAGCGCGGATATCGGAAGCAGAAGCCTTGACGTCCCACCGCAGGCCAGTGATGGCGTGCAAAACAGCACTGCGCCACGCAGGATTCACCGCATTGTCCGGGTTTCCGCCCCGTGCGAGCGTCGGCGCGAGGTTAAATCCTATGATCATCTGCCCTGCCTCGGCGGTCTGGCGGAGTGCGGTGAATGTCACGTTGCGGCCTGTTTCGGAGGCGAAGTTTGAGCGGGGGAAAAGTCGGGAGCCAAAGGCGGTTTGCACATCGGACTGGGTCTCGAGGGAGAACTCGGCCTGCCATGCTGGGTAGAAGCCTTTGTACTCCGTGATCTTTGGTGAGAAGGGGATATTGAGGGCGGTGAGCTGGGATTGGAGTGGTGCGAGGATGACGTTGAGGCCTTGGGTGGTTCTATTGGGGGCGAAGAAGGGCTGCATTGTGAAGGTGAAGTCTTTGCCATTTGTGGAGGGGGAGAGGATGAAGTAGGTGTAAATGCCGTTATCGACGTAGTCGGTTGAGCGGTCGAAGATGGCTTTCGCGGCGGTCCAGAATTTGTCTTTGCCAAGTTTCGCGCTGTCGAAGGTCCAGGAGGCGGCGGTGACGGGGAGGTCTTTGAAGGCTTTCACGGTCACAGATGTGACGACTCCAAACGTGCCGCCCCCGCCTCCTCGCAAGGCCCAGAAAAGATCGGGGTTGCTCGTTGAATTTGCGGTCAGGAACTCGCCCGTGGCTGTCACGATCTCGAAGCCTAGGACGTTGTCCGCTGCCATACCGTACATTGAGCTGAGCGGGGAATGACCGCCGCCTTGGATGTACCCTCCCATGATGCCCACAGTCTAGCTACATTAGCAAGAAGACTTGCCTTCCAGCAGGAAGCACCTACCTGTCCCTCACCACCGACTACTACCAAGCCTTTCTCGTTGGCGGCTTTGTACAAATCGAACGCCTGCACGCCAGCGCCAGCCTTTACAGCAGGGCCCTTGTAGCTTCCGTCCGTATAGCTGTCGAAAAATTGAATGTCCTTTAGACCATGTGTCCATATGCTCAACGAACCAGCACCGACCGACTTTCCTCCAAAATCATGCCCAGTGTTCTTGATGACGAGACGTAGATAGTCATTGCGCGCGAAGTTGATACCTAACTGGATGTCTAGCACGTCCGCTGCCTTGATAACATATGAAGGGTACCCTCCCAACGAACAACTGCCGCTATTGTAGATCGTAGGCGGCTGGCAAGTGAGACCTTGATATATAGGCGACAGCACCTCGGTTGGATCGTCAATGTGCGTGTACGAGTTTGCCCAGCTTGCAGTCAAAGTTTGGCACTTCGCGTCATCTTTCGCAGTCCCATAGCATACGGATGCTTGGGGTGTTGTCTTGATGAGAGCATCGGCTGTGCTCAGCTGCTTGGATAACCGTGTCCATGCTTTTTCTGCGGGCCATTTGCCGTCGGCTGGGCCGTAGCGACATCTCTTGTCTGTCGTGTTCACTGCAAGAGTACTGAGATCGTCGTCGAACCCAAAAAGTGCCTGATCTGCTTCTGAAAGCGATGCGACGTATTCCTTGGTCAATTGGCGTTGCTCGAATGGAAACAATATTCTCGCCTGGGAGGGGATCGAAAGCAATGAGAATGCTAGTAACAGAGCGGGTAGTGGAGGCGCCATCATCAATTGAAACGCGTCGTTTGTCGTTTCGCAAAAGTAGACAGCGATCGTGTTGTATGACGAGGCTGGCAGCTGAGGTGGCCTCTTAACAGAATGTCGCAGGGTGTAGGGTCCTTCTGCTGTTTTACGCAAACTAAGAATTCGATTACCGAACGGCGATGCAAGCTTTCTGGATGATCTTGGCTTCCCCCAGATTGCGCGAAATCGTTCTCGAATCTCAGGATATATGAAGTGACGCATGGCGACCACCGCACAGGGCTTTTTGCCACGCCTTGAATCACAGCTGATTCGCAGCGGAGATTTGCCATCGTTTGCATGCAGATATCCCGGTGTACGATCACCCGATAGCTGCGGTGGTATTACGTGTTACATCCGGATGTATGGCCGCCATGGCATTCATTTGAGTCTCGTATATGCTGCGTTGGGTGGCAGCAGAACGCCATGTCATTGCGCGGTGACGTGATGTCCATATTGCGGCTCAGCAGCGGTCGAAACAGTGCCATCGCATGGTATGGACATGTCTTGGAATGTATGTGTAGGAGCGAGGACGCCGGGTGCTGTGCCGGATGAATTCATCTATCCGAGATTGTTCCACGTCTCGTGAAGAAAAGATGTTTGCAACCGCTTAGCGGGAAGAGTGTTCATTGTCACATTTGGTGCTCAATCCGAAAAGGCTGTTGAATGATTTGCTTGATGTTGGAAGCCTAGGTGAGGTGATGAACGCGACTCGGAGGTGCGATGGATTTACGGTGCGCTTGCCAAAGTCCCACTTTCAAACTGCCTAAAACGGCATGTCAGGAAATTCGTTGATCGCACGGCGCAGGGCGGCTCAGGAGTGGCTCACGAGCAGCTCACCAACTTGCCATCACTGGCAAGTAGGAGAGAATCAACTCAACTTCCAAACTGCCTAAATGGGCAGGTACAGAATTACAATGATTACCGTACAAATGTGCAAGCAAAAGGGAAAAAAATCAAAGTCATGGCTCGCGAACACTTTGTGGTAATCTTCCGTGTCGAAACTTAGCTCTACTTCTTGATGAGAGCAGCTTTTGTATGCGCGCATTCTGTACGGACTGGGAGCATACGTGGAAAGTGTTTGAACGCAAGGTTGCACACTACGGCATAACAACGATGATGCAGCTAGCATACAACCCATGCCCACGAAAAGAATATTTACAAGAAGCCAGCCGAAGAGGCAGACGTAGGAAGTGAGATCAAGTGATAGTCGTTGGAGGCAGAAGGCAGCTCTTTCCTTCAATTCACCATGCTAAGATTACGACACTTGGCAGACGCTATGAGCCAACCAGCACTCCTTTTCAAAATGATAACTACATCGTTCACTTTACGCCGTATATTATTTGCCTTATCATAGAGCACGAATCAGAAATGAGATGAGAAATGGGTGTGGCGGCAATCTTGCCATTTTGAAAATTGCAAATATAAACCTAAGAAGATTGTCTGACTTCCTTGCTTGGATGTAGACACTGATACAACTCTCTTTTCCTGGTTCTCGATGATGCGCAAACCGATGCTACTTCATCAAGACGCCCTTCCCCCCTCAGGTGCGTTTGTAGCTCTGTATGCCTACTCGTCATCCTGCTCGTCCTCGGCCTGGTTGTCAGCCTCGTCCTCGGCCTGGTCGTCAGCTTCGTCCTCAACATCGTCGGCCTCATCCGCAGCATCATTCCGAACAACAACGGCGCTTTTTCCCTTCTTAGCGCCCTTGCTGCCCGTAGCAGTATTGTCCACAGCAGCAGCACTGCCAGCAGCAGCGTTACCGCCGGCGGCAGCACCGATAGCAGGCCCAGCACCAGTGACCTGCGCATCAAAAGGCAAGAAAGTGCTAGCCTGACCCGCAGCAGCCTTGTCAAGGGCAATGTTGTTGGCAAGCTTCTTCTGCTCCTCAGCCAGCTTGTCGGCAACATCGCTACCCTGAGCCTGCTGCGCCTGGAGCTTCAAGACGGTGGCCTCAAGCTTGAGTACCTTGTTCTTGATCTTGCCGTTCTGCAAAGCCGTCGCCTCGTCGCCGCTGGCCGCCTTGATGGCGGGGTTGAACGCACCGGTCTCGGCGTCGTTGGCTACCTGGTTGACCTGGTTCAGGGTGTCCTGGTCATCTTTGGAGATGTTCTCTGGGTTGGCGGTGTCGAGGTTCGCGAAGATGGCGAGGGCCTCGGCCTCGGCGTTTCCAGCGGTACCGCCGGAGATGGAGATATCGTTGTAGGCTGCGTTGCCGAGGACGGAGGCGCCGTTTTGGCGCTTGGCGGTGGGGAGGGCGACGCTGAGCGCGGAGAGGGAGAGGATGGTGATGGTGGAGAAATGCATGATAATTATATCTGGACGCGGAATCGTTTAAAGAACGGGTGGGTTAATCGGTGGTGACAGCCCGGCTGTAATAATGTGTAAGGAGGGTATAGAAACAGAAGCAGCGTCAAGCTGATAGAAAAGAGGGATAGGCTGTGAAGGAGAGGATGAGCGATAGGATGCATGCTATAGCCGTCTTTCTCGAGATCTTTATATCAATGCGAGCGCACGATTTCACGCATTGTCAACGCGCCATGTCTGCTCCACTAAACTCCTGACCCACTGCGTCGTCCGCAAACAGCTAGTTAGATACTTTCCAGGCAGTCAGGCCGCAATGCTGAGCGCTTCCGAGAGATTCCCCACGAGTAAGAGATTGGCGGCAGCAGTTGCAGACATCTCGTGTGTTGGAGTTGCAATGATAGGGGTGCTTGATCGCCCTTGGCTGTGGTTACAAGTGCGATTGAAACCATTTCTCAGGCAAGCGTCAAGGTGTTGGTAGGAAGAGTAGTTCGTATTCGCGTAAAGGCGGGTAGGACGACTTGGCGGGGGACTTGAGTTCGACTTGGCGCGTCTCGACAGGGGTGGAGAAACCTCAAGGTGGTAACAAACACTTGGCAGGAGCCTCAGGTGCACAGTGCGCTTAGGCCAAGCGTTTGGGACATGATTTCTTGTCTGGAGGGGAGGCTTGTTTTCCTGGTACGCCGTGAAGTATTGGCGGAGTTTTAGGACCGTAGAACAAGACCGACGTTGTGAGCATAATGCATCGATGACCACGAGCGATCACATCATCGTAACCGTTGTTACGATGGATTCCGCCTCTGCCCATGCTTGCCGATACATCTGAGCCACTGCAACCCGTTCGACGAGCCCGTCATACTCTTCACACTCCTTGATCAGCATAATGTTCAAATAGTAGGTGCGCTCCTTGTCTGAATTTGGCCAGGGACCAGTGCTGTAGTCCATCCCATGGATGTTCTCGAGCCAGTTGTGCTGTCTCTTCATGCTCACCGTGATGAGAAAGTATCGCTGTCCTTCGTTGTGGAGCGGCGAGAGAGGTGGGTCGAGCTCAGGCGGGTTGAACAGAAAGCCGCACCTCCTATCATTTCGGTCGTGTAAACCCAGAAGCATCACGTTGTTTTGCGGCGTTGAACGGCGATGCGCTTAAGATATCCGGCTAGAACAGGCAAAATTCGACATCGTGCAGACGGAGGTAAGACAGCGGTATAAGTTCAGGTGGCGAACGTGAGGATAGCGGTTGTCCCCGTTGTCGATAGCTTGAGGCTCTCACCGTGTTAGGTTCGCCAATCGTCAACAGAACGGCTGAATGCAGAAAGCCACAGGTTCGTAGCGCTCGCCACCATAGGTAAGTTCCGCCTCGAGGGTGTGAAAAACTTCCTCTACTGGCTGGTTTGTAGTGATGAGACCACCTTGGAGTAACTGTACGGAAGCTGGCATTTCGCTTGAACTTCAGTGATGCGTTTGTCATGGCTCCTCGTCATCCTGTCCATGACCATGAAGGGTAGTTATTCTGTTCGGAGTCAAGTACGCATGGCCGATGAGTTGCTTTTTTTTTTTTTTTTTTTTTTTCGACTGAGAACCACAATAGTGCGTTCGGAGACGTGATATCCATGATAAGGTCACCCCGAGGCCGATATTCCATCTCTTATATGCGCTCGAGTGCGCCTGAGAAAGCATCTATGATGTCTTCATCGTACGAAAGCGTCCTGTTCGTGTAGTTTTCAACCGAGCTGAAGAAAGCATTCTCGGACTTCCACCAACCAGGCATAAGCCCCAGCTCTAACTCCAGTTCCTGGTTTGATGGGATCTCTGCCTCTCGGTCAATGCTTTCTGTATGAAAGCTTCTCGAACAACATCGATAGAATAATTGACACTTGGACACGAATAAACACTTATTCGAAACGAACGTTTCATATTATATGCAAGCCCGGATATAATGCGTGGATCATCGGATTGCCCGTTCCAAAAAAAGGCAGTCTCGCATAGAGAACTCCTCATCAATGCGGCATTTGATAGGTCGTCTGATGCGAGTGTTGGCTTCCAGGCCTGGCAGACCAGCATGGGCGCTGGCTGCCACCAAAGAGACTATGGTCATATAGGCCCGCCCACAGATTTGGTTCATGATCTGCAATTGACCATGCTTCATCTGGTGGTCCTGGACAACGCAGAGGGCATCGATCCATAGATAGATCCCGCGAATAAGACAGACAGATTTCATTGCATCGAAAGAGGTCTCCGATAGCTTAATGTCTGGTACCGCAAGCCCGCCTGGAAGTAGTAGTAGGTCAATTTTGCTGTTCGTTGTCTCGAAGACATGGGGTGGACCCCAAACGTAGCTCAGCGCAAATTAGGGTGCCATCTTGCTCTCGGTTACTGATGAAGAATGTACAGGCATTTTTTGCGAACATCGATTAGAAGAATCCTATGCACCGGCAGGCTACGGCTGTTGTCGGCAGCACTTCCGCCCGGAAAATGACCGTGACTGTCGGGCTCGTCAATCCAAGATCTCAACAAGGGTACGTTGACTTGATTAGGAACATTGAACGAGTGTAGGTGTGAAACATGCGCGGCGGCGAAGGCAAGCTCCATTGCTTTGAAAGCTCATCCAGATAGCTGAGTTGTGGACCCAGTCTTCTAGGAGGTACAATCCCAGGAATAAAGGTGAGCGGCCGCAACTACGCTCATCCAGAACAATTGAACATTTCTAAGAAGCGATCTCATGTCTTTCCCTTCGTATTGCAGTATGGCATACCGGCCATTGTGATCGGGCGTTCCCTCGGAGCGTAGGGCGATGCTGATCAATTTGCAGCATGGGCTTTCATTGGACGTCTTTCCTGCATCTGGACCATCTGAATATCCGTGCCAAATGGCACAACAGCTAAAACATAACTGGGTGTGTTCTTGCCTCCAGTGCCAAATTCCCCAAGCGTTCTGGGGTAGTCGAGCTAGGGACCATCTGTCTTTTCCTCTTTCGGTGCGGCCATTGGACATACCGCGCGATGTTGTCGCTGATGGCGTGGAACATAAGAAGTAACATCATGAACGGCAGGCAGCAGCAGCTTGAAGTGGGCTGAAAGAGACCAAGAATATGAGCACTAAAGCCTTTTGGCAGAGTGCAGATGTCGAAGGCTTGCGAGGCAGTTTGGACCATTTTTTTGGGAAGACGAAAATGCGCCACTAAGGAGCCACTCGATTGGTAGTGGGAATATGTACAGTGTGGCATTTGGTTCGTGACTTATAGCTTTGCCTTGACGGGTGCGAAAGTCGAGCCTGACGCACCACCAAGCGCCTCGACGACCTCATCAACCTTCTGGAGCGCCCAAGTGCAGCCCTCGTCGCTCACCAGCCACTTGATGCCCTCCTCCTCTCCTGCCTCGGGCTCGGACTTCCAAGTGCCGTCATCCCACGCTTTGCGCAAACCAAAGACATGGCTTAGTACCTGGGGACCCACGCCCTGCTGAGCGCGCAAGCAAGAAATAGCGCATAAGCTTGTTGTAATGCGGCCGATGTCGGCACCAGTTGACCGCTCCGGGTCGCTGAACAGCGCGCCGTACTCACTGCTGATGATGAAGACTGGCAGATCGGGATGTGCGTCGGCGAGCTTGTTCTCCAGCTTCTCTGCTAGCGGGCGATATATTGAGTTCCACAATGCTCTGCCTCGCGAATTTATTGAGTCGACGTTAGATTGAGTAGGTAGGCGGGAAGGCTTGGTGTTCAATGCCGCGACAACGGACGAGGGGAGCTCAGCGCGAAACGCATTCAGCATGTTTATCGTGCGGGGAACCTGAGGCGCGTTGTCAGCAACATCGACATGTGGAAGGAAGGAGCGACCGTACGCCATTGAAGCCAATGCACTTGAGCCCAACCTCGCGCATCAACTCTGCTATCTCCACGGCGTCTTTTTCTGATTGGTTCTCGCTCGCCGACTTGTACAGCGCCACCATTGATTCCGGCGAGTTCATCGTCATTGTTGTTGCCGTTGACAGAGCGAGCCATGATGGGCGGCCCAGCTTGTGCGCCGTCGCTTCCTGTTCTATCCTCTTGTATATCGACTGAATGTGTCGCGGTGCTGGAACCGGGCCAGGTCGAGCATGCGACGCGTTGATGAGCGCTTTCACGCCTGCTCCTAGCTTAGACATTGCGCGTAGGTTTGGAACGGGGACGGAAGCGAATTCGGAAAGTGGGCAGGCAAGCACGTGGTGGTTGCGATCTAATCAAGACGTTGAATCGGAAGGATGAGGGTATCTGGGTGCAAGCACAGTTTTGGCGCCGTGAGGATATCAATGGTAGCTCAAGTGCAGTGCGACGAAAGCTCACCATCATGCAATCCACATCCCGAGGTCGGAGCTACAATTGCCTCCGAGGCTAGCCCCACGCTGATACTTAGCGGCCGGATCTCCTTCAGACAGCGTGTGCCTTATTTGTGAGTTTCCATAGAGCTCACACGACAGTAGCAGAGTTTAGGAATGCACGCTGGCAGACTCTCGTTGACAGAGCCGATGATGCATGCTGGCGTCGACTCTCACACCGATGTCAAACTCGCAACCACGCCCTTTCCAGTCACCCCGAAGCATTCGGTCGCTCAATTGCGCAGGCGGGCTGTCGAAGAACATGGGAGGAAGCCAGTCTGTAATCTCGTATAAACACTGTGGAGTCTGACTGCTTCGACCTCTCAGCAACGAGGCTGAGCTCACGTAAAACGCCCGCCATGCGCCGAGAGCGGGAAGCTCCCGTCACGGCTTACTGCTAAATACCCGGCGTCCTCTCATCCAACAATAAACGCCAAACAGGGCGTACATAGATGATGGATAGCAGCTGGCTGACATGTCAAGACGGACTTTCCTACCTCTTCGAGGCACTGTGAGAGCTGTCCGCCCCTCCGTCGCCCAGCAGGTGCCGCTAGCCGATGACAAGAATGCATATGAGAACGTGCTTGTGCCCGGTTCGCAACTCAGCCTTCGACATGGCTGTTCAATCGCTGCGAAACGCCTTCGCCATTGCTGTTCTCTTGGCCTATCAAGTATTGGGACCTGTCCATGCGTCGCCTACATTGTCTCAACGCGCACAAGTCAAATACTCGACCGCAGAATTAAATGATTCGTATGATTATGTAGTTGTTGGGGGTGGTACCTCAGGGCTCGTTGTTGCGAATCGTCTGAGTGAGGATCCTTCTAGTGAGCTTACCACTTTTTTCCACATCGAACTCGTCCACTTATAGGACGCCTGCAGAAACAGTGCTGGTCATTGAAATTGGATACATCGCCGACGAATCTTGTATCTGGATGCCATCCAATACTGCTGTCAACAGCACGGCTTGTCTTAAGCATCGTTTCAACAGTAGGTCCTCTCATCTCACGAAGTGACAGCCTCAACTGACGCGTACAACTATGAAGTATCCAGTGTGCCTCAAACAGAGATAGTTAACCAAGCCATCTACAGATATGCAATTGGCGCTGTTGTGGGTGGCAGCTCCGCTGTGAACGGCATGGTGTTCGATCGAGGCTCCAGAGCAGACTACAATGCATGGGAAGAGTTAGGCAATCAAGGCTGGGGATGGGACGGCCTGTTACCGTACTTTAAGAAAAGCGTCGATTTCACGGCCCCCAGCGTAGAGGATGCGGAAAAGTTTGGATATACGTGGGACGAGAGCGCTTGGGGGGATGGGCCTGTGCAGGCTTCGTATCCGTCATTTCAGTGGCAAACTGTGCGTAGGTTTTATCATTCCAGCGACCAACTCAAAGTGATGATCCGCTAAAGACGCCGTAGGAACTTCTTGGGACGCATGGGCCGACATGGAAATCCCGCTGATAAAGGAGCATGCGTTGGGTGATGCAGTCGGTCGCTTCTGGGTGCCTTCATCCGAACATCCAGTCAATCGAACTCGATCGTACGCGCGATACGCCTACTATGACCCAATCGCGACTCGACCGAACTATCATCTCTTGGTTGGTCATAAAGCGGAGAGTCTGGTCTTGTCGCCCAAGAACGATGCAGAAGGAGTACTCTTCTATCAGCGGGATAGCCCTGGCGAGAAGAAAAAGGTGAAAGCAAAGAAAGAAGTGATTCTAGCAGCTGGTGCCGTACACACTCCACAAGTCCTACAGCTCAGTGGCATTGGGCCGAAGGCTGTTTTGGAGGCTGCTAACATCAGCATCAAAGTCGATGCTCCAGGTGTGGGTAACAACTTCCAGGATCACCCACAAGTGTACCTAACGTGCAACTGTAAGGCTCAAGCCCCCCTATTCCGCTTGTACTTTATACTCATTCTCCAGTCACGACGGACGTCTGGCCCAATCCTGGCACACTTGCGAACAACGCAACGTTCCGCGCAGAAGCCCAAGCCCAGTACGACACCAACAAAACCGGTCCCCTCACCCAAGCACTAAACGCCGCCTTCGTCTTCCTCCCACTCAACACCATCCACTCTTCACCCTCGACCTTCCACTCCCAGCTCCAAGCTCAGGACCCCTCGGCTTACCTCGCGCCCAACCTCTCCACCCGTGTCCTAGCAGGCTATGCAGCGCAAAGGCGCATCCTAGCAAAGCTATACAATTCATCCGACGCAGCAGTGTACGAGAGCCCCTTCGGCGGCGCATGTTCGCGTAGCACGCTTCTCCAGAAACCCCTTTCACGAGGCCATGTGCACATCAACGCAAGCGATCCGTACGGCGAGCCCGCCGTTGACTTCCGGGCTTACACGAACCCACTGGATATTGAGCAGGGCATCGAGTCTCTCAAGTACACGCGACAGTACCTGCGCAATGCCAAGTTTGCCTCGCTTACACCGGTAGAGAGCGCACCGGGACCGGCTGTCAAGGATGAGGATACTGCAGCGTTGGAAGCGTATGTGAGGCTGACGGCTGGGCCGACGAGTTTTCATGCGAGTGGGACGACGGCGATGATGCCGCAGGAGTTGGGTGGAGTAGTAGGGAGTGATTTAAAGGTGTATGGCGTAGGGAAGGTGAGTGTTGTGGATGCGGGAATTATGCCGCTGATACCGAGCACGCATTTGAGTGCGACTGTCTACGCAATGGCAGAGAAGGTGAGATAGACTTGATTGCCTGTCGACGGTGAATGAGCTGACGCTGGTGCAGGCTGCCGATATCATCAAGAATCGGGCATGAGCGAACGTTGGGAGCGGGATGGGAACGTTGAATATTTCCAAGGTTCTCCGGCCACAAGGCGAGACGTTCTCAATTGTGGCAGCCAATGGCAAACTCTGTGTCACGGTGAACCACGCTTTGTCAGTCAGGCGAAGCTCGCGCTTTCGCGAGGCCGACGTTGCACATACGTCGTCCCGGCTGTATGGAACATTTGAACACTTCCCAAATCAGTGCATTTCCTTGCACGGCATGGCCGCGCCGTGCAGTTAGCAAGACCAAGAAGCATCGGCAATAATGGGTGTCAGGTGTGAAGGGGTAGCATCGCATCGCATCCCACATCGTCTGTGCGTAGGAGCGTCCCGCTTGGTAGCGAGTGGGCCGCCTTTAGCGTGTCGTATGAGGCACTTCCACGGGCTGGAGTTCGTGTCCGAAATTCCCGTTCTTCGGATTAAGAGCGTGTTATTCTTGCTTGTATCAATCTCGATATTAGGCAGGGCACGTCGAGCTGCTTGGGTGCACATATTGATGCGGTAACGACGATATAGGCGGCCAGACTGCAGGGGACGTCATAGGGCCTCCTGACTCGCCCGATGATGATGTGTGCGGGGGTGGCACCAACGATGCTTGTGGCAGGTAAGCAAGAAAGCTGCGCACGAGACAGTTGTTATACATATTGCGCGCGTCTAAATTCCAGTCCTTCCGTGCTCTTGCGCTCCCACTAGGACAACAAAACAACAACAGTCCGACATCCATTCAACTGGATCCACCCGCCGCGTCGTGCGCCAACCTCACAATGTTCACAATCTCAACATCAATCCCAGCGCCAAGCCCACTCCTCTCACTCCCACCAGAACTCCGCAATCGCATCTTCGCCTACGCCCTCACATCCTCCACCTCCACCCTCCAATACAGCCTCGCCTCCACCCCCAACCACCCCGTTTTCAGCGACACCGCCAACGCCAATCACAACCAGGAATTCAACCAGCTCAAGTACGCCTGCCGCCAACTCTACGCCGAAACTGCCGGCCTAGAAGTAAAGCACAACGCACTGCGCTTCGACCTCCCCGAAGACGACGCCTACACGCTGGCCCGCGTGCAAAACAGCGTAGATAGCGGCTTCTCGACGCCAAACTCCGAGGCCCCCAGTACCACGTTTCCGCCCTTCCTGTACTCCTGCGCCCCAGACAAACGCAAGTGGCTCTCCCGCATCATCATCACCATCCGCAAGCCCGCGAGCTACAGCCTCAGCCAGCCGACTGTCGACCGCCTCTTATCCCTAGCCAAGTTCAAGAGGGAAAATGCGCACGTCGAGATCACGTACGAGTATGTGGACGAGGTGTACGAGTACTCCGCACCGAAGTGGCAGGTCAGCGTGCCGTGGCTGAGTGTGGCCGTGTGTCTGGGGGTGGCGCTGCCGGTGGAGGGGGCGTTACGGCCGGTCGTGGATGCGGTGTCGGGGTTGTGTGGGAAGGGGAGTTTGGTGTTTTGGGGGGCCGCGTTTGGGGTGTGGGATTTGGTTGGGCTGAAGTAGATGGAAAGAAAACCGAGAGGCAGAGAGCAGGACTTTAATTGTATACCAAGATACTTTGCAGCCATCATTCAGGCCGCGAAACTGCATGTTGGCGCATGTCTTGCTCAAATTTGCACATGCAGGGGTGAAATATGAGCACCTCAGCCTTATATCAGACTCCAAGCCCGGATCCTTGCCATTTCCCTGACTGCATCCCGTCTCATTGATATTGATTCCACCTCAACACCCACGCCGTGCGCCTTCGCATGTTCTTGGCCCTTCTCTCCTTCACCTTGGCGCTGTCCACTACTTCGAGCTGTACGTTCGACTACAGTGGTACGCTCCCTCTTCTTCCCTCGCTGATATATTCTTACTGAGGGGTTGTTCGTAGGAAGAAGGAAAGAAGTTGGACAGGGTGGACCCAACTTTGTAGGGCACGTAGGCAATACTGGGGCTCTAAACACGGCCGATACGAAAGGGAGGAGATCGCATGACATGTGGTACAACAGCTTCAGAGAGGGAGAGCAGGGTGCTATAAATCCAACTTCATGCTAAATCTGGTGCTGCTTCTTGAAAGCCTGCAACGCAGCTTCCTTATGCTCCTATGTCGATGCCGATGGCTACACCTCGCGCGGAGGACTCTGGGCCTGATTCAAAGATGTGTACGGTAAAATGGGGGTGTCTGAGGAGGGCAGTTTTGAGCGTGGCACCTGGAGGCCGCCGCCGATGATGGCGATGGCTATGGGCTGGGTGGCGGACATCTTGACAAGTCGAGGATTGAGGGTGGATTTCGCGGAGCTCTTTCGAGACTAGATGTGGAAGCATTTCTTTGGTGGCCTGGAGAGCAAGCAGCAGGTCCCATAAAAGTGATGTGGATGCAGACCATCTTGCAGAATCCGAGAAGACAGTCTTACGCCGGTCGAGTGCGGGGTGCGGCGCGGAAGGTTCGAGCGAGTGTTGCATTCGCTCTTGCCCTACACAAATTCATTTCCATCACCTCACAAGCACGAGGAATGAATTACAACTTTTGCTTTATTTGTTGTCAATGTGCCGTTGGACTGCCTCCTCACCGGTGCGGAGGCTGAGCCCTTCGAATTCGCTAAGCCATGCAAAGCTGCAGCCTTGCTTCGTCAGCAAGTGGGCGTCGTGGTCAACCCTATATCTCGATCGCAAGCGCCTCTGGTGAGGCGTGTGCTATTCGCAACGATATCATCATCCGGCCGCCCACAGCAACGAAGTCGACGAGACCAGACCGAAAGCAATGATTCGGCTACTCCATGTCCGAAGGAAAGAATTCAAGGAATTCTACGAATCAGAGTCAGTGCCGCTTTACGCCATATTATCACACAGATGGATGCATGTTCAACGGAATGGAAAGTATCGCGCGCTTGAGATATCGCACAGAGAATTTCTTGCCGGAACGGGCGACGAGAAAGGATACGAGAAGATCGACAAGGCCTGCGAGGCTGTTCGCGATCTATCACAAAAGCTTGTGCTCGATCTCGAATGGATCTGGATCGATAGCTGTTGTATCGACAACAACAATAACGAAGAACATTCGGAGGCCATCAATTCCATGTATGACTGGTATGCGAGATCCCATGTCTGTATCGCGTACTTGGAAGAGGCCAACCCTTTCGAAAGCGACAAACCCTCTGAGTGGTTCAAAAGAGGATGGACGCTTCAGGAGTTGATAGCTCCAGAAGTTGTCTTATTTTACGACAAAGACTGGATCGGTTGCGGCAGCAGAAACGAGTACACTCCAGGTGTCTATGGTGGCCATTCATTTCAGGACCGAAGCAAGGAACTTGCCGCTATTACACGCATAGATGCTACACTGCTCAAGCTCAATAAGCGTAAGGACATCAAAAGATGGCTGAATGCAACCCCTGCATGCCAAAAGATGTCGTGGGCATCTGACAGGAGGACAAGTAAAAAAGAAGACATGGCCTATTGCCTGATTGGAATCTTTGATATACCGCACATGTATTTGAAAAGAGGAGAAGGCGGGCGGGCATTTATACGTCTGCAGGAAGAAATCATCAAACAAAGCAGCGATCTGACCTTGTTTGCGTGGAAGCTATCTTTCGACAATACCGAGTTTTGTACAGAAGACAATTACCTCGATTTGGAGGACCTGAAGCGAAGCACCCCAGAAGACGCACCATTCTTCGACTCCAGCCTTAAATCGAACCTGCATGGGGTGTTCGCATGTGGCCCATGCCATTTTCGACATGCTTCTCAAATAACTCCAATGCACCCGACTGTTTACAATGACGAGGTGACTGTCACCAGCAAAGGCGTGAAACTTACCACTCCATTGCTCGGCTCGGGTCCCTTTCACCCGTTCAAAACGCCATTGTACTGTATAGACCAAGGTGATTCGAATATGATAAGCATCGAGCTTCGACTTCTTGGCGGTTCCGTCTACGCGCGGACTGACTGCACACAATTGCCAGAGCTGCACAGGGATTGGAAAATCATCCCCTCTCAAGACGAAGTTTATCTGGCACACAATATTCACCGATTTCACGATTGCATCAGAAAGTTACACAGGCATGCAATTCGGCTTCCAGATTCGTTGCTACATCTTCAGCGACAGACAGTATCACCGGGCTATCTCTGGAGCAACACACACAGACTGATGATGACGAACGGACGTCGGTTTTTCATTGGCTTCGCGACATACAGGTCAGCTGATGCAAAATTTGAAGCGAACCTTCTTTTCGGGTTGGATCATATGCTGAGGCCTTGGTCCTGTTTTTCCAATATAGAGCCGAGCTTTGAACCGCTACCACTGGAGGCGAGGAAGTCCTACCTGGAAAGAGTGTGGCGTCCCGCTAGTCAACACGATCAGACCGTATGCTGCGATGAATCGAAACTCTTCATGATCAAGATCCAGGGCACAGGTGCTGCGAGCATGCGCACTGGCATTAAAGGTACCATGAGCGTGACGCAGACGCTGTACCGAAGTAACCTTCTTTTCGAAGTCAAGTTCCGGAATCTTCGGGTCTCGTCTGCACTGCACGATCCAATAGGAAGCACCAGGCCGGCGTCAGCGAGGTACATCATGCCGTTGTCGCCGGGCTATTCTGACCCTCCTAGACAAGTCGCAAAAGCGCATGACCCTCCATCGGATTCATATTACTCGCCCACGTCATTTTCCCAGGACAGGGTGGATGATAACACAGGGGGTTTTCGTTTGGCTGGCGCATCTCTCCTACCATTAAAAACCGAGCCATTTAAACCAAGATCATGGGTTCCTGACATAAACTCAGTGAAGAGAATGCCACCGTTCCCGAAGGAGAGGCTGGATCTCGAAGAAAAAGATGGATAGCCAGAGGCCAAGTTCGAGCGTGATGGGTGTAAGGAGAGTTATGCTTCTTTAGCCAGGGGTCGGTTTGCATGCTGTGAAGTGTGGAGTGCTCGAACGGCAACAATCGAAGCAACCAACTAATGTGCCCTGGGTCATCCCAAAAGCTAGGGACGAATGTAATCCAATATTTACCAGTGGGAAGGATATGAGTCTGGAAGAACAAGATCGGTTGATGCAAGACGTTGGAATCACACAGACTAGGGCCGAAGAATCACGGTAAAGAGTAGAGGCTGCCGGTGTGGTAAAGAAGCTAGGCGGAGCTTAGACACCTACAGCAGCCCATTTCGGCCATTTGAGTGAAATATGACAGGCACGAGGTTGTCCAGTCTTCTGTTGTCAGGATGCATTTTGCCATAGCATATGTTGTATCGAGTGACGCGAATCAATCTGGAAGCTAGTTATAGACGCAGTGCGGCATATCGTGCAACATCCAAGGGAGGTACACGACAAGTGCGACTGTCTTTAGAATCGACGAGCGCAAGGAAGCTTCCGGGGAGCCTGGCCCATTCACTTCCGCAGTGCCTGTACGAAAGCTTTTCAGGGCGGCGTTTCCAGAGGTTTAGCAGATTGAGGTAGAGGTCTGGACATGAAGCCCACGCCATTCGATCCCTCGAGGGTACATGCGGAGGCTAGAAAAGCCCGATGCGCCAAGCGCAGCCGCAGCGGTGGGGAGAGGGGTTCGGCCTTCATCCAGATGAACACGCCTCGACGGCAGCATGAGTGAGCAGCAGACGAATCGAAATGTTCTGCCGAGACGGATGCCCGTCGAGAAGGCCCATCGATGGGGGACGCAGCACTGTAGAGTACATAATGGTTGAGCCCGCGCAACCTGACCTCCTCTCATCAGCGGGCAAGACGCACCATTCTCACGCCTTCAACCATGAAGCTATCCCTCGCATTGATGTTCCCGGCCTTGGTGGCGTCTACCGCCGCCCTTGTTGTCCCATCTTCTACCGTCCCTAAACCCTTCTCCGCCCCCGATGCGCACATCCTCTCCCTCAGCGGCCCGGGCTGTCCACCTCTCACCGCCCCCCGCGACAGCTTTCCCACGCGCGTCTCGTACGGATTGGACATCAACGGAAACAAGGAGTTCTACAAGCACGTCACGTATCCATGGCTGGCAGTTGGGCTCGCAGCGGATCTCGGCGAGCCCTCGTCGCGCTACTGCGACGTCACGCTGAACATCAGCGCACCGGCCGAGTTCCAGATCGTGCTGGGCCGGAACGGGACGAGGGCGCTGGCGACATATGATCTGGACGAGGGGGTGGAGGTGGGGTGGAAGTTTGAGTACGATGTCCCTGGGGCTGACAAGGTCTGCGTCCCTTTACTACCCCTTGCATAACAGCTTACATCGTTTCACTCTGCTAACTACTCCTAAGCGCGTCGACAGCATCAAGGTAATTGGGCCCTTGCACACGGGCAATGACGAGGTCGCTTTCAACGCTTCTGTGCCTGCGGCCCCGTATACTTTCCCGACGTGCGGGGAGGTGGTGCTCAAGCTGCGGGCTGAGGTTACAGTCAAGGGGACCAAGGAGGGAGAAAAGGGAAGGGTAGATAGTCAGAGGGCGATGTATGAGCATGATGGGTATAAGGGGAGCTATGCGTATGGGGTTAGTCAGGGGATTAGTCTCCATGCTGTGAAGTGCGGGGTTTAGTGGATTGAGGGTTTGAAGCGTGCTGGGCTCCAAGTCTGTGGCATGAAGCATGGTCAGAGCTATGTATTTTGATTCTGGGGAGACATTTCGGACGGATTGCTGTGGGAGCGCTATGGCGTGGGCTGGACTTGTTGGCCCAGATAGGAAAGGAAATGAGTCTCGAGTAGGACCACGACGACATTGTTGGTTCGACTATGTCGGATGAGTTCGATGCATGGGCTTGTCTGGATTTCAGGATGCATCTGCGCAGATGATGCATACGTGCCATTCGGAATTGCGGGCGTGGGTAGTCGATGGCATTGCACATGATGTCGCGGTTGTTATCAGATGGTCGTGTAGCGCAGCGCTACTCTCATAACCTCGGCCTGAACCGTGGCTCGCGACGCCGCGAGCTCGCCATCGCACCTTCTGGAACCCGCAGCAGCGCGCCCCCTCCGGCCTGGATATATTCACCCTCTGCACTTGCAGTTCCCGGCGCTCTGCATCTGCCTCGGCCTCCGCGCACCTTGTGATACCACCACTCGTGGAGCTGTCGAGAGTCGGGCTATTCACGGGCAGCGCGCCACCGCTAACAGTCCCCCCATCGCGGAGCCGCTCCGCTGACGTCTTGCGTGTCTGGGGAACCCTCCCATTGCCTCACCCGCACTTCCTGCCTCCGCACAGAACGCAGCAACGCACCCACGATGGGCAAGTCGTCGTCCAAAACCAGTGCGCGCGTGCTCCCCCTCATCCCGCTCGCCGCACCGCTCGCCGTCCTCCCCGCAACCACGCTCAAGATCCCCATCGCCAACCGCTCCGACATCGCCGCCATCCTCGCAAAGATCTACAGCATCTCCCCAACGGCGAAACCCGATGCCGCCATCACCGTCGCCTGCGTGCCGCTCAACTCGCCCGACGTGTCGCCGCGCGACGGGAAGCTGCTGATTGAGGACGGCGGCAAGAAGGGCGGAAGAGAGAATCTGTATGAGACGGACCCGGTCAATGCGACCAAGAAGGATGTCTTTGGGTATGCGTGTGTGGCCAAGGTCAGCGGGGTCCAGGGGCGACGGCAGGGCGAGCTGAGTCTGGTGGTCGAGGGCCTGGAGCGGGTGCGGGTTGTGGATGTGGTGCAGGACCGGCCGTACTTTGAGGGCGAGCTGGAGGCTGTCGACGAGTTTGGTATGTACACGCCATCGTCCCAGGCCGTGCCGGACGAATGCAAACTGACTCTCCCAGTGGACCTGGACAACCCCGAATTCGAGTCGCAGTTCAACCTGCTCAAGCAGCTGTCGCGCGAACTGCTCGCCCTCGTCCGCCTGTCATCCATACTGCCACGCGCCCCGGCCGTGTCGCTCTCGCCCATCGTCGCACGGAGACTGGAGCTGTTCATCGCGCGGAAAGACTTGACCGAAGCGGGATCGCTGGCTGACTTCATGGCCAACGTGGTGGATTGCACGCACGAAGAGAAGCTGCGCGTGCTGGCAGCGGTTGATGTGAAGGAGCGGGTGGACAAAGTCATCGAGATACTCCAGCGCCAAATCACAAACATACAGGGCAGCACGCGGATAACGGTCACAACCGCTGCCGTGCCTGTGCCGACGGGCAGCTTCGACATTGACCAGCTGCGGAGACTGCAGCAGGAAGCCCTGCAAAGACGAGGCTTGAAGGGCTCGAATATGCCCCCTGGTTTCCCGGGCGGGCTTCCAGGCGGAGGAGCGAACGTGGGAGACGACGAGCCCAACGAGGTAGATGAGCTCAAGAAGAGGCTGCAAGACGCACAGCTTTCGCCTGAGGCGGACAAGGTAGCACAGCGAGAGCTCCAGCGCCTGTCCAAGATGAACCCAGCACAGGCCGAATACCAGGTCTGCCGGAATTACCTGGAGAACCTCGCCGAGATTCCGTGGACAAAGACTACGGCCGACCAGCTGGATGCGAAGACGCTGATCAAGGCTAAGAAGCAGCTCGATGACGACCACTATGGGCTGGAGAAGATTAAGAAGCGACTGTTGGAGTATTTGGCTGTGCTCAAGCTCAAGGAGCACGCCAACAAGAGTCTCGACGAGCAGATTCGGACCCTTGCTGATGCAGCGCATCCCAAGGAGGAGAAGGATGAAAAGGAAGAAGACTTAGACGAGAAGCCCACGCGAGAGCCCACAGAGGAAGAGATGCGATTGATGGAGAAGAAGCGCATGGTCGACAAGTCGCCCATCCTCCTGCTCGTCGGCCCTCCCGGCACCGGAAAGACGTCACTCGCAAAATCCATCGCAACCGCCCTCGGCCGCAAGTTCCACCGTATCTCCCTCGGTGGCGTGCGCGACGAAGCCGAAATCCGCGGCCACCGCCGCACCTACGTGGCCGCCATGCCGGGCCTCGTTGTCAACGGCCTCAAGAAAGTTGCCGTCTCAAACCCCGTCTTCCTCCTCGACGAAATCGACAAGCTAGGCACGTCAAACTACAACGGCGACCCCTCCGCAGCGATGCTCGAGGTCCTCGACCCAGAGCAGAATCACACCTTCACAGACCACTACGTCAACATCCCCATCGACCTATCCAAAGTCCTCTTCATCGCCACGGCGAACTCCCTTGACACCATCCCCCCACCGCTCCTCGACCGCATGGAGACCATTCAGCTCAGCGGCTATACAACGCTGGAGAAGCGCAACATCGCAGAGCGCCACCTCATCCCCAAGCAAATCACAACCAACGGGCTACATAGCGAAGAAGTCCTCATCCCGACGGACGTCCTCGACAAGATCATCACAGCCTACACGCGCGAAGCCGGCGTGCGCAACCTCGAGCGCGAAATCGGCAGCGTGTGTCGCTCCAAAGCCGTCGAGTACGCAACTGCAAAGGACACCGATACCCTCGCGGCGTACAACCCTGCCGTCACGCTGTCCGACTTGGACGCCATCCTCGGCATTGAGCGCTTCGCAGAGGAACTGACTGAGCAGCATGCCCGCCCCGGCGTGGTGACCGGGCTGGTTGCGTACTCATCCGGCGGGCAGGGCAGCATCCTGTTCATCGAGATCGCGGACATGCCTGGGTCCGGGCGCGTGCAGCTCACCGGCAAACTGGGCGACGTGCTCAAGGAGAGCGTGGAAGTCGCGCTGTCCTGGGTGAAATCGCACGCTTTCGAGCTCGGCCTCGCCGCCTCCGCAGACGAAGACGTAATGAAGTCGCGCGCCATCCACGTCCACTGTCCCTCTGGTGCGATTCCCAAAGACGGCCCGTCCGCCGGGTTGGCGCACACCATCGCCCTCATCTCGCTCTTCAGCGGCAAGCCCGTCCCGCCTACCCTTGCGATGACGGGCGAAGTGTCCCTCCGGGGCCGCGTTCTCCCCGTTGGCGGGATCAAGGAGAAGTTGATAGGTGCGTTGAGGGCGGGCGTGGAAAGGGTACTCCTGCCCGAGGCGAACAGAAAGGACGCTCGGGATCTACCGGCCGAGGTACTGGAAGGACTCAAGATCGAGTTTGTGGGGCATATCTGGGAGGCACTTGGGTTGGTGTGGCCCGAGCGGTGGGAGGGGCGGGAGGCTGGATGGGAGAGCAGGCTGTGAGGCGAGGATGCATGATGTGTATGGGTTTCGAGACGGGAAAGGGGGAGCAGATGCGCTGGATCTGCGGCAAGGGGAGTCTGTGAGGTTGTACATATAGTTACTGGCTGCATTCGCTCTTTAGCATTTAGGTATGGCAGGGCGGCGTTTGGGTCGTTGATTTAGCGGGTTGTAAATCTATTTGTCACTCTTTACCTCACTGCTGCACTGTCATTTGACCTTTTACACACACAGCTGGACAAGCAATGCAGCGGAGATTTGCCAACACTCATTCACGAAATCGTTGTGTACGTATGTGTACGTATATGTGTACGTATCTGCACCTCGCTACCTGGCTTTTCCATACCTTGCTTTCCTCCTGCCCCTCCGACCGCCCAATCCGCTCAATGCACTACAACGCTTCACAAGCAATCCCAATATTCTATCCGCTCGCTGCCCGCCCTCCCGAAAAAACCAAAAAGGAAACCAATGACCCCTTCCACCACACCCGTCCGCCGCGCCAGCTCTCAATGCCCACACAGCCAGCCTCTCCACATTCCCACGTGCACGGTACATTGGCGTCGCGGCTTGTTTTAGAAGACCACTAGTACCGCCGAGCGGCTGGGGTGGCGGGACAAAGCGTGCGTGGTGGGTCAGTGCGTGGTAGAGGCGGGACAAACAAAGGCTAGATTGAGACGGGAACGGGCTTTGGAGAACTGAATTGGAGCTACCGCAGCTCAGGCGTGTTGCTTCCTGTGCGGGACATGCTATATGGCGCCTGTGGGGTTCAGTACGGTACAGTGATGAAGGGGGAGGTTGGAAGGTAAAGGAGTGGGGTGGGAAAAGGGAGACGTACCAGGACTTTCTTTGCATTGCAAATGCGCCATGCGAGGTTGCGCACCGTACCATCGGCCTGGACGACTTCGGGTGCGAACTCGATGCCGAACCTATGTTGCGTTAGCTACAAATACTGCGAGAAAAGACTGAATAGGGAGGGGGATGCACTCACATTTGATGCACCGCGAACACGACTCTGCGGGAATACTTCCCATCCCGCTCGACCAAGCTGCCAAACGGCTCATCCGCCGTGCTCGGCGCAATCTCTGGATCTCTGTCAAAGCAGTTCTGCACAACCGGCAGCAGCGCGCGCTCCACGGGCTCGCGAATTGTCCCGTTGACATCAAGCTCAACGTCTTCCTCGTCGAAGCGCGGGATGCGTGTCTCGAAGGCTTGTGAGATGGCGAGGACATTGTGTTTGCCGTTGTGGTGGTATCGAAACTCGAACACGCCGGTAGTCCACCAGAGCTTGTCGCCGCGGAATTCGACTTCGCCCGTGTAGCAGTCTACCTCTGCATCTTTGCGGGCGGAGGCGGGCATGATCTTGTCGGACACGAGGATGCCTTCTTCGGCGCGGGAGGTGTCGTGGACACCTTTATTGGTTGCAATCCAGCGCCCGTTGCTACCGATGCGGGTGACCTCGCGCGACGCATTGTCGGCGACCATGTAAAGGCCGATCCAGTCCTTGTTGCTATGATTGAGAGGAGCCTGCCAGCGGACCTTGATGGGGGCACCGTATTCCAGCATGAGCTTGTCGAAATCGCTGGTCCGCTCGGCGGGTGTACGTGCCATTGAGCCTTCCCGCGCGTGGCCCTTTTGGAATTCCATGTAAGGCGACAGGCGCGAGCCCTCAATCTCGAGCTTATACTGTGTTGGGTCTACTCCGGCTAGTTCGGGAGCTAGGCGGGTGATGGATATGCGTGCCGGGTAGGATTTGAATAGCGCAGTACTATCCTTGAAGAAGGTATCAACACCTGCAGCGAGCTTGGGTCTGGCGCTTTCGATGACCTCTTCGATGAATTCCACGGTCGAGTTGAGGTATTCGTCTGCCGCTGACTGCCAGTTGCGAACGGGACTGGGGAGAGCCTGCCTGAGGGTCTTGCTTACGCCCGAAGTAAGGCGCAGTTTCTCGCCGTAGAGCTTTTGCATGTGCGGACGCTCCACAAATTGTAAGAAGACGAGGTTCAGAATGTGCGCAGTTCCAGCGAGGTAGAACATGGGCAGACTCCATGTGATCAGCGCAACACCCCAAACGCCAGCGAGACCGAGGACTCGTTCAGGGTTATTCAGGAAGCGGTAAATGCCGGAGTATGTAAGGTTCTTTGAGGGTGGGTCGAAGAAGAAGTCTCCTGCGATGAGGGTACAAAGTTAGTGTGAGTTATGATAGGGTGGTACATGTCTTAGCCAAGAGGGAAAGGCAAGAGATGTCAACTTTGCACGCGGTGGTTGACTCACCGCAAAACCAACCGAACTCTCCCAGTGATTCGTAGATGCTGGAGGCGACCCAAACCTGCAGGGCGACGAGGCTGACCCCGAGGACATGTCGAAGTAGGGTCCATCCATACGTCCAGTCTGACGGAAGGGTGTACATCTTCCAAGCCGCAGCGGCGAAGCTGACGTGACTTAAAGTCATGCTAAGGTGGTACAGGTACTTCCATTGCCGCCACGCTTCTTCTTTGCTGTCTCCATACTTGATGAAATGGCGCGTCCAATTCTTCTTTTTAGACTGTCGATCTAGAATGTAACCAAGCCCGAGCGCGTACCAAAGCCTCCAAATGAAAGCATTTACGAGGAAAAAGGTGCGCACCGGCCACGTATTCGGTGTCATAGTTGCAAAGCAAAACATGTACAGGGTGAACAAGACTGCGCTTGTATCTAATGAGCGATGGAAATCGGTGTTTAGTGGACCTACGATGTTGTGAATCTGCGAGGGCTGCCCGTCAGACTCATTGAGGGGGGTTCCATCGAGGAATGTGGCGTCGGAGTGACCAGACATCGGACGTTCGTCTCGGTGGATGCTTTGGGACTGTTGGCGCTTTCTGGGCGGTGGCGTGTTGTACGTCTTGTCGATGTGTGGATTTTCCACGAAAGTCAAGAAGGCAAATTGCGCGGCGTGTGCGACTACGGAGATGCACAGGACAGCGTAACTCGAGGCCATCATAGATATACCGTAGTATCCTGCGTATCCCACTGAATACATAGGATGCGGAGCCATCTCGAAGACTCCGTCAAAGGTAAGTTGCTGGTCAATAAGGTAGAAGAAATCCCCCCAGTACCATGCGAAGTCTTTCACCACCCTATGGGCGTCGAGTTTGACCCACAGGTTGAAGAGGAAAAGTAGGATGCCAGTGGCCCATCGCAGCAGCCACAAGCCCCAGCTCTCGTCTGGGCGGTTGAAGCAGGCTATGGCGAAGAGGCAGTACGAGACGAAGTCACACATGAGGATGAGGTCTACGACCCGTCTGAAGAGCAGCCACGTATTGTATTCGAGCGGGGCTTCTTCGAACTTGTAGTCCTGGGGGATCTTGGTCTCCATTTCGCGCTTGAGCAGCTTGTATAGCGTGCGGTGCTTGTTTGCGCCTAGGTCTGGATTCTCGAAGAGGTGCGAGTTCTTCGCCCAGAGGACCAGACGGTTGTGATTGGACTGCATGTGCAGGAGCCAGCCAATGCCTACATTGTAGGCCGCACGCCAGAATAGAAAGATGACGGCGAAGACAGGCTTGCGGGCGCTTCTGGGCAGTGCGTACAGCAGGAAAATCAGACCAGCGAGGACAGCGAGGACGACAAGGTCAGACAGGTTCTTTGGTTGCGAGGGCGAAAGAAGCTGCGATACCATGTCGTGGGTTTGCGGCACAATGAAGACTGCGGTCGACATGTTAGCATCGGGCGTACTACCTGCCACTACTCACTGCGTCGTTCGTGGGCTACTTTCTCACGCTCCATGGCGCTGCCGTCGTGTCAACGTACCGGTGCCGTCTGGCGTCCTGCCGTAGGTGCGCTTCGGGCCATGTTTCTGGTCCTTAGCCTCTTGTTCATTCAGGTCCAGCACCTTTTGCCTTGCGTCGTCAGAGTTGTGCAGGTGCAGCGGTCTGGCCGAGGGCCGTTCGCGCAGGGTGCCGCCATCAGCGCTCGTGCTGTGAGACGCGTCCGCCATGATGCTATGCAGAGGAGAACAGCAAAAGGAGGGGCAGTTGCGCAGCCGCACAATTTCGGGTGGGCGTGGCCTGGTGTGCGTTTGGGCGAAGCGGAGACGCTATTAAATGCAGGCGTGCGCTGTGTGGTGGGCGTGGTGGAGCGCGGGTTGATGCGGGCTAGGGTGCGGCTTGCGCGCCCCGTGCAATTGCGTATGGACAAAGGCAGCAGGGGGATATAGCCATGGAGTGTTGAACTCCAGCGGGTATGTTGAATGTGCTAACGAGTGAGTGAAGGCGTCGTGAGAGCAGAAGGAGCGTTCTCACGGCGACTTCGGGAATTGGGACATCCAAGCCAACTCGTGCTAGGCGGGGCGGAAGCAGCAGCAACGGCCGCTGCTGCCGACCCCGCCATGACACAAGCTGCGCGGGCTGTTGACACGACACAAACACCAAGCCTCGACCGCGCAACTTCTCCCACGCCGTACTCTATCGTGAACTCTAGCGTCCAAAAACCATCGCATAGCGCTATGATGTGCTCTTCATTTGCATCTTTCTTATTTGACTGCATGGATGTACAGAGAATCAGGCCAAGAATCATTACGTACTGCCAGCATGTGATGCGCCAAATGCCTCACGCGCGCTCGGCAGTTCTCAAGCGAGTGTTGCTTTCGGAAGCGTTTACCAGAGCCAGTCGAGTGCCATTGGAAATAATGTACAACGCAAACATCGCACAGGGGCATCTGCATGCCTGCTGTGACGTGCTCAGATAGAAATACACCTCTTGAGCCTGGCCTTGCCTGCAGACCCTCTGTCTTCATTCCCACGAAGCCGACGCTGGCCAGGCCAGCTCGAGGATGAGCCCTTCCGTGTGGGTGTAGGTTCAACGGTGCTCGGGAAGCGTCGAAATGCGATAGCCTCGTCAGAGAAGCGACGCCTGTGGATCGAACTCATACGCTTCGAAGCCAAGAAGCCAGAAATAGTGAGCTTGTCCAACTCCCTAGCCAGCTGCGTGACGGACAGTTGCATGTGGGCAGCACTTGGCTTGAAAGTTGTCGCTTCTGGCCTTGGCATGAACTTGGTGTATGCGGAATTTGGCGGCGCCACAAGAAATGCTGATCTGGGCTCAAAGAAAGTTAGACGAGGCAGTGGTGATGGACGTCTGAAATCTACTTGTGTGCAGCCAGCCATCGTATCGGGTGAGACCTCGTCCAGCGGCAGTGGACCTGTGCGTGTCCGCTCGAATGGAGAGATGACCAGGTCGTCTGTCCAGCCTTGCCAGTCAAATGAGGCTGTGTCTAGTTCCCCGTAAGAGTTGCTACCGTAGTGTTCTGCGCTGTTCAAGGACGATTCCGGCGGATAGATGATAGCTTCTAATGTCTGAATGTTGTTCTCGCAAACTCGGAGACAGTCGAGTATGATTTTCTCCTCGTTCTCGCATGTCTGGATCGTCTTGTCCGTTCTCCATCTGTCCTGCTGAATCTTCTTCCGTTTCGTGCGGGGAGTCGGGTTGGTGCTCAATATGCATTGGTTACGGGTCTGTCGGTCGCGGAGGGCATTGAGCGTTGTCACAGTCTTAGATAGCATTCCTTCCAGATAGCCCTTCTGACCACGCAAGTTATGAAGTGCTGGACCCCATTTTTCCAGGTTATGCATCATCTGCGTGTTGTGAACACAAGCGTCAAAGCAATCGGAGAGTCGATCTGGTGAGTAGGAAATGACCGGTCGTACTCCGTAGTCCATATCGCAGAAAAGACCTTGGTTTCCTAGACACGATTGTTCGAAACAAGAAGGAGCATCGAACAGACCGCGTGGCGCTCGAAGTCCTACCGTGTATTGCTGGTCCCGGGCGAGCCAACAAGAAGAGGGTCGACGCTCTGCCTTGCTCGGAGAGGACCTATAGTTCTTTTAAGTGCAATATCCACGGCGAGCTGGAACCTAATTCTCAAATAGATGGCGACTAGATTCTCGCCTGTCAGGGTTTCTTTGATTTCTCCGCATCGGTAGGCGTTGATGGCAACAATGGCAGTGCGGCGTAGTCGTCGCCGGTGGAAAGCGAGCCCGTGATGCATGATCCAGGCCCACGTTCAAGGTTGAATGCAGAGAAGAGTCCAAGCGCTTCTCCAGTCCCGCCTAACCTGTCTGTGGCTTGCAGGTGGTTCAGGGTTCGGCCATGGTCAAAAAGAAAGAAATCCACATCCGAGAACAAAGGAATGAAGCCATGAAATGTTGTCTGGTGACTAACGATGAACAAGCCTGCAGTAGTATTCCACAATATGCAGAGACCTACCAAATCTGCTCCCCGGAATCTGAAGTTCATAGCAGTGATATTTGCCTGGTTGAATACCTTCTCGCAACAAATGGGTTGCTTTGACCGTTGCGCCGATATGCCTATGTGGAGAGAGCGGGTCATGTGAGTCGTTAGTGTTCCACAGTTTTGGGGACACATCAAGCAGCTGGATATCTCTTAATGGGTGTGCGGATGTGATGAGAAGTGTCTGGTCACGAGTGGTAGCTGCTTCAGTCCGTAATCCTGCCATGTCAAACCCCTGTGCGGGATTGTTCTCACGTGCTGCGGGGACGAATTTGGCGGATTTGCAGTAGTTTGGCGAGATCGAGAATTAATGGTCTTCGCACCTACTACTGTTGCCTGTGATGCTAGGATTGACCTGGCCCATGGAGGATTGAGAAAGCTACACTGCCAATATTCACAGTGTATTAGAGCACAGCAGAGTCTGTGTGATCACTGGTTTGATACGAGATCATGTCCGTCCAAGGCTCTCTTTTGGTCGTAGAGAAAGATGAATCCTTCAATCGCCTGAACGAGTCAGGTCAGGTCACAATCCAAGACCGCAGACTGAATAATTACGTCAGCGGACGGCTGCTTTCGAATAATCAAGCTCACTTCAGCTTCTACCAGTGCGGAATGCCGACGATTCTTGATCTGTAAGCATATCGCTCACTCCGCAGCTCGTCGACTACGAAGTATAACTAGAATACCTTTTCGGGTTAGACTTTGAGAACACACCTCTCCAGTCTGGGCTGGCTTCGTGCGGCGAAAAGCTCTCCGGGGTGTCCAAATCTCACCGAATGTACATCCTGGCCAGCACAAGATGCTCCCAAGATGAGAAGAGTGGGTGATCGGGTTGGCACCTGCCCAGAGATCCAGCGTACCTGGACATAATCAGAAATCCGCTAGTCCCACCTCAGACCACAATGACTAATCCTCGTGCATGCGCCTGCAAATCCCTCATCATCGTTTCGTTGAGTGAACGTGTTTCCATAATCACGCATCCTTGCATGCATCGGAATTGTGTGTTCCGTCAAGGTGTCTTGAATAGTCATCTTAGCCCGAGGGTGCCCGCCTCGTGCTGACGCGACATGCAATGCCGCGGGCGAGACGCGCCACGACCCCGCGTTCTCACTCAATCTCGACGCTCACACAGCAGACGGATTTGCGCAAGTTCGCCGCCATCCCGCAATGCATCGGGACTCTGATCAATCAAATGTGTCAAACCGTGGGCCACTCACGGCACTACTGTACCTGACGAAAAAGGAACCCCGCAACCGCTCCAGAGGGTACACATGTTGCCGTCTTGTGGCCAATAACACGATAAAACAATGAAGAACGCAAAACGGGTAGCGGGTCGACTGGACCCCGCTAGTCTTGCCCTTGCATAGCCTTCCAACTCGTCTCTTACGCTTCCGGCCTCCCGTTACCATCAGCCCTCATGAACCGCATGAACGTCATCGTTCAAGATGCTCCACCCACCAATGTTTGCCACTATGCCCCTCTTGGACGCTTGACCAAAAGCCGAGTTTAATGCGGGGGTACACTGCCGCTTTCACCAGTTCAATTTCATGTCAAACAGTCGATGTGGCTTTTGCGAGGGGTCAGTCGAGTGATGAGAGGTTAACCGACCCCGGAGCGGCGGCGAATAAGCACTTCCTGCCGTACCGTCTCCAGTCGTGAAGATATGACGCCGCTTGATTTGTCCTGTGGCTAGAGCATAATTCGCCCTACTGCACTAGTGTGGTACATCCCTTGTCGTCTACTGCAGCATAGAGAGATCCTCTTCCTTCCAACACTACCGGATCCATCACCGTGAGCTACGCCATCTTTGGAGTGTACAGCGCCTACTTTTATTACGTGAATATATATCTACCGTAGCCGCCCTTTGCGATGGACGTTACTCGAGCTCTGTCAGGAGCTAGACTCCGTCCGTTGCGATTCCTCAAGGAGACGTCATTCGAGAAAATGTCCGCCAAAACTTCGACCGAAATCATCGATATCAGACCCGGTCCAACCGAATTCGATATTCTACAGGATATCAAAGATGGTCTGCGTCCTGAACATGGCGGAGAGAAGACTCTCCCTACCATGCTATTGTACGATGAGGCAGGGCTGCGACTCTTTGAGAAGATCACCTACGTGAAGGACTACTATCTCACCGATTCCGAGATTGAAGTGTTGGACACCTATGCCGATCAAATCGCTGAAAGAATTAAGGCCGGTTCGGTTCTCGTGGAGCTGGGGAGCGGGTAGGAGCCCGCCCGTAAATGAAGCACCACGCCGCCCAAGGCCGATACTAATATACTTTGCAGCAACCTGCGTAAAGTCAACATACTCCTGCAGGCCATTGAGCGCCTTGGAAAAGACGTCGAGTACTATGCAGTCGATCTCTCTTTACCAGAACTCGAGCGAACGTTCGCCGAAATCCCGACCAGTAAGCGAATCTAGCTCGCGTGTCGCTGGTGTGACTAACCTGAACTGATTCCTCCTATAGATTATCAGCATGTCAAGTTGAAGGGATTGTACGGTACATACGACCATGCCTTGGAGTGGCTGAAATCTCCCAAGGTCAGCGCGAAGCCCAAGACTATCCTATGGCTTGGTTCAAGCTTGGGCAACTTCACACGCGCCGATGTTCCTCCGTTTCTCACCGGTTTCCGTGAGGCACTCCAGCCCGGCGACACGATGTTGATCGGAATAGATTCCTGCAAGGAGCCGGAGCGCGTGTTCCGTGAGTTCGCCCACTGCGGTGTTTCTGCTGCCTAATCACTGACTCTGCGCCTTCCCTCAGGTGCCTACAATGATACAGATGGGGTCACTAGGGATTTCACACTCAATGGACTCAAGAATGCCAACCGAATCATGGGCACTGAGGCTTTTAAGCCTCACGAGTGGGAACATTGTGGCGAGTTCGTGGAGAAGGATGGCTACCATCGTGCATTCGTGTCTCCGTTGAAGGATGTCATTATCGACGGCGTTCATATCAAGAAAGGCGAGCGTATTCGCATCGAAGAAAGCTGGAAATTCAGCAAGGAGGAGATCGAGCATCTGTGGAGTGAGGCTGGTCTCATCCCGAACACAACATTCAGCACCGCGAGGGGTGACTACGGTACTTACATGCGTTCTAATGGATTATGATTTCGACAACTGACACAACTAGGATTACACTTTGTCTCCAAGCCGGCTTTCTTCTTCCCGACTAAGCCGGAACGATATGCTGCCAAACCTGTCCCATCAATTGCTGAATGGAGAGAGCTTTGGACTGCTTGGGATGACATCGCACAGAAAATGGTTCCCACAGAAGCGCTATTGTCAAAACCCATCAAACTACGGAACGCAGTCATCTTCTACCTGGGCCATATTCCGACATTCCTTGACATCCACTTGACCCGCGCAACTGATGAAAAGCCCACCGAGCCTGCCGCCTACACGAAAATCTTTGAACGAGGCATCGACCCTGATGTGGACAACCCCGAACAGTGTCACGATCACAGCGAGATCCCAGAGACCTGGCCACCGCGTGACGAAGTTCTGGCATTCCAAGATGCCGTTCGGAAGAGGACGAAAGCCTTATATGATTCGAACGCAGCGCATGAGAACCCCAGAGTGTCCCGGGCTTTGTGGTTGGCATTTGAACACGAAGCTATGCATCTAGAGACACTCCTCTACATGCTGATCCAGAGTGAGAGAATCCTACCACCACCTGGATCGGTTATGCCTTCGTTCGATGCGCTTGCTCGAAAGTCAAAGAAAGCTAGAGTCGAGAACCAATGGTTTACCATCCCTGAAGCTGAGATCCGCGATGGACTTGATGATCCGGAAGACGGTTCTGCTGCCAAGCGATACTTTGGCTGGGACAACGAAAAACCGACTCGTTCGCTGCGCGTGAAATCGTTCAAGGCCAAGGCCAGACCTATCACAAACGGTGAGTACGCTGATTACCTCGTGCAGACTGGAAAATGTGCAGTTCCTGCCTCCTGGTGTGATGGTCTAGACCCTGCTGCTAAAGTGGTTGTCAATGGTGTTAACAGACGGAATGGGACCAATAGCATCAATTCCAGCATCGACAAGGTCATGCAGGGAAAATACGTCCGGACAGTATTTGGAACTGTCCCTCTCCACTATGCCCTGGACTGGCCAGTGGTAGCGTCGTACGATGAGTTAGCCAGCTGTGCTCAGTGGATGGGCGGGCGCATCCCTACCTTGGAAGAAGCACGAAGCATCTACAACTATGTTGAACATGGCAAGGCGCAAGAATTTGAGAAGACCCACGGAAACAAGATCCCAGCCGTGAACGGGTAAGCGCAGATGTCTCGTCTCTTCGATCTGCAGCTGATCAACTAGGCATCTGATCAATAACGGCGTATCTGAGTCGCCACCATCCCAACATTTGTCGAACGGCAGCTCTGGAACGGGCTCTGATCCTAAGCCGGGCGACCTCTTCATTGATTTAGAGGGGACGAACACGGCGTTCCAGCATTGGCATCCTATTTCCGTGGCAGAAAAGGGCGATAAGCTCTGTGGACAAGCGGATTTGGGGGGCGCATGGGAATGGGTATGCTTTTATCACAATTAGCCCAAGAAGAGACAAGTCGACTAACTGGGGCTTGACAGACTAGCACTGTTTTGGAGAAGCACGATGGCTTTTCAGCCATGCCGCTGTACCCTGGCTATACGGCCGACTTCTTTGATGGCAAGCACAATATTATGCTCGGCGGCTCGTGGGCTACGCATAGCCGCATTGCAGGGCGCAAGACATTGTAAGCATTTTGGGCAAGCCGAGGCGAGAACTCACTGACAAACGCAGCGTCAATTGGTACCAACGCAACTACCCGTAAGTGTTTCAGGCAACAGCGACGACCTCGATTTTTTCTTTTGGCTAATCCGCACAGATACGTCTGGGCCACTGCCCGACTCGTGCAAGATGTGTAAAGCACTGCATATAGGCGAATGTAAATTGCATGCGTCACGAGAGAGCGTGCGTGTCAAGGTTGCACAGCATAATGATTTTGGTCTGGCTGGCTGGGCGCCGCTCTTTCTACTTTCCGGTGACTGGTCATCGAAATCCAGCCTCGCCGCACCTGTCCTTCTAGAATACTCTCGCAGCTTCAATACACTCGTTAAACATTGCGTTGAAGGCTTTCAGACAGTTCCTTTTCCCCGCGTTTCTACTTTTCTGCGTGTGACGCGTCTTCAGAGTGAACCGCGGCGTCCCCAACGCTTTAGTCGCTGCACCCTATCAACATTGCACCATTCCACATTCCCAGAGCTGACTCCAGAGCCTTGCCACTGCGTTGCTTCCTGTTTCACCCATTAATTCGACGTGTGAGTCCGTTCGCGATTCCGTTTCACCGCCAAAGCGAGAGATCGGGGAGCTCTGTAGCACCCCGAAATATTTATCACGCCCCACAGCGCACGCCTGTCACCCAGTCCAACACAACCACACTTTAGGTCCGCTGGGCTTCATACCAGATTTGCTAGCCTTGCCCTGGATCGCTCTGGTGTTCGATCACACTTTTTAGTCGCCATGGGCAAAGACGTTTCATTTCGGTAAGTAGCTTCCCCAAGAATGGCTGGAACAACATTTAATATTAAACAGGTGGGAAGACTGCGACGCGCTGAGTAGGTGCAACCTTGAACTTGCACTCGCACCTTCGGCCATCATATTGCGGCGCATACTGACTACGCAACAGAGCATCACTGCGGCTTTTGCAATACACCTCTCCACCATCCTAGCGCGAAGCGATCATGCTTCGGAACGCATGCCGAGCCATGTTTCCGCTTTCACCAATTCATGTTCATGCGGCATCGCGGCCACACATGCGACATGTGCAGCCATATTGACGAGCACCACTACAAGCGACACTTTGAGATGTGTGAGCAAGTCCGAAGCATTTACGAAAGCTGCGGTGAGAACTGGACCCTAATGCCCGAGTACGGAGAAGACCGCGGACGGTCCATGGGTAGAGGTCCGGACGCATTCGATAGTGACGGCAGGTCTTCGATTCCAGGTGACATGCCCTTAAGAAAGAGAGATAGGAAAGAACAAAAGAGGCAGATACGAGCGGCTACTAGGAGCAAAGTGATCACGCACGAGGACGTCAAGTACATCGAATCTGTCCTACATCCGGCGGGCCCTCAAGAAGACACTGAGATCCCCGCCAATTCCGAGGAAATCGAGGAGATCGAGCAGCATCTGAATTACAACGCGCAATGTTATAATCACGGGCAGAAACGAAGCAAAATTCGTGAATTTGCTCGTATTCCTGATGCAGACATCGACTTCGGCGCCGAGATCGATCGTATCTTCGAGATTCTCCACATCAACGAGCTTCTCAAGCGCAACGAGAGAAACCGGGGCTTGCGAAACAAAGAACTAGCAAGCTTCAATACAATTGTGTCTGAGCTGAAGGGGCTTATCATCACCGACATGGTGCAGAACAAGAAAGATGAGCTGGAGATTAGAATGCGCAGGGCTGCCTTTCTGAGATATGCCAACAAGACAAGCTTCAACATTGTGGGAAATAGATATGCTGACAAAGACTGGAAGACGGGACAAAAGTATCGATCCGTCGGCTCCGATTCTGCGTTGTCGGATTGCTTGACGGCTGTTGAAGAAGAGGTCGAAGAAGACGACTTTATTGATGAGAACGAATTACGCAACCTTTCAACAGCCACCTTACACGATGCTGATCGGCGGCATATCGAACAGTCTCATAGGAAGCTTGGTAGTGACGAGTTTCCCGAGGAAATTGTAGCCGTCCAAGACATCAAAAACTTGCCTGCTGAATTTGGGCCCAAGCCACTGCCTTCGCTGAGAATCGTCAACACAAACATCGTGCCGCCGCAGAAGATCAGGTTCTACAATCCATGGAAGCAGCTCAAACCAAGCATTACGAAGCCATCTGAAGTACCTAAGCGGACTGTACGGAATCTATCGTCGAGTGAGCTAATCGACAAGGACCCCGTGCCAGAGGAAGACGATGCATGGCAGACTGTGGGTCCCACTACTATCCCAATGAGAAACTCAAGTGGACGCATAGAATCTCGCCGTACAAAGAATGTGCTGTCGCTGCAAGCACCTAAGTCGTCTAGCTCTCATACAACCCCCATAGCTCCATGGCATGCCCTGAAGCCGACACGTGTCGGCGTAACTGCCTGGATGGACCAAGGTGCAGCCGATAGGCGGAAGATGGCGGAGAAACTAGACCGAGAAGAAAAGAAAGGGTATGCACAAAATTTATCTGCGTTACTACCCACCGCTTACATGCTCTCCAGAAGGATTGATGCGCAGTTTCGGATCGAAGAGCGAAAGAAGCAGTTGGAGTTCGTAGAAGGACGTCTCCAGCGGAAAGTAGAGGATAGGAAGCTTCAAAAGCCCAAGAAGCCTACAGAAGTTGCAGAGCTCCCGGATACCAAACATGCCGCTGTTGAATCGCGAAAGAAGAAGGAGAAGAAGAGGCAGCGCGAAGCTCAGCGGAAGGCTAGACGAGCCGCAGAGAAGGAGCATGGCGATCCCGAGTTGGTAGGTCCATCACCTGATGGCACTGAAGCAGACGAGTCTGCTTTCGAGGTTTCGCCTGTCGATAGTATGTTTCGTGATGGAGGGATAGACTCAACGTTTCGAGACTTGTGTTCGCTTTTGAAGGAGGGGTCTACATCAGAAGCTGAGGGTACCGACGCTGCGGACGATTGCGACGATGACCATAGCTCATCATACGACGAAGTCGGAGAAGCGATTGAGCACTCTATTCATGTACCACACGCGAAGGCGGAGTTAATGTGTCATAGTCTCCGGCTCGCGCCTTCAATGCGGGATTATTCGTCTGTTGGTGGTAATATGACGCCTGAATTCTCTTCAAAGCTATCAAAACACCTTTTCGGACCCGGGCGTACTACGAAAGGCGTCACTTCTATTGAGAACAAGTCCGTTTCCTTCGAGCTATCTAAGAGCCCCGCGACAATCCCAACAACCAAGACTGGCCGACACCGGGACTGGCTGCAGCAGTTTGCCAACGCAATGAAATTTGATAGCGTAGGGCGACCGCTGTTCGAACCCGACCACCCTGCCTACAAGAACACTAGCTCTGCCTGCTCGTGGATCGGCGAATGCCCGTACGAGTCTTCGGGAATACCTGACTGCCCATACCATCGGACATACTGTAAATGTGTTGATCCAACCAATCAAAACAATTTCCAGTACATCGTCTACGCGGACTCGAATCCGTGTGAGCTCGGCCCCTACAACTACATGCAGAGTAGGAAGCTCATGGAGTTCTTCCAGTCCCAGCCTGAGACCAAGGACAAACTCATGCTCGTCGACGAGGACCTCTACACCTGGCTGTACACCGTCGGTCGCCACTGGCGCGTTGAGGGAATGACGATGAAGAAGCTCGAGAACACCCCTATGCCAAAGCGCCTCTCGTGGGAGATCGAGGACTACGTGCGGGGCTTCCAGAAGGGCCGCGCCATGAACCAAGTCGAACAGTTCCAGGACCTAGCTGACCGCAACGAGCGCCTGTCCCTCGTCGGCTGTCGAGCTAAAGTCACGGAGCAACTGCTTGAGAGTTTGCGCAAGAAGTGTGAGACAGGACCAGCGGACGAATCTATTTGCTACTGCCAGGCCGACTTGCCCGAGAATCTGAAGGCCAAGGAGGAGCTCGTCGAGTGCATGTTTAACGACTGCCCTATACGATTTTTCCACCGCCACTGCATCGGAAAGCTGGGGTACAACAAGGTAACGACGTGGTACTGCGGACATTGCGAGAAGAATATCAGCGTGGCTGCGCAGAAGGCACTGCATGAGGCGCATGCGATATCTATGAAGACACCGGCGCCGGACTTTGAGAGCAGGGAGATGAAGGGCAAGATGAGATTTGTGGCGAAGCGTTCGGATATGCTTTTGACTGGACACTGTGAGAAGTGTTGATCTGCTTCAGAGATGACCGCGTTTGGGATGATAGACTGTTGAGATGAAATTTTTGGAGTCATTTACGGGAGTTTGTTGATGGGAGTTTGTTATTGCATCGGGATCTTGGGCGTCTGTAGGATCATCTGGTGGGAACGGTACTTGGTACTGATGGCATGCATCGTCGGCGCATATCGTATAAAGTAAAATTGATCTCTCGGCATTTGCTTCTCATGATATTCGAGTCACGTGCGTGAATCTGGTTCTATCGTAATCAAGGGCGACCAAGTAGATGTTCATCTGCCTAAGCAAGTATGCTCGCTTCTCATCGGGCTGGCTGGCTGTACCTCTCTTTGGGGAAGGTGACCACTCGTTATTGGTAGCATGGTGCTGCTGTCGCGTGTGGTGTGATATGCAAAATTACTTTGTAGCAAGCGCTTGTACGTCAGGTTCGCCTTCCTTTCCGCGGGATGCCGATGATTGATAGATCAAGTGAACAAGTCCATGACGCGGCGAGGTAGCCATGTCGCAGTGAGCGTGATAAAATGCCCTGCTCGCCGCAGGCCCTATTGCTTTCTTATTTCATAGTTATATTGTTTCTAATATGACATGGCCTCAATCTGCATTCGCACAGGCATGTGTCAGCTATACATTAAGGTTGCGCGCGGCGGGCGCGCTCAGTCGGCATACTTGATTACCTTGGCTATGTAAGAGTTACCCTCAGAGCTTTGCTATGCTTGCCAACGACTACAAGGCTCGCAATATTTCGGAGGCTTTTGAGATCATACACTCGCAAAGATAGCGTGTGTCCGTCGTTGCCGTTCGTCTACAAATGAGAGACGCGCACCTGCCTTCCCAACGCCGCACGGCCCTCACCTCACTCACCCACTCACTTCAACCCTCAGCTACCTGACCGCGAACATAATGTCACTCTGTAACTGCGCTCAGCTCCAAAATTTCTATCAAACACCCGTTCCCAGCTTGGTGCTGCGGAGATGACCTGGTGGCAGGAGCAGGAAGAGATCTGATATCTATACTGCCTCACAGTATAGGTTAACCATCTCCATCCAGACCATCCTGAGGGCGCGTGTTCGATTCCCACAATCAACAAACCGCTGTGAAGTGCTATTAGCATGGGCGGTTCCTGGATGCAGCCCATGTAGGGTGGCATTTCTTTTGGTGGATTCCGTCGATTGGGTTTCTTCTTTTTCCTCTGCACACAAGACGTATAATCTCTTCCTACTCCGCTATGGGTCCTATATGAGACTCTAGAGAGTGCAGCAGGCGTCTTCAGTGCAACAGAGTAAATTTGATTGCAAGCTAAATACAAGGTTCCCCGCCTGAATCACGTCCCTAGGGTTTTCTTTATCACAAAAATTTGTTTTCTTTCCCCAGTTCTCGCCGCCCCATGCAGCAGGTATCGTACCGAGACATTGGGCCCTTTTCTATCGTCGAGCTCAGCCACGGTTATTCGTCCAACTTCAATTGAAAGAGACCAGTTCCACGATGGAAGAAGCATTAGTTTCGCTGGGCTCAGCTGTTTCCGGTGAGACGCACAAATTCTTTTCCTCCTTTCTTCCTTACGAATCGACCTCTTACGAGCAGTTCAGAGACTCTCCGATTGCCCTCTTCCGGCTTCGCCCATCGCCCAGCCTTCCACCATTCCTCGACATCCTTGCCTAATATTTCACTCGTTACATTGTCTGTCACGAGAATCATATTCCCGATGGCCTTCCAGCTTCGTTATACTGCATCAATCCTCCCCAGATCCACCGTTCAATTGAAATATCTGCCTCATTACTTGCATCATCGGCTATGATGAAGATCTCATCCTCATGGTGCTGTACATAACATACGGCATGCGCCAAATCGTGCAAAAGCATAACGCATAACCACGTCTGAATCCGCATTTGATCAGAAGGCCCGCATTCCCGGGTCAGGAGTTATAGGCTCCGTGCAGATGAACCGATGTATGAGTGTCTTGGTAGGGTGCAGAACCTAGATCGTAGTCTGTAAGGAACCCCGGGGGATTCGTTTCACAGGGTCGACAATGTGTGTCCATACAGTTTTGGAAATCCCCATTGAAAATTACATATATTCTTTTCCCGCAATCCCCCGGGGTCTCGTCAGATTGCCAGTACCATGTAGTGTTTTTTCGATATTTAATCCAGTAACGCTTCAAATGCAAGACACGATTCAGCCGAGGCAACAGAGGAGCTGGAGAGATTGGTAGTCTTAGATGGCAGCGTTGGGTTTCAGAGTCGCTATGTTCCTTCCCGTGAATGACGTGAAGCCACCGATATTGGGTCTCTCTCGTCTTTAAGAACTTCGTGGCCCATACCGTACCAGGCCACATAGCTTTCCGTGCATTCTCTTGGAATTCGCAGCTTCTCCGATAGCGATATCGATTCTTGTAATGGAAGATTTGGGTGGATCTCAAATCCATTGATATCGATGAAATCCCCGAACCAGTTCGTAGATGGGAAAGAAGGGGGGCCGAGCCAATCAAGCGCCTTCTGGAGTTTTTCATGAACAGATCCTGGAATAGTTTCAGTCCCACAACGGGGCCAACACTCAGGGTTTATTTTTGCGTTACCTTGTCTTTGGAAGACATCATGCTCGATTTGACGATACGCAAGATTAATAGATGCTTTGAGGCAGTAGGTTTTGGCAGATGAACGGCGTGTGCAAAGATTACGCTTCACTTGGTGAGACTGAAACTGCAGAGGTACGCGCAGTCCTTCACACTTATGGGCATTTTATGCGTCAGAACAGGTCACCAATTGACGCAAACATACTGCATGTGCGCGAAGCAGATTAGGGACTGATACAAGGGGCACATACCAGTGAAAAACTTCAAACACCAAGGTATGTGATGCATATAGAGATCATTCAAGTGGTTGCGACATCAAACTCTGGTCCATCGCTTTCTGAAGATCCTATGCTTTATAGCGCTTGCTTGCTTGTGAGGATCATAAGGTCAGGTTACGCGGCAGATCCTACCTAATTATCGTGGCGTAGTGGATTTGAACATCTGCCGCGGCTAAGTTGCATACTACCAAAGTCTTCTCTGGGTGCGCAGGATTGATTCGATATCTGGAATGAGGTTGCTGAATGTGTATTGCGCGCGATTACCCAGGTGGAAGCTGGGCGATGAACAAAGAAATGGCTCGCAGTCCTGACCAAAGATTGATATTACTTGTCAGAGCCGGTGAATTGCATGACTATATCTGTGATCATTTACGGCGCTCCGGCTGCTTTCACTACGTAAAGAGAAGACCGTGAGTTTATCAGCTTCAGCTGATAATTCATTCATTAGCTTTCATTGGATCTCTTGAGATCTCATTTGCTAGAACCTTTATAATGACCTGAGGGCCCACGCCATCAACTTGGATCGTTGAAGCTAGCTACTTCCGTTCATCGATATGCAGAGAATGTGTCGTGATCTGTGTTTCTGAGAAATCTTCTTGGGGCGAGTTTGCAGCACTGGCCGATCGGTGGACATAGAGCTAGAGAACATGCGTGGCCAGCAAATACCATAGGTACGTTTAGACCGCGTCGACTGACTACATACACACGACTCGTGACTTCGCAACACTAGACGAACCAGGCAAAATATTTCTAACTCATCAAAGCCCACGAAGGCCTCCAGTATACCAAGTGGGCACCTGGGCACCTGGGCACCTACAATAATTTATGCAGAGGACCTCTGATGCTCCAGAAGTCACGACTAGTTTCGAAAATCTAACGATGGATGTGAACGAGTGTTCACGATGTCAACGATGTCAGGATCGAGAATGAGCAGAAGCGGCTACCGCGCTCCCAGTCCGAAAATCCAGGCGATGCTTTCGAAATGAGGTCGAGGGTCTCGACGTCAAAGTTCTAAGGGCCTGGCGGCGCTAAATCACGTGCACTGTCAAGACTTGGTGATGACATCTCAGGACTGCCGACTCGAAATCCCTCCATCATCGGACATCCTTCATTTCAGCTCATTGCATGGGCATCAAGCTGCATTTAAAATAACAGTCGCGCTCCAAAACTGCTTTGCTGGGCTGCCTCTGCTGAATACAGCTCGTGGAATCTACATCACGTCTGCGGCCAATGACGTCTAGATTTGACTGATGGTGGTAACATCCGATGTCAACTTTTTCGTCGAGATATACCTTTTGCCAATGGTTTTGTGATAGACTACCGCACACGAATCGACGTGACTAAAGCTAAAAGTGACAGGATGGCTATTGTCGAAAAAGAAGCATGCAAGGGCGCAGGTGCGCATCTGGTCGGCCCGAAATGTAGACCCTGAACGACTGGACACGCATCTCCGTCCCCGCACAACCGCCCGCAGCTAATGCGGGGTATCACTCGGCGACGGAGTGTGCATGCATCGAACGCGTGCCATGAATCAGGAGACAGTAACAGGCATTCTCGCTTCCTGTCGGAGCTGCCGGTAGGTGAAGAACATGGCATCTATTAACGCCGAAACAACCCCTGGAAGCGTCCGTCCTCTCGAACCAAAGCGAAGAGGCTCAAAAGAGAAGGATTCTGGGCGTTCGACCAAGCATCGCGCTTCTCAAGCCTGCCACGCGTGTCGGCTGAGGAAGGTCAGATGCGATGTCCTCACAAACGGCCCGCGCTGCACCAATTGTCGTCTGGATAACACAGAATGTGTCGTTCTACCGTCCAGGAGAGGCAAGAACAATCGAAGCAGACATGAACGCGTCGAGGGCAGATCCCCAGTGCCACCGAAGCCTTTGCCCTTCAATGTCCATTCAAACTCGGGTAGCATGCACGTTCAGAATGCGCCGAGAAGGGAGGGACCAGCGACATCACCGACCACCGGCGAAGTTCCAGTTTGTGTCACGTTTGATGAGGATGCGCATGACGAGGATCATTCAAAAGGGCTTCAGACACCAGACCAGGTACCAAGTATTATATCTCCCAACCCTAGCATCGGATCGATTTCTCAAGACCCGCGACGGCCATCTACGATCGAAGGACTCCCATCATTCATTTCCCCATTGCCAGGTCATCTCCTTCGCGAAGACTTGGAATTCCTCGTACAAAAGGGTGCCTTTCTGATACCTGAAGCCCACCTACAATCGAAAATACTTCAAAGCTACATCTTCAGCATTCACCCCTTCATGCCTATCCTGGATCTCCGCGCATTGTTTCGTGCCGTTTACGACGGGCAGCGCAACGACCACATCAGCATTTTGCTATTTCAAGCCATCATGTTTGCAGGACTAGCCGCGGTTGATCCTGAAGTCATCAACAGCATGGGTTTTCAGACACCTAAGGAAGCACGTGAGCACTTCTTCAATCGTGTTAGACTGCTTTACGAGTTCGACGTCGAACCAAGCGAATTGGCCGTTCTGCAGTCGTTGCTCTTGATGAGTTGGTGGTATGGCAGGTAAATTTTGAAATATCTTGTAGGATGGAATCATCCGCTGATATATTTTCTCTAGTCCGAAACAAAGGCGACACACATGGCATTGGACAGGCTTGGCTTTCTCAGTTGCGCTCAACATGGGACTCCATCGTGAGCCGACCGGAAGTCGTCAAACAGACGAAGAGAGACACTTTCGAAGAAGGCTTTGGTGGAGCTTATACATCCGTGATCGGCTACTTGCGCTAGGTACCCGAAGACCAATGCGTATACGAGATGATAGTTTCAACGTGTCGATGCTCACTATAGAGGATTTCGAAATTGATGCTTCGACACAGCTGGCGCTACCTGATGTTGAAGATATCGCCCGCACTTCGCTGATATGCGTCGAGCTTGCGAAGCTATGCGTTTGTATCGGACACGTTCTCTCCTCTCAGTATACGGATCTGGAAACACAAGCCGACGTTCCACCCACCATGATGGTCGTCCCCAAACGACCCGAGAGTAGTGCGGTTGGGCTGAACTCCTGCGATGAAGAGATTGCGAATTGGTACCAAAATCTCTTGGCAGCTTTCAATAGGTTCGATTCGCCACCAAGGATACAAAATGGCATGCACAGCTGTTATGAGGTACATTGGGCTGTACTAAATATGCTCTATCTCACTCTCGTTAACGTCCTGCATCGAACGCAGGCACTACAGCATTCGCCGGATGACGCTTCTGCGCAAGCCACGCAAAGATCATCTCGTGCTAAAGTCAAGGACGCCGCAAGAAGTGCCACTAAGATTGCCCATACCATGCTACGTCGTAATCAAGTACGCTACATGGGCGTACCCGGCGTGACCGCGCTCATCGCCGCCTGCCTGTCCCATATCCTCGATATTCGTTCCGACAACGAGGACGTGCGCGACGCCAGCGTTTTCCGCTTCTACCAGACGATGCAAGTGTTGCAGTCGCTCAGGTCCATCTATGCCTCTGCCGACTCCGCCGTCTCTTTCCTCGCTTCTGTGATACGGAAAGCCGGCATTTCTGTTCCCGAGCAGATATCTTCCGTCCATGTAGACGCCATGTCAACTTGCTCAGACCGCGCAGCCACTACAAGGAACTATGCATCCGATTACGAAGGCCCGTCTGCTTACGAAGGACGCCGAAGAACAATCGCGCCTCTCGAGTCTGGCGTACCGGCCACTGAACAGGCCAGGCAGCCTTTGACCCAGCAGTCGCCCGCCATTTACTTTCCGCAGCCGCAACCGCGTATGCCCTTCGATCAACAGGCCCCGCCGCTGCTGTCGGAGATGTCGACTTGGGGTTTCAACATGGCTGATCTGGGCACCGCGCCACTTGGCCAGTTCGCCGATCCCTCAACAGGAGAATCCTTTTTCGAGTGGACTAACAATCTGAGTTTGGATGTGGGGATGGATATGTCGGGGGGTATCGGCTCCGATGTCGATTACTATAGGGGAACGTATGACTTGTTTGCCTAGTACTCGGAGTAGGGGAAAAACTCAGGTATACCCTGAAGGTAGCTTGGGTTTCAAGTTGGATGAGATGTGTCATAGAGCCGAAGAATGATTAGGTAGCACTTGCCAAATAGTAAAACGGAAAAAAGCTAGAAGTCACGAAGAGCTCACTGAAATGGCGACTGTTAGTTCGAACAGCGATTCTTTGATGAATCAGCTGCCTTGAACTTGAAGTAGTAGACGTGTCGCGTTGCAGATACGCACCTCCGAGTCTCCATGAACATCCATGACCGGACGTCTCGACACCAAAACCTGCACGTCATGTCTACTCTCGTGCGCTCCACCAACTCACACCAAGACCATGATTACATGTCCAAGTACCCGCCCAGGCCATACGCAGATACTGCAGACAAGGCAGGGCATACGTTTAGTCGGTGAGTCCACGAAATCAACCCCGTTGGGCCCGTGGCGTTCAGCTCGTATCCTCACCCACTCTACCTGCGACCGTTGCACCCACGAACCCGGATCTTCCGACCACCGTCAGCTGCTCCTTCTCAGCGTTCCAGTATCCGCCCCCATATTTCCACGTCACGTGGCCCCTTCAACTAGAGACATACACGTACACGCATAGCGCATCGCACCCACTGCCACCAATTCGCCTCGTCCCCAGAGTTAATCCTCCAATTACCGAATCCCAGAATACTCTCGTCTCCAAAATTGCTTTTCTAGCGCTAAAAGGTCACACCACCGCGATATACCCAGGAATGTTCGCATAAGCTGACAACCCTCTCTCGCCCGCGCCCAAGACCCTGTCTCAGCCGCAGAAAGGCGGCCACGGCACCCCGTCACGTTGCATCCCAACAGGGCAAACTCGCAACAGGTGCACGAACTCTTCTCCCCAGCTCGCCCGCAAACACCGCGTTCACGAGCTGGATCGCCCATAATCTGGAAGATATTCGCGCACACGTAAGCAGTCGGGAAGGGTTGGAAGGGAGGGGAGTTCTTGGGGTCCGTCAAGCCGCTGTGTATCGATCCATGTTGCCATGTTGATACACTTTTGAAAGGAGAGAGGTCATGGCGCCAATATAAAGACGAAAGTTTGACCTGACGAGATTGTCCGTGGCGTTGGGCTGTAAGAGGCGCGGTTCGCGGTCCTTGGATGCCTTCCAAGATGAGGGCAATGAGTTTCAGTGGCTTGAAGGCGATGCGTCTGCCCTGTCATTGTGGTGCTGAGTAGCTACGCGGGGCTATGCTGTGATGAGAGGGCTTGCGTCGAGTGGCTGCTTGGGAAGTCTTGGACGCCTCTCAGCTACCGCGTAGCGATACATGTCACGATATTGTCATTGGTCTGAGGGAACGGTGCGTCTACTTGGAATGTAGTACAGCGACTGACTGAGCTGGGGTGGGAGGGCTGCGCAGCTGAGAATGATACGTCAGATGTTATACCGGAGGCCAGATGGTATGCGATTGTGATTATAAAGGCAGCGTTGTCCTCCATTCACGCTGCCACTGTGAGTTTCTCGAAACCTTATGCCACGCTCCCCTGAACCTAAACACAGGTCCTGGTACTACAGCGCTCCACAACGTAACGTCAACATCAGCATGGCAGATTCCGACTTCAAGCTATCCAACGTCCAGGGCGACATCCTGTATTTTCCTCCCACCTTCTCCCTTCCTCTACCTAACCCACTAACACACCTAGCGTCGGTCTCTCCAAGAAAACAGAAGTCTTCTTCTTCTTCCGCATTACAGATGCGACCGCCTTCAAGTCCCAGCTCAAGACCCTTGTTCCCCTGATTACGACAGCGGACAAGGCGACGGGTGAGAAAGCGGCAATTCGCGCGTTCAAGGCTTCGAGGGCACATGGTGTAAATGGGGATGGGACGAATGAGCTTGGTGAGATCACGGGTGACGGGGACCTGTTGCCTATTGCAGGGGTGAATATTGCGTTCTCGCAGAAAGGATTGACTGCGGTAGGTCAAGCGTGCCCTGCTGTTCGCGACAATCTGAATTTGACATTGCATAGCTCGGCATCACGGATGATCTACAGGACCCGCTGTTCCGCGCCGGGCAGAGGAAGGACGCCCGTTCTCTTGCCGATAAAGGTACAGGGGAAACTGACGAGGACTTCAAACCGGACTGGGATGAGGCATTTTTGCAAGACAGCCAAGAGATCCATGGCGTGATCCTTGTCGCCGGTGACTCCTTCGGGTCGGTCAATGGGAAACTGGATGAGGTGAAGGCTACATTGTCCGCGAATGAAACATCGTCAATCGCCGAGGTGGCGACGCTGGCAGGTGATGTTAGACCTGGGGAATTCTCGGGACATGAACAGTAAGTTGGATCGTGCGTTTCAGTAGGCGGTGAGGCTGATGGGGTGTAGCTTCGGGTACATGGACGGTATCTCGCAGCCTGCGCTGAAAGGCGTGGATGACGTCGATCCTAAGAAGCCCAAGCCGGGACAGAGTTTGATCGACTTAGGGTAGGCTGCCGTCTAGCTAAGTGGTGTGGGAGATGCTGACTGATGTAGCATTGCATTGCTTGGTCGCAGCGGAGATCCTGTAGAGGGCCGTCCAGCGTGGGCAAAGGACGGCAGCTTTCTGGCTTTCCGCAAACTTCCACAGCTTGTTCCGGAGTTTGATAGGTACGATTGGTACAGCAGAACCACCGGCATTTCTGACGATAACAGATTCCTGGAGGAAAAGTCCAAGCCGATCGCCGATGACTTCGACGATGCACCAACACCGGCTGACATCCTCGGAGCCCGCATGGTGGGTCGTTGGAAGAGTGGTATGTTGCCAATGATTCTGAGATTCCTGTTATGTGGTTATTAACGTGCACCAGGTGCACCACTTCGCATCACACCGCTCGTTGACGATCCCGTTCTCGCAGCTGATGATCAGCGCAACAACAAATTCAAGTTCAACCCACAGTCCCAGGAGATGTGTCCATTCGCCGCACACATCCGCAAGATGAATCCCCGCAAGGACCTCGACCAGTTTGCAACCGAACAGACCCCTGATCTCGTTGGCCCCCACCTGATACTGCGCCGCGGTATTCCGTTTGGCCCTGAGGTCACGAGCGAGGAGAAGCTCACGAAGAGCACAAAATACGAACGTGGACTGTACTTCGTGTCCTACCAGTCGAGGCTCGACCAAGGATTCAGTTTCTTGCAGAAACGTAAGTTACATTTCCCTTGTTCCGTAAATCTCCCTGTGCACCCATGCTGACGACGTACGCAGAATGGGCCAACAACACCAGCTTCCCGCCCGGAGAGAATAAGAAACCTGGATTTGATCCTATCATCGGACAGGCACCTGATGAGGTGAGATCCATGACGGGCGCTAATGATGACAAGTTGGATGAGGATTTGCCGCTAGATAGGCAGTGGGTCCAGTCCAAGGGGGGAGAGTACTTCTTTTCGCCATCGATCGAAGCGCTTAATGGTGTCCTTGCGGGTGTCGCCGCTCCATAGTCATTTGGTATTGTGACAGATAGCTGTCCAAATCTGTGTCCACACATTCTCTACTGGGCAATCCAGTCGCTCGTCCAATTCCCCAGCTCTTTGACCTTGGCTTCGTGGTATTCCCATACGCACTCTCTTCAGATATCCGGCTGGTAATGGATCCTAAACTTCTTGTTCGCCCTGTCCGCGCCCCTTGTCTGAAATTGTTCTCCTAAAATCTCAAAAACCAACGGCTTCTTCTCTTCCTCTCCTTGCTTGCTTGGCACTGGCACTTCGAACCGGAAAATGGTATGCTCCTTCGGTATAGCTTTGACCACGTTCTTCATCGTGACTATCTCGAAGGTGAACTTTGTGTCGCGCACAACGATTCCCTTCAGCCCAACACGCGACGGGCATCGACTGCGCACAACCTCAACAATCGCGCCGTGCATATCTGCGCTCGCAAGCTGCTGCCCCGCACTGCTAGGCGTGACGAACGCCTTGCCGCCCTCTGCGCCCAGCCCCAGAATTTCCGCCATATAGCCCGCCCATAGCTTGTGCAGTCCCTCGTATATTTCGTATTTCTGCTGCGCCTTAGGAATCTCGAGGAGGCCGAGAGCGCGCTTTTGGGCGGCGGAAAGAGGGCGCGGTTTCAGCGCGCTGCGGGCGCGCGCTTTGGCTTTACGCTCGTTCTGAGTCTTCCGGCGTGCGGCTCGGACCGATGGCATCGGGCTCGTGGCGCGAATATGGAGCGGGCGCTTCACAACGCGTTCGGTATAGAGGGCTTCTGCGACGGCGGGTGGGTGCGCGCGCGCGAGGAGCGTCTGCGCGAAAGGGTCGGGCTCGGTCGCCATTGTGGTTGTCATGATGTCACCAGGCTATGTCGGTGGGCGGTTTTCGTGAAGGTACAATGCCCCGGTAAGTGTTTGGTTGTGGTGGGTCTAAAGTTTTGCGGTTGGGAACTTGCGAACCGTTGGCTCGTTCACCCGCGTTACTCGGGATGGTTAGCCGCTGCCCACGCGATCTCCACTCCAGCGGGTCGGTGGGCGTCCTCCCACCAGCAAAGGTGATGTCCGATATCACTTTCACGCCCCAAGCTTCGTTTACGGGGAGCCATCAGAGGATATCAATATTTCGTAATGGAACCGTGCTGAACAGTGGCAAGGTGCTAAGTGCTAACATTCACACACAGCATACAAGACGTGGAGGAGCCGTTTCTTCATGTCCTCGCCGCTGAGAAGTATTGTTCACCATCCCGGCTTACTCTGCATCAAAATGCAGTCGTCTACCTCTTGACCAGCACAAGCTCCGGTGCCTTGGAACTCCCAAAAGCTATTCGAGTCTTTGATCTACAATTCATCCAGACCTCAAACTACCTATGATAGCCTGACCTTTGCAATGCGGGGATGTATTCCATTGCAACCTCCACGTTAGGTATCCAATCTGCTACAACCCAGGGACCCTTGAACCGAGGCACTGTGTACCTTCAACGCCATGAGCGCGACTGGTCCGATAAGCCCACCGCCTTGCGATCAAACAATTCGCCCAGTGCGGCTGTGGCGATGATTCCATGGATCTTCTGGTATGGCGAATCTTCGTCGCTACCACATACGAGGGACATTTTGAGCGCTGGGCTGACGTATTGGTCCCGAGTAGTGATCTCGTCAAGTGAGCCCGGCGAGAACTTTAAAGGCAAGGTCTGAAGACAGTGTGCGAGATTGTGATGACTTAATGGGTGTTGTGTGGCGTACCAAGAGAGCTGAGTCTTGCAATTGAGAATCATGAGTTGCAGAGCCTTCGCGATGGTCTGCGATCGGAAGCCTGGACAAGATGCGCGTTCGACAGAATGGACTTGTTGAGAATACGGGCTCGATAATCCACGAAGAGTGGCACAAAAGGCTCGCCGAGCCAAGTCATGTGTGTTATGGTATCTTCGTTAGTCTTGCTCGACGACCTGCACCCGCAATCCTCTGACCTTATGGAAGATGTTGCATGGGAGTGCGCTTATTTCCTATCGGATATCAGAGCCGTTGTCGAGATGCGGTGGATCCACGACTGGTTCTTGGAGGAGACATGAGCATCGACACCTGCAGCCGAGGAGCATCGTGCGTGCCACCAATGGGGAAAAGCAGGCAATACGGCTGGAGGTCCGGAGCCACACGCTTTCATTACACGACGTCTGGTCAGGACACAGAAAAGCTCTGCACTTTTCTGCACGTCTCTGCACGTCTTACCTAATAAGGTGTCCTTTACATCGGCAGAAAAAGGCCATAGGCACAGGATCATACTACAGCCTCATGGACGGCAAGTTTGACATCGACTAATTTGCGTCACTCGACGAACGGGCTTTAGGTTGGCCCTACGGCTACGCGTTAAAGGATGCCGTAGAGCTAGGTTCATGAGGGTGGTTATGAGTATCTCAGGAAACAGAGTATGCTAGTTGAGCCGGAAACATTGCAGCATGGGAATTACTCGAAATCCGGTTCAGAGACCAAGTCGGACGGCAGTGAGGTGGTGGATGGCGACTTAGATTCCAGGAATGCCAGGAAGAGGGATCAAGAAATGACAGAATTATTTGTTCCCGGCACTACGATCTGAGGTTATGTTGAGAACATGGTAGTTCTATCTACTCGGGTAATCATTGGAGGTCGCACGCGACTGTGAGATGCTGAGCGTCCGTCAAGGCAGGTATGCAGCCCATCAAACTTTCGTGGAAAGGCAATAGCTTTTCGTACTCCCTTGATAGGATTGTGATGAACAATGAGAAGAACTAGAGGGTTGCAATTCCCAACCGGAAGAACTGCTGTGACCTTAGACGACGGTGTTCACCAGGAATTGGTGCTTGTCACAATTCACTCAGAGCTCCATTCTTCACACTGTAGACTAAATTTGAATCATCATGAACTCTCGCATTTCCGTGCCAGTTGACAGCGGACGCCAAAGAGTTCTAGCCCAAGGCCCATGTCGGACAGCCTCATTGAAGGGCTAGGATTTTTGTTCGCGGAAATGATGGTCAGATCAGAGTGCCGAGTGAAATATCTAGAGTACACCCTGCGTTTACCGTACTGTTATCTTCAACGTCTGCATGACACCTGTTCTATAATGTACAGCTTGGGCCTCTTCGTGTGTGTTGTGGAAAATTCACGTTGCGAGAGAACCTTCAACGGCTATTGTGCTTATGTTGGATAGATGCAAGTAGACCATGAGCATAAAATTGGCATTGTTGCTCATCGTCTGGATCTATCCGCATAACGTCGCGGAACCACTTCACAAGAGCGGATGAGGCATCGAAAAAAGCACACCATAAGTCCATACTACGGTGGTCCATTGCGCAGCGCCCAAGCGTTGCAGTAAACGTAATCCCTAAGTCTTGGACTTGGAAGATGACCAACGACCCTCCGACCCTATCATCAGCTCCATAAGACTCTCCACTAACTGCTACCCAGTCTGAATATTGTCCGTCGTTTTTCTATATCATGTACAAGGAAAGGTCAGTCGTGGCGATGCTCTTCCTCCCCGGCACTTGGCCAAGACTCTTGCGAGACGGCCAAGTGACTGGAGAAGGTGATGTAGTGGGCGCGCCACTTGAGACTATCTTCGGGAATGACTTAAGACTCTCATCAATGCGCTCATGATGTTGGAGTTATTCAACCTGCAGTCTTTAGTTATGGGGAGAAGCAGACCAATTAGATTTGACGCACGATATGATCCTGAGGAGCCAGGAGTCTGGTCTGAACTTGGTGAAGATCCTTGATAGTATGAATATTGTCCTTGGCTTGGGTACGTTCCCCTGCTCTGTGGAGTCTGAGGGGCCGCCTGTCCATGGGGGTAGTACTGTTGCGTCGGCTGGGTGTATGGATATTGTACTGGCTGCGCTTGGGTCCCGTAGCCTTGCGTTTGTCCTTGCCCATACGAAGTCTGCGGTACCTGTGAATAAGATTGTCCATGTGAAGTCGAGGAGCCTGTGGTCCCTGCTGCAGTTCCACCGTGTCCATATTGTGGTGTACCCTGCGCAGACGAAGTGCTAGCTGAGGGTTGTACGGGTCGAGTCTGTGGCTGCACTGGCGGCGGCGACTGTGGGTGCGTTCGCGTTTGCGGTTCAGATGGGATGGTCGCTCTATCACTGTTGTCAGCGCATTTGCACGAGATGTCAATTTCATGGGTTACTCTAACCTTCCCCAGACGTATCGCACTACCCTACCGTCTGCCTAGAGTTAGCGGTCATCACATGAGGCAACACTCGCCCCGTACCTGGCCCGTAAACTGCCTTGTAGTAGTCTCCATGCTCATCACTCCATATCCACTCACTGTCTGGCATTTTAGAGGGTCAGAGCTTCCAATATCAAGACCAGTACAGATCGGAAAGCTGAACTTGTGGCCGCACGGGTCGAATACTCATCGGCCTTGTCAGTCAACGAGGCTAGAAGGTGGAGTGGGAGGGACAAGCGCCGCGAGTCGGCGAGGCAAGAGGCGGACATAGGGAACGTGCATGGCATGGGTAGCAATCACATGACAGTAGCCGCAGCCAGCACCTTGCTGCCTGACATGTCCCGATCTACTGCAGATTGACGTACATACTGGCGCATGCAAGGAAACCTCATATAGCTAGGCGCCCCCGCGATAAATCAAGCTGACCTGATGCTCTAGATTTTCGCTTAAACAGACATCAGTACGAGTCTTGTGGGGGTGTGCGTTGCGATGTTGCTGCTGTGATTTGCAATGCCATGGCATCGATCGCAGGAAAAGACTAGGCAAAACATGTGTCGAAGTGGCCATGAGCCAATGTTGATGGCGTCCAGTACTTGGGCGACCTCATATTGGGCGCCTGCTCGTATATTTTTGATCCAATGACAGACGACTGTGGCCCCCCCTCTTTATGGCGATTTGTCAAAACGGAAGGTGGGGTGTGCTCTTCGCATCATCCCTGCAAATCGTCTGGGACTAAAAAGAGCATCCACAGCATGGCCGAAAGTGATCAGAGCAGGACTCAAGTCGTTGATAGTCCTAAATCCAAGCCATTTGCGTAAAACGGCTTCAACGTACAACATCACCTCAGTAGATCAGAGCTCAGAAACTTGGTGACACATCGAAAAGGCTGATCCACAAAGCCGAATCCATATGTAGGAGTATATCACCTTGAGGTTGCAATATGTGGGCTGATTCGCACTCAACCTTTGGTACCGACATTGATGGTACTGTAGCAATGCGAGATTCACGGACAGGTGTTAACAAAGGCTTGAGAAGAACCCCTACACCTACCGGTATGAGCGCATGGCACAACGGAGTGGAATTCTGGTCCCATTGTTCATATGTCACCAGCTTCTGATAGTGAATGACCCCGAAACGTCGTAAAAGAAAATACAAAGAGTGTGATTGTGAAAAAGCTATATACAAAAAGCGGCCCATCGACATCCACTACATCAAATTACTTCGGCTACGAAAGAGTAGGTAGAGCGCCGGTGGTCAGCGTCTCTGTCTACTCCTGTAGTAGGTCAACATCGATGTCGTGAACGTGATCGACCTGCACATTGGAGCGGACTACGTAACGAGCAACAAAGTGCCAGCACTCTCCTACTTTGTGCCATCGAGTATGGAGGGGATCAGCCCATTGTAGAGTAAAGAATATGGTCGCGGTCAGTTGAGGCACCAAGAACGAAAGCATGCAGGTCCCCAGGCGAACTTGGCTCCCAACAAGCGACGCATAAGCAATCGAAATGTTCCAATGGGCGTTCCCCATTTCAAAGTGAGTATTTCGGCCTGGGATGAGCGAGATAAGGAGGACTTTGACGCGAGGTTGTCTCCCAGTACTAGGGCATCTTCGTCAGGAGGAGTACTGATTGGAGGTAAAGGCGGCGTTCCGCATAGAGACTGTGGATGATCTAATAGATCATCATCGGGGGGTGTCGTAATGGGAGGCAAGTTGGGACCAGGATTCGCAGGGACCGTAGTCGCAGATGCTCTCTCTATGGTCGAGATGCCAAAGATGGTCAGGTTGTGAAAGTCGGCTGTGGTATGCACAACACGTAGAGCGACAGGGGTTTTCGTCGGAGGGATTACTGTAGTGCAAACAGTACGTAAGCTCTCAAGTAGAGAAATCGACCAATGCACTGCCGTGGCAGCCGCGCACAGGTGGGTTTCTCCAGATGGAAGCGGTAAAGCGGGATGGTAAGAGTGCAGTTCCACGTCGACGGCAGCGCGCGACGACAGATGTGACACATTTGCGTGTAGTGCAGCCACATTGTGAATGCGAATAGTTTGTGACACGAGTTCCGTCACTGACCATCCCGAAATGTGTTTTGGTGATGCATGGATGTGTGTGACGGAGGAGTCGCCTTGGGGGCGGGATTCGTTATGCAACGGAAGCAGCGGAGCCCTTGACATCAACGATGAGTCGTCCGGCGGAATGGGTTCGATAAGGCGTGTGGTTTGTTTTGTCCTCAGCAACGCACCGGCGTGGTCTCCATGGCCGATCAGGCGCTCTTCCCAAGTGAGGCGGTCGTACAGACTTGGGCTATTGGCGAACTGGAATAAAGATGTTAATTACACTCTCTAATCTCTACCCTACAGGAAAACGCATGTCGTTTTACTGTACCTTCTCTTGGTCGATCATCTCCAGTCGTGTGGCAACACTCGTCGCTACTGAACGATACGATAGAAAGAGGACAGAGCAGCATTCGAGCACACTTGATAACCTGCCAGGCAGCCGCTTACCTCATCCTGACGCCTCCAATATTTCGTATCCGTTCCCTGTCCGCCAAGCGATGGAATGCGGCGTGTCACGGGATCAAGTGATCTCAGAAGTGTGGGGGGAAAATCGACAGCGATTGGGCGATGGAGATGCATGAACCTGCACAGGGGCACACAACACGGCATCTCACGCTATGACCTCCTTAAGCCCACTGCCCCGCTTAGTGCGTTCCACACCTCTTCAATCACCGCTTGCTCAGGTGCAGCCTTAGCTTCGTCACTCAGCCTTCTCCCGCTGGCGGCTCTTCCTAGTCAGATACCCAGTGGTGTTTTCCTTCCGCTTCATTATTGTGGATCAGCGCATTCATGGTGACTTGAAATAGACACGAGGCACGTTTCGCCGCGAGTGCATCCATAGTCTAAGGCCGGCGAGCTCCACGTAGACGGCTTCTTCCCATGCCCTAAGACGCAATGGACGACCACGAATGGACATGGTCTGAGAAGTTTCAGGACTATTACAGGTGGCAACTGAGAAATGTTCCCGGTATAACTTGAGACCTTCAATCAACCGTTGTTCCTAAGCTAAACGGTCGCAGGGAAAGCACGTTATGATCTTAAATGGGGACGGTAGGTGCGATCGTCTGGATCGCGAAGACCATACTCGCTGAACATTACTAGGAGCCTAATCAGTCGTGACGAACAGAGTCCTAGTTCTGTTAATACCTCTCTGCCCCCTTCTACGGCTGAACAGAGCGATAATGCCCGAAACGCAATCGTACCCGGTACAAATAACAGCACTCTCCCATACCAACTATCAAGCGTGAACTTTCCGAGTATTTCAGAGGTCCAGGATCAGTACCAACCTCCAGAATTCATCCAGCTCGACCCAACCTTTCGAGGGAATAATTCGTCGCCATCGTTTTCGTACCAGCGATTGGCTAGGCCCTTAGGCTCGGAGGATACATTGTCCACCACAGGGCCGGGCATAAACACACCTACTACGAGTGCGGACACTTCAAGTACGTGTGCCAGCATGAATTTAGAAGGTGCGACTGACATGACCAGGGCTTTCTTATTCCACGCCTGGAAGTGAACAAGGCACAGGCCGGTATGATGACGATACGGTGCGCACAGCGTCCCCTGACCAAGATATGACATCCCGCCTTGGCACACTCAGCTTAACACATGAAACCGGTATGCTTGGGTAGCTATATTTTACGACGCTTCACTGACTACATCCAGGTTTCGAGACGATACGCAATCCTAGAGCTTACTTTAAGAAAGGCAGGGTATTCAAAGTCAGTTGGCCAGAACCAAGGGGTGAAATGGGTCCGAGTACCAGCCTTTCTGCCGTATCGATTCGTGCCGATACTCCAACGCAACTGTCCCTACCACAAACACACGGTGCATTGGATAGCACATCTGTGTTAGATGGCATGTCGGGTGGTACAACCCTTCATGTAAAGACCCGAATGTTTGTAGTCATACGGCAGAGGGCCCAACATTGTCTCTGCCTACCGATATACACGTACTCGCAACAGGGCACATCAAAGGCTGGCGTAAAGCCAGAAGACCATGCACCACTCATCAAAGAGAACACGGAGCTTATATTGCATCCAGAAGAGCAGGGGAGCAAACTTCAAAGACCAATCGTTCTGATATTGGAGGACACTACATTACAGTGGAGTCCACTTTCCCGAATCAACATCTCAAAGGTTCAGAGCGTGGAGTATAATCTTAAGGTGAAGACAGTAGGACGAATATCACCCGATTGCTTATCAGACCTGGAGACGATGTTCCGGGACGCTATCGGGCTGAGCGAGGACTGAAACATGTATTCAGTCGGTAAAATTGCCTTGATGCAATTGATGGGGCTGGGTCCAAGAATGTACCAGCGAACAACTCGTCATGGTTACAGTCAGGACATCCACCTGAGTGTTCGAGGATTTAGGGATGAAGTTCGATTACATTGCATGGAGTCTGCTTCAAGAAATACGTTTAATTCACAAACTGGACCGAGAGGATCTGCTTTCGGTTTCGCCACATTGCTTCTTGTAAAGCTGGAACCGTTGAGGTAGCTGCTAGCTAGAATGCTCGTCAAAGACGAGGTTCTGAAGTGTCCTTGGGGGCCTTGGAATCAAGATATCACGTCGTGCACTTCACCATTCAAGAGGTACAGTTTTTACATCAAGCCAAAATGTTCCCTTGACAAGCGTACGAGTGACTAGTTGACAACCGAGCGAAAGTCCCAGCCCACTGAGGCTGAGATTATGGCTGAATCTTCCCTTTCTACTAGGCTGTGAAATGGATCTACCACGTGCCATACTCGACCGGTGACTGTACTGCTTGCTTTTCAAGCCATTTTCGCCGATGCATCGTTCCCTGCTGTTGTGCATATGCACTCGTTGCTGGCGCACCGTCATTGGTGGCCTGCGCATGTGAGAGGCATTGTACAGCCTTGGAGGGCGTGTCGCGTACGCATACGCCCTGCGAAATCTGCCCACCTCACCGGTCGGCTTTGATATAATCATCATGGACTCGCTGCCTCCATTTTCTAAATTTCACCCATTGGAAATGGCCGAGGCTGTCGCTGTGGTTGGTGCTGTCGCCGCGTTTTCGCAGCTTGCAAAATATGGTGTAGGGTTAGCCAAGTACATTTTGGAATGTCCATCCGAGCTTCACTCCATGCCAGCGACAATAGAGGACTTGATCGAGCATCTGAATTGGCATCGCAACATTATTGAATCATTCTTACTGAAGGAACACAGTGGGGCAAGAACGCCAGGTGTACAACAACTCATCAGCAGAAGCCTACGCATCACTTTATCTTTACAACAGTTGCTCACACCTCTGTTATCCAATCAGAGTGATTCAGGAGTTAAAAAGCTACGTAGAGTGTTTTCGTATCAGAAGAGGATCAGAAAGATCACTAAATACCGAGCTGAGTTAGAGAGCTGCGAAAGACGTCTCACTCTGCATTTCTCCGCGTAAGCATCATATTCATGGGCGGTCTCATGTCTGACCCGATACAGGGTAACTTACCAGAACACCTACAAAGATGTGGGGCGCATAGTAAGTGAACCGGAAATGAGGCGACCCTCGGCCACTTCGATTGGCTCATAGGTTTTAGACATCTTCGTCCACACCTCCCCGAGGAACAGCCGTGATACCCGGGATTTTGGTAGGCCTACCTCCACGCACTGCAGTCATTGGAAGAGACTCAACTCTGAATATGGTGACCCGCACGCTAGTCGCCCCAGGAAACAAAGCATGCATTGTCGGTCCCAGAGGCATTGGGTCAGTCATCCCAGGCTCAAACCTGTGACTAAAAGCGATCTTTGGACATTTTTGGTTTATTACTAAAGTTCCGTGAGTAGAAAATCCGAAACAGCTAAAGAATGTGCATATCGTATCCACGATCTGTACCCGGAGATCATTATCATATGGATTCAGGGATGCGACCAGTTAGCTGTACAAGCGACCTACGACAGAATTTTCCGCGAGAAGACGGAACCACAATATGTAGATCATCAGGAAATGACATTACAAAACCTCGTGGAGAAACTCGACACAGGTTTTGACGGACGATGGGTGCTGATCATCGACGACATAGCTTCGCGAGCCAATGGCCAACCGGTCTTACGGCGGCTTGCATCAACGCCAATCATAAACGGATCCATACTGTTCACAATGTGTAACAGGTATGATGCTGCCATTCTGGTGAACGACAACTTTATCTTCACGCTGGATCCCATGACAGTCGAAGAAGCCACGCAACTCCTCGGACTTGAGCTGGAAGGCGTATTCCTACCGGACGAGGGAATCAATGATTTGGTTCAACATCTAGAGTTTGTTCCTTCAGCTATCATAAAGGCTGCAGGATTCATGAGAATGTACAACCTATCCACAGTTCAATATTTGGAATATCTCAGGCGACAAGAGGATCATGTCTCCAATCTCCACTTGCAAAACAACTTAGGCCTTCCTGGCACATGTGCCCTGATAGGGACTGATATGCTATCTGCTGTGTCGATGAAGACCCTGTACGAGAAAGATGGAGATACAGGACAACTTCTAGCCATTATGGCTTGCCTCGGCAACACGCGGATCCCGCTTACCTTATTCGACGCAAGCTATTGGCCGAGAGACCTCACAAGATCTCTGATAGTCTTGAGAGATTCATTCCTGATTTCAGTTAGTGACAGCGATGACACTATCACCGTCCCCAGATTGGTTCGTCTCAGTGTCCGAGCTTTCGTGCGTCGACATCAAGCATCTGCAAGATTTGCAGCGCTTGCACTACAGCTCATATCGGAGAAATTTCCGGAAACAGGGAAGCAGCACGCGATGTTGAGAGAATGCAGGCTTCTGCTACCGCATGCATTGACCATTCTACAGGAATATGCATCGCAATGGACCACCTGCGATGCTAAGCATCGTCAAGCCCAAACCGGCGTCACCCCTTCCCAGCAACTATCGCCATGGGACTTCTTAGCACCACTTGCTTTGCGTGTGTCACACTTCCTCCGTATAGTGGGACAATATGCAAATGCATTTCAACTCGCAGGGCAAGCGATACAGTGGCTTTTCAACGGCTACAATATCCATGCCTCCGCTGCAGAAGCTTTCTTATGCGAATCAAACATTGCCACGATTAGCCACTATCTCGGACGCCCGATTATCTTTGCATGTCGAGTTGAGCAGCTATTCAGATCTCAGACGGTCCTATTGAATTCCCATAAACCGTTGACGATACGAGCTCTGCGAAGTAAGGGGTTGGCATTGCAAGCGCAAGGTCACCACGGGCAAGCCGAGGGATATCACCGAAGAGCTATAGCCATCTGCAACTCTATCTACGGACCAAGACACGTCAAGCTGCTAGACGAGAATCACGGCCTCGCTCTCTCCTTTCTCGGTCAAGGTCGCGCACAAGAGGCTCTGTGTACTCTCTATGAAATTTACACCGCCATGGAGGCCTCACTTGGGCTGTCGAATCCAAAGACCCTCTCCGTGCTTGCAAACATCGGGTGCGCACTGCAGCATTTGTCCCGCTGGACCGAAGCTTACGAAGTGATGACACGCGCCTTGTCGGGTCGGAAAGCAGTTCTCGGCGAAGACCATCCACACACGATACAGAGTCGAGCAAACCTGGCGCAGATCTACGTCGCAAACGAAGACATGGCTGGCGCAGAAAAGATCACGAGGGAGACACTTCGGATACACGTGGCCAAGCTGGGCGAGGATCACCACCTTTCACTGCACATTCTGAATAATCTTGGTTATCTGTTATTGGGCCAAGAAATCTACAGTGAGGCGGCTGAAACGTTGCATACTGTAGCCACGAAGAGAGAAATTGTGCTTGGAGCGCAACATTGCGATACTTTGGCCTCGATGTTTTACGCATCGGAGGCATATTGGAAGATGTCGAGATTCGACGAGGCATTGTATCTCGGTCGTAAGGTTTTGGAGGGGAGAAGAAGCCTGAGCCATGGAGAACCTAGTCTGGGAGAAATTGAGAATCGTTTGGCCGAAATCGAAGGAGACCGTTGGCTTGGGCTGGAACGATGCAAGGCCTAGAATCTCTTGAGTGTTGACTTTATCATTTTCGTCTCTGTACTTTGGAACGCCGTTTTCCTGTCCTATGTCTTATATTACTTCATATGCTTGATATCTCTGTAACATCTCGATTGAGCAAGCCAACAAGGGCATTCCTCTGAACTTGCCATCTGAACCATGTGAAGCGATCACGTTGAGTTTGCCTGAGAAATATGCAGCAAATTCCATCGTGAACGCAAGCTTATCAAGTTCAGCTATATGAATAAAATCATCACCGCCAGCTCCGACATCCATTACGCACTCTTCATTTCTCTCAAGACCGCTCACAAAGCCATCAAGACATCCGCTCGAACCTTGACCGAGCCTGTACTTACCCAGCACCCGAGTGCACGCGCGATTGCGCCACTACCATGCCTCCCACTAACGTAAGTCTACATCAACGCGTGCAATGCCGCACCACAAAAATATATCTACACGAAACTAACTCCCAACAGGACGATCCACAAGCCCTTCCCCTCAACGTAGGTCCACATCCAACGCCAGCCAAAGACTTGCATCACCACAAACCTAACTCCGATCAGGATGACGCACGAACCGATCCTGACATCATTCACCGAGACCCTGCCTTGGAAAACCCACATCCTCAATTCGGTCAGCATTCCCGCTATTCCGCTCGAACATACCTAACACTTGGCTGCGACATAGTTATCCTCTTCATCATCGCAACAGCAGTCATGTACCTCTTCTTCCAAGTAGTCGAGTTTCTGAGTTACAACGATGCAGATGTGAACCCAAAATACGGTAAGAAGGACTTCGCGTTTGTCTTGGCTGTTGTGTATTTGGTCCTTGGGAGATGAACAAGGGGTGCGCGGTGATTTGGTAGATAAAAACTTGGTGATAGATTCAGCGGTGTGGTGAAGGACGGGATTGAAAGTCAGGGCTGGAGGCTTCTAATTGTCAAGGTTGGGATATGTTTCGACATCTCTTGTAACCCCAAGGCTGGACTAGGGCACTGCGGCGGGGGTTCATAGTAAAAAAATAATGTATTTCGCTGCTATATCTGAAAGACATTATAGTGAAAATTATGCGTGGTATTGGGGAATCTGCGAGATGGGAGTACGCGATAGATTTGGCTGCGGGGGGGATGATCCTGGGGCTATTGCTAGCCTGATGCCGTTGATTTTGTCACTGTTATAGGTGTTCGCGCGGCGTGGTCGGACTTGGCGATGAAAGTCTCGGTGGAAATCTAAAATCGATTACAAAGGAAAGAGGTGATGGAGTTGGTTAGGTGAGATGGCCTAACAACAATAAATGATCCGCGACGGTCCCGGATAGACAGTAAACATTAATGTGGATTGATTTGCATGGTGGATGTGCATCTCTACTGCACGATCAGTTAAATTTGCTGCAGGTACCCTTGGATGAATGCCGTACGGACGTATGTTTCCCTCTCTCAGGCTAATTCCGTGCTCCCGGGAATCGTAGCCGGCTAAGGCTTGTCTGTGATGCTCTTTCCAGGGCATGATACAGGGCGGGAGTACTTCCTCTACGATACTACACCCATGGTCAGTACTATGGATGGAAATTTGAATCGAAGCAGTGCTCCCACTACCCGCCCCCTCTCCGCTCCCCGCCAATCCACCCACGATCCCTATACCGCCGGCAGAACAAGCCATCGTACTTACTGTCGTGCGGTCAGCAAGTCTTTGAACCATGAGGAATGGCACGCCAAACAAAGGATTTTTGCCTATTGCCACTGAAAAGGGGCAGCCAAAGCCCATATCATATCCCACAGCTCTCGCGGGAGCTGGGCAAACGTGGCCGGCATCTTGTAAGCAGGGTGGTGCGACCGAGACACGAGGGTGAGGTGCTAAGCCAGATTTATTAGATATACATCGGGCAGTTGGTTAGCCTATCTAGGATGAGATTCGCATGTCGTCACGTGGATGAGCAGTGGCCTCGAGGCACCATGGGCAGGCTGCTCCATCAAGGCAGGGGATGTGATATTAGGTCACAGCACAACAGGAGAATGCAGCGTCGATGCCGAGGCTGACAAGCCATGCATGTTAGGCAGTTTACTAAGTAACTGTCTGTTTGTTGCACTGTCTACAAAGTATACGACTCCGCGCCTTCGCCAAAAAGCAGATGCGGCTTCCGCTTCGCAAGATCCAGGATCGTCTGCGCGAAGACCGAGTTCGCCCACGCGAACCAGCTTCCTGTGAATCGTTAGCAGATCCCCTTGAACATCTCTCCGAGACAACTTACGCGTATAATCACTCCAAATATTCACGTTGATGCTCTCATGAATCAGCCCGTTCCTGCTAACGTTCTTCACGCTCCCTAGACAAGTCATGATCTCGTCGTCGCTCTCGCTCGTCATGGCCTGCACAAGCACGCTCATCGGCCACGCGTGCTGATACCCAATGTGCGGGCCGCCAATACCGTTGAAGTCCTCGCCGGTAAGGTAGTACGGGTTCCCCTTCTTTTGCAAGATCATCTTCCTTGTATTTTGGTAGATATCGTTCTTAGCGTCGGTGAAACCGAGAAGCGGCAGAGCCAGCAGCGAAGGCAAATTCGCGTCGTCCATGATAATCGATGACCCGAAGCCGTCCACTTCAAAGGCGAAGATGCGTCCAAACGTCTTGTGCTGCACAACCCCGTGCTCCCAGACGCCGTCCTCGATCTTCTGGCCCCACTCTTGCATCTTCTTTGCCAGATCCTTCTTGCCGGCCTTGCGGAGCAAGACGGCGGTACGCTTGAGCTCTACGCTGATCATGGCATTGGCCGGGATGAAGAAGCCAAGGATGGTCGCGTCGTCGCTAGGACGGAAAGCGCTTCTGACGAGGCCAGTGCCAGCGGCGAGAGGGTTGCCAACGCCACCCAGGTTCAACGTTTCGGTTCCGGTGTTGGTTTGGCGCTGGAAAGTGTACTCGTTGCGGCGGAAACCACCCGTTTCTTCGTCGAATGTGGAGATGGACTGGTTCTCCAAAACCTCCAAAAGGGTCTCGAGCGCGAGCAGGAAACGTGCATTGACAAACTCTGTGGAGCCAGTGTTGTTGAAGAACTGGTTGGCGAGTGAGAGGAAGTGGGCCAGAGAGTCAAGTTCGTATTTGCATTCAAAAACAAACGAAGGCTCGTATACCGGGTGCACAGTGTCGCCGTCGCCCTGGAAGGTGGGGTTCAAGCCGCTTGGGGGCGGGGGTTGGAAGGCATTGCAGTAAGGCGATCCAATGACATACTCGGACTGGGTATTGATTGCGCCCAGGATGAGCTTGCGGATCTCCTTGTCTTTCTTTGCCAGTGACTGGTATTGGGCGAGCTGATTCGTGGAGTCGCGCAGCCACTCTGCGTTGATGTCGCCTGTCACGATGAAGCTCTGCGGGCCCTTCCAAGCAGCCGCGTCCCACGACTTCTTGCTCGGTTTGGGCTTGACTGTGCCGTCGGCATGCCACCGTACTGTTGTATCCAATGTGTTCGGGAATGCATTTTCGAATATCTTTGCAAGATCCTTGTCGATCAACTTCTCATTCATGTCCTCTATGACCTTTTCGACGAGCGGCGATTCGAAGGTGCGGCAGTACTTGGAAGGTCTTTGCGAGGGGAGCTCGAGCGGGCCCAAGCTATATGGAGGACTACAAGAGTCAGCATCAAGAAAGCCCCCATGGCATCGAACGCTTACTGCTGGCGCATCGCATAGTTCTTGTAGTCGGGACATGCTGCCTTGTACTTTAGAGGGTCGATGGGTGCTTTGAGTGGCTCTTGGACCTGTGCGTTGACACTAGCACAGGCCGACAACAAGCACAGAGACCACACTCTCAGATTCTTGCTCTTGTTCTGCGGCTTCATGTTGGATGCGTCGCTGGTGTTTCTGCCGGATGTGTCCAGTGCGTAGTATGAAATCCGCCGACGCAGAATGCTTGAGCAGGAACGGCAAGGACGGAGGGAGGACGATCAGGGTGGCAGGAGGATTGGCATTATCAGGGCGTGCTCTGCTGTGCTCTACTGGCGCATTGAACGGAAGCGTGCAGCGGAGGAGGAGCCGTCTCGAAGCGCACGCACCGCGGGCCCGATAGCGAGGGAGCGTCATGGCAGACCGACAACTGTCTTGTTGCTAGCCGCGGCCCGCCTTAAGCGCGCGTCTAGCGCATCGCCCACGCGACCCTGCAGTAGCTCTCGAACCTCTCAACCTCTCGCCTTTTGCACGCTCTTCTGGGTCTACCACGAATCTCCGTTCCCTGCCTTTTCTGCTAACCAACAGGTCACGTCGGCTCGTGCGCAACAATACTCATAGCATAGCCAAGCAAACAAAGACGCACGCACCTACAATGCCTGCTGCTGCCTCTTGACTTCCCCGCTGCTCGATATCAGAGCTTCTAGCATAACACCTACCTTGTTCTCTTACCTAGAGTGTAGCACAACACAATCTCTCTCCGAATTCCCCCAAAACACCACCATGATCGCCCTCCCTGGTCTCAACCTCGGCGCGCAAGCCCCGGAACCACTCAACGTCCCTACTACCTCCGCAACCCGCACCCAAGAGCTCTCCGCGAATACCGAATACCGCTTCGAAGTCAGCTTCGCGCGCTCCCTCGCCATAAAGCTCGTCACGGGCACCGCGGAGTACTTCGGCACCGAGCTCGCCCCTGCGACTACCTACAACTTCTCCGGCGCAAAGGGCGCCGTCTTCACATGGCACGGCTGCAAGCTCGAGATCGGCGGCGAGGCAGAGTCCGAATACGTTGCTGAAGAGACGCAGATGATGTCCGCCGCGAACGCGCATTTCGCACTTGAAGCGCTGCGCGAGCGCGCACACCAGACGCGCGACGCCGGCCCCAGAGTCCTCGTCGTCGGCCCTGAAAACGCGGGCAAAACGTCCCTCGTCAAGACGCTCACCGCCTACGCCGTCAAGAGCGGCCAGCAGCCTATGGTTGTTAATCTCGACCCGCGGCAGGGCATGCTGTCCGTCCCCGGCTCCTTCACCGCGGCCGCTTTCTCCTCGATCCTCGACATTGAGGAGGGATGGGGTAGCAGCCCCATATCTGGCCCTTCTCCTACGCCCGTCAAGATGCCGCTCGTGTACCACTACGGGCTGCGGGATGCGGAAGAGGGCACGGTGTTTCGGCCGCTGGTCACGCGGATGGCGCTCGCGGTGACGAGTCGGCTGGAGGAGGACCCAGCGAGCAAGAGCGCAGGCTTCATAATTGATACGCCGGGTGCGGTGGCGCAGGGTCGCGCGGGCGTCTACGAGAACATAGAGCATATAATATCTGAGTTTTCTGGTGCGTGTGATGTGCTTGCTCCATGTCTTTCATACATATATTCCCTCTCTCCTTGTCATCGCCCCATGTTGCCATACCAACCTCCCATCCCATAGTCGCAGACTGACACAATTTAGTCACCACCATCCTCGTCCTCGGCTCCGAACGCCTCTACTCGGACCTCTCCCGCAAATACTCCAACTCAGCCGATGCCATCGCCGTAGTCCGCCTCGACAAATCCGGCGGCTGCGTCGACCGCAGCGACGCGTATATGAAGGCTCTCCGGTACGCTTTGCTCCCAGCCCATCCCTTCGGCCATCCCTCAGCAAAGCCACCCCACTAACCTAGATTCGCCCAGACATGCGCAAATCCGCGCGTACTTCTTCGGCAACAGCGAAGCCGGCCTCGCGCCGCACAGCCAGTCCGCAGGCTTCGACGAGCTGAGCATATTCAGGGTCAAGGAAGGTACGCTTATCCCCCTCGCCTCCCTTTCTCCAATCCAAGCAAAGTTTATATCTGTGGTGTGTATTGAAGAACGCCGTTGCCTCGTGCTAACGGGACTGTGCAGGATCCGACATGCAGTTCAACGACGGCGGAGATGCATATGGCGGTGCGGCGGAAGACACGATATACGAGCGCGTGACCCCGTCCTCCGAGATCGTGAACAAACTGCTCGCCATCACTACCGCGGCGCCTACGGATGGCCATGCAAGCATCAGAGATGCGAGTGTGCGGGGTTACTTGTATGTGGCGGAGGTGGACGAGGGGAAGAAGCGGGTGAAGCTGTTGGCGCCGCAGCCGGGGCAGGTGCCGAGTACGGCGGTCGTGTGCGGGCGGTGGCCCGAGGATGTGGCTAGTTTGGTTGGGTAGGGGAACAAATGAGGGAGGAGTGGAGGGGTGGAGGGGTGGATGAAGGATATATATATTGCGCGACTAGAGGGTATCTAGCGGTCTATGAAACACAGGACCACATAACGAATGAATCAACAAGCGTAGCTGCTACAAGGCTCACGCTGCCTCTGCAGCATCGAGCTCCTTCTCCACGCTGTCCAGCAGGTCCTTGAGGATGGACGTTGTGCTCCGCATCCCGCGAAGTGCGTTCTCGTCTGGTCCCTGTCCGGGCGCCCACGTCGCGTGCGCGAAGTCAATCATCTTGACCGCGGCCAACTGCGGCAGATCGTCCTCCTCGTCGCCCTCCTCTCCCGCCGGCGCACTCCTCAACCGCTCCTTGGCCCGCGCATACGCGTCCACATCGCCCTCATACACCAGCAGGATGCTCGCCGAGTACATCCTACTCTCCTTCTTCTCGAATGCTCTGATGATGTCTTTGGCTTCGCCCAGGAAGTACGCGAGTACCTCGCGCGCCCTCTCGAGCTCCTTGCCCTGCTTCCCCTGCCCATGGATATAATTCTCAAACCCCTCGTTGATATCTTCCGCCGCGAACTTGCGGCCGTACATCTTGTTGTACACCCAGTACCCCTTCTCGTAATCTGCCTCCACAAACTCTTTCAATCCCTCCGGCGTCCCCGGCACAGGCTCGCCCTTGTACACGCGCATGCCAGCGATCCGAAAACCGAGAGACCCAGACGTCGTCTCGGCGCTGACTTTGTCCAGCCGCGCGCGCTTCTCGGGTTTGGCTCCTTCGTCCCACAGCTGCGCACCCAGCTTGAGATCCAGCACGTTCGGCTTCGTGAAGCCGTGCGTGATATTTTCCAGCACAATGTGCAGCTCTGTATCCAGCTTTTTGCCGTGAAGCCGCTCGACGACGCCATCGGCTGTGACGATTGTGCCAGATTCTTCTATAGCTACAGGAGCGGAGCCGGACTGGTCAGACGACAGTGATAGCTGGCCCATGAAGGTGGGGAGGTGCGGCGCGAGATCTGGGTGTGAGGCGGAAATGGACTCATAAAAGGCGATTTCTGCGGCGGTGCATGGTTTGACTACGACAGCGCCTGAGAGGTCGGAGAGGACGCCGTCACTATGTATGATCAGTTCCCATGATGCGAAACATGGGCGAGGCGGGGCGCTTACTGGCCTGCTGCGGCGTTGCCGAAGGCTTGTAGGGTCGAAGGGTCGAAGGGCTTTTTGCTCATCTTGGAGGATCTGCGGGATGGGTTTGGGCGGTGGTAGGTTGTGAGAGTGATAGTATGGGTGAAGGTGTCATGTTGACGCCTGGTTGTTGGTCCGTAAGCTCAGCTGTTGACAAGACCCCGCGTTTCAGGGCCACAACAGGTGCTCGAATAACGCGGGACCCTGGGCTAGCTTCGACTGACTCGGGTCGGTGCCTGCATCTCACCATTTGGTCGTCTCAAATCTTCGACTTGTACTCACAGGAAGCTACCTCGGGCTTGTCCTAGATTTGCTCTAGAAAGGTCCTGTCTGCATACAACTACCGGCTTGATGCATTTGTCAAGCCATTGAAAAACAGCTTGGTCCTCGATACGCGCTAAAGTCCATGACATCACCCCACCTGTTCGCTGAGGAACTTTGTAGAATCTCCCGCCTCTGAGATATACATAGAATGTCACGTTAAACTCCCAGGACCCTATATCTCCTGACCTTCCGCCCGAGAACGCCCTTCTCTCTCCCTATGCTGTTGTGTCGCACACCCCGCTTCATCGACTCATTCCGCCGGGCAGCCATCTCTACAACTCACCGCACATCCTTGCTTACCTTCTGCCCTCTACACCACAAAATGCTCCACTCCGCCGCCCCTTCAAACAAACGCATCTTCGCGCCCACTGGCGGCTCCACCGACCCAGGCCACGCCGTCCAGTACAAAGCCGGCGCCCTCAACATCTCCGACCTCGCCCCGACCCCCACCGCGCAATTCCACGCCTGGTTCAATGAAGCCCTCGCCGCAGGTGTCTACCAGCCCGAAACTGTGACCCTCGCGACCTGCAGCCTGCCCGACGGCAAGCCCTCGGCCCGCACGGTCTTCATGAAGGAGCTCGACGACCGCGGCTTCGTGGTGTACACCAACATGGGCACGAGTCGGAAAGCCGCCGACATGGCGAGTAATCCGCAGGCAGCGCTGACATTCTGGTGGCGCGAGATGGAAAGGCAGGTCCGGGTGGAGGGGCGAACCGAGCGGCTTACTTCCGAGGAGTCGCAGGTATATTACGACACTAGAATCCGGGGAAGCAGGATTGGGGCGTGGGCGAGTCCGCAGAGCCAGGTGCTGGAGGGGAGGGAGGAGTTGGAACGGAGGGTTGAGGAGGTGGAGAAGAGGTTTGATGGCCAGGAAAAGATTCCCGTGCCAGAGTTTTGGGGCGGCGTGAGGGTTGTGCCGGAGGTTGTGGAGTTTTGGCAGGGGAGAGAAAGTCGGCTGCATGATCGGTTGAGGTACAGGAGGGAGGGGGAGGAGTGGGTTGTGGAGAGGTTGAGTCCGTAGTGGAGACTGTAGTTATGACATTCCACTGTGCAGCCGGTGTTGAGTTACTTACCAAGCGGTGTTCTTCGGCGTGATGATAATAGGGCGCGTTTTTTTTTTATGTTTTGCCATTGTCGATTTGCCATTTTCTATCCGACATGACATTAAGGCGCGTTGTCACGTGCACAAATCTATAATACACCCCACTCGCCTGCTTCAAGTCAACTGAGGGTACATACATCATATCAGAACACCTTCAAGCTATTATTCTACAAGATGTGTCCACCCGAGGCCCTCAAATCCCTCAAATCCTCGACTACCTCACCGTCCAGCATTCCTGCTATAGTCCCGCCCACCACGCTCAGCCAATCTGCCTATTCGCACGCCGCCTCCCTCCTCCATCACTCCATTCTAAACCACAGCATCCGCCTCTACATCTACACCAAGACCCTCGCCGCAGCCGAAAACTCCGTCTACCATACCGACCCCGCCAAACACGACCAGCTCTTCGTTGCCTGCCTGTTCCACGACATCGGCACCACTGAGACATACAACGGACCGCAGCGATTCGAGGTCGAAGGCGCCGATGCCGCCGTCGCGCATCTGTCCAAATTTGGCGTGAGTGAGGAGGATAAGTTGCAGGTATGGTACGCGATTGCGCTGCATACGTGTAAGGGGATTGTGCAGCGAATGGGTGAGCTGCCTGCGCTGATGAGGAGGGCGTTGGATGTCGAGTTTAGCGTTGGGGTCTGGCAGGATGAGGAGGGTATTGAAGATGTTGCAGAGTTCAGGGCGAAATTAGAGAAGACGTATCCTAGGATGGATATTGAGAAAGTTTTGGGAGATGCGGTGGCACTACAGGCGGTTGGGAGGCCGGAGAAGGCGCCGAGTGCGACGTGGCCTGGGGGCTTGTATAGGGCACATTTGGAGGATCCAGATTGGAAGGGTGTGAGCAAAGCTTTTTGAGTTTGGAACCAGATGTGAGACTGGCCGGGCTGGTTGCCGATGTGATAGTCCTGTCCAAATGTTCCACGCCGGTCTGATGATACTCTTCGTAGTCTCTGCGTCTTAACCCTAGGTGTGCATGTTGCCCAAGAAGATACAGGTATACGCAAACACTTAGCCACCGTCGCTCCTCTCCAAGAAGCTGGGGTCGTGCTCGATCTTGTTCTCAAATTTGGTCCACCACGCCTGGAAAGCCTTCAACGGCACCGTGTCCCCGCTGCCCCAGCTCGTAAGGAAGTCGTAGCAGTTTTTGATGATGCGCTGGGCCAGGACCTTGGTTGTGACGGGATTCTGCCTCAGTACCATCTCGGTGCCCGCGTTTGGATTTGTCGAACCCTGAGCCTTCTGCTGCTCCAGGTTCGCGGCAACCTGCATTGCAGGCTCCACCGAGATGCCGAGGGCGAGTGGAGGCACCGCAGCGCCATTCAGAGGCACACTTGCGTCGACCATAGCATCCTCGTTGCCAACGCCGCCTCCAGCTGGCCCGCCGGCTCTGTTGTTGACCTTGAATATGGCGCTCGGTTTCTCGTTCGCGATCGCGCCTAGGAGCTTGAACTCGGACGTGTAGGGCAACTGCGCGTATACCGCTGCGGCCGTTCCATCGGGCAATGTCGTTCCTGGGAGGAGAAACACCACGATGTGCGAGAAGGTAGGTACGGAGGGGATCTGAAAGGCGAATTGGGTCTCGGAGACAGCTTGCGCGTCGGTGAGGACCGGACGGCCTGAGACGATGACGCCGAACATTGCTGTGCTGGCAATCGAGATTAGTGCAGACGGTGAGTGCGTGTGTGATCAGTGCAGTGCCGTCTTCATTGCGAGGCTTTGTGGGTTGCTATGGGTCGAGCAAAAGTTCGAGGGCTTTCCCGCAGCTTCCCCCCGCTTCTGCGTCATAGCGTGGACCCCACCTTTCCTCCTCCACCACCTAGCATGCATCAATACATCAACTACACAGTGGAACAAAGACATATCACCACAAGCGGGAGCTTCGGACTAGCTAAACTCCGAATGGCTCAGACGCTGAGTCGGGAAGGTGCAACAGACATGATCCAATGGACACAAACGCGAATTGCTGCGTTGCTTTCAATAATCATCAATGCTTCTCTAACTATAAACGTTGAATCCGGATGAGGACCCAGGCTGTTATTTCTATCACCCACGAACATGTACTTACTATACGGTCTCGTCTACGATCGAAGAGGCGAGCCGCCTAACCAAGCACTTATGCTACAGGATCGAATACTCGAAACGTTCGCCCTGATTTAAGTCCGTGGATTACCACCAGATCCTGCGCGGTAGAATGCCTGTTTTTTCGTCCTGGAAGTTTTTCTATTGGTGCACGAACGACGAGCGGCTACACAAACTGCATACCAATACGCAATCTATGACTATTCAGCACGTGCATTGTTGACACACGTCTTCCATTCCATCTCTCTCGCCAATCACCTTTGACGGCTGGTTGCCCATCGCCTTTCAGATGCCTCTCGAGAGAACCTCCCAAGGGTTGTTCGGTGAAGCTAACCATGGTAGTTCTGTACACGCACCGGTCTGCGATCACCGCATGGATTGAAGAATGCCTTCTGGTGTCACTTGTCAATGCTAAAACAATCTAGGGCAGCTACCTCCTAATGTTTCTGGGTGCGAGAGAGTGGGATAAAAGCCCAAGTCCCGGAGCATCAAGTGAACGGATTAGTGTTGACTGACTTGTCGGTGTCCGTGGTTCGACACCATGCTTTCTACCAATCTTTTAGTCTCGCTACTGCCTCTTGCGCAGCTGGCAAACGCTGATCGCTTAGAGCCAAGACAAGCCTTCGACCCCTTTCACTCTTGCTCTGATTGCTTTCGAAGTTCTTGGACACAGGGCCCGGAATGCAGGACCAATACGAACTTGCTGTCAACAATCAGTCGTATACTGAACCCGTGAGTATCCCAACATCGATGTTGAAGCGTGTGCTCAGTTCGTCCAGACCAGCGGTAGCTACTCCTACGTATGCGCCCTCACAGTGGTGCTCAGACTACCTCCGTCAGACAGACCTAGTAACTTTCAAGGTCAACGTCACAGCCATATCGACATCTACTAGCGTCGAGTTCCATCAGCCGATTGTCACTAAGACCGATCTGAGGTAAATTGGTATCAACCGAATAATGATTCGATCTAATATAGATTTAGCCACCCGACCCTGACAGCATTATGTCCTGTACCTTCAGCCGGGATGGAGTGCGGTTGGGACACCAACACTATCAGCCCAGCTGACCAAGCTCTAGACGGATCTGTTTTGAATGAAGGCATAGACAGTGCAGAGGAGTGCCACCAAGCATGTCTCCTACGTCCGGCTTGCAAAGCTTATCGCTGGGATGGAAAAATTGGCAACCCTTGCGCCATCTTCAACGTCGGAATCGGCCCTAACGCGGCCAACTTGATAAATCCGACACCAGGTGGAACCCAATGGTATGATCGTAACTGCCCGGTCGATCTTCCTGCCGGTTGTACGTTGGGCCGGTACCCTTACAGCAACGCAACCGCAATATCTCCACCGGTCATTGCTTCCGCAGTCCCGCCAGCCCTACTCATCCTCACACCGCCTCCAATTGCCACCCCCGGAGTTGTTGTCGGTGTGCTGCCTCCACCCAGGGTACCTCCTGTGGCGGTGCAAGGTCTACCTCCGCCAAAACTTCCACTACCGGTTGTACCAAGCCCTCCAAACCCACCACCACTGGATGTTCCACATCCACCAAGCCTGCTAACACCAGTCGTACCAAGCACTCCAAGCCTTCCTTCCCCTTCTGGTCTGCCTAATCCCCCCAGGCCTCTTACACAACCCGCTCTACCAGAGATCCCGACCGGACCCAATCGGCCCAATCTACCAGGTCCTCCAAGCCCACCGATTCCGCCAAGTCTACCTATTCCACCCCGTCCTCCGATCCAGCTCCAATCACCAGATAGACCGCTTGCACGTAGACAAGGCAAACTCGCAGGTCCTCCTATTCCACCCCGGCCCACTTCACCACATGTGCAAGAGCCGACTCCACATCCCCCATTCGAATCGTTCACAAACTCCCTACTCGGATCATTGCCACATACCCCGGTTGTACCAAGTCCGCACCCCCCATTAGGGAAAGCTCCATCTCCTCCAAAGGCTAATGGCTCTGTGCCTCCAGTCGCTAAAGGTCTGATTCCGCCAGTTTCGAAAGGTCCAGCCCCCCCAGTTGCAAATGGTTCAATACATGCGGTTGCGAAAAGTCCAGTTCCTCCTGTCGTGAAAGGCCCGGTCTCTGTAGCAGGTCAAGGTCCAATTCCGCCAGTTGCGAAAGGTCTAGCCCCCTCAATTACGAACGTTTCAATACATCCAGTTACGAAAGCTTCAATACATCCAGTTCCTCCTGTCGCGAAAGGCCCGGTCTCTCTAGCAGGGAAAGGTTCAGTTCCGCCAGTTGCGAAAGGTCTAACGCCCCCAATTACGAACATCTCAATACATCCAGTTACGAAAGCTTCAATACATCCAGTCGCGAAAAGTCCAGTTCCTCCTGTCGCGAAAGGCCAGGTCTCTTTAGCAGGTCCAATCCGGCCAGTTGCGAAAGGTCTAGCCTCCCTAGTTGCGAAAGGTTCAGCCTCCCTAGTTGAGAAAGGTCCATTCTCTCCAGTTTCGAAAATTTCAGTTCCTCCTGGCGCGAAAGGTTCAATCCTACCGGTGGCTAAACGTCCTAATCCCCCATCATACCGACCACCATCCATCCAAAAGTCGCCAGTTCACCCCATCCTACCACCAAACGCCGCATCCCGACCCACTCCCCATGCCCTCGCGAAGCGCAGCACCCCCTTCCCACCATACTTCGCCGACCTGAACTACATCTGGTCGAGTGTTTGGGTTACTCCTGCGTGCAGCTGCATCATCAGTTCTGCACTTCCGCCAGTGCCTAGTAGCACTACCAGTACGATCACGAGGCACAATGCGACCGTAGTAAGTTTGGTTGTTAATATGAGGGAGGGATGTGCTAATGCAAAGCAGATTTTGACGACAACAACTGTGGATCCGTTCATTGTGACGGTTACGCCGAGGGAGGTCACGGTGTATGTTAGTGTTGTTTAGGGGAGTGAAAATTCTAAGGGCCAAAGGAGTTCAGATTGAAGTGAAATGTGGGGAGGAACATGAGCTATGGCAACGTTACTGTCATGGATATGCGCAATGAATACACACTTGATTATGGCAAACTTCTCGATGGCTGGTCTACCAAATATTGCAAGAGGTGTGAAAGCCCCGTCGCAAATTCAAGATCAGTCCTTATCCATGCTGTCTCTCATTCGGATCTCTTTGTGCCACCATAGAACTTTTTTCTTTCTCTCCCAGCAATACCACGGCCTTGTCTTGTTGATACATTATCTTCTGCTCATTCTAGGGCATTGTACGCCATCATAATGTTTTCAGTGACCTAAATACTCTTCGAATCCACTGAGATTTTTCCTTCTAAAGGGTGTTTTACTCTCGGATACAAGACTTGATCATAGTCATTTTAGAGCATGGGACAGTCGACATCCACTCCTGTCGCACCACGGTCATGGACCACGGTCGCGAAGAAGCAGCGCCGGGGTAATCTCCGTGATGCTGACTTGAAGCGGATGGAAGACGCCTACATTAATGCGTTCAATCTCGAAGATAGGAACGAAGCACTGCATTACTTGAACCAAGAACAAATTCAGCCTTCCAAAGCAGTCCCAAACTATCCTCCAGTCGACAGCATGCTCGACGATAACGATTTCTTCTGGACTCAACTGGCAGCGCCTTCCGAGCACCTTGCAACAGACCAAGATTCTCTCCACCCCATCTTCCACTTCAGGAACTTCGACACTAGCCTCCTCGGCGAAGCTAAATCGCGGCAAGCCTGGCAGGAAATGGGTCCAGCCCTATCTCTCGCCTCCAAATGGCTTTCAGCCCCCGAAGCACGAAAGAACTTCTGGCACCGCCTCCTCTTCGGCATCCCTACCACCGACCCGAAAACAGGTAAGCTCTACCTCGCCCCCTCTCCCCTCGAGTCCGACTCCTCCGCCGCTAGCGAGACTTTTGGCATAGATCTCTCCTGCCTAGCGGGGAATGTGAGGTTTTACTGGATCCCCAGCGCCACGCCGTGCGGTAAGAACAGCGTCTCCCAAGGCGTATGCGTGTGGGACCTCAAGTCCGTCCTCAATCGCTACGATCCAGCTTTCAGCAAAGACCTCTGGGCCCGCAGTAATAACACAGCGCGTAAGTACTTGGAGGCTTATAGCCCCCGCATCGGCCTCTCCACGATCTTCCTATACCACCTCCTGCGCCCCGCCCTGCGAAGTGTGGATCGCTGCGCTGACATGCGGTACCAGCTCGCCATCGCGAAGACGCTGTGCCACGAGCTGTGCCACGCACTCTACCGGAGTCGGGGCATCGGCCTTGAGCTTGAGCCGCACGTCTTTCTTCAGGACGAAGTGCCCGAGGTAGGTCTGAGCTGGGACTTCTTCCTCTCCGGGGCGCGCTTCGAATTGAAGAGCGGGAAGGACTATATCGGACGGCTGGACGCGCGGACGTGGCAATACATGCTGAGTTATCCATGCATTGGGGTACCGGTGCCGATGGAGTGGGTGGAGCTGTGGTTCCGCAAATCGACCTGGACTGCCGGGCGCGAAGACTTTAGAACGAGGCATTTGTGGGGGATGTGCCCGCAGGCGGTTGGGGTTCCCGGGCCGGTACTGTTTGTTGCGCATCGATATGCGCCTAGTAAAGTTTCTGGAGAGCCGGGGTTGTTCAAAGAGGTTTTGTATGTTAACAGGGAAGTGGAAGCGCCTTTTCAGGCGAGAGGAAAGGTTGATGGGCCCCCACCTGGGGCGGCGTTACAAGACTGGTATGCGAAGGTCAGTACACGGGAGATTGAAAAGGCGAAGGCGGAAGGGTTCGATGTGAAGGGGCTTTCTGGGGCTTGGGGTGGGTACGAGCAGTCACTGAAGCGCTAAGCTTGCTATATTCATCGAGTGCACGTTACCTATGGTAGCCATTCAAGAATCTGAAGCTTTGCGATACTGTTGATTTCTAGGGACTTGGAGTGCAAATGTCAACATTCATACTAACGTCCCTCACTGCGTAGCGAGACACACTGTGTGGCGAGACAAACGAGGGGTACTTTGACTTTCAGCAACCAGAAAGCTCATGCGCATAACGACAATTGCCATAATTCTATGAAAATAATCTGCTGCAGCCAATCCTGAATCTCTATGATCCCTCCTACCTAAAAATTACGTTCGCATCGTCGCCTCCACGCGTGATTTGTGAAGCGCCTTCTTGCATGGCGTAACAGACTTCCCATCCTACAGCACCAACGCTAACTTACGTCTTTTTCGCTCCGAAATTTCGTAAAACGGCCTTGTGCTAGCCTTAGGACCTTACTCTGATGCTCGGAAGTTATTATCAGCCTTGTGCGCGCTATCGCGGGCAAATTCATGCAGGGCCGCCACGCCGATCGGTACCTTCGGCGGAGCGAGTACCGATCCTGGCTCGTGTAGAACGACCCTGCACGTTCCACCCCATCGTTAGGGTGTAATGTATCTGTGACGACAGCAGACACGTGGCTGTGCAGCGCCGCTGCGAAGCGCTGCGGGGCATCTAAAATTCGACTTTGGATTGGGAGCAGGGTTGGCGTTCTAGGGCCCTAGTGCTTGTTCAAATTTACTATGGTAACGAACGCAACTAGCCTCCGACACAGCCGTTGTACAACATCGAGCTGTGATCCGATAGCTGACTACGTTTACTTCGGTGGCTTCCGCAACATCTATCACGCCGCCCTCAAGCCCTGTAGACTCGTCGTTGACCCCTCCGTTGACCCTCCACCGACCGGGTAAGAGACACGCTCCAGCCCTCTCACTTCCTTGTGCTTCCCGAGCACACCATGACCGAGACACATACCGAGCGGCAGCCAGATTCCTAGGATAGAGTGGTTGGGCGTCAAACATAGCGGGCATGGCAGTGGACGACAGATTGGCATTGCAGGTTAGGGAATACCAAGATCGAAGCCTACGCTTCGGCAAGCGGATTGAGTGTCACTGGCAGAAAGCCGTGGTTTCAAGGACATACGAAGGTGGAATGGCGTTGGATATCTTGGTAATACAGCTGTCGCACGGTATACAACGAACGGCTCCTTTCCTGTTGCATGGCTTTGAAGTGATTGCAACGCGCAATCGTTGTCAGATGCTGAGAACCGAGCTTCTGGCTGTAGCTGTTGAATGCTCTCTGGTAAAGCTGTGACGCCTCCTCGTACCGCCTACGCTTGTGCAAAAGATAAGCAAGGCAGTAGACAGAAGTCAGCGTACCAAGGTGCTGCACACCTAGCTCCTTCTCCGCCCCTTCCAGCGCTTGCCGGTTCAGCGTCTCAGCCTGTGGCTGCGCGTTATATTACCTCTTCTAGCGAATGTCCCGGCCTCGGTCGATGGCGCGAGAGACGGTTGCAAGCGAAGACGGGGCAAGCACACCAGCACAGCGCTGTACCTTCCTCATCAGCTTTGCCCTCCGCATAGTGCCTTCCAATACCCACAACGACCATTAACCCTACCTTCGCAGAACCTCGACGATGTGCGACATCTATCCGGTACTAGCCTGCGACTGATGAACGACGGTGAGCATAGCGGTGTGCATGACGATGGCGGCAACGGCCACTAGAAGACATGACAAGTCAAACCGACAGGGCGCACAATAACGGCAGACATGCAATGGAGGGTACAACGGCGGGCAAAACAGTGGCAGCAACGGCCGTCGCAAGGCCCGACAAGCACACCAAAGGGGCAAAAAAAGCCGGCGGCTATCTCTATTTAGTTGCGACCATTGCGCCAAAGTGCACTACGAAGCATATCAACGAGCATGACGATTGTCTCACACTATTGTGATGATGGAAGAAAGAGTACCCATTGCTAGTTGAGAGTATACAGGAGAAGCGTTAGGACGAGCTCTAGTCATTCACCTGGAACCTCGCGCTCCCCAGTTCTTTCCACACCATGCATCTCCGAACTAAACTTGCAAGACGGCTTACAAACATTACAAGAGTGGCCGTAAAAGCACCACACGGATCTGCACCGAAGCCCTTCATCGCAGGGCTGGATTCGCATGAACCATTTCAGCAAGGAAATATCAGCGTTGTCGAAGCCATCATGCCAGAATTGGCATTTTGACGCCATCATAGGGCAGCCACTGCCAAGGTAATGAAGATTGCAAGGCCCACGCTTGCCTGTCGCTTCGAGCTCTCTCTTCTTGACGTGGAAGTTCGTAAAGGCGGCCTGGGGTGGCTTCTTCAAGAACCTGTCCAGCCTTTCGCCCTTTGCGTTTACCAATATAACGCTGCGATTGTTTGTGTTGACGGGCGAAGGGGGTGTAGGTTCGACGGTAGAGCCATCGGAAGCACCTGCGCGGGCCGCATAGGACAGCGCTGGGCCGGTAAATGTTATTCCGTTCCTTAAGCCATTCCCGGGGGCCGGCTGGGCTGCGTGCAATGGGGTCGAGGCGGAGAAAGCCCGTGTTCTAAACAATGATGGAAGACGTATAGATTTGAACGGAAGATCGCCGTACTGCCAGCCGGTCTGGAAGGACTTGAGCAGCGTGACGCGATCACGTAAGGAGCCCTCGGATCTTATGACGTCGAGTTGGCAGACATAGCCGTTGTCGTGGCAACTTCCAAGCACAATGTGCTTGCAGCAAGGATTCTCTTGGAAGTGCTGTAGCACTCCTGTGCCACGTTTAGCACCCCCGCACATTCAACGGGACAGGAGTCTTCTTACCTTTAATCTGATGATCGGCTCGATCATCACCGTCACCAACATCAATAAACTCACTTAGCCCACCAGTCTGACAAAACCCGCGGCAAAAGTCGCGTAACCGATTCGAAGCCTCGTACATCCCACATCGCGACATCACATCCCCGAGCTTATCGACATTGGCGTAGAGCTTGAGAAGAAAAGGCAGCTCGGCGACGGCCGGCGACTCTTTGCGAAGCTCCCGCTGCAGCTCTGACTTCAATGCAAGAGCAGCTTCGCGGCCGCCATCGGTGCCTCGAAGAAGGTATTTATCCTCGAACTAATTTATGGGGGTTAAGTCAGACATGTTCGCTCACGTGTAGATGAGAGCATACCACGTAACTGTCAGTATCTGCATCAATCAATACCAGAACAAAAGCGCTCCGGTTCTAAAGCTAATGTAAGCGCCTGTTGGTCACTAATGCAGCGCGCGACTCACTACGGAGCGCTGAAGCTCTTCAAACTTAGATTTGAGCTGTTCATTTTCCCGTCCTAACGCAAAATTGAGGATGCTCTGATTATTAACGTCGGTGACTGAATCCTTGAGCTTGTCCACAGTATTGCAGTATGCCCTAAGCAATTCCTTTGCACTAGTTAGAGACTGACAGCTGATGAGAGGAATGTAAGACAGTACCTGCAACCACTTAACCCGAGATTCGTCCTGCTTCTGGATTGTCTCCAAGTGCTGTTGAACCACTTCCACCTCCATTTCTACCGATTGCCAAACGTTGAACTGCCGGGAGGAATAAGACAATACCAATACTGCTACCTCAGTTTGAGGAAAAGAATGGCCGCGCATCGACGTTCGCGCTTCTACTCTCAAATATCCATGGTTCAAATGCAGACAGCAGTGGGCTGTGTGGGATGCATGTCGACGAAAGCAGACGCAAGGCTGCAGTACCGAGAGACGGGTTACCAGTAGGGTTGGCTTGAACAAGTGAGGCGACACGCACCATATTTCGGCGCTAAAAGTGGATCAACGATTCGTTCATAAGCCTGAGAATAATTTATGATGCAGGAGCAGTACCGAAACGAAGGAGAGCGGGACGGGAACCATGATGAACGACGCGTCAATGGTCCTTCAGGCGGCACCTTGTGACGCATCTTTGCCTCCCCGAATGGTGGGCAAAAGGGGCCACAACATCATAGCAAGTCACGTGGTATGAATTCCTCCATTGCACAAAGTTTGTGGGATGTGACTACCTAGTTTGTAGTCCAATAGCGGAACGGGATATTCTCGTAGTGCATGTACGCCTGGTAACACGGTTACAAAAGCGATAAAGCACGGATTCTTTTCATCGCCTCAGCTGTGTGTACAAACTCACGTTCACGAAGACATAAGCGAGCAGAAGACAACAATCTGATGGGCCTTTGCAGCAACTATTTCGTACCAGACCCCCTTGACTCATTACGACTCTACAATGGCGAGTGACAGTAAAGCCTCCTCCCCTATCCTCCCATACCCGTCCAATTCCAGTGCCAGTTATGCGTCTGGCAACATTAGCAGATTATAGGTTTCATCCTTGTATGATGACCAAGAGCAGGCGGTCAGACGGACTCTTCTACAAGCGTTCGCTGATCTAGGCACGGCGAAGTTAATGGATAAGATAGCCAGCTCATGAAAAGAGAAGCGAAAGAGTGGCCGCCGGTAAGACTCATGCGCCGACTTATTTACAGGACTCTATTGACCTTCAACGTAGTGGTGCCGGTACGATGCTGGCTCAACAGTCAAACAAAGAGGATCGTATTCTAAACGGAGGGTAGTGCATCTTATGCAAGTTAGACACAACGGTCACTAATTGGGGGTTACTGTACTGTTGAGCTGAAGGGACGAGCGAGAGGAAGAAAGGAAACGAAGACGTTTCCGCGGATGGCGGTGAATTTGATAGTCATCCGTTATACACACTGAGCTAGGAGAGATGCCTACCTTTGCGTGCCGTATGCGCTTGCAACGACGGCGTTTCGCTATCAATGCTCGGTTGAACCCACTTGCCAAAGCGCAGGATTCGATTTTCAGGGGTCGCCGCACTCCATCTTAACTCTCATCCCTTCCTATCACATCGTATTCCCCTTCAACGAGCTAAGACTAGCTCTTGGCTGCTGCTTGGTCTAGGAATCGGCGCTGGTGGACTCAAGAAGCATGAGGACGTGGTAGGCTTGATAAGGTCTTTCGTTCGGTCAGCGGAGAGAACAACAGCGCGGGTTTCGGAGCTTGAGGGCACCGTCATGGTATCTCTCTACGTTACAAAGTGGGTATCGCTGTGCGTTGGACTGCATCACTAAGTGTGTGGGATCGCTGTGCCGAAGCTAGTTTCAACGCTAGTTCCGGTCTCTGATAAACGTCAATTGCCTCCACGAAAAGAACTCCAGGATTTTGTACCACTTCTCAAAAGTCAACTGTCCGCCCTCAGGTATCGATAAGTCGTCCCGAGGGTTTGGAAAGCCGGCGCTGGCGGGGCCTTTCCATACCTGCGTACTGCCTTCTAAGAACCAGGAACTGCGGCACTCTAGAAACAGACCATAGTCCGTCCAGTGCATGATCCGCTGAGATAGTATCAACTCTTGCATGTACCATCCACGTTGCATTAATGGTAGCAGTCTGAGTACATTACCCAACACGCGGTGATCGTCACCTGCCGTACTGAATATCGCCGACGCAGATTCAGTCCCACGGGTCTTTGTGACCTCCAAAGTGATTGGTCGTATAGGGTACCTTGCGTTGAACCTCTCCTGGAGAAACCCTTCGACGCTGTCACTAGCAGATGATGCGGATATGCAACATGCTGCATTGGTATAATACTCCCTCATTTTTGTCGCCTCCTCCTTGAATTCGCCGGGATCGTTTTTGGACGATTGTACGATACATACTGCATCAACCCACAGAATTGTGAAACCCATGACCTTTATTAAACGGATTGCGTGTTAAACAGTGGGTGGTAAACTTGTCAATTCGAAACCTCGGCGGCATTTTTCGACGTTATCTTTCGTCGTACAGGCAGCACTGTTGCCCTTTCCCCAGCAGTGACTAAGGATCAGGTATCGTAGCTTGGCCAGATCTGTGTTTTCATACATCTCCACGAGCCTGACTCGACCGTTGTCGTAGTCCGTGACATCAATAAGTCGTCTTGGAGATATTCTTTCCCCACGTAGTGGGCCGCAGCTCTCATGGTCTTTTTGTCGATCGCAACAAGCCGTCATCCAAGGCTGGATTTGCTTTTCGACTATATAGGTTAGATCTTTCACAGGTGTTTCTTCCGAAAATGCTACGCATTTCAGCCTTAGCATAGTACATCTTGCTCAATGTTGTGGAGGGGTAGGATCTCTTACATCTGACTTCACGAGATCCTTCCAGGTCAGACGATTCCAAACCGTCGTGCGGAAGTAGCCTGAACTCAATCCTAGCCCATCCTGGTCGGTATGTGTTCTACTTCCGTACAGCTATTTTAAAATTCACAACATCTTCTGACGCGGCCAAATCGAACTACAATGCTCCAACAGAAGCTTCTAGGCCATACTTCATCACCTTGTTGGTCGTCAATATCCTCACCCAAAGCAATTGGCACAGGGGACAACGCTGTCAGCAGATTCTTCTAGCTGCCTGAACGTTTTGTAGTGCGGTATTGGTTCTGGTAACTTGTAACGATATCGAATTGGCCATTGAATTGCCTTGCAGAAGTCACATAATTGAGCTGAGGGATATATAAGTCGGGACGAGACCATTGAAGAGGGTTCGAGGGTTGGTGCATCCAAGGACATGGCGAATAAGACGACAAGAGACCTCCTGGCTGAATACCTGTTATATAGAGTGTTGTCATCATCCATGCAGCTTCTACGCTGCTGAGTCGGTTACAGCATGGCCAATATTACCTAAAAAGTCACCCTCTTTGCTATGTCTTCCCGTCGAACCACTCACGACCCATGAACGGGGATCCCGATTATTCGATATCCCCACGCCTGCATGCACAGTCAAGGGTACGTGGCACTACGGATATGGGAACGGTTCAAAGAGCCGTGAATTCGGGGCAATATTACCTTCCTTTCTCTCGTCTAGCATCATTATGTTAGGCTACAGGCTTGCTTAGTGTTGCGATACCACAAGGATCACCGCATAGGCATGTGAGAGCAAGCCTGACAGCTCTAGAAATACACGACACAGCCTATGGCAGGGTTAATTGGTTGAAGATAGGTCAAGGGCGCTTCCTTGCATACATGGGGAATCTGCGCGCATTAGTAAGATATGATACCATGAGGGGTCAACTCGCCCGCTATTGGCGAGGTCCGTTTACGCATTTGCAGCACCACCCGCCAGATGTGTAACCTTCTGAACTTCAAATGACACTATCTCCAAAGATCATCATACGCTTCAAATAAAACATCAGCCAATTCCGGAATTCAAGCTGTACGTCATCCAAGCGTGTAGAATTCACGGGGTCGCCAAGTCTTCCGGTGAGATAGACTGGGAACATCCCATGCATCTACTTCGCCATTCTTTTGGCTTGCTATTCGCGTAAGATAATCAGCAGTCTGATTATTACTGTAGGAAGTGCAGTAATTTGGATAGCTCAACATATCAAGGTACTTGCCACCACTCTGCTTTCAATCACTGCTTTTACGTATAGGATATATATTCCAGCGTTGTCCAGCGTTCTCATCAATTTTGACATCTTCTTTATCATAGACGTACATCTATGTCAACGTGGATGTGGGTATTGTAGTTAATCGACCAATCTGAAGATGACCTAAGAGTAGGTGTTACAGCTGCGCTGAATTGCTTTCATCCCTACAGCACTGAAATTAGGTGCTGCTTAGATCACGTCAACACAATCCAGAAACAAGGCCTTCTTGACAGTAACAAGGATGATAGGAAAGAGTTGTAAAACAAGGCGTTAATACCAATCATATGCTTAAATAGCGCAGCTCACAGCGCAGGACGAGGTACTCGAGTTTCCATGTCATAGCTTTGCTTACTACTCGTACACTACGACAGCATGCCTAGATAACACTTATCAAAGACCATCACATAAACAATTCGGATTTAACGCTAGAGCAATCAATCTCCACAGGCACCAGGGTTCACAAGTCATTGAACACGGCTTCGTATTCGCATTCAAAATCATATACGTAAGAAGGCGAGATCGGACACCTCACAGCGCGCCTCACATACTTCAGCTCAGTCACGATATGCTGCACATATACATTCGTGCATTGTGAGCCAGATACTTCATTCAAACCCTTTCGCAGGTCAGCGCACTCGTAGCATCAGGCAGCTGATTGGCTATTCAACGACGCAGTCACGATGTTTATCAACGCCTCAAAGGGAAGGGGTATATCAAGAAACAACCGTGAAACAACGCCTTCTCGCATTGAACGCCACTAGACGCAGTTGGGCCGAAGTTCGGAAAGATGCTCGCGTTGTTCGCCTACGCCTTCGAATGGGAGGTACGTCTATCCAACATTAGTTCCATCCCATAACTCATTCGTTCCCATTCGGCGCACTCATAGGAAGAGTGCGATAAGCATGCGGGGTCTGCGCGATCCGAAAGGGCAGCCCCTCGTATCGAGGCAGAGTGGCCATAGTCACGTTCAAATGGCATCGTCCGACAAGTCGTACCCGTTGCTCCTGGCGCGCTGGGTAGGTCGAGCACGCTTATGGGGAGAACCGGCAGAGTACGAATCCACCTTCGTTATGCGCTTCTTGCTTGATGCCTGAAACGTCTGTGCGCGTGGTGTGTTCAGACCCGACTCGTCATTTGTGGTCGAGTAGTCCGTCAGTGATGGCGTAGAGCCGCGCTCGTCCTCGGTCAGGGGTACTTGGAGGTAGGTGGAAGCCTTTGAAAGATCGGAATCCATGCGACGAGACTCCTGTGCCGCGTCTTGCTGTTGCTCAATACGCTGTTGCTCTTCCTCTTCCTCCTTGAACCACTCTTCATGCTGTTCCGCATAACTCTTCTCCATCTCTGTGATCCACTCCCTCTTTGCTTCATCTTCTTGCATGGAATTGACGCAGTCGGGGCACTTTATGTAGAATCCAGTCTGAGCGGACGGCTGATGCATCATCTCAAACTCGGGGAGGTTTTCGCCAATCAGTTCCAGGTTCTCTTCATCCCATTCTAGGCAGTCCTCGCAGAATCCGCGAGGGCACCATCGGCATCTATACACGAGACCACCAGCGTCGGTCGTGTTTTTGCCACAGTCGCAACAATAGTGTTGAGGGCAGAAGAATCCGGAGAATCCCTTGACCTTTTCTTGGTACTCTTCGTCAAGGCAATCGAAGTGGAAAACCCGAGGGCACGACTTGCATTCTACCATATGGCCGATCCCGGAGTCTTGGAAGCAAGCGAGACAGTAATCTTCGTGGACATACTCGTGACGCTTCTCACGCAGTAAGTCCGCAAGACGAGGATCTTTGCCAGCCATAGTGGGAACAGCCTCCCATTGAGCGCAGTCGAGGGACTCTTTGCTGACCTCGTAACCATCGACCATGACTGTCATCTTCTTGCGTTGGCGACGATCTTCGCGAATATTCGAAACGTCCGTTGCGCCCTTGAGTCCCGCCTTCTCCAGCTTTCGTTGATAACGCTTACCGTCGAATACGGCTGTTTCGACTCGCTCTATTACGGAGAGCCATTCCTGTTCATCGACTTCCATACTGTCGGCGCTAGTCTGGGGATCGGCAGGTTTGTCGCGGCATTTCTGCAACATAGTCTCCAAGTCCCAAGATAACATCTCGGTCACATCGATTTCGGGATGCGACAAAGTCTGTGCTCCGCGGCGAACAAGGGACTTGAGCTGAGAAGTGCTCATCTCTGGGGCATCGCCACCAACAAGCGAAGTGCCCCCGGTATCTGAGACGTGTTCACCGAACATAGTTCGCATGGACTCGGTGATCTTGGTGGAAAGGTAAAGCTTTTTGCGAATGCGACCTATCATCTGCTCCTCTACGGTGCCTTGGGTACAAAGCTTGTAGATCGTTACGTTTTTTTGCTGGCCAATGCGGTGTGCGCGAGCTTCAGCTTGGAGGGTAACCTATACCAGATTAGTGCAATCCAGATGAATAGCAAGAAGCCTTCGTTACCTGAGGGTTCCAATCCTCGTCCAGGAAAAAGACGTCTTCGGCTGCTGTCAAGGTGATGCCTAGGCCACCAGCTCGGGTGGAGAGCAGCATGGCCTTGTAATCAGATTTCTTGTCGTTGAAAAGGCGCATTTCCAGGTTGCGGCGAGCACGTCCTACACCTCCATCCAAGCGGAGATGTTTAAAGTCCTGACCAAAGTTGCTAATCATCTCGAGCATGTTCTCACACCAGTTCAGCGTCTCTGTGAAGCCCGAAAAGATTAGTACCTTCTTGCGTTGGTCGAAGATACTGTGCCTGAGCAATTTCTCGAGCATTATGAATTTGCCTGAGGAACGAATAACGTGTTGACCAGCGTAGTAAGGCTCAGGCATGGCACCAGGGATAAGATATGGGTGTGAGCAGCACTTTCGCAGTTGCATGACTAGATTCATTAACTTGCGCCAAGCTGAATTTGCTGTCCCGCCTTTTTGCTCTGTCTGGACGGCCTGCCGCATGATTGCGGCTGTCTCGCCCCATTGTTCCTTGCCATTGGAAGCTGCTGCGTTCTGCTGCGTGCGTCGAAGCTCGTCTTCTTTCTTTTCCGTCTCAAGCGCGGCCAACTCCTTGGTCTTCCCACCTGCAAACAAATCGTCCAGCATCGAATCGTCCACACGCGTGAGTAATCGTGTGTACCAAAAACGTTGCATAGGCGTGAGCGGGACGTAAAGTAGCACTTCTTCTTTCGGGGGCAGGCCGAGATCGACACCGGGACTATCTTTCATGCGACGTAGCATGAGCAGCTCCAAAAGCCGACGAGCGTCATCCATTGTCTTCTGATTGGCGCGTCCGCGAGCGAGATCGAACGACTCCTTGAACAAGGTCTGGGAGTTGTCCGTGAAGACGTCGGGTAGGAGCCATGCTAGCAGACTCCAAAGCTCCATGAGGTCATTTTGTACCGGGGTACCCGTAAGGATCAATCGATGCTCCGAGGAAATGCGCTTCAACGCGGTGGAAATTTGAGTTACGTTGCTCTTGATCATGTGGCCCTCGTCCAGCACGACGTAGCGCCAGAGAAATGAATGCTTGAACCAGCTCTGCTCAGCCTTGAATGTGTCGTAAGTTGTGACGATGATCTTGTACGAGTCGGAAGCAGATTCAGTTGGTAGTTTGGAGACCTTAAGTCCCGCTTTCTTGGACGCCTTGCGATCGCGCGCCTGTGCGGTTTCGTTACCTTGTTGATCCTCGAGACCCTGAGCGACGCGCTTGAGACGGTCTCGCTCACCCGGAGTTCCGTGATAGCGTAGGACCTTGAGTTCAGGTACCCACTGAGAAATTGTTAGCATGTTTTTGCAGCAAGCGTATTGAGGGCTTGATCACCTTTCGAGCCTCGTTGACCCAAGAATTCAAGACGCCCAACGGACAAATGACGAGGTAAGGGCGCGACTCCTCTGAAACGACACCGAATTCGCGATCCTGTTCCTCCAAGTATTGGAACAACGACAGAGTTTGCAAGGTCTTGCCGAGACCCATCTCATCCGATAAAATGCCAGAAAAGCCGTTATTATGAAGATAAACGAGAAATGACAGTCCGTCGAGCTGATATGGCTTCATGGTCGCCTTGACACCTTTGGGTTGCGCGGGAAGACGCTTGTATTGCACAACGGATGGTGGCTGGTCGTTTGCAATTAGCTTCGTGACATAGTTTTGCGGCGGGAGAAGCGGCAGGAAGAGCTCCCTGTGGGCAACAATGAAGCCATTAGCTTTTGCCTGGGTCTTTCGCGCGATATCATCCCGTAGTCGTGCGCGGGCAGTATCGAGTTTGCGAGGTGACGGAGCGCCCGACTTGCGTTTGGATGGCGGGGTAGCTGGATAGTACACAGTGTCAGACGCAAGGATGTCGCTCTTCCTAACCCGGGTGCTCCGTCGTGGAGCTTCATCGCGGTCCTTCCGACGGTTCTCCATTTTCAAACCCTCGAGCTGCACATACGACCTGCGGGCCCTGCGAAGCGAAGGTTTGGAAATCGGTGTACTAGAGTCGTTGGGACTCTCACTCTCGCAGTCGCTCTCGCTCGTGTATTCTGTCCAGGTCGAGGTGCTTGGTGAAGAGACGAAGGTAGCGTGAAATATAGTTGAGAGCTCGGGAATGACGCTGGGCAACTGTAGATCCAGGTGATTGTTCGGCGCCGGTGAAGCAGCTTCCTCGGCAACCGTTGCTGTTTGCGGTGAATGGGAGGAAGTTTCTCGTCGGGCTTGAGCCCTGGCTTCTGTAGCAGAGGTGAGGGTTTGTCGCGCTCCGAATTGGGCCAGGAGATTCTCCAACACCCCTCCCTTCTTGGACGGCGTTTCTAGAGACATTTCGAGCTACGTTGCGCGCTCAAGTACGTGTCACCAAGGTAAGAGAATAGAAGTGAAGGCAGGGTGGCGTGCGTCACCGCGGGGATAGAGGCAAACAGCCATGAACGCAAGCAAGCATTGCGCGGCTGTGAGGGTGAAGGTGAATGCGGCGAAACGAGCCACGATCACAGCCATCAGTGCCGGGGCGATGTGGAGTGGATTGCGTGCAGTCTCACGGTCTGCATGCTGCCGTCCTCACCCACAGGCGGAAGCGACGATGCTCGCAGTCGAGGTGGAAGGCGCGTCGTAGAATATTCGCGCTAGCGGAGAAGCCGCGGCTTAAGTCCGCTTTGCGACTGCAGCACAATTCGCTCCGCAAGCCACCGCCAGCTGAAGCTTGCGCGCTCCCACTCACCAACATTACTACCGCTGCACTTGGGGTGGACGCGCCAACGCGCACCCGTCGATGTCATGAGCCAGCCGCTCACTCTGTTCTGGCCCATTTTCCCCCAGCGCTCCGACGGCAAGACCGTGGTCAACAACAAAGGCAAGCCCGTCCGAAATGGCCCAACCGAGGCGCAGCTCGACCGCACGCCCAACGAGCAGGGCCAGAGCGACTACTACCGCCTGATCGAAAAGGACGACGCGAAGCACGTCGACTGGCGCAAGAAGCTGGGCGGCATGCTGCTGCGCGAGATTGGGCGCAAGGAAGACGAAGACAAGTGGCAGCAGTGCATCCTGTGGGACTTTCCCGAGGGCTACAGGCTGTACGAGCACATCAAGTCCAAGACCAATGGCGATTCCAAGACCCACTCTGGCGGCGGCCATGACAGGCAGGATGCCTATCTCTACGGCTATCCCAAAGGGTACGAATATCCTGCATTTGCCATAGCACGCGACAACACCTATCCAAGGCCTTTTCGCCATTATTTCCAGCCTTCATACTTGGGCATGCATACTAACCTTCCATGTAGACCCCGCAAGCGCTTCCGCAGCCCTGTCGAATTCTTCCCGCATCTGCTGTGGCTCTCCACCGACGAGTCGAGCGACTACAACAACTGCTCCTGCCGTATATGCTCGCCCAACCAGGTCGAAGTCGAGAAGCCCGCTCAGCCAGCACGACCTGCGGATGCCACGTCCAATGCATCTACTGCCATGAGAACAATGAGCGCTTCAAATGGACCTGTTCCCGTCAATCGAAACTCCGCCCCCATCCCCATCCGACGCTCTAGTGTAGGCACACCTAGTACGCCCATTGCCCAGAGCCCTGTGACGAAGCCCGCCACGCCCACTACCCAGTACAACGCCGGGCAGATCAAGGCGCCGCCCCGGCTCGAGCCTACGCCCCTCCCGCAACCGCGCACACTGGACCAGCAGGTCGACAATCAATACAACAAATTCCTTGCCCGCACCGGCGAAGTTGTATGGTTTCGGAGGTCTGGCGGCGCCTTCGGCTTAGGGCTTGTAGCACGCCGCTGGACATCCGCCAACGCCGCCCATACCGGCATGTACAGTGTGCAGCCACTCTCATATCCGGGGCACTCTCCGCCACAAGAAGTTGTCGAGGCGGGCGCTGATGTGAAGCCGTGGCTGGCCTGGTCTGTGCCGTCTTGCACTTTCGAATACCTGCGGAACAACCCTACTATGACTTATAATCAGGTAGACTGGAAGGCTTTGGCCGCACGCCAGTGGGAAGGCCACCCGGAGGTCGATGCTTCCATACTTGCCGCCAAGGCGATCGATATGACGTACACGCCATTCGAGAGGCTCAAGACGGTACCCAGCAATGGAGGCGAGGAGCGCCATTGGAACGGGATATATTATGGGGCTGAAAAGATATGGAGAGGCGAGCCGGTACGTTTACGACTGGGCCTTGGATCCGACGTTCTAGTCATCAGCGAGATCATTCAGAAAGTCGCTCCTATCGGGAACAATCAAGTCGGCTCAAAGATCGAGATGCGAGGCGACGTGTACGCGTATGCGACTCTCCCAGCGCCAAACCCCAAGAGCCCCCCTGCTCTACCATCAGACAATCATGTGCCCCTCCGCATGCGAGAAGACATGAATTGGCGAAATCAGACGCTGCTGTCCTCTGCCGGTGAGCTCTGCTACTGGAAACTTATCTCAGCGAACCAACGCGTAGCCCTTGAGGACATTAAGGGTCGCTGGTATGAGATTAGTTCGCTCTTTCAAGAATTCTTCTTTGCATCTGTTCAGAAAAAGGAAGGTGGCAATGGCAGCTGGATGAACGCCCGCGGTGACGCCACCGGTCAGAGCAAAGACCCCGGTGCCCTTCGAGCAGATCGCCTCGAAGCTTTTGGTAGTGCCATTCCGCAGCAATTCAGACTTGTTGATGGGCTAGATCCGCCAGGCGATCATGAGAAACCAGCAACCGCCATGCAAGGCATTGAGCTTGGCATGGGTGCTGCAACTGGCGAGACCAATTTCGCTATCGACGATTTCATGAACTTTGGCGAGGACACGACGATGCCATTTGGCGACAGCAACATCTTCTGAGCTGCTACATGCTCATCTTTTCAACGACTGTGAATCTGGAGCGATTAAAAATGGGGGCACTGAAACAATCAACTTGTAGCTTAGTCGTGTTGACCTGGTAGTCGGGTTTCACGAGCCGAGGATCTATCCCTTGGCTTCAGCCTTTCGACGGTCCAAGACTATGCATCGGCCACGCATCAATTTGCAGAGTTACATACCTCGGACCCCGGAGGAATTTTAGAGCTAAGGCAGCGTACCTCCATTTGCTGAAAGCAAATATTGATTCTCGATCCCGGCGGCGATCGTATCCACTGGGTTGTTGGGATCAACTGCGGTTCCCGCAAATGGAGTACTCGCTACAATCATGAAGGACTTAAAGGTCGCTTTCGATGCTTGTACTCGTGCGGTGTCCAAGGATTAAGCACGCACATATTCAGCAGCATCTATAAGAGTATTTCCGCAATTTGCTGTTAGTAAATTCGGTCTCATGGATTGGCATCTCGCTGTCGGACGGCGCCGTATCATTCCAAGCGATGGTGTGGCTTTCGTATTATACCCTTTTGCGCCATCTATAAAGACACAAATGTAAATCTAAACTTTCAGCGAAGCTTTCGCGGCCTTTGTTTTGTGACAACTAAGTGAGGATGTTTTAAGGACGATTGATTCATCTGATCTGCTGCTTCTCTTCGGCTCTTAACGCGGCGAATACGTACAGGAGGATTTTGAACTTCATGGCCAAGATCCACGTGCTCGCTGACACCAAGTAAGAAGCCTCTACCCGCACGCAAACATACTACCCAAACTCTGGCGTAGGTTCAACCAACGACAGCATGCCCCACACTACGTCCCCGGACACTCACGGTCCCCTCAGTCTAGTCTACTTCGTCATCGACGATGATGACGCTTTGCGCGACAGCGTTTATGAGATCCTCTTACGCATCGCTAATGAAACTGCAACGCTAGCAGAATAGAACGAAGTCCCGCAACGGCTGATATTTGCTCTCCCGTTCAAGCTTCTCATGCGTTGCCAGAGGGGCTTTGGGATCGCTATCTCCCTTACGACGATTTCAGCAGCTGTTCGAGCAAGCTAAGGCAGGTGTCGATATACCCGTATATCCCGACAGTGATTTGTATGACGATAACGCCTGGGAAGAGTATGAGTATGACCCTACTGAGGACTCTGAGACTATGAAGGTCGACTCCAATGTTGACTTGCTGGCTGACGACCAGCACTCTGTCAGCGAAGAGGAAGACCTCCCAGCCAATTTAGCGGGGTATGGGGTTGTGGCTCCCTACGGGGATGGCTCAGACGACGAAGACCCAGAGTTTTTAATCGAACCAAGCAGCTCTTCGCCCACGTGCCCTTCGTGCACCACTCCGATTGTCGCTGCGCACGCGACCATCCCTGCGACTGCGTCTGCGATTGCCACCACGGGTCCAGAGCCGTGGCAGTGATGCTAATTCAGAAGCTAGGCAGACTTCGCTTTGCCGACTCCCTGCACTTCCGCACGTTCGAGGCAATTAAGGAAGTGCGGGGAGACACCTTCGGCAACAACTAGTCTAGCCTGAAGCAAGAATTGTTTAGGTCGGAGGCGGAACGCAGAGCTCGAGACCTGGAGTAGCTGGAGTACTTGCGCATCGAGACTGACCTAGCTCCAGCGGTAATCGTAGCCGACGTCGGCACCCTTGCGGGCCATGTGGAGTCGCCGCAGAGCCTCATCGAGACTCGGCGCTTTTCGGCGACTTTGCGCCGTTGGCGCGGGCGTCCAGGAACGGAGCTGTCGTCCGGTCTTGGGCGCGGCGCTCTCCGAAGAGGTTTTCCTGATGGTCTTCAGCGTGTCCTGGACTGATTGCGTGTGATGAAACAGCACCATAGGTGCATCGTAGATAGGTAGCCAGCACCGACCAAGGAATATGACGTTCCTCAATCTCGCATCACTGCACCGAAGTCGATAGTGACGCCGCTAGAAGCATTGCCAACCTCTAGGCGCGGCTTTTCTCGCCCTACACGCCGGATGCTAAGCAATCAGCCCAGCTCGAATCAGCACTATGTTTCCAATTTACGTGATGGATTCAGGACGGCAGAATGGCTCCCCATGGGCAGAGCTCCTAGCCTATGGGGGATTCCAACGCGAGTCCTCTTCCAGGGTCGCCCCACAGAATTTTCGCGGGGTCTAACGTAAAAATTGCATACAAAGTCCGATGGCGTAGCCACATCCGGCAATAGTGTCGATCGAAAAAAGCTTCTCCTCAACGATCTTCATGGTGGCTTTTCATGGCTGCAACGTAGAATCGCGCATTTTGTAGGCTTTCAAACTCGAAATAGGGTGCAGATAGTTGACTACACGCGATGACAGCCGATTAACAGATAGAGCGACACCGGCGAATGGGTAAGAGAGGGTACCTGGTGGGTCGCAGAGTGTGCACGGCGCGGCCGGATGCACGTGTTGGATGGCTTACTTTCCTGATGGCGACTTGACCCACCGCTGGCCGTAGTATCCACGGTTGGTAACCTTGCCCAAGATGGACCGGGGAATGGCCGGGCCCTTCTCCACAGTGATAAATATCAATGCAGATTTCGCTGTTTTCTGCGTCGTCGACCTTTGTGTTCTTCCTCCTTCACACTGAACACGCATACTCAACATGGCATTTCGCAGCGAGAAGAAGATTGCAGAGGATGGAGGCGAGGGTGGAGAGTACGGCGACAACCAGATGGTCGCTACGCAAGATGCGGTCTTCGGTGAGCTCACAGAGGAGGGTCCCAACTACCGAGCAGTAAGTTGAACTCAAAGACTCATTCTTTCACACATCGTTAACACTGCCCAGGTCGGATGGAAAGGTGCGGTTGTGCTGATGCTCAAGACCCAAATCGGTTTGGGTGTGCTATCCATCCCCGAGGTCTTTGATGTTCTTGGTCTCATTCCCGGTGTCATCTGCCTGGTTGCTATTGCGATCTGCACCTCCTGGTCGGGTTACATCGTAGGTGTATTCAAGGTTCGCCATCCCGATGTGTACGGCCTCGATGACGTCGGTCGCAAAATCCTCGGTCGCTTCGGCTACGAGTCATTCGGCATCGCGTTCGCGCTCTTCTGCATCTTCGTCGCCGGTTCCGGTATTCTCGGCATCGCGACCGATCTCAATGCGCTTTCCAGCCATGGCGCCTGCACGGCCATTTTCGTTGCGGTCGCCGCCGTTGTCGGTTTCTCCCTCGGTAGCATCCAGACCCTGGGCAGGATCTCATGGTTGGCATGGGTCGGAACTATCAGCATTTTGGTCTCGAGTAAGTTGAGAAAGAACACTGCGAAATCAGAACAGGTGACTAACCTTCTCCACAGTCCTGATCCTGACCGTCTCCGTTGGTGTTCAAGATCGCCCGTCCGCCGCTCCGCTTGAGGGAGAGTTCAAGTCGAACTACAAGCTCTTTGGCAGCCCTGATGCCGCCGGCGCTTTTGCCGCGCTTTCGTCCATCGTCTTCGCCTACGCCGGCGTACCCGCATACTTCAACATCGTCTCTGAGATGCGCGATCCTCGTGACTTTACCAAGTCGCTCATCTACTGCCAGACCATCATGTCGGCTGTATACATTGCCATCGGTGTGGTTGTGTACTACTACTGTGGTTCTTACGTCGCATCGCCTGCGCTTGGATCTGCGGGTCCCTTGATGAAGAAGGTCTGCTACGGAATCGCCCTGCCTGGTCTGATTGTCAGCACCACTATGTACATCCACTTTGCCGCAAAGTACTTCTTCATCCGATTCCTGCGCGGCACGTCTCACCTTGCCCGCAACACCAAGATCCATTGGATGACATGGTTTGGCTGCACTGGCAGCGTAGCCGGCATTGCCTACATCATCGCGAGCGCCATTCCCGTCTTCGGCGGTCTCGTTTCCCTCGTCGGCGCGCTTCTCGGCACCCTCATCTGCTTCCAGCCCATGGGTGGCATGTGGCTGTACGACCACTGGAACAAGCCCAGGTCCGCCAAGTGGATGCTGATGGTGTTCTGGTGCTTCTTCATCATCATCTCGGGTACTTTCCTCATGGTCTCTGGAACATATGGATCCGTGGTCGGCATCATTGATAGCTACAACAAGTCTGGAGGTTCCGCGGCCTGGAGCTGCGCGGATAACTCCAACTCTTCCTAGAGAAGTTCAGACATGTGTATGGATAGCAAGAGATCTCATGAAATTAGCGGCATTGTACAATGAATGGAATAACATTGAATAACGAAGAGGTATCTTAGTGAACGCTGTGTACAAACTAAATCAGGCTTGAGTCTTTGCAGCCGAACTAGTATCTGGGCTGGACCCAGAACCAGAGGTCGACTTTGAGTTGGAACTGAAACTGGATCTAGACTTCGGCGGTGGCGTAGTCGTGGCCAACGTGGTCGACCTTGTTGACTCCGTATCACCATCCGTCGTCGGCGTAGCCGACGGGACCTGCGAGTAGTCATCCTTTGTTGTGGCCCACGACGTAGCATCGGGGTCACCCAAACCCATGCACTCTGGGTTCAGGTACATCTGGTCACACGCAATGTGAATGAAGTTGGCAGAGTGATTTGCGCTCGTGCTGCCCGGCTGTTCCATGATGGAAGCGCCCCGCCACCCCAGGACGGTTTGATTTGCACAAAAGGCCACCGAGCAACGCAGAAGGGACGTGTCCTCCAGGTCACCACTCCTAGCGGGCGTCCAGTTGTATGAGAGTATGTCCCATTTGGGTTTGAAGAGGCCGGGATCTTCAAAAACCTGGATTTTTCCCCTGTACTCATAGTCGTCGTAGGTTTGCAGACGGAAGCGGACGTGGGGTCCGGTTGCCTCTGTAGCTGTCGGGCTATCGCCCGATCGTCTTGCACTGGCAGTGGTTGATTGACTGGCAGTACTTGACTGGGGTGTGTCTGCATTGTTGTCTGTTACTGGCCTAAGATTCAAATTAGTCCCGAAGCTTCGACTTTTTGACTGCGCGCTTACGTTGACTTCGCACTCTTTTTCGCCAGCGTACCTCCAACAGCGCCACCAATGATCGCGGCCACCAAAAGTATCACCAAAACGATGATGAGCAACATCACCTTGCGACCGAGTCCACACCAACGTCTAGGCCCCCCCTCTTCACTATCAACTAGTGTCGAGCCCTTCTCGGTTTTTGCCGCATCGGATTCCGGTTGTGTGGTGGTTGTGCGATGTGCCTCGAGTGCTGCGTCGCCCATCGCTTGTGGGGAAGTGGAATCTATCGGTTGCGGTGCTTCTGCCCAGCGCCCATGTGTTATGAACAGCGGTGAGTCGGTCTCTACGGGCGAGCTGAGTACCACGACCGGGTCTAGGTCGTTTTTCTCGCGATTCTGGTTCTCGGCAACTTCCAGCCCTGCTTCATAATTGTGTATTCTTGCGAAAGGCCGCGCGCCATGCTTGACGTCCGGGCTTTCTGGACTGACTGGACTCTGGAGCATTGCGCGAGTCGTAGAGCGGGATCGTCGAGCGTCGGGAGAGGTCGATACGAAGTAGTCCGCCGACTATTGTTGGCTCTGGTGCTGGGCAAGAGGAGACTATTGACACGAACGTTTCGAAAAGCGGGCATGGCTTCTGTTCGTATATGTTTGGGCGGTTGCGACATCATAGCACCTGGGAAACGGGGAGCGGCTGAGGACACGAGAGGGTGTGGGCGAATCAGAAATTGTGAGCGGCTCGGTGCGCACTCGTACTACGGATCTTGATTGCAAGGGGACACACAGTCTGGGATTGGACACGAGGTAGGACAAGGTATAACTTTGGTGGTCCGACGTCATTGGGTGGGGGCGGAGGTAGCGAACGTTTTGGGTATAGAATACGAGGAAATACGAACACCGGTCAGAGGAACGCTCCACAGGGGCAAAGCCAAGATCTACAGGGGATTGGAAAGTCTGCTTCTTATATCGCACTATGTCCCCTCTCGAAAGTATGGGGCGGGCACTATGCTGCTTCGTAGGGGCTATCATGTACCTGTGGTATGAGGAGCTATTTTCGGCCATCCGGAAAAATTAAGGAGCATGAAACACCCGGAGCCTGAAGTAATAAGGACCCGCATAGACGATGAACTATTCGTACATACGTACGTACGTACAGAATGTGGCCAAGAGCTGTTGAGTCTACGTGAGTGGACGGAAGTGATTCAGTGGCGATAACGTTGTGGTAGCTCTCGGCGCTAGACCCCACTCAAAACCAACAACAGCTCACGACTATATTTGAACACTGTGCACTCAATCCGAATCGCTAGGAAGCTTTCCTGCATGATGATGACTTTTGAGGTTGATCTCCCCTTTACATGTCGTCGCCGATCGAATCCGCCTTTCTCGTCTGCAGCCTCATCTGCATCCTTCTGCATGCCGTCCAGGCATTTGTGTCGATCATACACAACCTCGGATCTGGCCGAAGAACCTCCGTTGGATCGCAGGGTTCGCAATACGTGAATCGGCGACCACAATCACCCCTGTGCCTCGGCTGTTCTACGGACGCACAAATTGCCCCGCGTCGTACCTCAAAGGTCTCATTTGCTAAGATCCATGCAGATTGCAGTCACGTGTCTGGATATACACCTGGGTACTTGAAAATCGATGAAAGCAACAAAGGCATCTTGCGCAGCAAGAAGTGTCATTTCGTACGAAACTGTGCCGCGATGGAGCTCGCTTATCACAGAGGACCGACGCCGACAATAGCCGCACGTTTGGTGTGACTCACATCGATCATGGCTCTTTATCTTTACGGTATTCTCCATCTTACCAACGCCAAAGTCACCGACAAGAATGGACACCTTGCAGAGCCATTGGGCCCCGCATCTCCGTGAGAATGGTACTGGGGACGCGTCGTTCGTCTCACAGCGAATCAAAGCTTCCACGGCTCGAATCTTCCCTTTCCTCGATCTTCCGCGTGAACTGCGAGATCAGATCTACCTCCACCTCGTTCCCGGTTCTCTTTCCTTCACCATGCCGAACCAACACAGAGAAGGAGAATACGGGTACCCAAACGTCAGGGGTTTTTACAAATATCCCTTCAGTTATTACCTCGCTTCGGATCCTGTCCTGTTCCTCAATCACCAGATCCGACATGAAATGCTCGACAGCATATACGCAAATACAGAATTCCGCTTTGATTGGCGCAGACGAGCAAACTTCATCTTGAGAGTCGTGCAATCGATTCCTGATTCCGCGAAAGCAAAGATCAGGCGCCTGTCGTGGTGCAGCCATTCACTACACACTGGGGGTGATCGTAGGAGCTACAACGGCTGGGACAAAGTGATGGAATACATCGCGACACACTTCACCAGCCTGAACAGTGTCTACTGCAGCTTTCCCTCCGGTGAAAACGGCTCGCATCGTTACCACAACTGGCAGGTGCCGCGGTTAGCGGTCACACTGCTGATGAAGGGCAAAATTCAGGAGTTCATCTGGGCCTGGTCTCAAATGGTCAGATGGGGTCCGGGATTTCGTGCCGACGTTTTGGTACCGATGGCAACAAGGCTTTTCACCATACCTTACGATGAAGAGAAGGACTGGGACAAGGGATTCGAGTTTCGCCGGTTACTGGAAAGCGAGGAGCAGTTGGACACGAGTGATCGGTTGGATAGATGGGCACTTGAGTGTCTCAGGCGACCTCAACACCAATTCACCGCGACGGTAGACGCACGAGGACTTGTGTTGACGAGAAAGTAAGTGCGGATTGATCGCTCTGAGTTCAGATGCACCTAGACGTTCAAAGTACCTCGCCGTCAGCAATTGTCACCGTTCGTTTGTTCCCGGTACAGCTATCCAATTTGGTAACGCTCCAACTATACATTTCGCATAGTTAGTTTCTATTAATCAATTGTTTCTTCTTCGCAAACCCGACTATCCCACATCACCGCGATATCGACCCATGGCTTCCCAGCATACAGGATCAAGTACCTCAGAACTGAGCAACCCAGGAACCCATCGAAGAGCGAGCAAATCAGCCCAGACATCTCGTCGTGCTAACAACACAAGGCTGGTCACGTACTCTCGGGCCACTCAGCACCGCACAGCTCACCCCGGTGCACATCAATCTTGCCCCTCTCATCCACAGTATCATTACCTCCTAAGCTACAACTTCCGTCGCCTCCTCCTCTCCGTTCATCGATGTTTTTGCAACACAATGAGGCAGTATGTAATACAATGTTCGTCGATCCCGTTTATCCTCACGACATAATATTATCGTCGGCGCGTATCCTACATTCAATTCCTCCCAGTATACCAAATAACGCCGCATGCATCCAGGCCTTCAGGTATCATCTCTGTCCTTCCCATCCCTCCCTCAATTATCAAGAACCCGCCCAAAAACAATGCCATGGCATGTATGCCGCTCAAACGCCGTGACCATGCAACCGTAAAAAATCATGTAATCCAAATAACGGCGGAAAACAGGAAAAAATCACAAACTACTCCCCATCCTAGGTTCGTCCTGCAGCTCACCGCGTCGCTGATCCGCGGCCTTCTTTTTCCCCTTCGCTTTCCGCTGCTTCAAAAGCTCGCTCGGCGGACTCCGCGTCCCGTCGCTGCCACCACTGCTCCGCTTGAGCCCCTTGACTTCCTTCAGCATGTCGCGGAAGCCTTCTTCGAGCTATTACAAGTCAGCAACGCGTTCCAGAACCCCAACGACGATTTACAAGGGAGAGGGGGTGTACTTACAGTCGTCATCCGCGCCAGCATGATCCTACTCATCCTCTTGTTCTCCTCATTATGCTCGCTCCCCTCCTGCTCCTTTGCCTTGACCCTCGCCGCCATCTCCATCTGGCTCTTGAAACTCGCCGGGAACCCGCTGAACGCGCCACCTTGAGGTCTATTATCGCCAATATCGGATGCCAAGTCCAGCGCCATGGCATTGAACGAAGGCTGCCGCTGGCGCTGATTAAGGCTGATGAAGTTGGCGATGTTGGTGTTCTGGCGACTTAGCTGCGTGGGGGGCAGAATGGCGCGGGGACGAGAAGAGGCGGCGGTATTGGGAGCGGGACGTTTGGGCGTGCGGTGACCGTCGAGAGGTATGCGACCAGGCGTCGTGGTACCACTGCGGCCTGAGTTGCGCGCGCTTTCTTGTGGAAGGCGGCCAGGTGTGGCAGTGCCGCTGCGGGTAACTGTGCGAGGAGGTACGTCGGAGACGCTCGAGTGCGACTGAGCTGAGTGATCATCCTTGGTTGGGCTGAACAGGACGGTGTTCGTGGAGAGGTTGCGATTATGTGAAGGCTTGAAGCGAGGATGTTTCTTGCTAGGCGATATTTCGACCAGTGGGTTGACGGTTGAGATTGGGGAGGATGCCCGGACAGGTGTGCGACTGAGAGGCGTACGTGGCCTGACTGTCATTGGCGTACGGAAGTACTCCTCATCATCCGTAGTCTCATCGTTGGGAGTGACAAGTCGACTTTCCTGGTGCGGTGTCTTATTGTCCTTGGTGGTGTGCTCTGATCCGTGCTCTTCTTCGTCGTTAGTGAGCAGTTCGTCGTCTCCGTCGTCTTCGGTCTGCTGGGGTCCTTCCGGCTCCTCTTCTTCTTCTAGAATGGGTCGCGTGAACGGGCTGGGTTCGTCTTCGGGGTCAGAGACAACGCCCCTCGACGTTGTAAGCGGGTATTTGCTGCGTCGCTGAGGAGCTTGCCCTGCTGTCTTTGATCTCCTCAAGATTGGCCGCTTTCGACTTTCAAGACGATCCAGGAGAGACCGTGCATCATCTTGTGGAGGCGCAACATCTCCACCTTCATTGCCCATGCGCTTCATCCAATCCGACACCACATTGCTAGAGTTTCTTCTGCCCTGCGGGTAGGCATTAGAAGGTGTGCGTTGACTGGGGTCTCGGAACGGGCGCCTGAAAACTTCCTCTAAGGCGCGATCTTTGTGGAACGTGGTAATGGAGGGTTCGCGCAGACGTTGGCCAGGGCTGAACAGGTCACCACCGCCACGGATACTGAAAGCGGGTATAGCGCCTTGAGCATGGCTTCGGCCACGCTGTTCAACAAGGTCCGTCGGGCCGTATGCCAAGTTCGAAAGAAGGATTCGCTCGTAGCAGAAGATGCTGAATAGGATCGGTATGTGCGTAATCTTAATCACCAGGCGATTCATGCGCACGAAGCTCTTGAGTGGCATACAGTACTTGAGCGGAATCAGGAGCCAGCCCACCAGGTTTGTGGGTGCGATGTAGGAGAACAACGCATCCGACTTGACCATGGAAATTGTGTTCACGGCAAACAGGAACTGATGTTCCTCATTTGCATTCTGCACGACTGCCATGAAAGAATTGGTCAGCACTGTAACGAGGATGGTCACGATGAGGAAGTGGCAAATAAAAAGGAAGAGCCCTAAGAGCGCCTTTCCCAAGGGATTTGCATCAACCCAGATATCCCACGCGGCCGGAGTGAAACCCATGAGCAATTGGAACAAAGCGTATGCTGTATCAGAAGGTGACAATGTCCTCTGGAACGCCAACGAAAAGGCGACAAAGAAGCCTGAGCAACTGATAACAATGAGAACCAGGATAGCAACCAGATCCAATGCCATTCCGCGGAACGCTATGAGGAGTTGAGAGAAGTAGCGGTAGTGATCCAGGGCGGAGAACAGTCGGGGAAACAACAAGACCGCAGTCGAGCCTAGGACATCATACGCAATTGCCGCCATGTCGTGCCTGCTGTGGACGTCGGGCATGAGGATGCCGAGCAACCGCAGCACGTAGTATAGCAGAAACATCAGCAGAATGCCTAGATCAAAGGCATTCCAGACGCTCATGATGTAAAGCCCAAAGCCCTGCTCCGAAAAGCCGACGACCTCGTCGAGCATATAGCCCGCGCTCCAGATCCAGAACAAAACTTCCAAGGCCGTAATGTCGTCAGATTTCTCCGCGAGTACAGCCAGGAACAGCCCAAGCATGATGCCATAGGACAGTGTCGAGAACAGGTTGCGGTATCGAGGTACACGAAGTCGAGAAAGCTTGAACAGCGAAGCGTCATGAGGATCGTACAGGGTAACAGTTTTCCTTGTCAAATCGGCTATCTGGGCCTGTGGACGGTTCGGTTTCGTGGGTGAGAGGCGACGCGATGGTCCGGGTCGTGGGGTATCGTCAAACGTGCGGTACTGTCGGTTTAGGGGCTCGGGCTTTCTGTGCAAGCTGTCTGCCACCGAGTGGAAGACAATGGTGCCCGCCCAGATGGCCTCGAGCTGCTGTACCACGAGCGGGTGCGCAAGGAACTTCTTTGCCTGAGCCCGGATGGCTATCTCGACGGTCGAAACACGCGCTGAGCGCTCCCGCGCCCAAGCCCCACCCGGAGTCGCTGTGCCAGCGCCTGGTGAGACGAGGCCCTGCAGCGGGTTGAAGTCGTAGCTGAGCGCATCGATGAGCTCCCGAGTCGAGTGTTCCTTAAGCAGTCGCACAGCCAAGAGCTCGCAAATGAGCGCCCTCGACTTGTTGACGCCAATGTTCCCGGGATTTGCCTCGGCCTCTTTCCGGAACTGCAGACAGTTGGACAGAAGGCAGTATATGGCGCCGCGCGAGAAGTGGGACTGGAGGATGGCCTGCTGGATGGGCTTGACAAGGAACTGCGAGACCTGCGGGGAACGCAGCTGGTCCCAGGAGAGAGTGGTCTCGCATCGCTGGATCACGAGGATGCGTATGCTGTGGGTCGTATTGTAGATGGGGACGCGGTCTGCGGGCTCAGGGTTAGCGTAAACAAACACTTGAACAGAGCCTGATCGCTGGCAGAGCGGCTCCTTGCAACCTGACGTACCCAGGACTTCAGACGAGAAGACGGGCAGCAGCGGCCCGTCTCGGCGGCCCTGGTCTTCGTCCTCGTAGTCCTCGTCGCCGGCATCGTAGTGGGCGGCATCGTCGTCGTCGGCAGCGCTGCGGGCATCTGCATCGCGGCTGCGGTACCTATTCAGGGCCTGCAGAAGGGGCGTTGTCTCGGGGCCGGCTGCATCTTTGCGCGTGCGCAGCAGTGATGCGAACATGGGATCCCGCCTGGTCGTCGTCTGTCCGAGCGCGCGCGGGTGGGAGTCTGTGGTGTGGGAGAGGGCGCGCGGTGGATCAAGTTTCACGAGCGCGGAAATGAACCAAGTCGATAAGAGCGCTGATACCGCACCCCGTCCGCCGTGCTACCTGCCCTACTCGCCCCTTCACCGCTTTGTTCATGGCTGCGGAACGTGATCACCACGAGGATGGAGACGCGCCGCTTCCTGATAAGAGAGATCGTGGGGAAGCAAGACATGCTGGGGGTGCCCAATCGCAGCGCGCCCCTCTCCACGCCCTCGCGTTGGCGAACAAGACTACTGCACAATGGGACGCATCGCGAGCAGGGAATCAACCGCCCTAGGGTCGTGATGGCTGCATGTGTGCGCTACTCCGCCGGCTTGACGTGACGGACGAGCGCGAGCATGAGCTCTGCAGCATGAGCTATGTACTGTGTGCCTCGTGTTCTTTGACGATCGTCCTGGTGCTTTCACATGCGATGCCCCTCACTACACATGACGACGCGAACACACAACAATCCCTCAGCAGCAGCCATCTCACCGGCGCCCTGGCTGCGAACGGTGCCCTGTCATGCACGCATGTCATTCCCGCGCGTCAGGCGACCACTCATAGATACTGTGTCGCACCGCAGAGGCCTCCGGGTGGCAGTCTGGACGAGCCCAAGCTGGGGGCAACCGATCTGATGTCCTCCCAGAGCGATGCCCCGTGCTTTCTGTGCTATTGGCCAATGTCGCCGTGTCCAGGGCGCGATTGGCGCGAGCATCGTGCAGCCATTGTGAGAGCACCACAGTGATCAGAGTCCGCCATACACAAAATTTCCCCGCGAGCTTACAGCTAGTGGTGTCATCAACTCCCGGGCATGGGCTGCAGAAGAATCCATCACAACAATACATGCCAGCGTGTGAGCCCAATTCTAGGCGGTGGCCTGCGCCCCGCGTACCGGCACTGGCAAGGCGAGACGGAAGGCACGATGCATGCTGCGTTCAACTCGTCGATTCCACGCTACGGGCTGCCACAGCTAGATGTTGCCTGTGGCCGCTGCTCACTGCAGCTTCAGCACGCTCCACGGTGGCTGACACTAAAGTTGGGAACCTGCCCACAGCAGGCCCCAACCTCATCCTGCGTAAACTCGCTCTGGCATACTTTCGTGAACTCACAGTGTGACAATTCAGCATAAATGTTCACGGCCCATTTGTACTGTCAGCCACTGCTCGACGATGTTCGGCGCTGGCTGACCATCGGCGCGAATCTTTCTTTCCATGGTTTTGGAGGGGCCAATGACGTTCGACCCCGCTAACGCCGGCAGCGGCGCCCCACCAAGTTCTGCGATGCAGGTGAAAAAAAGTTCGACCGCCAGTTGTGAATATTAGTGGCCGGCCTGCTTCCAAAATTTCTCTCTCCTCAGCAATTGCCTGACAGACTCGACTCACAAGGCTACCGGAGCCCTCGAGCTGTCTATTCCTTCTGCAATCATGGCCTACGACCGGGATGCAGGCCAGAATATGGCCCTCGAGCTGCAGGACGGCTATGTCTGCTTCGGCCAGAGCTTTGGCGCTGACAAGAGCATTGCGGGCGAGCTCGTCTTCCAGACGGGCATGGTGGGCTATCCGGAGTCCATCACTGACCCCTCATACCGCGGCCAGATCCTCGTCATCACCTTCCCGCTGGTGGGCAACTATGGCGTGCCTTCGCGCGACGAGATGGACAGCCTGCTCAAAGACTTGCCCGCCCACTTCGAGGCGCGCGAAATCCACATTGCGGGCTTGGTGGTAGCCACCTATGCCGGAGAAGAATACTCACACCACCTCGCGACTTCCTCGCTGGGCGCCTGGCTGAAGGAGCAGGGCGTGCCTGCCATTACAGGCGTGGACACGCGAGCACTCACCAAGCGCATTCGCGACGAGGGAAGCATGCTTGGTCGACTCCTACAGAGGACCCAGACATCTCCCATCTCCACAACCTTAACCAGTGGCGCAGTCAACACCCAGGAGCTTGCCAATGGTGCCGAAGAGGTCGATTGGAGTGCCGACTTCGCAAAGGTGGAGTGGTTGGACCCTAATAAGAAGAACTTGGTGGCAGAAGGTGACTCTCATGTGCCCCCTCGCAGTGATGCATGCTAAATGTTACGGCAGTGTCGACGAGCAAACCCAAGATCTACTCGCCCGACCCATCTACCGCCCTTAAGCACCCCTCGGGACGCCCTGTCCGTGTAGTCTGCGTTGATGTTGGCTTAAAGTACAACCAGCTACGATGCCTCGTGAGAAGAGGCGTCGAAGTGGAAGTCGTGCCGTGGGACTATGACTTCCCCAAGCTTGCAGGCAAGGAGTACGATGGACTGTTCATCTCGAACGGACCGGGTGACCCAGCCATGATGAAGGACACGGTTGAACACATCAAGACTGCAATGTCTGAGGCTAGGACACCCATCTTTGGTATCTGCTTGGGACACCAGCTGCTCGCCCGAGCTGCCGGAGCCGAGACACTCAAGATGAAGTTTGGTAACCGCGGACACAACATCCCCTGCACCAACATGATCACCGGCCGCTGCCACATCACATCGCAAAACCATGGTTATGCAGTCGACTCCAAAACTCTCCCCAGTGGATGGGAGGAGCTCTTCGTCAACGCCAACGATGGCAGCAACGAAGGTATTCGTCACACCTCGAAGCCCTTCTTCAGCGTCCAGTTCCACCCAGAGCACACCCCTGGTCCACGCGACACCGAGTACCTCTTTGATGTCTTCATCAGCACCATCGAAAAGTCTATTGCCAACTCTGCGGTGCTCTCGCGACCTGTCGAATTCCCCGGAGGCACTGCCGAGGAGAACAGGCGCTTGACCCCCCGTGTCAACGTCAAGAAGGTGCTTGTCCTTGGCAGTGGTGGTCTCAGCATCGGACAGGCTGGAGAGTTTGATTACTCTGGAAGCCAGTGCATCAAAGCTCTCAAGGAAGAAGGCATCTACACCGTGTTGATCAACCCCAACATCGCCACCATCCAAACCTCCAAAGGTCTGGCGGACAAGGTGTACTTTTTGCCAGTGACTGCCGACTTTGTGCGCAAGGTCATCCAAAAGGAACGACCTGATGGTATCTATGTCACTTTTGGTGGCCAGACCGCCCTTCAAGTCGGCATCCAGCTCAAGGACGAATTCGAAGGTCTCGGCGTCAAGGTTCTGGGAACACCAATCGATACCATCATCACCACTGAGGACCGTGAGCTCTTTGCCCGCAGCATGGAGTCTATTGGCGAGAAGTGTGCCAAGTCGGCTTCCGCTAGCTCAATTGATGAGGCCATGGAAGTGGTCAAGGACATTGGATTCCCCGTCATCGTCCGTGCTGCCTATGCTCTCGGTGGACTCGGTAGCGGTTTCGCCAACAACGAGCAAGAGCTGCTCGACCTTTGCAAGATTGCATTCGCCGCCAGCCCCCAAGTACTGATTGAGCGCAGTATGAAGGGATGGAAGGAGGTTGAATACGAAGTTGTGCGAGACGCTCGCGACAACTGCATCACCGTCTGTAACATGGAAAACTTCGATCCATTGGGCATCCACACCGGAGACTCCATTGTTGTAGCGCCATCGCAGACTCTGTCGGACGAAGACTACAATATGCTCCGAACCACCGCGGTCAATGTCATCCGCCATCTCGGAGTCGTCGGAGAGTGCAACATCCAGTATGCCCTTAACCCCTTCTCGCGCGAGTACTGCATTATTGAGGTGAACGCTCGTTTGTCTCGCTCCTCTGCACTCGCATCCAAGGCTACTGGATACCCGCTTGCTTTCGTCGCTGCCAAGTTGGGCTTGAACATCCCGCTCAACGAGGTCCAGAACTCAGTCACCAAGTCTACATGCGCTTGCTTCGAGCCATCGCTCGATTACGTTGTGGTCAAGATCCCACGATGGGACTTGAAGAAGTTCACTCGCGTCTCGACTCTCCTTGGATCATCCATGAAGAGTGTGGGCGAGGTCATGAGCATCGGCCGCACCTTTGAAGAAGCTATCCAAAAGGCTATTCGTTCGATTGATCCTAACAACCTTGGCTTCAACGAGACCGCGGCTCTGATGGGTATTGACCAAGAGCTCCAGACTCCCTCTGATCAGCGTCTGTTCGCCATCGCTAATGCCATGAAGTCTGGGTACAGTGTTGACAAAATCTGGGAGATGACCAACATCGACAAGTGGTTCCTGAGCCGCCTCAAGGGCCTGAGCAACTTCGAAAAAGAAATGTCTGGCTACACCACCGCCAGTATCACCCAGCCTCTCATCCGTCGTGCTAAGCAATTGGGTTACTCCGACCGCCAGTTAGCCAAGTTCTGGGAGACCAACGAGCTGGCTGTCCGCCGCACTCGAGTCGACGCTGGCATTTTCCCTGTCGTCAAGCAGATCGATACTGTGGCGGCGGAGTTCCCCGCGCATACGAATTATCTTTACCTCACGTACAATGGCACTGAGAGCGACATCAAGTTCAACGATCAGGGTGTCATGGTGCTAGGCTCCGGTGTGTACCGCATCGGTTCTTCGGTCGAGTTCGATTGGTGCTCAGTCCGAGCGATCCGCACTCTCCGCGAACAAGGTTACAAGACCGTCATGGTCAACGTAAGTGCATTCAAGAGCTATTGAATGAACTCTGGCTAACTTCCCCACCGTATAATCCAGAGACCGTGCGCCGCCCACATTCCCTGCAATGATGCTGGAAGATGTATCGTGGGGTAACTCGAAACACCCTATAGATCAAAATTTCCAGGTAACATTGCGCATCAGAACTAAAACTAACAGCCATGCAGGTATCGACCGACTACGATGAGGCTGACCGCCTTTACTTCGAAAACATCTCGCTCGAGACTGTGCTCGATATCTACACGATGGAGAACTCTTCCGGTGTCATTATCTCCATGGGTGGCCAGACCCCGAACAACATCGCCCTGCCTCTGCACCGCCTGAATGTCAAGATCCTCGGAACATCTCCTGAGATGATCGACAATGCTGAGAACCGCTACAAGTTCTCTCGTATGCTTGATCGCATCAACGTCGACCAGCCTGCTTGGAAAGAGCTGACAAGCATTGAGGAGGCCACTGAGTTCTGTGACAAGGTGTCCTACCCAGTGCTTGTCCGGCCGTCTTACGTTCTTTCCGGAGCTGCCATGAACACGGTATACTCCAGGGATGGTCTCGCTCAGTTCTTGCAGCAAGCCGCCGAGGTGTCAAAGGATCACCCCGTCGTCATCACCAAGTACATTGAGAACGCCAAGGAGATTGAGATGGACGCTGTTGCTCTCAACGGTAACATGATCGGCCACTTCATCTCTGAGCACGTTGAAAATGCTGGTGTTCACTCTGGAGACGCTACACTGATCCTGCCTCCTCAAGATCTTGGTATGTTATGCCCAATGCTGTCTTTCAACTTCTAGAATCTAACGAAAAGTAGACCCGGTCACTGTGCAGCAGATTGAGGAAGCTACCCGCAAGATCGGCAGCGCCCTCAACATCACCGGTCCTTACAACATCCAATTTATTGCCAAGGATAACGAGATCAAGGTCATTGAGTGCAACGTCCGTGCATCGCGCTCCTTCCCATTCGTCTCGAAGGTCATGGGTGTTGACCTCATTGAAATGGCTACCAAGGCAATGGCCGGCCTACCTGTCACCGCGTACCCGCCTGTCAATATTCCCAAGGACTACGTCGGTGTCAAGGTTCCCCAGTTCTCCTTCTCCCGTCTCTCCGGAGCCGACCCCGTTCTCGGTGTCGAAATGGCGTCCACTGGTGAGGTAGCGTGCTTTGGCCGCGACAAGTACGAGGCCTACATCAAGGGTCTCATTGCCACTGGATTCAGGCTCCCGAAAAAGAACATTCTCTTGTCCATTGGATCTTTCAAGGACAAGCTGGAGATGCTTCCCTCGATCGAGAACCTGCACAAGATGGGATACAACCTGTTCGCCACGGCTGGAACCGCTGATTACATTCAAGAGCACGGCATTCCCGTCAAGTTCTTGGAGGTGCTTCCCAGCAATGAGGACCAGCAGAAGCCCGAGTACTCGCTTACCCGCATGTTGTCAAACAACCTGATTGACTTGTACATCAACCTCCCGTCCAACAACCGCTACAGGCGACCGGCCAACTATATGAGCCGCGGATACCAGACGCGTCGTATGGCAGTCGACTACCAGACCCCCTTGGTCACAAATGTCAAAAACGCCAAGATCCTCATCGAAGGAATTGCGCGCCACTACGACCTGGAGATTAGCAATGTGGACTTCCAGGACTTCTCTAAGATCCGCTCAGACAACGAGGACCACGCCACGCAGCTTAGCCGCAGGAAACAGTCTCTATCTCTCCAGCAGCTGCTCGCAAGGTCGCCTTTCAAGGGGAAGCACATCACTTCCGTCAAGCAGCTCAGCCGCGCGGACCTCCATCTCCTCTTCACCATTGCTCAGGAGATGCGCCTCGGTGCTCAGAAGTATGGCTGCCTCGATGTTCTCAAGGGGCGAGTCCTTTGCACGATGTTCTTCGAGCCATCGACGCGAACCTCGTCGTCCTTCGATGCTGCTATGAAGCGCCTCGGCGGAGAGGTTGTCGTCATCAACGAGTCTGTATCTTCCACGCAAAAGGGAGAGTCCATTGCGGACAGCATCCGCACCCTTGGCTGCTACAGCGATGCCATCGTCCTCCGCCACCCGCAGGAGGAGTCCATCGACATTGCGACCAAGTTCTCCGACGTCCCGATCATCAACGCTGGCAACGGAAGCCGCGAGCATCCAACTCAGGCTATTTTGGACATCTTCACCATCCGTGAGGAGTTGGGAACCGTCAACGGCCTGAACATCACCTTCGTCGGTGACCTCAAGTACGGCCGCACCGTGCACTCGCTCTGCGAGCTCCTCTCCCACTACGATGTAAACATCAACCTCGTCTCACCTGCGGAGCTCCCGATGCCCAACTCTGTCCGCGACGCGCTCAAGTCCCGAGGCCAGCTCTCGACCGTCTCCAACGAGCTCAGTCCCGAGATCGTCGCCAAGTCGGACGTCCTGTACTGCACTCGCGTGCAGAAGGAGCGCTTCACCGACCTGGCCAGCTATGAGCGCACCAAGGATGCGTTCGTCATCGACAACAGGGTGCTCAAGGCGGCCAAGGACAACATGATTGTCATGCACCCGCTGCCGAGGAACAACGAGATTCACGAGGAAGTGGACTTTGACCCAAGAGCGGCGTACTTCCGCCAGGTGAGTACTCTTTCCCCCCTACTATGGAAGTTTGCTAATGAATTGTAGATGAGGTACGGATTGTATACGCGCATGGCGCTGCTCGCTATGGTCATGGCAGCGTAGATTGTGTTTCTCTCTTCATGATTCGATTGGACGAGGCGTTTTTGAGATTTCGACTATACACCACACCAAAAGCATCACAACTTGGAAGGCGTTCTTTTCTGTCATTCATTCCGTTGCCTAGATAATTAGGTTACAAGCATTAGACCGGAGTTGCTCGCGTGTAGATACGTCCCATTGTAGTAACCATCACTGGGTAGGGGGGACCTATTTCAAATTTTATCCGATGTACTTTATTGGATTTTGTATATCTGGGTTTGGGGGAAGCTATTTCATTTTTTTGGCGAGGTGGTTTTGGGTCTGGGTGGGTCTGGGTGGTCTGGGCTTTGGGTTTAGGGCGTTTTACACGGACGCGATTGGAGGCATGGACTGGATATGGGCATCGGATGGGCATTGGATCGACGGAACAATCGATCCTGGATAGCATTTGGGCGGCGTTTGGGATAGATACACTCTCCGAGACTTTCTCGCTTTAAGTGGTGAGAGAATCCACAGTGGCCGACAATAGAACTGAAGTTCTTGTGGTAATGCGTTTGTCATTAACACTTGCGCCAGACCATTAGACTGCACTTTCGAAGATGTATAGTAGAGTGAGTTCCGACTGTATTAGGTGCGCTCTAGAAGGTGGACTTCAGGTTTTTGTGTCGGCCATTGCGATCCTCGGAAATCAGTCGAGGATTCCTGCTTTGACTAGCTCAAACTTGCTTCCTTTGAACACCAGAGATTAAGACACGCACATACCTACTGGACCTTGCTTGTCTCACACAAGTTCGGCATGGCCATGATTCACGATTTAGAATGTACCTGTTCATCGAAGAACTTTGGTTAAGAATTACGCCTGAGTAGTGGTATAGTACAATGTGTATGCAGAAGCTTGGTCATGTCTCCACTGCATCGTGAGGGAAAAAGAAAAAAGGACATGTATACAACCGGCCATCAAATCGCAGGCCCTTGGCCTGTTCTGTTTCTTGCATGACTCCTTCTGCCATCTTCCTCCTTGTCTGGCTGTCCACCAACCGCACCTACCTCCTCAGACATCTTCCCCAGGCTGGCAACCCACACCCAAACCCGACAAACAGGTATATGAGGAAGATCACAACCAGCACCAACAGCACCATCAGCTTGACATTCTTCCACCACATTCTGCGCCTCAGCCCGCGACTCCGCACGCGGAAATCCCGCGCCGTGTCGCCCAGCCGGCCCGTCTTGTCCACCAGCAAATCCAAGCGCTCCCCGCGATCTAGCACGCGCTCGATGTTTTCTGTCATGATCTCCCGCACGCCCTCGATCTCGCGCTGGGCGGTGCGCAGCGCGTCGTCCTTGCCCGCTTTGGTGCCGCCTTGCTCGATCATGAGGGATTTCATCGTCGCATTGAACGAGGCGCAGCCGTAAGAGGGCAGGGCAGCGAAGTCTGTGGACTCGGCATCGAAGACTTCGAAGAACTTCTTTTCCAAGGTAGCGAGAAAGCCGAATGGGATGCGCTGGCCCAGCTGCTTTTCCGCGACCACGAGGAACGTCAAGCCGCCGGCAGAGTGCTGGGCCGCGGGCAGAGAGCTGGGAGATAAAGTGTGGTAGTGCGCGAAGTAGGGGTCTACGTCGAGGGTTTTGTGTTCGGCGGCTGCGTGAGAGAGTTTGGGCAGGATGACGGAGAGAAGGGAGGACGTGTTTGACGAGGGACGGGCGGTGTGCTCCGCGAGGATTTTGGTGCCGTGGGCTATGCCGGCGCTGTAGAGCTGTGAGCGTATGGCCTTTGGGGGAGGTTTTGGGCGGCGGGAGAGGGACATACTAGAGGAGCTGCGTGGAGCTGCTGGATGAGGACGCCATGGTGACGACGGGGGCGGGCTGTGCGCCGAGTTCAGTTGGGTGGTATTGCGATTGCGACTGAAATCGATAGCGCTGGCGTATATGGCCTGTTGTGTGGATAGGCAATCGAATGGGGGGAGCTGGTGTTGATGTGTTGGTCAAGATGTCGCTGCCTCGCAGAGGTCCAACAGCGCAGCGTCATCCTGCTTAGCGAGCTAGCCCCAACCAGCAACGCGCGGCCCCAATGCCTCGGCGATAAATTGTTGTAGGGCTGAATTAAGTCGCGAACTCGAGCATCCCACCAGCACACCAACAATGACATAGCAACGCCAGCATGGTCCGCGTAAAGAACCGCTATCTAGTGGTCAACATCCTCTACCCGACCTCGAGCCCCGCTGCCAAAGCGAGCGACGCCGTTCCCGAGCTCCTCCAGTTCCACGCGCCTACCTCAGATGCGTTCCACACCGGGCAGCTTGTGCGGCTCGTGAGAGAGGGCATTACAGAGCTATTTGGCGACTATGGGATGGGCATGGCGAATCGAACGCTCAAGGGTGAATATCCCCGGTATTGCATACTCGCGGCACAATTAACAGCAAACAGTCACATACTGGTCCCCCGCAACCTCGACCGCCATCATCCGCTGCCCGCGCGAACACTACGAGATGGTCTGGGCGGCGCTAACGTTCACGACGAAGCTACCCCGGCCGATAGACACGCCGGTCGTTTTCAAGGTGGTTAGGGTCAGTGGGACGATTAGAAAGGCGGAAGAGGAGGTTATAAGGAGGTCAAAGGGGATTATCAGGAAAGCGAAGGAGGTGGAGAAGGGTAGGAAGGATAGGCTGATGGAGGGGGTAGTGCAGGCGGTCGAGAAGAGGGGCGAGCCTGATGCCGTGTTGGCCCAGGTCGATGAGGCGGAGGAGAGTGAGAGCGACAGCGACTAGAGGACGATCATGTCAGGAAGCTTTCGATTGCCCCACGTCGACATACTGGCTGCTTGATGAGCGATGCCATAAGAAGATACGACTAGCAACAGCTCACGAACACGGAGCCACACATGTCGCACACACTGAGGGCATCGAGCACTTGCCCATCCCGCGAAGGCGAAGGCTTCGTGGGGACCCGGCGCATAGTGTGCGACAACACGAACAGAAGAGCGACTAGACGCTGGATATCGGCGCCGAATGCCCGACGATAGCTTTCATCGAGTTCGAAACAAAGGACACCCGCAGACGTCACAAACCGAATGAGGGTCTTGGAGTCCCGATGCAGCGGTACACAAAGCGGGCTCGCCCGCAAACGTCCAGAATGCGCACATTTGAAACAGACCTCCTCCTCTCCCCGCGCTCATTTGGCGTGGATGACAGCACTACCCCACGGACGTCATTGACGAGGCCCGACATTGTGGTCTCACAAAGCGCTGTCTTGCCCGCAAACGTGGACTGAAACACCGACGCTGGGCAACAATTCTCACCTCCTCCACTCACCTGTTTCCTAAACAAGTGATAAGCGTATATTTGGACAGTCTGTTCCTCAAGATCGCCACCAGACACTTTCAATCTCCGGACCGACGAGCGGAAACTGCACATTCCATCCAGTATACACGGTCTTGCACTCGGCTTGAGACATCAGTCTAAAAAGTTAGGCCCAGCGAACTAGCACCATCATCACAAGTAGCCTCATCGGTAATGCCGATCCCACGGCCCTCTTTCGCATCGCACCGATCGCGCAGTTACGACGCAGATGCGAAGACATTCGAGCGGCCGGGCATGAGATGTCTCGGCACACGAAGCCTGCAGAGCAACGCATGTAAAGACAGAGACGGCCACTCCGCATCGCGAGACAAGCTTTCTCCACTCGCTCCGACGTTTGGACCCCGCAAAGGCATCGTTCCGTCAGGCACCGTCGATCGTAGACGCCGTGTACCCCGCTACCTACCGTTCGTGGATCAGCGTCTTCTAGTCACGCATGGGATTCGGGTTATCGAGCCGCACTCGGTGCCGGTGCGTGATGCAAAGCAAGTTGTACCTGCAGCGATAGTCATATCCGGGGACGAAGACCGGAGGGTGGTGTGGGAGCCTGGGCGGGATTATGTGGAGGTGGATCCTACTTTTTGCGCAGAGAATCTTGAAGAGGCTGTAGAAGAGGTCGGCGTGTAGTTACGATCTTGCAGTGAATCAAAAGTCGTTCTATGTCCTACCACGGTTGTAGTGTCTACGGAGTGACCCGACCCGCAATATAGCCCCCAGACTGATCCACCAGCACTTCTCCTCACATGAACACTGTCCTGGCGGGAGACGTGCCCCTTGCTCGGCCTTTTATCGCTCTATGATTATGACCCTCTAGGCGGCAAGGAGCACCCAATTGGGTTATCTGTGTTTGCAAGACTTCAGGCAACGACCGACGCGTGGTCCAGCCAACCAAGAATTCCAATACAAAAACTCGGGTTCAATAACAGCTCTCTATCGAACATCTATGCGCTACATTTTGTCGGTTCCAAACTCTAGAAGAATACTATCTAGACTAGTCTTCTTGATAACCTCTCTTACTCCATATCCATTTCCTACCCCTTCGAGCCAACATCATACTTGCGTTACAAGCTTTCTCAAATCATGAACCCAGATGCCTCACCAGCCCCTGTAAAATGCAATACATCACCGGATAATGAAAAAGACACACAAGCCTCAATCGCAGCCCTCGGCGCCGAAATCACCGGCCTCGCCGTCTTCCGCCCCACGACCGACGCCATCACCCCCGAGCGCGTGAACGAACTCATGGCACAGATGCACGTCGACGTGCCAGCAGGAGGCGAAGACATCTCGTATGGCGCGTCACCCGCGCAGGTTCTGCGGTACTGGAAGCCAAAACCCAAAGGCGAAGGGAAAGCGCCTCCACTCATCGTCTTCATTCACGGGGGAAGCTGGCGCGTAGGCACATATCTAGATTCGCTTGGGAGTAGAAAGGTGGAGTGGTTGGTGGGCAGTGGGTATGCCTTCGCGAGCATAAACTACACGCTCATCCCCGCCGTCAGCGTGAAGCAACAGGTCCAGGAATGCGCAGACGCCATATCCTTCTTCACCCAGCGCGCGCCCTTCTTCGGCTTCGATGGTGACAGTATTGTGCTAATGGGACACTCGTCCGGCGCCCACGTCGCTGCGCTGTTGGGCACGGATGCACGGTATCTAGAGAACGTGGGCGTGGGAACGGACAAGATCAGAGGTGTGGTGTGCATCGATGGAAGTAATTTCAACGCCGCTGCGGAGCTGCTCGACTCCCCTGGCCCGGTGGCGGAGAATATGCTTGCTGGGCTGGGAGACGATGTTGGTGTGCTGAGGGATATGAGTCCGACGTATCACGCGCGAGGGCCAAACGCCGCCGCCTTCCTCCTTCTGCAAGCCCAGCGACACGGCGATATAAGACAAGCCGTGGAATTCGAGGCGAGTTTGTTGGCGGCAGGGACGAAGGTCGAGGTGAGGGTCTTTGAGGGGGAGTTTTTCGAGGGACATGTGGCTATGTTGATAAGGCTGGGAGATGAAGGGTATCCGGCGACAGGAGTCGTGGGGAAGTGGTTGAGGAGGGAGGTGCCTGTGGCGTAGGTGGGAGGTGAGGAAATCCAGGATGGGTGCGAGAACCTTTCATCTTTGAGATGCGTCCACCAAAGACAAGCTCTTGGTTACTGGTTGTTGATGAGGCGCTAACGCAACTTCCACCTTTGGGTGGGAGAATCTTCACTTACCCATACAACTGCATACCCAAATTGCTCCTCTATATATAGTTTCGCTTTCAAAAGCTACTCACCAAATCAAACAAGAAATCACCTATGATTTCTTTGAGATGGGCTTCGAAGTGGCTTTTAGGTTTTGCCTATTTATCTTCCATAGCTTGAGAGGAAGATCAGACGATGCGCCTGTTTGAACACCCACCTGGGAAGCTCTTTATGTGTTTCAAGGAGAACTCAACACAATCTATTCAGGACTGCGTTGTATCACAAGCACTTGAATACACACTAGTGTACTGTCTGTGCCTATCTATGGTAGTGATGAAATCCCTGCATCGAAGTCTACCCCACCCTATCATAAGTAAGCATGTATCTCTGGTACGGACCTGGCCTATCGGCCGGTGCATCAAAGTTCTCGCATGCGATGGTAGATTTCTGTCCCTCGGGGCCATTGAGGACCCACCCCTGCTGTCCAGGGATCCCACTCCCAAAAAAGCAGTCGTACGTGAACGGGATCGACGTGTATCCAGAATGAGTGGAGAACTGATGGCAGCGGAGGTCGTCAAAGCACGCCCTAGCGCAGTGGTCGAGGGCTTGCGTGTAGTTCTGCGCAATTAGGCCGTCTTGCTCGGTGCCTTGCAGATTGTTCTCCGAGCCAAGCGGGTAACAGAAATGTTCGTATTGACCGCCGTATTTGTAGATCGCAGTGGTGGTAGCGACGGCGCTGGTCTTTGTTGTGGTGATGGTTGGGACAGTGGTAGTAGAGGTTACCACGGCCGTGGCAGTATCAGTGTAGGTTGATGTGACTATATGGAATGGGAACTGTGTAGCTGTGACTGTAGGGGACGTGACGAAACAGCTGCATGCGGTGGAGACAACAGCTGGAGGGAATTTTCGCAGCGCTAGTAATGTCAGATCATAGGGTCAAATGAGTTGGGGGCTTTGATTTACGTTTAGGTACTTCGACGCGAATGTTTAGCATCTTCGATCGTTCTTCCAGGGTACTCCTTGAACCTACATCATTGAGGCCTGTAATGATGGCTGTAAAAGCTGCCCTACGAATACGTCAGAGCAACCTTGGCATTAGGGGCATTATATTTTATACGTAGTCGTTGTTGCCGTATACGTCGTCAGTGCTGTGGTCTCAGTCAAAGTCGAGGTGGCCAGGGTCAAGGTTATTGTCTTTGGCGTTGTGATTGTCGAGGTGCTCGTAGTGGTAACAGTTTTGGTTGACACATGAATATATGAGGAACAGAACGACGAAGCTCCCAGTCGGCTGAGAACAGCTAAGGCCTTGTTTTTGAAGCATGGGTTAGCGCCCTGCGGAGATGCATAGTGATCAGGAGCAGCAGTCGATCTTGCAACGAGCAACAAGCTGCTGAGGGCTAAGGATACATGCATATTCTAGGAGTGGAATCTCAGAAGCAGACAACGAGAGCCGAAACGAGAGATAACGTTTCCACACACCCGTGCATCTTTACAATCTTTATATTAGGAGAGTAGCGCACGCCACAATACGAGAACTGTCTATATTTAGGATCTCGTGGGTCCACAGGTCCACAAAAAGCGTGTAGCAAAGCCTTACATGTGGTAGTATCCCGAACTGAGCCCTGAAAGCTGGAGACATTCTCGGAATGATACCTGCCGGAGAGGTTCTGCGCAAGCCGTTGCATATTCTCTTCTCAGACTACTTCCAATTGCCACGACTTGTTCACAATGACAAGAATAATAAAAGAGATTATCCGCTTGTGTGTGAGGTGAAAATTGACACTGGGGCCCTGTGCTCATTGATTGGCCTCCGGACACGCGAGAAGTCACACCCAATCAGGATTTAATACTGTGACGGAAGTCCGGTCCTAGCGTTCAGCTTCATGCAAGGTTCCATTGGTTCGACATCGAACTCGCCTACAATACGATGGTTATCGGTTTGCTTCCGCTAGCGCCCATAATTGTCATCTGTGAGAAATGTGAGATGCGTTGGCCAAATACAAATCTATGGTGAGGGGTTTGACAAAATGTGTACTTAGGCTGTGAATTCTGGTTCTTCTGACGTCGTATTTACCGATCTACTTTGTGTACCCCAGCTTTTCTGGCCATCTCTAGCTTTCGATACTCCCCTCTTCAAAGAAACACGTAGTGAATGAATTTCATGATCATGGTAACGTCCGCATGCTTTCCAAGTGTTGCTAACGATGGGGCCTAGAGCCTGGCTTGGAACTTATCCCCATTGTATTAAGACAATGTTGCTCAATCAAAAGAGGACAAACTAATCGAGTTGACGATCCGGTTTGGCGACGTCCTAGGTAGCCACTGGTAGACATCCCAGAAAATTGTGACGTAACAACGCTCCATGGTGGTCTCTTAGTGTCTTCTATCGCCGTTCATTGTGCGCTGTGGCATCCGAGTAACGCATTCTAGTCTAATTTCACTGTGTATAATCATGTGGCACAAAAGATGAGCACTTCACTTTATAATAATGATCATTATCCAACCGAGAACCTTACGTCACCACAAACACCCATCGCCAACGCTGCGCGAGAGAGCCCAAAGACTGCCATACACTATATACACATTGTTACTATACCAAAATCCCCTCGCAGAATGAACTCTATAAGACATCCACACTTAGGCTACATGTATATATACTTTTCTTGAGCCATAACTAATATATTAAGTCACACTCCACCATCAAGTCGCACATCGATTCAACCTGAACGGAAGGATCTTGCTCGACTTGCAACATGTTGTACCCCATTTTTAGTCTACTGACCTTGAGCCCTGCTGACTTAGAGCTTATCCATAATATCTATACTCGACTGTTCACCTAGGATGCACTGATGTAGAAGCTGGACAAGGAGCTCAGATCTACAGGTTAGCCTCCCGTGGTGGAAAGTTTGAAATCTCTAGGACCAACCGAGAGTCACAAATCCCATCGGGAATCGAAGTATACATTCCTTCGAGCCAAAGGCATCTTGACATAGAGTTTGGATCCTCTGATGATTACATTAGCTGCAATGCGGAGGACATCCATCCTGTTTTTTGGTTCGAAAACCTTAAGAGCGGGCTCCCCGAGGATTTGGCAATGAAAGCCTGGGTTGCCATGGCACCGGCTTTGGCTCTTGCCACCAAGTGGATAACAACTCCTGAGCTATAGGGTCTTTGGCACCATCTGTCATTTGGAGAACTTTTCGTTGAAGACGGCAAGACTTCTCTGGAGCGATCACCACTTGAAGATGATCTCTTGATGGCTGTACGTATTTCGCAAACGTCCTGACGGCGATGGCGTCTAAGCTCAAGTTTTGGTGGTTTCCGCACGATCTTCCAGATGTTGGGTATTCCGATGGAGTTTCTTCTAATTAGAAACTCCCTTACGATTATCGGCATACTCAGCCCTTGTTTTGCTAAAGAGATCGGTGCGCAGTACGGGTACTTGGAGTCAGCATCACGTGTCTACGAATACGATGGCTACATTGGCCTGAGTAGTATCAACCTCTATAGACTCTTGAACCCCCAAGTCGCGTGCAAACTCGGATAAGTGTACTATGATGAGGTTACAGGTGCGAATGGCACTTATACTATGCCATAAACTGAGTCATGCGATGTGTGGCTGGCGTTGTTTACCGCAAGAGAAACCTTACGTATTTCCATCTGATGCGATGGCAGAAGCTGGTTTCAGTTGGAGTCAAAATGTGCTCGGTGCGGACTTGTTCTTCGTAAATGACAGTATGTTCTGCTTGTATTGCCGCACGTACAAAAACTTGTATAGTTGGCCTGGTCTTGCCTACGTCGCTTACGATCGGTAGGTAGAAGCCTGGTTTAAGAAAGACACATGGGAGCAAATTGGGGAAGTGGTGAGAAACAATCTCTTAAGAATAAGGAATGCTTCCAGTCTACCAGGACCGACTTTTTGGAGGGCAGATCTCCTCATTGAGGGTCGGTTCCGCCCGGTCAGTTACATGAATAGAGAAGTTGTCTGGCCGGAGGACGCAGTGGGGAAGGAAGGTGCTCCGCCAGAGGGCATGTCGCCGGAAGAATGGTACGCTGAAGTCAGGCAGCAAGAGATGGAGCTGGCAATAGCAGCTGGGTTGGACGAAGAAGTTGGGATTTTGGAGGAAGCGGAAGGCCGCTATACAGAGAAGGTCTAGAAACTCTCTAGGTCCGTCCATTGAAGTCCAACAGCTCACTTGGGATAGTTCCGAGGACCTTGTTGATTTGGCGGCGTAGATTTTAGTCGGCTTGAGCCGCTCATGTAAGACTGGCTGCCGAAGCTTGCCTGAGGCTGGCACTCTTTTCAATCCACCCGCTTGGAAGCGGTTTAGTGTTCGCACTTAGTAAACAAATCATATTCACTGAGCGCAGTATATGTCACACTTGCTAAGAAGTGAACAAGCATTGCGATCTCAAAGACGCTAGCTTCAAAGAATTCAATTGAGTCAAAGCGCAAACTACGTCATAGAATTCATAACATCATCGCAGCACTACGGTTTTCTGATACATCGATATAAATCATTTGATTTGCAAAGTACGACAGGTTTATGGAGTTCTTGGATCGCTAACATGTCACAAACAGGTTCAAAAGCGGACCACATGAGCTACCGCATTGGTCGTGGCGAACAAGGCGTCCTTACGTTTGAGCCCTACAGTGCCGAGATTCTACCACTCTGGCGCTTCAAAACCCCTGCTATTGCTCGCCAGAGTTCCAAAAAAATATATGACAAGTTTTTTGAGTATGAGAAACAAGACGACTTTGTGGGCATGGATATGTGCCGGAAGTTCCTGCAGATGGTGAGTCGCGTGACCTTTCAAGGTTGATTTCATCGTAAATTGTATTCATGGACGACCAGGGTATGACAAGGGCAAAGCGATATGCGAATCATGCGGGAGGAAGGAAATATGACAAGGAAACTGGAAAAGAGCTCGGGAGAAGCACCAACCATGAGGGTGCCAAGGAAAAGCTGGAGGCTTCGATGATTTTCAGAGAGGTTTGGGAGAAGGCGAAAACGTATGAGACATACGTCGAGAAGAAAAAAATATTCCTCAAAGAGCAAAAAGAGTGGGATAAGCAGCAGAAGAAAGAGGCGAAGGTGTGAACTTAGCATGACCAGCGAAAATTTGGTGGTGTATAACGCGAACGAAGAAGAGTCAGAGCGTCGCTATTGTTGTGCTGCCGCCTTAAGGATCTGTGCTGTTCACAGAGCAGTGAAACAACAGCGACGTCCCAGCAAGCGCATCACAGCTGAAAATATCGAACAATTGTGGAATCGATAATGCTCACCTCTCTAGGCCTAGAAGAGGTGAGTAGACCGTACACCATCAGCGACATGTCAACCGATGCCAGCCATGGTCGAATACTTCAAATGTAAATGCGTGGGCGGTCACCGCCGTTGCGTTTTCCATGATAGCAACACCCTTCGAGCCAAGGAGCACACATCAACAGCACTGGAGTTGTCGAAAAACCATGTCTCCATTTAATTTATATTGTGTCGCCAGTGAGCTGAAGCCGACATGATTGAGATTGATATTTAATTACCACAATCGCAATTGACAACAATACTTTCAGTCCCATTGCAAGCTGACATGTCCACTAAGAGACCACAACATTAGGACCAGAGAGAAAAGAGATTTCAGTCCACAATACCTCGCTCTCTAGGCTCAATTTCCTGCACGATTTGTGGCCAAGATTCCAGTGTTACCGTTCAACGTGATCCGCTCAGCCCATTCTCACGGTGGCGCGCGGATAATCTTCAGAGGAACGACCCGCATTTACCCCAGTCGCGCACCTAACCCCCGACCCTTGCGCAGCCCTAAATCACACAGCATATTCGCTTCTGATTTCTACATTGAGAACGCCACAATACCAGTGATGCAGCATAGAAGCGGATGCGGAAGAATCGCCGTGGGTGCAGGTAATATCGAGAGTTCGTTTGGTATGGGGCTGGCATAAGCGATATAGCGGTGAGTAGCAGCAAGCCCAAGTGTTGGGTCAGGCAATCGAGTGGGCGAGGTGTTCGTCCGGTGACCTGGGGCTGGTTGTACCGCGTCAACGGCGGTGGGAAGGCTTGGCGGAGCTTCTTGTCGGCGCATTACAAGCATCAACCCAAAATCTAACGAAGGTCTCTTTGATTAAAATGTTAACCAAAGGCAAGATTGTTCCGATAAATTTAACATTCTCTTGAGATAGAAAGGGAAATAATATCATCAGGAGACTAGGGGTTTTTTTTTTTGGTTTTTATTTACCGCAGGCACAAGCTCTGTACCTTCATACGCCCCAGCGTAGGCGGACATATTTCTCATAACAGCTGCTGACTCTGAAAGTCCCATATCATCAAACCGAACCATCCAACGTCATAGAAATTACTGAATATGGGGCTGTGCGGCTAAGTGTCACCGGGTGCTCGAGGCCTTTCCAGTCTGCCTGGTACCATGATAGAAATCCCGCTCTTCTCGGGAAGGGAAAGGGGTCTCCAGAGGTCCAGGTCAAAGCGCGGATGGCAAAGAAGACTGGAATACTCCATCGAAGAGACCATGGTATCATAAAGCCGTGCTTAGCTCTACCGTGTATCTCATCGCTGTCCGGGCTGATCGAGATTCTGAGGTGCCAAACCGGCAACTCGCAACGTACTCGCCGATCATTGCTTTTGCTTCCATTCGTAGCCCTGTCGCTCGTTTTGTGACAGCGCTCTTTGTCGAAACAAGTGCGATTGCGAGGGAAATGATGTATATTGGATGAGTTCAGGTCGCTTGATTCATCCTTGGGATGCTTCGCATGGGGCTGGATTTGGCTGTTTTTTGCAGGTGCAAATTGCTGTCTTGCACATTACCAGTGAGCGAACCGACCTCAGCCTAGTAGTCAGGATGGACCGCGCCGACTCCGGATCCGACGATCCCTGCATGGTTTAGCGCAAGTCCGGAGGCCAGATCAGGTCTACGTGCCACTAGGAGCAGGCCTTGTTATCCCACATACACCACTTAGAGGCCTGGCCTCTAGCGGTAACGATGTCTCCAGATGTAAGCCAGCCACGTATTTCCCCAAAACTCAACACTTCCACAATTCTGTATATTTATAAGATCTACTGAATTAATTATAGCTCTATGCGATGCAAGGGAAGCAAAAATTTATTCTTCTCTATCTAGGGAAAAGCATATTACTCGCGTTTCTATGCTGGCTGCCTCCTCGCTTAGGCCCGAAGAAATATTCACCACCAGAGCGCCTGGGCTCTGCTCGCCGGTCAGCCACTCTGCACCTAGAACTATTCTTCACGTCTCTGCCGGTCCTAAGCCTCGGCGTATGTGACCTGTCCGTTCTGGGGTGGGCTTAACAGCCTGTAGGTATTCGTCAGATACTTAAAATGACACGAGTGCCCTTCGCAGCATACTCTTCTCCGCTCACGACTATAGACCTGGTCCTTGCAACAGTTTTTCCCTTTGTCCTTTGCAATGGATAAAGGAATAGATATCGATGCCCTCGTCAGCGCGTATGCCGACGTCTTCGCGACAAAGGAAGCCGTACTTGACGACAAAGGAACGGGCAGCATCGGCTCGAGCCCCAAGGAAACTACCAGCGACTTCAACAAGAAGCTGGAAGAGGCTGGACGCAAGCTGATCCGCGCAGCGTTGGGGAAAGTCATTGAGATGATTCCAACCATCGGCGGGCCGCTTTCCGATATTATTACTAGCCTGCTTGAGCCGGAAGAGCCAGACGAGCTCAAGATGACATTGGAAAATATCAACAAAAAGCTGGACAGCATTGATGCACGAGCCAGAGAATCCATGCCTCTCATGTTTGTGACGGATGCGCACAACGAAGCCCAGAATGTACGTAATGAACATCGAATCAATAGAATCTTTCCACGTTAACATTCCGTCCATTGCAGCTTAATAGCACCATCAACTTTGTTTTCAAAAAGCTGCAAGTGGCGAGCAAGCATGGAGACGTGAAGGAGTTCTACAATGTGCTTCGAACCATCGATGCGGGGAAGAATGAGCTCGCCCTGAACCTGAGCATCTTACACGACAAGCTCGTCAAGGCCAGGCCTAAATTGACCAATAAGGATGGTGATACGCTCAATGACCCCTTGCTCGACTATATTCGTAAGCAACTAGAACAAAGAGCGTTGGACGTTGATGGTAGTTTCAGCTACAACGTCAACAAGTTTCAAGGTCAAATGCGACAGTGGTACGACTATTTCGCCGATATCCAGCAGCGAGGAGCTGCATTGCTCGTAATATACAGGCGTTGCACGGACCTGACTCGCTGGACAAATTTCTCCGCCACTACAGAGAAGGAAAAGGCTGTTGCAGAGAAGGCAAAAGACGCTACCGTACGCTATGAGCGAGAATGTCAGGACACATTTCAGGAGAGGCTGGAAGAATATAACAAGAAGCTCCTGCGCGGTTCACTTTTCGATCGCCCGGCGGTGCAAGTCATCAAAAATTTGATGGAGAGCTCTAAGGGCGACATGCTACCCAAGTTCTACACATTGAGATGTGCCAACGGCGAATATCTCGGCGTGGAGCTGATGCAACACAGGATGCCACGACACGGTTCGCAGCCACAAAAGTATGAAGAGTACGCTGTCTTCGCGCCATGTCTGCAGTCTAGGGAAAAGGACGATTTTCGTGCTGCGCTACGTCCTGTTTTTGATAGTGACAAAGGCGTCTTCGCTCTCGCAGCCAACCGACATAAGCATGGTTTCGAATGTCCCCAGGATACCTTGCTGACTCGAGATACGCGGCACGATCCACAGAAAGAGCGGCCCGGAGTGGGAGGCTCAGGTCCAGCGGTATATTTCAAGCTTATTCCTTTCGAGGACTCAGACCGCATACGTGCCGTGTTGATCAATCGCGCGGGGGACGGCAAGCAGGATATGTGGGATTGCAAGCTTGAGCCTAGCAACATTCTGGATGCTGGTCGACTCGTGTACACCGGGCCGGACTGCAGCGCGCAGATTCACCAGATCGCATCTAGGCCATTGTTCGACACCTACCGGTGCTGGCTGTGGGTGGACAACTTCATTGAAGACCATGTGCTCGTCTTGCAAGACATCAGACTAAACGACGGCGAAGTGGAGACACTTCAACATGTCTGGCTCTCAGGTCAAGCACATCCTGTCGTCTGGTATGCGGGTTATTTAGTAGAGGGTCTACTCAAGTTCGCGATCTACAAAATCCATTCCAAGGACAAAGCCAAGGACGCATCGTTCATTCGGGAAAGTCTTCGTTTCGATGAACATCGGAACCGATTGAACATTGCACCGAATGTCGCCGAGCACGTCTGCAATCTAATATGTAAAGTTGAAGTGCCGCATGGATGGCTCTCAAATAAGATGAGTACCATACTTCTCGGAAAGGATGAAGAGATGGGGCGACTACCATGTCAGACTGATCAGTTGTGTGGACGGACGCTGAGCGGGAGATTGGACGAAGTTGAGCACTCGTCTGGCAACCGTCGAGATTTTGACGGCTTCGGCTTCCATGTTACTTGCGTCATCGAGAAAGGCGATATCACTGGTGGGCAGTTGCGACTGACCAAGGGCTGAAGGGTGAGGTTGGCGATTGTACTGTAGTCTCAAGCTGTCACCGATGATGCTCGGCTCGCAATTTCTCGATCGCCATACGCTCACTCCCAAGATGAGGAAAGAGTGCATCTATTATGCGACCGAAATCAGCTAGTATATCATCGTCAATCGTTAGCGTTCGCCATTGACGACTGACTAAGAAATGCACAAAACACTTAAGGGCTTGAATGTGACTGAGAGGCCGACTTCCATAATAAACTCGGACTCTCAGTCCGACATGGACGCCCAAAGAGTCTACGAGATTCTGCACAGCATTTATGGTGCCATCTCAATGTTTAGAGACTACGTCTTCTCCGCACGACCCTTTGACACAGAAGAAAAGCATCACTTTCTCTGTAAACGGGATGTTTCTGCTTTCAGGATACGTCGCGGAGACCTTGAAGGCCCATGACGGATTTGTCTTGCGATAAGGAAATCCGCTTTTCAGGCAAGGATGCATATTAGAAGTTGGCAATTGTGGGTCCAGGGAGTGGGAATGAGCAAGGTTTTACTAGATATGATCAGGCCGAGCCTAGGTTACCCACGTGTGCCACAGCGTATGCTCTTCCCATTGGTGCGTTAAGACTGTACTGCCCTGGGTGCGATTATCCATGTCAAGCTGGAAGTGAATCATTCCAACTTGATTCCTGAGCAGCTTATCGCACAGTGTGTCGCTTCCGAGAGTCCATATCTTAGTAATTACAGTGGCCTACTGCGTGAGACTTTGACAGTGAGACAAAGATTCATCAGCGTACTGCGGTGGCCTTTGCCGGCAACAAACCCATCGGCATGCCATGGCTCTGCACGCCCAGTAAACGCCTATCGCTCTCATTGCAAGATATTCGACACTGGTGACTGCTGCCATACTTCTAAAGCAGATTTCGTGGACATGATACATCCTGTTTGCATCCTGTCCCAGCTGCAGCAGTGGGATACATACTACATTTCCTATCTTTCTAGTCCATTTTTCTTTTCCTCATATCAACATACATCTATCGGCATTATATTGCCTGGAGGGCTCTAACATGTTAGCATTCACGATAAACCTTTGTCTTTAAACGTGCATGTGACGAGGTATACGGAAACATTGCACCATCCTCACACCTAGAAAATTAATCCAGGAAACAACAAAACCACCGTCATGAATTTACTGTCTTTGATTGTTGAAAATCTCTATTTTCCCACTTGTGGCATGGACGCAGCATTGATGGAGCAACAGTCTACAAGACATGGACAAGACAATTGTCTGACGCAGAAGCAGGCGGAGCAGGCCATTTTGTGAATGCGCGATGTACTGGCGTTGCGGAGCTCAGACTCAGGTAACATCACGGAGGCGTTGGATATCATCTTAGCCGGTGATTTTGGCTTGTCGGCCGACTCGTATTCGATGCTTGCCGGGTATCTGCGGCAGGTCGGCGTGTTCAACACGACGAATAAGCGGCAAGAACTCGAATTGAAGGACGGAGGAGAGATATATCTACTAGACGGCTGATGAAGCGAAGGGGTAGCAAACGATTCGAGTCGTTGGAGCTTATCGTGTGTCTTTAGCTGGATTCACAATCTTTTTCGTGGATTATTCGAGGGGGGCCATTGCGTAGTCTGCGTCAACAATCGAGACGTCTTTCTGTGTTGTCATACCGATTCGAATTTCGACCTTGTGTCACCAGCCTGACAACCGACACACCATTGCTGACTTACATGCCTGCACACCATCAACAGCACATGCGTATCCGCGAACCCAAAACACCTCGGCGCCCTGCCCATTACCTCCTCCACCTCACTGCCCACTCTCCAGAAAACAATAACCTACAGCTCTCAACCCGCTGATCCCCACGTGCCCACCCCTCAAAACCCAAAACTCCCCCGACAGGCACGTGGTGGCGTGCACATCTGAGATCGCCTGTCGATCTGCTGCACAAAGCCGAGAGATCGTCGCAGCTTCGCCGGGCCGTGATGTGTATTTGGAACAATCTTTCGCAGTCTGGAAAGTGGAAACAGAGTCGGATTGCACAAGTTTGCTGGACTGGCGCTGTAGAGAGATGCGTGGTAATGTAAGGATTCCCATGGCTAGTAACACCCTCGATTGCCCTGGAGTCTTAGAGGTAGAATGTCACGTGATGCATTTAGCGAGGAGAGGACGGGAGTGTACCGTATTTGGCAGTTCTAAGAGATGTCGGAAACGGGTGCATACTGCTGTACCAACCTACCCAATTCAGAAGGTGCGCAGAGCCTCTATGCTGCGCAACTAGAGAGTCTGAACACCTTTCATCAATACTTTTCGCAAGACCACCTGATGCGGAAGTTGAGCAGAGCCGTATCTGCTCAGAATTATGTGTTACATAGACACTTTCGATGGAGTTCAGACATGCCCCATAGGCAAGAGTGGAGCTTAAAACCACCGTTGCACATCGGGTTCGAGAGAGTTGGGGTTTGCTGGATTTAGGGATTTTGCGCGAGCATTTGCCGGAGGCCCGTTTGTAATGACTACGAGCACTCAGGTTAGAAAGCTGTGTGTCGGTGAGAGTTGAGATCTGCACTAGAGATGCAAAGATCGCATGATTATGTGAGAGGTGATTTAGAGATGTTTATGCGTGATTAGGAGCGTTGTATAGACGAGACGACAGCTCTAGCGGTTGGTACGTTTGCGATGTTTGTGTAGATATTACGAGGTATGTGCGTCAGCATGACTGGCGAGTGATAGTATACTTTCCGTATGCTTGCTTCATCACTTGGTGATTCCGTGGATGTGTGCGACGCGGACTGGTCAGTGCTGAGCGTCTGTTCTCCTGTTGTGAACATCCGGAAGGAACTGCTTCCGATGAATTCAAAGGAACATCTCGCTAGACCTGTTCCCCATATCCTTCCCATAACGATCGGAGCAGACGCATCCCAAGGTACTCGCACAGCCTATACCGACGAAGCCACCCTCTAATCTCCGACAAATTGTACGTCGCTGACTACATCTAATCACTCAAACACAATCATCCACATTCTCGGTTCTACAAGACCGAAAGCCGCACACCATGCACGCCCATCCGGCTTTCATGCCGCCGTCTCCGAGGATCATTCTCCTGGACCTTGCAGAACATCTACCCTAACGGACGTTGCGACGGAAACGGCCCGCTGGGCGGTATCCGCAGCTCCGCTTTTGTGGGACGGATACAACTGCGTGATGCGATGGCCAGAGAGTTGGGATTGGGTTGGGCAGCAGCGGACGGTCAATCGACGTCGTGGACAGCCTACGGGCCTCGGTACCTTTTGCGGGTGCGTGGCGCTGTGCGCGGCGGATCTCCGGGGGTGGAGACGCTTGAGACGTCCCTTGCACAGCGTCCCGATACGTGGTGTAGAATCGTCATGGAGCCCAGCGGAATGGAGCAGTCGTACGATGTGTGTGTTGTGCAAGCACAATGACGGCATGGTGGGTGACACTCACGCGGTGCAGACCCGTGCATTCTCAACTGCTCGATGAAAATCGTCCGTCGTCAGACGGTCGCTTGAACCCTGGCTTGCAGACACGGCAAGGAAATAGCGAATTGTGGAATGTGGAAAGCCAGCCGAACTGGCACAAACGCCTCCAACACGGTCGATAGCTCTCCCGCGCCCGGAACAGCTCGAGGCCCGACCCGCTTGACCCGCTTGCTCAACGAAGAAGGGCAACAGAAATCGCGTCCAATTCCAGGGCGATGATTTTCATCGGCTTCTGGGACGCGACGACCGGCGCGTCTGAAACGGGCATTCTGCACGGGCGGTCCCGCGAAACAGGTCCTGGCGTCGTGGGGAGAGCGCGGAGCAGACCTGCTGCATTGGTACTGGAGAACGGGCGCTGGGCACGGTTGTGCGTTATGCAGCGATTAGCAATTGACGATAATTGTGTCGGCGGCATGCCTCCGCGGAAGGACAAGAAGGATGCCGTGGTGGGATTTGAAACTTGGGGGACCGCATGGCAGGAGGATATGCACCTCAGGTTCGACACAGTTGGCTGCTGTGTGGTGTTGTGCATGGCCAGATGCTGAGGAACCCAAGTGTTCTGGACTGAAGGGGGTATGAAAATGACTCGGCAGGCGGCGGGGGGCCCTTGTTTGATCTGCTTCAAGACCGCGGGACCGTTGGACAGGGTTCGGCATTCGGCTGACTGGAGATGACGCGACGTGTTCTCGAGGGTTTTTATCAATCGAGGGATTTTATGTAAAAGGCGGGCAACAGCGCAACGTCCCGCAGACGGTGGTTCGTAGTCACCGCCAGCGCGAGACGGTCCGTCACGAGGAAAGGCGCGCCTGGTGGGATAGAGTTCACTAGCTGCTTCGTTTTAGCTTGGAAGTAGCGCCTTGGGCCCTCATCGCATCCTGGTTTTCCTCGTAGACTACTGTGCATAGCTTCCTTCTTTAATTCTAGCGTACGGGGCCTAGAATGAGGATGCTCGTATACGAAGCCACGGCAGGGTTCGAATTTACATAACAGAGCCTCCATGCAGGACACGAAGACTTTAAGATCCACCATGCAGTCGATGATGGCGTGATTAGTCGGGGACGTCAAGACGAAGCGGTCATATTTTGGTGTGCTATGAAGTGAAGACCGAACTGGTCTCTATGTGATGTTGAAGACTAAGATTACCTGCACGCGTCTTTGCTAGGAGGCCCATGGTAGAACACAGTAGGTGGCTTACTCGAGGCTTGATGCAACGCAACCATTGTTGCATCTGCGTTGTAGCCGTAAAAGGTAGACTAAGAATGCAATCTCGCTGGCTGCGCGGATCGTTCCCGGCTGCCATTCTGCCGGTCAGAGGTTGAGACTACGGACGCACTGTCGAGGCACCGCACCCGGGCTCCATTCGATCGGGCATCCTACAACATCAATGGGAGTCTTACTGCGTCAACAATGCGGTGCAGTCGTCGCCATGTTCCGGTTGCGAGGTCAGTGCGGGAACAAGACGGTTATTGTGTGCCATGTCGAATCAACGGGTGACACAAGCACTGACAGGGAACGGCTTGCATGTATACCAGGTTGGCGGAGCGCTGGACGCTTGTGGCCGCGGAACAGGAATTCATCGCCTGTACAGCACCGCAGCTGGGACGGAATCGAACGGGTAGAAGAGAAGCGAATCTGGCGACACGGGGCCTGGGCAGGCATGGGACGGTGTGAGAGTGCGATAGCGAAAAAGATATGGTGTGGAGTAGTAGTGAGGTTGGCCGCTGGACTGACGGTTCCCGAGCAGCTGCAAGGGTTTCAACATGCACTGGTGATTGCGGTCGTGTGCCATGAATGAGTGTGATGCAACCAGAGCTCTGTAACCGGCGGTCCACGGCTCTTGCTTCCCATCCAGCGTTCGGAACCATGCTCGATGGCGAGCAGATGGCGACGGCCCGGGGCGACAGGGCCAAGCACCTGTCGCGGCTTGACATGGCAGCCAGGCAGGCCACGACAGGGCTGTTCGGAAGGGCATTGTGCGGCTGTGGCGACTGTTGTGCAAGAGGGGACCGCGTGCGGTGGAATCAATTTGGGAAGCGGCATGGACGGCCGCAAGCGGACAGGCTGTCCACGCGCATCGGGAGAATGCCAGGCCCGGGGCCTGTCGCGGGTGCTTTGAGCTGCTGGCTGCGAGTCGCTGGCTGCTTGCTGCTGAGAGTGCATGCCGCCGGGCGGTTCAATCTGTCGCATGCTCTGAGCCTGTGACACTGGCTCTCGAGTCGCGGCGAGTCTCCAAGCAGCACACCGACCTAGCGCTCCGCGGAGCACCCAAACCCTTGCTGCTGGTGCTGGCGCCACACGCCCCGAACTGGCGTCTGCTCCGCTCGCGCACCCGGCGCGGCGGTTTGCACCCAGGGTGGCAGGCTTCCAGCCGTCGAGGGCAGTGCAAACGGGCCCTGCTCCGAGTCTGAGCCTGCATTCCGCCTGCCTCGCTTGTGTCTTTTCCCGCCGCCGTCGCCGGCGAGCACAAGTCGTGTGAAGAGCAAGCACGTCGGCCCAGGCTGGGTGCGAGGCCCAGTAGCGCTGTGCTAGCAGGCCATAATACCCCGATTCTGCGCCATTCACTCAGGCGCCCGCTTGGCATCCCAGCTGCCACCGGCGGCCCGCACGCTCTGCTGCGACGCGAACCCACCCTGCTGGAAATCCGGGCCATCGTGCTGATAACTGCTGCCCACCCGGCCGTCCTCACCCGGCGCGCCCTCACCCTCACCCAGAGCCCAGCTTCCCAGCTTGCCCGCCAGCACCCATCGCTACGCACCACTACTTGCCACTGCGGGAGCACCCCACGCCGCGCCTGATTGCACCTGTCGCCTCTCTGACCGCGCTGTCGGTCGTCCCGACGTTTCGCTCCTGTCTCAGCCAACCCGGGGATAACTGGGGCCTGCATGTCAGCTCACTGACCTCCACAAAACACATATTCCGGGGACTCTGGTACCAAGCATCTCACCTCTCGTCGATTCCGCCCCGCTGCACCGGGAAGCCTCACCACGACCGTCGCCATGTCGACCACTCCGCCCGCTGCACCGCCCGCAGACGCCAAAGAGACCAAGGGCGACCACCGCAAGAGCCTGGGCAAATATGTAAAGCGCATGAGCAGCGTTTTCAGGCGTGAGCGCACCACCAAGACCAAGGGCAGCGGCCCCACGACCCCGACGCTGCCCGAGTCCTCCACGGGTGCACCTGCCGCCATCGCAGAGGATCAGGAAGCCGCAACTGCGTATGTTCCGCATTGGGAACCCACGACCTTGATACTGACTCTCACTAGCAGTCCGGCCGCTGACCCCGTCGATATTGCGCCCTACGACGCTGCTGCTCCTGCTGCCGAACCCTCCAAGCCCGACGAAGTGCCCGTTCAGCCCATCATGCAGCGTTCTGCGCTCCAGCAAGAGCGTGCCCGCGCTCTGTTCGCCAAGTACGGCCTCACCTTGGAGTCGCACGAATGGATCGCTGCGCCTGCCATGCCCGTGAACGTCCAGCGTATCGAGAAGCCCATCCGCATGCGTGTTCACCGCACTTGCCACCGCTGCGGCACCACTTACGGCGCCGACAAAGTGTGTGCCAAGTGCGAGCACAAGCGTTGCAAACAGTGTCCCCGCTATCCCAAGAAGAAGACGCCTCTTGAAAAGGCCCAGTCGCAGAAGCAGTCCGATGTTGCGGCTGCAAAGGCGCTGCCCAAGAAGAAGCGGGTTCTCACGGTCCCCACAAGGACCGGCGGAGAACTCGCCTATCAGCCTGCAAAGCAGCGCGTGCGCCGCAACTGCCACAAGTGCCAAGCCCTCTTCATCCCGCCTACGGCCACCATATGCGAGGGTTGCCGCCACATCAGGTGCACAAAGTGCCCACGGGAACCGGCGAAGCTCAACAAATGGCCCAATGGTTATCCTGGCGATGTCGAGTACGACAGTGACACCGAAATGGAGCGCGAGCTGGAGCGGTCTAAACGCATATGGCGAAAGCCAAGAACGCGGGTGCGATGGGAATGCGACCATTGCAACACCACCTTCCTCGATGGCTCGCCGCAGTGTCCTGGCTGTGGACACGAAAAGTGTGAAAAATGTCTCCGGAAGCCGTAAGTGATCACATGTTCTCTGGTCACGCAAACCACTGACAGCCACAGGATCAAACGAGTCAAACCACAGCGGAGCTTCGATCCCCAAGTCGTGAAGTCCGTCGAAGCCAAACTGCAGAAACTGCAAATGCATGATGAACGACTCAGTCCACAGCCCCTCGATGAGGAATCTACCTCTTAATGTTCGACTGCATCACGACCACGATCCATTTCGGAAGCCGATTAACCTTTTCTTCGATATTATTACCTTTTGATTCCCCCTCTTTCTACCGCCCTAGCTGCATACGTGAACTTGTATAAGTCAACATGCAATTCACCTTTGAGACCATCCAGAGATTACTTGATCAATGCAAATTATCCTGCGCCTTTGGCTGTATGAGGTTCTTCACGTTTTCCTGTGCTTACTGCCGTGACCAGCTCCTCGCATCCCATCCTCCATGCTCAGCTGTCCACTCACGCATGCAGATCGCGTCCACTTAACATCTGCCTTGCCATCGATAACCCCGCTTGCAAACTCTAGGAGCCCGCATAGCGACGTGTCGCTCGTCGAAACACCGAGACTGTCATACCCAGTGCATTGGGCCTGGGAATCCCCACACCATGTTTTTGACAGTCAGCGTTTAAAGTGCAAGCACTCTCTGGCGCAAGACGCAAAGTCGGGAAAAAGCAAAAGGAAGATTTAGGCGACGTGACACAGCAGCGTAGTGACCGCTACTTCCTCAACAATTGGGGGCCTCGTTGTCATTGTTCCCACATTGTGGTCTGACTGGTCGCACCAAAAGCCCATCCACAGGGTGCAATACGACGCCGTACGTTACGCAGGTGCAACGCCGTACTTGCTCTACCGTGGGTTTCTTCCGGGACAGACGAGGCTGCTGCCCCTCCTTTCTAGGCCTTTGGAACCCACCGTGTTCGACGGGCAGAGTTCCACACATGGCGGCTTCCCAGGAGCAATATGTTGCTGCCAACGATGCTTGGGTCACGAGGTGGGCGTGAAAAGCATGATGTTTGAATGACACAGGTCTCTGAATTCGACTTTATCGCTCGAATTCCTTCATTCGACAATTATGTACGGCCTGACCTTGCTTCGACATCACTCGCACAGTACGATTTTGCCCAAGTTCATTGCATCAGGCCATCACATCGTAGGAGACTCTTCGGGTTCCCCAGAGAACGGGCTTCCTCCACACTCGCTTTTACTAAACTACAGATATTATGCCCTGAAGGTTCTTGAGACACACCCGACGGTCCGCCCGTTGCCACTCGCAATGCGTGCTTTCAGCCAGTCCTCCAGATGTTTTGTCCCAATATGTTTCAAATACTACAAAGCGGCGTCTACAAAGCGGCGTGTCTCAGCCGCGAGACATCGGACCGCGCGCGACAATCACAGCCCCGGGTAGGCATCCATCGACAAATGATACCTCCCGCACGACTCCGATGTGAGGCTGGCGTCGCTTGCGTATTCGCCTCAGGCTCCGATGGCACGTGCGCCCTCTGTCATGTCTGACCAAGCATCCGCAAACGAGAATATATCAGGGGAGTCTTGAGAGCCACCGCCCCGGCACATCTGTTAAGGAGTCTGAGCGTCTAGTATCCCCGCGCGTTTGGCGGATCCCTATATCAGCCCGAACTCAGCCCGTTTATGTGGGCGGGACGTAATCTCGGGTGCATCAGCACGAGGCTGGCGCGAGCGTACGCGGAACTGGTTTGGGCTGATGTGCGTGATGGACGTGTCGGAAGGGAAGGTGATAGGATGTGATGAAGCCGCGCGGGCTGGAAATCGGGTTAGCAGGAAGCCAGCCACCAACACGCCCGCGTTCTGGAAGTCGAGCGTAGCTGAGCTGCGTATTCCTTTTACTTTGCATTATCACTATGTATGTGCATGCAGCAAGGTTGGAAGTCCGTAGGGCTGTGCCGCCTGCACACAGTACATAAGTTGCTGCCGTGCGTTGGGCTAAGATCGAAACCGAAGCCGAGCCGAATGGATGCGCCCCCCTGTCTTCCTGTTTCTTTGTTCCACCCTTTGTCTCCTCTCATTCGCCCACATCTCCCCGGATTTCCCAAAATCGACTCCCCGGGACCAATCACACCAACCATACCTCTTCAGATCGGGGGTGCGCAGTTGGGATTTTCGGCCCCTGCGTTGGATGCGACGTGGTTCGGGACTGTCGGGGCGCCCGTTGCGGTACCGCTGAGCGTGCCGCGGTGCGTCGATCTTTGCCCTGCGGAAAAGTCCTGCGGAATGCTTGAGGTGGAGAGGGAGTTTACCGCGATGGGGACGGGGAGGCGGCGAGGGCCCTTCGCTCCGTCCATAAGCCAGCCGAACCACTTCGTAGGCGTCGGATTGAGAATGAATGTAGCTCTCGCTTTGACCCACACGCCGCTTGGCGAGACTTTCGACTAAGTCTCGCCGATGGACGGCAGAAGCTTGTCTCTGGCTCATACATACATCTCGGAGTCGGAGATCATATCAGAGCAAGTTCACGCGCGCAGATCAGAATTGCTTTGTTTGCCATTAGATACTACAAGTTACACTGAGAAAACAGGTATATGTATTCCGTCTCTATGCTCTGTAACATCAACGAACCCTAATTTTCAGGTGCTCATCTGGCCATTACCATGTGGAACGCAGCCAGGACACGAACACGCGTTCACTTCCACAATGTGACTTCGCACATTCGCGCAGTGCCGCGGTATTGGCGGACCTGGAGCGTTCCTGTAGAGTGAGAATGGACGTGCAATGTACTAGTGGCTGTCACCATGCGAGTAGCGGACGAGGTTGCTGTAGAATATTTGTAAGTTATAAAATCGATTGGTGGTGCATAATTGTTGTTTGCGAAGTTTTTCCCTCGACCCTCTGCCCGGGGTGGATTTGGGGATCAGTCACAGACAGATAGAGGTGACGATGCAGACGAATAGTCAGGTTCGTGGTAGGTGGGCGGAGAGTGGGAGAAAAGTGAATAGATGTCAGACAATGTACTAAGGAGGCTTGGAAATGTGGGCGACGGGTTTCTTCCAGATTCGAATCACGGCCGCCCAGCGCGATAGTGAATCGCTGGAACGACCAGAAACATGGACAAGATTAGTGTCACGTCACCTATTACAGTAACTTGCCCAGGTTTGTGATTTCGGACGCCCTGTAGGACAGAGTCCGGCCGGAAGCAATTATTTCCACATCCTTTGAAGACGGGACTCGAACCATATCACGCCAAATCTGTGGGGAAACACTTCGTCTCAGGTAGGCTAATACCGGTGCCTTACCTGCTACCGTGCTACATCTTTCTTCCCCCCACTCATCGCATTGATCACGTCCCCAATACTCAATTCAAACCCATCCAGCCCCTCCACGTACGTCTTTGAACGAGCCCTTGCATACTCTACATATACTGGCAAACTCTTTCAGTCTTCTTCCTCCTCTTGAATTATGATCTTATAAGCTTCAATCTTCTGCCTGAATTCTTCTAGGAAATCGAATCTGCTCATTCTTGAGCCATTCCTGGCCTCCTGAAGCTTCCTTTTATGCTGGCTCGAAAAGGCTTCATGGCCTGTTATGCTCTTAGCAAGTTCCTGGTCAACTTCTGGCTTCTTTTTTTGCGCGTTCCTGTGTTCGACATCGATGGTCTGAAAATACTCTTCCAACAGCATACGAAGATGTTTCTTCTTGAGTTCGGTAGGGTCATCTGCGCCTGGCAAGAGATCAACAGGACCTGGTATAGCAGAAAAGGTACGGGGTCTGTCTGGAATGATGCTTGGAGAGGACATGATGCTGGTCTACGCGCGGAGCAGAGTAGTTCCTGAAACTACAGGTGAATGTCCTGACGTTGGTACACTTTGGTAATCTACAGCTCCGGCGACTCCCCTGCCCAATATCAATGCGGGACGAAACAACCATGCGCATCCACGGGAACAGCAGGCAAATGATTTCCCGCAACCACGCAGAGAGTTGTTCGACAATAAAGTCCTGTTAGAGGAGGTACGAAACATTTTGCATGGCATAGTGACAGCTAGGAAAAGAATTATAGGATCGTCGTTAATGGAGCGATCTGAAGAGAGAAACATCATGAGGAAGGAGGTTAATCCCAAAAGAGGGAAAGCGCACGGGATTCGGGGTCTCACCCACCGAACTCCGCTCTTCAAACAAACGCACACCCATGTCACGCTCCCAACATCACTTGTAATCGATACTTGGGCTACTCTCGTCGTTACACTCCGTAGCACGTATCGGCGGGTTTGGAGCTCTAGGATATGGATCGCCCGGCAAACAAATTGTCCGCCCCTTACGGGCATGCATGCTCAAACTGTGTAAAAGCTAAATGTAAATGTGTACCTCGCCAAGGTGGCGGTTGCGAAAGGTATTCTCCCAGCCAAACTTGTTTGCAAGAATGCCATGAGCTTACATTGCGCAGATGTAATCGTCTCAGCAAGGAATGCCAGCCGGCAACGTTTGTTCGCAAGACGGGGTCACAAAAGACCGCTCGCAAATCACAACTGGAAGATAAACTGGATAGCCTTGTTACGTTGCTGCAGGTAAGTCGAAAGGCTTGTCGAGTCTATTTAGTTTATGATTAGCGGCGGGGGCTGATGTCACACCAGGCACAGCAAGCGCCTGCACCGTCTTTGACGCCTTCACCTTCCGTGTCAACGACGCAGGCCGAGGTGAACGCAATATGCTTACAAAACCCACACTTGCTACCAACTAGCCAAGGTCCAATACCATTTCCATCTGAACGACCACCAAAGGAGATATTGTCACAATTCCGCTCGCGGTACCTTGAGCAGTTCCCATTCTTTCACGTTCTTGACCTTGTGAGTTGAACATAATTGTAATGTGGACTTACAACGCATTCTTCGCTCACAACGCGCAGACGGCCAACAATTTTGTGCGGGAGCGTCCCAATACGTACAGGGCTATTCAGGTAATCTGCGAAAAGTCACGCGCGCGACAGAATGAGTATGGACCCCGTGTTCGCGAAGAGCTCATTCTTCGCGTTGTAACTAGTGAGCTATCCCTTATATTGGTTTGACAACGTACTAATAGCTTAGATGGCGAGCGGAGTATCGATTTACTGTTATGCTTGCTTGTATGCTTGACATGGCAAGTCTACTTTACTCCGTCGAGGCGAGGCGGCATGGGAATGTTTCTCAACGTCACAAAGTGAGTGACCGAACGTGGCGCATGCCCCTACTACGAGCTAATTTTGATCCAGACACGTCATCTCAGACCTCGGATTCAATCGACCAACCGACCTTGTCATGGCCTGTCCAAAGCCTCCTGTAATCGTAGGCCAACTGCCAGATCAACATGAATCACACAACGATGAAGAACGCCGTGCACTAATCGCATGCTTCGCGCTTTCCGCCATGACCGCGCTTGCGATAAAAGCAGAGCCTATGCGTTGGTCTTCGCGCATAGCAAGGGCCTGCGACAATCTCTCGCAGAATCTCGACAACACGGGCGACATTGTTCTCGTAGCTATGGCCCGTATCTCAAGGGTTTCGGTAGACGCGTACAATACTCTTCAGCAGATTCAGGACGACCCACCCAGTGCAGCGTATGCTTTGCATCAAGTCAAAGCTTTGCGAGCCATGCTCGATATGGTCAAAAGCGGCCTCTCTCAAGCACAATTACAGAATAAAATGGTTCTGTTATTTCTGTACGGTACCGAAGTGCAGATATATGAGCCTGCTCTATTCGCAATTGCGCAAACGGCATCAAATGATACGCTAGATTATCAGCGAATCGAGTATCTTACCGCGTGCCTCCAAGCTTGCAAAGACTCACTGGATAACTATCTCGCCATCCCGTCCATTACCATGAACATGATCCAGGTTTTGGCCTTTTCCAACTCGTGCCAAGTCCTCTACTCACTTTCCGTGTTAGAGTGTCCGGGCTGGGACCGATATACTGCACGCGCCACCGTCGACGTGCTATGGTACTTTGACCGAGTTTGTGTGAAGTTTGAAGAAGCTCGTAGACAACTAGCAGAAGAGAGTGGCAGCCAAGAAAACGTATTTGCACTTGCTGGTGGACACGAAGGACTGAAATCTTTGTGCGCGAGTTGGAGAGAAAATTTGGAGAGTGCGACAGGTGTTGGTATGAACTTTACAGGAGAGCTAGGTGGAGTGGGAGATGCGTGGATGACGAATGCAGATATGTGGTTTACAAATGTTTGGGGGGATACGCAGTTTTAGATCATACAAGCTGGATCCTTTTGATCTACATTTGCAGCCAGTGATCATGGCTAGATACTCGGAGCGGTGGAAAAGCATGACCTTTAGTGTCCTTAGGTCATGGTTCGAGCTTTGAGTTCTTATAGTCCGCCGTTGGCTATATAATGCAGACTCGCCACCACCTTGGTTCACAACGAGCCAGCTACACAACTACACCTCCAAGTGTTGGAAAGACATATGAACTAAGGCGCACTTCCCGTTGCTCGGACTTCCCCTAGGTACGTGTCCCAGTCGCCTGACGCGCGCACTACTTACGTGACAAGAAATTCGAAACAAGATTTACGGGTAACGTTATGCATCTCAGGATGCCACAATCATACTCAAATCACCTTTCATGTGTTGCATCGATTCCTCTAGCCTGCTCTGCGAGGTAGACGTGCAAAAGCTGTGCGAACTGAAGGCTTCTATGAGTCTGGCCCAGACTTGCCGTCAGATCAGGGCAGAATTTCTCTACTTCACTATTTCGACTGTTTACATTGTCGATACCTTCGGTCACCGGTCGGACACAGGACGCTATTGGAAGATGGCATTTTGTGTGCAGGAGCATGAGTGTTACGGAAAAGCGTTCAGAGGAGGCACTGACTGGGATCGAAGGATGCGTTCGACTGCATCTCAGTTCGGCCGCGCGTTATACTTCGTGAGACCGTATGTTATGGTTCTCCTCAAAATCAATTTGCGGGATCTTCCTATACGTATAGCAGTTTTCTGCTTGATCGGGCTTCTCTGGGTGTTGGTGTGGGTCACCTACGAAGTCTTGGAAGCCCTCTTACGGACGTTGTTTTGAAAAAAGAGCCTGGCAAAACCGAGGCAATACATAGGGATTGCAGAGAGTTGGGAAGCGCCGGTGACATAATGGGCTGGATTCCGGAATCTAATCAGACTGGAGCGTACTCTAGGGTAATCAGCCACCTCGATTGAGAGACACGCCATTAGATTCGACCTCCATTTGGAAGGCCACTGCATTGTGTAGCGAGCAATGAACCCCTATGCAACATCACGTTGACTCACCATGCCCATTCTTGTCAGCACATCAGAGCGCAAATCGTCCGGTATAATGGCTGCAAAGTCCTCGCTTTATGGTCCAAATGAGTTAAGCTGCGTCACGGACGAACGTAAATGTACTGCGCAGCAGTGATGCGCCAAAGCGCAATCTTTCACTTGGTCCTGATTCGCTGGATGATTTCCGTGTGGAACGGAATTCACGCCTAGTCGCAACCCCAATCCCGGGCTGTCATCAAAGCCGGCACGGGTTTCAGCCCCCTAGCCCTAGGCTACAACAATTCGTTGTTTATCTACATTCCATAGATCTCACACCTCCTTGTGGTTCGAAAAGTATTTGAGCTGTACCTGGCTCCCAGGTTGCAGCTTCCAAATCCGATCGTGCCTTCGCTCTCGCTATGTCGACTAACACTAAAACCGCACCAACATCGGCAACCATGGCGACATCCGAACCTACAAGCCTACCTATCGAGAATGGTCTTATGCCGACGAAGTCAAAAACGGAGTCAGGGAACGCAGAGATGCACTATGTATCCGGTTTCAGACTGTTTATGGTCGTTGCCAGCATCTCCCTCATTACGTTCCTTCTGCTGCTCGACCAGAGTATCCTCAGTACCGCAATCCCGCACATTACGAGCCAATTTCATTCGCTTCCTGATGTAGGGTGGTATAGTGGAGCGTATCAACTGGCTGCGTGAGTAGACCTTCCGATACCAACACGACTGTTGCTGATTGTATCTTCAGTGCGGCCCTGCAGCCTCTCAGCGGCAAAATCTACACCTATGTGAAGATCAAGCACGTGTTTCTGGCGCATTTCTTTGTTTTCGAGCTCGGTTCCCTCATTTGCGCGGTAGCAAACAGCTCATCGATGCTCATCGGCGGACGTGCACTCGCTGGGTTGGGAGCCGCGGGACTGATGAACGGCGGGTTGAATATCCTAACCAATTCTACGCCACTGGAGAAGCGTCCATTATATACCGGAATCATGATCGGGATTGGCCAAATGGGTCTGGTCTCTGGCCCACTGATTGGAGGTGCCTTGACTGAGCATGCAACATGGAGATGGTGTAAGTCTTGACCATAAATTACCATGCACGCGGGCTGATAGTCCATAGGCTTTTACATGAACCTTCCTATAGGAGCCGTCACCGCTGCAATGCTAGCACTCATCCACATACCCGAGCCAAACCCCAAAGCGCCTTACTCTATCGCTCTCTTCAAAGACCTTGTTCTCCACAAGCTCGATCTTCCTGGTTTCGCCTTGTTCGCGCCAGCCTGCATAATGCTACTCCTAGCTCTCCAGTTCGGCGGCGAAGGCTCACACAGTTGGGACAGTGCTACCATCATCGGCCTCTTCGTCGGTGCCGGCGTCATGGCCATCATGTTCATTGTATGGGAAGCTAGGGTTGGTGACAAGGCAATGATCCCGGGATCGCTATTCAAGAACAGGATAGTGCTTGCATGCATTGGGCAGACGATCGGACTGGGCGTCTGCGTCTTTGTGGGAAGCCTGTGGATTCCGACATATTTCCAGAGCGTTAAGGGAGCAGGGCCGACGCAGAGTGGCGTCAACGTGCTACCGCAGATTCTAAGCCAGCTGCTTTTTGCAGTTGTGTCGGGCGCTGCTGGTATGTTCACCTCTCGAAGAAGCTGGTGGATCCGTACTAATGGCAAAAGTGTCGAAACTGGGCTTTTACATGCCATGGGCGTTGTTCAGTGGCGCAGCCACAGCTATCGGCAACGGCCTTTTGTCGACACTGAATCAAAATACCAGTACAGCCAAATGGATCGGATATCTGATAGTCCTTGGTGCAGGCCGCGGGGCAGGGGTGCAAATGGTGAGCAATCTCCCTTCCATTACCCACTCATCTAATGCGCATACAGGCTCTTGTAGCCACACAATCTGCGCTGCCCATGCGCCTCATTCCTGTGTCGCTCGCATTGATAATCTTTGTCCAAAATCTTGCCGGAGCCATCTTCCTCGTCGTCGCCAACACCATCTTCACGCAGTCTCTCATCAAGAAACTCGGCCAGTACGCCCCTAGCGTCTCTCCACAGGCGGCCTTAGAAGCTGGATCTAGCGCCGATGCAGTAAGAAAGCTTGTAGATCCTAGCAAGCCTTGGGAGTTGGACGGCGTGTTGAATGCGTACAGTGAGAGTCTGAAAACTATCTGGCTGATGTTGGTTGCCTTTGCCGGCTTGGCGTTCATTTGTGCGTTTGGTATGGGCTGGGTGGATGTGAGAAAGAAGAAATCAGGGAATGAGGAGAAGAATGGAAGCGAGAACGAGGAAGAGTCGGCAGTGAGGGAGAAGGACGAGGTATGAGGAGAAGTAACTGTTCGCTGCGAGCATGAGGAGACTACGTTCTCCATTCGGCTCATACTGACCGCCTGGTCGTCTAGTACCTAGGAGCCTATAATTTTTACAGATTTGTAATTATCGTGCAACAAACTGCCTTCGTCTACTCATTCCATCGTTGTGTGATAGAACATATCGCGGTGTGCCCCCCGTGACAAGGCAGAAGCTGGTGTTTCTGGGCGTTCTACTCTTGGTATAGTTTATGCGATGGGTAAGGGATCCAAACTCATCGTTGTAGTTTGTCAAAATGCTTCTGCCATAGACCGTCACAGTGATATAATATGTTACTGAAGAGACAGAGAGCTTGCGTTGTACTGCATGCTTATTGGAATTCGCTAGCGCTAATAGGTTAGCTGAGAAGAGTAAGCGCAACAATCTTATGCCGAGGTACAACTCCAACATCCTCTTCCAGTGACGGCTTCAACAACACTCTCAAACAACAACCAATTTAACCAGAATGGTAGAATCAAAACACCTAAAAGCGCGATTCGGCCTCCCCAAAACCGGATCGCCCCTCGAAAGAGTAAAAAGATGGGTACATGCTCCTCTACATGCCACCAACGCATCAATCACATTAACCCGTCCACGCAGCTAGAAGTCAGCCAAACCGCAGCGGATGAAGGCTACACCGGCCACGACGCCATGATCCCCAAGATTCTCTCTCTCGAATCTGTGACTGTTGAATCAAGCAAGGAACACCCGCACAACGCGCGGACAGTGTTCAGCTTCGAGGTCACGGAGGAGCTGTGCAACATGACGGGGAACCTGCACGGGGGAGCGGTGGCCCTGATTTTCGATATGACGACTAGCACGGCGCTGATGGCGGCGAGCAGTGAGGGGTTTTGGGATACTGGTGAGTCGCCCTTCGGATCATGTGATATGTAACTAATTGAAGTGGTATAGGACATGTCAGCAGGACGCTGAACTGCACCTATCTGCGTCCTGCGCCCGTGGGGACGAAGGTCTTTGTTGAGAACCAGGTCGTGCACATGGGCAAGCGGTTAGCCCAGACCACGGGGGTCATGAGGATAGGGAGTCCGGATGGGAAGGTATGTTATACGTGCGAGCACGGGAAAGCGGCGGTCGGGTCGTTCAGTCTTTGAAGCGAGGAAATATTTGTGTAGGCGAGGGATGGTAGTGGGTAGAAAGCGTATAGAAGGCCACTGGATCAAGCTGCGTGTTAGCAAATAACGAGTCCAAATCTATGAGATTGGGACTTGATCACTTTCACCCTCCATACGACCCTCACCTACCCACTTACAAAATTCGTTTGCTTGCTCAATGCTCGCACACGCCGACAAGAAACACCTCAAAACAACCCCATCTCATTACTACCCTCTCGCTCCCTCATGCCAATTTCTGCTCAGTTCCGCAAACGTACAGCCCGTGGCACGTAGCTTGGTATTCCCGACACAGCTATTCACCATGATCCTCCCGCCCGCATCACGGACCTAGACCTGGAGAACGTGGGCCATATGCAGTAGATGATGCAGCGGCAGGTCCAGTTCCAGGGGCTACATCGGCAGAGCGAGCTGGCGATTGAGCCGCGATGATTGGCACGCCGTACGTCTTTTTGGTGTTGCTTGGGTGGAGACTTCGGTTGCGATTTGTGGGGAGCTGCGTCGAATGATACCGACGGGTGTGTGACAGGTCTTCGGCTCGCGCAGAGCGTCTGTGGATGGCGCGAGGGACACGAGGTAGACCGAGCTCAAGGTCGGCGGTAGAAGGACGTGAGTGAGACGACTTTGGCAGTAGCTGGTACGGATATATTGACCTGGAATCATTTGGACGCAATCACTTGAGCTCTGCGCCTCCTCAATTTTCGAAGCGGACACTCTGTTCGCACATGTGAGCTTCGCGACACACCAAGAGAAGAAAACCAGAAACCTCTGATAAGCGCCCTCTTAACTCTTATTACGATTTTGGCGTAGTCTTCTGCCAACGCGCGCTGCATCTCTCTGCACACTCTACTTTCCGCGTCTTTCTCAATATCGTTCGACTCGGCTCAAAGGGGCCCTGAATCTCGTTGCTTGTTTTCAAAGTCCTCAATCCCCTAGCCAGGGCCATATAGTCCTCGCTCAATGTCTAGGAACTGGTTACTCCCTGTCTTAACGCTTCCTCCTGCAGTTCCTTTGGAGTAAATAGGTCTTTTAACTTATTCTTTTTTTGAAACGCCGTTATGTAATGCTCTACAGTGCGCTCTAGCTCTTCAACTAGGTAGAGACTTCTGAGGAGCAAAGCATACCATGCGAGTACATTACTTCGATCCGTCGCACGCGGTGACTCCATTCAATGAATTAAAAGTGTGCTTCCTGGCCTCGCATAACGCCATCCACGATGGAATCTGCCCAATATTTCGAGAACAAAGTCTAGGCCCAAGCCCAGCTCCTCGACCGGCTCTAGCACCAACTTTTTTACAAGACCCTTGTCCCTTGGATGTATCAAGAGCCAGCGATTCTGGGTCATCTTGTTATCGACGGTACGAACGAGAGAACATATCTTAGCGATTAGCGGTCTTCCTAGCTCGTTCCAGGCGGATGATATATCGTCGACTGGCAGTATTTTAGGCCGCTCTGGACCAGTCTTCAGCGTTGCTAATTTGAGGCGCTGGACATCTGCGCTGAACGAGAAAGCCACAATCTCTACGATAGCCCATAAGAGTAGAGCGCGGCGCTCGGAGCTGTCCTTCGTGGCGTATCTGGCCATGACAGGGTAGGAAGTGTTTCAGTTGAATGAAGCATCGTCGCTGTGATTTGGGAAGACCAGCCACTATATGAAGGCGGGGGTAATTGGGAGTCTTCTGTTCTCTGTCCGCGCGCACTTTCCATCGTTCGCTGTGTGCATTGTTATGATCCTTTGACAGTGTGGGGTCGAGGCATGATCGTACGTGTCTTTGGCGGCAGCTTAGAGCTTTAATTTATCTTGGATTTGGGATCTGGCAGCAAGTATTTGTTTGTGAGGCAGGAGGTCTGCGAAACAGACCCTGATAAGCACAGTTGAGTCACGCGAGTAGCTAGTCGTCCTTGCGAACAAAGGGTGGCTTCCTGTTGGGGCGACGGGCCTCATGCGAACCTCTGGAACTTCGAACCCAACGTAAGCAAGTGAAATGGCGGCTACTACCGGCAAACTACTGAGTGTTGATGGGTAAGTGTATTTGGTTTAGTTTTGGTAAAAACAATGAGTGGGCAATGGGTAATCTTGGTTGAACGAGTAGTACAAAAGAAGCTTTAATTTTCAGGAGTAGTGTTGTCCCTATTGTAAAATTGTAGGTGACAGCAGAGTGTGGGCAGGCTTTTGATTGCCGCAGAACATCAGACAGCGTTGCGCTTTGCGTAATAGCGCATGGGTATGATTGATTCTTCCTCGTGTTATGTGTACATGTTTTACAGTGGGTATATGCTTGCTAGTGTTACACGCGTAGTCCTACAGTATGCAGCCGGCGCAGCTGCTGGCGGTTTTCGAAGGCAGAAGGGTCCGGGAATGCATCGCCTGCCGTCGGCCGGGGCACGTTGAAGACATGTGTGGGCGTGGGCGTAGGTGCTGGCGGAGCGACAGGCGCAGGCCTGGATTTGATTTCCAGTGCTTCTTTTTCGTCTTCCGCCGCCACCTCAGCCTCCAAATCAGCCTCTTCCAGGTGCTCACCCGCCGCCCTGATCATCTCGTCCGCCTTGCCCTCGTTCCGCTCATGCGTCTTCAGTACGCCGCCCCACAGCGTCTCGAGGTCAGTTTCCGCCCTCTTCTCCTCGGTGAACATCTGCACGACGACGTTGACGCCGGGCTTGACATCGCTGAACCCAACGAAGCCCTCGCCCTCACCTCGCACAGGTCCAAAACCCGGGTCGTCGGGATGCGCTTGTATTTTGCCGATGGTGCAGCAGATCCAGCCCGTTCTGATGCCGTCGTCGATGTTGCCTTCGGGCTCAGCACCGCCTACGTTGGCCAGCATCTTCATGCGCTTGGCCTTGCGGCGCAGCTTGATCTTGAGCTCATTGCGGCCGAGTAGGCCGGCAGCATTGGCTTTCAAGTGGTGTTCGCGGCGGAGATAACGGCAGAAGCGGTCGGCGGAGACGTGGAGATGTTTTTCTGAGCGGGCGGTGCAGATGATCATGATCAGGGATGAGCCGAGAGCGGGCGGTGGGTCGAGGTGGCGCAGGTCGTAGAGGACCAGGTCGTCCATGCCGGCCGTGTTGGCGACGTATTCCAGCAGGTTCTGGAGGAGCGGCGGCGGGTTGGGGGGGAGGTCGGGGATGATGGCGGCTTGGGTGGGTTCAGGCGCAGGGCGGTTCTGGAGGTACCACGGCAGCGTGGGTTTTGGTGGCTCGACAGTAGGGAGCGGTGGCAGGTCGAACGCCGCATCGAATGCCGACTCCGGCGTCTCTTCCAGGCTCGCTTCGTCGTTGATTGGATCCTCTGCCGCTGCCATTTCTCCGTCTTTGGCGGTTTCCACCCTCAGCTCGACTGGTTCTTCATCCACCCTAAGCTCGACCACTTCCTCTTTGGTGGAAAAGACGTCCTTCGCCTCTTCATCTTTGAGAAAAGCATATTCGGGATCTTCGACGGCCGGGTCGTCTCTGCTTGCGAGGCGTCGTGTTGTGGTGCTAATCGGGCGTTGAGCCGTCCAGGAGGCGCGGAAGGCCGTCTTTGGCGATGTCCTAGGCAAAGCTCGCGCAACGGGGGCTGAGCATGCAGTGCATCTCAGGCACGATGACACGGCTCTCGATAATGACATGGCGCAATGTGTGTGTCTGGTGCGATGGCACCGAAAGCCAATCCGATGTTGCTGGGCGAACTTTTGGTCGGCGTTTCGCAGCGCCGACCATGGCAGGGCTGAGCACGTGGCGATAGCGATAAGGCGCGGAGCGGGCACTTTTTTCCATTTGTGGCGGGGCAGGTCGTTTGTCATTTCAAAGCGGCCCAAGAACACTGCAGACTCATCAACCACACAACACGGCGAGTCTACCCTCGCCCCCCTCTTTTACTCAGAGCACCCATCTGCTCTTCTTCCTTCCTTGCACTCTACAGATACCCGTCATCGCCGCCGCCATGGAGATTGACGCTCCGCTTTCCTTCACACCGGGGGCAAAGAGCGCAGCGACGGTCCTCTGCGCAGACTGCGGCGCGCCCATCGATGGCACCCAGTCGGCCGGCGCCTTCTGCTACGACTGCATAAAACTCAAGACGGATGTCACCGGCGGCATCCAGCGCGAAGCCACCCTCCACATGTGCCGCGACTGCGACCGATGGCTCTCTCCGCCCAACTCGTGGGTCGTTGCCCGCCCCGAATCTCGCGAACTGCTCGCCCTCTGCCTCAAGAAGCTGAGGGGCCTGCACAAGCTGCGCATCATCGACGCGAGCTTCATCTGGACGGAACCACATTCCAGGCGCATCAAGGTCAAGATTACGGTGCAGTCCGAGCTGGGCGATGGCGCCATCATGCAGCAGACGTTCGAGGTCGAATACACACAAAACTACCACCAGTGCCCCGACTGCCAAAAGAGTTATACCCACAACACCTGGCGCGCGTGCGTGCAGGTGCGCCAGAAGGTGCCGCACAAGAGGACCTTTTTGTACCTGGAGCAGGCTATCCTGAAGCACGGCGCGCACAAGGACGCCATCAACATCAAGGAGATGCACGACGGCATCGACTTCTTCTTCGCGCAGAGAAACCACGCAGAGGGATTCGTCGACTTTCTAAAGGCAGTGGTGCCGGCCAACGTAAAGAAGAGCCAGGAGCTCATCAGCCACGACATCCACACCTCGACCAAGAGCTACAAGTTTTCATACTCGGCAGAAATCGTGCCCATTGTAAGTCCAGGACCCTGTCGCTTGACTCGCATCTAACAACAGTCAGTGCAAAGACGATCTTGTCGTCCTTCCCATACCGCTGGCTCGCAAGATTGGCAACATTTCACCCCTCACGCTATGCAACCGCATTGGCACATCAATCAACCTGATAGATCCCGCGACACTCCAGACAGCCGAGGTAGACACTGCCGTCTACTGGCGGACGCCATTCCGCTCTCTTGCCGACGTGCAGGAGCTTGTGGAATTCGTCGTGCTGGACATCGAGCCTCTGGGCCAGTCAAGGGGGCGCCACTTCCTCGCCGAGGCAACCGTCTCAAGGGCGAGTGACATGGGCTCCAACGACAGCACCTACTACACACGCACACATCTGGGAGGTATCTTGCACGTGGGCGACTCGGTCATGGGCTATCACATGACGGGCACCAACTTCAACAACGAGCTCTTTGACAAGCTGGAGGAGTCCAAGCTGAGCTCAACCATACCCGACGTCATCCTGGTCAAGAAGCACTACACCCGCAGCCAGAAGGCCAAGTCCAAGCGCAACTGGCGCATCAAGCGCATGGCACGTGAAGAGTCGGAGATGCTGCCGAGGAAACAGGACCAGGAGAAGATGGAGCGCGACTTTGAGCTGTTCCTGCGGGATGTCGAAGAGGACCCCGAGTTCCGCGCTGGAATTCAACTCTACAAGCAGCAGCAGGAGGCGCAAGCTCAAAAGGACGCTGATGCGATGGAGGTGGAGGAGAGCGACGTCGAGGAGGAGGACCACGGCCTGGCGATACCCATGGAGCAGCTGCTGGACGACTTTGAAGACATGACCATGGCGGAGGACAAGGAGTAAGCAGGCGGGGACAGACTCGGTGCGAATCAAGTCAGGATGGTGTATACGGCATTTTCAGTTCTTTAGACTCTGTTTCATGCATTTCCGCTGGCGTTGGACGGGTGGGAAAAGGCACTAGTGCATTCACGATCTGAGATATCCGCGTAGGGGTGGATTCTCCAGGGCTGCTTCGCCACAATCTTACGCGCACACGTCTAGTTTCGGCGCGAGACCAGAAAATAAATTTGGACCTTTTGGGCAAGTGTGGCACAAGGACGGCCTGATGGGTCTAGCATTATGTAGGCGAGTATTGATTATTTGCCCGCAACCTCGATCGAGTAAGCACGCGCTGCAACCGACGCCGTGGACTGTGATGGCCCCGTGAACCGTGGGTGTACACACAACCATCTAAGGTGTACGACCATGTCCGCAGCAACGGCCGTGCGCGCGGGAATAGACTTTTGATGAGACGTGCGAGGCCTGCTCCACATGCTGCTGGCGGCGTCGTCAAATCAAGGCGACACTAAGAAAACATCAGTGGATCTGGCAGGGGTTCCAGGGATCACAATCGATTCAGCGCGTACGCCGCCCCGCAACTCCGCTCCCGGGACGTCATCAAAGCGAGCCGTTTGCGTGCCCGGCCAATGCACCAGCCACACGCTGCGGATGACTAGTACCTGCATCGCGGCGGCGACACGCGTCGCTGCCACTCGACGATGCTGCAGCTAATCTTCCGGCTCAGCCGGCCTAATCTTGTCCCTTCCATCTACACTGCCGCCCTCCCCGACAGGACGCTTGAGCTGCCGAGAAGAGACGGCCATCTTGGATTCATTCTTTACAAGTCATTCGCTAAGACACGCTGAAAGAGACTATGAAGGGCTTCTGGACGGGCGTTGCGGCGGTTGCGGCCGCGGCCGCGGGCACAGCTGAGGCCGCGAGCTACGACGACATTCCGCCCATTGAGGTCTACGGCCAGCATTTCTTCTACTCAAACAACGGCTCGCAGTTGTACGTACATTCCTCGGGAGGCCCACGTCGCATGTCTAACACGTGCCAGCTACCTGAGGGGCGTTGCATACCAGCAGAACTACTCCCCCAACGGCACCACCGACTCGAATGCCTCCTACACCGACCCCCTCGCCGACGGCGCGGGCTGCAAGCGCGATCTGCCCTACCTCAAGCAGATCTTCACAAACGTCCTTCGCGTCTACGCGATCGACCCAACGCAGAACCACGACGAGTGCATGGAGACTTTCGCCGCGGCAGACATCTACGTGATTGCGGACCTCGGCGAGCCCAAGACCTCCATTGTCTCCGACGACCCCGAGTGGAATGTCCCGCTCTACCAGCGCTACACCTCCGTCGTCGACGCCCTCTCCAAGTACAAGAACGTCATTGGCTTCTTCGCCGGCAACGAAAACGTCTCGTCAGGCAACCAGACGGCCGCCGCGGCCTTTGTCAAAGCCGCCGTGCGCGACACAAAGGGCTACATCCAGTCCCAAAAGTACCGCTCCTCCATGGGCGTCGGCTATGCGACCGCCGACGTGCCCACCCGCGACGACCTCGCGACCTACTTTGCCTGCGAGCCCGGCAGCTCCGGCAACGCCACCCAGATCGACTTCTGGGGGTACAACGTCTACTCGTGGTGCGGCGATTCCAACTACGCCGACTCATCCTACGGCGAGCGCTACGACTTCTTCCACGACTACCCCGTCCCCGTCTTCTTCGCCGAATACGGCTGCATCGACGGCGTCAGCGGCGGGCCCACGCACCGCCCCTTTACCGAAGTCGCAGTCCTCTACGGCAACATGACCGAAGTCTTCTCCGGCGGCATCGTCTACCAGTGGTTCATGAGCGAAAACAACTTCGGCCTCGTCGAGCTCACCAACAACGACGCCTCCGTCTCGCCCTACCCGGACTTCACCTCGCTCCGCAACGAGCTCTCCTCCATCAAGCCCACCTCCACCGCACGCTCTGCCTACTCTCCCTCCAACTCCGCCCCCGCGTGCCCCTCTACAGACGCCTCCTGGCTCCCCGTCGCGTCGCCTCTGCCGCCCTCCGTCAACCCCAAGCTCTGCGCCTGCATGGCGTCCAACCTTGAATGCAACATCGCCTCCACCGACTCTAACAAGTACGAAGACGTCTTCAACTACATCTGCGGCATCAACTCGGGGAAGTACTGCACGGGCATCCAGCACAACGCCACGACGGGCGAGTTCGGCGCGCTCAGCGGGTGCAGCGCCAAGGACCAGCTCGCGTGGGTCGCCAACGAGTACTACGTCGGCAACAAGAAGAGCGCGAGCGCGTGCGATTTCAGCGGCGTTGCGACGACGCAGGCCGCGGCCACGGCGAGCGGGTGCGGCACGCTGCTGGCGGCCATCAGCGACGGGACGGGCAGCGTGCCGAGTCCGACTGACAAGGGCACCGCGGCCGTGGGCACCGAGTCGGCCGGCGCGTCGGGCTCGAAGAGCAAGGGCGCTGGTAGCACCGTTAGCCCGCCTGGCTTCGTCGCGTACGGCGGGCTGCTCGGCGCGGCGTATGCTGCACTGGCCGCCGTATCCATGGCGGGCATGCTCGTGTTGTAGAGAGTCTGCGGGGAAGACGATTGGAAAAGATGATGCCGAGGCGATGAGAGGGGGGAATCTTGGGCGGCATATATCCGTTCTTGTACGTTTCCATGTAGATTTCCATGTCGGGTTTTTTGTCTATACGTAGATGTCTTGCATAGCTCGGCGAGTATCCGAGGCTATATATATCCATTCTTTACTTTTGCAAACACCTCACACCACAGAAGCAGTGTTGAGTGTCCGCGAGAGGCAAAGCGATTGTCCAGTGGGGAGCCCGTGTATACGATACCCAGCCATCCCCTGCGATAAAAGCCCAAAATCAAATCGCTGCCAAGCGTAAGAGAGTCTTTTCTTCTGCAGTGAATACCTTCTTTTACCTTGAGCTGTGGCTGACTTGGCTGATAATGTCTCTCAGCTTTCAATCCAGGCTTCGGCCAGCGGTGACATTGAAGGGCGCAACACATGTGCACTATCAACGCAGAAAAGATAATTCAGACACAACTCAATCCATTGTGCCCTATTTTCCGTCCCGTGCAGAACTTGCCCGGAACGTGTTTAATACTAATGTACTTCCCATCCGACCCACATACATGCCCATGCTTACCATACCCGCCCAGGGACGCGCGCGAGAACCCGTAACCAACTAGATGCACACCAGACAAGCCCCGACTCCATGCTAAAAAGCTCACCCCGGCGACTCAAGAAATAGACCGCGTAAGGACGCTGCGGACCCGGTGTGGATGCGCAATCTTACCTTCCGCCGCTATCAGCTTGGGTCCGCTTTGCTTTCTCCGTAGCGCGTATCACTGCTTCATGATATCTCAGGCGTTTAATGATGCCCCTGTACCCACATGTCACTTTCAGCTCTTGCCTCCTAGTACATGTTTGGAGGACGGCCTTGCTGCTGCTGCTGCTGCCTTGGTCCAGGTCCGCCAAACTGCTGCTGCTGCTGCTGTTCGAACATCATCCTAGGATCCTCGCCCCGCATTCCCATGGGAGGTCCATAACCTTGCGGCGGGGGAAAGTAGCCCTGCGGTGGGCCTTGCATGCCGTTCCCAGGTCCTCCGGGGCCTCCTGGGCCACCCGGGAACATGTTAGGGCGCATGTTGTTTGCAGGATTGAAGCCGGGCGGTGGGCCCATTGGTGTGTTTCCTGCAGAAAAACTTGGTCCGGGACCCATTTGGTGCTGCGGAGGAGGGCCACTGAGACCGGGAGGCTGGCGCATGGGTCCGTTGAAGCCGGGCGGAGGGCGGACGTTGGGCCCTTCTTGGGGAGTGGGTGGCATTCCTGGTTGGCGGCCGCCGCCCATGTAGGGTAGGTCGGGTAAGTGCTGCGATGGGATGCCCATGTTTGTCATCTGACGGGGAATCTCGCCGGCCGTGTTACGGCGCTGGAGGCTTGCCATGACATCTCGCTCATTGTCTGGAAATCCCATAGGCATGCCACGCCCGCCCTTGTGTCGCGCAGCTTCCTGTTGTTGCAGCTCACGGACTTGATTGCGGCGTTCTTGCTCCTGGCGCATAAGCTCATTCTCCATGTACATGGCATCCATGCGTGGATCCATGCGCTCGTTGATGAAGCCAGGTGGAGGACCCCCCCGGCCCTTAGACGGTCCTTGTGGCTGTCGGGTTTGGTCGAGGAACGGCATGTTTTGGGGAGGTAGATTCTGGTTGCTCAACTGTGGCGGTGTGTTTCGTGGCTGCTGCATGAGATTCAGCAAAAAGTCACGCTCGGCGCTGCTGCCCTTGTCTCGATTGACCTGTGAGCGACTGTTGAGCAGCGCAGCGAGGTTAGGATCTTGCGGATTGTTGTTATTGTTGTTGCGCGACGGAGCTTGCTGGTCAGGTCGACTAGAATCTGGACGCGGAAGCCCAAACTGCTCGAACATGCTGTTGTCGGGCGACATGCTGTTGAATCGAGATTGCTGTCTGTCGACAGACGGTCGAGGCGCGAGGATATTCTCCAGCAGAGCCTGCGTCTCCAACGAAGAGCGCGAGGGCATATGTTGAGGCTGCGCGCGACGCTCTTGCATCTCCAGCGGAGGTGGCGGCGGCGACTGGTAAGGGTCGAGAGAGATGCCACCGCCTAGTCGTAAGCCATTCGATGGCGTAGGAATGGTTGATGGAGGAGCAGGAGCAGGAGCGGAACCGATTCCTGTTCCGCCGAGCATCTGAAGGATACGCTGGAAGCCTTCTTGATCGGCATTCTTGTCAGTCGGCGGCGGTGGCGCTGGCGAGGCTGGTAACGGTGCAGGAGGTGGAGTTGCGGCAGTAGAAGTAGAAGACTCTTCTGGCTTTGCAAACATGTTCATGAACCGCGATGCCTTGGCTGGTTTGGCTTTGACCGTGGCAGGTTCCAGGGGAGCTGATTCTGCAGCCTTGATGCTGGCGCTCCAAGTACCAAACATGGATCCCAGATTGGGCTCCAAGCCCGATGGCGTGCCTGTAGACTGGGGCGGTTGTTGCGAGATGGTGTCTGCAAAAAAGGATGGCAACTCTGGTGGTTTCGATTCCTCCCGTTCTTCCATCGGGGTATCCTTGGCCTTCATCTGCTCCTTCCAGCGTTGAAAGTCTTCCTGGGTGTGAGCCTTGCTCTCCTTCTTCGGCACCGGCGCATCCATCCATTCGGGGTCTTCCTCTGCTTTTCCGGTGCCCCTGGTCCAGTCGCGCTCCTTGTCGCGCTCGCGGTTACGCTCCCGCCAGCCACCCTGGGCAGTCGTGCCGAATTTCCCACCTTCATTTTCCTTGGTCTCGTCGCGGCGACCCCAGCGATCGCCCCGTCGGCGTGGCCCGTCTCCGTTTTCGGCATCTACATCTTTTCGGTCGCGTTCGCCGTTGCGACCAAAGCCTCGATCGAAATCCTCCTGGCCCAGGCTCTTGCGTCCAGGTGTCTTTTGCCAGCCCTCGCCCTCTTCACGTCGAGCACGGCGTCCATTAGGGAAATCCTTGTCACGAGTCGTGGTGCGGTCTCCGTCCCTCCAGCGGTCATTTCGCGGGAAGCGGTCGCCCGTGTGTTCTCCGTCAATCGAAGTGATGCCGGTGGCCTCTTTTGACTGGCCAGGTTTCGAACGAGTCGCGGAAGCAAAATTGAGTTTCGGAGGGCCGCCAATCACTGGTTCGTCGCCGTGTTCTGCAAACAGACGGTTAATAGCTGCTACCACAGCGTGCGAACCGGTAGATATAGACTTACGCGTACTCGCACGCCGGCCAAACTGGCCCATGGCACCAAGCAACGGTCGCTCCGAGCGGTGCTCGCCGCCGGCCACGCCTGCGTCGCCCTCTCGGTTCGCACGCGTCCTGCGATTCGTCGTGCTACCTGCATTGTTGGCGTTGTTGTTGTTGCTGTGGTCGTTCGGTACGTCCATCCATTGCTCAATCGAGGGAAGTGCATCTGGCTTCTTGACGAGCGGGGACTCGCGCAAGTTCTCCAGCTGCTCTACCGTGTACCTACCGCCTGCCATCCTCGCCGCGGTCTGCGTGCGTGGAGGAGGGAGGCGGGTGCGGCGTGGTTGTGGTCAATCTTTTGGTCGAGGTCGCTCGCACTGCAAGGCGGATGGTTGCTCGGTCAGTCACCGCGCGGGCGGAAGCCGTCGAGGTCGCCGCAAACGCAAGAATGCAGCGCACGGTGTTCAATGTGCGAAGACGTCGACAATATTATGCGTACAGGGCGAGGGAACTATAACGGTGGAGCGATGTGGGGTGGAAATTTACTCGCGTGGAGTTGTCTGCGTAAACTGCTTGCGCAGAAATATCAGCGCACTGGGTATAGACTGCGTGCTGCGTGATTGTCGGAGCGAGATGAGAGAGACGATTTGGTGGGATGTGTAGCGTACCTGGAGCACCCCTGCGGGCTGGCAGCGCAAAGAAGCGGAGAAGCTGTCGCGGGCGGCGGTTGCACACAGATAGGGCGGGCAGCGCAGTAAGCGATGGGTAACAAGAAATTCGTAGGCAGTTCGGGTGTGTTTCGCGAGAGTCGAGCTGAAATGGTGGGTGCGGGCTGTTGGTGGGTTTCTGACGACGCAAACGCAGCTGCTGTCACTGCTGGACGGGGCATCCTCGGGAAGGCAGCTGCGACTTATGACGCCACACCACCAGCCACGTCTTCGCTCCTTCCCAGCTGGGCACGCACGAGACCTGCACAACACGCAGTACCGGGATAAACGCCGCGTGCAAGCGGCCTACATAGTGCCTACCCTGGACTCAGACGTATGTCTTTTGCTGTCACAAATCGTGCGTTGCAGACCCATCATCATTGTTTAGCAATATCTAAGCGCCAACGATGCCCGCTACAATCCCCCCAATGGTCCCATTGCTCCACCCGTCCACCTTGTCGCGATCACAAAGCTCGTATGCCCTCGACGCCAAGTACCTCAACTCGCGGTGCCGATGGTCGTTGTTATCCAGCATCATCCTGATCCAGCTCACGAGCCCGCACCTGGTAATCAGCGTCGTGCTGCCACCCACACTCGTCGCCCTCTGTAGCACCCGCACAATCTTTTCCTTCTCTGCAATCGCACACGACTTAGACGCGTAGAAGCTGAGTAGCCTCTCAATTACGTTGTTTGTGCGGAAAATCTCCATGTCTTCTGGTGTGCGCAGGCTGTCGAGGAGGTAGTCGAGCAACCAGCCGACTTCCTTGTGGTAGCCGTCGTCTTCGTCGGGCTCGCTCGTGATGATGAGGTGCGAGAACTTGCGCGGTAGGTTGCGGATTTGCCAGTCCGGACGGTTGGTGAGGAACTTGCTTATCTTGGGGTACATGAAGTGTATCGGTTCGGCGAGGATCTTGACGCATTCAGCAGCAAACACACCGCCAATGTAGGGAAGAGGTTTTGAATCAGGTAGAGCGCCCACCGTTTCCAAGATTTGGTTGAGCATGACCCAAAGCTGCTGTTGGTCGTTTTTCTCTCTGTCGAGCATGGCTATGAGTTGGCGAATATTGCTGACGGCTTGAATGCGGATTTCCCTGTGCTTGGAGCACAGGCATAAGAGCAGTTCGCCCACGTGCCCGTCCTCGATGCTCTCCTCGAGCTCTTTCTTGCGCCATCGGTTGAGCCCAGTGTGCTTCTCATCTTCCTCTGGGGGCAACTCTGGATCTATCGCAGGGAGCATCTTCTCTACTGTTTGCTCGACCGGCGTAGGCGAGGTGGATGATCGCTCGGACCCGCTGAAGTCGGCGCCGGTAGCAAGCTTCAACGCTTCCTTGAGTTTTTCCTTTCCCATTTTCCATAAGAACGAGTCCTGAAGCACATCCTTGTAGGGCTTGTCGGCAGAATCGACCAGTGCGTCGCGCACCAATTCTAAGATGTGTTCGTCTTCTCCAATCAGCTTAAGCAGATACAAAAGCTTGGATAGCCACTGGGCGAGCGGTTCTGCCGGGTTGCCCTTCTCGCTCTTGCCTCCCTTGAAAGGCCATTGCTCGACCATGGTCAATGACAGGGGACTCAAGGGCCCAATATCAGCGTCTGCTTCGGAGAGCTTGGCGCGAAGTGCATCCAAATCGTCGAAATATTTGATTGGGCCCTTGCTGAAACGTGCACAGCAATCGTCCAAAAAGTCGAGGACCAGGGCAGATTGGCCGCAAGATGCACTCAAACTAGCAATGAGTGCATCAAGCGCATCCGGAGCAGTTTGGATCTGGAACATTTCCTGATCGCGAACAATGTCGACCAGAAGGCTTTTGATTCCAGCATAGAGCTCGCTCTCAGGCGAGGATGCAATGAGCTTGACAAGCGTCACAAAAGGCGATTGCGATAAAGTTTCTGCAGCAGTCAGCAACTAGCTCCTCGTGGAAGCAAGGGAACTCACTATTCTTTTGCCACCAGCGCATCGCCGGCGAGTGTCTTGCCATTTGTATCCAGTGCTCGAGCTCCATCACGCAAAAGGCATGTTCTTCCGCCGACTCTTGTCGTTTTTCCGCCTGGATCAATGCGTTGCAAAGCGGCACAGAAACGTCAAACTTTTCTTCGAGCGCAATCTGAGGCATCACCTCGTAGTAAAGCCTGAGAAGTCTAGTTATGGCTTCCCGCTTGAGGCCCTTCTGGAAGGCTGGTTGTCGGTAAGCTGTGACGATGACTTTCATTGGAGGACACCGCTGGCCGAATTCGCTAACTATCCGTGCAGAGGTACTAGACCACGACTTGCTTGGTCGGAACAGGCGGGCACTGTCCAGTTCTTTGGTCACTTTTCGTAATTTCTGGAAAGCGACAATGAGCACGCGTACAGCAAACAACTGGATGAGATCCGAGCTACTATTCAAGCACTTGACCAGTACTTGCTGAGTGACAGGTTGAGGTAACACGCTCTGCAGCAAGGTGTATATCGGCGGTGGAGAATCGCGATACCCTTGCCACGCACCAAAGTACTGCGGTACCGGCATCTCGATTGTTTGGTAAAGAAACGCGGAGAACCCAATCCAAGTGGCCGTGAGTTTCGGTTCATAATTAAAGTCCTTTTTCTTGTAAAAGTAGTCGCCTATGAGCTCAGGACAGGCGTTGAAAATGTCAATCACGAGCTCCTGGTGTAAAGTGTGCGCATACGGTCGGAGCGATTGCAGGAACTCGGACAAGATGATGTTGCGGACTGGATCCTGGGAGCCAGATGAGGATTCTAAGTTGAAGTCGCCGTCAGCGTCGAGGACATCGTCCATTTGTACGTCGCCATCGTCATCATCGCCAGCTTGCGGGTAGTAACCCTGCGTCGGAAGCATAACACCATAGGCGGGTGAGGTGCACACTAAGCGCAGAAACTCATGCGCCAGAGCATCTGGCGCCTTTTGGCCTGCTTCTATCGAGCCCTCAGGTGGTTCATATCTGTAGAGAGCGGCAATGTGGGTCAGCGCTCTTCCATTCAAGATGCGGCTCTTGACTGTGCGGGGTATGGCCCTGTCGAGGAAAACATGGTTCTGGAAGGTGTCGAAGATTTCAGAGATGAGATGTGGAGGATCGACGGTCACATGGTCCAGGACTGCCCGAATGATGTCTTTGTTGCCCAAGATTTCGGCCTTGGTACGCTCGTCCTGATATCGCAAATGTGCAAGGAGATACCGAACCGACACCGTTCTAACACTAGGCTTGCGCTGAAGTTCCTCGGCCGTCTTACCCTCGATACTCTTCCAAGCTCCAATGTTGCGCGTCAAGATTTTTGGATCAAAAGTAAAGTCCTTGCGTGCATACACGGTCCTAGCAAAGGCGCCTTCATTGAATTTGGTCATCTCAATAAGTAGGCGCACTGCCGGTAGGATAACATTTTCTTTGCTGATTGGCGCCGACACATTTCGGACGAACCGCCTTGCGACCGAGGGTTGCAGCAACGTCTTGCACAGGAGCGTCCCATATTGTTCGAAATCGGCATGCGTCGACAAGACCTTGAACAGTAGCGCCAACTGCGCGGTGACTTGGGCCAGCAGCATGTCAAAATTGGTCTCGGCAGCATAGTCCCATGCCTGCATAAGTTGCGGCAGTATGATTGTATCTTTTGCATCCTTGGCCTGTGATTTCTGCGTCTCCAGGAACTCCCGCAGAATAGCGCGCTTGCGGGGCACATCATCTTGGTCGGCCGTGTACAGGATCGAGTCGAGAAAATGCTTAAAAGATTGTAGAGCTGTGCGGATTAGCTGCGAGCGTGTAGCCTGAAATCTTTGTGACGTACCCTGACGGAGCGCCGCGACGTTGCCTTGGTCGAAGACGAGTGTTCTCTGCAACTGTTGCGCCGAAGTCACTTCCGCGATCGTTCCTTCCGCCTCGAACTCCCGATCGTGGCTGCCGTCAGTGCGCTGGCGCTTCGCATGGTGACCTGTGTGGGCGGCCTTTGGATTGGCCTCGAAGACTGATCTTTTGCCCATCCTTTCGTGGCTGGCCGGCGCGAGCTCGTAAAGTTGTCGAGGGCAGCCGAGCAGGAAAGCCAAAAAGTTCGTCCAGCGATTTTCTGCTACCTGGGGTATCCCTGCACGCCGCCACGCACGGACTACCCGTGCTTCGTTTCCGCTTTCCTATCACAGTCCTCTCTCAACAACTCCGCTCGCAACAACGGCAATTACCTCGTTAATATTGACGGACGCCGAGGACGTTTGAGTCGAGTCATCGCGAAATTCACCAGGTTGCACGTCTCGTCAAGTGGATGGAGAAGATGATTTCTCTATGAAGGACAACAAGATCATGACCACATACAACAGCTCAACTTCACCTTGGCGTCATTCCGCTCTCCCACTTCTCACTCTTCCTTGCACCGATGCCTTCTTGAAACAGCCGATCAACATGGCCAATACTTCTACCCTTCATCTCAGGCACAACTAACCATGTCGCTCCCGCCGCAAGCACGCAGCATCCCATGAACACGAATCCAGTTTTCGCCTTGAGATCTGCAGCGTCCGGATTATACAAGTATGGCAGCACGAAATTTGTGAAAATGGCTGACACGTATGCTGCGGTGCCTCCAATGGCCTGCGAAGGGGCGCGTAAACGGAGCGCCGAGACTTCAGACATGATAGCGTACGACGCCGGCCACACCCCAAGGCCGCAGATGATTATGATGAGCATGAGAAATGCAGCAGTAAGCCATGGAGTATATCCGTGCGAAGCTACGCAACCGATGGTGCCCATCGTGCCCCAGACAATAGCAGCCAAGAGCAGCGTGGAGATTGTGAGTCGTCGGCGCCCGATGTGCGACAGCGTCCAAGTGGACCCGAAATTCGCAACAGTCCCCACGATGATGCCAACGATGAGCATCATCAAGCTATAGGTGGATGACATGCCAACTTGCTGCAAGAAGTAGGAGGACGAAGTAAGCAAGGGCAGACCGAATAGCGGCGGAAGCAGGTTTGCAAAGATGACAATGAAGGACCGTCGGCGGTTGCTTCCTTTCAAACACTGCGTGTAAGTAATTTCGTCCGCTATGCGTTGTTCCTCTTCGATCGATGCCTCGAGATTCTGGAGCAGCTGATCGATGTTGTTCTTTGGTGCGAAAAGTCGTTCGAGGGAAATGCGAGCAGCGTTCATCTTCTTCTCTCGGACGAGATAGGCAGGGCTCTCTGGGAGTATGAAGGCCATCGCCAAAGGTGCAATCGAAAAGGCCCACTGTGCGGCAAAGGCAATGAGATATCCCGTCTCGTTTTTGATCTGGTTCACGCCGAAAACCACGAGAGCACCCAAGAGTTGGCCAAAACTCCACGCAGTAGTCAGCACGTGTGCCGTCATCACACTTTAACCAACACTTACAGGTTGAAAGCCGGAAATATGGCCATAGCGGCACCTCGTAAACATGTCGGCGCCGTCTCACTCACGAACGTAAGCGTCACCATCTTGACCAACGCAAGCGCAAACCCCTGAACAATTTTTCCCGCCAGGAAAACGCCCCTTTTCCCGCTAACGTTGGGAGCCTTATAAGCCAGGACCTCTACCAGCACGCTTAATGCCGTAATCACGCTCGCAATAAGCAAGCACTTCTTCCTCCCAATCTTGTCTTGCAAGCGGCCCGCAGTGACTGCTCCAAAGAGCTGTCCCACGCACGGCATTGCTTGCCAAAGAGATAGCCACAATGCTGGTATGATCCATTTTTCTTCACCCTCCTCAATCCTATCGAATTCGCCAAAATCGCGGAGGAACGGTTCAACGGCGGTGATGCTTCCTACTACGACGAGGTCGTACCCCCAGAGTATGATGACAGTCGCGAGTCCGAGAATGTAATAGACGTATTTGGAGTATTGGTGAAGGGCTTGTTTGAGTGGCAGGTCTTTGTGAGGATCGCTTCCGTGGATCTCAGGAGCTCTTTCGAACTGCGCAATTTGGGCATGTTCGTCGGGTTTCTTGGTGTCGATTGAAAGAGGCATGCTACGAAGTACTGAAGAAGATTGGCGAGAGAAGTGATTTACAACCCATATGTTAAGAACTTCCGCATCAACAAGGCGGTCCCTTCGACCTCCTATATAACCCCTTATGGACAATCTTTCATAGCCTCCTCTAATATTGGGCTCCGGCGTAAGTCCCAAAGCTTTTCTACGTCTCATCGGCATTGGCACTTCCCTAATACAGCTGCGCTAGGGTGAAATTCCCCGCATATCAACGGCCTTTGATTTACAATGCAATTCTCAAGTCGCAAGCATGGCCGTAGTTGTGATGGTACGTGGCAGGGCACTTACACTTGTCAGATGTACGCCAATCAGAGGGTGTTACAACTGAAGCGAAGGTCGCGCGAGAAGCCGGAAATCGCTCCTGTACCGCCATAGATACAGCCTCGCAAGCATGGCGGAAAAGGGACCGCACAGAGTTTTTATATATCGTGAATTGGCTCCCCACAACTGATGATAGAAATCCACACATCTGTTTACCTTTCATCCAACATCTCGGCTCGATTATGCTCCATTGGCGTTCACGCTAAGCAAATCTAGCGTCACGCACAGACGGCGGAAGACCCGTAGCCAGGTCTCTTTGCAAGGCTTGTGCATGTGTTGTTTGTCAACTTTGATATTGACGACTATTTACGCGTTTCGGAACAGGGTTTTGCGAATCCCCTGCTCAAAAGATATGGTGGACCTCGTGTACACTCTGTAGGGATACGGATCTCATTGCGCGACACGCGCCTGCCGCCCGCTGACTGTTAGCATGAGGCATTTTCGACCTCGGGAGAACAGGAGCGAAATGAGCAGGAATCTGCACTCGCGAGGGCACTTCGCCACCTTGTAGTAGTCATAACCCCATGCGGTACTCCAACCTAGCTCGGATTGATCATAAACCAGCCTTACTCTGGCGTGGACAACGGGTTGAAGAGGTCAGAACGATCATAGACTCGTAGCCCGTAGAACGAACCAAACACGCCTTTGGCGGGCAATTCCACCAGCCCTCTAGGTCATCTGGCTTGGCATTATGATGGACTCTCATGGCGAAAATCACGCACCCCATTTCGGCGTGGATCAGGAGGCCTCCAAGGCTTGAAGCGCGGGGCTCCGCGAACAGTCTTGGCCACCTCCAGTATGGTCGAGCTGACCCTCGAATTGTCGACATGTCGTCAATTTGTCTTATCGGACGCTAACAAAGTGTCACTGTCTTTATATCTGTCTGGTCTGAGTGGGCGTCGATAGCACACTCCGCTCTCTGCCCCTCTTTCGCTTTCAATGGAACACGTCTCGCGCATCGACACAGCGAGGGAAGCAGTTGATCAAGCTCTCAACTTTGCTGATGACGAGCCTTTGTCTGGCGAGACACCAGTCCACGACATAGTACTGTCGGATCCTCTTCTCCAACACTTGCCGTTTGAGGGCTATCGCATCTTGGACCCACAGTCTTCGAGAGCAGCCCCTATAAAGGTATGCACTCGACGTACAAGTCTGCAAAAGTGAGCTAAAGCTCGCTACAGCCGTTGTGCGATCGTACCCACAGCTACATCTCCTTTGTGACACCGGTCTTTGGCGATGATCGGGCTACGGGCTTCGCGAAGAGGGCCGCCTCGATCTGCAGGTTTGTGGGCAGGAATTGGAACAACCTATTGCTGGTATTTGTACCCATGGGTATTATAGCACCAGAGCTAGGTTGCGGAGACACGGTCGTCTTTGTGTTCAATTGCTTTGCTATTGTCCCACTGGCCGATGTACTCTGTCGCGCTACAGACGATGTTTCGAGCTTTCTGGGAGACACCGCGGGCGCACTGTTGAATGTAACCATGGGTAATGCAACTGAGCTGGCAATTTTGTAAGTCCAACTCAAGTTTGACCAGTCTTATCGCTAACGGTTGACAGTGTGTACGTGAAAATACGTTTGCTTACGATATAGGCTTACTTGAGTAGTCACGCGCTGCTACAACGGCAGTATGCCATCGTACGGACTTCATTACTTGGGTCTATAATAGTCAACATGTTGCTTGTACTAGGCCTATCGATCCTGGCCGGGGAAATACAGATGCGCGGTCAGAGCTACAACGTTCTTGCCACCAGAGTTGCGGCAGGACTACTTTGTCTCACTACTGTCAGCCTCCTTGTACCTGTCAGTCACAACTTAAGACCACTCCGGACAGTCGCTGACACTGTCTAGTCTACCATCAAGTCTTCCTCAGACAACATCATCCAAAAGCGCGACATCCTTGGAATCAGCAGGGGAACGTCCATTGTCCTCATCGTTGTATATATCGTCTACTTGTGGACCCAAGTCAAGTCCACCAGGTTCTCGTATAAGCCTTTGATCGAGTTGGGTGACGAGCCAGTCGTGCAAGAGATGCAAGAGAGTTTGGAGCTTGACAGAGGGAGCATCCATCGCCGCACACTGTCGTACCCACGAACATTTGCACCCCTTCCTCGATCAGATATAGCAGCTCCCGCACAGTACATTGACAACCGTGACCTACCAGATCCATATCTCGCCGAAACCTTTTCAGATCAGATGACGGCTACACTCGAGTTGGTTAGAACTATTCCGTGGGTGCGCAAAGCAATTCCAGTCGCGATGATGATCCTGTCAACGTGCCTAATATCCATCTGCGGAGAGCTCCTCGTCGGAAGCATCGATCATTTTGTGGACCACTCACCCATCTCCAAGACAATGGTCGGTCTCATCATCCTACCAGTGGTAGGCAATGCCTCGGAGCTCATCTCCGGCATCATGTTTGCGTATCGCAAGCAAATGGATCTCGCTTTTGCAATATGCATCGGCAGCGCCATTCAAATGGCCCTTCTCGTTGCGCCGCTAGTGGTGCTGCTGGGTTGGACTCTGGGACGCGAGATGAGTTTGAACTTCAGTCTCTTCGAAGCTATCACGCTGGTGGCGAGTACGGTGCTGTTTTTCTCGCTCGTGTTTGACGATAGGTGTAGCACCATCAAGGGCGCTTCTCTCATTGCGGGTTACACCATCATCAGGTATGTAGGTTAGCTCCAGCCTTCCGAACGATACTAATTCGAGACATAGTCTTACATCGAACTTCATAACCAGCACCGAGGATTAGCTAGAGCGGCCATTAAGCCTGTGGACACGGTAGTTTCGCTCACTAAATAATTTCATAGTTGACGCTGTTCTTATAAACAAACCGCGATGAACAACACAGTTCAGTGATAGTTCTGGAAACATAAGCCGAGCTTCAACGTCAAATAGTGGATGTCAGACTTGAAGAAGGTTATAGTATCGTTCATTTGTCTAAGTGTACTGTTGTGAAATGATGTCCCTGGATATTTATGAAATTTCAGAATGGCAGCACCGAGCGCACCTCGCATCTCGCGGCTCACACTTCCAAGCGCCCATCGACACGCAGAGAAGCGGCTTAGCTTTTGGCCTCATTGCCTCAATGGCTCCAAAAACCGGAATCGATTTCATCCAAGTTACATCATCTCAAAGTGAGATAGACCATTCCCCCTTCAAGTGGGGGCCGACGTCGCAGCGCAGACCTACTAGCAAGGTGCTTGTTAAGCCATTCCGTAGCTCCGATCCTCCTCAGTCGAGAAAATTTTACCTTGTGCTTTGGACTGAAGATGTCGTCCGCAATGAATGATATGTTTTGACTCGCCTCATATTCTTGTACTGCACAGACCTTGACATGGGAATGGACCACATTTGCTGCTCTAACGGTTTGAGAATTGGCCATGACATCACAGCAGCTGAGGCAAAGTTTACGCACGGCCGGCTTAAACGATACGGATTCGACCGTGGTAACCAACCGTCCCTGTTTGGTCGGTGTTGTTTACACGTTTGAGAAGGTAGCGCTTGAACCCTTGCGATTTTCGTTTGGAACATGGCACCGTCTATCTCTGAATCTCGGCCTCAACATATTCTAGATTATATCAGTCTGGATTGTTCAAAACCTGAGTAGATAACAAATAGTCATGCTTCGAGAATACATGGAAAAGCGACAGCAGAGCATTTGGCTGTTCCATTTCGTCTTTGAGTATTATCGTTTCAAATGATAGTCAATCTCAGGCGGACCAGTTCCTTCGTATATTACGTCTTTATCGTGAGATCAGCCTCAGCGACCATTGCTCCCGAGCGTGATATTGCTCTCCGCCTCTTCGACCCAATTGCAGGCTTAGCTGGCGCCGCGCAGGACACGCCCGCCGGCTTAGCTACGAAAATTGCGGACATTCAACCCACCGCCATACCTACGAGTATCTCGGACGCTGTAGCAACCTTGAAGTCCATCTTCGGTCCCAAACCCACAGGAATCTGCTCTTCAATGGTCTATGGATGGCAGTAGCCATCGATGCCTTGTCAAATGGCGGTCCAGTTCACCTGGGTCGGATAGATTTAAGCACCGTCTGTCAGCAGTTGGCCCATCCGGCGTTGGGGGGTGAGCGATGTGAACGTGACAGAAGGGTTGAACCCACTAGCTGCATTGAACGTGAGAATTTCAACCCGAAGTCACGAAGAACTCCGCGATTAGATCGTACGCTAAGTGTGCTTGGGAAGTGATAGAATAGCGTTATTATTCAGTCCCTGACTCTATCATAATATCTAAACACATTGATGTTTTCGCACATGTGCTGGTAGCGAACACACTACGCACAAATTGACTGGAGATCTAGAGCAATCGAGAAAATGAAGACAGACATGTCAAGTTGCTAAGATACATATAAGGATGCACCACGACACAGCGCAGCAATGACTCCAAGTCGAATAGTCTGGCTAGACACGTCCCAGTCTTGCTTCAAAGCAGCTTCCTGTAGCAGTTCAAGGGGCTGTGCCGGATATTGACGTGATAAACCCTGCGAAGTCATGCCTAATGTTTTCTTGTTTTCCCGCATAAGCGGGCTCACGTGGACTCTCAAATGCTTCCTTGAGATAAGGATTATCGATTAATCATTGTCGGAAGCCCGTCTTGTGGCTGCATGTACAGGGTCTACGGAGTCTGAGCTAAATTAGGTGTCGACGATGTTGCAGCACCTCATCCTCGCGCTTCATAACTCTGAGAATCTGCTTTGAATGTGTATCAATTCAACGGCGCACAGAGTGTTCGATTCCGTGTGTCGATAGGAAGCATGACAAGCTTCAGCGGTGGACCCTAAATAATATGCAGTACTACGCATTGCGTTTCCGGCTTAGTGGGAGCTGGTGTGTGTCCCTGTTGCAAGATGCAGGCTCAGGCTTCCTTACGCCAATACTCATGACAATGTGCTTCGGTGCTGCTATTATCGTCACATAGGAATATCTCGTGGGCGCAACAGAAATTAGATATCCATAGATCAATTCCTATCCCATATGGTCGGCATAGTGAGCCTTGGATATCGAGGACATTCTTTATATGAAATGGGGTCACAGGTTTGACTCTCGCCGGCCCAGATTTGATCTGAAGCAGTTTCATGGAGGGTTCCGTTGGCTGCACTCCGAAACCGATTAGGCCCATACTTTGCCGCGTAAGCGTGGCATGACCGCAATTACCCTGTGGGCACAGCAAACAAAATCTGGGTTTCATTGATGCCACGCCCGTGCATATATAGCATGCGTATGCAGCTCGAGAGCACTTGATCTTATCCAAGCGATAGGCATGTTCTATTCCGTTCGCGTCTACGAAGTACTCTAGCGGCAGGTGCGAAAACTAGATCTGTCGCGGCCTGACCCCGTGGAAGCTTTTCTTCGCGTCGCTCTTTCTTAGCTGGAAGGGCCCAAAACTCAATTGTCCTTGTGTTTAAAGCATATACAAGTTTAGTTCCAGGAGTCGTGACCATCTCTTCTGACATCATACAAGACTTGGAAAGCCTTTCTCGGGAGCGAAAGATAGCAATATCACTTTCTGTTCGAAATCCTCTGCACACCACGATGGTAACTTTCAGCGTTAACTTGATGAATCTTCTGCCAAATATGGCGGTTCTCATCAGCTCTGTAAGTGCTCCGGCAGTCGAGAGGCAGGTTAGGCGTTCTACTGCTCATTGGGCCCCAGACGATCATTTACGTGGCTGTCAAGAGGGTGTGCTTCCACCCTCTGTCTGGCTATCCTGGCCCACGATTATGGGCATCCAGTCGCATTCCATACGTGTTGTCTCTTCTGTGTGGGAATCTGAACAGCGACATGCTCAGATTTCACGATTTTATGGGCCTGTCGTTCGTCTTGCGCCTAATAAGCTCTCCTTCGCAACGGAAGAAGCATGGAGAGATATCTACATGCACAGGAGAGGTCACTCCGAGGCGAAGAAGGATACAATCTGGTACATGGGTGAGCATTTGGGTTTGATGGCTCGATAATGAGTTAATGTTATGTAGCTCCGGAAGGCATGCCACCTAATATTGTCACAACGGCGGACATTCAAATCCGAGCTCGCATGCGAAGACTTCTGTCCACGTCGTTCAACGCACAATCTCTTCTTGACCAAGCCCCAGTGCTGGAGGAATACGCTGATAAAGTTATCGATCGCTTGTCAGAAATCTATCGAGATAATACGTCGCAGGGCAAGGCCACTGTGGTCAACATGCTCGATTGGACCAACTTCTACACTATGGACATCATTGGGGATCTTGCGATGGGCGAATCTTTTCACTGCCTCGACCAGAGCTCATACCACCCCTGGGTCAAAACCCTTTGCATGTTCTTCAAAGGTATAATTATAGCAGCTGCAGTACGGTTCTTTCCTGGCGGATGGCTGCTGCTCCAGGCCTTGATACCAAAGAAGTTACGTGAACAGCAGAAGCAGCGTACTGAGTTCACCAACGCAAAGATCCGTCAACGTGTCGAGCTCAAGACGAGACGCCCTGACTTTCTTTCACCATTCCTTCGTGAGATGGAAGTGTCGCCAGAGAAAATGTCACTTGGTGAGATACAGTCTACTTTTGGAGTGATCCTAGTTGCTGGGTCAGAAACCACCGCTACAACGCTCGTCGGGTGTCTGTATAGACTGGCGTCCAACGTCACTACACAGGAGAAGCTCTGGTCGGAAGTACAGCACTTCCAGTCAAACCAAGCAATAACCGTGGAATCGACAAGAAACCTTGAGTACTTGGACGCAGTGCTCAACGAAAGCCTTCGGCTCTGCTATGCCATTCCTGGAGGCTTACCTCGAATCGTTCCCGAAAAGGGCGATACATATGCGGGTCACTTTGTCCCAGGGGGTGTAAGTCTAGTCCATTGCTAGTGAAGGACACATGCTGACAATAGTTGGCAGACCTCGATCTCTATCCGACCACATGTTCTTATACACTCCGAGAAATACTTCAAGAATGCATGGACTTTTGCACCCGAACGATGGCTTCCCAATGAGAAGCGTCCCGAGGAATTTGCGAACGACAATCTGTCCGCAAGTCAGCCCTTTAGTGTTGGCCCAACAGGTTGCATCGGGAAGCCGCTAGCCTTGGCAGAGATGAAAGTCATGTTGGCAAAGTTGCTTTGGAACTTCCGATTGTCCATGGTTGAAGATAAACCGTTCAAATGGGAGGATCTAAAGATGATGATGGTCGTGGAGAAAGGGCCACTTTGGTTGGCGTTGGAGAAGCGACAGCACTAGTGGGACTTCACTCTACGATGACACTCCACATATGATGTGCCCATGCATATAACTCTCAGCACTGGTTAGTATATATGTGGATTAAATGAATCTTGAATGCACACAATACCAAATTTGAGATCAGAGCATTGTCGGCACATGTACCTCTGATTTGCGTTGCCGCACTGTATTGAACCTATCCTCAAGTCCTGCTTCCAATATTGCTCATTTACAACAATGGGCCAACATAATGGATTGTTTCCAGCTCCTAAGTCTTGGCCTGGACGGTGGAAGCCCTTCTCATCTCCTCGCTGCACTTACTGGAAAGATGCCTCGGCTCAAAGTATTCTTCTTTGGGTTCTAGGAACCTATATATATGTGGGGTTATTCGAACGCTGAGGTTTCCCAATTCTTTTCAGATAGTATAGATGGATTGGAAGAAGTTTTGGTGTCTAGCTAGAGCGTGAACCCGTTCAACGACATCAAAACGTCGTTTCTGTCTAAACATGGGCACACTTTGAAGAGGCTGATAATTAGGGATGGTGCGACAGATCAGTGCTGGGGTGAAGCAGATGTGCAAAATCTGGCCGCGAAGGCGCCATACATCTGTGATTTTGCGCTGAAGATCGCATCCGTGCGAGACCAGTCGGCGGGTTGGGTGAGCTTCCCCCTCCCACCTAAGGATTCGCTGTCATGATGATGCTTACTATCTTCCGCAGCCTGAGCCTACAATGAAAGCATTTGCAGCCTTCAAACGCCTCCGTAACCTGTAAATAGCACTCCGCTTGCAGCTTCATCAGGAGAGCTCCGATTTGTTGACGATGTTCTACGGTTCTGGCGGATCGTTTCATTTCCACCTGAAAGAAGAAGCTTGTCGGGACCATGTTATCAGCTTATACATGCGACTCCACGAGAACTTTGCGGATCCATCCATCCAATCGGTGAAAGTCATTCTTCAGACTACCCAGCAATACAATAAATGGACGTCCACGGTGACGTTACGGACTCGTGATAAATTGAGATTGTCTGTAGAGAAGGACTCTTTCAATTCGATTTCGAAGGGATCCCATGATGTCGGGCGGCTTAGGTAGGTTGTCTGATGTTTTCACTTATGTGGCGAGGTTTGCATGTGGCAGATTGGTGGGATTGCCTGGCTTATAGGGGAGGTATCGTACGATGCATATTTTCTTCTTTCATTGAAGCCATTCAGACTATCTATCTATTTATCAAAAATACACATCGTTACTGGACTACCTCCTGGTAGTAGTATACCTTGCCCTCGAAAAGTCGTCGTGCCGTCCTAGATACCGTGCATCGATCCACGACCGCGACAGTCTTTGAGCTCGCAGCTGTGACCTCTACCTCAATAGCACCACTTGGATGAGAAATCCGAACCAATTTGCGGCCGGGTTGTACTAATGAGCAGCTCCCATCGCTGTCAGACATCGGACTTGGTGACCTTTCAGTCTTGGATACCTGCCAATGTGGGGTCGTTGCGACGCGATTCACAACAGTATCTTGGATGATAGCGGCGGAAGCAAGACATGCAGCGCCGGTAAGCTGTACACTAGGATGTGGCTTGCCCATACTGAAGGCCAGTACGTGTACACTTGCAGCGGCATTGGCAGATGGGAACTTTGATTCGGGAGGTGAGACGATGGCGAGTTTTGGTGTTCCCCTTACTTTCGCAGCCGCGTCAGTGCTACTGGCCAGGCCCATCATCACAGCCCCCTCGCGCCGTATCGACTCCATGTGCTCGAGGTATCCAATGGAGTCCTTCGCACACGTCTTCAGATATGGAGGAAGCGTTGAGCCGTCTATCACGACAAAGGGGTTGGCGGCATCGATCAATGTGGCCTTAACGGAGAAGCGAGGCCCGTTGCGTTCTTGGACGACGATGGTATCTGTTCGCCTCCCCGAGGGGAAGAGCTTTCCAGTCATGCTACCGGCTGGATCCACGAAAGCGACTTTAATCTCACTTCCAGTGCCCTTGACACCTGGGATCGTGTATTCACCGTCTTCCTGAAAAGAGCCGTATTCGTCAACCTGGATGGTCTCATGGATTACTCTGGACGTGTTCGTGTTGTAAATCCGAACGTCCAACTGTGATCCCGTAAGCCTAAACTCGGATTTTTCTTTTTGTGAACTTACAGTCTTTTCTCCTGGTCTGGGTTGTACAAGCCCTTCCTGCAGAGCAAAGGGACCAACACCGGAGCATATATTTCCGCAGTTACCACTAAAGTCAACAGTCCGCTGTCCTACTGCGACCTGTACGAAGGTGTAGTCAATATCAATGCCAGGTCGTGCTGATGGTGAGACCACGGCAACCTTGGATGTTGTTGAGGTTGCGCCTCCAACTCCATCAATTTGTCGGGCGTCACAATTTTGAGAGCCCATTGCCGCAAGGAGCGGACCAGCCCACAGATTTTCGGAGGCTGGCAGGTCATGACGGTAGATGAAAAGGCCTTTCGATGTACCCGCACGCATCAGCACAGCTGGAACGCTGCACCGTACTCTTGTACGGTGAGGTGTATACGCTGTAATTGGGCTGAACGCAGTTGCGACTTCGGTGACCATGGCTGAGTGAGCTGGGAAGGGATGTGATCCTAAGGAGTATGTGGATGGCTCGAAGGAAAATGTTCGCCTGAGTGTGCGAAGCATGTGCCAAACGTATAGTAGGCTGGGTGTTGTGATGTAGCATGATATAGGTTGCTACATAGCATACATATATAGTCTAAAGCACAGCATCATGCTTCAGAAAACGGAACCCGCGTTGCATTCCGATCCACATGTCGAACGGAGGAGCCGTGCTGCCGTGAGTAGTTCATGAACGCACTTCCGTGGACCGGAGTTTTGCCGCGGACATGGGACCCAATGGTACCGATACCGAAGATCGGCCGCGGCCCTGTTCCGTCGCCTCCCACATGATGCCGCGAACCCACATACTTTCACTACGCTGCGGGGTCCCAGTCCAGGAAGGCAAAACTGTCCATGGCGGAGCCATTCAGACCGTACAAGAGGTCATCTACCGTTACCGAAGCACCTGCAGGCATTGGATATGGATTTCCTTGATAGGTGTTTGGTATGTCGAAACCGTTTTCTTGTCCGGTATGAGCTCCAGAGTTGTCGACAAACGTGCTATATCGTGTTGTTGCTGGCGGGTGTATGTCGCCAAAACTGTTGCGACTCTCAGATGGCAATTGTGTTGGTTGAAAGCTTTCCTGCTCCTTTATGAAAGTTTGTATGATATCGTCGATGTCAAGGCTCTGCAAGCTCTGTTCTCGTCCTATCGATTGGTATGCTGATACATCCGGACTATCCCGAGTGTTTCCGGTTGCGATCCCATCACCCAACTTTTCTGGAGGTGAACTCTCTATACCGAGTCTCCTCATAAGATTCTGCACGATGGCATTTGCTCTGCGTACAGCCCAGTTGGTTTCCTCATTTTTCCGAAATACATCCAGGCATGCTTCCAGGTTACTGCGAGCATGCGAACTCGCTCCTCGCTTTGCAGCAATTCGTACATGAATCGTTGCAGCTACATAGGTAGCGTATGATATCAAGTATGGAGCTCTACCTACGCTGAAAGCTTTATCGTAGGCACGAAGAAGCAGAACAATGCTGTCTGCTGCCGTTGCACATATCATAAACGAGTTGATGGAGATCGCCCGGGAAGTGTTGTACAAGTGGCCGTCGGTGACGAACGGCCGATGAAGAAGGATTGTTAGCACGTTGTACATAGCACTGGCTGTCGCGTCAGTACATATGCATGAGCGTCAAGTTACCACGGAAAACCTACTGTAGGCTCAATACGTGCGGAGGCGGTATGGCAGATGTCTTCGCCGTGTCAAACGCAAGGTGTGTGGGAAGACTACTCCGCCACGACGTAAGCTTTTCATGAATATTTTGTAACTTAGAGGAAAGATCTCCTGGACTTGTAACGTGGCTTCTCTCGGTGTATATACTACTCAAAATATCCTCTAGAATGATGGAGAGCATGCAGAGCTGGCGGAAGGTCGATACGCTGTATGCTGGGGAGCCTAGATATGCGCTCGATTGGGCTGAGTAAGCAAAAGGTGCCCATTGTTCGAGCTCCTCATACGAGTCGAGAAACTTGATGGGTACCAGGGTATCAGATTCTTTAATGCTAACAGGACGACCCTGATACAGACTCTGGATTTTGTCGACAACTGACACAATTAGCAAGTTGAGAATTTAGCCCAAAAAGCGGGGTGCAATCACCGAAAGCTGCCCAAAAAACGCGTCGTCGGATCTCGTAATCTTCATCCGAAATCTTGCGTGTACCAGTACTTGCAAGGGCTAAGGTGTCTACATGTAGCCCGAGGTCGACTATCATGCGAAAGGCGATGCCGGCGTATACCCAGGCAGCACTACGCTCGTCTCCAAGGGCGAAAAGCGAATTAGTCATAACGAGTAATGCCTGGATAGTGGTGATTTCGCATTTTTCTAGCGCTTCCCCAAGGAGTTCACGGACGCGTTGACGGAATTTCCAGCCAGCAGTGCGTACGTCATTAGGCACTCGTCTAACCTCCTCATGGCGAGGACTGAATTTAGATGCTCCAAAGTAGATCGCGTTGAGTAGCAATTTTGAGAAATACGGTCCTTTACCTCCAGAGGCCATGTCTCTCATAAAAGCAGGCCGGTAAGTGATAAGAAAGGAGTGGTGCTGTCGATTCCAATGCAATGATAACAAATGCATACCAAGTTCAGGCTCAACCCCATCGAAGTCGAGGGTTTTGTTGCGAAAGTGGAAGTCCTCCAGTTGACGTTGCCGAGTAGCTTCGGCAAGCAGTCCCTTCTCAACCCATTCCTCTGGCATCGAAGGACGCCTTTCAACAGTGGACCTATCGGCGTTTTCATCGAATAATGTGCTTGTGCGTCCATGGTAGCTGGACATGCCATTCGCTGTGACGATACGCGAGACACTGTTTGATGGTGGGGTCTCACGCTCAACTGAGTGATGCGAGAGCCTTTCTCTAACCGGGACTGCAAGCGGATGTGTCGATGCCGATGCTGTTACTGCATCACTGAGATGGCCAGGTGTATAATCCCGCCGTGCAGACTTTGGTTGACGGGCATCGTCAGCGTTCTCGTAGCTACATGTCGTCCCGTGTGTTTTGCAGGCGGCACACGTGGGCCTTTCTGAACTGCATTTGATCTAGAATTTTGAGTGTCCATATACACGGGATGAATAATGTCACGAACCTTGCGCCGACGGCAGAAAGCACAGGCCTCTGCAGCGCGTTTGCGCACTCGGCCCGTCTGAGGACTGGGATCGCTGGGGCTCATAACGCTTCTGCATACGTCTGCGGGTATGCGATGGACACACAGACGGTTCCGTGTATGAATCAGCCAGCGGTTGTGACGACCGGAGCAGGAATGAGAGCCGCAAGGTGGCCAGGCGGGAATGCCGCGGTAACATCATGTATGTGCGCGCTATCTAGCGCCGGATGCTGGTACCGACTGTCATCGCATCCGCCCGAACGCCCTCCATCCGGATATGTCTCGCTATCTGCGTCGTCAGGTCCACAAATGTGGTCCATGTATATACGTTTGAGAACCCGCGACACGATGGCCCTCGCAATCCAAACTTCGCTGCCGTCACCATACCCACCATGAGCGCAACCACAATCGTTGTCGCCCGCCCGGATCCGACAATCGTCGACAAGGTAGCCGCCCAGCTTCCAGTGTGCAAACAATCAACACCAAACTCTGCGACCAAGACCAGTCCACCAGCCCATATCTCGCTCGTTGCGGGTGCTGTGGCAGGTGGTTTCGAAGCCACTGCGACCTACCCCTTCGAATTCGCCAAAACACGCGCGCAGCTCTACGCAGGCGGCTCAAAGAATCCATTCACCGTCATTGTGCAGGTCGCGAGAGCTAATGGTTTCGGGGCCATATACACAGGTTGCTCCACGCTCATAATAGGCACCGCGGTCAAGGCGGGCGTTCGTTTCCTTTCTTTCGATGCTATCCGCAGCCAACTTGCGGATGAATGCGGCGTATTATCGCCAGGGCGAGGTCTGCTCGCTGGTATGCTGGCAGGCACGGTAGAAAGCGTTGTTGCTGTTACACCCACTGAGCGCATCAAAACTGCGCTTATTGACGACGCAAAGAGTCATCACCAATTCCGAGGAGGCATTCACGCAGCCAAGAGTATTCTGGTGGCCCAAGGCGTTCCTGGACTATATCGGGGACTTCTATCCACAACGATGAAGCAGTCCGCGACATCGGCTGTGCGAATGGGCTCATATAACGTCCTCAAGGAGTTCTTGCGGCGGAAGAACCTTGCTCAGAACAGTGTTACCACATTTGCAACTGGCGCGCTCGCTGGTACGATCACTGTATATGCGACACAACCGTTCGACACCATCAAGACAAGATCGCAAAGTGCAAAGGGAGCCAGTACTAGCGAGGCGTTGCGGAGTGTGTTACGAGAGACTGGGGTGTGCGGATTCTGGCGTGGCAGTACAATGCGACTCGGAAGGTTGGTCTTCAGCGGTGGCATCGTCTTCACGGTGTATGAGAAGATTGTGGCTCTGCTACACAAGCCGAATTGAGGGTATGTCTCTCAAAATGACAATTATATGCCGATCTTTGAGATTCAATTGATCCTGGAGGCCTAATCTCTATATCATGTTGATCCTAGACATACGTAAAAATACCAGCCGAGTTTATAAAGGTTCACTAAGTTACAATACCAGCCGAATCCGCTTGAATCCGCCTCACACATTATACGCTATGAGCGATGAGCACGCAGAGCGGCTGCCGTTACGGCGGGTCCACTTATCATAGTTCACGTGTCAATGGCTTCCATCTTCCGCTCCGTGAGCAACAAAATCCCAGCGTTCACACACCAGACCGCTTTCAGATGCTGTTTAAAGTGCCCGCCTTGGTCCAAAATCCTCCCGGTTGACCATAGTCACACGGCAGACTTCATGTGGTGTACTGTCCATAGGCGCGCCCATGCAAATGGATGTCCTGTTCCGCGGTTTAAGTTCCCGTTGCCAAGCCCGTCGCGCGGCTTCAGGACATCCGTTCCGCTCCCAACATCGCAGCCGTTCGACCACAGCTTCCGTCTTGGCCTCCACACGACACTTCCTTCTGGAACGGCAACTGACCCGCGGCTCCACCCCGCAGTGTTAAGTCCGGTTCCCATCAGGTGGCGGATAGACTGTGTTCTGGTTCGCCAAGTCTGGGGCCCCGCACTGTTACGGTAGGCCCGAATCAATGGTTCTCGGCGCCCTCGAGGCGATAGAGCGGAGCAACTCCAACAAGCGCGCTATGGAATTCACGATCTATATAGCTATGACCTGTTCGCACCAACATGACGATCATCACTACCATTACCTCCCTGGTCATTCTCTGGCACCACCATCATCCATTCGCCTACTATGTCTGACAAAGCTACCATGGAGAAGAACGATGTCGAGTTCAAAGAGGATGCCGTACAGGGGCAAGTGAGAGATCATCTCATTACACCACAGCAGATTCAAGGTCGCTTCGACACACTGCGAGGTCTTAGCGAAGAGCAGATGACGGTACTCGACAAGAAGGTCGTCCGAAAGTTAGACTGGCGCCTTATGCCATGTATCACACTCATGTTTCTTATGAAGTAAGTCCGAGCAAGTTATAACTGCGACAGAACCTTGCTCACACCGAATAGCTACCTCGACCGTATCAATGTTTCGAACGCTCGTCTCGCAGGCCTGCAGAAGGACCTGCAAATGACTGATACACTGTGGAACACTGGTATCTCTACCTTCTATGTCGGGTACCTCGTCGGTCAGCTACCTGGAAACTTGTGGCTCGCAAAGGGAAACCCCCGATTGGTTCTACCTACGATGATGATGGCATGGAGCATCGGCACCATCTGCATGCCCGCCATGACCAACGCCGCTGGCTTTGCCGTTTGTCGCTTCTTCATCGGCCTTGCTGAGGCACCATTCTTCCCCGGTATAACGCTGATGACATCCTCATGGTACACTAAGGAAGAGAACCCAATGAGAATGGCCATCTGGCATGCGGGCAATACGATTTCCAACATTCTTTCCGGTTTTCTCGCAGCTGGCATTCTCACCAACATGGACGATATTCTCGGTCTGCATGCATGGCAGTGGTTCTTTATTATCGAGGGTGCTGTTTCTATCCTTGTCGCCGCGGCCGGTTACTTCCTGCTACCTGCGTGGCCCCACAACACCACATGGCTGTCGCAAGAGGAGTCCGAGATGGCTCAATATCGTGTCATGGTGTCGAACGGTGGTTTACATGAAGAACAAGGCGGTACATGGGCCGGTGTCAAGGACGCGGCCAAAGATCCCTTCACTTGGTGTTTCTGCCTCATGCACTTCGCGCTTATCACTGCTCAGAGTTTCAAAGATTTCATGCCTTCGATCATGGAAACATTCCATTTCAGCAAGCTCACTACCTACCTTGTACAAGCCCCTCCTTACGCCATCGCTTACGCAGTTGCTTGCGGTCTCGCTTACACATCCGGCCGGTTCCAGGAATCCTTCTATCACATTGTCATTCCCATCATTTTCAGTGCTGCAGGATGTGGTATGCTCATCGGTACCCTCAATGTCGGTGCTCGCTATTTCGGTCTCGTCTTGCTCATCAGCGGTACCTATTCTGGCCTCAACCTGCAGCTCAGTTGGGAGACGACACTTGTTCCCGCGCCCAGGAGCAAGAAGGCAGCTCTGATTGCGATCGCGAATTGCATCAGCCAGACCAGCCATTGGTTCAGCCCATACTTCTTCCCAACGAGCCAAGAGCCTTACTATCGCCTAGGAGGTGGTCTTATCCTCTTCGGATGCTTGGCTTGCGTTTTCAGCGCTTGTCTCGTTAAATGGAGGGCTATAGCTTTGAACAAGAGACTGGATGAGGCAGAGGGATGGTCGGAGCACAGCGGTGTTGAGCGGGGATGGAGACATGTCTACTAGTCGGAGAGCACGGATTGCTGGGGGCTGAGGATAACGTTTTTTTTTCTCAAACGAACCGTTTACACGTGTTAGAACTTCTACGATCGCAACTATATGATGATTCCATAAGAAGTTTTCGTTTTGACTTCCTCGTGCAATTGTTCCGGGCTCTGATGAGTTGCAATTTTACCGCTGCTACATACCTACCTAGTCTATTAATAGCCTATTCGCGTAAATGCTTACATTTCGCCCGCACCCCGTCTTACATGCGCCATATCGACGCACTTCAAGGGCTTCCAATCAAATATAAACCCAAACTAACCTTCCCTCTGCACCCGTCCGCATCTTCGTCACAGACTGCAGAGACCTAGCGCAAGATAACAGGCTCCATGGCTATCCCCTACCTCTCGCTTTTCTCAGCGCTGACTGTTCTCTACGGTATATTCAAGCTCTTGCGCTTTGGACGCCGTGAGAAGTATCTCCCTCCCGGTCCACCGACTTATCCCATCGTCGGAAATGCGCACCTTGCGGTTGACAAAGAACTTTACAAAAGGTTGGTGCTCTGGTTCTGTTTTTTGTGTACTATTGTTGACACAAGGTAGATTCAAAGATTGGAGTGAACAATATGGAGATGTATTCTCCCTCAAGATCGGGAAAGGCACCATGATAGTGCTCAATAGCAAACGGGCTGTGTACGAGTTGATCGATAAAAGAAGCGCAATATACTCGTCCAGGGCAAACGACGAGCAGTTTCGTACTGCGCTAAAGAACGAAAACATTGCCAACATGGACGCGGATGCCGGATGGAGAGCCCAACGTAAGATTACGGCACGATTTCTCGCACCTGCCAAACTGGACGGTGAGCTTGCAAAGATTTCGGAGGCAGAGTAAGTGTAGCACTATGCGGGTTGGAACGAGAAGGCACGAGATTTGTTCAATTGGGCAATCCATAGTAACCTCAGAAACAGGATTACCACGCTAATGCACGATCTGATTGTCAGCCCTGAAGATTTCAGTAAACACATCAATCGTTCCAGTGCTTCATTCTCCGCCATTGCGCTTTATGGGCAACGTGCGACCACCCACGATGTATTTTGGGCTACAGTAAGCCGATATATGGGAACGAATTGTATGTATTACTGACCAGTTTAGTTTGTCTACGAAGCTATGGACGTAGTATGACAAGGTATTCCCGCGTTATCTCAACCAGAGACTGACTTTGAAAACACAGATGAACAAAGTCGTAAGCCCTGGTACATATCTTCCATCGGAGCAATTTCCAATCTTCAAACTGTTGCCTAAACGATGGAATCCGGCCCATGCACGTGCAGAGGAAAGTTTCCGTTTCTGCACAGGTCTATTCACTGAAGCTCAGAAACGTGTGGAGGCGCGGCGAAGTCAGGGTGACAAACGTACCTCCCTCATGGACGAGTTGCTCGACGAGAACACGCGATCGGATACGTCGTTCACAGGGACAAAGCTCGCAAACTTCTTAGGAGCTCTGATGGAGGGCGCTGCCGACACGGGTGCTCTATCCATGCGCACAAACATCATGTTTCTTGCTACCCACCCATGGGTCCAAGATAAGGCTCAGAAGGAGCTAGATACACTCTGTGGTGCAGACAGAATGCCCACCTGGGCGGACTTTAAAGATCTACCGTACATCAACTGTATTATGAAGGAAGGCCTACGGATTCGACCCGTGTAAGCTATCCTTACTTGCACCTTTTCATATGCTGCATTTGCATTGACAATGTTCCTGCAGAGTTCCCACCGGTATCCCGCATGCCTGCACTCAAGATAACTGGTATGAAGGCATGTTGATTGTGAGTTATTTACCAACCCATATTGACGAAATCACTGCTGATCAGTATTCCAGCCCAAGGACGCCACCATAATGATTCCCCTATGGGCTCTTCACCATTCTCAATACGACGACCCCGACACTTACAATCCTGACCGCTACCTGAATCACCCAGGTTTGGCAAGCGAGTACGCTGCAAGCCATGACTACCAGAACCGCGACCACTACTCCTACGGAGCTGGCCGCCGCATCTGCCCAGGGATCCAGCTCGCAGAGCGTACGCAGTTCCGAATGCTTTCGGCAATGCTGTGGGCTTTCCGTCTTGAGCACGCTATTGATGAGAAAACGGGCAAGGAGATTCCGATCGACACAGAGGCATTCGAGGACAAGTTGATCACGGGACCGAAGGCGTTTCAGGTCAGGTTTACGCCGAGGAGCCTGAAGCATGTGGAAGTTATCAAGAAAGAACTAGGTAATGTCAGTGGGCTATTGAAGACTTGGGAGTAACGGCTGGGTCTACCTTCATAGCTCCTTGATAGCTTCGTAGTAAGCACCGTCAGGACTCTCTGATCATTCCCCATCTCTCGAAATACGAGGGCACGAGAAGAGTGTTGGTTTGAAGAATAGTGGAACGATGGTGCATTCGACAAGTGTTGTCAAGAATTAATCAACTTAAGCCCGATAATCCTGCAGGAAACTCTGACCGAGCTTGTCTGGTTCTACCGAGTCAGCTATGAAGCAATGAATCGCATTTCCGTAGAGCTTGTTCGATTTGGTCAACCCTGCAGCCGGGAATTGGAAGACAATCGTTCCCTCCTTCGTGAACACTGTGCAGAGCACAAGAGGGGTACAACGAATGCGTGTACCAACTCAGCAGAGTTCAAGTCAGAACAAAGACATACCAAAGTCACCGTATCGCTAATCAAGTCATTGCTCACAAGCTGGAGCAGGCTATCGCTAGTCCTCTTGACGAGGAATATAATACTTTCGTCAAGGCGAGCGGGCGCGATACAACTTCTCTTATCTTCGGCGCTACGCTTGATATGATCAGTGTTTGCTGTCGCGTACTATGCAAAGTCAATACGGTGCAAAAAGACATCTTACTCCAAGACGGAGCAGGCCTCACGGCCTTGCACGTCTCTGTCACCCGTGGCCACGTTGGAGTTGCTCAACTGTTCTTTTCGGCCATGGAGAAGTTACCTGCATTGATACCCAACAATCTCCTGCATATAACATTTCGACATGAGGACGATGCTATGGTGAAACTATTGGTTTCCTGTTGGTCACTCAGAGAAGAGGTTCAGCTCACGAAGTATCATGTCCCTGTGCTCTTCCATGACTATTCGTTGAGCGAATCAGGCACAGATGTTCCAATCCATGATATTACGCTTGGCTAGGTTAGTATCGATATTTGGCAGAAGAATATCGCTCAGTTGAACTTATCAGTTTCTGCATGCCAGTAGTATTCAATCTCCAGGAGTCAAATCCCCAGCTACAGCGATATGTGGGCAAACCTTTGCAGCTGATGGCGGTATCACTTCCGCAGACGCCGTTCCAAGTCGGTCAGGACAGCGTATGAAAAGTGCGCAGAGGAGGTGAGGAGCAAGATCAAGCACACCGTTGACTACTTTAAAAAAATGTTTCAACCCAAATACGCAAGGAGATTTCGTGCAGGTTGCATTCGCTACGCTGGAAGATGCGCTCTGCAGTGTGCCAAAAGACGCAGGCTTTGACATGGAAATAAGTAGGTTACGATCACCACTAGGTGAGTGTACGATACTAATGTTTCCACAATGCCCACGTCTTCATGAGGCTCAAGAAGCCGAGATTGCCCCGGTCTCAATCGAGAACAACATCTTTGTGGAAACTTTGCTAGATGGCATTGCTCGTCTTGGTGGCGTTCGTGACATCATCTTTTCCTCCTTCATCTGTATTCTGCTGGAAATCAAACAGCAATCATATCCCGTGCTCTACATCACTAACGCAGGTAAACGTAAATTTTCTGACGAGGAGAAACGGGCCGGTAATCTACAAGCTGCTGTGCAATTTTCACAACCATGGGGTTTGGCAGGCATCGTGGTGGCAGCAGATCCCGTGATGTTGTGGCCCCGCGTTATCGACTTCGTGAAAAGCCAAGGACTCATCTGTGGAAGCTACAACGGCTGTAACAACGACCCCGCGAATGTGGAGTTATTAAGTTTGTCACATTCCATTCGAGAGGAAACGTTCATGCTAACGGAACATGTTAACTCCAAGTCAAGGCTGGCATTAACATCATTGTGGCGGATGGCGTCGGCGTTATATCTCAGACCCTGAAGAGGCTAAAAGACTGAATCTTCTTGGCTTGACACAAAATCCTTGTCGCGGGCTTGTTACATTATCAGCATTTGGACTGTTGATGAATTCGGCAGTGAGGGATGACGTCCAACTGTATGTATGCCACCTGCTTGGAGAAGACTTGACGCTTGTATTGGACGCGCAACTGCTTTCTTTCTTGAGTATCTTCTTGATGATAGTAGTTGGCAAAGGAACAGGTATGGAGCGCGGCTAACAGGCTCAGCAGATATGGAGCTGCAGCGTACGGCATGGATTCGTGGCCGTTCCCCATACACCTACAAACATAAGATGTAGAAAGAACTTCACTGCCAAATCAAGCCGTCCCAATCGTTTAACGTAGAGCTCTTGAATCCAAATTATTCACGGTGATGATGCATCCGCTACAGCCCACATCGTTGGAAACCGCGCGCACGGTGTTGGACACCGTCCTGCAGCATTAGAATTTCTAAATTATGTCGTTCAAGTATGTAGAAAGATGACATATTGCGCAACTCCAACCGCTGCGCTGCGCTCCAGAACCAAGGCACAGCGGGCCCGCCTGATCCGGTCCTGATTTGGAAAAAGACACGAAAGACTCTCAAACGTTCCGTGAGACAGTGTTGTAGAGGCGTGAAATCAGAAGCTGGTGTGGTATATCTAATCTGGTTAAAGCGGTGCCGGTTGGATCAGCCTGCGGGGCAGCTGTTTCGATCCGACTTCTCTCGCCCGAGAGAAGCACCTTGATGCTGTGCGACCGCAATACCTATGGATAGGAGCAGATCAAACTGCTCAATGGTCACCTAGTATGATATACTCTGTGTATCCATGAATCTAGCAGTTCCGAGTTTCAAACGCATTTCGGCCCCGAATGATGTTAGGAAAGGTCGCTGAACTGTACAAATTGGTCTTGAGAGCCGCGACTTTGCTGGTAGCTTCGCAACTCAGGACCCAACCACTCTTCTCCAGCACACTTTACAATGCTCTCACTACCCACCTTGATTCTGCTCCTAGCGGCTGCTACATTTGGTCAGGCGCACTGTACGAAGACACCCATTTACCCCGCCCTCAAGTTGCAAGCCTAACAAGAGAAGTGGTGTTCGTGCGTCTCGCGCATAACGGGGTGTGGCAGCCTCCGCTCCGATTCATACGGTAGTCATGCCATGGAATGATTTCCTTACATCTTATGATGATACCCTAACTAGTTGCTAGCAACAACACTGCTCCTTTTCAAGAGGACCCCAGCGGAGGACATGTCGGAAGTTCCTACTGGGCTTCCCCAACCCGGCCCACTGACGCGCCCAACTCGGTACGCTGCGGCCGCGACAACATGAACTGGGCAGCCAAGACGGACGTTCTCAAAGTCAGGCCTGGCGATACGATAGAGTTTGTCCTCACTGGGGCCACGCTGGAGCCCTGGACCTGGGACAATGAGGATTTGGTGCAATGGGAAAACTGCCCAGAGGGAAGAGGCGCGTGCAACACAAGGTCAAACAACACAGACAAGGTATTGGATATCCAAGCTGGCCGCTATCAAGTGGCCCTTCATCGTTCATGAGAGAACTTGGCTGAAACAGCGGTTTGTAGTCTATCTGGCCGTTCAAGGTCCTCCACTTGGGTTCCGTAATCATGCATCTATCCAAGGTGCCCGTGAGCCAGGATATACATGCGTACGATGGCAGTGGCAATTGGGTGAAGATATACACTCTGGGTCTCGAGATCCGGAAGGACCTCTGGCCGGATGTTGTCTCTTGGCTTCCGTTCAACGAAGGAAAGCTGCCGCCCAGGGTAAAGTTAACATGCCTCGAGCTGCTGATGTCCCTGCTGAAGCGCAATGATAGTTTATCGCCACGATTCCCAAGCAGACTCCAGGTGGGCAGTATCTGTTGCGCGTGGATCAGTCGTACTTCGGTCAGTACGATCTTGACCCCCAGATCTATCCGTCCTGTGCGCAGATCGAGGTCGTGAGTGATGTCACGGGAGACCTACCTGAAGGTATCAATATTCCCGAAGCTTTCCAGAAAAACTCACCTGGTATGTTTGGCATTCTTTCGAGGCTTCCGGTAATGCGCTGATGAAAGGGAACAGGTATGAAGTATGTGCAGGAACACTGGCCGAATGGATATACGTATCCGGGAGGTCCGCTCTGGGATGGAGAAAAGTTGGAGCAGGATTACCCGCCGCACAAAGATTTGAGTCTTGAAGATGGGCCGCCAGATCTTGGTTCTGCCTAGCTCGGCAAAATCAAGGCAGAGAGGGACTGTGGATCTGAGGATAGTAAGACTGAGACTGATCGAGCCAAACTCGGATTATGAGGAATTAGTTAGCAGAGGGCTTATGTATTTCCTTTCCAGTACGAAGATTCCATCGAATTGGTCATAGCTCGTCCATGAATCGACACATAGGCACTGGACCCATGTTGGTGAATTGCTAAACATGATCGCTACCTCATTGAAGGAGTACAACAGCCTCAAAGTTGAGCCGCAGAGCCGTACTACACACAATGTCCGGTGATCATGTTCCTATGTCAGCTGACTCCATTATTGATATAAGCTGTGCTCTGATTTATCTCTGAAAAGCCATGCCCGTTGCTTCTCGATCTCAAACGCATTATCTACCAACTCAAAATTGAAACGCCAAACCAATCGCGCAACCAATCGCGCAGGTATGAGTTTGATCTCGACCAACGCAATACTTTTCCCAATACAGGCCTTCGGACCAGAGCCAAACGGCAGAAACACATCTGGCTTGTCTGAAAGCGTTACTACAGGGCGATCAGTATGATCGGTAGGAAGCCAGCGCTCTGAAAGAAAGGATGACGGCAGGGTGGGATTGTATGGGAGGGTAAAAGTGGGGATTTGATAAATCGTAGCGATGGTGTAAGACTTGCGTGTAAGGACACTCTAGACATTCCCGTGGGAAACCTCGGCAACCTTGAGTGAGGTGAGTCGACTTACGTTCCCGGAACGAAGTGCCCTGAGACCATAGCTCCTTCAGGATGCGCTTTTCTTCTACCGCCCCCAGCGGTTGGTGTGTATAGCAGCGCAGAGTCTCATTTGTGACTGCAGACAAGTGAATCGTTCTCTTCGTTGAGACCATTGCTATGGCTTGTTTTAATGATGCTAAACCATTGATCTCTGCTCTTAGCTACTTCGTCTTGTCTGGATTTCTAGCGAGAAGATACACAGCTCCACAAAAGGTGTCTGACACTGGTGCAGTTGCTGCAATTATTATCGCGGCGGCATTGACTTTCACCTCACCCTGGTCAGAGGCTTATCGCCCTCTGCCTGTAGCACGTATGTCCATATATCTGCTTTGCCAGGTATTACATCTTGCTTCACCCTTTCACACACTTTCTCAGCACTCCTCTAATGGTGTGTTTTGACGCCCCTAAGGTCCTTGATATTGGCAAACACCGTAAGGAGTGGAGCCATTATCCCGAAAACAACTCCGTTGGATGCGATTTACTAGTGTACCTGAAGATTGCCAGAAACTTGGCTCATAACGTATACAGTTGGTATTTGGTTCCAAAACAACGGCCCGACTCACCAGCACTGCCAGAAAATTCATAATTTACCCCGACAAATCCATCCTAATCGATCGCGTTATTGTGTAAAGGTACTGCAAATCACTCGTAGTATGGAAAGCCACTTGTGGTGTTAGTGCTCCCTACTTCTGATGTCGTTCAGAAGAGGGGTTGTGCGACACCAGCAATACAGTTTAGTCACGTGACAATGAATAGGCCCACTGCCGGATCGATGGAGCGATGAGTTACGGATGATGGAAAGCTCGAACTAAGTCTGAAAAATGCTTGGTGATGTTGAGATGTGGCAGCTTAGACGTGAGAGCTGTGCCGCCTTTTTCAGCGCAGCGTAAACCGTGCAAAATCACCCGTATCTGTGAGGAATGCAAGTTGTGTGGGGATCAGATGTCGGACACAGTAGGATAGCACATCGTGATCTTGATGTCGAGCTTCGAACGGTTCCTGAGAACATGGTGAGGCGGCGACTGAGCACCTGAGTCGTGTCGGAGAACGGCGGGTGACTACTGGCGAATGCCCGCTGTTGTATGTCTTTGTCTTTTTGTTCTGGTGGTGGTATGGCTTGGATAAAGCCTTGGGGCACTTAAGGCGACCGGAGGCTATAGCATGACGTGTCTTTTCCATTTTTTTTTTTTTTATCTAGCCACTACACTCGGTGTTGTACTGCTCTCTCTCTCTGCCTGAACATGTTAATGACGGGCTGACGGACCGCAATCAATCTGTGTGCACGGCATTGCACAATGTAGATCCGCACAGACCACCGTCTGACATAAAGGCCATCTCAATGCGCAATAGAGGCGCAGCGCAGTCGGCGAATCACAGGGTTCAGCGGAGTCGAATATTCTTCCGAACCGGGGTCCGGTGGTTGTGGAGATGGGAGACGGGGACGCATAGCGCAGACTGGCATAGCGAGTCCGCTCAGGCAAACACAGCAACCAGCCAGCGCAAGGTGCAGCGCGGCCCGATGAAACGACGAGGGCAGCGATCGTCTTGCAGGTCGCTGCGAGCATCGGCGGCGTGCATGACGGGCGACTTGAGTGGCCGGCAGGTGATGAAGAGTCGCCGTGGCGGCCAGATTGGGGCTCGATATTCAGGGTCTGCTTGGCGCGGGCGAGCCGCAGCTAACGCGCTCTGCTCGACGACGGCGGCTGACGGCGTGCGGCAAAACCTCGACGCAGCAATTGCGCTCAGGCACCGTAGCCTGCGGGAATGGGTCGCCCGCCCCAACACCTGCGCGCACTATCGAGCGCGGTCTGCACGACTCCTGGTGCAGCGTGCCGCCGTGGACAGCGGCTGCTTGTACCCCCCTCGGCGACTGCGCCTGCCCGTGCTGGGACCGCGGCAGCAGCCCCTCAGTCGCAGCGCAGCAGCAGACGTGCGTCTCCTTCACAGCTCCGACCGTTGCGCCGCCAGCGCTGCCAACTCTCGCACGCCGTCTGTCGCCCGGCGGCGCTGCCGAGCTCCTTGGAAAACAATCCACGCACTGCGGGCCAGTCAACGCGCCCGCTGCTGCCTTTCCGAGGGCTGAAACAAGACGCGCATGGTCCGTCCTGAGCACGTCCGCGCATCCGCTCCACCAAGCGAATCTCCCTGGCCTCCCTACTATCGCGACTCCACTCCGCTTCTCCGAGGCGCCGACTATGTATACGGCCGTCCACCCAACATCATGACGGCCAACAACCTCACCGCCCCGCCCTCTCCCCCTGCCCGTGCCGCCGCCGCCGTCGACGACGACTTGGTGCCTTCCCTGCACGCCCTCACCACCGCGACGCCCACCACCCAAGACAAGGCCGCGCGCTCGCTCGACACCACAGCCAGCGCCGTCTCGCTCAAGGAAGCCGTGGCTCTGACGAGGGACCCGCCGACTGCACAAAGCACCGCCGACCGCCCCGAGCAACCGCCCCCGTCTCCAGAAGCAGAGACTCCCGTCGCCACGCTGCCAGCCATGGGCAAAGCAATGGGTAGTCCTCCCTCCGAGCGGCGGCCCTCCACCCCTCGCGCGCAGACGGAACCGGCGCCCTCCTTCGACATGCTCCCTACCCACACCCCGCGCGCTCGCAACCGCTCACCCTACTCGCGCTCCCACCTACGGTCCTCCAGCGGGTCCAGCCTTGTCTTCGCTCCACCCATGATGCGCGCCCACTCCCTCCCAACCGTCATGAACCCGACCGGCCACCTTGCCCTGTCCCCCTCCCCAGTCCCCGCCCGACCCTCGTCGCCGCTGCGCTCTCCCAAGCGGACGCGGAGCCCACGCAGCCAACCTACACTCTACGAGGATTCCTACGCACATTCCGGAGCACCAAGCGTGTGCGACATCTCTGAGGATGCGGAGCTTGAATTGACCCCAAATATGGGCACCGCTCAGCCTTCACCCATCTCAAGCTTGTACAGCAGCACCAGCTCCCTCTCCAGGCGAAGGAGGCCCGCCTCCCCGCTTCACCAAGTTGCCTTCGGAGGGGCACCCATGGCACCACCGGTCCGGACGCCTACCTCAGGCTCGCCTTCGCCGTTGCTGTCAGCCGCCAAGTTCAACGAGCCATTCCCTGGCATGAGCTCGCACTACCCCATCTCGCTCTCCTCATCATCCGTGCCGTCCACTCCGACTTCGATGCGTTCCCGCAGCCCTTCGATCTCCTCGCTCGAGACGATCCCAGACACGCCTGATGAGGAAGAGGAGGCCATCGAGGCAGACCGCATTGCCAAGTTGAAGGCCGCCGCTGATCGCGAGGAAGAGCGAAACAGCGGCCGGCGATCGAGTCTCGATGTCCCCGGTGGCAGCGGACGGGCCTTTGGGTTCGGCAAGCGAGATTCTAGAAAGAGGTGGAGTGTCTGCGGCGCTGAGAGGCGCGGAGACCTCGACCTGGAGACCATCTGGGAAGACTGATCGTCGTGTCTTTCTTCTCTACCATGCATTATTGGGCATACCACCCAGCATTCTAAGGCGTTGGGGCACTTTCCTCCGTGGCTTTGGCCAGGATATCTCTTTTTTGTAATGGGTGGCTTGGTCTTTTCTTACAATCATTGCTTCAGCTCATCCGGCGTCTGTTCTGACGCGCACACGATCATGAGTATGAACCCAATTTTGTTTTCCACGTTCACAACAAGCATATGTTCACGATGGCATATGACCAATTTGTATTCAATAGCAAGATACCCTCCAATGAAGGAGCACGGTGTTTGGGACAGCGCGACCGAGCTTGGCCTGAGATCCCCTCTCGCTAGGAGATGGCTCATGGATCTCCCTCAAACGAATGCATATATCCAAACAATGCCTTTCCTAAAACAACTCGTTTACTAAATCGCGAGTTCACGGTCCGACGTTGGGCTGCTGCTGTTGTTTTGGTATCTTGTCGACATGCTATTTATACCGCACCTGCTGGGTTGCTCGTGGGAGAGAAGGACCGACGCGGACCCACTTTCCGGCCTGACATGGCGGACGCGCTACCACGCGTCGTGGAGTGCTACCGTGCGCCTGGCTACGAAGAGTACCGCGTCGGTATCCCGGCGCGACCCTGATGGGAACTGGCACCTGCACGCACGTGCTGACAGGTTTGACTCCAGGGCGTGGTTGTATGGTGGCGTGAGCTACCGTTTGAGGGCGGAATGCTGCGATGGAGGGAAGTCACGCAATGGCGAGCTCTATGGTTGCAATTTCAGCTTTATATCCAGCAACAAAGAAGATATGGAGGTTGCAGACTGATGAATGGGGGGCTTTTCGCGATGGCGACCTATTCCTGAGCACAGTGGCTCACACCAACAACTGGAGCTCAGCACACCTTGTCCTGTAGGAAGTTCCTGTACAATTACAATGCAGTTATGGAACTTTTCTCTGGTAGTCTTTCCTGAATTTTTAAAACCACAAAGTCTACGTTGTACTGTTTGCCTCTAGAGGTACCGCCGTAAGTGACGCAACTCAGCCCGCTCACCAGGTACATTAAGCCTGCCTACCAGGCACACGATAATCTTGGGATTACATTTGAGGTCGGTTACAGCGACAAACCGCAGTGAATGCATGTAAGTAAGTGAGTACGCATGTTTGATTCTCCTCACTAGGAGCGGGACTATATCAGCCCAGAGCGGAGCCAATCAGGTTGAGAGGGAATGACTGCGACTAGGGACCGTCATCTGGGATTGGTAAGGCTCGGGTCTCCACGTCTGTCTTGGCCTACAAGATTTCCACATCGGGACGGCCAAGGACGCCCGGGGATCCCACAGCCTCTACATGCCAAGTTACAGCTGAAGAGTAACAAAAAATCATGCGCGAGAATTTCCTCATACGCTTAGTTTGGGGAGAAAAGGATAGGACGTCATTTCTCACATCGCTATCATAAATACAGACAGAACCCACACGACCTGGACATTGCCGTCGCAAAACTCTAGCAACATGATATCCCCGAAGCTTTCCACGGCCTTTTTCTTACTCCATTTTGGAGCATCGTTAGGCCAAGCGCAATCCACCATAGCCTGGTCGGAATGTCCAAAAGCAGTAACGGACGGTAACGGCCTGCCGTCGGAGTGTGGCACGTTCGCTGTGCCCTTCGACTACACGGATTCTGATTCGACAAAGAAATTAAACTTGACGTTGGTGAAGATCAAGGCAGATGTCCAGCCATCAAGGGGCAGCATCTTGATTAATCCGGGTGGACCTGGGGCTGGAGGGGCCGCGTTTCTGTCTACTATTGAGGGCGCCCTTGTCTTCAGGTAAATACGCGGCATACATGGTAGTCTCAGCACAGCTAACATGGTTTAGCATGACGGGCAGACAGTTCGATCTTGTCGGATTCGACTACAGGTCAGTCCGGACATGTGCATTCTGAAGCTCATGACATCGGGCTAACGTCTAACAGAGGAACTGGCGACACTCTTCCAGTCGAATGTTATGATCCAGAAAGCATATATGATCAAGCTGAACAGTTCAAAGCCGCTGCCATGATACCACAGCTCACCAATGCATCAAGCTCGGCTTTAGGATTGATTTGGGCCTCGGCTGGAGCCGCTGCGATACGTTGCCACAAGTCAGCTCGCGATACCTTGCCCTACATAAGCACGGCTTTCACCGCGAGAGACTTCATCCAAGTCGTAGATGCGCTCGGAGAGGACGGTATGCTTCGGTATTGGGGTAAGTCGCCGAATGCTTCATAGCCAAAACTTCAGGCACGACGGCAATGCTAAGCACTGGTATAGGCCACTCCTACGGTACCGAACTCGGCGCAACCATAGCCTCGATGTTTCCTGAGCGTATCGATAAGATGGTAATCGACGGCGTCATAAATCCACACGATTATACAGAAGGCTGGTTAGTTTCCCACATGACCTTGCCTTCATACGCCTCCTAACAACTTTTCCCACCATAGGGAATATGAGCCCATCCCAGTCGGCGACGTCGCCCTTGAAAAATTCCTCGAAGCCTGCATCACCGCGGGCCCCGATGCCTGCGCTCTTGCAAGGTCAAATGCCACCGTCGCCAGCCTCACCAGCGCAATCCACAATCTCTATGAACAAGTCAAAGTTGAGCCCGTCCTCATGGGCAGCAATATCACCACCGACCTCGTCGGCCCCGGCGACATCATGAACGTGCTCAACAACGGCCTGCGCATTGCCCAAGCCTACGCGCCCTACATCGCCGCCTGGTTCGACGCCATCTTCCGCCGCAACCTCACCGCCTACCACGCCGCGCGCGCTTACCTCTTCGCAGGCATCGACGCCGCAGGTCCGTTTGGCGTTCCCACCGGCGTATTCGGCATCATCGCCATCCGTTGCGCGGACTCGACGTTCCGCGCAGACACGCTGGACGAGGTGCGGCCCAGGGTGGAACAGCTGGGGACGATGAGCTACATGTTCGGCGACACGTACACGGCGGGCTACCTCTCGTGCGCGAGGTGGAAGGTCAAGGGCAAGGAGCAGTACACGGGGGACTACAAGGCGAAGACGAAGAACCCCATGCTCATCATAGGGAGTCCGTATGACCTGCGCACGCCGCTTGTTAGCGCGAAGAATGTCAGTGCTGGGTTTGAGGGGAGTGTGGTGCTGCAGCATAATGGGCTGGGTGTAAGTTCCTCCCGCTTTCCTCCCCTTTCCTCTCGTTTCCAACGCGACTTCCTCCTCTGGGCGAAGGAAGCATGCCTGTGCACGAGCATTGATTGACGCCTCCCTAGCACACGGTTCTGTACTCCCCCGGCCAGTGCGCGATCCAGGCCGTCCGCGACTACTTCAACAACGGCACACTCCCCGCCGCAGGCACCGTGTGCGAGCAGGACTACGATGTTTTTTCGGGCGTCGCAATAACGGAGTCGTTTTTGCCGCAGGGGGGAGAGACGAATGGCACGGGGACTGGCGCCGGTGCGGCCAAGCAAGCGGCGCAAACGCAGATGGAGTACACGGGGGCGGCGAGCATGGGGGCGAAGGTGGGGTGGGCGTGGGTGGTCGTTGCGGCGGGGATGGCGATGGGTATGTAAGCCTGTAACAGAGACTCGGGATGTGCACAGTTTGCGCTCTTGTCGAGCGCTGTTGTTTTCGAGCGTAGATTCTTGTTCGATACATTATCGAATAGACGACAAGGGCACACATAACGACGTCCATGCAAACGCCGGCATCTCGTCCAGATCTAGACCTCGCTCGGGCTCGTGACAACACTGATATCTCTCTTCACCTGCACCCTCAACGGGCCACTGCTCTGCTCCCTGAGGCCCACGATACCTTTCTGGCTTTCCGAATCGCCGTCGTCCAGGTCTAGCTCGCTCCCACTGTCGCGGTCTCGTTTACCGTAGATGGTCGTCTCGAGCCCGGCGTTGCCTCGCTCTTCAAGCTCGAGATAACGATCCATTGTCTTTCCTGCGCCTCGAGAGGTGGCAGCTCCAAGTGTACGGTCTCGAGAAGCGCCTCTGGAACTCGCGAGCCGTGAGATGAAGGAGTCGAGGACGGGGCGGCAGGCGGGTAGGTTGGCGACGATCAGGCCGACGTTCATCTCGGCAGACTATATGTATGAGCAAGGGCCGACATGGGAGGATTTGAGGCACGTACCGCCCAAGCGAGAATGGGGCTGAGGTTCTCCAGGAACCTACTTTGGTCATTGAGGCCGAACAGGAACCTGAGACGTACGATAGGCGCAATTGACGCACTTGCTGTTGTCAGCCTGCTTCCAGATATATCAGACGATGACTTACAATACACCCAAGCTCAGCATTATGATGACGGAGAACTTTACTTTCGGGTTCATCTGAACGTTCCACAGCAGACAGACCGGGATGATTGCGAAAGTCCAATCGGTAATAATCGAAAGGGCCGCGACCGCGTACGACAGTCCGGTCTGTATCTCGCGCGGCCTGCATTCTCCAGGTGTATCAGTGTACCAATTTTTCCTGATCGCGGCCAAGTCAGAAGTATCCCGTGAGAGATAGGCTGTCTTCCCAAGCTTACCGAACTGGCGAACACTGGAAAAACAGATACATCCCGGTCCCACCGATGATACCTAGGCAGACGAGGATGTTGAGGTAAATCACCAGCTCGATCCAGCGCTTTCTGTTGGCGATCCGTATCAGGGCGAAGCCGATAGCGGCCTTGATCGTCACAAGAGTGAAGCACCAGGGTTCCTGGAAGACGTAGAACCACTGAACGAGATGTAAGCGAGGCACGCTGTTTGCTGCGAGATTGTGCAAAGTGTTTGTACGTACCCTAAGCGAGTTGATGTTTTGTTGGGGAGTAGATGTCGCATCGATTGCGCCGACACCGCTGAAGCTCATGGCCACTGTCGCAACCATCGCCACGGTGTAGAAGGGCTATGGGGTGTCCTCGTCAGTATGGCCCTGGAGTCATGCTCAGGGCGTGCACCTACCAAAGTTATGAGCATGGCCCAATCGTCCGCGCCCCATGCCTTCCTGCGATAGCGGATCCAGAAACGCATCACCGTTGTTGCAATGTCGAAGGGAAGCGGGACCATGACCGACAAGAACATGGCACTGGACGTGAGGACCATGATGAAGCTCAAAAATCGTAAATGTACTGGACGATTCGTGGCTCGTTTGTGGATCAGAATTTGCAAACGATCTAGGCAAAGCCGGATTAAGAAGAGCTCCTAGATGGGCATGTAAAGGGGTCGCAAAAGATGTTGTGGAACACAAATTCCCAATGCTAGAGAGAGAGAGAGACTACGCCTATCAACGAAACTGCATGAGTCGGATCCGCGAGATCTATGGCAAACCATCCATCTTGTGAGAGAAACAAATGGATCGCCTGAGCAGGGCAGCACGACACGGAAGTACTGCGTTCCATATTAATAGACCCACAACGATTGTAGCAGCAAAGACGGTACTTGGCCGATGCAGAGCGAACAGCGAGTAGGGCCTTGAATGTTGTCACTGGCGAAATGTCATTGGTAGAGTGGGACCAGTGGCACTCCATTGTGAACGAGATCTGGCGGCATTGGTCTCGAGACCGTCTGAGACCCAAATATTTTCCCGCGGTACGTCGCATCAAGGCCAGCTAGCCAGTTTCGTCATTGGCACAGATCCGGGAGCATCCTGGGGTAAGAAAGAGATCGCAAAATATAAAATGGGTCATGATACAGGGAATAATTGGGAACTCTGGAGCTTGGAGGGCGTACTAGGCAGATCCGCTTTTCCGGATGTCAAACGCACACTGAGCAATTTGCACGGTTACCGCACCGTCTAATTGCCAAGTCACAATAGTTCCAAATCTCAGGTAGCTCTTTCTCCGCTGAACGTGGTGTGTAGGTCAGTATTTATCTTGGCAACGAGTTACTCGGGGATCTTGCTACGCTCGAGCAGGGCGACACACTAGTCACGATAGCGCCTCCAGTGAAACGCCGTCTCGAGGCCATCACCGTAGGGATCTTCGCGGGTAAATCCGCGCGTCTTTGAACCAAAAATCTGGACCTTGCATGCTCGCTACCTTCAGGGTAATTTCCTCGCTGGAGAGGTACCTTGCAGCCGTTGAACGCCTCACGCGGTCCTTGTCGGGGAGAATCTGGAACAATGGTCAGGATGCACTGCCGTCATCCGACTCGCCAATCGGTTTGGGCCTCGCTTCGCTTGTTTCAGTTTTAAGGCGACAACTCATTGACAGGGCTGACGGCGGGTCTACCAAGCCTGTACGTGGGTATTGAAGTACAAGAACTTTGGCACCGGACAGGAACCCAAGTCAGATAGCAAGTGATTTGGAATGGCTCCTTTCAGAACATTCGAGGGCAAACTTGCCATTGTGACAGGGGCAAGCAGAAGTATGCCCCAGATTCTCAACACAAGTTCTACTGCTAATGAGTCGTAGGTTTTGGGGCCGTCTGCGCAGAACATTTTGCTAGTCGTGGAGCTGACGTAGTTATCGTGTACATGACCGATGATTCAACACCAAGAGCGCAGTCCTTGGCAAAGTCTTTCGCGGAGAAATACAGTATCCGGGCGCTACCCGTGAAGGCTGATCTCAGCAAGCCAGATGCGCCTCAGCATGTCGTCGACGTTGCGAAGGCGTATTTCAGCGACGCATCCGGCCGATTCCAGATAGACATCATCATCAACAATGCCGCGATAGTCAACGCCCAAGGCATCGACCAGTTGGATCTGGATCTGTTCGATGCTACTTTCAATCTCAATTGTAAAGCGCCTGCTTTGCTTGTTAAGGCCGCATTTCCCTATCTGCCGACAGATCGCTCCGGGCGCATCGTCAACATCTCCAGTGCTACGACGACCTGGGGAGTGTGGTGGCAGACGTCCTACGCGGGGACTAAAGGCGCCTTGGAGGCCATGACTGTAGGCGCTATGTCCAGATATGAAGACATAAGAGCCTTATATTGACTTTATAACAGCGTGTCTGGGCCAGAGAGCTTGCTGAGCGTTGTACCGTAAATGCGGTCGCACCTGGGCCCATGGATACAGGATTGTATTCAAGTCTTCCTGATGAACCCCGCGAGGCATTAAGGCCGCTCAACGTCCTAACACCGTTGGCCAAGGCAAGGCCTGGAGTTGATGTGAGTCCTTGCAGACAATTACTCTTCCCCATCAGAACATTCTAACCTGCTTGCTAGAGCCCTGAGGTTCTGGAACTGGCTCAGAGCATCGGTGGAAGGCCAGGATACCTAGAGGAGGTGGCAGGCATTGTCGGCATAGCGTGTCTACCAGAGAGCGGCTGGATGACTGGGAACGTTTTAGGAGCGAACGGTGGAGGCGCGTTCGTGCGATAAGGTGTGATGTACTCTGACATCAAAACGAGATTCAAGCCCGAAACAACTTTCACACCGCCTTCCTCTCTGACATCCGAAAGTCCATGTTTTTCTTATGTCCGAATGCAAGGGTGTTGGGAGCCTTGAGCTAATGCCATGTAAGGACTAGCCTTTACGCTAACATGGAACGGCTATTCCTAGAGTGGGGCATACAAACATTGACTGCTTCTCACCCTGCTAGATACTTCTCTCTTGAACTGCGATCAGCCTGATTCGTGGCCGATAATGGGTTCTTACGATTGTTATTGTGCGCTCTGCTCCGGGCCTCTGGGGAAAGGCTGGGTCAAATTTGGCAGTAAGAAGGAGAAAGCTTTGGCGAAAAGAAGACGGTGGGTTGAGCTGAAGAGGAGGAGGCTGGCGGGAGAAGACGTGGACGAGACTGTTTGTGATGAAGAAGACGAGTTAGAAGATGATATTCTTCACAACGACGATCAAGTCCAACGTCAAGGCTCCTCCACAGCGGAAGGGGATGGTGATAGTGCAGGCGAGGAAAATGTTCCTGATACAAGACATGATCATGATGTAGCGATGTCGTTGGACGTCATGGAAGAAGAAGGTGGCGATGCCGACGATGAAACGTGCAGCGACGTCGCCGGAGATAGTCCTAGCGAGAATCACGATTCTGAAGGTAGCGAGGATGGTTGGGAAGACGAAGGCGATAACAACGACGACGACGACGACGACGACGACGACGACGACGACGGCAATGGTAGCGAAGAAAGTGCCAGCGAAGCAGGATCTTTGGATTGGTATGAGGAGAAAGGCAGCTACGATCCCACAAAACTGAGTCATAAGGACGTAAGATGGCTTGAGCGCGGACGTACTGTGGGATTCAATCCTGAGGCGCCGGGTGTGACTAAATGCTTCGTCTCGGGATTGGGTCATTACGAAGATCACGGCAGTTTCCGCATTAAAACACCTGGCAAGGAACCGAACGATCCACAGATGGACGAATATACATGCTATGCGGCATACGAGTCAGATGAGCACCCGACATATCCCTTTCACGAGGCATGTTTACAGGTGCTCAAAAAGGGTCTTGGGCTTCGGGATGAAGACGACATTGACCGAGACATCTTATACGCGGTTCTTTCACAGAACAGCCAAGACTATGCCCGCGCACTATCGCTTGACTACGGCCAGATAGAGGGCCCTGAACAGTTTTGGGAGTCTATTGCTGGAGAAGAATACGTCGCTTGTGATCCGGGATACAAAGAAGGACTCATTGACGTGATCCAAAGTCTGATTCCTAGCAAGCTCTTCAAGAAGGATGTCGAGCCACTGAGCCTTGAGCGTAAGGTGCAAAATGACCCGCTGGAAATGCTGCCTTACGATGTGCTCTACGAAATATGCACACACCTTTCCTTTACAGATGCCCAGTCGTTCACGCAAAGCTCGTTGCATGTCTACACCTCCACCCAGAATGGTGCGTTTTGGAAGCATATGATGCGGCTCCACATCTATCCATGGTTTTGGGAGGCCTCTGACGTTATGAAGAATGAAGTGTTCTCGGAAGACTTGGACGACAAAAATCTATTTCTATGGCTAGAGGCTGCGACGAGGCCCAGATTTGGCGCTGAAGGTCCGTTGATGGGCATCATCAATCGCCGACGCATTTGGAACGCCTGTCAACAACTAGTTCCACAGTACGCAGAAAAGATGGAACCTCCAAAGCGAGCAGAGCCAGAAGATGCGGAAGCACGAGATATTCTCGATCGTGCCATGTGCTTCCATATGCCTGCCGTCGCGTATCCAATTGGCAAACAAATCCGCACTGTGTCGCTGCAGTTTATTCGCTCTTGGAATCAGACCTCTTCCGGATCTTCAGTTCTGGACACATATTGGGGGCAGAATGGCGCTTTGGTAGGCATCTCCATCACCTTGAACGGCGATAGCCCAAGGGTTTTTGGAAGTACACAGGGAAACCTTGGCAACCCAATGCACATCCCTCGCGGTGAGTGGATTCGAGAGATTGTTGTCTCTGTAGACGATGTGAATATGTTCAGTCGGAAGCAAGACCGCAGCCACTTTCGAACAGCTCTGGATAACGTACCCTATGGTACCGCCTGCATCCGGTCATTGGCAGTAAGTGGACTCTCTGTTGCGATGAGATCGTTTCCCAATGTTTACGTGAGTTAGGTGACATTAACGAACAACACTTCCAAGAATGTGCATCAACCCAGTGGACAGCCACTGAACAACCGCACTTTTGTCGTCCTACCGGGCCTACATTTGGTTGGCTTGACAGGACAAATTGCTGAAGTGGGTCTTCCTGAAGTACAATCTCATTACAATCTCTAATCGCGTGTCCCTTAGAGCGGAGAGATTTGCCGTCTCGGACTGCTACAAGCTCCATTGCCCGGCATGTCATCCGCAGTACGGTCCTACACTGAAGCTGAGCAACTCCTCTGGAACCATTCTGCACGGACTCTGTACTGCCATCGTGAAAATTCCTGGAACGACATCACGACGCATCCGAGCCTCAACATCCGGGCTCTCACCCTCCAAGGGTCTGCAGCGGATCCGCTGCGCTCTTTCACTGGTGACATCGGAAGTGATATGATACCATGGCACGTCGCTGTCTGGGCTATGACCGTCGCACAATACAAGTCACTCGAGCGAATATCGTGCTTTCAGCCTATCGGTGGTACGGCTTCTAGTGGCACAAAGACATGGACCGTTCCCGATCTCGTGGGTCTTGGAGTGGGCCGCACATCTGGATCGCTGGAGTTACTGGCCGGCGCGGGCGGCCCCGTGCCAGTACAAAGCCCAATCTGGCAGGAGATGAAGAACCCCCGCACAGACCTTGTCTCATGGATTCAAAATACCCCGTTCAAAGCATTTGACGAGGACAGTACGGAGCATTTCCTCATCGATGGACCCGGTGGGGAAATTATCACGGCGGTCCACGCAAGCATTGACATGAAAGCTGTCAAATTGTTTACCAATAGAGGCAGAAATTGCTACTTTGGAGAGAAAGATCGAGGGCAGTGGCTGGAGTATCAAGCGGAAAGTGGTCATATGATTGTAGGCTTAGTGTGTGCATTCGGACGCCTTGGAGGATGGAGCTGGAGTGCCAAGATGCCATCACACTGGAAGTTGAGTGGATTGGGCGTGCTGACGGTAGCGGAGGACTACTTTCAGAAAGATGACTAGAGGGATTTTGCTCGTATACTTTTACCTGCGTCGAATTTGACAGAAAACCTTATTAAAATGTTGACTATCTCAACGGATTCCTTCTTCCTCGGCGATCTGATCATCCGTCAGACCACCTCGCAGTTTTTCGGAATAGGTATTGAATCGCCCAGCCACATCCAGTGCTATCTTGAGATGCTCATAGTTCATGGGCCCCTTTTCCTTCCACTCAGCATATTGCCGAGCAGTGGTGATCGCGTTACGTATCTGACGTCCGTTGATCTCAATACCCTGAAGCTCCTCTAGATGGTCGCGCAGCTCGTCAACATCGACCTTGCCATCTTTGAACGATTCAAGCCGGTCGAAGAAGTTTCTCCAGATCTGGAGTCTTTGGAAAGGACGTAGGGGAGGGTAGTGAATCGCAATCTGGATCCGGGAGCGGAATGCTTCATCGAAAGTTCCCACCCGGTTGCTGGTGAGGATGAGAATTCCCTCGTGATATTCGATAACGCGCAAGAAAACAGAGACAAGCGCGTTACGCTGCAGGTCATCGAGGCTTCTCCGTTCAAGAAATACCTCTGCTTCGTCAAGCAGAACCACGCAATCCCAAATTTTACCCAGATGAAGCACTGACTAAGTATTGCTCAACATCCTCCGCCTTTGTACCCACATCACCACATGTTACCTTCGAAATTTTTTAGTCAAAGATGACACAGACGCAGAGGCTTTAGAAGAAGTACATACCCGATATAGAGGCTTCTTCGCAATTTCGGCTACGCCTTCTGCCGTCAATGTCTTTCCCGTACCTGGACCTCCATGCAGTAGCAAAATAAGACCATTACCTTTACCAGCAATAACATCCGTCGATTTTGCAGCTGATATCTGTTTGCTCACTAGGGCTGTGATCAGCTCCTTCGTTTTTCTGTCTTGGTCCAGGACTAACGAGTCGAAAGCTTGCTGGTTCCAGACAACAGGGTGTACTTGATCCATGTTGAGATCTAACCATTTCTTCGTTCGCAGGTTAAAACCCTTGGACTGGGGAGGGACGAGGTAATAGAAGGCTTCGTCAGGTGGCTCCGGTTGTTCCATTTCTGTTTGACTTAAAGTCTCAACCGAGTTGATTATGGCATGACCCTTGTTCTCTGGGTGCAGTTTCTTGAACGTGCGGAAGTCAATCACGAAACGCTCATCAGACTAGGCGCACATTAGCACCGGGGAACCTGCACTTCTTCACCCGAAACGAGGCTGCACTTACCTCATTGTGTACATCTGCACTTGTTTCCCGATACGACATCAGACACTGCTTGCGACACTTCCAAAACATTGTCCCTCGTCGGTGAAGCTTTTGCACAACTTCCGGAGGGGCAAAGCTGAGAGGGTATACTTCTAAGTCGTCTATGCTCCATGTCCTGGTGTTCAAGGAAGCATTCCCTTCAGGATGAGAGAATTTGAGGACGAGTTTATCAGCCTCTCGCTTAAAGTCTCCGTCGAAGCTCCACTTATAGACACTGATTGGAAACTCTTCGCTCGATGACTCTACAGACACTGATTCTTTGTCCATTTCTTTCTTCATCGAAGCAGACGCCCGCATTCTGATTTCCCGAACAATGAGGTCGGGATCTTTTTCGTTCTCGTCGCCGACGTCATCTGATTCGAAATCCGAGTCATCGTCATCAGATTGCCAGTGAGGATCAGTAGGTCCACGCGCGACTGGTTGGTACCATGGGTGCCTAGATCCTTTGAATGTCGCTGACGGTGAATCTTGAGGCCAAGAGTCTGCTACATACCCTCGAAACTCGCCCATAGCTCGCGAGACCAGAATGTCTCCTGGCTGGAAGAAGTACTTTACCAACTCAATAGATAGTTCTCGCCGTGCAAAAAGAGCGTCCGCCGCCGTATACTCGTCTCCGTAATTGTCCGATACATAGATTGCGAAGAGGTTCAGGTGCTCCTGAACCGCGCGGGGGAATTGCTCCATCATATCCTTCCAATTTCGTCTCTTGTGAAAGACGAATAGATATGGGGCGTCGATCTCTCCAGTCTTACGTAAATGCTGTAAATATGAATCATATCGCCAGTCTTGGGCAAGCATAGTCTCAAAGATCTTTCGAAGTCGTCTATTGGTGGGACGGATACTCTCCCGAACGTTCTTCGGTTGCGCGCACGCGATTTTGGTGCCTCTTTTCCTAGAGGATGAAGGCTCGAAGTCGCGGTACACTATTAAAACAATATTCTTATTCTTCTCTAAGAACAAATCGAGGTTTTTGACTGGAATGCGTGATACGATCGACTTGCGGCCTTGCGTCCATTCGGGATGATCGAAGTAACAAGTACGACCGATTCGATATATGACCTGATACTGTTTCTCCATGTTTCCAAGCTTCTGTTCTTCTAAATCCTGCAACTCCTTTTGCATTCCCACTATCTTTTGTTGAAGCATCTGTATGTGGGCCAGCTTAATCTGGCTGCTGGTGTCGGTGCGCTCAACATCGTCAATCCACTGACCTCTGGGGACAAATTTCGGCTGTGAGATCCGAGGAGACTTTAAGAAAGTATGTGCTGTCGGATGATCTTTGGGGTCTTCTTCAGCGGGCACATGTACGCCATCAGCAGGAACATGTTCAAAATGCAGTCTGCCAAACCGCTGCTGCAAGCGCCTGCGTCCTAGTGACGACTGGACCCGCTGATAATCGCTTTCGTCGCTTATTATGGTCGTATTCTTCTGATTGATATGAGTACCGATGGCATGCGTTCTTATCCGATTGCCATAAGATGTCGGGGAGACTCCTGAAGGCGGACCCGGGTCTGGAGTCGAACGAGGACCAGTACGATCTTTGAGCGCTGTCAGATTCCGCACATCCATATTGCTACCTGCGCTTCGATCGTCCGAAATAGTTATACGTTCGGGGGCTTTGCTTAGTGGATGTTGGACAGCGACGAGATCCCTTTCTGCATCGAATAATTGGAGATTTTGGGCATGAGCATTTTGTTCTTGCGGCAGTTTTTGATCTAGTTCTTGCAGGTAGGAAGCAGCTGCATGCGCATTGCCTTGCTGCAGCCGCCCTAAATGCGAATCAATCTGCTGCTTTAAATGCGTCTCGCCTGACAGAGGTGGCTCCCAAGGAATCACGCCCATGTCGAATATTCCTGTAGACTCCATCATGCTGCCGCCCACACACGAGGTAATTTGGTGCACGATCAGTCGTTGCAACAAAGCTGGTCGAGGATGTAGAGGAGGGCTGCCACATATGTGTACATGTGAGGCTGAGTCAAAAGCGCTTCCAGTCGAGCTTGGCACCGGGCTGAGATCGAGACGTCGCTTACCGGTATATGGATGGGAAGACCGGGGGATGGATTGGATGAACTCAAAGTCACCCACATTTCTGTCGCCACCGCTTCCCACTTTCGCTGCTACCAAAGCTGTCAGCTTCGACAAGGTCAGATATACATAACTTGGTACTAGGAGTTTGAAATGTTGCGTACATCAAGCGCGGCCGTTGTCCCAACTACGACATCATCGTGGTATCTAGCCTCGTGGGTGCCTATTCCAACATGCAAATCAATTAGTAGAATTGAGGGGCCATAGACCGAAAGCACTATCTGGATCACAAACTACATTTGAAGAGAGTTTAACCAGATTCAGGAAGAAATCGGCTTCCCATTTGGCAAAGCGAGGTTGGATCGATAGCCTCAAGGCAACCACGCTGAAAGATGTTGTTGCCGAAGTTTCAAAGGCTCGCGAGATTTACAACAAGGATAAAGGCGAATCCAAGACGAGTAAGCTCCTGGTCCTGTTCTCGCAGAGAGTCGTACATTATGGGAAGGTATTGGACGTGATGGTGCAGCATCATCCCGAGTATGTCTCCTTGGTGTGGGGTTCGCTCAAATTGATATTCGGTGTAAGTGACCTGCATCGTTATACACATGAGCCTAACGAAACTCTCATAGGCAGTTGTCGAGCACGAGAGGCTTGGGTCTACCATCGTTAATGCTTTGAGCGAGATTGGCGAAGCATTGTCCAGGGTTGACGTGGCCGAGTATCTGTACCCAACCGACCAGATGAAGTCAACCATTGTAGCACTAAACTGTCATATCATCACGTTTCTGTGTCGCGCACTGGACTGGTATGAATCAAGTAGCTTCTCTCGCGCTTTACAGTCCATTACAAAACCCGCGGCTCTTCGATACGACGATATTATCATGGAGATCGACAAGACGCTTGCACAAGTACATGTTCTCTCAGTAACTGGAAGTCAGGCTGAGCAGCGAGACATGCACGAAGAGATGCGCGAAGATCGCGACGATCGGCGAGACTTTCGATCAGTCATACAGAGCCGATTGGACGAAATGCAACATCAGCTCAACGCGCTAGTTCGGCAAAAGTACTATGAGGGTGACTTGAAGGCTGTCCACACAGAACTTCGAGACTTGACAGACCTAATTCATGCGATCAGTATGGCTCAAACCTCATCGGAGAAGACACTATTGCAAGAGCTACTCGTCATGAAGCAGCATATCCAAGCGACCCAGGCCAGTATTTCCCACCAATTATCCGACGTGCAATTGAATCAAACACTCTCTGTCATATCAAGCAACTGCAAAATCGACCACAAAGCAGCGTACGAGAATTCTTTCTTGCTACGTAGAGTCCGCTCAACGTCCTCAAGCAAATGCGCGCCCTTTTGGAACTCGCCGCAACTTCAACTGTGGGATCAATCGCTCTCACACTCTTCGATCTTACTATTTTCTACATTTCGCGATCGACTCAACGTGCGCGACTTCTACATTGGCGTAATTGAGCAGCTCCTCCAATCGCAAGTCCCAGTACTCTGGATCATCGAGCAGAAAGACCAGAAATACAATATCTTCGATGTACTTAAGAGTTTGCTAGCGCAGGCTCTAGCGAGGGTGACTTCGTTGAATACAGATGTTCTACTGTCTTCACGCCTTCGCGCCTTGCACTCGGCACATTCAGTGGAGGACTACACGCTTCTACTTGCGGAAAGCCTGGCGCAGTTCGATCTAGTCTATATCATTGCCGATGCGAACGCTGTTTCTCCCGAAACGACAGAGGACTACAGCGAAGTAGTACTACGGAAGGTGCCTCAAATTCTACACGAGCGCAAGCAAGACACGAAACTCAAGATTATGCTGGTAGAACATGGGGTAGCAAAATATTCAGCGGGACATAAGTGGGAAACAATGATGAGAATTGCACCGACGTCCAAGCGAAAGAGTAAACGAGTTCCAAAATCTCCGCTTAAAGGAAGAAAACGAGTTGTAACGATGCGCTGAAGCTGGAATATCACATCAGTCCAATATCCATCCCCATCTTACTCATCGCCGCGTGCTGACTATCCCTTGCTCGTCCATCATCTGATTGCGCTAACACGAGGTACTCTACAAGAGGCGCCGACTGCTCCTCTCCTCTCTTTCTTCCACCCTCTCACTTACATCTTTCCTTAGTCCGAAGTCTCTCTATTCTCCCATGATGTCCTCAGCACCTTTCGCACATCGCACATTCCTCCTGTCACAACTAAAAGCACGCACATAGACAAACAACATCAAAGTATGAGACCTTCGCCCAGAAGAAGTAGCAAAAGAAACGCGCGCCCGCCAACCCGCCGTTGTGCGACCGCCCGCCCAGAAACCTTTTTGTATTATGATTTGCTGTTGGGAATCGAACTCGCGCTCTCTGGATGGCATTGGTTACCCTGTATATGTGAGGCAGTGTAGCGAACCAACGCTTCCTGCTCCTGCCACCAGGCCAATTGCCGCAGCTGAAGGCGAATTTGATGGCAATAGGGCGACGGAATGTGGATATATAGGGGAGGTACGGTATGTGAGCGTCAGGGCTGAGGTGAGTGGTAGGTCGAATTTGGCGATGGCCCATGGGGTTAAGTGAGAGAGGTGGTGACGTCGGCGCGACAAACGGCCCAGGAGGTAAATAGAGAATACTGAAAATGAGCTGCGAGGGCTCACGACATTCGGGATGGTGATTGCACTTGCGATGCGAGTGTTGCTTTTGAGCGGCGGCCCTCTTGCAATGCGGCAGCGCGCTGTCCATGCCGTGAACCCGCGTCTTGCTCATGCGGAAAATCGATATGTGTGAACGCTTGACCTGAAGTTTTCCGCGAAGCAATAGACCATAAGAAGAGCGATGATAGTGTTTGCTCGTAACATTAAAGAAGGCATGGTGTGGCATAAGCGAGAGACCTCACAGAAGGAAAGTGAGACGGACCGGTATCACATGTCTATTGACACATGCCCGTTTAATGGAGATTGAAGATTAAAGGGAAGATACATTCGATGATATCACATCTGAGAGGTAGACCACTCGCACATGGACAGAAACCTAGCCGTATCATCATCTTCGAAGCATCAGTGAAACCTCCCTGCCAGGTTTATTGCCTCCCCTATCAGCTCAGGTATGCGGGCAACATTGCTCAAAGCTCACTCGACTCACCACTCGCATCACGCAAGTACCACAAGACCAAAAATCAGATCAACCAACATTTCCAGACCTATCAACCTATATACAATCTAAATTACTTGTCCTGTCTTCCTCCCAACCCAAACCCATTAAACATAAGATCGCATCGCACCAAGGAGCGTATACCAGTCAGTCATGTACAAGAAGAAACCGTGCAAACATCGTCATCACCGCCGCTTTTCCTCCCCACAACTCATCCCTCGATTGATCCAGCCAATCCACTCCTTCCCTACCAATCGCTCACCCTCAAGCCCAGCAGCGCATTTACTCGGGCTTGCCAAGGATACCGCGCGCCATATGCCTCTTGCGGAGGTTGTACTCAACCGCGCGCTTCTTCGCAGCCGCGCTCTGGGTGAAGGCAGCGGAGCCACCAAAGGGACCGGCAAGCGCGCTGTTCTGCAGACGGACGACACACACGTTTGAGGCGCCACCAGCAGTACCCGAGCACGTCATGCCCTGCGGCATCTGCACCTTGACGGGGAAATCCGTGGTCGTGGCGGCAGACAAGCCTCCGATGCCGATACCAGGCACGTTCTGCGTGACCTTGGCGTCCTGGAAGGCAGCAGGGTCGGTGCCGCCGGAGGTCGCATCGATTGCTGCGGTCAGAGGGCCCGCACCGTCCTGGTTGACCTGGTGGAAGGTCATGGTGATTGTGCCATCGTCGGCGGTGGTGGGGAGACCGGAGGATGCGCCAGCGCCGGCGGAGGCGGCAACCGCGTTTTCCTTTGTGCCCTTGGGGGTCTTTGTTCCCTTGGCTGTGTGGATGTGTTAGCAGATGGTGGGAAGTAGTGGGATAGAGAGAGGGTAGGCGTACTGTTCTGGCGCTTGGTGGTGGCAGCGCCTGCGGTCGCGGCTCCAGCGCCAGTTGTAGCGCCAGCACCAGTTGCAGCTCCAGCAGCGGGAGCTGCAGCAGCGCCGCTGGATCCACCCATGAACGCGGCGATAGCAGCGCCGGCGTCGACGGCACCGCCACCCTGGGTGCGGCCAAGGGCGGAGGCCTTGCCGCCCATTTCGCGGGTGCGGATGATGGAGGTGTCGGCTTCAGAGCCGCAGCGGGGAGTGGCGCAATCACGGGGAGTACCGTCCTGGACTGCATGTTGTTAGCTTGAGGTTTGGAGAGGAAGCGGGGGGAGGTGTTTACCAGAGAGACCGGGCATGGTTACTCCATTTGCGCCCTGGATCTCAGTGATGACACCGTGGGCAGAGGCGGAAGCCGCGAAGGCAGCAATGGCGGCGAGAGAGTAGCGCATCTTGATTGTTTGAGTTGTATCGGGTGGTGAATTAGAAGCTGATTGAGTGTCGTCAAAAGACCGGAAAAAAGCTTGGTGAGGGAAGGCGTATTAAACAAGCGACCGGCGCAAGAAATTAGTAGGAGGAACTGGAAGGAAGAATAAGACTAGGAAACTGATGACTGAAGAAGCTGATGGTGATGGTTTTCATCTCGAGGATGCACAGATACCTTATATACATCTTACGATACAGACAGGACCGCCACACCTCGGCAGGAAAGCTTGGTGCTACCAAGCTTCGATCACTAAGAGTCAGTCAGACTTGGGAGATGCTAGGGGCAGAGGTCTCGGAGCCGCTGCAGAGCACTGCGGTGAGACCGGAAGCAGAGCACCCAACTGAGAGGATGAGACGATATCGGTCGAGCGATATCGACGAAAGTGGAGAGAACGAAAATAGGCCCAGGATGCTTGCAGCGGATAGATCTTCTCCATCGGCCTGGGCAGGGCAACCTTGGCCGTGCTTGACCTGGAAACAGAACGGTCGTCGGAACAACGTTGTCCCCATTCGCGTCGAGCAGTTTGGTGTTTGATATCTGCAGGAAGGTGATTCCCAATGCAGGGTTTCGGGGCCTTGCGGAGCTCTATATTTGTCTGATTCGAAACGCAGAACAAAGGTTCCGGGCACCAGTGACCTATGACGTTTGGAGCAGCGTCTGATATGCCGAGGGATACCCCACGAGGTTCCCACTGGCTACTCTTTGGAGAGTAGGTAGAGCGTAACTGGGGCAGTGAAGCATAAGAGGCGCAGGACAAGGCTGCAGCAAGTGATGTTTTGCCTTGTTCTGTTTAGGCGCGTGGCTTCAAACCGCCCACATGGGGCGCTTCTCACCAAACTTTCGAAACTTTAGAGTCTATTTTCGTTTTGTGCCAGGCAAAGGCAACATCTCAAACTCAATAGTCAACTCTTACAAGTTAGATGTTGATTTCAGACTGTCTGATGCAATGATCTGCCATCCCAGCATTCATCGAATTGACCGGCCAGCTTCCTTCAGGTACATCTGCCCGTAGGCAACGATAAGAGAGCCGAGGCATAGCCATCACGGCGGAATTCATATGCGAAGGAAAATGGTTTTGAAGCAGCTGTCAAGTGTTTGGGGCACGGATAGTGAAACGGGGTGGTTTGGAGATCGTCTCCCACTTAGCGCGATTCTGCTCTGGCGTCGCTGAGTGGTCGCCCGACTCGTTTCATACCACGCTGATACGATGCATACGGAGCGTTATTCAGCAGCAGGCCAGAACATCATGTTGAAGTCATCAGCTTTTTCTGGTTAAGCTCTGAATTCAGGATGGAAAAGAAAAGTGCCGACACGTGACGTTGCATGGGCAGGGTTGGACACACTATGCAAGACGGAATGAAAGCAATCCGCGACCCAGTGTGTTGAACTGTCCAGCTCTTTTTCTTCTGTCTCGACACAGCCTCGCCTATGTTGAAAGAGGTCATCCCTCGTCGCGTTCCTCATCGTGACCCTCCTCGACAAAAGCTCTAAACTCCCTCACCTCCCTTATCCACACATACCTAACGCATATCTCCTGAATTTCGAAGTATATCGATTCGAGCGGCAACAAAGCCTTGCGGATGAGATTTCGCATGAAAAGCAGCAACAACTTGACGGCCCTTGTCTGGGCCTCCCGCCCACTCTCGAGCATAGGCTCCGGCTCCGACTCCGCGGCGCCAGTCTCGCCAGGGCCGCGCCCCATCTGCTCCGTCATCCGCAGGGCGTGCTGGATGAAGTCTGCGATCACGGGGGCCGGCTCGATGTTCAGGGCCTGCAGGGTGTGCTCTTGCAGCAGCGTGGTTAGGAAATCGAGGGAGGATAGCTCTAGAGGGAGGTGTGTGAGCTCTGCGACTGCGTGCTCAGGCTCGGTTTCTAACCTCGAAAGCATGCCCAGCTTCCAGCGCTGGAACTCGTTCAGCTTGTTGTCCGAGGCAGTGCTCGTACTCTCGGGCGAGTCGCTGTCGGGCTCGGGCGTGCGCTCGTAGATGCCTTCTTCCTCGAGCATGCGCACGTACGTCCGGATGTTGAAGAGGGACGTCTGGCGCAGCTCGACGTAGTTGTTGTACAGCTGGCGGGGACTGGCGCGCGCAAACTGCGAGGGGTTGCGCGACTGCAGCAGCGCCTTGATGAGCTCCATGCGCACCGTGCTGATCTCGTCACTGAGGATGGATCCGTCCGTGTTCGCATCGCGCTGCGCAGCGGGCGTGCCGAGCCGCTGGACGGCCTCGACCCAGTGCGACAGGAAGGGGTTGTTGCGCAGGGGCGTGGTCTGGTTGAGGACGTAGAGCCTGTATTCGCAGTTGACCAGCACGGCGAGTGCGTCCCACGAGGGCGAGGACTTGGCTGTTGAAGCTCAAGTCAGAGGCCAGAGCCACGCGTGTTGGCTGGTGCAGCACCTACCTTGTTGTTCGCACGCGTCGAGCGTGTTCTTTAGCCGCAGCGACTCCTCGAAAACGCCTGTGTCGGCGGCAGTGTGGTCGCGGTGGACATGGGCGCGGGCACTTGCCAGCTGTCGGTTCGCGTCCTCGCAGGTGCGGTCGGCGTCGCTGAGGGCGTGTATCTCGGATCGCGTCAGGGCGGCGGCAGCGTTCATCGCTCTCTAGCCCGGCTGGGTCGCGCGTCGGGTTGGTTGCGAGCGGGCGTGCGGGAAGACATGTGTTATGCGCGGTTGGCGAGAGCTGTGGTGCGTCCTGCGGCGTCCTACGGTGTCACTTTTGCTGTTGGTGTCAGATTCCGTGGGTTGCGCCAAGCCAAAAGCCCAACGGAACTTCGGACGCGTCGGGAAGGATCAATAGCATTGGCGCACCTTCACCCAAGCATACGTCACAGGCCAGTTGCTGTCCGATTCACGTTCCACTTTGGCCATGCGAGTCCTGGGCACTAATTTCACGACAATTCTCAAAGCATACAAGTAGATGGTAGGATGATAGTTTCATTCAACATTACGCTATGCTTCCCATCATGCAGAAGCCCCAAACAAGACCGTCGAAGAGACCAGTACGCCTTCACGTGAGCACATCCCCCGCGTGACAAACAGACAAGGCCGTCGCCCGCACTCCGCAGTCCGCGCCTCGTCGAGGCTACAACAAAGCGAAAGCGCAGCGTCGGCAAAAGGAAAAGGGTATCGTGGATGGCATGCCGCTCATGTCATGTCATCGAACTGCTCGGTCGCTCGTAGCCGGCTCCGGCTAGAACTTCAAAATAATGTACAGCGCGTGGATGATACCCTGCAGCTTGTTAGCGACTGCGATGCGCAGACATGGGGGGCAGTGGTGTGACATACGGGGATGTAGCCCAGGATGGTCAACAGAATGTTGATGAAGAAATCGGCATTGCAACCGCGCTCGAGGAAGACACCCAGCGGCGGGAGGAAAATGGCGAAGATGATCTTGAGGATGTCGCTGTGCTCTGTTAGCAATCACCCTTTCGCGCTGTTCATACAAAGACGTACCTTGCGGTGAAAGGCATGACGGCGGTTGGTGTAGTGTGCGTTGGTGATTCGGTCTAAGCAAGTGCAGTGCAGTGGCAGGTATTCGGAGTGCGATGTTCTGCTTCTCTCCCGGAAGCGCGGATGGTATTTATTGCATTCCTGCCGTTTGAGCAGACGGCACCTGACTGATGGCCCGATGACGTAGCCCTTCCAACCTCGCTGCTACTGTGCTCACCATCACCAATGGGGCAGCGCCTGCCGCCACAGCCGGCCTACGTCGCGCCACACCCTGCAAATCTTGGCTGTCCGCTCGTTCGACCAAGGTTTTGACATTTGCCAATCTCGCTCGCGTGCTTTGCGTAATGTGTGGTGACGGAGCATGCGCGTGACTGTCGTTCTTGGGCGCAGTTGGGTGGCTGCTTCTTGCTTTGCGGGCCGCCACACCTTGAAGAGCAACTCGCACAGCCACGTCATAGGCCTTTGCCTACATCATCGCCGTTGCGATTGCTGGGGTAACGAGGCAAATTGTAAATTTAGAAAGTCGAGACCGTTGCTTGGCGGAGGCCACGAAGACTGTGGCGCCGTGTGTTCCGGTGCAGCCCGCGCCTGGTTAGCAAGCCGGAGTGCAATGGACATTGTGCTCTCGAGTGAGCATTGTTGCTACAATATCATACAATCAAACTATGGACACTCGTCACAGCTCAATTCAGCCTAAGAGTAATTGTCGTCGCCTCTAGGGGAGCACTTCAGCTTATGTCCCGCCTTAGCTTTTAGCAGTAGATGGTAAACTGCAGCTATGATTCAATTTGGACCGCAAAACGTCAATACCAATGAATGAAATTAACTTCCTGCTGTGCAACTCTAGAATTTATGTGCGTGGGAGACTAAACAACTGATAGTAACTGTTCATTCAAGAGCGTAGCTCAACATCATGACCTAGGAAAAGGGGATATCATATCATCCATAACTCAGGAACGCCGTCAACAAACGCTTCCTGCCTCAAGCCGTGTATGCTCTTCCCTTAACAGCCGCGATCTTTTCAGATCTCCTGCCTGGCCTGCTTCTGCAAGTCTACTTCCACGCCCCGCTGCCGGGCCTTGCCATCATCGTGCTGCTTCTGCGCCTCGCTCTGCTGCGCAGCGTTGCCGGTCAACCCAGCGACCGCGCCGCCAATGGCGCCTCCAACCCGGTCGTGCAGACCCTTGCCGAGGTCCTTGACCTGGCCCTGAGCCTCTTGTCCCTTGCCCTCCTCGTTCTGCCGGATGCCCTCCTGGCGCAAGCCTTCAGCGCCAACGAGTCCACCGAGGGCTTCTTTGGCTGAGCCCACTGTCTGGTTCCAGGAGCCAGCTGACCGATCCGGGTCGTCCTTTGCGACGCCGCCCGAGGCGTTTACGGTGAAAGGGCCAGCCTTTGCGGCGGTGTGGGAGAGGTCATGCTCTGCATCGGCGGTGGCGCGCTTGGTCTCTGCTTCGCGCTGTCAATTCGTCAGCACCTAAACTATGCATTCGTAATGGGGGACGCAGTGTGTACGTAGCGAGCGCGCAGCGGCCCGAGCAGCATAAGCGACCAGTCGCACAAGCGCGCAACAATGCTGAAGAGCGTTCGACTCTTGCTGTTTGTGTCCTCGCTCATGGCATTATATGGGATGTGTGGATGGAGAAGAATGGGAGCGGGAAAGCTAGCTAGCTTACCTTGTCAGCGGGATTACCGGTCAAGGATCCAATCCCTGAGGAGATGGCTGCGCTGGCTTGGTCAACAACGCTCTGCAGCGTCGAAGTCTGGTCCTTGTTGCCCGACATGATTGATGCTTGTTTGGTTCGTTGTTGATTTGAACTGGTGAGTAGGTAGATAGGTGCAGTCGAGCTGTGCTTCGGGTTTGGGATGTTCTGCTGGTGAGCGGAAAGTGCACAGTGTGACTTCAAGGGCTTATATGCTTTGTTTGTTGGGTGCCCGCGACTGCTGTCGGGCTGCTGCAAGTGAGCGGGTGACGTCATACGTGGGACGCGCCTGCGTCGCGTACCGATTCCTTGGCTCCAGCGGGGTGAATGATGCATGAGGCGCATTGGATGCGACAACTCTGGGCCCTTCATGAAGCGTTTGAAGACCACGAGAAAGGATGTACAAGGTGTGCGTCACCTCGCTCAGCACACGCCGGTCCTGCAGGAATGCCTCTACAGTATGGTACAGAGACATTCGCAATCCTGATCATCCCTGTAGAGAGGACTTGCGGTGGGTTGTACTGGTAGCGAGGTGTGCGGAGCGAGGTGGCCACGCCCTGTAGGCAAACAGCGCAACCCATTCATTATGCGCGATGATGCAATATATGGAATTTATGTGCATGCGTACGATCACGCAAGCCTCCCACAATGCAGGGAAATGGTGGGGTATCTAATACAAGGGAGTGAGGTCCTCCAGAGCTCCTTTTGAGCGAAGATGTCCGCTTGAATATACAAATAATGTCCCGCGTCAGATGCAGATTATCATATCCACGAATAATCCACTGTCGAGCATTCACCAGTGGCAAATCTGGATATTGTCAGTGCAGGTACTCATAGGACACTGAGGAGACTTACACCACCCTCGCTATCGTCCACACTCCAGCTCCCAGCCAATCCCACGACCTCAACCTCTCCAGTAAAGTTCTCGTTCATCTTGCCCAGCACGGCTACACCATCTCGCATGGCAATACCGCCAGGGCCATTGTTCAGCAATCGTCGAGCCCATGCATCGATTGCAGGCTCTCCTGTCTCGTCACGGGCCTGCTTCAAGAAAGGAATCAAAGCTGTGCCACCAGTTCCGCGAAGCTTCTTGCTATTGCCTCGTCGCACTGTGTTTGCAAGGTTCAGACGCTGAGCAGATGCTTCTTTCGGGGATAGAGATCGCGAGTCGGACCTTGACTCTCTTGACTTGACGATGATGTAGCGGGATACTATTTGGATATGCTTATCACGGAGTGCTCGCAGCATTGCTAGGCAGGCATCGTAAGCTGTCACAAGTGCGCGATCATGTCTGCGGCTCGTGACATATTCGCGGATGTTGGCCACGCGCTCAACATGCTCCAGAAAGCGACGATGAGGCCCCGGCATATATTTCCGCATTTCAACGAGGAATCCGTGGGCAGGGGCCTGGGATGATGGTGCTTGGGCCGAGCTATCTGGTTTCTTTTCGCCAGTCTGGCGGTGCTCGACGCCGAGGATGATGTCGAAGAACTGTATGACAGAGCTCTGAGCATTGCTGCCACCTGCAAACTGGACGTACGGCTGCTCTCCCGTACCATCGTCAAACATGACTCCGTTAGGTAACCCAGCATCTGCCATGTTCTTACCGCCTGCGAGGAACGGGCGGATGCGGTGGTAGAAAACATGAGGATCACAGCTCTCGTACATCCTCTCGAGCAAGCTACCAATCTCATCCAGTCTCTCTGCGAACGCGCGCAGGCACTCTACAACCTTGTTGCTTTCACCTCGCCTCGCTGCACCAATAGCTTCAATCATCATCGGGATGACTGGACCAGCGCGAGCTTCGATAGCGACAGACACCAGATAAAACCATGATTCGTCTAGCGAGCCTGTGAAGGTCATGTGCGTCGCGAGGTTTTCGAGCGAGTCAACAGGCTCTCCGTCGAAGAGTGTTCGCCAATTCCATAAGCACACCCCGGCATAGGTAGCGACGGGTGGTAGTTCGAGGTGTTTGCATGTCTGCAGGAACGGGATCGACACGGATGGCGGAACGATCTGCGATGCGTTAGTGTAAGGCCTGCATACAACGGCGGATAGTCATGGCTCACATCGGCGGGCCGGTCGCCGCCCCAGACATAGGCGTGAGCCATGAACCCGAGGATTGAATAAGCTCTCCGCCATTCTGCTTCGGTGAGGAGGAACTCGGTCGAAAGGACGGGCAGTGCGTCGATTATCTGGCGGAGGCGCTTTGCGAGAATGAGGCTCTGGAAGCTGCGGGCGACTGTCTCCCAGGGCTGGTAGTAAGCATCGGGTAGTATTTCCAATGGTAAATCCGAAGGCAAGAAGCCATTCTGTGGCGAAACGTCGTAGTCTTCCAGGCGTGGAATCGTAGGAATCATCTTGATGTAAAGGTGGCGAGGTCGTGTGCCGCTGGAGTTGTTATTTTAATTTCGACGCCAGGTAGGCGCGACTTCGCACTTGCCCCGGGCGCGCGGGTTAACTAGTATAGCAATCGAGCAAGGTGCTTATGTCGGAGTCGCGTGATGGGAACCTTGGCTGCACAGTAAGTTTACTTGGATAAAGCCGAGGTGTGTTGCGCAGCGCGGTGATTTAGAGAGCACCGGTGATCGGATCGGAGGCAATTGTTAAATGTCCAGGCTAGGATAGGCTACTGCTCAACCATGGCGGACAAAGGGACGAATTTTGTAGCGCGTTCGGTGGGGAGGACCTGAGGGACTTCTGGCGGGTTGGTTGCGGCAGGCTCGGACGACTTTCAAGCACACGGCCTGACAGAGACCTGCAAAGTCGAGTGATCAAGGATTACAAAGTACAGACGGGCATCTCGGGATGAATAATTCTCATAGCTTCCTCTTATCCGCGGCCGTCTCTCCACGGTCGCAGCCTGGCGCCGGTACCGTGTTTCAACGAATAGGCCACGCTTGAGGGCCTCAGCATCATGAGCCGTCGGCTCCAGATCGGTTGCGACGAGGTCGCCATTAGTGGTACAAGCCCGGCGTTAGTCAAATCATTAGGTAGCGGAATAAACTCGCCTTCCCGTCTCCCCACACAAAAAGAAACAGTGGTGCCATTCACGGCGGGGTCTGCCCGGCAGGCAAAACTTCTCGAACACTGGCCCAAGCGCCACACCAAACTGCACATGTACCAAGCTCAGGGTCCAGCCTCGCCTCCGGCATCGCTTGGCTCATATTTACGCCTCAACGCCGTGAGCATTTTGTCGTTACATAGCTCTAGAGTATACTAGACAACATATTTCGCAAACTTCAAATGCTTTGCACGGCGCATCCTCGTGTTTTTGAACAACGTCGGCGCATGTGAATCAGGCGACTGGGCCTTCATCATTGGTCATTAATTGGCTACCGTCTATTCGACAACACTTCCCCACCACCGTGCAGCTCTGTTCTGCAAACGAAAAGAGGAGAATTTTCGTCCTTGATTAAGGTACAAAAACACATTGTTGATGTCTAATAGCTCGCGTCCGCCTGCACGCGACAACAGGGTGCTAAGCAGCACAGCACATTTGTCCTAGATCCCGCCCTATGCACCCATCCTCCAACCTATCCAATGCCTGTGCTGCCGTGAATAGCGCGTTCGGCAGAAAAAGTACGAACGTTTTCGGGGTATAAGCGCCGTGCGTAAAAGCGAATCTGATGTGTTGCAAACAAACCGACCCCCAAGAATAGTATTGATTACGAAATTTACCCCACGATCCCATGATATCCTCACTCCTAAATAAATGCAGTCGTTTTCGTTATGATGCTGGCAGTCACCGAGTGCTTTTCAGGCTTGCTGCAGCAGCAGCTGCAGCAAGGTCTGACTTTCCAGACACGTTCCGTTGAGCGACCCGAGGGAGACTGCTCGTAGCAGGCGCGGGCGCTCCGTTAACGGTTCTCTTGATCCCTGCTCCCGCTGGTGGGACAGTTGATTGCCGCCTAGGTCCGCTCGGCCCGGTCTTAACAGGTGAGCTGGCTGATACCTGGCGATCTGACGCTGCGGCGGTGCCGTTCTTGAAATTTGTAGCTGGCGGTTCAGGCAGAGGTCGTACGCGTGACGATGGCGTCTGAGATGAAGCTACTCGCTTGATAGGTGATGCTGCACTTGCCGCTCCATTGATAGCTGTGCGAGGCCGAGGAGCTCGCTTCACGCCTGTGATAAATTCATGGAGCATCGCTTCGTCGGGCTTCATGCGCCGGTCTGGATCCCAACGAAGGCATCGCGCGATAAAGTCAAGGAAAGCTTCATCGTCGCATTTGAGGGCCTGTTGTAGTGTTTTTGAGCTTGGCCTGCGTCGACGGCCTTTCGTAGAGACTGTGACACGCGGCTTGCCCATTGAGTCGAAGAACAACTTCTTCCTACTGCTTTTCTCAATTAAATGCTTTTCTGGAGGTCCGAATATCTCCATAATGCAGGCTAGTTGTTCCTGTTCGTTCTCTCCAGGGAAGATTGGGTATCCTGTAAGGAGCTCCGCCAGAATGCAGCCCAGACTCCACATGTCGATTGGTAGCCCGTAACTCATACCCAGAATGACTTCAGGCGACCGGTAAAATCGTGATTGGATGTATGTGTAGACCTTCTCGTTCTCGAAACAACTGGAGCCAAAGTCGATGACCTTGATCTCTGAATGAAGTGGATGTGCAAGCAGAATGTTCTCTGGTTTCAGATCACAATGAATTACTCGCTTGCTCTTCAGCATCACTAGCGAGCCAAGCATCTGCTTGCAGAACCGTCGAATAAGCCGTAGCGAGAAACCCTTGAACTCGTGGGCTTTGATGAACTCATAGAGGTTCATACCGAGAAGTTCGGTTGAAATGCAAAGATGGCCACGGAAGTAGAAGCTTTGGGTGAAGTTGATCATGCTGTGCTTGTTGTCGGGGTCCTATCATGAAAATCAGCGACCGAGGCACACAAAATAAGATTGAAGAACAAGACGTACCCATTCGCGCAACTTCTGGAGGATGTTGACCTCCACCAATGCCTGTTGATGGAAGCGTTTCTTGTTGCGGATGATTTTGATGGCAACAAGCGCACCGGTCTTGTGATCGACGCAACGTACAACCTGCCCAAAGCTGCCCTTACCGAGCAAATCTACAACTTCGTAGCGATAGGCTAGATGGTCTCCCAGAACAATGTTGTAGTCGCCCCGGTCGTCATCGTACCCGAAATTGGCGGTGGTAGCATTCAAATCGCCCACGTGCTTCTTCGCGCTCTTCGTGCCGCAGAAGTATATTTCCTTGTAGTCGATGATCTCGCCTCGCTCGAAGATGTTGAGGCTCACCATCTGGAGTGCTTGCGCTGCAGTGACCCGCTCTTGAGGGCGCGCTCTCTTCCGGAGCTCATCGACGTCGCGAGCCGCATGCTCGAAATCCTTGCGTTTGGACCCAAGTTTCTTCATTTCTTCATCGGCAGCCAGGTCATCTCGGTCTAGGTTCGTATCCAAGTTGCGAGCTTTCAGCATGTTGGTCGAACTCTTGGATCCTAGCATCCTTTGCATAGGGGTCAGCATCGAGTTAGACTTTGGCGCAGTCTGTCCATATGGCTGCTCTGAATATCCTGAGGCTGTGCGGGTTCCCGAGCTCGCCTTTCGGGCCTTCTCAGCTTCAGTGTCGCTCGCGACTGTTGTGTTTGTGGAGGTCTTGCGACGTCCGAAATCGAGCGAGGGTCGAGTACGTGTAGCAGGTGTAGGACTGGCGCCAACGGCTCCGCTCCAAGTTGCTGAGGCAGGAAGCTTCGGTGGAGGCATATCGCCGTGTTTTGGGGGTTGAGGACCTGGCTCCTGGCTCTTTTGAGGCGCATGTCGCGGTTGACTGGTTTGCGAAGCTTGGGCGGCTGTTTTTGATGACCCACGGCGCCACCCGCTCAGACTAAGCTTGCGCCTCAATGATGATCCGGAAGAAGGGGTTTCTGGCTCTGTCGAGGTCGATGTCTTTGCAGAATCCGTATCCTTCTGAGGGGCACGAGGACCTTGCACCTTCATACTTTGCATCTCTGCATCTGTGTCGGTAAACTTGTATTCTCCGGAAGGTCTCGAGTACAGAAGTGCGTAATCGCCACTATTCTTCGGTAAGGAGTTCGAAGAAAAAGGCGTAGCTATCTGGCGATTAGGGTTCAAAGTCGGAATAGGCATAGCCGCAGCACCATGTAGCGAAGCATCAGTAGACTTTAGGTTGAAGGCGGAACTGCTGCTACGAAGATGTTTGCCGCCATCATACTTGTCCATGTTGTTGTTTCGGGAGAAGAAACTGGCCTTTGATGCAGTCATCGGCGTGCTCGGTGTTTTGTTGGCTGACCTTTTGGGAGGTGGCGTCGTGTTACGATCATTCACTTCTGCGGAAGGCGCCGGGAATGATGAGATCCTGTTGTTGAACGGCGTGCCGAGAGGTAACAAATTGAGAGGAGGTAGTCGAATTGGTTGCAAGTTTTTCTTGTTGCTTTGGTGCACCGACGGGCTCTTCTCAGCATCAGAACCGGCGCCAACAGTCAATCCCCTTCTGTGTCTGATTGTTGCTTTTTCTTTCTTTGCGGAGTCTGTCTTCGCAGATTCGCTTGCTCTGGGCTGTGTATGGAGAGAAGAAATGGAAGCCATATCATCAGACGTCGTCCGTTCTGGAGAAGGCCTCAGCGCAGCACTCGACTTCAAGGCTGACGCCGAAAATGAGAAAGTCTTGTTCTCTGGATCCTTTGGCGATTCGTAAGCTTTGGGAATGGCAGGTACCGGTGGCACCTCCTCCTCTTCCTCTGCACCAGCCGAGCTATGGACATTCCTGGGTTTTGGGGTGGGCAGTCGAGACCCAGCCAACGCGGGATTTCGAGGCTGCAGCGTGGTGTTTCCGACTCTCAACGAATTGAGGCTCGAGTTTGAGGAGATGGAGATACCCGAAGCGTACGACTTGCGATTCGGGTTTTGATCAGGCGTAGCTCTTGCAGATGACGGCGTAACACTCTTTCGGAAGATCATGGCAGGCGATTGATCGAAGGCCCGCTCGTCAAATGAAAACTCGGCTTGAGGCGTTGGGGGACTGACCGGACCTCCAGTTGGATTGGGGTTCATGGAGAGTCTCTTTAGCCTTCGTGCGTCTGTGGGGCTTATCGTCCTGGCACCCAGTCCGCTAACGTGGTGCATTGTCGACTGCCGTTTGCTTGATGAAGAGGAGGGCGTTTGAGTACGTGCTGTCGACCTTGCTGGCGAACGTGACGGGTCAAAGACGGTGGGGGCATGCAGCAACGTCGGCTGCTGGCGCGGGGCCACATGGAGAGACTTCGCCTTTGCAGCGCGTGTTGCACTTGGAACTCTTGTGGTGTCGGCACCCAAAATCAGACCCGGCGGAAGCGTGCCGCGACGGTTGCCGCCTTGCCCAAACGACGGAGTGCGGCCCATGCGTGTCTGCACATGGTCGCCGTGGCTGGCTAAACGGGGCACCTCCTGTCGGCTGTCCAGGCTGGGTGTCGGCAGCATGCCCGGCCCTACAGACTTCCGTGGCGCGCGTGCCGCTGGATTCGGCGGTTGCTGTGCGGGGAGTTGGCTCTGGCGACGCGTGCGGATCGACATGCTTGAGGTGGGCGGCGGGATCGACGAGGGCTCCGCCGGGGCATTGGGCGGGCCTGGCTTGGATCTTGACTGACTGAAGCGGCGGATTAGCGAGGTGCTGCGTGCCGGGCGTGTCTCGGCAGTGCTGCTGGCAAAGGGTGAGGGTGCGTGTTGTGTGGAGGACGCCAGGGCAGAGGACGTGAATGGGTGCTGCGACGGGGCGGCCATGTGGGACGAAGCAAGCGTGGATGAATCGGGCGGTTGCGGAAAGTGGCTCAGGGCGGGCTCGTACTGGAGGCTGTTCGCGAAGTCGTCAAAGGTGACCTCGGGAATGAAGTCGAAGCGCTCGCCCGCATCGGCAGGCGCGTCCGGCGGGTGCGCCTGCGACGTGAAGCTGAAGCGGGAAGCCGCGTCGTTGGCGGGGGGAAAGGCGCGGCCATGAGCCGCAATACTGCCAGCATCGCTGGTGACTCTGCACACGCAATTGCTCGTCAGCATGCCGTCCGCGTCTGGAGGTGCCATTGCGAGCGGCCATCTCACCTCTGTTTCTCGTACGGGCGCGGGCCCAGCGGCACTTTGTGGTCACGCACCGACTGTCGCCGCCCGCGGAAGTTTGTCTTGGTGCTGGTGTCTTGGGGCGGTCGAGGAGCAGACGTGACGCTGGGCGCACTCGACTTCCGGCGTGCATGCTCGGTCCCGCTGGTTCGCTGGAACTTGCGGACTCGCCCGTCTGCATCTGCAGCAGCACACGGGTCAGCACTTCTTTGTATGCATACGCCCAGGACGGCACTCACCCGTGGAGCCGTTGCTCTCTTCTGCCGAGCTGGCCCTGCTCAGCACAGGGAGGCTGCTCTCCATCCTTGTTCGAGCGAGAGGCTGCGCTGCCATTGTCAACAAAGGTCGGCGGCCCCCGTAAGCTGGCGTGCTGACTGATGCCTCCGGATCACCTCACACCGTCGTTCTCGCGTGGCCGGCGTGTCGTCGCTTGTGCTGCGCGGTGGACGGCTGCTCCCCAAGCTCGAGGCTTGGAGCAAGGACTATGCGGACGCGGGCATCTCGTTTAGGTCGGACGGGGGCAGGAGCAGGCACACCACGCTACAAGTTCCTCCGGCAGATTGCGATCGTTGCGTCAAGCACACGAGCGTCCTGGCGGGAGGGGCGCGGCAACGGTCGAGAGATAGGAGAAGGAAGAGTTCAATAGTGGTGGCAGTAGCTTGCAGACGACGATTCAGGTAGGGTAGCGATATGTCGACACAGACCACCCAGCGGGTCTTCTCGACTCGACGAATAGCCGTGCGATAATAATATCAAAACAACAATTTCTCCCCGGAAACCGCCTGTCCAGCGAATCTCAGTGGGAGCAGACGTCGACGAGCAGCCCTACGCAGACGTCGTATCAGCTACCCACGGGCTCTCGCAGTGCTACCAAACGCCTGCAAGGCCCGCCACCAGGGACTGCTCGCAGCGGGCACGGCGCCGGTGCACGCTCGTAAAATTTCTAGACTGGGAGCACCCAACGGCCGTGTTCCTCGCATGGCAGGCCGCTGTCACCGTCGCAAGCGGCGCGAGGGCTACACGCGAAGTGCGGAGGCAGCCGCAGTTGCGCCGCGTGCGCTGCTACTGCTGCTCGAGCTCGTCACCGTGCAGGCGGCGATGCGATGCTGCAAGCGCATGTTTACATGTGTATTCCACGGCCCATGCCCTCGCCCGTTGAACGTCCCTGACAACACAAAGGGGGGAAGGGAAGGCGAGGCGCACGGTGCACATCAAAGCCCAAGCCTGCCGACCACGCGCTGCCTGACGCTTACGCTTGCGCTTGCGCTTGCACATGCCGTCATTCCCGCCTGCACAGGGCCTCGGCCACATCCATGTCCACGCTGTGATGAACCAGCGCCAGACACAGTCAGTGCTTGAATGCTAGAGCGAGCTACACACGGGCTGCACTATGTGATCCGTTCGGTTTGTTGCTGCAGTCCCGTCGCCACCCCGTCTCGTGAGGCTGGATACAGAACTGTGGGGGTGCCTCTCTCGACTTCAACCTCGGAACAACTCGACGGCAACAAAGAAAATAGTTACAATGAGTGACGAAGCGGCAGACGCGATTGTCAACCGCGACACACCAATCCCGGTTGTGTCTATAACGAGCCCAGGCGACCATTCTCGTCCCTCCTCTTCAAGAACGCCGACCGACTCGCGACATCATCTCTCTGCTAGCAAGCTCAAAGACAAGCTTCAGTCTTTAGGCGACAGCCATGAGCAATCGGAGTCCCCAAATCGCTTTTCGGACAAAATGTTCACCATGTACGTTCGCTTCACATGTTCTCTACATCGACTTTCGATCCACGCAATATCATGCGACTGACACTTCCAGGCTGCTCTCTTCAGTTCTTCCCCAAGATATTGACGATGATGGGGACACACCTCAGGTCAAGGACCGCCGTTCTCGCAAATACGTCGATCGTCCCAACTTCTCCCTTCCGCAAATGTCATCCAACTTCCGCCGCTTCAACGCCCGGATAGGCGTGGCCTTCGTAGCGCAAAACCGCGCCATCCGTCTCTTCACCTGGCGGCAGCCACCGCAAACCATCTCCTTTCTCTTTGTGTACACTTTCGTATGCGTAAACCCTACACTGGCCTTGGTTCTACCCCTGGCTTGCTGTCTATTCTTTATCATGGTCCCTGCCTTTTTAGCTCGACACCCACCTCCACCTACCCATCTTCCAACAGACCTGTACCCGCTGGGAGGGCCTCCTCTAGCCGCAGCTCGTACCGTCAAACCCGCTCCCGAGCTCTCCAAAGACTTCTTCCGCAACATGCGCGACCTACAAAACGCCATGGAAGACTTTTCACGCGGCCACGATGCCGTTGTGTCCTTCATCACGCCTCTCACCAACTTTTCGAACGAATCCTTGAGCTCCATCATATACATCATCCTCCTTTGCACCTCGGTGATGCTCTTTATCTGCGCCCACCTCCTCCCCTGGCGCTTCATCTTCCTTGCAATCGGCTACGCCCTGACCATCCTCGGCCACCCCACCGTCCAAGACCTCCTCGCCACCCCGGAAAACGAGCGCCTCTTCTCCGAAAAGGAACACGATGGCCGCTCCTTCCTGATCAACCTCTCCAAAGATATCGAACTCGAGACCGCCCCGGATCACCGCGAAGTCGAGATCTTCGAGCTGCAGCATAGACCCTTGCATGACACGGACGGCGAGTATGAGTCGTACATTTTTAGTCCGACGCCGTACGCGCCGCTCTCACCGTCCCGTATCGCAGGCGACCGTCCTAAGGGGACGCCGTTCTTTGAGGATGTGCAGCCGCCCCGTGGCTGGCGCTGGAGCGACAAAAAGTGGGTGCTCGATTTGCTGTCCCGCGAGTGGGTCGAAGAGCGCTGTGTCACGGGTGTAGAAGTGGAAATCGAGGGCGAGCGCTGGGTGACAGATCTGCACTATGAGGAGCTGGATGATATACGGGAGAAGGAGTTTAGCATGAAGAGTGGGAAGAGCGGGAAGGAGAGAACGAGACTGAAAGAGAGGAATGTGGGCGGTGCGGGAAGTGATTCGGAGAGAGAAGTGTTGAGAAGGGCGTGGGAAAAGGGGAGGCCGAGTCGGAAGGGGGAATGGAGGAGGAGGAGGTGGGTGAGGGGGGTGGAGAGGGTGCCGGTTAGTAATGGCGGGGACTAATATCGTGTATTCATGAACTCTTCTGCAATTTTCTGACGCTTGATGTTTTTTATGGATGGCGAGGCTGTAGGGTTTATCCTCCGTGAAGGGTAGAGACGAACAGAATGTTGTCGCCTTCTTCGATCTCATATTTGTCCTCACCTTCGAGCTCCCAGTCTGCGTCGTTGATGAGGACTAGGATGCCAGGTCTCCTGATGGTATGGTCAGTTAATGAAATGTTGTGACGTGAGCTGTGTGCAGCAATCACAGCTACCCTTCAGAGTGTATAGATCTGCTGAAGACAATTGAGACTGGATAATTGTAAAGAAATAGTCCATCAAATAATATACGAAACGAAGAAAACACGTTCACCGGTGGAAGTGGGAACATCAAAAGCAATTTGTAGATGATAGCAGGGGTTAGGGAGGTAATGATAGAGGTAAGAGCAACAGGATTGGTTGTATGACATAGAAAGGCTGGGGGTTGTTCAATCAAGTCGAAAATACAGGAATGCCCTCGATGTCACCAGAGATGTTGAGCGTTTGATAGATCCGAGAGCGAAGGCAAACTTACACTGTGTCGTCAAGTACGAACAATTCCTTCCGCGGATCTTTCATGACAGTGTCGCATAGGTGTCTAACAAGAAACGCTATGTTTGACCGCGTCCCATCCTCATCTTTAGCAGGGATAGTCAGCGATAGCTTCCGCTCATTCGAAAAAAGCATCTCCAGTCCTCCGCTAGTAAAAGTCAGCACTCTGCTACAGCGGCGAAGACATGACTGTAAACCCACCTGAACTCCACAGTTATCCCAATTGTACCCTCATCCTTTGCGTCTGACATCGTGCAATCAAGTAATGCAGACGTCGTGGGGCGACGCAGTAATGACTTACCCCAGGTGCAGTTTGAGGCCCGCGCTAACCGCAGCCGGCGCCCTAAGCGACACTAGCGCGATAGAAATCTCCAAAGGCGATAACTTCGCTGCCCTACACCTCCGCACAGTCCACATGACAATGGGTATTTCACCAGAGTTCATTTCGATTGGTGGGAATCGGAATCCTGCTGCGGCGGACTGGGACCAAGATGGAGGGCGGCTGTTGGCGTTTGGAGCGGATAATTGTATCGCAGTGTGGGAGCCTGAGGTACGAGGTGGAACTTGAAGTGATGATGATTGCTAAGAGGAAACAGGATGAAAATTTGAGCGGCGTAACGGCGATTTTGAGTGGGCATACTGATGTCGTTAATGCAGTTAAGTTTTTTCCGACGGGATCCGGAAATGCTACTGTTCTTTTGAGCGGTGCTGCGGATCACTCTTTGAAGATATGGAAGGGAAGAAAATCTGAGATTGGATTTGGCCTTGTCAAGACCATGTCAGAGCATAGGAGTCCAGTAACCCGGATCGCTACTCTACCAGGCTCAGACGTCTTCGCAACCGGAGCATCAGACGGCGTTGTCAAGATCTGGAAACTCGTCCACGACGCCGACTTCTCCACCGTTGATGTTGAATTGATCCAATCGATATCACTTACACCACGGCACTTCCCCTTGGCCATTGCACTGGCCAAACTGGACGAGAGTTCCCTTATACTGGCCGTTGGAGGCACACGCAGCACCATTCAGATTTTCGTTTCTCGTGATACCCAATTTCAACTTTCTGCTACTCTGGCTGGCCACGAGGGCTGGATCCGTGCCCTGGACTTCACGAAAGAGAGTGATAAGGAGGACAGCGACCTGCTGCTCGCGTCGGCAAGTCAAGACAAGTACATCCGGTTATGGCGCGTACATCAAGGTGAAGAGCTGCCTGCCGTAAGTAGCGCGCTGAACGATCCGGCTCTAGGCGTTCTTGGAAAGTCCCTGTCGAATAAGGCTCATAGATTCGCGTCCGCGACTTCAAAATACTCGGTCACTTTCGAAGCTTTACTGCTGGGTCATGAGGATTGGATTTACACGTCGTCTTGGCGACATAGAGCAGGAAAGTTACAACTACTGTCTACTTCAGAAGACAATTCCCTCGCCATCTGGGAGGCAGACCCATCTTCCGGAGTATGGGTCTGCATTACTAGACTGGGCGAGATAAGTGGCCAGAAAGGTTCAACGAGCGCGACAGGCAGCGCTGGAGGATTCTGGATAGGTCTTTGGTCACCAGATGGCGATTCTGTGGTGTCTCTTGGACGTACGGGTAGCTGGCGCAGGTGGACTTACTCTCCTACCCAAGACATGTGGACGCAACAAGTAGCCATCACCGGCCACGTACGTGAAGTTAAAGGACTAAGCTGGTCGAGGGATGGCGCATACCTCCTCACGACCGGATCGGACCAAACAACTCGCCTCTTCTCAGAATGGAAACGCGAGCAGGGCTCATCATGGCACGAGTTCTCTCGGCCCCAAATCCATGGGTACGATCTTAACTGCATAGATACTGTCAACAACGTACAGTTCGTATCCGGCGCAGACGAGAAACTCCTTCGCGTCTTCGATGAGCCCAGAGGCGTCTCAGAGATGCTAAATAAACTTTGTAAAATCGAAGCGGCCTCCGCCGACCGCCCCGACGCCGCCAATATCCCCGTTCTTGGCCTCTCAAACAAAGCAATCCAAGCCGTCGATGAGAACGAAACACCAGAAAACGACGAGGATGACGATCGCGAGGCTGTAGACCCTGCTTCCACCGTCAAAAAATCGACCCTCGAGTTCGACCACCCGCCCTTCGAAGACCACCTCGCGCGTCACCTCCTCTGGCCCGAGACAGAGAAGCTGTACGGGCACGGATACGAGATCTCAGCGATGGCTGTGAGCAGCGACGGCTCGCTTGTCGCAACCGCGTGTCGGGCGAGCTCAATCGACCACGCTGTCATCCGTCTGTACGACACGAAAGAGTGGCTAGAAATCAAGCCGCCGCTGAAGGCGCACTCACTTACGGTCACGGCGCTGCAGTTCTCGCCTAACGATAAGTATCTTCTTAGTGTTGGGAGAGATAGGCAGTGGGTTGTTTGGGAGAGGGCGGAGGATGGGGTTTACGCACTCCGACATGCAAACCCTAAGGGCCATACAAGGATGATCCTGGGCGCGGCATGGACGGCGCTTGTACAACCCACCTTTTTGACCGCGGGTAGGGATAAGAGTGTCAAGATATGGCAGATCAATGACGATGCAGTCGAACTGAAGGGCTCGGTTGCGGCGAGTGCGGCGGTCACGGCTGTGGCGTGCAATCGGGAGGCTGAGAAGAGCACGGTGCAGTTTGCGTTTGGAACAGAGGGTGGAGAGTTGGCTGTTGGTATAGCGGGGGCAGAGGGCTTGGACAAGGCTGCTACAGTGGCTTTGGCGAAGGAGGTATCGCCTGCGAAGGGTATCAACCAGATTGTCTGGAGACCGGGGAGGAGCGAAGGGGGACAGCAGATCGCGGTTGCGAGTGAGGACTCTTCAGTGAGGATTTTCAATATAGAGGGCTAATATAGCGAACTGCATGATGAATTAAACATAGTGAAGCCCTGACCGGGGACTTTCGAGCATTCGAACTTGATATCAAAAAGGGATGTATACAGATATCAAGGTGACTTCGGCAGGTGGCAGTAGATTAGGCCTGCGAAGAGGTCAGGTCACCATTGTGTATTGTCATGTGTGCACTAATGCTTCCGCTTCTTTTTCTGCGGAGGTCGAGATTTACGTCGTACAACTTGAGCTTCTAGTTGGCAATCGTAATATTGGTTTTGCTTCTTTAAGTGTTTTCTGCGCTGATGCGTGTTCTTTCGTTCCTTCCTTAGTGCCTTCGAGTGAGGATTTCGAATTTGGCTACGCTCGTAATAAGAGGCTCCCTTGTGGGATCTCGTAGCCGGGCGACGCCCTGGAATTTCATCTCGTTCGACTGCCATTCATCCTAGTAGCTTTTCTTAGATCTCATTCTGATTGATGTGTTGTAGAAACTAGATGAGGCACTTCACTGTTGGCCTCGAGCTGATCTCCTGGATCTGGATTGGATGAACTGTGCCCCTCCAAACTTGTTTGTGGTGTCCCGAAATCTCTCTTCCCCATTTAACTTGTTCAGTGTGCATGCCCATATTGTTTTCTTGGTTTTGAATTTGAGCGATTTGCCAAACTTCTCATGTTGTGAATCATATGGAGACTCTGCCAAGTCAGGCCCCAGCGATGAGGTCCCTGCCTACTTGCCATTTGGGTTGGATGATGAAAAGGCGGCCAGATATCCAGCAATATTCTTAGATAGCTCATATATATCTCTCGGAGTTGATTTTCCCCTTGTCCTAGACCTCCGAAACATACTCGTTATTGTATCTTTGATTGCTCTCCGCAGCTCAGCAAGTTCGGATACTGGGCGCCCGGATTGGCACGGAACCTGTGTAACTAAATGACTATATATCATCGTTCGAGACCTCGAAGCCCGAAATGAATTCTAAACTCCAATCTTCATCTGGGTAGCTGAGCCTATCTGCCGTTGAGCCTACCACAATTGATGTCGCTACAATGACCATTAACTATGTCATCAGTGCATAGGGGGCGCTCTATGCACATACCTCTATCAACGGAAAATCCGAGCCTTGTCAGAATCCTTTTCAAGTGTTGCTGAACTTGTGAAAAGTCTGAAAGATGGTGTTCCAAGGATGCAGCTTGCCAAACATTTGTGATTCAGATATGAAACCGGTCTTGCTCGTCAAGCAATCCCAACTTGCCTAAATCAAAAACGGAAGCATGTGTAACGGAAACTGCTTGAACAGGTTTCTTAATGAATTTCAAATTCTGAGGCACCGTACAGCGATATCGTCGATCTCAGACAGCTGCATCATGGCACGGGCTCCTTCCTCAAGCATCTAAGTTTCGGTGATGATCCAGAATGCATGCGCATTTTGCGGTCAATGAAGTCCGCGTGTTATTCATGCTGAAAAGCTAGGCTGAGAGTTTAGTCAAGATATGCCTGTGTTACCCCACTTCTGTGTGATCACGCAGATATGCACATTCAGCTCCGTCAACGCCACCTTCGCCGGCTCTCACAACATTACTAACCTTCCTGGCCTCGACAACTACCACTCAACCAAGTCATGGATCGAAATTGTAGGCTTGGCGCTTGGAGGCTTTCTGTTGATAGTCAGCATCCATGAGAATTGTTGAGATGCATTTGAACCTATCCATGAGTGGTGGACGTTTAATTCAGAGTTTATTAACATTGTTGAAGGATTGGTGACACAACAAGATCAATTTAATAGCAACCTTGAGCTGATATCGTCGCCATTCAAATTCTCAGACGCTCAAATGAACGCGCTACTGAGAGAACAAAGTCCTGAAGGGTGGACGGACAACATGGTGCAAAGAAATCTGAAAGAACGCCTCGGAAGCTCATATGAGCCGTCATCCGCCATCTGTAGGAAAATGAATAACACATTTCGTCATTTGGAGAATCTTGTTGGTATTCGCGACTCACCAGATCGTTCTCCGAGAATAGTTTGCAATCACTGAACGTGGCCAAGTTCGATTATGTTAATGCTTCGAGATGGGACCTTGAAATACGTTGGCCAAGAGTGAGGTTTTCATGAAGGAAGTTCAAGCAGGTGCAGCTTCTTGGAAAGTACAACAGTGACCTGAGAGATATTCTTGCTCTCGACGACGTCTTGACTTCATTCCGGGGAGCCAAAACAAAGTAAACAGTTCATGGGCCCGCTTCAGATTACATGACAGCACTCGGAAGCGTTCTATAATGCCTTGAACGACCTATGAGAATGTGATTATGGCATGTTGCATGAGAGCAAGATCCGTCTCGATGTGTTTGATTACAACCAAGGCTCCATCGATCCTATTCTTCACGTACTTTTCATACTCCACCTATATGCAAACCGGTCAGAGTTTTTATTTGTGAGTTGTGTACTTTAGTTGGGCAGGAAGCGATGCCCAACGTGATTTTCACTTCACCAGGTAGTGCTTTACTGGGTTGAGAAACCACGTACGGCAACGGCAGACTGTCTTCGACATATCTCCAAAATTCGAAAGTAATCGCCTTGCTAAGGACATGCTGCATTCAAAAATCGCAAGTATTCATTCGCAACCCTCGGCAGCTAAAGGCGTCTTGAGGTGAGTAGCTCCCACCCCAGGGCCAAAAACAATAAAACTCCACGTACTTCAAGACTGCTCCAACACAAAATACAATGGATTCGACCAGAAAAACCGGACTAGAGGCAGCTTCCCATTCAAATACAGGTAGACTATCACGAACCAGACAAATGCAAGAGATAAAGAGCACCTGTTGCTCGGGAATGCGTGACTGGATCGTTGACGGCGGTTGTTTTGGGTACATTTCATCTCCTGAAGGGACCGAGAGACCACTATTGCTGGTTTTATACAGCCAATGCCTGCATCTGGAAGATCGATCGCACGCAACGACTCTTGAAAGCATCTTCTTTGACGGACACCGTGGCGGCGTTGATGAGAGGAACTTCAGATTGAAGCAGAGACTTTTGCATGCAAAAGCATTGACATCTACGCTACCTCAGCTTCAGTCCATGCAATGGCTGTCTTCAGTATGGGGTAAATCCGATGTCTCGTTCGTATCCTCGGACTCGGTCCTACCGCCTACTACCACGAAGCTCTACATCGGCAAGATCTTCCCCTCTGATACTCATGTTCCATCAATGCCTCAAGAGTACTGTGAAAGATCTTTGCAGTGTTTAAAATTCATCTCATTGGAGCTCACATTCAAGAAAGGGTTAGAGGCTCTTTCATTGCGCAAAAGATATCTGGGCCAAGACAGACAACTGACCGAGTTTACAGACCACAACACCGCGAAGAGTTTGCAGACAGAATTTGAGGGAGGATGTGGTGACTTTATGTTAGATATGGTCGGCCGGTGCCTCAATTGTTCATTCAGACTTCAGCCTGGCTGGAACAGCAAGGACTTTCTGAACGCCTACCGCACGCATGTCTTAGAACCTTTCGAGAAGATATTGGCGGCTTGGAGCAACATGAAAGTCTAAGCTGAGATAGAAGAGATGAATCCGAGCAACTAAGCTGTGCTTGCGATACATGTAGCTGAGGGGTCTTCCCGATTGGGCTTTTGGTAGGGTTGTTCTCCGATGTTACGAGTGAAAAGATTCAAGTCCTCTAGCTACGATTTTTCTTTATCACTTCAACGGTATTGAGTTGTGACGAAGTGCTCCTCGTATAGCGATGTTCATCAACACCTTACTTTCCGGTTTCATAGCAATAAATGATTAAGTTAACTTATAGGATTTAAGAACGCGTAAGCGTCTCAACCAAGATCGAAGAGCTGCGGATCTTTTTTTTGGCCGCCTGCAGGCCAATGGCCAGCATGATGTTTGTTCTTGTGATGGCGGAGGCTGGGGTCGAGGTTGGGTCTTTGATGTGAATATCAATAATTTTATTAGAGTGGATTGGAAAGAGTGACTCTTCCGCTTAGTCACCTTGATGCGGCGCCCACGTGATCGCGCGCAACCTTCAACGTTAACAAGTAGCGTGCATGGTGGACCCACTCGGAGCTCGCTCTCCGCTGCACCACAACGCAGTCTGTCAACTGAGACCAAATGGCTGCTTCCGACGATGAAGATGAACTTCAGCGCGCGATTGCGCTCTCTTTACAGGACGCAGCCATCAATTCAGCCCCAGAGGAGTCCAGCTTCGACAGGGATCTACGCTTGGCAATGGCTCTTTCGCTCGAGGGAGTGTCGAACGGGGGCGCCACCACTTCTGCGACACAAGAATCTGGTGATAGTTCCTCTCAGTATGCCGCTACCAACGCCTCGGAAAGCCAACACAAAACTCAACCACAAATAGAAGCTTCGGTTGCCCAGACGACGAAACCGCCAGCAGCTGGGTCATTTGCCACCTTGGATAGGAAAGCCATGGAAGAAGCGCGTCTTGCGCGACTGGGAAAGCGGAAGCGAAGAGCTTCTCCAGATAGACCATCGAAACAAGTTTCGAAGCAAGCAGAGGCCAAAACTTCCAGTGAGATTCGATACCCAAAGGGCGCCATCAAGCGCACCTGGGCATACAAATACCCTCGAACCGAGGATATCAGCATCGAAGAGGTTTTGCAAGCCCCCACTCTCAACATAGCCGTCTTGAGTTCTTTCCAGTGGGACGATAGATGGATATTCCACAAGGCAGACCCGATGAAAACCAAGCAAGTATGGATAATTGGTGCCAATACAGATGCGATAAAACAGAACATCATCCAAGAGCTTGCTGAATGCAATACTCCGAATGTGAAGCTGCATTTCCCACCAATGCGTGCCACGACTACTATGCACAGCAAATTGATGTTGTTGTTCCACGAAACGCACCTTAGAATCGTGGTCCCAACAGCCAATCTGATGCAAGTGGAATGGGGAGAGACAGGAAAGGATCCAAAGTCGGTGGGTTCATGGCAGCCTGCGGTTCTCGAGAATACTGTATTCCTAATTGACTTACCGCGTCGAGTTGATGGTGCAGTTTCGGAGAAGCTTGAAACTACATTTGGGCAGTCGCTGATGGCGTTCCTCGAAGCACAAGAGGTTGGCCAGAAAGTACGCGAAGGCCTCCGAAAGTTTGACTTTGCCGAAACGAACCGTCTTGCGTTTGTTCATTCGATGTAAGTCCGGTGGCTCCAGAGTAACAGAGGTAAATTTGACCCAGATTATAGATCAGGGAGCCACTCGACTGGACCCCGGCGTAACGATACTGGACTACCTGGTCTTGCAGCAGCCATACGTCGGTTGAACCTGAACAACGTTGAACGCCTCGAGTTGGATTATGCATCGTCCTCTATAGGTGGGCTGAAAGAAGAATTCCTCGAAAAGCTGTACTTGGCTGCCAGTGGGCTCCAGCCGCTGAGCAGCAAAGCTCCCGAAGACTGGGCGGATCGTTTTCGTGTCTACTTCCCAACCCACGACACCGTTATCAACAGCACGGGAGGTGTAGAATGCGGCGGAGTCATTACTCTGAATTCGCGAAGCTACAATGCTCCTACATTTGCTCGCAGATGTCTCCGGACCCATATATCAACCCGAAGTGGTCTCTTATCGCACAACAAGATGCTGTTAGCTCGAGGCCGCCAAAAGGATGGCACGCCTTTTGGTTGGGTTTATGTCGGGTCTGCTAATGTGACAGAATCGGCATGGGGCTCACAGAGCATCCTAAAAAGCGGAAAGGAGAGTGCATTGAAAATCAACAATTGGGAGTGCGGTGTTGTGGTCCCCGTGCCTACAGAAAAACTGCAGGGTCTTGCTGATGGAGAGGTCCCACCGATGAATGTGTTTCAGGGAACCGTGGAGGTGCCATTCAAGGTTCCAGGAGAGAAGTACGAGGGCAAGAAGCCCTGGTTCTTCATGGACCAGTAGCCTAACGCTATCGAATTCGAAGAGTCGTCCACGAGGTAATTTGGAGGAGTCTAAATTTTTTTTAAATTATAATTGTGAATCAGACGATTGTCGGCGCAAACACAATGAGTGAGGATGTCTCATGGCGCCTCCCCAGGGATCTCTGCACGCACCGTATACCTCGTATTGAGAAATCAGCCACTTACATAGTACGGAACCATCCGTGATACCCCATGCGCAGATCAGCTCTAGCGTGGGAAGTCGGGGACAAATGCGGCGGAGATACCGGAGAGTCGGAAGTCTGACACTGCGAAGAATTTCCAGGCTGAGCTGACACACAAGCTTCTAGTGGACTAAGCTTGCGCTCTCGCCGGGGAAGCTCTCTTCCCCACATTGTGCATCCTGCTACGCCGGGCAGGTGTATTACCCCTACGTGACAGGTCTCATCGTCGCCTGTAGTATTCCGCCTGAATGCCGGAAGCTGCTCCCACGCCCCGCGCGGCGCTGGCCAACGCGACAACATCAACCTCGAATACACCGAGCGGGAAAGAGTCCCAATACAGCTACTTTGCGGACACGTCAAGAGGGCCACCCATCACTGCGCCGTCGCATAGCTGGTTTACTAGCCCGGCGAGGTCGCATGCGTCTGGGCAGGGGAAGGAGCTTCCGCTGCATTTGATACAACTAATACTGGAATATGTATGTGGATGCTGCGCGAAACCTTTCGCAGCGCTGAAAGCCATGACTGACGACAAATGACATTGCAGCTCGACGATGCCGCCGACCTCGCCCGCGTTACGCGCACCTCGCGCCTGTTCTACTACATGACCTTGCCGCGCCTATACGAAGAGGTCACGCTGCGGACCTATGCGGAGTTACGATATGTCAACGGGAGACCAACAGGCTATGGCAGCGGAAGTCCATTCGCCATGGGGCTGAACACGCTGGTGTCGCGGAACTTCGCCGACTATGTGCAGACCTTCAGGGTGATTGGGGAATGGCGGGAACACGACGTGGACGACTATTCCAAAGGGCGCGTGCCCGACAATAGCATGGTGCTTCAGGTGGCTATGCGCGCTGCGATGGATAAAATGAAAAATCTCAAAAACTTCGCGTATGTGTATTGACTCTTGTGGGCGACGCTAGGTGCTGACAGGCGCAGGTGGGAGTTGAACACGAAACCGCTACACACTGTCTATGAGGGCCTCATGCAAAAGTCCTCGCTGACATCTTTGGTCCTCCGCTTTCCTTCAAGACGAATACCACGGCCCACGACCGTCATTCCCCCGCTTCCAAATCTCACGACCCTTATATGCTACGATATAGACCCTCTCGCCTCCCCCGACAATATATCCCTCCTCCTCCTCACCTCGAAGAAGCTTGAGAACTTAAAACTACACTTCAACCCACGTATGCGCGAGACTGGAGAAGAGTCCGTCCAGCTTAACGCCTACTTTGGGCGCTGCATAGCCGCCGGGTATTCTATAGCTCTGAAGCGCATCGCGCTCTACAATCTTTACTGCCGAAATCAGGATGAGGGTTTCGAAAGGGCAACAAACCCTAGCACAATTGAAGAGGTGACTATAATTAATTCGATGGGTTCTTCAGATCCCATGACCGTATTCTTAGACAACACTTGGCGCCTCAATCCCAACCAACCGATTCCCAAGAATCTCAAGATGCTCCGCTCGGACACAGTCGAGCCGGAACAGGTTACCATGCTTACCAAATTCCAAGGTTTGGAGCGCTTCTACATCGTCAGCAAGCCTATGTGCTCGAAGGCAACCAGCACAGCGCAGACTCCTACGTCGCCTTCCTCCAACACCACCCCGAACATGCACACAAATGGCAGCATCTCAACGCCCCGCCCTACAACCGAAGGCGAGTGCAAGAGCGTTGCAGGCGATTACCTAGCTGCGATTCAATCCAATCATCGCACCATGCGCCACCTACTGCTGTCAGACCACTGGATGCTCTCAGACGACGCACTTTTCAAGGTCTGCCAGACGCTTCCCCACCTCGAGCAGCTCGGCTTTGCATGTTCAGTCCCGCCCATGGAGTCGATGCGCCAAATGATTTCCCACACACCTAATCTATGGGCCATACGCATGCTAATTCCACCGGGCTCTCTGTTTCAAGCCCGCATGGACGCCATGGACATCGAGATGCACCAGTTCGCGCTTGCGACCGAGATGTGGCGGCCGCAGTATCGCAAACTCAAGTACGTGGGCATGGGCAACAAAGCATTCAAGCTGGGCGATGTGATTTGGCCCAAAGGGAATGGCAACGCTAGAGCGCAGGAGAATGCGCAAAACGGTAGCCCATTTGGTGGGAGGGGGACTTCTATGATTGAGCTGAGGAATGGACCGATGAGGAGGCTGGAGCAGGTGGATCCGAACAGTTTGAGCTGGATTGAGATTTGGGGTATGGACTCTATGGAGTTCGAGGCGAAGTTCCCGTGAGTAAGGGCCGTCCATAATTGTAAGATTTTGAGTTGTGATCGGAACGATGTAAGAGTTTGTTGCATTTTAGAGGATGATATATGAGGCACGAATTCTGGCAAGGATAATACCTGCTGTGGCAATTGCAAGTTACGCGACGAGGTCGTTCAGCCGTGACCGATGCACATGTTGTGCTTTAGCTTAGATATGGCATGATGGGTAGTACAGCGTATGAGAAATGTCCTCTGCATTCTGCCCTGTTCATTGTAGTTGAAATGAGATCCTCTCATGGCTGTCAGTGATGTTCCGAGTGCAAGAGTCTTGTCATAATAGGAATATCGAATGCGGTAAGGCGGGCACGGACCAATCATTCGACAATCACGTCTTCTGGAGTTGTCTCATCACGTCCACATGCATCATTGTGTTCTCCATCAGGCGCGATCATTCTAATGCGCCGTTCTTACATTGTACATTTTGATTTATCTCACAGCCGGTTCTAAGGGTGAGATGGGCCCACGATGAACACTGTGAATAACTTTCCTTACCCCAACCAAGATGGCCTCCCAAACAGCTCTCGAGGCTGCATACCGCACGTTAATCTCGCGCGGCCGTCTTTCTCACGATAATGGCCAAGCTGCATTGGTCTCACGCCTCGCCCAGCTGCAGACCAGCCTGAGCCAACCAAGATCTAAGTTAAACGCACCTGCGCCGCGAGGAGTGTACATCTACGGCAGCGTAGGGACCGGCAAATCGCGCATTGCAGATTTGTTTGCAGCGACACTGCCGGCCCAAATTTCGCGCCGAAGAATCCACTTCCACGAATTCATGCTTGACGTTCATGCGCGTCTGCACACGGCGCGCTCGCAGTCCTCGTTCCGTGGCGATCCTCTGATCCAGATCGGTATGGATGTGCGCAAGGAAAGTCAGGTGTTGTGTTTCGATGAATTTCAGGTCACCGACATCGCGGATGCGATGATTTTGAAGCGGTTATTCTCTGTGATTTGGGGCACTGGCGGTGTGCTGGTCGGCACGAGTAATCGCCCGCCAGAAAAACTGTATGAGAACGGTTTAAATCGGGACTTGTTCGTGCCGTTTATACATCAAATAAAGGATCGCTGTGAAGTGTGGAAGATGGAAGGCCAAGACGATTACCGGACCAAGGATATTGATGACCCAGCCGATCGAATTGAGGTTCTCTTCCTGGATCACAGTAGATTTGAGGAGAGCCTGCACAGTCAGCTGTCTGGGCAAGCATTACAGCATTTCGAAATTGCAGTACACGGGAATCGAGGGTTCTCAGTATCCGCTGCTCGCCCAAACGACAAGACTGGCCTTGTTGTCAGCAGCACCTTCATCGAGATGTGTCATTCCTACCGCGGATCAGCGGATTACGTTGCGCTCTGCCGACAGTCCAAGGCTATCTACATTTCAAAACTGCGACGATTTGCGAAGGATGATCTGGACGTGGTCCGGCGCTTTATCACGTTAGTCGACCTTGCGTACGAAGCGAAAGTCCGTATCTTCTGTCTGTCAGACGTACCTTTGGTGGAAGTCTTCGCCAACATCGTTCGGCCAGTCGACGTTCCCTTGCAAGGGCAGATGCAGCGCCAGATGACTGTCCGCGGCGAGGGCGGGAGCAGTTCGAGTATGATGACGACCTTCGTCGGCGAAACGGAGTGGTCAGCAACCGGGCTCGCAGGGGCATCGCTTGCAACTGGTGGCGCTGGGGAGACTGACGTTCGCTTCGCGATTGGTCGAGCTATCTCGCGACTTTACGAAATGGGATCTAAACGATATGGCATTGGCGACTGATTATCAAATGCCTTGTCTCGCTCCAATGCTGCATATTCGAAATCTGTCAAAACTGCTCCACCGAAAGTACGTTTCAAAAGGCAGACCAACTACTCCCTCCTGCTTGTGGCACAGTGGTAGCGATCTAGACGAGCCGTTGAACCTTGGTAGACTATCGTTCCATTGAACTGGGACCCGCTTCCACATATGGTTCCCTGCCTAGCGAGATCAGTTTTACGGAATCAGAACGCTTACATGAACTACACGGCAATTCTTGCGTGATAAGCTCACTCTTCAAATCACTTCATCAAATTGTTTCACTAAGCTGATCCATTCAATCAGGAGAATACAATTCACTGAGACGGACTCACATTATCGACACTCACCAAGTTCAACCAATCCCGCATCGTGATCCAGCTTCACCGCAGCGCTCCCACTAGGCCAACGAATCGAGGATCAAATCCAATATTGGAGGTCTACCGCATAAGCAACCCCCACCAACCGCACTCGACACACCCACAATCCCCACAGCCTCACCCCTCGCCGCACCCCCAGTAGACTTCTAAATCGCCGCCCCCGTCCCACCATCCCCTTTCTCTCCATCTGTACTTCCACCCTCGGAAAGTATCAAAACCGGCAAATCCACCATATGCACCTTCGCCCCACCCAACGGCTCCAACCTCACATCCACCACATCACCAACACACTTCCGCGCCTCCCCTGTCGGCGGCGCATCTGGCACCCCCTTGTACATACCCCACTCAATCTCGCACGCCTTCCCGCTCATCCAGAGCGGCGCCGCGCCCGGCGCGAAAATCGGATTTGCAAGACTGGTGGTGTCGTTGGAGCGGTGCACGATCAGCGTGGACGGGTCGATGGCGTAGTTCCAAGCCGAGGTGTTGGTGTATGAGTAGTCGAGCGCTTGAGTGGGCGCGTAGCCCTCGGGAAGCGGGTCGTTGGAGCCGTATTGCTTGGGGCGCGATGAGGAGTTTGTGGAAGGAATTGCGAGCGCGAAGACGAGGGCGCCGTAGTGGATTGCTACGGTATCGTTTGCGCGGGGTTCTTGGATGATCGAGGGGGTACTGAGGGTGTATATCACTTCCCACGTACCAAATGGAATGGAGATCTTGTGCAGGCCGGTTTGCGGGTCGGGATTTACAGCGGTGGAGGAGGAGCCCATGGAGATTGTTGTTTTGGAGGTGTCGGCCCAAGAGGGGACGCGCACGTGGAAGTCAAAGACCGATTTGGTGGTGATAGTGTAGATTAGGGTGTCGCTGAAAGGGTACTCGGTTTCGCAGTCAATCATCGTGTCGCCGACTGTGGCGCTTCCGGGTCCGAGGAGGGCGTGCGCGATGCCGTTGTCTTCGACTTGTACATACATTGCGGCTGCGAACTTAGGGTAGCCTTGCGGATGGTTGACTGTGCAGCAGGGGTAGTCGACTTCAAGACCATATGATTGACCCCACTGATTGACGTTCCAGAACGGGGTCTCATCCAAGTGCTGTGCGTAAGGCTGGTTTGGCTGCGAAACGTACTGCCTCGCCCACCAGTCAGGCGTTAGCTGGACAGGGAGCGCATTGAACGCCGTCTTCTCGCAGCGGTCGGCGTACGAGGCGTCGCCCAGCGCCTGGTACAAGTATGATAGCGAGTACATGGTCTCGACCAGCGTGCAGGTCTCCGATCCGTAGTATGGCGCCAGTCCAGCAAGCCTCTCATCAGCAAGGATAGCTCCAGAGGCAGCAGCATGGTACTTGAACGTCCAGTCTACAGCATCTTTGCTCGTCTGCACTAGACTGTCGTTGTGCGTGACGCGTCGGAAAACTGCGAGGGCTTTGAGACCTTGACCAACGTTGACGCCATGCTCGTAGGCAAAGAGAGGCTCGGTCTCGGAAACCGGGAGAGTGTTCAAGTCCTCCTTGATGTAGACCTTCGGATTATACCAATCCGCCCAGTCGAGCGAGCCTTCAATGAGGAGCTGCATATTCTCCATGACCTGCGACGCATTGTGGCTTGCCGAATGCTCCTCATACAGCCACTGAAGCGTAATAAGCATATCCTGGACTCGGACGCGGCCCCTTTCGACTCGTCAGCATCTCTTATTTCCAAATCCTGTTCGGAATAAGGGAAACTCACCACTGCTCATCACCCTGCCCCACCGCATCCCCCTCATGATAATGATATCCCGTAAAATTGTCTCTCAACATGGTATTCGTAACCTCCATGAACTTCCACAGGCTATCCACTACCCTTTCTTCCCACTCCCCGCCCTTCTCCGCCTCAGCAAGCCCCTTCAACCCCAGCAAAACCGGCATCCTGCCCCAAAAGTTCCTCTCGGACCCAGTCTCAGGCCCCAGCCATCCATCTTCCTGCTGGTGCTCCAGCACATAGTCCGCAGCCGAATGCACCTGCTCCAGAAGGCGCTCGTCTTCGAGCGTGTAGGCCAATGGCACGAGGCCGTTGAACCAGTAGGGAAAGCCTTCTCGCAGAGAAGAGTATTCACTGGTGCCGCCGAGCCAGGTCGAGTGCGCGACGAAGTCGTAGAAGTCGTGTTGGTGGCCCGCGAGGCCGTTGGCGGAGAGCGTTAGTTGGTCTTTGAGCCAGCCGTTGGGCTTGATGGATCCGAGAGGGAGAGGCTTGAATGCGAAGGGGACGAGAGTTTCGTTGGTTTGCGCGATGACGATGCGCAAGGAGGAGGGTAGCGCGAGGAATCCCAAGCTCTTAAGGCTCGTGTGCAGGTACATGTTCTGTAGTGGAAGCGCGAGTAAAGTTTTGCATACAGAGATGTGTGGATGAACGGTCAATTATAAGTGAGCATTGCTAGCGGTCATCAACGTCACCCCAACCCACGATCCTACCTCCCGAGTTGCCTCATGCGAACGCCCCTCTTCTAAACGGTTTGTGATCGTTTGTATAGCCACGGCCCCCTTCCGAAACGTCGATCCACTAGCCCCGATGTAGCAGCCCGTAAGCCGGGCACACTTTCCTGGCACCAGCTCGTATACCCCAGAGAATGAGTTGTTGCATCTAGGAAGACCGGTGCGCGATGTTACTTGTCGGTGCTGCAGCACGCTCTTCGAACGAAGCTATCATCGTTTCATACCGTGGTAAGAATAATGAAAATCTTGGCCGCAAATGTCAAGGCGACCCTCCAAGTCGATGAACGATGTTAGAAGTAGGCGGGTGTGGAGACGGCTAGCTGGAAGCTTAGCCACGCCACGGCTTTTGGGGTTGAGCATGGCGGCGTCCAGTGGCCGATAGCGCCTCCTTCGTTCATCAGCAGGGCTGTCGCATTGCTAAATTTGGCGATGGGGCAGCTCCTCGTCCGGAAATCCATCCGATGTGCAAGGCTACGGTGCTCGTTAGCTCACGCTGGTATTTCCGCGTGAACGAGATGCGATGAAATCACTGATCGGCCTCCTCCGTTCTCGTTGTTCACTCTGCATGTTATTTCGCGGGGCTGTGTCCGGCTTGGAATCATCTTGACGACCACCAGCCTTGGGCGCATCTAAGTGACTGGGGGAAGATCGATCGTATAGCAGCCACAATGATGAACTTGCTATGTCGGTGACTGCTCTGCGTCACCTTTTATCCTCACAGAGTGCATGCATACTCTGGGATGTAGTACAACACTAACAATGCATTCATGCCAATCGTTACAAATCGCTGCTCATTACGCATCACACACATACAAATCTCCCACCTGTCCGCACGCTCTCTCACCACGATCGTGGGCACGCACAGTCCTCTCAGGAAAACAAGCCTTTGGCATCCCATGAGCGCCCCATCCAATCCCCTGCACTGCACCAGTTGACGTTGAAACCCTACACCAACGCCTCTCCAGCCGCCTCCACCCTCTCGATGACATGACCCAGCCGCTCCACCTCCCCCGTCGCCTGCCCAACCCACTCCTCGCTCCCGTCACCGACCAGCTCTCCGCCCTCCGCAAGGCCGCCCTTGAATCGAATTATCGCATCCTTCAACGGCGAGAGGTAGTGCTCTTCCAGCTTGCTCTCGCTATGCAGCGCCCGGATACCAAGCGCGTCGTGCCAAGGCTTCACACTGAGGAGGAGGTAGTAGAAGTTGAGCGTCGCAAGATAGAAACCCAGTTCTTGACGGAACTGTACGAACGACTCTTGAAGATCCGCGGTGGAGACGTATGCCGATGTGAGGTCTGGGAAGAGGAACGGTGCTGTGGTGTGGAGCGCGACGGGTGTGGCGAATACGGACGCTTCCTCAGAGTCGTTGGAGTGGTCGTGCTGGTGGGGTTGGTGGGCGGATGAGGATGCTGCGGGCATGTTTGAGTTTGCCTCGATGGTTTCGCCCTTGAGCCATGTCACTGCGCTCTCTTTAAGATTCTCGTATGGGCAATGCTCCAATGTGTCGCGTATGAATGACAGTCGTACGATGCTGGAGGGATGGGAGCGGAGAATTGTTGATGTGAGGTAGGCTGCGTGGGAGCGCAAACTCGGCGAAGGCGTGTTCGCTGAGATGAGGGACGTTGTTTGGAGGTATTGTGCAAACGCTTCGTCGTCGGCAGGCTCGCCCACAGCGTTCTTTTCTACAGCTATCAGGCCGAGAGCGAGGACGGCGTCGAGGAGAGCTTCGGGCTCCATGCCGACTGTCTGCTGGCCGATGATACCAACGTAGTTCTGTAGTATAGCGGTATGATCTGGGAAAATATGAATGTATGGCGCATCCTCGCTGCTGACATTCGTGTACAGTTCTTGCTTGACAGTTCTCGCGGTGTATAGCAGCAGTGCACCGGTGTTCGACAATGGAATGTCTTCAGCGGAATTTGGCGGTTCGTCTTCCGCACCCGGGATGCCTTGCTTTTCGGTTTCTGGGTCCATAATGGTCGTCACCAAATCTTGGGTTTTGAGGCCCAGATCTTGCGCCAACGCGACGAGCTGTCCGATGATAGCGGCCCGTGACTTCAACGGGTCTTCGTTGGCAAAGCGATCTGCATATTTGGGCTTATCAGGCCTTATGCGGCTGGGCTCATACTTCTCCATGAGCCTACTAGACCAGGCGAAGCCGGGCACGTCATCCTCCGACGTGAGCGTAAGAATGTAGTCCTCCATAACGTGCGTCAGGAACGACTGAAATAGGCGAGTGGTGAGTGTTTGCTCATCCGCAGTTGGCAGCTCAGTTTGCGCTTCCGGGTCAGGTTCCATTCGATTTGAGACGGTCCGTAGTAGGTTGCCGCTGGGTGTTCGGGGAGGTAGGTGTGGCCTCTTGGTCCCAGAGAGTGTTTTGACCAGCTTGATAGCGGATAGCGTGAGCTCGTCTCGGTGTGATGTCGCGCGATTATACGCGGTCAGAACCGCCTGCAGACTGGTCGCAAGAAAGCGGCTTGGATACTTCGCCTTGACACGGCCGTGCAGAGTTGCCAACAGGTCAAGCAAAACTTCGAATTTCAAGACCGGTAGTGGTGGGAGCACGGTATCCGAAAGACCTGATGTCTTGCTTGAAGATGCAGCTACTGCCTCCTCTTCCTCTTCATCATCCGAATCACGTGCTCTCTCTTCAAATTCTAGCAACCGTAAAGCTTCCGTGACCTTCAAGATGACCTCCCGAGGGTTGCCCTTGGCAGCAACATCCTGCAGGCATTCTTCGGACGACGGAAGCAGTGGAAGCAGGATGTGAACCAGGTCCCAGCCAATGTTGACTGCAAGCTCTCTATCCTGCAGGACTTGGTGCAAAGTAGGCAAGTTGTCCTCTGTGAGGACCTGCTCAACAAGAGTTAGATAGGTGAGGTAGTCCGTGGCTGGCGGGAGAGCTTCCAGCAGCGGATTGCCTTGCTTCGTTTCCGTGGCCATGGTTGTGACAGTAGTGACTTGGAGATCTTCGAACGAATGTTTCAGGAGAGTGCCGGGAGACTTGTTTGCTCGTGGGTAACATGAAGATCTAGGCAATGACGTACCGCTAGTGACCCGCCCTAGCGACGAATGTAGCTAGTGGCCGGCCCGCGAACGCCAAGGCCGCATAGCGATCAACTGCGAGCTCGACCTCAGGCGCGAAGCGGGACAAGAATCCATATTACGGTACTGTCGTGAATTGCCCACGCACGCCCACCATGGACGAAAGAGAAGAGGCTAGCAACGAGCCGCTCGACCTCGTACGCCTCTGCATCGACGAGATTGTCGTAGTAAAATTACGCGGCGACCGCGAACTGAAGGGCCGCCTGCACGTACGTTTGAGGTCGCAAAACCTGGGAGCTCGAACCTGACTAGATACAGGCGTACGACAGCCACTGCAACCTCGTTCTTGGAGACGTCGAAGAGACGATATATGTCGCCGAGGAAGAGGACGAGGACCAGCCGCCGCGCGTGAGGGTCCGTACTGCGTGACAGAAATTTGGGCAAGAGCTAATGGCTGGCAGACGGTGAAGAAGCAGTCTGAGATGCTATTCGTGCGAGGTATGGAATGTGATGAGACATCCAGACGATGGGAACTGATCAGTATACAGGCGACTCGGTCGTGCTGATCGCACCTCAGGAAGGAGTCGCGCAGTGAGCCAACTGCATCCCTTCCTTTGGGAGCAGTTCGAAGATCTTCGAGGCGGACGATGTTGAACGGAGACGACAGCATAGCGCCATGAGATACCCAGTCACAGCCAGGTGGAATGAAACAACTGGAGGGCGATGAAAGCAGTGCTAGAGGACGGAGGCCACTCAGCAGCCCATGGCAGGCTCGACACATATTCAAGCACCGCCAAGACATTCCCGAAATATTCAAGGTCGGGAAGGATTAGCATCAAAGAGCAATAAACGACGTTAAACACCACATTTTCGATTCCGAATGGCACGAACTTGACAATTGCACAAGCTGTGAACGATCTGAGTATCATGGACAACTTGCAATGCCGAATGTTTTGCACGCACACGCCCACATGAGACGCTACGATATCTAAGCGTGATCTAATGCACATATCGTGATCCCGTTGATCCTACGTCTAGGTTTCCCGCAAACGCCTCCCAATGCAATTTTTCCAAGTCGTTTACTGTGTCGCGCACTGCGGTCCGCCCTCTTCTTCCTCATCGTCTTCCCATCCACCTCCGGCGCGTGGGTCGCCGCTACCCGCACCAAAGTCTTCCGGATCCGCATCCCATTCGAACTCAACCTCTTCGACTTCTTCCGGTTTCTCTTCGTCCTCGTCTCGCTTTGGCAGCACGTCGCGGACCTTCTTGATCGCAGCGTCATCCTTGAGCCAGCCGTCTTCCGGAAATTCGATCTCGACTACGAGGTACAAGTCGCCCTTGGCATCGCTGCGCTTCATCGGCATGCCCTCACCGGGAACCTTCAGGATCTGGCCTGGCCGTAGGACCTTCCCTTCGGGCTGCTTGACGTTCAGTTGAACACCGCGGCCGTCCAAGTGTTTGAGGACAACGCGATTGAAGCCGGTCAGCGCTTCGGCGAGAGTAATGTGTAGATCGGCCTTCAAGTCTGCTCCTGCACGCTCAAAGGTGTCGTGTGGCGACTCTGTAATCACGAAAACAACGTCTCCCGGCTCTTGGTCTGGTTTCTGGTCTGCTTCGTTGGCGATCACTATCCGTTCGCCTTCCCGGGCTCCGCGAGGGATGTACAGCTCGACGACGTTCTTGCCATCTACGACCTTCTTTCCCTTGCACCTCTTGCAGCGGTTCTTTTCGGGGATAATCTCTCCAGTACCGGAGCAGGTACCACAAGGAACGGTTTCTTGGGTCACGAGACCGGGGCCCACCTGTCGAAGAACAGCCCTCTGACCTGCAGACAGTTAGTACAGCTTAACGCGTGGAAGGAAGATTGCGCACCCTGCCCGTTGCACTGACTGCACTGGTGGGCCTTGGCGCCCTCCTTGCCACCGCTGCCCTTGCACTTTTCGCACACCACCTGCTTGGTGTTGGTAAACCTGGTAGTCTTGCCCTTGTACAGCTCCTCCAGCGACACCTCGTACTCGCGCTCTACGTTCTGCCCTTTGCGCGGTTGTCTCCTTCCGCCTGGCATACCACCCATTCCACCCATACCGGGCATACCACCCATGCCTGGCATGCCGTCTCCGAAGCCCATGCCGCCAAACATTTGCGCGAAGATGTCATTGATGTCGGGTCCCTCGCCCATGCCGCCTCCTCGCGAAGGGTCAAAGGCGGCCATGCCGTGCGTGTCGTAGAGGTGTCGCTTGTCGTCATCGAAGAGGATCTCGTATGCTTGACTGGCTGCTTTGAAGCGTACTTCGGCCTCGGCGCGTTCAGACTCTGCGACCTTGTCAGGGTGGTGCGCCAGCGCGGCCTGTCTCGATAGTTAGCATGCTTGCCCCGCTACCTGTACGGGCAAACAAATGGCATGGAGGATGCACGAACCTTGTGGTAGGCCTTCTTGATCTCCGCCTTGGACGCGCCCTTGGAGATGGAGAGCACCTCTGCTACAGTCAGACATGGTGCAGCGACGGTTTCTCCTCGTCTTACCATAGAGATCGACTTCTTCTACGTCGGCCACTGTGAAATGTTAGCGGGGCATCCCACTGCGTGCGAAGAACTTACTGTTGACTGTGGCCGATGGCGGGGTGAAATTTGTGACGCGTCGATGTGGATGCCGGCAGTCGGGGTACGGGGAGCAATATCTACAAGAAAAACAAGGGTATCTATAGGCGCTTCGGAACAGTCAAACACGAAATTCTGCGATACCGAGAGGCAACTGCAGCTGCAACTTTCGCGCAACGACGCCGGCCCAACCATTTCGCCGAAGGCGGTAAGAAAGTTCTGCCATGGGTTTGGCATGCAACGCGCCATTGGATCTCAGCTCATTCGTCCGTACATCATGTCGTTTCCGCTATTATTGAGGTCTCAATTGCCCTCGTATACCTGCAGATCATGTCTAGCTCGCCTTTCGCGGGCTTCAGTGCGCGCAAAGTCGACTGCATCCGGCGCCAAAGCTAAGCCGTTCGCTCTTCCCTCCTCCCCAGCGCGCACGCGGTTCGCGCCTTCTCCGACTGGCTATCTCCATCTGGGCTCCCTGCGAACGGCACTCTTCAACTATCTCCTAGCAAAAGCCACGGGCGGCCAATTCCTTCTCCGGATAGAAGACACGGACCAGAAGCGCACAGTAGCAGACGCTGAATCGCGCCTCTACCGGGACTTAAGATGGGCGGGCCTGGAGTGGGATGAAGGCCCAGAAGTTGGCGGTCCGTACGGGCCGTACCGGCAATCAGAGCGAAGCGAGCTCTATCAAGAGCATGCGCAAAAGCTGCTGGACAATGGCCATGCGTACCGCTGCTTCTGCTCTGCGGAGCGACTGAACGCGCTTGCGGAGCAACGACACAAGATGGGCATGGCGACAGACTACGATCGCACATGCGCAGATGTACCAAAGGAAGAATCAGACGACCGCGCGGCAAAGGGCGAGTCGCACGTTATACGACTGCGCGTTCCGGACCAATACCCCAACTACAACGATATCGTATACGGCAAGTTCAAGCCGCTCAAGCGCCGCGGCCACGTTGTCGAGACTGCGTACGAAGATCCAATTCTGTTGAAGTCGGACGGTCTCCCGACATACCACCTCGCCAACGTCGTAGATGATCATCACATGAAGATCACGCACGTAATTCGGGGTTCGGAATGGATGCCATCTACGCCCAAGCATATTGCCATGTATAATGCATTTGGTTGGACGCCTCCCGAGTTCGCACACGTAGGTCTACTCGCCGACGAGCAAGGCAATAAGCTCAGCAAGCGAAACTTCGATACGGACATCACAGCTTTTCAAGAGATGGAGATTTTCCCGGAGACATTGACGAACTTCGCTGCCTTGCTCGGCTGGTCGCACCAAGAGAAGTCGGATGTCATGGACCTGAACGACCTAGTCAAGAACTTCTCGCTGAAGTTCACAAAGGGCAACACAACCGTAACTATGGGCAAGTTGCACTTCCTGCAGCGCAAGCACGCAGCTTTGCGCGCCAAGGCGGGCGGTGAAGGTCTCGACGAGATGGTTCAGAGCGTCGTGGGTCTTCTCTGCATGCCCGACTCCAAATTCAGTTACGCAGACTTGACGAAACTGAAGGGCAAGTCTTTCCTTCCTGACGCTTATATCAAACGCGTTATACAGGCCGACTCCGAGAACTACACCAACGCTAACGAATTCGTGTACCGCAACTCCTTCATGTTTCAGCTCCTGCGGCATCCCAAGTCGGTCACGTCAGCAGAAGGTATACCGCAGGCTGTCAAGGCGCTGCAGGACGCCAAAGAGTGGGACAGAGACCATTTGCAAAACAAGATCAAGGAAATCATTGATGCCCGGCCAGAGGGCAAGGCTGGCTCGAAAGATGTGTATCATTACCTGAGGAAAGCGCTTACGGATAGAGACGAGGGGATGCGTCTCTACGATGTCATGGTCGTCTTAGGCAGGGAAGAGAGCCTGGCAAGACTGGGCGTAGATGCGTAGGCTTTGGTGCTGTTGTAGGATTATTATCGAATACGCTGTAAATTACTGGCAGGATAGAGGGAGCTGGCTACGGAACGATACCCACACTGATTTGAATTAGGTATGTATTTGTAAAGTGTACCAGCGGATTTGGCAACAATTCGAACGCATATCCCGAGGCCGCTACTATCGTCGTGATCACTGTCTCACGCAGTCGCCAGTCAAATCTCCCCCATGTTTCCGCGTGTCTCCCATCGGCATATGTTTCTCCCAGTGTCCATATCGGAGACATTGTACTTGCGCAATGTGAACAGCTCTAATATCACATAGTGCACGACCAAATAATCTCTCTCTCAATACCACAACACTTTGTCGCGGCTATCGCGAACCTTGTTCGGGCCCAAAACCAGCATTGTCACCACATAACTTCCAACTAGGAGAAAGTCTCATAGATTCATCCTACACGACTACTCGTCAGCTGACTTATCTCCCCCAAACCGTTTCATTACAAAGCACTGATCTTCACAACCCAACTCCCCACTATGTTCCCCTTCAAAACCGTCCTAATCACCTTCATCGAAGGCCAGCCCATCACCCTCGAAATCGCCCGCGATGTCCTATCCGCCTATATTACCTCCGAGCGAGCCATGAAGACCATCTCGCACGACATCGCAGCCTATCTCGAGCCAAGAAAGTGGTACAGCCTCTCGGGCGCCGCATCGCGGAAGCGCATCGCAGACGCAAACTACGAGCTGTTTCGCCAACTCGCACTGCTGGACTACAAGGTCCAGCATTTCTATAAGCAGAAGGAGAAAACGTATGCGCAGACGAGCGTGGCTTACGGTTCTGTCTCTGATTTCGAGGAAGATAGGAGCAAAGGTCCAGGTGAACCCAATCCCGTACCCAAATCTCGCAGCCTCCCGCCCCCACAATGGGCTGTGGAGATACAAAAGTCGGCGGCCAAGACGCGGCACTTCGCTACACTTCTGCGCAACCCTAGTAGCTGCGCTTCATTAGTAGAGATCGAAAAGGTGTATGATGACATGCTGGAGGTGTACGAGCTGCAGCGGCTGAATCTCGTCGCTGTCGTGGGTATCATGCGAGGTCGACTTGCGTGGTTCGATGGTGGAGATAAGAAGGTCTGGAAGGAGATGATGGTCGAGGGGCCACACGTGGGTTGGTGGTTGCCGGATTGTTTGTGTGAGGTCAGGCCGTTGAAGAAGGTCTAGTTTCCAGCAGACGAGGATCACGGCAAGTAGTATGCTCATGCAATAATCGTAGACCTCACAGTCACCAGGTAAGTTCTTGATACGAAACTTGGTAAGTTTATCACATTCATTATCATCATCGTTACGCTATTAATAAATCTACCCTTTCCTCGAATTGTCTATCCCTCCCATTTCGCACACTCTTCACCTTCCAGACATCCAAGGTCGCCTAGTCTACCCAAACGACTGGCTAGCGCCGGGCGAGTCAACATTGTAGTAAGCCGCCGGAGTCTGATCATAGTAAGCGACGCAGAGCCAGTTCGACGAGTCCGGTCGGAAGCGGAGGTCGGTTGTGAAGTAACCTCCACCCAGAGGAGAGGACCGAATGGCTGCCCAGGAAACGCAGTCGCCTGCGGCCTCGCAAGCATCCAAGGAGCCATCCAGCACTTGAGAGATCGCAGGCGCGCAGGCGTTGTTCGCAGGAGAGTTGTCATCGAGAGTCTTGAAGCCGGCGTACTCGAGCTTGTAGAGATACTGCCAGTCGGCTGTGGGTCCCTTGCCGAAGGTTGCGCAGGTGGACGAAGCCATGATAGAGGTAGAGTAAGTGGTGTAGCCTGGCGTTTAGCAGAAGCGGCGGTCTCAGCAGCTTCGGCGACGGAAAGCGGGAAGTGCCCGATAGGAGCACGAGCAGCGAGATTAGCATCCCCAATTGGCATCGCCTCAGGTTAAGCCTCCTCTTTACGACCAGAGCCACCATTACCAGCCCAAGGGAGGACAATTGACGTCGTGGAAGTTGTCATAGTCGGCTTCTCAGTGGCAGTAACCCATTCAGTTGCAGTAAGCTACAGAGTACTATTTCGGAGTCAGTATGACATTCATGGTCGCGACCAGTTCTGATCGGCTACTTAAGTTGTAGATGAGAGATTGGTGGTCTCGGAGATAGTCGAAGTGGTGCTGACGGTCTTCCGCACAGTTTTCCAAGCAGTGCACGGGGCCGGCGTTGTGACCACGCGTCTTGAGAAATAGCAATCCCAGCATGTGGGGCTGCCCGCGATCGAGGCCCCAAGAAGTTTTACAGGTATGAGACAACCGTCATGTGCACAGGTGGCGGCGGCGGCGACGACAGATGCAAAGGGAGTAGCTGCGGCCAGTGGGATGGCGTATTCAAGCTGCCTGATTGCGGACCGTGTGTTGATAGTTGTTCAGAGAGTCGCTGTGCTGATGATTTGATTTCGGGGTGGCCAAGGTTAAGTTGTATACGAGGCCTTTCGAGGTATCTCATGGTCTGTGAACAGCTCCCGACGTCAGGCTCGACCCACGATTGGCACTTTTCCCTTCCCGATCTTACATCGCTTACTGCGTCTAGAACTCCCGATACGCACGCCATATCAGAATGAGGAGTGATCTCGCCTATTCAGCTGCGTAAAGGACCGATTTCTCTCGTGGGCGCTTGGACACGGGAATTTTCTGGGTTCTGGATGTCAAGAGCTGATCACGCAGCTTTACACTGCAGTTACTCCTAACGGAATGTAGATGGACGCGTCGACTAGCTCACACCTGCCTGTAGTTGCGCCGGAACGAAGTCTGCCGAATGATCTGACAGCGCTGATCTTCTAATCAGATCTCATCAAGATTTGTTTTCGAAGGTAGCAAGGTGTACGAATTCATGCGGCCAGGTCCCTTGTACCGTTGCTGTGCGTCTTGAACCACGTCGAAGATAATGAAGCGCCTTCTCACTTTTTCACAGCACGTTTCGTCCACGACGACCACGAACACAATAACCACCACAATCTGTGGAAATGCCAAGTGTGCTGCAAAGCTTCAAATCTTCCATCATCTCTTCGGTATGCAGCTGCCTATCACTGACAAAATCCTCGACGACGACCGCGACAGTAACGACGTGGGTAACAACCTCAATTCCTAAATTACCTTAACGATTATTGTTACGCCAACGACAACTCTCACGCCTGAGCCTGTAACTTCAGCTCCGGTCTCTACCGCCACGGGGACGGTGACCAAGACGGTTCGTGTGGGGCAAGCCGCCGTACAATTGACTCAGCCCACTCCAATCATCCCAGTCAGCAATGGCCTCCCCACAGGCAACTATGACGACACCATAGGCTAGAAGATCCCCAACATTCCCTTCGAGGTTGGCCTATACGGCGTCACCAGTCGCACTTTAATCGTCGGCATCAACGGCTATGTCTCGCCCGGCTCTAGAGACTCAGGTGCCTATACCAATGGGTCGTTGCCTAACGATGGAGCTGATGTTCCTTCGTGGGTTCCGTACTGGTCGGACTTGTACATCTACAGCGGCACAGCTCAGGGTATCTACCAGCAGATCGACGGAGATGAGAATCATCGCACTCTTTCGATCGAGTTCTTTATGTCATTCTACGGAGCTTCAGTGAGTTTCTTTCTTAACGATGCTACATGTCTTCCTTTCATGCTTACTCACCTTTTAGTCTTCTTACACCCATTTCATGGTCACTCTCTTCGAAGAAGACATCGGGCGCGTGGTATTCAGCTACTTCCAGACAGCAAGTCAGAAACCCGGAGGCCAATCGAATTACGGCACCATTGGCGTGCAAAGACCTGCCACCGGCGAATACAACCAGTACTCTTTCAATGTGCAGCCTCGCGAAGGTCTGACGATTGAGTGGAGACCCTCCACCAACCAGTGGAGGGATGTCAGCACAGGTACTTGTTAGCACGCTCTTCCAGTCAACGGCTAGATTTAGAGCTGTAGATGAATGATATGATTATGAAGTTTGACCGCCGCTCCATCCTACTGGCTACCGACAAGACTTTCGTCGTCTGGCGCTCTTCGCCGTGAGCGGAATCCGCGATGCTTTGTCCTCGTGTGGGACGGAAAATCGCTCTCGTCTTTCTCTATGAACGTGTGTGACGACGCTGTTGAAGGAAAGCTGACAGCTGGCTTCACAAGGGCAGAGTCTCCATCTTCAACTCTGAGTCCTGCCACTGCCAAGTCCTCGTTCTTCATGTAGTTCTCTCGTTGCTCCTGTAGTAGTCCTGTCCATCGTCTGCGATAAGCAGTGGGATCGCTGCTTGGTCCAAGTGGTGGAAGCATAGGTATCAAATTGGTGCCTATGACAGGGAGATAATTGTTCCGTAACTCCTTGTAGACGGAGGCGAAGTAGTCCATGTTGAGGGCAAATATGATCAAGGGTATAGACACGCATAACGAGACGCCGAACAGAAGGCCTATTATGGTTTCCAAAGGCCAGTTGACTTCTCCGCTTTCCTCATTGTGAGGAAATGCGGCGATGCCGATCGCAAAGAAGGACGACATGAACGAAAGAGGGAGAAATACAATTGTAACGACGGTAAAAACAAGTACTGTGTTGCCTTGCTTTCCAGCGGCGACGGCAGTCTCGCGGGCCTCCTTTGCTTCCCATGCATTCGCGGCCTTTTGCTTGAGATCCATTAGTGTATTCAGCTTTCCCTGAATAGTCCTGGCCTGGCTGTCCAGTTTCGTGAAGTCGTTGATGTCGGCCTGGATCATATTGCTGACGACTGGTGTACCTAACAAGGCTTTCTCCTCTCCCACTGGCTGGATCATGTGGTCGACGAGTTTTCGTTGTATGTCCAAGACTGTGAGAATGATGTTGACTTCGTCGCGAATGTCCTTGACCTCTACGAGCAATTCAATTTCTGTCCCGATATCAAGCAGATCTGTTAGTAGCTTATTCTTTTTCTCGTTGTAGTACTTGTTTCCGTTGTCGAGCTGAAGAAGTTGATTAGACCCTTGCTGAAATACACGGAACAATTTGCTTTCTTTGTCGTCAATGGTACCGACGGAGTCCTCAAACATTTGATAGAAGCGAAGCCACTCCACATCTTGCATCCTGTCGAATATATTGCAGCAGGTTTCCATAATCCTTGAAACGAGATCTTCAGGCTTGCGAATGGGATCTCGCTTCCGACTGTTCGGATCCAGTACCCGTAGCCTGAGGTCGTCGAGAGTGCGGTGGGAAAGCTGACCGCTCCCGGTGCGATTCGGGAAACAAGACACCACGTATTGAAACCTGTTTCGTTCGGGTGAAGTTACCCTGACCCTGTCGCTGCTGCGGTTCCGTCGCCTTAGTAATTCCATCTCGTGCTCGCCAGGTGCAGCGGCCTCGCGGTTGTGCCCAATCCATAACCACAGCTGATCGACCATTAGGATGTTGTGCTTTGGTTCGGACTTTACTTTCTGGGCCCACCGAGACACAACTTGATCTATATCCCGCTCGTGCGTACTTTCAAGCATGTGGTAGTAGTATTGATCTAGGGTGCGGCGAACATGCAAAGCTGGTGGATTGTATAGATAAGCGTTGATCAGTGCTTTTTCTTCCTCTTCCAACTCATCGGGATCATCAGCTTCGAAAATGTCCGAGAAGTCGGAGTCCGAATCTTCTTCAAGGTAAGGATAGCTCTCCAGATCTTTCCCTTTCGGGACTTGCAACTGGGATCTTCTTTCAACAGTGCTCGCTCGACTGCTACCCTCCGTGAGTGCAGATAGCGTACTAGTCGCAAAAGGAAGCTCCGCGTTTCTTCTCTCTTGATATTTCGCATCCACTTCTTGGATGTGTGAAGTTCGCCTAGCCTGCCGAAGATTGGCCTCGTAACTCAGATAAGGCAAGAATAGCGATCTGGTATCGCCAAAGTTTACATGAGGAGTGATTGCGCGGTTTCGTAGCGATTCCGTGACTGAGCGTTTTGTGTCTTGCCAAATCGCTGGGTGGAGACGAAGCTTAGCAAACAAGTCTTCCAACCAGACCATGTTGTTTTCGGGAACATGGATCCACACACAAACTGGCGACTCTGCCTTGACAGCTTGTGGCCTCACTTGGTCAAGTATGTCCTCAAGAGTGCTTGTTCCATAGAGTAACGAGTCCACCGAGACGCTGACACTCCAATGTCTGTCGCTATTCCTGGTGGAATATATCTCCGTGACCGTAATTTGAGAGTTTTTGCAAGCCATTATAGCGTCTTGTGACGTAGGAGACTTCCCTGACCCGATCAGCTTGCTTGAAGGGCTTTGATCTGGTCCACTCATCAATTTGCTTTTCAACAGTTTGGAAATGTGTTTACGCGATTTCTGTTTTTCTGCTAGGTCCCTAGGAGTTCTCTTGCGTTGATTTTCGATTGAGATGTCTGCGCCGTTGTGGATGAGTGCCCTTACGATCGTCTCATTACCAGTCCGAACCGCATAATGGAGTGGAGTATTCGATAACTTGTCTCGCGGGTTCGGGTCGACATTTTTTCCGCCTAAAAGTCTGATCACAACCTTCTCGTGATTCAGACGGACGGCGACCTGCAACGCTGTTTGACTCCATCTATCCCGCAAATTAACGTTCGCTCCTCTTCGAATCATGGAGTGGATATCGTCGGCCCGACCCAAAGCTGCTGCATGAAGAAGCTTATGGGTTTGCAAGGCAGAGTGTATCAACGTCATCAAGTGTACAAAATCAGGATCCTGAGGTCCGGAGAACCTGAAACAGTTTGATGGTTCTTTGCCAATGGCTATTGTCCGCAGGGGCACACCGAGGACGTTACCAAGCGCATCTTCGACCTCGCCTCGAGCAAGTACCTGGAAAACGGGGAACCCGATCGAGACACACTGAGATCGCTTATGCTCACGCTGTGTCGCATTTGAAGACTCAGTGCGGGGATACTTGGAACACAGCCCACCATTCACAGCTTTACCAATATCTTGCGCAATGGAGCTCTTAGAAAGCTCAGTAAAAAGCTTGTCAGTAGACCTTGCCCCATAAAGATTAGCGAGTACCTGTATCTGAGAATCTGGAAAGGTCGTGCGACATGAGAAAAGGAAGACACCGGCTGTATCTGTCAATATATCGCTGGCGATTGGTGAAACATCTTGGTATTTTGCCAAGGCCTTAACGACGAACAGTCCCCCTAGGGTATGTCCTATGAAGATCATAGGGGCCCTTTTGTGCTCTCTACGATGTTGTTGAAGATGGTCGTACAATTGCTGTGCTGCAGCCTCAGGGTTAAGGCTGTTTGCTAGGTTCGGCTTGATGTCAAATCCCACTGTGGTGAGCCGCATACCTGGCACTTGCTCTCGCAGCATCTTTGTATCTGTCAATAAGTTTACGTGCTGACGTCGCGACCTATGCGGATCGACTGGTGAGGCCCAATGATTAGGCGTAGTGAACCCGATACCGTCTCTTTTTGGTTGCTTGTCAAGCTCTGTTCTTGCACGCTGGATCTTTCTAGTGGGCGACGTCTCTCGATCGGGAGGCTCAGGATGTTCATAATGATTGAACATTGCAATATCCGCATCCCGGTCTAGTTTGTCGCTCAAAGCAGAGTTGTACAAATAGACAACGACCACATCAACGATCGATCCTGTTGGACTGCCAGCTGCATATCGCACTTTTATTCTCCATCCATTCTTAGGATGGTACTCCTTTGTCGTCCAAGGTCTAGGGGTTGGACGGGGCTGAGAATCCTCCCCAGGCGGCTGAGTGTTGTGGGATGATTTTCGATCAGGTACAAGACTAATAGTGCTATGTCTCCGCTGACGCAACTTTGGTGTAGCTTGCGCTGGATCATCTATATCGCCTAGGAAAGTTGTTCTCGTATCGGCACGCGACGCTTTGTTAGGAGTAGATTTCTCGTCCAAAGAGATGCGCGATTCGAAAACCGCATCTGGTTCGCTGACAACGATCTGAGGTGCTGATGGATGTAGGGGGATGTCATCGTCCTCGAATCGAGCTTCGCTGGAAGTCGAGGCGTCTTCATCGACCAACAATTCCACTGGTGCAAAGAATTCCGCCTGAGAAACAGTGCATGCACGGTCGGTATATTTGCTTTCCCAGTGTTGCAGAAATTCTCGTGCATCAGGATGGAAAAAGTCATCCTCTGGCGCTGTTATGGAGATTATTGGTGGCACGGGAGGATCTGCCGCGCTCGCGGTGGCTAAATATCGATCAGCACAACCAAAGGGGCCTTGTGCGTGATGCATCGGAATCTTACACTCCTGACTCATCACGCCTGCATCGAATACAGGGGCAATACGGATGCGAGTGGTCGCGCGCAATGCGAAGGAGGTCACTTTAGGGTAACGAAGCGTCGCGAGGCGCGAATGTGACGAGGCAATGTGGGGGCCACTTCAGCCGCTCGCTACTGCGGGAGATCATCGCCTGCCTATACGACCACGAGTGGTCGGAAAATCTGCTTGTGACGTGTGACAGATTGTCTGCAAATGAGCTATACTCAATTTGTCCTCAAACTTTCAAAGGCACAAGCATTCGCGGTACGTATCGAGTGTTGGTAGGACTGGAGCCGAAAGATGCGAATTTATGGCAGGTATTGGGAGAAGCTACTCGCTTCAAAGTCATAATTCGGCATCTTGAGCAGTTGTCGTACTATACATCATGTTTAGTGTACGCCTGTCTGCCTGGAAGGTATACAAGTGTGTCTGGTGTACATCGAAATTTCGGAGGATAGAGATTCTCCGGGTAGCACATGCGTTTGAGCAATAAAAGGTCCCTCGCCATAAGCCGGTATATCTCTTCACATGAGAGACAGTGACGCAGCGATGCGCGCTCTTCTGTGCAGTGCTATCGTTACCTCCGCATCGCTGTTGCCTCGTATGAGTTTTGGTACCAGACCAGATGACTCAGCGTGAATTACGAGAGTCAGCCACCTCTACATGTTGGGCCAAGCCAGGAACGCTTGACGCCCCTAAAACACTTACCCCTTAAACAAACCTCCAGGGCTGGCATTGGACCCGATCAATTGGGCATGAAGAAGAGATGATCTGTGTGTCCGGTCGCAGCACATCAATGACCAAGATTGGGTCATCTGGTAGCAGCACTCCAAATGTCAAATTTACGCCCGTCTGAAGTATACCACCAAGCAATTGATGATGAATATCGATGCTCTTTGTTATCATTTGCAACGCTTCTGCACGGTCATGCCCTCCCAGTACTCGCCGTAATCCCTCCGTCAACAACGATCTTCTGCCCAGTAACATATCTGCTCTCATCACTGACCAAGAACAACGCCGCGTTTGCCACATCCCATGCATCTCCCATCCTGCCCATCGGCACCTGTCGATCTCTTCCTTCCTTGAATTCCTGATAGTCCCTCCCATACCGGTCCGCCAGACTCTTGGTGTACGGCGTATCCATCAACCCCGGAACCACGGTATTCAGCCGAACATTCTTATCGGCATACATGACCGCTGTAGCCTTGATAAACTGCAAGATCGCCGCTTTCGCAGTGTTGTAAGCGATCTGTGGCTTACCGATGTACCGCATGCCTGCGATGCTGGAGATGCAGACGATGGCGCCGCCGGTAGGTTGCGCTTCCATAACGGGTAAGACGTGGTGGCATGCTAGATACACGCTCTTCAAATTGATGTTTATTTGTGCGTCCCAGGTTTCTTCGTTCATTGTTGCAGGGTTCCCGGGTGCCGAAACACCGACGTTGCACAGGAGGATGTCGATGCGGCCATGTTTCTCTAGGCAAGCAGCTACGAGTGCTCTCACAGAGGAAGAATCCGTCGCGTCTGCAGTGACGATATCACAGACTCCACCTTCTTCGTGTATCGTTTGTGTTGTTTTCGTCGTGGATGCAAGGGTACGGTTCCCGCCGAATATCAGGGCGCCTTGTCGAGAGAAGAGAACTGCGCATGCAGCTCCGATGCCCCATCCTTCTGTTCCCGTTTGGCCGAGCCCGATGATAAGTGCGACTTTGCCCTTGAGGTCCAGCATAATGACAATCTGAGAATTTTTAGAAGCTGCCAAGGTTGTGTTTTCAATCGCGATTCACTTAAGGAATTTACTCGCTATCAATTTCTTCGGGAGGGCAACGTAAAGCTGGCCGGGTGATGTCAATATCTGTACCAGATGACATCTCAAGCTTGAGTCCGTACCCAGTTGCTGTGTCTGTCGAATCTGATCCTTTTCGGTAGCAACGGAATTGCCCCGACTGCCGCGTCCCCGCATGACGTTATGCCCTGTTAGGATTAGCAACTGATGTCGTTACCGCGGAGTATGTCCGTCCGGCTAACCCCACCAGGGTTCATCCTATAAGCATGTTGCACTCCACAGTACTTCAAAAGCAATCCGTCGCGATTTAAAACAAGTTCCAGTGATGGCAGAACAACAGAAGCACCCGAACGCTGACTACGATCTCAACACGCCCATTCCTAGCGATGCTCCAGGGCTCCGTCAAGGTCTGACATCATATGGGGACGCTCACTTCTCCCTCTTTCTTCGCAAAGTCTTCATCAAGGCCCTCGGTTATAGCGAGGATGCATTATCACGACCCATCATCGGTATTGTCAACACGTACTCCAGCTTCAACCCATGCCATGCAAACATCCCCCAGTTGATAGAAGCAACGAAAAGGGGCGTACAACTGAGCGGTGGTCTTGCCATCGACTTCCCGACCATCAGCTTACATGAGAGCTTTGCAAGCCCTACAAGTATGTTTTTGAGAAATTTGATGAGCATGGATACGGAAGAGATGGTTCGAGCGCAGCCGTGCGACGCGGTGATCCTGATTGGAGGTAAGATCTCATATGGAGCGAGTATGATTCACGTTGACCCGATATAAAGGCTGCGATAAAACGACACCCGCACAATTGATGGGCGGAATCTCAGCGAACAAACCCATTGTGCATCTGGTAACAGGACCGATGATGCCTGGGAGTCACCGTGGCGTTCGACTAGGAGCTTGTACCGATTGCAGAAACAATTGGGCCAGTTTCCGTGCCGGTACGATAGATTTGGAAGACATCTCGGCGATAAACGAGGAACTTGCGCCGACGGTAAGCCAATCAATGCTGCCATGCAATCGGAAATTGACTAGTCCCAGGCAGGTACGTGTGGTGTGATGGGAACGGCCAGCACAATGGCTTGCGTGCTCGTAGCCCTGGGAATGATGCCAATAAAAGGCGCCACAGCTCCTGCTGTCTCTTCAGCCAGATTAAGAATCGCTGAAGAGACCGGGAAGCTCGCAGTACAAGCAGCTGCGACGAAGCTTAAGCCGCAACAAGTTCTTTCCAGGGAATCATTCCTCAACGCGATCACGGTGCTCCAAGCAATAGGCGGTTCGACTAACGCGGTGGTTCACCTGATGGCAATAATCGGAAGACATCCTGATGTCGCAGGGACCATCAATCTCGACACATTCGACCAAATCGGCCGAAAAACTCCATTGCTGGTCGATCTAAAACCAAGCGGAGAAAACTACATGACGGATTTCCACAACAGCGGAGGTATGTTGGCTCTGTTGCACGAGCTCAAGCCCCTGTTGCACCTAAGTGCCAGAACTGTTTCTGGGAAGACACTTGGCGAGGAGATCGCTTCCACACCGTATATTCCGGTACCCCGAAACAGCCCAGTGAACTGTCTCCATCCGCTGGAGAGGCCACTCTATGATTCCTCGTCTCTCGTTGTGCTCACGGGTAACTTGGCACCTGGGGGTGCTGTGATGAAGGCTAGTGCGTCGAAAGATCGAAGACTGTTGCGCCACCAAGGAAAAGCTGTGGTGTTCGCGAACTCTGCAGATCTTGCGCAAAGAATCGATGACCCGGATTTAGAGGTTGATGCCAACAGCGTCTTGGTGCTTCAAAGTATCGGTCCTGTCGGCAATCCTGGCATGCCCGAAGCTGGATTGATCCCCATTCCACGCAAGCTCGGGGAGCAGGGTGTACAAGACATGCTCCGCCTTTCAGATGGAAGAATGAGTGGCACAGCTGGTGGAACCATTGTTTTGCACATCTCCCCGGAATCTGCAGATCCTGAATCCGTCTTGGGCATTGTGAGAAGTGGCGATGAGATCATATGCGACGTTGAGAGGAGACTTTTACAACTCGATGTTCCAGATGAAGAGATCAAGCGGAGGATCGAATCCAGGAAGAAGGAATACGACGCGATAGGTAAAGCGGCCCAACGGCATACCAGGGGTTATAGAGGATTGTACATGCGATCAGTCAACCAGGCAAGCCGAGGAGCAGATTTCGACTTTTTGACAGCCGCAGGACCCGAGTAACTTCAGTCTGGCCGATTTCGGTTCAGTGTAGTAGTGAAATTATACTTTAATTCAGAATCCAGAACTAGTCTTGCATATTGTTCATCTGCGGAACAAAGTCTTCAAATAAGCTATGCATAATATCATCAACATTTGTTATGTCGCCGAATGTGAACTGCTGGGGCGGATCTGCCCAGAATCTGTCTTCCAGACTCAAAGCCGAGGGAGTCGTATCTGCAAATGTGTTGGCGGAATTGAGTCCTTGGTAATAACCGCCCAGTGTTGTGTCCATAGCCGCTGGATCAGGAATACTTGGGTTTGGTGGAGCCTGTATTGTTTCGCTTCCGGAGCCATTGATACCGAGCTCATCAGTGTTGTTCGTTTTCAGATACTTCATCCATCTTATGGTAGATCTTCCCATGTCATCCAAGATTTGACGACTTCGCTTAGCCCCTGACCAATACTCGCCTGCTACACTTACGAGACTCAAGCTCAAGCTCAGGTTGGTCATCAGTTCGTCAAGCTCTGTGTTTCGAGCGAGTTCTGGCACTGCTCTGATACAGTACAGAGCAGTGATGGTGCTAAAGATGATGCCGTGCAAGACCATCCAGTCATGGACGAGCTGGTCTTGGCGATAGAGTCTGTCGTAGACATGAATTGCCCGCCACGCAAGACCATAACACTCTGTTAACGACTCAGGTGAAGGTTTCGGAATGGCAGGGCTGGGTCGTAAGAGTAGTATTCTCATAGAGTAGTAGCGAAGTTCGCATAGTGTGCGCACGTATGTATGGCGAGGATGGATTTGCGGAATAGATGAACCCCATTGATCAAGCTGTGCAAGCATACCCCGTTGCCACGCGTTGATGTCGGATATCGGCGGATAGGCGTACGAAGGGGCTTCGCGTACGATACTGTTGGCAACGTATTTGATCTCTGAATTAATTTTAGCCAACTTGAAGAGATGAATGGATAGAGCCATGTTGCCAGTTCCATAGACCTGCGAGCTTTCCAAGCCAGTCAGCATGTGATCCTCGATATCCTGAGGCAACTGGAAGAAGGATTAGCACAGGTGCAAAGGATGCAATTTCCCGCATACCCTGAGGTCACATGCTTCATCGCGCAGACCAATAGGACGTCCCATCATGGTTGCGATGGTTCTATCCAATGTGAAAATAGTCCAGAATACGCGAGTCCTCATCTCTTGATCCAATAGTGAGATTCCAGAAGACGTGGTGACGTCTCTCTGCAAACCCAGCTCTAGGACAGCGGCAATACAGTGGTAATTCAGATACCAGACGTTCAGTCTCATATACGGGCTGTGGATCGTAAAGATGAGTAACAATAGAATGCATTGTAGACCAGAGAAAGAATTCTGGACATTGAGCCGTTCAAGGTGCTGCAACGCAGAGAGGCAGTAAGATTCGCCGGGCACGTGAGACCTGACTCGGGAGGACAGTATGCTTGTGGCAATTGCGAGGACCATGTTCACTTGGAATGCAACCGAGGCATCGTTCTCAAGCGTCTGTGCATGCGAATCGTAAAGATAGTTCATGCCCTGCATGAAGGAAGGTTCATGGAGGATCGGGTACTGAGGATGCACTGTATCAAAGTAGATACGGGCGAGTTCATTCGCCTGAGCTTTTCCTGGCAGCGGCAAGGGCCCAGGGGTTGCGCAGACCAGTTGATCGATAAGTGATTGCGCTAGATTGGTGGAATTTCCGGCATTGTAGTCCACAGGCTCACGTCGGTCGTGTCTACGTGGAGAGTCGCCCAGCAGAAGGCGAGCGAGGAAGTAGCCGCTCGATGGGCCAAGATAGCGCTGATCTGCGGTACCTACAGAAATGAGACCAATCTCGTGGGCCCGCTGATCATTCTGAGCAACAGCTTGTAAAGGTAGAGCTGTCGTGTTGTCCACAGACACACTGCGATGGTCACCGTGACCCGACGGAATCACTGTCCGCTCCTCAGGCGGCTCGGAACCCTCAATGGGAGCTTCCACAGACAGGTCTACGTCAGGCAGTCTTTCCCGGATGATGGCTTCGAGCCATGTGACGCGCCTGCGCAGACGCGACACAGCTGGGTCATCTGGGACAGACCGGAGTCGCAGGCTCTCTCCGTCGGTACACTCTGCACCCGCCTTCCTGCAGTTGGTGCATGCTGGTAATTGCGCGTCACACTGGCCTCGCGTCAGCCACGTTCGCGTCTAGCGCATCACTTACGCGAATTTTGCGCCGCTGGCAGCGTGCACACGACAATCTCAAGCGTGGATTACGAAGCGAGTCTCGTCCGGCCATGCGAAACGGCAGTGAAGAGTCTGAAAGTGTCGACAAGGGTTGGAATGGAGGAGACGGGGAAGGTCCGAGATCTGAAAACCGCGGTAGCGCAAATGCTACGGGGAAACCCCGCTCCCGTCCGCCAACATCCTCACCACAGCAAAAACCCCTAGAGCAGCAGCTCGTTGAACACCCGTCACAGATTTAGGTACTCGCTATTAAAAGTCGTCTTGACATCTCATTCACGTTTCTTCGTGCCCCTTCACCTTTTGCTTAACGAAGATTCCCATTACCTAGAGCCCAACAGACCATGGCGCAAGCCACAGCAGAACAGAAGCAATATGTCGCCGCAGCAGACGCCAAAGCTTTTGTAGAAGCAGTATTGGTAGGAAACGGCGTAACTCCCGAAAATGCTGCCATAGTAGCACGCTGCCTCGTTGCAGCCGACCTGCGAGGCGTCGACACCCACGGCATGAACCGGATACCATCATATATGGAGCGGATAAGACAGGGTGTTCTGGACGGTCTTGCAACACCGGAGGTTACCCAAATCACTCCTGTGGTCTCGCGGGTAGATGCACACAACGGATTCGGCTTTCTGGCTGCAGACTCAGGCATGACCGCTGCCATCGAAGCTGCAAAAATATACGGTATCGGGATGACCAGCGTCATGCACTCGAATCATTTCGGCATGAGCGCCTGGATCGTACAAAAAGCTGTCGATGCTGGTATGATGAGTTTGGTCTTCACCAACTCCAGCCCTGCATTGCCACCTTGGGGTGGGAAAAGCAAGCTCATCGGCGTGTCGCCATTGGCATGTGGAGCACCCGGAAAAGACCACCCATTCATCCTCGATATGGCTCCATCTGTTGCAGCACGTGGAAAAATTTACAAAGCAAAGAGACGGGGCGAAAAGATCCCGCTAGACTGGGCCCTTGACAAGGACGGCAAACCTACCGACGACCCTGCAGCGGCTCTCGACGGAGGCGTAATGCTGCCCATGGGCGGTCCAAAGGGATCAGGATTGGCAATCATGATGGACGTTTTCTCTGGAGTGCTCTCTGGCTCCGCCTTTGCTGGTCACGTCACTGGTCCATACGACCCATCCAAACCATCTGACGTAGGGCATTTCCTGGTCGCTATCAAGCCCGATCTGTTCATGAGTCTGGAAGATTTCAAGGAGAGAATGCAGTATCTGTACGATAGAACAGTGGGTGCTGAAAAAGCTGCTGGGGTGGATCGCATCTACTTTCCGGGCGAGCTGGAACAGATAGAGCAGGAACGGAGGGAGAAGTCAGGCATTCCACTAGTACAGGCAGAGATAGATGCACTGAACGCAGAGGCACGCAAGGTGGGCGCAAAACCTCTGGTTGTCAACGGTTCGTCGTAGCGAAAGGGGCATTTGTACCCGTGTAGCCTCAGATAATATCACATCCATAACACTCTCTGCATTTATATTTCCAAACGTATGATCTAGAGAGTAACGCAATCGGCAAACCGGAATACTTTGTATCTGATTGTGCATCAGAAAGCTGACGGAGTATCACTTCAGCGATCCATGCAGCTGTCGCCATCGCGGACATTCTCCGCATCCCCCACGGACCAAGCTTCCCGCGGCAACGTTCACACTCTGTCGCTCTTCCCACTATATCTCAGGGTACACGCATTCATCCCATCTTAAAAATCTATCGCGCAGTGCGCCTCAAACAAGTTCTCACTTGTTTACATTTACCGCCTCTCCACGCACATATCAGCCATGACTGTGGTACATATTGGTAAGCATATTACCTTAAAGATCTTACAGACACCGGAGAAGTATCCTTGATAACACTGAACAGTGCTTTTTAAATTCCTCCCCAGTGTCTCCAAGGCCCACAAAGAGACCTTCGTCACTCAACTCAAGACTTTGAAGTCGCTCCCTTGCGTACTGAACGGACGTCTCGTCGTTGGCGGACCCTCAATAACCGACCCGATCGAGAGAAGTAAAGGATATGAGTTCTCTCTTGTCAGCTTCCACCGAGATAGGAAGGCACTAGAAGAATATCAGGCCAGTGATGAGCATCATCGGTAAGATCTTCATCTGATATCGAGAGTCAAGGAAGAGAATTGAGCATAATTAGGGTAACGAGCCAATATCTATGGCCTTTCAAGGAGGATGTGACGAGGTTCGACTTTGAGGTTGCTGCGGAGGATGAATACATGTGCGAGTCTATGGTAAAAGGTCTGGTTGGGGCCAGTGGATTGGCGACGCCGACCGAGGACGACAGCTGTACCGGGACAGGATTTCATAGCCGGTGAGACGAGCACGACTACGAAGTGTAGATGGAGATGAAGGGTAGATGGATGGGAGCGAAAAAGCCATATGCGATTAAACCCCAAACATGCATTACGTCAAAGAGCTCTCGCATCTTGCCAGGAGCTACGCAAGCCTCGGCATCGATATTGGCGCGCTGTTAGAACGCGGCGAGCATAGAGAAGCGTCCGCATGATATCAATATTGTAACCGTCCATTAATCGCCGGAGATCATGTAACCACACGTGACGTTGCAGCGCCCACCCTTTCTACCTCCCGACGCTTCCGCGCTTCGTCTCGGGCGGAGGGCGTCCGAGCTGTACCTGTTGTGTGTCAAGCGGAAATTCGGAACAATGCCAACGACACTACTTACACCGCGTAAATTTTATGATGTTATTTTGAGCAATATAAACAGCGGGGAGGTGGCCATGCAGGGCAGGCGGGTGGGGCTCGCCTAGGGTGGCGACCCTGCATTCGATGTTGTTCGGGCTGATCCCTCCCAAAGAAGTCGACCACGAGGCTTGGGCCTTGACCTATGACGTGCAACATGGATTCCAATATTGTACAACGCAAAGTCGGCCCTTTTCGTACGGCAATATAAACATCGCAGGATTTCAAGATGTGTTAATCACACAGTCGCAAACAAAGCAGTTCTCCTACAAATCAACAGCTTTTCACATAATCACCACCCATCGTCAACGGTTGAAAATTCTGGATATAATCACAATGGTCTCCTTCACGACTCTCCTCGCCCTTTCCGCCGGCGCGCTCTCGTCGCCCGTTGTACAACGTCAGATTGCCATCCCTGAGAACTGGAACTGGCACGTGTCTGGATGGGAAGCTGGCTGCGCGCGTTCGGGCTGCTACTACAACTTCAATGTCACTGTTCCTACCGTTGAGGGCCAAATTGCCGGCGTGAAGGCCTACTGCAACGGATACGAGAACGGATATTACAGGAAGGGCAACTGGTACGAGAACTGCCAGATCCTCGAAGGTGTGAACAACGGTGTCGCTGCCAAGCTCAGCGAAAGGCCCCCGGAGAGTGACACAGAGTCTACTTTGCCTCAAGAGATTCTAATCAGCTTCGTGTTGGCCGGATATGAGGACAGGTGAGTTGATAGGGACATTTAATATCAAGGACTTCCCTTACTGACCACCTCTAGGCCCGCGTACAACTTCACTGGATCGCACAAAACCATCTACAACCAATTTGCTGCCCCTCTGCAGGAGTTCGATGTTACGCCTACAACGGTGTTCGGTGTGGCGTAAGCCAGGGTTGATGCATGAAGGCAATCTCTGGGGAGATTAGGAAATGAACAATGTAATGTAATTAGCATCGCGACACATATAGAACCGTGCATTCCCCTTTCTTAATATTGCGCGTCGTTTGCATGATAGAAAATGAAGCTATCAAGAGACCTCTAGTCTGGCGTCCCCGGGTGGTAGTGATATAGATAGGGCTTTCAGTGTGATGTGTGCTCAGCCTTACCAATGACAAAGATACACATGACGTCATGTCTTGTTTTCCATCCGCAAGCCGATATAAATTCCTCCTTCTGCCGCATTCTCTTTTGTACACCCACTGATAGTGGAGAGGCTAATTGCTACAGATAGATATCCTCAACTCGTGAAGTAGAGCCCCTGCAAGTCATTCAGATGAACTGACAACGATGCAAACCACCCTACTGAACACTGCTGGCAACAGCGTTCGCACAAGACACTCTGGGGGATGCCTTCTACTCTACTCTTTGCTTGCCTAAGAAACATGATATGAACTTCTAGCATCATCTTTGTCATGATCTCATGGTCCCATTCCGCCGCCAGTACCCGCCTTCACAATCGCATCCAGTATGTTGTGGGTATAGTGCTTTGCTTTTTGTTTCTTGGTCAAGTGTTCCTTCTCATGGGTAAACGTCTCCTCCTTTGGTTCACCATTCTTGTTGTTCTCCTGTGAAGGCCCCGAGGGGTGCTTTGGCTGCTCCGGCAGGAGGTCCGTCTGTGAGGCAACAGTGGATGGAGTAGTCATTGCGAGTTAGGTCTACTGATAGCAGAAAGGTTAGCAATGTGTCCCTTGAGAGGTTAGATTGCCCTCTCTCGGCCTGAAATACGCATACACACCTTGTTTTGCTGACTGTTGGACAACGGGCTCAGAGGATTTTCGTTTGTAGTTCCTGGTTGCGATTCTGATGATGGCAGTCTTGAACTGTTCTGCAACTACGTTGTCATGATTGCAGTCTTGTCATATATTCGATAGCATGAGTGGCATGCGCCTTGCTAGCGAGTTCAAGGCTGAATGATTTGCTACCAGAGTGCTGCGCCATGTGCTGATCCCTACCAAATGTAGTCGTTCAGAACACTATAGGGGACGAGTATATGGATTGTTTACCGAATGCTGCAAAGATCGACATAAGAAGGATCGCAAAGCTCGTGTTCGTTCTGCATATGGCAGAATCAGTAGCCATCTACGTATGTTAGCAGCTACGGGCAGGTGTTCGCGCACCTCACGAACGTTAAGAATATAAAGATATGCGATTCGGTCGACAAGGTCGAAGTTTACAAAATCTTTACAACGAAGCATAACTCATGATCTCTCAAGAACTTATACTCACCTCGAGCATGTGCAAATTTCAGTCTTGCAGTACTTTGAGGTCCTCCTCTTGGTAACGCATAATCGTTAACGAATATGTAATCAATAGGCCTCTTCCCGAAGTGCATTTTCTAAATGGATAAAGTGCTCGAACCTGCCATCTATCATATAGCCCTCAACCTGTCGTCAACACAACGACCATTCGACCAAAATAACCTCAGATCGCGCATGCTTTTCAGAACTCGGTACATAACAGGTTCACAGTGCAATTAGACTTGCACATGCAGAAAGTAATCGGATGCGACCGCTCGCCCAACAGGAAGGCATGCTCGGCTGGAGTTGGGCCGAGACTTTGCGGATACAGAGTTCCGTCCGCTGTGCAAGACATCTAAGGGCGAGGGGTTGGTGCCGAGGACTAGATTCGGGATGCTAAAGCTGAGGTTAAAGGATATCGGCAGTCATCATGGACAATAATAGCTGGCTATTGCTCGGCTCCAATGAATACTTTGCAGTATGCAGTCCCCTAAGCTGTTCCGTGTAGTGAATTCTTGGAAGGTGTGGCGGGTAGCTAGCGCATCCGTCCCGTGTTGATGTAGCGCGAAGATTTCATGGCGCGCTAGCCAGAAGGCTTAATCTGAAGGCCTTCGTAACAATGTGTTGATCGAGAGTTTTCTTGGTCCCGTCCGCTGCGATCTCCATATCGAGCAGAGTCGAGATATCTCAAAGTGCGCCTATTGTGGTCCATCTCCACACTGTTGGAAGCTCAATCGACGGTCATGATGCCTGCGGAGACGTGATGCATGCAGGAGCCGAAGTTCTGCCATATTACCGCAAGCCAGCCGCCAACTTGGACAAGTTCCAACGATCTGGCTATGGAACTGACGTTTGTTTGGATGATTGGATGTGAAGACACGGAGTCGGCCGAGATGGGCAAGGGCGAGCGCCCATCTGGAGCTTCCCCACATCCCCGCACCTTGCACCCACAAAACACCAGACCTCTCTGAGGAATCACCGACCGCTACCACGTGAACTCCTACATGGGTCCATCGAGTCATTCTATGATGCTATGTACCAACACAGCCAGATGCTTGACTTCGGCGCTACGTAGCATATTCAACAACGCGTCGGGGGGGATGTTCTCCTCAACTGCCGGCCAGTGTGCCCGCTCACGATGTGGGCGACCATGCCCATAGTAGCGTGGTGAGCGTCTTTTGGCCCCGCAGACATGGCATCGAGGGGAAAATGTAACCTGTGCACCTGAACATCGCCTCGATGAGCCGATCCCTATTCCACTAGTGCCTCGCGGTCTCAGTCCGGGCTGGATTTGCGTCCCGAGTGGAGTTCTATCCGGGACATATATAATGGAGCAATAACATGGAGTCTGTGGCTACGCTGGCAAAAGCTCTTTTAATCAAAGATGTTGCACTCAGCACCACTATGGCTTGCTCTGGCTACCACAGCTTATGCTCAATTTGGCATTGAACACACGCAGTATGGGACTAGCCCACCAGTCTATCCTTCTCGTATGCTCTTTCCTTTCACATGATTGGCTGCTTGAATAACCTTCACCTACAGCAAACATCACCGGCACAGGATGGGAAGCGGCGCTAGAGAAGGCGAAGGCATTCGTGGCACAGTTGACGCTGGAAGAGAAGACCTTCATGGTAACAGGTGCGGATGGACCTGTTCTGTTCTATTTTGTTACTATTGCTGACTCTGGTAGGCTCTTCTGGTCCTTGCGTTGGCAACATTGCGCCAATTCCGCGGCTCAACTTCAGTGGTCTCTGCCTGCAAGACGGTCCGCTCGCAATTCGGCAAGCCGTGCTCGCAAGCGTCTTCCCTGCGGGAATCACAGCTGCTGCTTCGTGGGATCGAGATTTGGTCAAGCAGCGTGGCGTGCAGATGGCTGAAGAGTTCAAAGGTATGAAAGATCCGATTGGAGTGCCGTTCGCTGCCCGAGACTCGTCATATCACTATGAAACGCAACATACGGCATTTTCAACCATACGTCTGCTTTACAACAGCACCACTAACTTAGTATCATAGGCAAGGGCTCCCATGTCATACTTGGGCCGGTTGTAGGACCTCTAGGTCGTGAACCTTTCGGCGGCCGCAATTGGGAAGGTTTCTCACCTGACGCCTATCTCTCTGGAGTTCTTGTCGAAGAGACAGTACTTGGTATCCAGTCCACTGGAGTTCAAGCCTGCACCAAACATTATATTGGGAATGAGCAAGAGATACAGCGCAACCCGAGCACCGTTAACGGAACCGAGGTCGAAGCCATCTCATCTAACATCGATGACAAGACCATGCATGAAACCTACTTGTGGCCTTTCGCAAACGCGGTCAAGGCGGGAACAGCATCGCTCATGTGCAGCTACAATCGCATCAACGGTTCCTACGGTTGTCAGAACAGCAAAACCCTCAATGGACTACTCAAGGATGAGCTTGGTTTTCAAGGATACGTCATGTCCGATTGGGGGGCAGTCCATACAGGTTATGCCGGGATTGAAGCTGGACTGGACATGAACATGCCTGGAGGTATTAGCTTCACAGGCGGAGCGTCATCTTCGTTCTGGGGTGGCAACATCTCTACTGCTGTCACCAACGGTTCTCTGGCCATTGAACGTGTTGATGACATGATCCTTCGCGTGATGACTCCATACTACCACCTTGGGCAAGACGTTGGCTTCCCTGTTGTTGACGAGTCTACCGTGCCCCTCAGCTTCTTCTCAAGGGCGGACTGGAAATACAACTACACTCTAGGACCGATGGTTGATGTACGCGCTCAGCACTCAAAACTCATTCGTGAGCTAGGCGCAGCAGGCACTGTCCTTTTGAAGAATGTCAACAACACATTACCGTTAAAGGAGCCTAAGAATATTGGCGTCTTTGGGAATGATGCAGCGGATCTGACCAGCGGTCAATATTCTCTTTCAATATCGAGTGGACTTGCATCGGGCGACTACGATATCGGCACCCTCGCAGCTGGGGGAGGGTCCGGCACTGGACGCTTTACCTACATTATCCCACCGCTAGATGCGATCAAGACTCGGTATAGTCGGCTCTTGGGTTCAATCGTGTTATCTTTGCTGACTTGCGCTGCAGTGGCCAATCTTATGGCGCGCTCGTCCAGTACATTACAGACAACGTCGCGATCGCGGCAGGCGGCCTTAGCTCGCTTTCGCCCACACCACTGGACGCCTGCATTGTCTTTCTGAAATCATGGGCAAGCGAAGGCGACGACCGCACCACGCTCATCGCCGAATGGAACTCTACTGTTGTTGTGGAGGCAGTGGCTTCAAACTGCGCGAACACGATTGTTGTCCTGCATGGTGCTTCGCCGAACGTTCTGCCGTGGAAAGACAACGCCAACGTCACAGCAATCTTAGCTGCCCATTTTCCAGGTCAAGAAACAGGAAACTCAATTGTCGACGTGCTCTGGGGAGATGTCAATCCTTCCGGCCGCCTTCCTTACACGATTGCAAACAATGAGACAGATTACGATCTCAGGATCGTTAACAGCACTGAGCTTGTGGAGTCGACTAATCCCAATGCCTGGCAGGACGACTTCAAGGAGGGTAACGTTATCGACTACAAGGAGTTTGATGCCGCGAACAAGAGTGTAGCATATGAGTTCGGATTCGGACTCAGTTATACAACCTTTGAGCTTTCGGATCTCCAGATCAAGTCCGCCGTATCGAACCCGTCACGTGTTCCCAGCTCGTCAGCCAAGGTTATACCTGGTGGTAACGAAGAACTATGGCAGACGCTTGTTACCGTATGTGCGACTGTCAAGAACACGGGTGCCGTGAACGGTGCCGCTGTGCCCCAGCTGTATGTATCGTTCCCTTCGGAGGCAGGCGACAAGACTGTGCGAAGCCTTCGCGGGTTCGACAAGGTCATGTTGGCAGCGGGCGAGGCCGCCACGGTCGAGTTCCCACTCATGCGCCGTGACATAAGCTACTGGGACGTCACTGGGCAGACCTGGCGGCTGCCTTCAAGCTCCATCGGTGTGGATGTCGGATTCAGTTCCCGAGATCTGAAGCTCAACGGAGAGCTTACTGTGTAAGCGGACAGGCAGATAAGCATCCGCAACGCTCTATGATAATAGTAATGAGAATTTGAACTGTTACTGATGATACTACTGTTTTTTATCCTATCCATTCTTGCATCTCCGCAATAGAGCACCTTGTCCGGTGTGGGGCAGCGTCGGTGCGTTTGTCAAAATGTCCTCGAAGTGGCAGGTAAGTATGTGCGCATATTAGAGATGTCCGCCGCGGACTCCCACTTACACCATGTATCTGGTATTGTGTAGCTCGTAGACTTGCCACTATCGCTAGAATTGTAAGCTTGACCCATGTTTCACGGTTATGGGAGGCGATAGGCCAAGATTTTTGGTTGAGGTCGAACTGTGGTTGAGACCACAATATAGGAGTCTTCACCTTGACTTGGAACTCAAACGATGGCGACAGAGCACCTTACTGCCTAGTCGGTGCAGGACTCGCCCTTCATTTTTCGTTGCTTTCACTTGGCGCAGCAATCACCCAATCAACTGACGAAGAGCGAAGGTCATATCTATCTCTGCCGCTTTTCTTGCGACGTTTACCCACTGAGACTTACTCAACCTTTACTCTCTACTTTCGCGTGAACGCCATCTTAGTCTCGCACAACCACTACGCTCGCCGCGCAACACGCACACAAAACCGCTGACAACGATCAACTAGCTCTTCATAGCCACGGATATTGACATGGCGGAATTTTCTGCGGCGGGTGGCACCGTTCCGTCATGGATCTTGAATCAGGCCAACCCGAATTGCGACACGTGCGTCGAGTCGCTCACTCGCGCGCACTGGCGATTGCAGGAGAAGACGGAAATGAGGAGGAAGTACGAGAACCTAGAAGCGCATAATACCCGGATTGAGTTCAGCTATGTGAACCACGTGTCTCTGTCTGAGCGCACGATTGAGCGCCTCGAGAAAGCCTTGAAGGAAACCCTTGAGGCGAAGAAAGCGGAGCTGGAAAAGTCTACAGCGCTTGAGAAGCAGCACACAGACCGTAAGTTCTGAGCGCACACCGAGATTCAGACAGAATGTTTATGAAACTCCAGTGGCAAAGAAAGTCGAAGAGGCTCAGGCCAGGGTCCATGAGATAGTCGCGAAGAGCCGGGAAGAGTTCGAAAAAGAGAAAAGGAGCTTACTTGCACAGCTCTCTGACAAAATTAACGAGCTGAAAAGCGAGAAAGAACATAAAGGGCTCCTCTTGATGAAGGCCATGGAACAGAACGCCGAAATTGAGAAGGTTCGCGAGGAGAAGGCTCAACTCGAACGAACCATGTCGCACCTCCATGAAGAGATAGAGAATAAGCTTTGTGCTGAGGTCAAGGCCAAGGATCAGAAGATCGAGTGGCTAAAGCAGATCTTCAAAGAGCGCGAAGAGCAACATGAACATGAACGTAGGCAGGCCACAAAGGCCAGAAGTGACCTCATCAACAGGTTTCAGGCCCCAACGCCATCAAGAGTTGCGTCGCCTCTTCAGACGTCGAACAGGGACACTGGTTCAGTTTCAGCACGGAATTCTTTAAAACAAACTCCACAGGTCCAACAGCAGGCTTCTCAGAACGATTGTGGTAGAAATATCGAGAATTCGATCACCGCTTCGCAGAATGGCCTACCTGCCTCCCGTCGCAACAGCATCTCCACCAACATACCCCAACTTCCCTCCGCTACAACACCACTGCAGACCGGCCGAAGATACAAGAACGTTCTCACAATGACAACTCCATCTAATGGCCACCAGAATGAGGCTGAACAAAATACAACGCCAGGTTTGGGACATAACAGGAGTCAACATAGTGCTTCTGCATCAATCTCTACTCCCAGTACTCTGCAAACCGTGAATTTGCAGTTGGCTACTGGATTCAACACTCCACAAGATAATGCGAATCAGCACCAGCAGATGCTCCAGCAGTGGCTCGTGGGCAATTCTCTCAAGGAGGCTCAAGTCCGTTTCGCGTCTGGTCAGGCAACTGACCTGGATCTTGTACTACTAAGCGATGACCCAGGCTTACGATCATCGGCGATGCAGGAGCACTTCAACGCTACGATGAGTAGCATCCAAGGAATTGCTATTCAGAGGGAGATTCGCGAATCCATGCGACGTTTCCAGGCTCAAAAGCAGCAAAATGCAGTGAAGATGGACTTCACGACGCAATCCCAATATTCCCCTATAATGTCAAGCCCTGTCTGCAGTGAGGATCTACTTCCCAGCTTTAATCATCATGGAATTGTGTCAACGGGAACCCTACAGAATGACAGCCTTCAAAATGGTGCCACTTCTGTCATGCAGAGTCAGACACAAACGCAGGCGCTTCCTCCTCGACGCTCGCCACGACTTCAGAAGTCTCACCTAGCATATGCGTCACTCGACAGGCAAAATGCAGTTCGCATGCCAAACCCGACGCATCGAACACCAAAGCTCTTAATCCAAACGGAGGCTCTCCACGGTACGGACGCAATTCGACGTACCACAAATACAAACGTATCAACACCAGGTTTGCCGCATAAGCCAGGTCCCAACGATGAGTGGAACTCGCCAGTGATTCCTATGAATCAGTTCCAAGGAACTATGCCCACGTTCCAGCCGCCAAATCCAAACACGTTGCTCCAGCAGTCGGTCAATTCTGGCTCTAAGCATATCGATAATAGTCTCGAGACCTTGGGAGAGTCAAGCCGCTTCATGAACAACGAGAATGGCTTATCTCAGTCGAACGGCCAGGGGTCTCAACAGAGTGGTGACCGCCGTCCGCAGACTGTGATTGCTGGGGGGTGTTACCTTCCTCATATCGAACAGCATAGTATGTAAATTTTCCTCGAGCATGAAGTCGTAAGCTAAAGTGACCAGCGACCCAAGTGCATCCATCCTCCCAAAACCTGGCGCCCACTCGACCCTTATCCCGCGCCGCATCTTTATCTCCTTCGCGGTCTCCATATCGAGCTAACGTACGAGCCGGGACCCGAATTAGTCAACCAAAAGACATCCCCGACGGCGGACACCGTGGTGTGGTCTGCAAAAATTGTCACCACGAATGGTGGAATACGTGGTGCGACGAGGAGAAGAATGACACTTGCTACAACTACTGGAAGAACGGGGTCGACTGCGAGCGTCCTCACTGTCCAGGTTTCAAAAATTGCAAGAACCCAAATTGCAAGAACCCCAGGTGCAAGGCGGCTCATGAACGCGACGGCTTTGTGAATACGTTCGAGATAGAAAACAAGAGAGCAATGAAGCGGAAGAACAAGATGACTGACGATCACGATGAGCCACCACGAAAGAAGATGAAAGACCAAGGTGGCGATCTGGAATGGGAGGCGGGAGGCGTTCGCGAACCAAGCGGAGATCATTAACCGACTGCTATGGTGTTTTCTGAATTTCGGCATGACGACTCCCTGGATAACTTGGTGCCCATAAAGTAGATTTATCTTTGATTTTGACTCTTTGATGGAGTCTTCTTTTGTACCTCTTTAGTCCTCTAGTAATGTAGTAGCCCGAGATACATGAATAGGGTGCATCAGCCCACATGCTCCGTCGCCTCGATCTCGATGCGCATATCTCTGAACAATCCCTTTACCTCTAAAACGGTCACGATTGGCCCGTGGTTCTATGCAAGAGCATCAGCAAATACTCGCGGTCCAAACCACCTCGTAAGACTTACCGGACACCATTTCTTCAGGCTCGTAGTCAGGTGTTGTCCATACTCCGGCCAGCCGTCTTTTCCTCTCACATTAATATAGACCCGAACATTGTAGACGCGATCCCAGCCCTTTCCCCCAGCAGTTGTAAGCGCGAGTTGAACGTTTGAGAAAGCTTGCTCAACCTCATCTGACAGAGCGATGGGGAACTCTTCCGTCTCTGGGTCCCAGCCGCCCTGCCCGGAGATTTCGATGAAGTTCCCAACACGAACGGCCTGTGAGGCACCGAAGTCTTTTCGTGTACGGGTGCCGAAGTTGGGGTAGTCGAAGTATTGGAGGTGAGACATTTTGATGCTCAAGATGATGGAGTAGGCTGTGTTATGTCTTCGCTCCTATGAAACCATATAACGAATCTACATGGTAAGAACGGAAGCGTATTTCGGAAGACTTTTATATAAGCCCATCTCGGTCATTCTTCAGCACTGTGACAAAAGCCTCATGGTAGAAATCCACGATCATGGCAACGCGGAGCACTGAAGGCCTGTGGGAGAGCTGATTACAAAGAGTATGCCAGGCCTCAGCTGACTCCGCAAATTATTTAGTCAGGATGCCAGTGCGTCTCTTTGCTCTTTTGTACGTACGTACTCAAAGGTGAAAGTCGGGGTGGAGCCAGTTGGGGCGGAGCTCTTGGCAGACGGAGATAGGAGTGATGCGGCCTTGGCCGGGACTTTTGCACATCGAAATACATTTTGGCAATTCCTTCGCTGGAGCAGCTGCGAGTTTACTCTGCATGGTAGATGTTATGGGAGGATATCAACTCTTACCGCTTGTGGCGGCTATTACGTCATGACAGGATTGCCTCCTGTTGCAACTCCAGCTATCCATCCTAATGCGCCCATCGCAAATCACCTCCACAGAAGCCTGCAGCGATAAGAAATCGGGTCGAGAGCCAGCGAAGGCTCGTATACTTGCAGTGACGATCAGGGAGCGCCTTGCCATCCTATCTTCCCAATACCACTAGTCACTACCTATGCCATCGTACTTATAGCTTCAGAGTTTCGTGGCAACAGCTCGTCATCTTCTGATACGAGATGAAAGCGTCAAGGGAGCTAGCAACTCACCGACGAGGACATGCAGCCCTTTGAGATCTTCCTTAAAACTTCGCTTGAAGATTCCTCGGGACAGTGATAGCATGATCGACCTCGGAAGAATTTAAGATCACGGATCGCGACACCAATCTTGAGAATCTGTCCGCACACCATTCCACTTCTTCGATGCTGGACATCTCCTGGTGAACGTATTGTTTGTCAGACAGTCCCTGAAACCCCTGCTCTGAAACGAGGCGCACGAGACCAGGCACCAGTCCTGCGCCACAATCCTCCGAACATCATCCCTATTCAGCCACGACACATTAACAACCTTCTGTCCGCAACAGCAACAACGGCGTTCTCCTGTGACATGACCAATAAGAGGCAGGAGTTTCTACCGCCCTGGACTCCATTCTGCTGCTGTATATGCATTATCTGCACCATACCCTGAGCCCGGTATCAGCCCTCGCGATTTTGCAACAACTAGTGGTACCACCATAACCCGATGGATAGAACAACAAAAAAAGCAGAGCGTAAAGCTCGAAAGCCTGGTCCTCGGAGCGATCTCGTGGTTTTGGGAGCCCGGCCACAGCATGGCGGCCCAGCTTGGCTTCCTAGAAGGGATAGACCGATCACACCACCTTTAGGAATCAGTGAGTCTGACGGCAAAGAAGGTTGGAAGACTGTATCACAGACGGGTGCATTCTTCACGAAATTGCCTCTGGAGATAAGGAGGAGAATATACGATTTTGCGCTCGGCGAAGAGATGCTCAGAGTCGAAGTCGATGGCGCAGAGCTAGATATGTGGCGCTGCAACGGGTGGACGAAGAAGTTCTGGGCCGATGATGGAGGGTGGAAAAGGCAGCAAGGCCCCGGCTGGAAGTTTTTGAACTATCCCCCCGAGGAGCACAAGAAGGGGCGCAAAAGAAGATCGCGCAAGGCTGCCATCAATCTGTTGTGCACTTGTCGTCAGGTGTAAGTACTTCGACTGATGCAATGCAACTCTCTCGAGTGTTTGGCCGGACCACTGGTTGTTCTGATGACTGACTTGCATGGAATAGGTATCTAGAAGCCATCGGCTCGATCTACGAGTCCCAGACTTTCGTGCTGGCCATTGGTCCACACGAGGAGAGAGTTCATCAGCATGACAAACCAACGCTTCTGTATTTGCCGTACTTCATTCTCCCTCAGCGCCTCAATCAGTTACGTCGTCTTTATATCCACTGGAACCTGTCTCCGTCGACGTTGCACATTGGCATCGCAGACGAGACATTGGCCTGGTGGAAGGAGTGCTGGCACTTCCTTTCCACGCTGCAGGGCCTGAACGAGCTTCTGATAAGGTTTCAATGCAGAGACGGAGAGCACAGTCGCTGGGATTGGGCACCTCTGGAAGCGCAATTAGCAGACTACATAAAGAAAATCAGGGTGAAGAAGAGGTTTGTGGTGGTCTTGCCATTTCCAGAGAGTGCCATAGGCAACATGTATTTGGATGGCGAGGAATCGAGATGCGAGGTACGAGTCGCTGAGAGAGAACCTGAATCGGCGACATGAAAGTGATCTGCTGGAGGATGATGTTGTTCATGACTGTACGCACTGCGGAGCCATTTAGCGATACCATCGGAACGCTGTTAAGATATCGCACGGGGGAGGTCCTTAGGAGTAGTATGTTCCCGCCGTTTAGTTTTCGCCCCGCAACCTTTTCTATTCGATGCCGCACCCCGCCGTTTGTCTTCACTTACGCTCTTGCCAAAATTTGTCGCTTCACCTTCACTTGAGCACGCACCTTCTTAGCGTCTCCAGCTTCGTTTCCATAAACTGCGCCCCGCGTTACTGAGCTTGAAATTGCTCTCCTACCTGGCTTCTTCCCTCCGTCGCGTCTTCGCCCTACGAGCGGACGGCTATCGTCCGCGATGGAAGCAACACAGCATCTCGTGTATCATCGCCTACTAGCAGCATGGGAGGCGGCGACCAATGGTAACGGAACGAAATTGCGCGCAGTTTCGCCAGTCGACGCGCAATCGATCACACTTAAAGCGTGCCGCATTCATTGCCCATATCCATCTCGAGTGCGATTATAGTACGCACCAAAATCTATCAACCAGCATCGGGAGAAGTACCGACAGGTCAACCTAGTTCCATAATTGGACGCGGAGACTTGCTAAGCGCATTGAAGTCTTGCATTACATTGCGAATCCAAAGCCCAAGCCCATCTCAAATGACGATGTACGGCTACCTCCACCGAACGATATGAGTGATGTACCTCGTCTGGATAGTGTGCCTCCCAAGAGCAAAGTGAAGACTTGTGGCGATCAGCGTGATATACACTTTTCATCTGCAGTTCAAATCACTTCCGCAAAAGAAGTCGTGCCAACATAGATACCTTTAAACAAGCGAGCCATGAAAGCTTTGCGCTTGATGTTTCCCAAGGAGTACGCGAGAATCCGCATGGTCCATTACATTCGCATCAGGGAAAACAGCTCGAAGCTGGCATGGGACATCCACACTATCATCAGGATGATCCCTTCTACATTGGTCTGGGTCGATACTTTTCTCGTGCGCCTCGAAGAAAGGCTGGATCGCAATGTGGTCGTTCCGACACCTCGACTCTCCCTCCGAAGCAAAAAAGTCCCTGCTAATCCACAAGACCTCTTCCACTCATCTCTGATTCTTCGCGTGGCTAGACAGCGTGACAGCTCCCCAGGTCAAATTCCGCTTCCTCTCCATCGCTGGCTTCGCTGTCACGTTCTACTGCATCATCCAAGGCTTCACAGCGCTAGCAGCGAGTCTAGTCGTCGGACTAGGGCTGCTTGACGTACGAAGCTGGCGGCCTGCATTCGGGTCCGTGGGCGACGCGTATAGTCTGAAGAACGTGTAGGAGTGGGTTTTCTTTCCTTCCAACATATGACTACATGCATTCAGCTAACGCGAGACTGTAACAGAAAATCCTGGCACCAAATCCTTCGCAACTCACTCTCCGACATCTCTTCAGCCCTCGTCCACGACGTGGCGCAGCTCCCCTGGGGCAACGCCGTCACAGGCGGTCTCACCGTCGTAGGCAGCTTCTCGCTGTCAGGCGCACTGCACACGGTCGCGGGCGTTTCGAGCGGAATGCCGATATCCGAAATTGAGGTATTCCGCTGCTTCGTAACACAGGCATTTGGGATACTGCTAGAGCCGTCTGTCGTTTCGCTGTATCGAAGGTGGCGGGGTGCTGAGAAGGAAGAAAGGCGGGAGAGGCCGGGATTAGGGTTAAGGATCGCGGGATTCATCAGGCTTGCGGCGTTCGTGGAGTGGTCTGGGCCTGTTGCGTGGCTGTATCCACAAGTTCATAAGCAGTCGGCGTACATGCGAGTATATTACCCTTCAGTGTAGTGTTGTGGTACAGAGCTTGGGCGCAGAGGTGAAATGGGCTTCCCTTGAATTGACAAGGACTGGAGCGTTTGCGAAATGTGTTCGTTTGATAGACGTTAGCTACTGTGGACTACAATGTTTGCTCTCAATCTGCATTCGTCAGCTTGCTCAAGACCCAGTGCGCTACATCATTCGGCAGTGAAGATGACGTGTAAATCATGGAGCTCTTTTTCATTCTATATATGAGCCATTAGGATTATGTATGCGAGGGGTATCATCACTAAGCAAAAATGTGCCATCCAAATGTGTCGAATTTCCTCCCTTCCTCTTTCTTATCATGCGTACCGCGCACCCGCGCCTTTCTCGTCACTACTCGAGGCCACCGGGGGTTGCGGTATCGGAGTCTTTCCATGCGAAATCGGCGTATTGTACTGTCCAGGAAGCTGACCTGGAAATTGTTGTTGAGGATGATATTGCTGTTGCGGGTACATCATGGGTACTGATCCCATAGGGGCGCCCTGCTGTGCCATAGGTGGGAAGTACGCCTGGCCCGGTGCAGGGATGATTGCTCCATTCTTGACCATGTTCATGACGATGTCGGCAGCCAGCTTCTCAGCATCCTTGGAAACGCCACGGTTGTTGCGGCGGGCAGTGTCGACACATGCCCACACGAAGAGTATGAAGTGCATCAGAAGCGCGATGAACTGGCAGACAGTCACCGTCAAATCGAGGTTGTACCGCTGGTCCTTGGAGTGCATGAAAGCGTTGAAATAGGCATCTTGCGCCGCACAAGACGACGAGCTGGAGCTGGAGTAGTATTCGCAGCTTCGGGTTGAGGCGGAGGACGAGGAGGATGAGTAACTGCTAGAAGTCCAAACCCATGTACCATTGCTAGCCTGGGTATATCCGCCTGAAGATGAGGAATAGTCGTCTTGGCCAGAGTAATAGATGCTCAGCGTGCCTATAACGGCGAAGGCGCCCGTGACAGCGAAGCCCAGCCAGAGAACGAGATCGCAGCCGACTTGTGCTCCAGGGTGAATGGGGCGGTTGGGCCGCCTCGCGAAGAAGGCGATGACACAGGCGCCGCTCCAGAGGACGGAAAGGATGAAAGTGACGAGGGTGTATGGAATCAAGTAGTCGTCGTAGTAGTAGTAGTAATACGAGCTCGAGGTGTATGAGTTGCTATTGTTGTAATTGGAGGTGATCCATGCAGCACATCCGATGCCGATAAGCCCCACAATGATGCTGATCGCGCGGAAGCCGACTTTCCATTTCCAGTGCGCGTCGCCCTCCTCCAGCTCCTGGCGCTTTGTCTTGAACGTCTCGGGGGCCGCCGTACCTGGGAACAGGTTGTGCACCTGTTGCGCCTGTGTTGGCTGACCGGTGGGGGCCGGTTGATGCTGTTGTTGTTGGGCCGACTGTTCGGGGACTGGAGGCGCTACTGGGGCCTTGGAGGACTCGGCGACGACAGGATGCGCTGGCTGGACGGGCGAAATCTGGGGCGACGCGCGATACAGAGAATCGCGATGCGACGTCGAATTTGACGTTGAGTCACGCTGCGAGCTCCGAGGAGGGACTGCGGGACGTGTCTCGTCGGCTTCTTCGTGCGCGGACATGATTAGGTATTTACAGAGCGAGTGGACGCGCAAATATGCGCTGAAAAGTAAGAAAAGCGAGAGACTGAAGTAAGAACAGAAGACAAGGAGGAGGGGATTAGCGACAGCGAGCGACTGGTCTTTCTTTAGGCAGCGACGCAGGAGGCGCTGTAACGAAATTGCTCAGCCTTGGCAACGGCAAATTGCTTCCTGCACCAAATCACCGCGCATCCTTCAGCCCCAAACAAGCGATGCAGCAACGTTTGGAGCAGCAGCACAGCCGCTCTGTCATTCATCATCTGAACTGGTCGGTGTTTCGCATCGCGACGAACAGATAGGCATACCGTATGTCGCGGGAGGCCGAAGCCGGACTACTGAACCCGGAGTATACCACTTTACGGTCAGGGCTATATTTAGTATACGGGAAGAGAGTGTATTATCAGGCAGCAGTACAAATTGTATGCCTGTACACAACAGCACTGCGTATGGAGGTAGTCACCTTACTGCCATCCCAGCCCTATCCGGAGACCGTGCAACATGTCTTGCGTTATTCCGGCCCGCAACCGAGACTGATTTGGCGCGATGTTTCGTCACTAATTATTTCACTCTTCAGGCCACCCTCGGTCATATATCGAGAAACACAGTTCCGCATATGCCACTCGTTCAGTCCTTCAAATTTTCTCTGTCATTCATTGTCAGAGCAGATGACCCAGAATATTAGCGCGCGTTATATTGCCATCCCTCTCGTCTCAAAAGCCGCATGGTTTGATGTAACAGTTGATGGTGCCGCCCTGCAAAAGAAGAAAGAGAGCTTACTTTCAGATTACACGAGGCGTTAGTGCCTCGGATACTCAGTATGACCTGCCGTCAGTGGTTGTGACAAAGTCCCTTCAATGCCTACGGTGTTGGCCTAGCTTACAGCAGTCTTAGACTTACGCGAACCACTACCGATTTTCGACAGGATCATGTTGTAATTAGTTCTTACGTTCCTTTACAAGATGTACCCGACACAGTGGCTGACAGAAAAAATGAGATCGCACCATAGGCGCGCACCTCATCCCATATCAACTCACTCTTATACGTTTATAGGCTTATAGTGCAATAAGATATCGTGGATGTCTATAAGATGGTGCATTCCATTCCTGTTGTCGGTCGCTGTGCGGGTTCGGGATGCAAGTATCAATCGCGCAAGGTCAGAAAATGTAAATGAGCTTTGACAAGAGACTATCGTCAAATGTTGGCGCCAAACATACCAATCGAACCGTCGTATGCATCGACCAAAAGCAAACTTGCGGACTATCTTTTTGAGGTTAAAGCGACGTCCATGTTACTCACTCATCAGCACGGCATAGGGGTTGTCCTTCCTCGAGCCTCGCCACATAGGCAAAGAACCCAGGGAAAGAGATCTTGAACGTCCGAAGACGTGTTCTCGAACGCTTAATCAGTGACAGACTCTTTCTCACACCTCCCATCAATGAGCATGAAGTAGCTGTACCTGGAAAAGTCTTGGCTATATCGTGGTTTGTCATGAGATGGATCCTACTGTTATGATTTTGTGGCATGTATGATCAGATGATGACGTGGATAAGTATCGTTCTCAATATTAAGCTTCGAAAGCAAAGTCTGCGTCTGCAAGGACTCCATCTTGTTAACCAACAGAAGCCACCTCTCATCCCCGCTAAAACGAGAACATGCCACCGAAAGTAGAATCTATGTGTATCTCTCCCTCCGGCCTTATGCATTGAACTGGACATAGTTGCCTGACATGCCATTAGCTCGAGATTCCAACATTTCAGCGAATTGATGTGCCTACCTGGAAATTGCCCCTGTTTGCCGCGAACCTTACCGATCCACCACTCGTTCACGTTCTCTGTCCACGTGACGAGTTCGATGACATCGCCTGTGATGAATGACAGATCGCCCTCGGCCTGTGCCTCGTAGTCGTACAATGCGGTGACGGTCTTGGTAGCTGGCACGCCACTGAGCCTCGATGGTTTGGGTTTTGGTGGGGGTGGTGCTGCGCCCTTCGATTTAGCGGCCGATCCCCAACTCGTTGCAGATCCTGGTGGACTCGCGATCGCGCCGACGCCTGGCGTAGGACTATAAGGTGGAGGCGGCGTGTCTGTGCTGGCCGAGAGGGTGGATGATCTTCGCTCTGACTTGGCTTCCAGTGCTTTCGATGCGTACTTCGACCCCTGACCTGGTTTGCGACCGCCGGTTGTCTTGAACTTGACCATGGAAATGGCCTCGGCTTGCGCTTGTACGTCGCCGCGCTTCTTCTCATATGCGGCTTCGATGTCTAGGGTAAGATCGAAGTAGCCAATATCGATATTTTGCATGCGTTCGTGGAGAGTGTAGAAAACGTTAAGCTGCATGTAGTAGAAGGATTGGAAGAGCGGCTGAATGAATTCCCGTTCCAGTTTGAACAGCTTGGGTAGCTCGTCCTTGAGAAGATCATTAAAGTAGTTGTAGTCCTGTGTAGCCTGCTCGACGTCTGCCTCGGCGCGGTACATGGCCTTCTCATCCTTGAGGGTCTTGTCTTTCTTTTCCTCGAGCTTCTTAAGCGCCGCTCGGTGGCGATCGTAGTCAAGTTGCTTGTGGTCGCGCTTCAGGGCCATTTTTCGTACTGCCTTGATGATTTCGAGCAGCTGGTCTGCCGGCTTGATAACACGGGTCTCGATCATTTCGAGCTCCGGTTTCAGGGTTTCCTGTAGTTCTTTGACGATTTCCTCATATTGTCCACATGCTTCGATGCCTGCCGCATTGCCTTCATCGTGGAACGAGTCAGGGTCTGACATGCGCCCAGATATGGGTTTGTAGATTTCAGCGATAGCTTTGGAGAACTCGATCTGGTGGGTGAGCATGCCTATGCGACGTTAAGCCGTGCCCGTGGTAGAAACGCGCGAGATTACGAACCATTTATGGCTTGGAAGTACCTGCACGCGCGTTAGCATCACTTCGCGGAAACGTGATACGAATGTCATACTTTTTGGATTCCTCATGAAGCTTCTTGGTCTCCTTTTCCAGCTCCTCAAAGCGCCGCTCGGCATCTATGTAGACGGCATCCTTTGTGATTTCGCCCTGCAAGTGACCTTGATTAGCTTGGTGCCCCGCGGTCCCGGAGCCCGGCGCAAAAGCTGGAGGCGCGGGCAGGATGGTCGAGAGAGAGACGCACAAGATTAAACTTTTGCTTGAACGTCTGCGGCGCCTACACAGAGCTGTCAGCCATCCTGTGCGCGCGTCATCGGCGTGAAGCCAGGGCGTACCCGAGTGACGCTCTTGGTGAGGCCCTTCCAGCTCATTGGTCGCGACTGTGGTAGTTCTGCTGGAAATAAACCGGCGGATGCGAGGGTTCGGAGTGCGGAGGTGCGGTCGGCGGGAGCAGGGAGGCAGCAGTAAAGCGGGACTGGGTGTATGGGGCAGCAGCCAGCAGAGGCGTTTGCGGGCGTGGCTCGGGCCCTCTTTGAAGGTCTTCCTGTCGCTTCGGCAGTGACGTACGCTCCCGGGCTGCGAGTGGCGGTGCACTGTGGCACGCACTAGGGCTCTTGGGCACTATGTGAACGCGCCAATGCGGATACGCGGAATGGTCGACGGGGAGCGTCTGGCAGCCTGTGCAGCGCGGCGAAGGACCAGTGCAAGAATTCGACCTTGTGCTCAGCTGGGCCGATGCTTCCGAGCGTCGTCCGGGCGCGCTCCAGTCGGCGAGTCGCTCGCGGTCGTGCAAAGGCCGGCGTTAGTGGTCGGGGCAGCCGCGGCTCGCCGCCGTGTCTTAGTCACGCACAGCTACCCTACGGACGTGCATCTCGGAGAGCAAAAGCTTGTGCGGCGACCCCATCTGATCTCATCCACCACCATGCCGCACATCGCTCCCACAGCTGCGAGGCAGGCCCTCCGCATTGCGTCCCGCCGCTATCCCTCTTCCACCTTCTCCCGCGTCTCTGCGCGCGCTGCCACTGCCAACGCCACCGGGCAGCGAAACTATGTATCCGAGACGAAGCCCTCCAAGGCGACTGTCAGTGTCGATACCACCATCAAGGCCGACCAGAAGGCGTTCCTGAAGCAGACCGGTACGAGGGCAGAGGATGCGACCATGCCCTCCACCGGAATGAGTGCGGATGCCATGATGAGTCCTGCAGCAGGTAGCTCCTTCCTCGCCATCCACCAAGTGGCGTGTGCTAACAGGCCGAAGGGATTCTCAAGCAGGCCACCATCATGGATGAGGGAAGCAGGCCAATCTACCTCGATGCCCAGGCTACCACCCCTATGGATCCGCGCGTGCTCGATGCTATGCTGCCATTCATGACCGGCCTGTATGGCAACCCGCACTCGCGCACCCACGCCTATGGCTGGGAGACCGACAAGGCCGTCGAGCAAGCCCGCGAGCACATCGCCAACCTCATCGGCGCAGACCCCAAAGAGATTATCTTCACAAGCGGCGCCACTGAAAGCAACAACATGTCCATCAAGGGTGTCGCACGCTTCTTCAAGCGTGGAGGCAAGAAGAACCACATCATCACCTGTCAGACCGAACACAAGTGTGTCTTGGACAGCTGTCGCCACTTGCAAGACGAAGGTTACCAGATCACCTACCTCCCCGTACAGCCCAACGGTCTTATCGACATGGCGCAGCTCGAAGCGGCGATACGGCCCGAAACCGCACTGGTCAGCATCATGACTGTCAACAACGAGATCGGTGTCGTTCAGCCCGTAGAAGAGATTGGAAAGCTGTGCCGCTCCAAGAAGGTTTACTTCCATACCGATGCTGCTCAAGCTGTTGGCAAGATCCCGCTCGACGTCAACAAGATGAACGTAGACCTCATGTCGATATCCGGCCACAAGCTCTATGGCCCCAAGGGAATCGGCGCGTGCTATGTCCGACGACGTCCAAGAGTCCGCCTTGACCCCATCATCAGTGGTGGCGGGCAAGAGCGTGGATTGAGGAGCGGCACTCTGGCACCGTTCCTGAGTGTCGGCATCGGCGAGGCTGCCCGCCTTGCTAAGCAAGAAATGGAGGTATGTATTTCTCCCCTTTCTGACTTGCGTCTGTCGTCTTTCTGCTTTCCGATGATTATGAGCACTATACATGCATGGCTTTCAGAAGTTGGGTGACACCGACATGCCATGTTGACAAATGTGCAGGGGTTATGAGTTCTTGCAGTCACTTTAGTTTTGCGAACATTACGCTCTTGACCTAGTAGCTGACCTCGCATAGTATGATACAAAGCGCATCACTGCTCTCTCCAACCGCCTGCTTGAGGGTTTACTTTCAATGGAACACACCACCCTGAACGGCGATCGCGAACGGCATTACCCTGGATGCGTGAACGTTTCATTTGCCTACGTCGAGGGCGAGTCGCTCTTGATGGCGCTCAAGGATATTGCACTTTCATCTGGCAGCGCCTGCACATCAGCGTCCCTTGAACCCAGCTACGTCCTCCGAGCACTTGGCAGCAGTGATGAAAGCGCGCACAGCAGTATCCGATTTGGCATTGGTCGATTCACCACCCAAGAGGAGATTGACTACGTGCTCAAGGCCGTGAAGGAGCGCGTGACGTTCCTTCGCGAGCTTAGCCCGCTCTGGGAACTGGTGCAGGAAGGCGTTGATCTTAACACGATTGAGTGGAGCCAGCATTGAGCTGGATGGAAGATACCCGGCAAACTGTAAAATAGGGGAGATTTTGATGGCTTGGTGAAGATTTGGGGTGAATACGCTCACTGCGGCGTTTTAACGACAACGACTGGCATTCGCTGTAATATACTACTATGGAGCTCTGCTTTAGGATTGCATTGAGCGTTTGAGAATTATAATTTTCTAAGCACAGTGTGGCTGCCTGGACCTTGAAATAATGACGCGGACATGTGTTGCCCCAACAGACATTGCCAGTTTAACTGTAGGCTCTCAACAGGATGTAGAGAGATATTACTTGTAGTTTTCGTCCAGAGGATTGATGCTCGTCCCGCCGCATGTACGCGCCAAGGTGCCGTGTCGATGATGCGGTTCTGCTGAACGCCCCATCCTGGTAGCTTCCCCGCCAAACACTCGAACCTCAGCACAGCATGGCCGGAGTGCCAGAGAAAGTGCTCAACTGGCTATACAGCGTCCTACCTAGCGTAAACAGCATCGCGCATACAGATGCCCACGTTCACTAACGCATGCCTCACAGGAATACGCAGACGTGAATCGCACGTACCACGATGTCGCCGAGACGCTGTCCAACTATCCATCGCTTTCCCCACGCACCGAGGTCTACAGTATGCGCCCAGCTTGCATCGCCACACCTGCCGGCCCATGCTGACGACATCAGCCTACGAGAATGGAGCTTCTGCACTGCTGCTGCAGCTCAGCGGAACAATAGCGGTGCAGTTTCGCGGCCAGACGTTTGGCTTTCCCGTCGCGATATGGGTGCCGCACGCCTACCCCCGGGAACCGCCGATAGTATACGTGACGCCGTCGCCGGACATGATTGTAAGACCGGGGCAACATGTCAGCGGCGACGGAAGGGTCTACCATCCATATCTCGCGCAGTGGGCGAAGTACTGGGATGTGAGTGCACTATGCGCCGCAGCGCGCTCGCCCTTCCACAGCAGGCCACAAGAAATCTATCGCTAACAATAGGGCAGAAGAGTACGCTATACGACTTCCTAGCTGTCCTAAAGGGTGTGTTTGCAAAGGAACCGCCTGTGCGTTCGAAAGCGCAACAGCCGCAATACAATGCGCCCGCTGCGCAAGCACCCCCACCTGTGCCTCCTCCACCGGCGGAATGGAGAAGATCAATGCAGGGCGCGCATGCTGCTTCACCCTCTCCAGGGCCTCCATCGGGCGCTCCACCACCTCCACCGAAACCGCCGAAGCCGTATGAGCAAGGCAGACCGACCCCTGAACTACAGTCGCAGCACGATCGATATTCACAACCACCGCCCTTGCCACCACATCCTACACACCAAGCTCCACCACATCAGAATCAATATCGGCAGCCACAGAGGAATAGCTATGCTGGCCAATCCAACTGGCAGCAACAGGGACCACCTCATACAGCACCGCGGCAAACAAGCTACAACATGAGCCCAGCAACACCAGTAGCCAAGCCGCATCGTCCTCACGTGCAGTCTCAGAACTACCCCCCGCAATCCTATGGGATAGGGAGCCCAGTGAGTCCCGTTACCCCAGAAGATCAGCGATCAGCGAATAGGCTTTATCAGCATCAAGCGCCGCAACCACTTCCATCCCAATACTCACACTCTCAGCATCACCAACAGCCTCCACCGCAGCAAGTGCAACAATACGGAGCTCCAACAGTCCAGCCAACATACCAAAAGGATCCGCACCAGGCCTATCCACCACAGCAATATGCGCAGCATCAAAAACAACCTCCCCAGCAACCTCCTCAGCCTCCCGCGCCTCCGCCAAACCTCATGGATATGGACTCCTTAGAAGTTACTCTGCCCTCGCAGAGAGGGCCCCAGCAGCCTCTTCACGTACCACCCGTCCCGCCCAACCCCGAGAAGGACGCGCTTCTACACGCGCTTTCTTCAAGCCTCACCGCCCAGATTCGGCAAACAGTCTCCCAGAACCACGCTGCTATCGCACCTCTACAAGCACAGCAAGCTGCGCTCCAAAATGCATACGCCCGCCTGCAATCCGAACTCGATCAGCTGCAACAGCTCGACGCGGCACTCGCATCCAACGAGCAGATACTGCGTGATGCTATGAAGGAAGCGGATAGGGTGATGGAGGACGCGAGACGGAGGAAGGCACCAGATGTGGACGATGTGCTGGTTGCGCCAACGGTGGTGGGCGGGCAGCTCTATGCTGTCGCGGCGGAAGAGAGGGGGATAAGCGAAGCGTTGTTTGTGCTTGGACGGGCGTTGGATAAGGGGAGGATCGGGGCGGACGTTTTCATCAAGGTATGTCTATGCTATGTCACATGGGTATGACGTGAATCCACATGCTAATGACCGGCAGCAAACACGCGCTCTCGCTCGCGAGCAGTTCCTCAAGAAGGCGCTGGGGAAGAAGATCGCGCGGGGCATGGGGCTGGACGAGTACGGGATGCGATAGCGCCCTCGAGCATCTCGCTTCATAGGTCGTATATACGAAATTCACATACCATCCACTTCACCCTCACACAGGTGTCTTTGTATCTTCACCCTTTCTTCATGATACCTCCATTCCATCATTGCTTGCCTCTTGGCTCGACTTTCATCGCTCCTCCTTCACCCCATCGACCCACACGTCAACCTTCTCATTATAAAAGCACAAGTGCCCCACCACCGTCGCGCTCTCCGCCGTAGGATACTGGTAGTACCACACCAGGTCCTTGTACTCCTTGCCGTTGATAGTGACGTTATAATAATTTGCGCGCCCCTTGTACGGGCAGTACGTAATCGTGTCGCTCTTGCTCAAAACCTCCCAGTTGACAGAGGTGGGCGGGAGGTAGTACCGCGTCCGCAGTGTCGTCTCGAGGAGGAAGAGCGGGCTGGAAGACTCAGCGAGGGTTACGCCGTCGAGCGCGACTTTCACGGGCCGCGTCGATGAAAGGATGTCGATTCTCTTGTAGGGATCTTTGGGGTGCTGGTAGATGGGCACGTCTTCTTCGAACCACTGGTCTAGCGCGGCGAAGTCGATTTTGACGAGGTCTTTGAGGTCTTTGGTGGAGAAGATGAGGATGCGGTCGGTGGTGGTCCTTGTGTTTGTGGTTTTGTTGGTGACTGAGAGGGTGCCGAAGTGGACTTTGTCGGACGTGCCCGAGACGGAGGAGTTTTTGGTGAGGTTGGCGGAGGGGGTGAGGGCGGTGGAGGGGATGTAGAATCTGGGTATGCGTTAGTGAGGATTGTTGGTTTGGGGTGGAGCAGGGTGGTTGGAATCGCCTTGTTCGTATGAAGAGCTTCTTGTCTTGAAAAGGCCCAAATGCCTGTGACTCTAGGCGAGAAAGGGTATCAGATCTTACTGTGGGTAATACGGATGCTCCCACACGTGATACGCCTTCGTGGTATCGAGAACATAACTCCCGCCAAACAGCGCGCGCACCCGCCGCGGCGTCGCCTCGATCTTGTGCGGTCCTTCGGATGCGAGCTTTTGCGCGAGCTTGGTAAGACTATATTGGTCAACATGAACTCTACCGAGACCTTTCTGGGTTTACTTACTCGGATGTACCGGCCATGGTAGGGACTCTTCGAATTGGGGACCTGAGGGATTGAAAGATACGCATGCAACAAGAAGGTCAGTTGCGAGGGCGAATTCGTTTTTGGCGATGAGCTGGAAGTATGGGGTAATGGGCAAGTGGAGACGGTAGGACAGATGATGCATTTGTCATGGCGCTAGGCTGCATTGGTGTAGGTGGGGAGCTTAAAGGCAACGTCGTGCTAGTTGTGTAGATGGATAGATCGACATCAGTAATCATATTCTATCGGTTCGCAAGCGGATTTGGTCTACATATTCGCCTTGAGAGATGTATCACACATGTGCGGGTGAAAGACGCATTCGCCTTCCACTGTTTGTAGCAGGGTTGCGGCTTTTTTACAAAGGAAGTATAATGGACGCGACAGTCCACTTACAAGGCTTCTTGCGTATGATGAGACGATAGGGTTTATTTATCTACCTTTAACGGAATACCACTTCGTAAATAGTCTGTGTCGACAATCAGAAACCACATGGAAGCGAAATCCCTATTCTGTAAACGCTCAGGTTTGTACAGATGTCTGGATATTTCCAAGAAGGTAATCCACTGTAAAATGCCCGCGTCAGATAGACCAAATAGGCCATACTATGACATTAGCGCCTGAACATGCCCGCAGCGTACTGTACATATCACTATGCTATCACCTACGCCGTGTCTCATGAAGTTTCAACGCACGATTAGTCGGACTCCAATGCCCCCGTGGACGATGAACTTTAATTAAATTTGATCCATTATGATTCACTTCAAAAATCATGCTACGGCATTATCAACTGAAAGAGGGTGAGACGAAGGTAGAGGTGGACACCTGGGTCTTCATATTGTTTAGAAAGTAACAAGCATGTTCGTTAGCCAAACGCTCAGGGAACCACACTCTAATGAGCATTTTCGGTAGCCTTCCGGCGAGAACACGACGCGGAAATTCACGAGCGTATTATCGTCTCACGCTTCGAAGATCGTCGCGGATGGAAACCGCTGCCGACGTTAGACCTTGTATGACATCTTGGATATTCGCCGATGATATCCTTGAGTCCGAGCGACTAGGAGGGTTCGAGAAGCTTAGACCCACCATGCGCATGGGCTCTCCACTGGATTGCCCATACGTGCCATGGATCGTCGGATTTTATAGCGCTCATGCCGCGGCATGCTAGGACCGACGTTACCATCAACAATACCGTTGTCTTTTGGCAGTTGATACGAACAATCACTGGTGGTTCACAAATCGGTTCGCCATTTCTGCAAGAGAGGCTCGATCTTCCCTTATTTTATTTTATTTTCCTTTTCATGGAGTTTCCTTGCAGCATGCGACAGCTTGAGGAAGAGAATGAACGTAAAATGGCTTCACAATTGGGATATGCGAAGAGACTTCACCCGATATCAATCATCTGTATATCGTAACATATTTTATATACTCACCGCACTTGCCACCAGAAAGAACGGTAGGCTGCACAAGAGGAGCCACATTGGAGGTAAGCAGACCCACACGGCGTAAAGTTGGCTGAAAGAGAATGACAAATAGATAATTTATTGGTTTCGTCCCCACTATTACAAACATGTTCTTGAAACAAGAGAAAAACAGAGACTCTGGGTATTATGATGTGCAGCACTGCAGCTAAGTTCAGTGCAGAAGCTGTCTATCACCATGGGCGCCATGGACGCCTTGAGAAAGGAGAATATGAACCTATCCAAGAACCTAAATTGCCGACCCAGTTCTTCGAAAGCAAATACATTGCAGCGTTGTCCTTGTCAGAGCATGCGCGGTGGATTGTTGGACTTTGCAACAATGGCTACCACCTCCACGTCTTGTCCTCGGCTCGTGTAGGCCTTGCAGGCGCGCTTGTCTTCATCGCTGGTCTCCGCTGAGATTAAGGGCTCCCCGTCGGTAGGATCCATGTAGTTGTATTCCCCAACTGCATCTTCCCCATCCGGTGTAACAACATACCCAGTATTGACAAAGGGGATCGAAGGTGGCAGCGGCACACTAGGCAGAAATGTGATGGAACGGGGTCCGGATGGTGTGGTGTCGGCCATCGATGTTGAGTTCACTATAGAACAGTCTCGACTCCGATTGAGTTCAACAGTTCGGACAACTCGGATTGAGCGTAGTACGGAAAGCGGTGGAAGCCGCGCATTAGGCACAGAAGTGTGTATTTGTTTGTGGTGTTGGATAGCTGTGAGCAATGAATCAGCGTGAGGCTGTCTGCGGGTGTGATCAGTCGATGCAACAGACCTGTATGCAGACGCGTGACCTCTAGGGCGCAAGTACGCAAAATAGCGGAAGCCAACACTTGCTTCCGGGCCAAAATTAGTGTTAAAGAGGACTCGGAGTGTTGTGCTACGGCGGTGGTGTGCGGCAGGTGAATCCGGGCTACAGGAGGGACTGGGGAAGTTTCAGCTCATGGTGTTGACTGAGGCTCAGCAGCGAGAGCCGATCTCGAAAGGGAAAGCCTGGCACGGTGAGAAGAAATCTGCGGGGACCGAGCGTGCGGCATTGTGTGATCAAAGGTTTCACGCGCCCATGATATCTCTTTACTGAGCGGGACGTCGCCCATCGCTATTCTTCCCGCATTGCCCTCAACTCCAACCCACTACAAAACTATACTTTAAGGCTCGTTGCTGAATCGAATCGACTCCGCAAGATAGCCATCTTGTCCGCGTATTTCCACAAGAACACCCAAAAACCCTACAGCGATTGTAGATTTGGATCGTCGCCGGTCCTCGAAGCATTCGCCTCCCATCACCACTCCAGCGCATAAGATTGAAACTACGCGTTTTATCTGATCGGGTTTCCTCGCATCATTCGCGTACTATGTTGGCACATTCAACGTCCCCGCAACCGTCCGTCCGCGGACGCAAGGTCCATTTCATCGAACTCATTTCTTGGGAAGACAAACAGTAGGCTGAACTGACGCGACTTCGTGCAACCATTACCTTACTATCTCTCTCGATTATGTAGCCTTGCGCAAGAAGCTTGGTGGGACCGAGGTGGAGCTGCGCGATGCCCTTCGACTCATCGAAGAGCTCGAGCAGAAGAACTGGACTTCTAAAAAGAATAACGACAGCGACGATCGCAGCGCAAACAGCGAACACACGGACTACGATGATCTAAAGACGAAGTTGGGAATCATTGAGACGCAAATGAGAAGCTTGTGAGGGAGAAGCACCATGCGATTGCTGAGGCCCTACGGGAAAGATGCTGAAACATCGAAAAGGACAGGGAGATCGCCAACCTCGGCCGCGAGCTCAAAGGCCTATCATCAGCTTACTAGGATCTGGACAAGCGACATGAGCAAGCTGTCGATCAGAAAAAGGTCTTGGAAGAGAAACCAGGCTTCGAATTGTGCTCCAAAGCCGAAAAAGAGAAGAAACCGCGCGTTGTGAAATGCACTCAGCGCTATACAGAAAATTGGCCATGTGACGCTGGACATTCCTGCTAGGCCTGCATCGCGAGGGGCATACCGGGAGGCTGTAAACGCGTCAAGTGTCAGGTCTGAACCAAGGGCACGTGTCAGAAGCGGCTGTGCGGGCTGGCTCATGAGGGCGATACGCTTCCTGTGGTCATTGAGCATCGAAAACTGAAGCAGAAACTCGCCACGATGCCGAAGAGGTGATGAAGACGTTCACTGCACCTGTTGCTGGGCAAGCTTCCTTAGTCGAGGACACACAGCAAGGACATACTACGCCACACGTGGCTATGGATCAGACTCCTGATGTTCCTTCGGTGAACAATGGTGCCAATATACGCTTTTACATTTTTACAGCTAGAGAGGGATACTCGCACCAATCGCTTGAGGAGTATCGCCTCCACGATTACCTTAAGGGTGGACGTCGCTACACATAATACTCAGACCCTCATAGCCAGCACTTTTCTTCAAGTGGGGAGGTGAGTTTCCAGGAGGCCGTGTTCGACCTGAGCAAGAGCAAAAGAAAGTCGATGGAGAGCTTACTGAGGCTCTTCCTACCGCGGCATCTCCCACCGCCGCATCGTCGCTTAGCCCAGCCAATGCTGCCTCCAAGAAACGAGGAAGAGGCCATGAAGATGCTGGTGAGGGTGAGGAAAGCACCGAGCGTGTAAGACTCAACATTGCGGCGCCGAATCCAGATCATGATAACGTTAGCACCCTTGCCTTCGTTTTGGGCGAAACGACCATGCAGCAAGCGCATATATTTCAGGAGCCACAGCGCCCTAATTTTACGGACGAAGAGGCAGAGCCGGAGGACAACACATGTCTCTCTTTCGAGGCCTTCACCATCAGACCGCAATTCGAATACTAGTCGCTCGAGGAGTACTGTGCAGCCGACTACGCTAGGGAAGTTGCTCGTTGGCTTATGATAGCCGCGCTGGCGATATACGTAGAATCAACAATACATGCGCCTCAACCAGGATTTTTGAATGGTATGGCAAAACGTGCAGTCGAGAGCGATCTAGATGTTCTTCATGGAACGTCGTTGCAGAGCTCGGAACAACATTTTGCCATGGCGTCAAATGCGTCCCGCCGTTTCCAGAAACGAACGGATGAAACCCGCCGACGCGGCGCATTGTTTGTTGCTCTCTTGGCAGGGGGAGATACTAGTGTCTCCACATGGATATTGACAGACGACAGGCACGCGGGTCGATTGGAATCAGGCATCGCTCTTCGCTTGGGAGTCGTCTGTGGATGCCTCCCGACCACTTGGCAGCGACTCAACAACCACGCTGGCACCCTCGTGTCGTGTCCATGTTGTGCGACATCGAATCCAAAGGTGATGCGACATCAAAGCAGTGGTCTTGCACTGCATGGCATCTGCTGTGCTCCCTTTGCTGGCGCATGACGTCTGCCTCGGCAGTGACATTAACCTTGGAAAGACACCCATTAGGACACAGGCGACCTTTACTTGAAGTAGCCAAGTTGGCCGGCGCGACTCTGCTTTCGTGTCCAGAGTTACTTGACTTCGCTGGCGTCTCCAAGACATCGCTTCGCGAGTCAATGGATTGCTAGGCCGGCGGCACATCTGTGGGTGTGACGAGCTGCGGTTGCACCAGCCCAGCAACGGCATCCCTACGAACTCTGTGAGCATTCAAGTAGACTGCAGCTATAGCTACAAACGTGCCAATCAGATGGTAGTCCCGTTCTCGCGATGTGCTTTTCGCCCGCCAAGCGAGCCTTCGCCCAGGGGCCGCTTAAGCACCGGCAACGCCACCCAGCCCAATCGAGCCTCGTCGTAAATTGATCGCCCACACCATGTTTCTACCACGCCCAGAATAGAAGGATTCCATGCACGCGATGCGCTTGGCTATATTGTATATGTAGAGGGCCGCGTCCCATGTGCTTTTCGACTTTACGACTTCTCGTGCTCCGTCGCCCTTTCCGTCAAGTTCTTGGGTGGGAAAGTCTACTCCTGGAAGTCGTTGACTTCCGTACATTCGCTTTTTCTTTAACCTAGTCTTTCGCTACAACATTCTTCACTATGCGCGGTCTTAGCTTAATAACCGGCCTTCTGGCCGCCTTCGTGCCCGAGGTTTCAGCGGCCGGCTGCAGCTCGGCTCTTACCATCGATAACTTCTCCAAGTTTTCGAGCAACACCAACAGCCTGGGCCAATGGACGAGCGATGACTCTAGCATGCAGTCTATCTCGGCTGCGTCCGGAGTCCTGTCCTTCACGCCCAAGGCGAACGCCTACTTCTACGAGACATTTACGTGTCAGGCCGCTTCCGGAAATGGCTACAACTCTGTTCAGTTCACCATCAAGGGGCCGAAGGGCGGCTCGCTGAATCTGGAACTCCAGACAAAGACTTCATGCTCGGCCACGACGTACAAGTCGGCCTATGTTGCCGTGACTGGCCTGACTGGTAACACGCAGACGATCACGCTCCCTCTCAGCCAATTTTCGGGCGCCAACGCCAACGCCGTCAGCAGCATTGTCTGGTCTGGCTTCTCCTCCAACACGGCATGGCAGCTCAGCAATGTCCAGTTTGGCTGTGGCGGCGCTGCTTCATCGGCTGCCCCATCTGCTACCAAGGACGCTGTGTCGACTATATCATCTGCCGCTCCCCAAAAATCTGGAACCCCTTCCAAGGACGGATCTTGTGGCAGCAAAACTGGTACCAACTGCGTTGGCTGGGTTGATGGCGAGTGCTGCTCTCAGTACGGCTATTGTGGAAAGTCTGACGCGCACTGCGGTACTGGCTGTAACCCGCTGTATGGCAACTGTGCTGGTACTTCAGCGTCCGCTTCTAAGGATGTTGTCTCCAGCACTGCTACCGGCTCTCGCACCACGCTTCTGACGTCCACCCGCACTACTCTTGCGACGACTGCTTCCGCTTCCGCTTCGGGCACGTGCTCCAACCTCCTTATCGACGACTGGGTCTCGCAGTCCCGCCTGACGTTCCTATTCTACAATGCTATGCTTCAGCCTTCTTCAGATGATGCTTCGATGACTTCGCTTGTTGTCGGCGCTCCGTCGCCTAACCGCGTTACCATCAACCCCAAGGACACCAGCTCTTACTTCTACTCTCAGTTCGACTGCGTTAACGCTAAGAATATATACGGCGGAATTTCCCTCAAGATCAAGGCCCCCAAGGGTACCACCTTCTCGGTTGAACTCGATTCCTCGGCCACCTGCGACCCCACAAAGGCCGTTCAGGTTACTGTGACCACCTCAGACCTCGGATGGACATTCGACGGCACCGAAAAGCTTTACTCTATCCCTTTCAGCAAGTTCTCTGGTCTTGATACCAGCAAGCTTACCACTGTTCTTTTCGGTGGCTTCACCAAGTCTGTTTCCTTTGGTCCTATGGGCTTTTACTGCGGCAGCACTGGCACTGAGGTCAAGATTACCACTACCAGTGCTGTTGCTGGCCCGACCTCCACCGTCGCTGCGCCCAGTGGCACAGCCGCCGCTCTTGTCATCGACAAGTTCGCCAACGCTGACAGCAACGCTCTTGGCTTCTGGCACGGCTACGACGAGGGCATGAAGGTCACCATCAGCGGCTCCAAGGCAACCATCGTGTCCAGCGATGCTGACTACTCATTCTACACTCAGCTGTCGGCCTCCTGCACGGACATGACCAAGTACAAGGGCTCCTATCTTCACATCGCTTACTCTGGCAGCACTGCTTTCACTGTCGCTCTCCAGCAGCACAACTCCAAGTGTGACGATTCAATTGCGCCGTACCCTGAGACCTGGGACTCTCTCGAGGCAACCCGGTACGCCAAGAACGGACATATCTACATGCCCATCAACCACTTCAACATTCAGCTCACTCGCACGGTCGGTATCGCCATCAAGGGCTTTTACAAGTCCGACCAAGTTGTCCTCTCTACCATTGAGATCGTTCCTTCTGTGCCTTCCGGCTACACCATTCCCAACAAGCTCGAGTCTGGTGACCTTGTCTTCGCCTGCAAACGCCCCAACAGCTTCGCTTTCGCCATCGATGACGGCTCGCCGGAGTATTCTCAGCAGGTCCTTAAGATCATCAAGGAGGAGAATATCAAAGTCACCTTCTTCACCGTCGGTGCGCCTCTTCTCGATGCCTCCACCAACCTGACCAACGTCTACCGTGAGATGGAGGCTGCTGGCCACCAGATTGCACTTCACTCGTACACTCACCCGAAGATGGAGGGACTGCCAGACTACGCCGCTATTGATTGGGAGTACAAGGAGGATATCGACACCGTCGCCAAGCAGTTCAACGGCCTGCACACTAATTATTTCCGCCCTCCCTTTGGAACTGAGGGTGCCCGTATGCGCCAGCGTCTTGCGCAGACCCTCGGAGCCAAGCCAACCATCACCATGTGGAGCGTTGACGTCGAGGATTGGTTGTGGGCGCAGACCGACACCCCCGAGGAGCAGCTCAAGGCCTTTGAGCGTGATGTCAACAAGGGCGGCAACCTTGTCGTCATGCACTACCTATACCCCAGCACTGTCGGGTATCTTCAGCAGTTCATCCAGATCGCCAAGAAGACTGGAAAGCAGCTCATGCGTGTTGACCAATGTATGATGGATCCCAACGCCCCGGCTTTGTAGAGTGACAATGGGGAATGGGAGGGATGGGATGATGGGTGGAGTTGAGCAGGTGGGAAAAGTGATGTTCATATGTAACGACGTCCGTATGTAATTCTTAATGCGTTCTAACTGAACATCTCATCAACACCATGCGCGCTGTCTTCTCCTTGGGCCTGACTCCTAAGTGGCTGACATGGCGCAATGCCTTTCTTCATTCCGTTCAACAGGGTGAGGCATTTGCCATGCTAACCCATGAGACTAGTCGGAAAAACAATGGCACAATGGTCTTGGTTGCGATTCAACAAAGCACTCCAAGTCGCTATTGCCTTTTCGGCTCCTGCGCACGCTTCACGCTTCACTCACAAAGCAGGTAGTGAAGGGCCTTGGTAAGTGCACCTGCACCAGCTGGCCCTCGCCTTGCCCGCCAAAATACTAAAGCCTCTAACTCCACCCTCCCAGTTGCCGACATCAACCAACCTCGCCCACCCGTTATCTTTTACACACGTTCCCAATCCGCCCTGCCACACTCGCCGATCATGCGGTCTCTTCTTCTCGGCATCGTCTCCGTCCTCGTCGGCATGGCACTGGGTCATGCCGGCGCAAACCCCGACATCGCGCAAGTGAGCGGTGGCGGCGGCGTGTTTGCTTGCGCCATGCCACAGTGGTCGCACGGCTGCAAGTAGTAAGTAAAACCCTCGCGAGTTTGCTTTCCCGGCGTTTCAGTGCAGATTCTATACCGCTATACTGTGGTGGACCGCCATTGTACCTTCAATATCGGAAGCATACTCTAATACACCGCTCGCTTCCAGCTTCCCTGCCCACGATGGCTGCCAAAACGCCGACCTCTACAACGACGTGGGCGGACGTAAGTTGAGTCCCTTTTTCCATTACACACGCGTCCATGAAGGATGTAAACTAATATGGTTCCAAGGGGTCTTCGAGATCTATGCATTTGGACCGGATCAAGGAACTCGATGTAAGACGTTCGCGAAAGCCAACTGCATTCAGCCATTCTACGCGTTGAAAGACACTCCTACAAAAGACTGGTCTATTACATACCCAGGCGCCGCGGAGACTTCCGAGGCTGTTCGTAGCTTCATGTGTTACCCGGGTTAGGGTATGCTCGGTCGCGACGACTACTTCATTGACCTTGCCGGAGGGAGGGCTGGATACCGACGAAGATAGGAGCTGATAAAGGGCTTTCTATGGATGTTACGACTTGCAGTTGCCTGCAAGACGAATGGAAGCATCATGCGTAGTAATTATCATGTAGGCGAAGCACGGTATTCTCAAAATATCCAGAGCTTGGGTCCGAAAATTCTATTGAGAAACTCAACTTTCACAGCTCACTCGTTCTCGTCATTTTTCATTGGTCACAACAGTATTGTATTGCTGTAATCATCACGTAGTAGACTGGCGATTGTTCTTTTCGGCTCGTTTGCGCGCACTGTAGGGCACGACCAGAGTGACTTGACGAATGGGTGTAGGTGAAGAGGTGGTGCCTGTTGCCATGAGATGTTTATTATCGATGGCATACAACAGGCACTCCAACTCACCGACAGCATCATCGTCTGACCCATTGTGAAGCTTCTTCGTGTTTAACATTGGGCAGCATTTGCAGTCGGACTTATCTGTTATTCTACGGGGCGCACCTTTACGCCTTGAACCATACCATTTAATGGGATCAGGGGAGAGGACTCCCGGTAGCAGCGCAATGGGGAGCGCAAGCATGCAATGGCAGTATCAACATACTCCATCTACGGGCACGAATCGACAACCATCATCTCTCCCTCCGAGAGCATCTCCAGCAACATCGGCGTGCTGCTGAACCCAAGGATACCCGGGCGCACCATGGTACCCCAGGTGGCATTCGGCACCAGTGTTGAGCTCAAAGTGCGGCTTATTGTCCACCACCCAGCCGAACCTTTGCTGCTCGCCTTCTAGCTTCTTGCAAGCGTAGTTCAGCATGCAACGCTGCCAGTCGTCTTCGTCGATGGGACGCGTTTACGCCTGCCGCGCGTCTTCATTGAGTGGATTCTTGTCAATGTAGTACTTCCTGCTAGGGACGTGCTTCACGCGTGCGGTCTGGCTGCTTCTGTACGTGATTCTTGTCAAATTCTTCTCCATCGACGCAGCTTCAAGCAAATTCATCAAGCCCTTGATCTCTAGGACGATGACTTCCTTCGTATAGGCCTTCATCGCCGTCGACGATGCGATGTGCGCGCCGCCGTTTGCGTCTTGTCCAGCGTGATCGATGGCACCAGGCAGCGAGATGTCGGGTATGGCGACCAGCTCGAAGGCTGGCCTGTAGTTGGATAGCATCCACCGGTGTTTTGCAGGGTCGCGGATAGAGCCTCGAACGCGGTAACAGGTGGCGAGGAGGTGCTGCATTGCGATGCTGGCGAGGTAGCAGTTTGCGCCTGCGACGAGGACGAAGCCGGCGGGTGGGATGGGAGACATTGTGGGTGGAGGAATTTCTTGGAATGGAGCATGTCGCTATGATGTATCCTAAGATCTCAGAGTGATTTGAGGTGATAGAAAAGGTGCTGCAGGATCCTGCTGTGCTGTCAGAGAATGTTTATAATATGGACAAAATAGGAGTCATGCTGAGCAAGCTTGGCTCGGTCAAAGTCCTTGTAGGTAGGGACGACCTGCGTGACTATAGAGGCGCAGGCATCAAGAGCACCATAGTAACTACAAGAGAGTGCATAAGCACTGACGGTAGGTCACTGCTGCCTCTAATAGTCTAGCCAGCTGCAACCCACCGAAGAAACTGGACTACCTACCCCACCCCTAGCTAGCATTATGGACATTCTAAAAGCGGATATAATGACTCAAAGATCAGCTTAGAGTAGCTAAAGCGTGTTTTTGATCCGCAAACCAAAGGACTAGTGAAAGGAAAGCCACGGGTGCTGATCTGCGATGGCTTTAGGACACACAAGACACTAGAGGTCCTAGAATTCTACCTTGAGAACAACATTATTCTCTGTCGTCTTCCCTCCCACACATCACACAATCTCTAGCCCTGTGAGGTCGGACCCTTTGCCCCTCCGAAGACAGCCTATCGTGACGAAGTGGAACAACTAAACCGAGGAGTTATCGATACAATTGGCAAGGAGCATTTCACTGCTCTTCGTAAGCCTGCAAGGGACAACGCGCTGACTAAGAGGAACATACAAGCCGGGCGGGCTGCAACTGGGTTGTTTCCATTTCACCCTGAGAGAGTGTTTAGAAATACACCAAAGCTGCCTACTCAACTTCCCGTTCCAGGAGCCAATGAGATAGCAGTCTTTCCTGGTGCGCTTGATGAGGTACCCCAGACGCCTGTCACGCTAGTAACAGCAGAGGCTCCCATACCATTGCATAACCTGATTAAGAAGACGCGCGTGCGCTTGATGAGGTAAGCCAACAGCGTCTCCAGAGGCACGTACAGAAGCTTGCAAATGCCGCTAGAGTATCGTTCCGTTCCCTGGGCGCCGGTGTTGACATTGTTTTTAAAATCATGGAGAAAAGCAACAGATACCATTTCTATAATAAAAAAGCAAATGCCATGACACGTACAAATCCCTACGACGTTCAGCCGCCTTTTCCAAACGTGAACCCCGACATTGTACCAGAGTTGTGGCCAATTTGTAGGCCAGTGTTGCCGCTGCCCGAAAAGATAATGTGGTGGGACTTGTCGGCACCATCTGTTGTCTTCGTGATTGCTTGCTCTAAGAACTGGTCCTGGGCGGCAGCGACCTCCTTCAACACAGAGATAGCTTCACTTTCTCCGATAGCAGATACTTCCGTGTCACAGAGCTCGCGCTGCGCCTGCTGAGTGGCTGGAAAAAGCTCGACTAAGCTGTCGACCAGCTCGGTGATGTCCTCAATGAGGCGACGAAAGTGTTTCTCCTGGTACAGCGCCCACTTTGCCTTTTGCCGTATACCAGACCGGTTTTGTCGCTCGATAGCCAGCTGCCGCATCTTGTCGTGAAGCTTCGCCATTGCTGGGTCTAGATCTGTCTGCGGGTTGTATACAGCAAGGCTATCGTCTTGGGGCGCTGTCCGATTCTTGTAGCTGTTTGAAACGCCTTCAGCTCCTGCAAATAGTTCTACGATCTGGCCAAGCAAGGCTTCGGCGTGTTTGATAGTTGATTCTGATCCAAAACGTCCTTGGAGCGAAGTCGTATTGCGAACATCCTCATCTAGATCCAGAGACTTGCCCCACCGCGACAGGCGGAGTCTTGCGTTGTCGAGCTTGAGCTGACTTGTCTGGAAGTCTTTTCCAAATGTGCGACCCAGCTGAACGAACTCGAAGCACTCGACTGTGTTGTTGAATAGGCCAGCGAGGGCAACGACACCAACAACAAGACCGGCTGCCTCTACCATGTTGGGTGGCTAGCGTGGAGGCAATAATGATCGTGGAATCGGGAGAGGAGAAGGTGATACTAAAGAGGCACTCTTCTTTTTCACACTTGCTTGCGGCGTTTCAGTACACAAGCAGCGGCAGCAGCAGAGAGGAGGGGTGCGATTCTCGTATGCAGGTGCGCAAATCCGGCCAGCGGCTCAGCTGAAGCGCAAGCCCAGCCAGCCTCACGCTCCAGAGTAGCTGTCTGTCTGCGCGCGCGAGGCTCTCTCCATCCTACATGAACCAGGTCACTATTATATGTAATGGCCTACCCCAGCACCAGCATCAGGTTCACAGGACATGGCAACCAGGGGCCGCAGGTCGGAGTCAACTCTGGCTCTATTGAGAACCACTTCTATAGTCCTGCTGGCAAGTGCCTGCTCGCGCCTTGACCAGCGCTGCGCTAACCGTCTTCCGTCTCTTCAGAGCGTCCCGAGACTCCACCACAGCCTTCGTGTTTCGTGCCGTTCCGCTCCGACCCTGATTTTGTCGATCGTGGAACGCTACTTGACCGGCTACGCGAGCGATGCGCTGCGCCAGCATCCCGTGTTGCGCTGGTGGGCCTCGGCGGGGTGGGGTAAGTCTAGCGGAGGCAACCTCAGGTTGGCGCTCGCATCTAACAGAAGATACAGGAAGACGCAGGTAGCTATTGAGCACTGCTATCGCACCGCTAAGCAGTCTCCAGAGACGTGGGTGTTCTGGGCGCATGCCAGCAACCCCGCCCGACTTGAGCAGAGCTTCTGGGAGATAGCAGACCAGGTCAAGATTCGCGGCCGGAAGGACGCACAAGCAGATGTATTTAAGCTAGTTCACGACTGGCTCCGCAACGAGAAGAACGGGCGATGGCTGTTAATTCTTGATAACGCCGATGACGCTGGCGTACTCTCACCACCACGAAGCAACAGCCAGACTTCGCCGACCGACGGCCGCACCGATGATAGCGGCGGCCGCGCGAGCACCAGCACCCGCACCAGCGGCCTCCAGCGGCACTTATCCGAGTATCTGCCTCCGAGCAGGCACGGTTCAGTCCTTGTGACGAGCCGGACAAGGCGCGCGGCGATGCAGATCGTGGAAGACAGCGACATTATGCTGATCGAGCCGATGCACGATGCAGCTGCACACGCGCTTCTATACAAGAAGCTCGGAGACAAGGTGGACAGAGGCGGCGGCATTGCCGAGTTAGCGGCTGCCCTGGAGTACATGCCGCTCGCTCTCGTGCAGGCGGCGGCATACATTCGCGAGCGAGCACCGCGATCCTCAGTGCGGCAGTACCTGGCGGAGTACCGTGAGAGTGACAGCAGAAAGACGAGCCTGCTCAATCAAGCAGCCGGCCACCTCCGCCGTGATAAGGCAGCCAGCAACTCAGTCCTTCTCACGTGGCAGATCTCGTTCGACCACATAAGCAGCAGCCGGAGATCAGCAGCAGATCTGCTGTCGCTGATGAGCTTCTTCGACCGACAGGGGATTCAAGAAGCGCTGCTCCGCAACCCCAGCGGTATAACAGACGACGACAATTTCGAGGATGATGTTCTTGTACTGCGCGACTACTCCTTCATCACGGTTACAGAGGCGAACACGTTTGAGATGCACAATCTAGTACAGCTTGCTACACGCACGTGGCTAGGAAACCAGGGTCAACTTGACAGGTGGCGGGAGCAGTTTATTTCCAACCTTTGCGCAGACATGCCTACGGGACAACACGAGAACTGGCAGAAATGCCAGGTGTTGTTCCCGCATGCGAGAGCAGCATTAACACAACGGCCTCAGGGTAAGGACTCACTTAAGGAGTGGGCTCTGTTACTTTATAAGGCCGCATGGTACGCATGGGAACGAGGAAATGCAGACGAGGCAGAAAACATGTCGACGGTGTCAATGGAGGTTAGGCAGGAGGTGTTTGGGGAAGAGAATGTGGAGACGCTAGGCAGCATGCATATAATCGGGCTAGCAAGGGAGCTTGGAGGCAAGTACAAGGAGGCAGAGGCGATGAATAGGCAGACGCTGGCGCTGTACCAGACGGTGCTTGGTCGTAAGCATCCAGACACGCTATCAAGCATGAGTAACTTGGCGGGAGTGCTGAGTCGCCAAGGCAAGTATGAGGAGGCGGAAGCGATGAATAGGCAGACGCTGGCGCT